AAAAATTGTTAATATTCTATAACCTTAACCTCTTGTGATATTTTTTTAATGAAATATTATTATGTTACAGCATAGATTTTTGCCGAATAATCACAGAATTGCAATCATGCTTTTTATGATTTAGATCAAATGAGTAATTGAATTTTGAGTCTTTTCAAAGTATCTAATTTTTTTTCAATTGTAATGATACATTCTCTATTAAATCATAATTCTAAGAAGGTTTAGAATTAACAAATGATAGCAATTTTAATCTTATTTATTTTTTTTACAACATTTCAATTATAGTTTTCATTTTTTCTATATAAATCTTTAAACTTAAGTCTTTTCATTTATTCTCAGCGCTTTCGCAAGTTTGGTTATACATTTAACTTCAACTCTTTTAATGGAGCAATAAGTTCTTCAATTTTTTTCTTTTTGAATTGCCACTTTAGCTGATAATTATTCGAATAGCAAATGGAATTGTTTAAATCTCTTCAAAAGTTAGATCATAGATGAGATGGTTCATTGCTACCAAACCATTTATCATATTATGTGGTTATCCTTTTGTATTGTTAAAATATTGGGTTATTTTTAATCCTGTCAAAGCCTAACTTCAAATAAGAATAAAATGTACAATTAAATCAGAGATTATATAATTTATTTCTTTAAGTCCACTTAAACCATCTTTTAAGTCTGAGATTTTGGGATACTATAAATAAATACAAATTAAAAATCAGGATTAGTTTCTCAGACATATCTAATAAGTATGTAGCTTATTAAATCGAATAAAAAATTGTTCAACATTTTATTATGTAAATTGACAATTAAATAAAAACTATAAAGATTAGAACTATATTAATGTAAAAAATTTATTTTCTTCACTCAGTAGCACCTCAAAATAATTGGGCTGGTTTTTTCTAAATGGATTTTAATAAACTCATTTATTATTGTATAACAGATCTTTAATTTTAGATAACAGATTTTTTTATTGAATAATTATTAAATTTTTCATTGAAGAGCAACAGGAATTATTCAATAGGAGATGTTAAAAGCTAATCTTTCACAATCATCTATTCTATATGTACTCACAAAATGGATGAATGATCTTCTACTTGCAGACCCCATCCACACCTATGTATGAATAATTTTAATTTCAGCCAAACTTCTTATTGCAATACATTATCAATCCAACCACCATCGCAGCTTAAATTTCCATATTATCCCGAACAATCAACTAGTTTTTATTCAGATAAATTATATAATTTTTCATATACTAATTGAAAGTTCATTTCAATTGTTCAATTAAGGTGAATGCCCAACATGAGCCACAATTTCCTTAGTGCTTAACAACAGGGGATATAATTTTAAATCCATTTGACCAATGTTGGTCCTTCTGTGTATTTGAAATCTTTTCTTTAGGCTTTATCTTATCTTTATTTGAAATCTGAGTTTCAAATAAATTTCTGCAAATTCTTCTTTACAATAGTTTTATTAAAAATATAGTTACATCAAAAGATAAATTTTGATATTTTATTAAAGACTAAAAACTAATTTATCATCCATTTATAAACCTTTAATTCAACAGTAATTTCTTTTTTAATCCTTGCCTTGATCAATTTGCTTAATAAGTAGTTTGGTAAGGTTAGATGAAACCTAAAAAATTATTATTTGACATTTAAAAAGCAATATTTGTAAGATTTTAGAGAAAATAAGATTCAGGTGAACGTAAATATTTATGACTTTTGAATAGATAATTCTTTTTCAAAACCAAACTATTCTTTTTAAAAATACTTACTTAATAAATTATTATTATATTTTTTTGAGAGCCAAAGCATAGAAGGACAAAATCGAATGGGAAAGGGAATATTTTTAGAATATCAGCAAAATTAATTATATTGTTTCATTTGCTTTTGACTTAATCACAATACTTATTTCTGGTATGCATTTGTGTGAAGTTGTTTTCATATTTTTGAATTTGAAATCAGAAAACTTTGTATTGATTCGAAAGATTATTACTTATGATTTAAAAAAGTGTAAATTTATTATTTCAGAAAAATTAACATTTAAAATTTTTAAGATCTCCAATGACCTTTCCATTCAGATCTTAATCAATAGTGAAAAATCTTAAAAACTACATAATTATAAAAATAAAATAACAGAGGTCTTTTATTTTATGAATGCTTACAGGATAACCTTAAGGTATTGATTAAATCAAAACAACAAGTATTTTCAAGATATAGAAAAATAAAATTGGAAAAAGGAAATAACAATAAATTCCATAATTAATTTATAAATTCTAGGGGTTTAAAAGGATTGATAAAAATAAAATGAATAGATTTCTAATAAGGATTTTGGTAATTATTTCATAAAAATATTGTTAAAAAAACCTGAATTATATAATCAATTGAATAATTGATAGACAGATTAAATAATATCAATCAAGTAAATATTGTTATACCTAAAATGATTATATTTATCAATAGTTCTTTACAGAATAACCCATGCCTCAATAATAAATATCAAGGGATATCAATATTTCTTAATAGTCAAATTTTACTTTTATTTTCATTTTGTATCATTGCCTCAATAGGATTAAAGACAAAAATTTAAACAAAACAAAAAAGAAGAAATATCAACTTTGTAGATCTATCCGTTATTAGAAAACCTTATAAAATCAGCCTTATACACTGATTATAATATTAATCATTTTTAAAGTTAGGATAAAATTTTAGATGATTTAAATTTAAGAAATGTTTTTAAATTATGAATTTTGAGAGAAAATTCAATTTTCAAATTAATAGCCTCATTAACAGATTGTAATTAGTAAAGTTGAATATCAGAAGTATGGATTTATTATTCACAAATAGACATCAGTATAGAAGACACAATCATTGCAACTTAAATGTAAATTGCTATAAGGCCGATTGTCTTTGCTAAGACTCTAATCAATTATTCAAACAGAAATTTTCTCACATAAACCTATTATTAATTTAGTATTTAAAGTAAATTATATCGTTTGTTATTTTCATTTGCATTTCACCATCTGTTAATTTCTCCCGAAATTATTTTATATCCATTTAAACTTCTTTATTTACTGATTTAGCTTTTTTAGAACTGTATTTTTGCTATTTCTAATTTAATATTGTTATCTTAATAAATTACGATAACAACCTACAATCAACAGATGTTTATTTCATTTTTTTTTTGAGTATGAATGATATTCCAAATTAGCTTAATAATTGGAGACTTTTCAATCACTAGGCAACTAATCAAGAATTTTAACACTACTTCATCATCCTATTCAAATTCATTTTCCACTCAATGTTCTAAAGGCCTCTTCTGTCTTCTAATTAAATCCAAATTCTTTTAGTTTAAATTTGATCTTTTAGACTTATTAAAAGGCTTGATCTGATTATTAATAAAGAAAATTTAATGGATAAAATTAATAGTTTTTTATTATTTATAGTCACAATAATGATAAGAATATTTTCAATAACTTGAATTTAATCAACAATTTATTTAAGAAATACACTTTTGATATAAATATCTTTACTAGCATTTCAATAATTCTTAAGAATTTATTCTGCATTGCATTTCCAAAGTTATTTTAGCACATTTTTTGTAGTTTTAGGAAATACGCTTTTTAAAATTATTATTGGTGTGAAACTTTAATAAAAAATCAATTTTTTATGTTGTAATCTTCCAAAATTTCATTTTTTATTAATAAATCTATATTGTTAAATAACAGTAAATATTTATTTACTCTAATTACTTTCAAAAATATTCAAATAGCACTATCTAAATAGTAGAAAATCTAAAATATTAATTATTTAATCAGCTTTATTAGAAGGGAAAAGTAGTGACTCTATATTATGGATGCTATGATTTGATATTCTTATTTTTTAAAGAATCATTAATTTGATGAAGTTAGGATTTAGTAAGTTAATCAATTTATTATTTTGATATATTTAATTATTTAAATTAAATTAATTTAATGAGCTCAGACAGTTAAAGAAATTATGATTTGTATGAGAAAATTGGCCCTTTGCTAAGTAATCTTAGTAGTATTAATAATAATTTTGAATAATAAAAGAAGCAACTTAATTCATTAAATTACTCGATAGACAAAATGAATATTGATATAAAAAACAAAGAAATGGATTAAAAAAATTTGCAATGGTTATACTCTTTATAAGAGAGAGAGAACAGACTCCAAATGGAAATCTCTTAAAACGAAGCTAAAAAAGCATAATTGGAATATCTTAAAAAATAAAATATGTTTTATGAGGAGTAAATTAAAATGTTAAATAATGAAAATTAGAAAATAAAAAATGAATATTTACAGATATAATAAAAAAATGAATAATTAATTAGCTAATAAGAAATTGCTTTAAAAGAATCAATAAAATAAGTTAATGAACAATTCATAAATAGAATAGTTTAATTAGAAGCATAATTATAACAAAAATAAAAAGATGAAGTTGAAGCAAGTGTGAAAATAGCTTAATTTGTCAATTAAATTAAATTGTTAGAATCCTAAAAGCAAATCTTTTAGCAGGAATGTGAGTAATTTGAAATAGCAAAAAATACTTTAGATAAAGAGAAGGAGATGTATTTTAATGAATTTCGATATCTAAAAGAAAACTACATGAAAATGATTGATAAATTGCAAGAGGAAATGCATAAATTAAAAGTTTAGAATCACAGTTTAAATGAAGACAATAAATCGTTGAAATAAACAGTTGAATATTATAAAAATAGATTCTAAGATATGATGGATTTGTAAGAAATGGCTAGTTTAAATTAGGATAATTCATTATTATCTTTATTAAAATCGAAAGGAATGTAAAATGTAACTAAGTAGGATTTGGTATAAGCAAGGGATTAAGTAGCTTAAGATATGGTTTATTAAAAAGGATTTTAATTTGGAAATACTTGGGATTAAGTTATGAATGATATAAATAAATTAACTTGAATTATAAGTCTAGATATAATATTGATGTTAATTTTTTTAGTATTTACTTCATAATTATTATTCAGCTTAATCATATAATTTATCATCAGGTTCTAAATTATCTCCAAATTATATTGCATAATCAATTTCTCCTAAGATATTGTCGATACTTTCATCATCAGTAATATCTAGACACAAAAGCCTTCCAACTCCAAAACTAGTAACCAATTCACTAATGCCTGAAGTAAAAGACTTATAGGTCTTAGAAAATTCATCCAAATTTACATACTCACTATCTTAGTTAAATTTATGAAGTTTTGTATATCTCTTTAACTTTTTTTTGTCTTTAATTAGATCACATTTAGAAAGCACTGTAAACGCAGGCAATTCCAAAGTCATGGAGGCTGATAAAGCCATTAAAAGTCCAGATAAAAATTTAGCATCATCTTCAATAAAGTTTATGTCAACCAAATAAACAGAACAGATTGAAAATCCAGAATTACCTAATAATTATGTTAGCTTTCTCATCATATCAATATGAGAATATAGTTCTATTTATCCTGGGCAGTCAAATAAAACATAGTCATCTTAAGCAATGTTGTTTAATTGATCTTACATCCAATCCCAATTTTACAATAAATATTCCATACAATAGACTAAACCGCCATTTGGGCCATATTCAAATTCTTCCATTACATCATTTAAACATATTAATTCTCGAATGTCGATTGCACATTTATACGGAATGTAATCGGCAGCAGGGTCTAAATTAACAACTTGAATGTTCCTCTTATAAGATCCTTCCTGTAAACTTTTACAATATGATGTTTTCCCACTTCCTGCAGGCCCAATCACTAGTTAGCCATAATAAAACATATTAATTAAATAATAAAATGGAATTTTTTCAAACAAATTAAATTTTTTTCATGGTTTAAAATCTACATCAAATATACGAAGTTTTAACTCTCTGTTATTTTCTAAAATAAAAGCATAAATATATTGAATCAAAACATTATTCCCTCTCACTTTGAAATTTCTTTTTGATTATTGATGAAATTAATTAAAAAAAAAACTTTAAACCAAAACCAATAAGTTTTTTTAGTTAAATTTTTTTATGGTGATTAATATAAAAAAATAATGAAACAATATTCCTGATGAATTAATTTTTCTTATTTGAAAGTATGATTGATTTATATACACTTTTAATGTTTATACAATACCGAAAATGTGATAAACTAATTTTAATAACCATTTATTAATAATAATTCACTCTTTTGGATCTATACTATAATTTATTAAGCATCTATTCCTTTTTGAGTTTAAAGAACTTTAATTTTGCTTTAAATTTTGCCAATTCCATACTTCTTATAATACCTACAGATATATAAACAGAATACATGTTGATAAGAAATAAATTTTTTTTAAACAATATCGTTACCTCCTTATTTTTTAGGTTAAATTTAATAATCACAAGGAAGCTAAAATAATAAGTCCCCATCCAATACTCTATCAATTTTACTAATAAAATCAAAGTTTTAAGAAACATTCTAAGATAAAATAATTGTATTACAAGCTAAAATCTCATTTCTATATCTTCGAATGGATCAAGAACAGCTTAACCGAATATTGCAACCATAATTTTTTCACATAATAAATTATAATCTCCTTTCTAAACATAGTAGGTATCCCAAATGTAAGATTTCATGTCTTTCAAGATTATTTATTTTTTCACAAAAGATTTGACCTATTTTAATATAAACTTTAATTCATCTTCAGTAAATCTAATTTAATGTTTAAGGCTTGGAAATAAGCTTAGTCTTTCATCTATTTATTTATCTAATTGATTAGTCAAATATCTGCAAGCTGGGTCATCAAAAGAAAATTAAGCCTAGATATATTAGAATTTCTTACATTAAATAATTAGAAAAATGGGTTAATTTTTTACTTTAGTTCTAATGAAGGTTTGTTTATTAGATTTATTAATTTTTATTTATACAGATTTAACATCTTTTTCTCTAATTCTGCTTGAACTAAAATCAATACTTAAGGCAATTTGATCTTAAATAACAATCATATATACTCCATAAAAATATTATCTAGATAACCCAGGTCCTGAGATTTTCCAAGCTATATTGTTTTCTGAAGAAGGAACTCTTCCTAATAATTTTATAATTATAATAGTAAAAGAATCATAAAAAGATCTAGTATAAAATCTCATTTAGGCAAATATGGCCATAAAAGTTATCCAAAAGGGATGCCATAATAGCAATTTAAATAAGCAATAAATGGTGTTCAATATTCCTAAAATTAAAAAATCAAAAATATTGATGATTAAAGGGAACCAATTAGGAGATCTCCATATAATGTCTTTCTCTCTTCTACGACACACGTCTGTATCATAAATTAATACATTAAATAAGATTCGAATAATGATGGTCACAGGAATCCAAAGCCAAGCAGTGAATGCCAATAAAGTAGAAATTACAACATTAGATAAAATGATAATTGGCAAAATGATTAATACTCCTAAAATACCTACTAATAAAAATCTAAAAATGTAGACTTCCATTAAATTAAAAACTCGATACAAATTTTTTCCAAACAAACCAGTATCAGCGCTATTCTCAAAATGACACCTTGAGTTTTTCATACCTTCTAATACTTAAAAAAACTTTATTATTAAAGGAGTAACAGTAAAACTTGAAGGCATAACTTAACCTGTAATGGAATCAATCGTCACGTCTGGTTTAAATTTTTCCTTTTTTATTAAAGCTTTAATTCCAATAGGTCCTGAAACAGCATTTGCACTTAACCAAAAAATAATGTTGATTGTCCAAACATAATATCTTATCCCTATTAATTTAAGCTTCCAACCAGCTTTAGAAGAATCAATGTGATAATCTTTATATCTTCTCAAATAAAATCTATTCCTTTCTTAGTAAACTTCATATGGAGGAAATAATCGTTTTGATCTAATTTTATATGAAAACTATACACAACAAGTTTAATAGAGGCCTCTTTATTTTCCATTTTTTGTTGGATTCTCATTTGCTTAAAATTGTCCCTCATCTATTTTTTACATTTCTAAAATTATTCATAAACTTATATTTCAGGCAAATTTAATAATTTCATATCTTCTTAAAAATTTGAAACAAATTATTATTTGAGTTATTTTTTCACATCCTTTTTGAATTTTTAAGTCTCTTCATCAACAAACTGTTGGAAATTAGATTTTATTTTATGTTATTATTTTATTTATTCTTTGAATCTTTTTATTGCTGAATTATATTTTGCTTGATAAATATCATTATGATAATCATAAAGCCGTAGACAATCTCCTAATGAAATAATTTGATTAACAATAGGTTTTGAATATTTTGTTTTTTCCCAAAACTACTTTTGGGCTGAATATTCAGCTAATTCGATTTATAGATTTATATCAATATTCTTATCAATAAAAAGATTATATTTTTTAACAAAATCGCTTTGTAATTAGTTTATTTATTCTTGTAAATGTTCGTGTTACTCGATAATCTCTTCATCTTCAGTTTCTAAAAGAGTTTTCTTTTCTGTTTGGATATCGTATAGGTTTTGCATTTACAATTTTATTCCATTTCTCTCAATTTCAAATTAATTTTAGCATTATTATAAGTCTTCATATTTTTATTTAGCTTCAACATTTTTATAATCACCAGGCTTTAATTATAAATATTTATATAATTCGATATTGATATTCTGTAATTTCTTCAATTCAAGTTGCCTTTAAGTTTCAATTAAAGACAATATTTTTTGTTCTTCTACATAAGAATACATCTCTTTAAATCCAAAAAAAATAGAAAATATTACTAATGGTCTCTATTTTATTTATAAAAAAAAATACAATTCCGATATTATAAATTGCAGATCTAAGTGATATGTTTCTTCCTATTTCATCTTTTTCTTAAGCTATATAGGCAAGCCAAGTTCTATAAGCTTTGTAAGCTCTTGCAAGATCTAAATATTTTGAAGTTTTTATATTTTAACTTCCTTAGATAAAATAATGATGGTTTACCTTTTATAACCCATGATGATATCTACCAAACGTATGGAATTGGAAATTATTTAGAGGGAACTTCAAAAGTTCCAGTTTCATACATTTCTTTAATTTGCTTTTCCGATAAATTGGATACAGCATTATATTCGTACTTAAATGATTAAAATCAAAAATTTTACAGCCTAAAAATTTTTAGGTAATTCAAACTCCTTAATTTTATGCAAGAAGCTTGTTGGTGGAATGTTGAAGTAATATCTTTATTTTTAATTTGTAGAGTCGACATCCCAAACTTTAGCATAATCTCTAAGTTTAAGAACTGTTGACTCTGCAATATCCTTTAAATCATCATCCAATTTTTTTATATCTTGCTAATACTAAAAGGATACAATCATTATTACATTGATATGAGTTCTTTGGCCCTTAAAATTTCCAACAATCAAATTAGGTAATTTGTAATATTTTTCATCTTCTAATGTATATTATTAATTGAAATCAATGTTAGCTTAATTATTATGACAATAATGAACCTTGATTTTAATCGTTCTAGTGCATGAAACAATAAATTAATAAATAAAAATAATAAAAAGGCTATGTGTGATTTTACATTTAAATATAAAAAAATATGTAAAATTTAATTTAATTGAAAACCTTAAGTGGATTAATAAATTATATCTGGCTGAAATATTTAAGATGTTAATCTAAGCACTAATCAATTACAATATACAAAGATAGAAGTAGAATAATATATACTTTGTCAAAAAATTCAATTAAGTTATTTCTTAAAAATCATTAACATTTTGGTTTTGTATGAACTGACATTGATTACTTATGAAATCTAGAGAAGCTTCTACCTTAATCATATGATAAACATTCTTATGATTAGGATTACTCAGCATGTATAGGTTAATTCATTTATAACTTTGATATAAATTTAATGTAAGTACTTCTAATTTTAATTTTTTATTTTCGGATAATATTTTAGACAGATAAGCCTGCATATTTTTTAGATTGAGTTATTAAATAGATATTTTTTGTTATATCTTTATTTCTTCTTAAATTAATTAACTATCTATTTCATCTGTCCTTACTAATTTGTTCTGTAAAGTGTGCATCTCCTAAACTAAATCAAGAGCTTCACTTGGAAATAAAGGCTTTACTTTTTCAAACTTATATAACAATATATTTTACAGTTTATAAAAGCGCAATATAATCGTAATTTTTTGCTTTTTATTCTGTAAATGATGATTAGCTGAAGCTTAGAGATTTTTTATTAGAAACTTGACTTTTTGCATTAGCTAATTACTATTAAGAAAGGGACAATTATTCTTTTAATTAAGCATTTTCTTTCTCTATTTTTATAGATCTTTCTAATTATTCAGAGAATTTTTTATCAAATTTTTAAAATTATTTTTCTAACTCCTTAATTTCTTGATTTTTCTATTCTTCTAATTATTTCATATGAGCAAATTCCTACCTAAATAATCGTTTTTATTTTTCTAATTATTTGATATCATTTTAATATTACTATGTTTATGCACTTAATAGGGATATTTACTCAGATAATTATTAATTATTTTATTAGGAGTCTGTAAATTAATGTTATAAATCAAAGATTATTTAAGATTTTTCATGTTCACTCTACTTCAACCTTTATTCATTTGAGTTTAAAGTTTAAATATTTTCTGATAATTGTTATAAGATATTGAAAATATCTAAGTCATTAGTTTTTATAATTTTACGCATTTCATCGATAACTTTTTATTTATTATAAATATTTACTTTATTAAATAAATTATTCTGACACTGATAACTATGATTACAATTGTTCACAATACATTTATTATTCATGAATTTCATTTCGATATTAATTCATTTCAATCTCTAATTAATCATATTATAATTAATGCTATTATTGCAAATTTTCTATTTAATATTTTTATGTTCCAATTTATTTTTATTACTCTTCTATTAATAAATTTAATTCTTTAATTTAAGCCTCTAACTTTTTGATTTTATTATTACTAAATTCTAACTCTTATTCCTTTAAAGCTAAATTTAGTTCTAATTTATGTTCTTCTTTAACTTGACTTTTGTAGAAAGTTTATTTTAAATTTTCTAATTCTTTGATTAGTTCTTCTTTCTCGCATTCCTCAGTTTTTAAATTAAGATGAATCTTATTTAGTCTTTTCTCCAGTTAGGTTAGATCCTCTTAATATTTTTCATTTTGCAAAAGCAATTTCTAATTCTGAGTTTTATAATGCTGAATCTCTGATTCTAATTTTGATATTTATGCATCTTTAAATAAAATAGTGTCATCATCTTTAGTGATACCTTATAATTAATCAAGTTAATCCAACAAATATTACTTATCAACCTTTAATTCCGTTAATTCTTTGGCATAACAATTTATTTATTTATTTAAATTTTCTACTAATTGTTATAAATTTTCAACCTGTGCATTTTATTAATTTTAGATTGACAACTCCTAATATAACTATGTAATTAATGCAAATAAATCAATTTTTTATTCTTTTGACATATTTTCTACTTAATCTAATATCATTTAAAATCCTTCAATCTATAATTTACTCTCTATTGAATTTCTTAAAATTTAGATAAATTAATTTTATCCTTCTATTACAGATTTTTATTCCTCTATTTCCTAAATATATTCTATAGCTTCTATTTATTAAGCCACAGATTTTTTATTTTCATTAATACTATTTGTATGGTCTATTTTTTAACTTACGAATTTAGAGCTAGGTCTTGCCATTCCTTATTATTATTAATTGGTGGTATCATTCAAAATTGTTGGCTTAAATGTTTGGTATTACATAATATTCAATATTTTTTAATTTGAAAAATAAATAATAACAATCACTTATTATTTAATCTAGTGATTTCTTCTAAACATTTACTAACATCATTTTCATTTTATAATCTGGTTTCTCTTAAGACTTTTTATCTTTCTAATGATAAAATATCTATTTACATAAATAGTCTTTAATAACTTTCCTTTCTTCTTGAAATTTATTTAAAGATTTTGCATATTAATTTTAGACCATTAATTTAGAGTTTTCTTATTCTGCAAATTTAATTCTCAAAGTGTCACATTCTAAGATAAGTTACTAATTGTTATGTATTAATTATTCTATCTATTATTAGAGATGTTCATTTTTTTAAAGTAATGATATGTTCATATTCTTTAAAGATTTTAATTCATGATCCAATTAGTATTCTTTTGCTGAAACTTTCTAAAATACCTGAAATTAAATACATTTTAATTTCCTAATTCTTTAGTTAACATGCTCATTTAATGCTACATTTTTCCAATTTCTTAAGTCATTTGATTAAGTTAGTCTTTATAATTTTAAATTTAAAGTTCTAATCTCTCAATTTATTTGATTAACTGTTTATTGTCTATGGTAAGTTTTTCATTTTAAGACTTGTAAGATTCCATTTCACTTACGAATTACTATTTATTCTCATTTTCAGCTTAAAACTTTTTTTCTTTGTGTGTCTATATGTCATTCATTTATTTTATTTGAAATTACAAACTTTCTATATACTATTGTTTAGCTGCTAATGTGGTTTAATATTTTTCATCTTATTCTTAGATTTATTACACTATTTTTGTATAAGCATCCCTTAAATTATTAACTTCATCTGTCAGCGCTTGATTTTCATAAACCAAATATTCCATTTGTTCCTGATTGTTTTAGCAAGACATTAATTCATTTCGCAATTAGTCAATTTCTGCTCTGTGTCTGGCTACTGATTGCATATTAAATTCATGCCTGCGATTATAATCAATCTCCATTCTCTACTTTTCTTCAGCTAAAAGATTATATCTATGTTCTAAATTGGTGAATAAGAAATTCAAATCCTAGTAATCTTTCTCATTTTACTAAAGCGTAATTATTTATTCCTTGAGCTGATTAATCTAATCAATCATTTTATGTTCGTTAATTGTAAAATATTTATTATATAAAAATTAAATAACTCTAAAAGAGACATTATAATTTGATTAGCATTTTAACATCATCAATACAAAAATTTAGATGAAAAATTATTGATTAAAGAGAAACAGACTCTTTTATGATAAGAATCAAATAATAGATAAAATAACCAAATTTGTTTAAATTATTAAAAGGAGAGGAATCAAAAAGAATTTATTATAATTCAAAATAGAAAGTATATCTAATAATTAAAAGTTTATCTTCAAATTAAGCAGTAAAAATTGATTAAGAATAAGTCGAAAAAAATAAATAGTATTTTTACTTTATTATTTCGTCAATAATATAATTAACGTGTTTTTACAAACATTATCTTCACATCCGTGAATACGTATAGTGCTTAGAATAAAATAAGAAAATTATGAAATGAATAAAAAAAAAATCAAAAAATTGCTTCTGAGATAAAGGAATTGAAATCTCAATCTATATATATAAATTAAGGATAACAATTTCATATTTATTTAAAGTTCCAATATTTTAATTTTTCATGACAGAAACCATTGAAAATCTACGTGATTTTAATTATTACTAACTTTCAAAAGCTGTCAATAAAACAGTAGTATTAGCAGAATATATTTGGATTGATGGAACAGGAGAATCTTTAAGATCAAAAACAAAAGTAATTCCCCACGTGTAAAAGTATTTTAGGTATATTAAACTCCAATCAAAACCATTGAAGATTTGGAGTGGTGGACTTATGATGGATCATCAACCGATTAAGCAGTGACTAGATTTTCTGAAATATATTTAAAGCCAGTTAGATTAATAAAGGATCCCTTCAGAGGTGATCCTCATATTCTTGTATTGTGTGAAACATACCTTCCAGATAAAAAAACACCAGCAAGATATAATTTTAGGTAATTTCATGCCTTTCTTATTTTTATAGGTGGATCGCAAATTAAATTATGGAGTAGGCCAAAGATCATAAACCATGGTTTGGAATTGAATAAGAATATTTCTTATTAAAAAGAACAGGAACAACACATTTATGGCCTTTAGGATGGCCAACAGGTGGTTTTCCTTATCCATAAGGCAGATATTATTGCTCGATTGGCGAAAGAAATAATTTTGGTAGAGCTTTAGCCGAAGCTCATCTGAGAGCATGTTTGAATGCTGGAATAAAAATAGCTGGATTGAATGCTGAAGTTGCACCATCCTAGTGGGAGTTTTAAATAGGAATTGCAGAAGGTATTGAAATAGGTGATCATATGTGGCTGGCAAGATATATTTTAGAAAGAATAGGAGAAGAATTTGGAATTGATATCAATTATGATCCAAAACCTATTCTAGGTGATTGGAATGGTAGTGGAGCGCATTGCAATTATTCTACCGTTACAACAAGGTCTGAAGGAGGATATAGATTTATTGTAGATAAATTAATGCCTATTCTTAAAGAGAATCATCTTGAAATGATTAAGTTATATGGATAAAAAAATGAGCTTAGACTCACAGGTAGACATGAGACCGGTAAATATGATTAATTTACTTGGGGAGATGGATCAAGGGGATGTTCAGTTAGAGTGCCAATTATAACAAAAGAATAGGGATAAGGGTATTGTTTAAATATATATGAGCTTAGATATTTTGAAGATAGAAGGCCAGCAGCAAATATTGATCCATATTTGGTTTCTGCAGCCCTTGTTGATGTAACGTGTTTAAATGGTGAACATCTTAAATAATTAAATTCTATTTTTGAAGACTCTTTAAAACCACTTGGATAATAAATATTTTAATAGTAAAAAGAATAGTTTTAGCAATAAAGCCAATGATATAATCATATTTTTTGTTCAATAATATATTATATTAGCTTTATTATTCATTTGTTTCCTCTTAAATTTTAATGAGCCAACTAAATATCCATCTTAAGTTGTATGAAAGAAACTGCGCTTTATAAACATGCCTAAGATGAAGTGTATCTATGGCTTTTTCCATTAAAGTTTTAGTTTTCATAAATTGTAAGTCCATAACCTTATGGAATGTAGAGAGATTTAATTTCATGTTTAAATTTCCTATAAATGTTAAGCAATATATATAATACTCTATTTCTTTTAAACTATTACAAACCTCTAAAGCAAATCCTTAATACTCACATTATGAATATATGACGATACAATTTGCTTATTTTATTTCATTTGCATTCTTAATATCATCTTAAAAATTTTATTTTTGTGATTCTTCTTAATTTTATGTTTATTATTCTTCAATGACATTACTTTCTTTTTATTATATTTAATGATTTTCCTCTATTTTAGATTGGGACTCATTTAAATTATTTGTATTTTATTACTCCTCTTATTAAGATTATTATTGATTAATATTATCATTTAATTTTTCAGTAGTTTCGTTTATATTAACATTATTATCTAATATTTATTCAGCAATCTATTAATTTTAACTGCTTGTTGTTTAGATTTCTTGATCTTTTTAATCAAGTACTGAATTAGGTTGTGATTCAACATTTTAATTGATTATTTATTCTTAAGATTAAGTTTCCACAATGACTGGTTCTGATTGAACAGACAAATCATTATTACTTTCAACCTATTATTATGCTATATTCTATTCTCCTAAATTTAATTCTTTTTTTAATTCATCATTAATGGATGTTTCTTTATTATCAATCATATTTTAAGAATTAATTTCATTTGGATCAATATTTTATAAAATTGAATCATTTTCGTCAAATGATAATTATGTATCTTGATTATTTATTTATGTTTCTTAAATATCTTAGCTTTAACTTAAGGAATTGATAATTTCTGATTCATCTTAAGGTTGCTAGATATCAATAACTTATTCTTATGATGCGACAACAGGCTATAGAAAAGTATCAGTTTAAATTTATGTTGATTCTTCTTGTTTTTCTGTTGTTGTTTTTTCATTTTGATTCTAATCTTAATTATCATCTCGCATCACTTCTGCTAATTAATTTTCTCTTTCTCTTTCTTATTGTTAATATTCCTAATACTAAAATGATGATTCTTCTTCAGGCTATTTATTGATCACTGGAGATATCTCAAATTCTGATTCTACCAAATTTGTTTACTCTTTATCTATTTCTCCACTTTAAAGAGGGGCAACATCATCATTTAAATCCATTGAATTCATAGAATCAAGGTTCTCTTCAAGCTAAGATTAATCTTATTGTTCATCTGCATTTAGATTAATACTAGAATCGAGTGATGAATCCATGCTGTTAAGAGAAGAATAATCATCTTCTGTAGATTATTGAACTTCTTCAGAGATCAAATTGCCATCTAAATCATAGTGTGTGGCCAGAGTTCCTTAAATGCTCTAACCAAAAGATAATAAGAGCAAAGACATGAAAATTATGGATTTTATCATGAATGTATATTTTATTAATAAAACGGATTATAATTAATTTAAAAATAATATAAGACTTTTGGAATAGAAATGAGATATACTCATCTCTCTACTATTATTATATTTATATAATATTTTAATAGATTTCATTGAAATTTGATATTTTTTCAAAGTTTATGAATTATTTTTCAATAATCCCTTAAAAAAATAGGCCACAATATTTTATACTTAATTTCTATTATAATGATGATAATCTTATTTTGTTTAAAAATGTAATCTATTAGATATCCATAAGTAAAAATACTTTATATAAATTCTATTTTATATTTATTATTAAACTAATCTAATAGAGATGATAATAATTTTGTTATAGTATTTTTTACAATATCAATAATTTAGATTAAAATGAGTTTATAAATGAGGTCTATGGAAAGGGCTTCTGTAGATAAATCCTAAAATTGCCAGTAATTAAGGATATTTATAGAAGAAATGAATTCCTTAATTGGTTCTGCTCTTGTAGAAGAATTTCGAAATGATCATGAGAATGATTTCAATCCACATATAATTTTGGGAAATGGAGAAAGTTTGCCAAGAGGGGCAACTAAATTAATAAATACTTCTGATATGATTGAATTAGGTTAGGTTGTATTAGATTGTGATATTATCATTTTTCATTAGAATTATTGTAAAGCTGAGTATGCATTTAAATTATTGAAATATGGACAATATAACTCATAGAAAACATTTGTTTTAGTGAGTAATCCATTAACTTGGTCAACTACTACTCTAAAAGAGAAAAAATCAGAAGAAACCGCTTTTCGATAATCATTTCTGAATGAAGATGAATTATAATTATTTAAGAAATATGAAAGATTTACTGAAAATGATCTTCCAAATAGAAGAATTAATTTTTTAGAAAGATTAAAACATTTAGAATAGTCAATATTGGGTTGTGAAAAAAAAGAATTAGACACTTATGTAATAACACCAGGATTAATATATGGTAATGGAGAAGATATTTTATATGAACTTTTCAAAACAGTTTGGATGGATCCGGATGCTGAATTGCCAATTTATGGTGAAGGGAATAATATTATTCCAATGATTCACGTTAATGATTTAGCAAGTATAGTGAAAAAAGCTACAATTTTAAATCCTTAAGATAAGTATATTTTTGCAGTAGATTATGAGAATATGACATAAAAGAAATTGATTACTACTATTGCTAAATATATTGGGAATGGTAAAACAAAAACAGTAACTAGTTGTTCTGAGAAGATGTTAATGATGAATGTTTGGTTGAGACCAACTCAAATTTTTGAATCAGAGGATTAATATATTAATGCTAATAAGAATCCTATAATTAATTGGTAATTCCAAGAAGGATTCATTAAAAATATTGATAAAATAAGAGATCAATTTAAAATATATCGTGGTTTAGATACAGTTAAATTAATTGTTCATGGAGGTCCAGCAGCAGGTAAATCTTATTTATGTTAACAATTATCAAATTATTATCGAATTCCTCATATTTAGATTAAAAAATTAATATAAGAATTATTAGATTCTCCAACCAAAATAGGAGAATTAGTAAAAACAACTTTATAGTAAGTTAAAGATTAAATGGTTGCAGAAGCATTCGCAGTATTTGAGGCTGAAAAGAAAAAGAAAAAAGTACCAAAAGGGTAACCAGAACCCATATTTGATGCTTCAACTATTGTTCCTAGATTACCTGATTCTATACTAATATAAGCATATTAATGGAGACTTGAGTAAAATGATGCTTAAAATCTTGGATATGTTTTGGATGGTTTTCCAAAAACTTTAGAATAATATGAACTATTATTTTAGAATGAAAACAATTAAGTAATCGAAAATATTAAACCAAAAGGAGTTATATACTTGGATTATTCAGATGATTAATTGAAGGAAAAAGCAAAATAAATTATTGATTAACCTAGATACACAGAAGATTAGATAAATAGAAGGATAATAAATTTTAGAAAATCAAACGATTCTTTGTTATAATAATATGAAAAATTTGATATTAAAAGAATAAACAATCCTGAAAATGCATTTGATTAAGCGTAAGAGTTTATTACTCGAAATGGTCCAATTTTAGTATTATAGGAAAAAAAAGAAGAAGAATAATTTGAAATAGAAGTTGTTTAAGAAGATGCATCTCCAGAATTACAAACAATTTAATAATAAGAATCATAATAATTATAAGATAAAAAGATACCTACATCTCAATCATAAGTATAATAATCCCAATTAGGAGTAAAGAAAAAGGGAGATTAATTAAATGTAAAAATATATTATTTATTTTTTAGAAATCTTTAAATGAAAGTCGTGTTTCAAAAGAAAAATAAAAATTGACTGATGAATAAAAGTTTGAATAATTTAAATAATAGGAAAAAGAATAATTAGACTTAAGAAGTTAACCTCTTAGATAATATTTAGCTGATAATGTAGTGCCATATTTAGCTGAGGCATTGGTTGTTCTTTGTGAAAAACACCCTGAAAATCCAATTCATTTTTTAGCAGACTTTTTAGAATAAAAAGGAAATGAATTATAAGCAAATGGTTAAATTGGATAATGAAAATTATTTATAAAATAATAATAAATGAGATTATTAATTCCTGATGAACGGGAACACTCACCTGGAGAAATAATTGGTTATGTTATTGGAGTTCTTTACTTTTTTGGAATGATATACTATATCTACAGAAAACATTTACTCAGTTTATTTTAGATGTTTATGAATTATTTGGATGTAAATGATTTTGAAAATTTAAATAGGATAATGAAAACGAAGAATAATATAAAGCAATATTGTATAGTTGTTTAAACTCAATTTAATTTCTTATTCTGTGCTTTTACTCAACTTTTAGTAGTGAATCAGATTTAGCTGTTTCTACAATTATTGGATCAGATGCTTTTATGATCTTTTTTGTTTTCTCTTACATTCTTTATAAATATCCCACTCATTCTCATGGAGTATTAGATGCGTGGATAACAATAAGAGATGCATTTTTTTATATTTTATCACTCTTTGTTCTATTCATATGTATTTTATTAGATTTTTTGAATATTGGAACAGCAGTTATCTTATTGGTTGTCTATTTTGCAAATATTATCTTTATTTTTAATAGTGAGAATGTTAAGTCTAAAATGATGGAATGGTTTGATCTAACTGCTGAAGATGAAGATTATAGTTGTGAATAACACTTAACTTATGTAAAGAGAAGAATATCTATAACTCATCTAAAAGATAATAATTATATCTAAACTGATGATCCTACTTTAATAAAGAAGTTAGCTTTGAATAACAAGGCAAGTTCATAAAAGAGTGGAAGTAGAAGGATTATCTTTTAAAAATTAGTATACATTATTATATTTGCCATAAAAAATTAAGTAAAATAAGAGAAACAATTTAGAGTTGAATATTACTAAAATATGTATAAAGTAAGGAATATATGATATACCAATAGCCTAAATAAAGAGGACCTCCATCTAAAAAAAGTAAAATTGAGCCAGCTTCTTCAGTTCCAGAATCCCATCAACAAAATGTGAATGAAGATATTCCTTTAATGGAAAATAATGATATGCCTATTGAACATCAAAAAGATTAAGAAGGAGTTTAAGAAAATGATTAAGAATAGGAACAATAATAATAGTAAATTAGTATAATTGATAATTTTAGACAAGAATAGGATGATGGAAAGTAAAAATTGACTCTTCCTAAAGGTGGACTTGATAAAGTTCTTTTTATACTATTCTTCCCTGCTCATCTTATATGCCATTTTATTCCAACACCAAAAGATGATGCTGATTATGTCAACATAATATTGGATTTATTTATATCTTTAGCAATAGTTACAGGATTATACTTTTTAATTGATTGGTGGATTTATGAAATTTTTGATGGCACTGGTATACCTATTTAAGTTTTGGGATTTATATTTCTAGGTGTTTTGGTTTCAACATAACTTGCATATCATTAAATTGATATAGCAAAAGAGGAGTTATAATTGAAATTCACTTAAGCATTCTTTTAGACTGCAATTTGTAAATCATCTCTTTGTATGGGGATTACTTGGGGTATTCAATCTTTGATAAATATTGATACTGGATTAGTAAGAAGAAGCAGTAAATACTCAAAGACATTTGCAATTTGTATTATAATTGTTTGTGGACTTGTGGCATTTTTATTATTTTAATGCTGGTTAAAAAGATTCATTTTAGCTAAGTCAGAAGCTTAGAAATACATGATTGTATACTGTCTCTTATTGATAATAATAGCAGTTATTGTTCCATTGGATGTAATTAAATGAGTTATATTAAACATTAAGATTATTTGTTTTTCATGATTATTAAATAGTATTATTTAATTTCTATATTTATATTATATATGAATAATTATTAATGTAATTTTTTCTAAATTATTTTGTCTTCATGTTTGAATATGTTAATTATTTGAATTATAAATAAAGAAATCATTTTCCTCAAATTATAAATCATAATTTAATAATTATTATGTTTGAAGATGATAAAGATAGAAAGCTAAAGTAAGCAAATGATAATGTAAAATATTTGGAATCTTAGTTGACTGTAATTTTATACTAAATAATAAGCCATTAGTTGAGAGCAACTCAAAATTAAAGGAAAGTATTCATGCATTATAATACTATATGGAACAAAGGAGATTAGATTTTGCTCAGTTATTAAGTTATAAAAAAGAGCGCCATCTTCAAATTAATTTGAGTGATATGGTTGATGTTTATGAATGGTTGAAGAAGGATATTGAAAATTATTTAGAGTAGATATAAGAATTAGAAACTGAAAATAAAATGTTTAAATTATTTATTTAACAACAAGATGAAGAAACTAGAAATGAGATTGGAAAACTAAATGCTACAATTCTTAAATAAGAAAAAACAATAACAAAATAATTAGAATAATTCAATTTAGAATAAAAAAAAAATTAAGATCATTAATTAACACTCAAATTAGAATATGATAAAAAATTAGAAAACTAAGAAATTAAATTTAGAGATTTAATTCAATTAATTGAAAATGAGAAGGATGAAATTTCTAAAAAATATTAACAATTAGATGATGAATATCAATAGAAATTAAAAAAATAAAAATTGGAATTGATTAATTAATTTGATAAATAAGAAAGATAAAATTAAACAGAATTCTCAAAACAATTAAAAGAATTGAATGATTAAATCTAAAAATTAGATATTAAAAATAGACAACTTTTAACAGAAATGCAAAATGTTAAATAAGACAATGGTCTTTTAGCATAATAGTGTTCATCACAATAAAAAAATATAACTAAATTGAATCGTCAAGTTGAAAATTTATTATAGACTTTAAAGAATAATAGAGATGAGATTTCTGCATTAAATTTAGAAAAAACCAATTTATTAAATTTAATAGATTCCTTAAAAATATAGATAGAAAAATAAAATAAAAAAGAAATTGAACTACAATAATATATTAAAAATTAAAGAGATTAATATATTGAATAATAAACTAAATTTGAAAATCAAATTTCTGAATAAGAAATTACAATTAAAGAGATAAATTCTCAATTAGGAAAAAAAGAATTATGTATCAAAGAATTATCTGATATGAATGTTAAAATAGATAAAACTTATTAGGATAGATTAAATAAATAAAGAATTAAATATGAATAATTACTTTATCCTAATAGATTTATAAATACTGATTAATTATTATATAAAGAAACTATGATTTAACATGATGATACTTTAATTAAAGAAGTTATTGAAGACTATGAATTGATGCTTTCATAATATGCAAATTAATTAGAAAGTCAAACAATTAAATTGTAAGCTTTGGAAAATTCATTTTAAGAAAAATAAAATGCTTTAAAATTATAATTTGATTAAAAAGTAGCTAAATTAGCAAAAGATTATGAATAGAAATTTTTAAGAGAAAGCAAACAATAAAAAATATATATAGAAGAACTACATTTATTAAAATAAAAAGAATTAGAGGCATAAAAAATTAAATAAAGCAATGAAATAGAAAAACTAAATGTAGAATTTGAAAATAAAACATAACATTATGTTAATTAAATTTAAAATTTACAAAATTAAAGTAATGAAGATGCTAAAATTATTGATTAACTAAACTAATTAATTATTTAATTATAAGATAATACATATGAATTAAAATAATCTCATGAGCAATAATTAGAAATGCTTAGAAATAATCATTAAATAGGAAAATAATAATTAACTTTAGCTTTTGAAGAAAGATTTAATAAAGTTAATGATGAATTAAAAAAACTTCAATTAGAAAAAGATAATTTTGAACTTATAAGAATATAAGATTAAAAGGCATTGAATGAAATTAAAAAAAAAAATGATGTACAATAAACAATCATAATACAAATAAAAGAAGAATCTAAATAACAATAATAGGTTATTAGTGAATAAGTTTTTATGATGGAGTAATATTAATAATAAATTTAAAGATTAAATGATGGAATTAAGTAATTATAATAGGAAGTTGAAAATTCAAAATAAGTTTATAATATTTTTAGAAATTAACCAACAATAATGCATAGATAATCTGATGATTCTCATTATAAATCTGATATAAAGAAATCAACTAATACATAATTTAAATTTTCAAGAACAAAATAAGTAACTAGATAATCTAATAGACCTGCTTTACATAATACTTCAACAACTTTTATTATTTAAAATGGAGAACAATCACAATTACCAAAAGTTAGATCAATCTCAACTAATCAAATTAGAACAACTCCTAGACATCACTCATCTTAAGTATGATTAATATTTTCACATTTTTTCATTTATTATAAAAATGTTTTCTTTTAACAGATGATTAATAAATAAATTAACGAATTAAATGTCAATTTAAAAACGTAAAAGAATCTTTGATTCTTCTGATGATCATTCTCCAATAAGAATTGTATAGAAATATTGTGCAGCTAATCTCTGTTTTGATGAGGATACAAAGAATCATTTTATTAAAGAAATTGAAGAAAGAAAAAAGAAAATTAGCTCAATTTAGGTATCATTTACTAAAGAAGAAGTTGATAAAGTCAGAGATTATACACTAAATAAATTAAATCTTACAGCTTAACAAATTTAGAAGCAAATCAATCAAATTAAGCCTACAGAGATTAATCATAAAACATTTGAAGATAAAGCAATTGATTTTGAAAATAAAAGAAATAAAATATATACAAAATTTTAAGAAGATATTAAAGTCATTGATTAATCAATTTCTAATTGTATCACTGAATAAGAACTCTAATAATAATTATCAAGTATAATAAAATTATAATACTAGAATATAAAGTACCTGCAACTTGTATTACAAAATGGACTTGTGATGGATTTTTAGAATAAAGTTTGGCTGAAATATAAAGCTTTTCTACTGAAATCCACAAATAGTTGAATGGATATTCAAAGTAATTGTAACCTCCTCCCTCTTCTGATATTTAGTAATTAAATTCATTATTGGAATCAACTAACAACTATGATGAATTGTAATGTGATATGTTAGAATTAGAAAAACAAATGGCAGAATTTTAAAAGCAACTTGAACTTGAAGTTTGAAATTTTAATATTTTTACTAATTTATCATAATTTTTATCTTAATTGAAATCCATAAATATATTTTATTTAAGATTAAAACATCCTATTTCATATTAATAATAATCAAAGAATAAATATTTATGAAAAAGAAAATATATCTTGTAAAAAATGATAAACTAATATAAACTAGAACTCCATCTATATTTATCTTATGCAAAATAAAGTATTCATAATATTCTTGATTATTCTCATAAATTTACCTTAAATGTATAACATTAGAGATCGTATCCCCACCTTTCTGAATACTATAAAATGTTTTCAGTGAGAATAAATAAGATACTTCTCAATTTATATTAGAATTGAATAATAATCAAATGGAAATTGGTAAAATAATTTTAAGATATTAAATATTGCTAATTGAAATTCAATTAATCTAGTAATGATTTATGTATGATCTTAAAATAATGTTGTATAATAATATTAAGGAAAATAAGCATCATTAAGTATAAAGTAACTATAAAAAGACTATTATTAGTTCTTTTCTCAATTTAAAAAAATAAACTTTTTTTTGTCTAATCTTGTTTCTAATAATAATTATTGTTATTTAAATTTTAGTAATAAAGATGTTTTCAAAATCTATCTTTAGGTTTCTTGTTTAATTATTAAAGAAGGATAATTTCTAAAAATATATATATATTTAAGAGATATTAAAATTTTGTATGAAATAATTAAGAGAACAAGATATGCTAGAAATTACAATAATATAAACACTTAGATGTGATTTATAAAAAAAGAAATGAAGATAGTTTTATGTGATGATGTATATCTTTGAATATATCTATCTAAAAGTAAATAAATAAAACAATTGTTGCAATTATAATTAGATTTATATAAAATTTAATGAGGAAATGAGTATTCTAAAAAGAGTTTCTTTTATTTTTTGGAGAGTAGTGAGGAATGGTTATGAAATAAATAAATATTTATTATGTATTTATATGCTGATCTATTTTAATATGAGAAGAATACAAAATCTATTAATTGGATTTAATTTTAATTATAATAATTGATCTCTATTGAGTGTGTGGAATTTTTTAATTATTTTTGTATTTAAAAATTATGAATATGTAATGCACATTAAACAAAGAGATTCTGCGATGTGAGACACCATCGACAGATGAAACAAATTATGATATCATAGAATAATAATGCTATTTGTCATAAATAATTGAATTAATATTTGTGGAGAACTATACATACAAAGAATTGCAGCAGTACTTTACTTACACATTCTAATAAATAGAATAATATGATTTCTTTTTTGATTAGATCTACAAATCGGTTAGGATTTACATGGAAGTAATGATTAAATTTTATACTAGAAAATTCTTTAACATATTAAGTAATTTTCTTAAATTACAAAACCTATTGATATCAAACATCTTAAGGATTATGTCACCATAATTAGTGAGCTGGAAAAATCTTATAAAGTAACTTAGTTAAAACATAAAGAATTACAAGAGGTAGTGAAATCATTTTCACAAAAAGAAAAAATTTCATAATCAATTCATTGTTTAAGACTCATGAAATACTCCTTTACAAATATAGTTTTGAGGAACAAAGAAGTAAATGTAAGAATCTGATGTAAAATATAGGACTTTTTGATTTCATTGAAGTAAGTATTAGATAAAAGGTTCTATTCATAAACTCAAAAATATTCTAAAACAAAGGAACGATTATAGTTATTTATATAGCTTCTCAATGAAAAATAATAGGATTGTTTAAGCTATTATGATGATACAAATAAACAGAGACCATCTATTACTATAAATAATACAAATAATAATGAAGATGCGCCTTAAATTGTTCAAAATACTAATTTGGTACGAAAGAAAGTTTAATAAGAAAGTAATGTAAAACTAAATGAATATAAAAAATTTGAATAAAACCTAGAAGAATACTTTTAGGCAAAAGCAAATATTGAAAAAAAGGAAATAAATGTTTCTTAAGAATGGATAAATCGATTAAAACAAAAAACCAAAAAAAAATGAATGTGTTTTAGATAAACATATTGTATATTTTTAATTAAGAAATCTTTTGGATTAACGATGATCTGGATTGTTTATAACTAATAATTCATATTACCTATATTACAAAAGATTTCTTATAATCTTTATTTTTCTTTGTATTATGAGATTATTTCATAAAATTAAATCTTTTATTAAATAATTAAATGGCAAGAGGTACACCAGCAATCGGTAAAAGACACTAAAAGACTCATACTTTCTGTAAGAGATGTGGTAGATAAACATTCCACATTTAAAAAAACAGATGTGCATCATGTGGATATCCAGCTGCTAGATTAAGACTCTGTATTAATATAAATTAATACAATATTAGACAGTGGATGGGGTGAAAAGGTAGCTAGACGTAGATCAACTGGAACAGGAAGAATGAGATATTTGAAATCAATTGCCAGAAGAGCAAAGAATGGTTTTAGAGCAGGAACTTAAGCATAACCAAAAGTTAAAAATACATAGAAAAAGTGATTTAATCAAGCTATTATTACAAAATAGTACATTAAATTTTCACACATTCTTTTTCATTACTATATTAATCATTAAATAATAAATTAGCATTTATTTTAATAAAAATGAGAATCAAATTTTTTAATTCATTTTTATTTTCTTTCTTATCTATTATTATTCTTCAACTTATTAGATTTACATTACTGATTCCTATTCCTATACTCTATCAATTTAATATTCAGCTATAATATCTAATCTAAAATTTAATTGAAATTAAATATACAATTCATCATCATTACAATCATCATCTAAGATTGAGATAACTTTTATCCTATTAGTAAGTGTGGTAATGGATTTTAAAACCATACTGATTTAATCTTGCCAATCTTAAGAAATAAATATTCTGGCTTTTTAATTAACATCTTTTGAAATAGAGATTTTGAATCCATATCCATGAAAAGGAGTTAATATATTTGGTTCTATATTGATAGTGTTAACATTTTTGTAAATACTAATAAAATCATCAAACTTATATTAAGTTAAAAATCCACTATTTAATTCTAGAGATGTTTCCTATTTTTGACTATTTAAATGAATTTCAATAGTATTTCTCTTCAAAATAAATTAAAGCGCTTCTTTTTCATTAAAATCGTTTAAATATTCTGAGATTTTTGGATCAACCTCTAATACTTCTAAGTGTCTTCTCTTTTCCATATATTTTCTAATCAATTCCATTTATTCTATTTCATCTAATTAAATAATTGGGCATTCAATAGTAAAAAATGAATCCTTAAAAAATACAATCATTTTAAATTTTTGTATTACTCTCAATTGAGAAATAGTGTAATAAACTTATATCTCTATTTTTTTAATTTATTTTTTAAAAGGTTTTAAACTTGTATATAATTAAAGAATGTTCAATTCGAAAGCTAATTTATCCAAAGTAGAATTGAGTTTTTATAGTTTTATTTATAGATCTGGAGTTAATGTTTAAGGCATTTTATAATGAATTGAATTAGTTTAGAGTTATTCAAATGAATTAGAATTAAAATATATAAAAAAAGTGGGCTTTTTTGTTTCAACATCCTCAAATTATTGATAATTGCTCAACAATAAAATTCCTTAATTTTTTATATTTCAATATACCATTTTTAGAAAAGTAACAATGTAAATTCTAATCAATTGAATGACATGTCTTTAGACCCCTTAAAAATTATTCTGTTTATTTAATTACATAATTCATTTATTATTATTATAGTTTATGCAAAATAATATTGGAATTCAAATAATATTCATTCCTTAACATATTTATTCATCTTCTAATTTAGCCTGATAGAGGATGGTGAAAATATAAATAAACAAAAGTCCAACCAAGCCATAAAAAATGTATTGACATTATTTTTTACTATTTATATAATAATTAATACATATTGCTTTATGCATCAGCAAATGCATATCCTATTCCTATTAGCAATCCTACTACAAGTCCTCCTAAATGACCAGCAATATCAACTTAAGGTGGAGCATCAATAAATGATAAGAAAATCATTGGAGCTAATAAAATAAATACAACAATTCTTTTTGGTTCAATTCCAGGAAAAGCAGTTATAAAATAGATTAATTCAAGTGCTAATAAAGCAAATATTGATCCACTAGCACCTACTGATGTCTCATAATAAAATCTAACGCATGAGAATAAGGAAGCTCCTATTCCTCCAACAATGTAAAGAATTGAAACTCTTCTCCATCCATGCGTTAATTCTAAAATGAACCCATAATATATTTGAACCATCATATTGCCTATAATATGTGAAAAGGATCCATGAAGAAATATAGGACAGACTAATCTCCAAAATTAAAAACGGTATATAATTGAGGGAGTATGTTTTGAACCCCAAGTATACAATACACATTCAAAACTATAAATATCAGATTCATCCTCATCATCTTCCAAATATTTTTCAGTTAAATAAACAGTATGTATAATTGTTAAAAAGAATATTATGAATTAAACAACAGTAGTTTTGAATGTTAAAGATTAATATGAAAACCTTTCAAAGAAGGTTTATTCCTAAGCTTATTTTGTTTTCAAAACTTACTTGGCTTATAGGGTCTCAATTCATTTTATTACTCATTGTTATAAAAGGGATCTCTTTCCATTAATAATAATATATATAATATAATATAATATAATATAATATAATATAATATAATATAATATAATATAATATAATATAATATAATATAATATAATATAATATAATATAATATAATATAATATAATATAATATAATATAATATAATATAATATAATATAATATAATATAATATAATATAATATAATATAATATAATATAATATAATATAATATAATATAATATAATATAATATAATATAATATAATATAATATAATATAATATAATATAATATAATATAATATAATATAATATAATATAATATAATATAATATAATATAATATAATATAATATAATATAATATAATATAATATAATATAATATAATATAATATAATATAATATAATATAATATAATATAATATAATATAATATAATATAATATAATATAATATAATATAATATAATATAATATAATATAATATAATATAATATAATATAATATAATATAATATAATATAATATAATATAATATAATATAATATAATATAATATAATATAATATAATATAATATAATATAATATAATATAATATAATATAATATAATATAATATAATATAATATAATATAATATAATATAATATAATATAATATAATTTATTTTTCAAGGTTCCCACTTAATGACTTCTATTGCTTAAATAGCATAAGGACTGATATATTCATATTATGGATCAGTTGAGAAATTCTAAAGAGTAGGCAAACATTTATAACATTCCTTTCTTCCTTTTGGATGTTCAGCAAGACTTGTTACTAATTAAACACTATTCAATTTGATTTAATGATCATTATGACTAAGTAATTTAATAACAATATCTAGTTTATTATTATCCATCATTTAAAATTTGCATTCATTATGTTATGCTAAACTAGCCAAAGCCATTGTTGCATTAGTAATAACTTCATTATGATCATCTAATAATCTAGCACATAATTCAAGAACACATCCTTAATTAATAACATCTAATTTCCCATTTGCATCATATGAAATGCAAGCTAAATTCTTACAAGCCAAAGATCTTAACTTATAATTAGATCGTTTTAAAAGTTATGTCAATCTTTTTATAGCTTATGTTTTTAAAATTTCTACTTAAGCATCTCCACAATATAATATTTTCTCTAATAATTGTAAATCTAATGTCAATAGATCCTCAACACTTTCCTCTACTAATTTATTAACCAATGGTACTAAAATACCCTATGAATATACATGATCAACACCTACAATATGAAATATTATTATTACCTTATTAAAATTCTGTCATGTTTAATAAACTTAGATATCCATTTTTTCTAATATTAACAACTTAATCATTAAGAAGTTTCATTATTGTAGGAACAAAACACTTTTCCATTATTTTATCTCTTCCAAATTTTATTGAACTTATCAACACCTTTTTATTGATTAATATATTTTTACAATGGCACTTGAAGAGAGTTCTCGAATTCTTTCATGAGGATTAGATAAGTGACTCATTAACACATCCAATATTTCACTAGATAATAATGCCAATGTTATAAAATCTCCTCTATGACTATTATAATTTTAATAATTATAAGTATATTACAAATCTTCATTGATTTCTTCTAAATTCTTCAGTTTCAAAACATCATCACTTGCATATATTTAGTTTGTCATTTTCACATATCTACGATCACCATATGCAAATTATAAACAATCTTCAGGTTAAGGTTCATAGTCTTCTCTATTTCTATGATAAGCTATCATTTATTCATTTCTTAAATTAAACTCCATTTTATTTTATTATATTAATAATATGTAATTCAAATCCTAAAATATTTGTATTGTCAACTAAATTTAAACTAAAATTGAAAAGCACCCTAGTTAGGATGATAACTTTATTCATAAAATGATAATTTCAAACAATAACATATTTGTCTGTTGTATCATTCTTTATGAAAAATATAAGGAATATTATATTGCTACAGTAAGAAATTTAGAAACAAATTAAATAGTTATTGAACATGAAGATGATGCTGATAGTTATCATATTTAATTCACTCCAGATTCTAATTATATTTTTTTTATGGGTGAATAGGATTATACAATTTATGATCTCTAAACGAAATAGTTATATAAAAAAAAATTTGTTACTTTTGATGCTTATAAATATTTGAAATTATCCTTTACAGAAGATTCTCAATATAAATTGGTACAAACAAATGATACATTAGAAATATCCAATATTCTTGGAGAGCAAGGACAACTATATTAAGTCAGTCCTGATACATTTGATTGGAGATTTCTTTATAATAATACATAGTATCTCTCATCAATGTAAATTCTCAGATAATAAAAAATAATTTGCTTGCAATTTTTCAGAAAAAAGAACAACAAATTGGATCTTATTAAATCAGTCTTATTATCATTTGAACCAAGATACTTCTAAAAAATAAAGGCCAAAATCTGGAATATAAATAATTTGGCAATCGTATAACATCATTTTGGACTAAGAGTCTATAATTTATAGAAAAATAAATTAATCAGAAATCTTAAATATCAAACTAAATAAATGCCAATTTGTGCCTATTAACATCTTGAGAAGAATTAAGGTTTTATTGTCTATTCTTATGATAATTTAATCAATCCTATGCTCACAATAGAATTTATGAAATTCTTACCAACTGTTGAATATCAATAGCCAAATTTCTAACATAAAAATCAATTGTTTTTGGGGTAGAATTCAGCTTTAATCTAATTAAATCCTGAATCAGAATTATGGCAACAAATTATTTTTGAATCTAAATAAATGGAATGAGAAATTAATGTAAAATATACATAGTAATGTGATATTATTATTATTGTGTAAAATTTCTATATAAATTTTGAATTAGATGATTGTCATGATTATTCTAATTCAAAACTTTGTTAAATCTAACTCATATAATAAAATATATGTGAAAGCTAAATAATTTAGTTTATATTTTTTGGGTTATGGTCATATTTTCCTAAATTTATTTAAAATGCAAAGTATCTTTCACAATAATTTGGAAACTTATGACGAGATGTCATTTCTAAAATTACAATTTAAATTATCGTTAAAATGGATATTTAGCAATTTGAAAAAGAACTTGTAACAAAACTTTAATTCAAAGCTTCTTCAAGAATTGGTGTTGAAACAGTTTTACTCAAAATTTTCAAATTCTTTGACCTCAGCAATGAGGGAAATTTGAAAAAACAAGACTTTTTAAAAGCAATAGCAAAAGCAGGTGTTACGATTTCAGATTAAGATGTAAAAGAATTTCATAAATTTAGTTTGGAGAAAGACTTTGGACAACATATTCTGTTAATGAATAACTAAATTATAAGGAGTTTATTAATAGAGTTGTTGGGAAGCAATCATTAGAGGAATAAGCAGAATCAAGAATTGTATAAACAGGAAATCCTTTAGAATAACTAAGATTAAAATTACAATTAAAGGGAGCATTAGGCATATTGAATTTAGCAATAAGTTTACCAAGTTAATTTACTGCTTAGCAATTACAGGATTATTTGAAAAGAAATAATATAGAAGTGGATGGATTGTATTAATTATTCAATGGAGAGTATATGAGTGCTTCAAACTTGATTAATTAAATTAAGGGTCAATATTTGAATTAATCAAGGTAAGGAGTAGTTTCAGATGTATTTTACACATTTGAATAAAGAGAAATTAGTCCATAATAATTAGTGAATAGATTCAATGCAGATAGACATCCTGAAATTAAAATACTATGTAGATCACCTAATGATGTTAGAGAAGAATTTTTATCAGGATTAAGTGTCTATCTATAATTAAGAGGAATTAAAATGTTAACAATATAAGATTTTTTTGATTTTTACTCTTATTTTGGATTTTATGTGACAAATGATGAGATTTTTAAGACCATCTTAGTTTCAGTTTGGGATTTAAATTAATTTTAATAATAAGGTCCATAATATGGTACTCCACCACATAGTGTTAAATAATAATAATAATAATTAAATTATTCTCCTGAATCATAGAATATAATAACCAATCCTTAAATTGTCTAATAATTAAATTTTTCCCCATCTTAAGATAAATCTGTAAAATCTTATCAATAATAATAATAATAATAATAATAATAATAACAACGTTAATCAGTTCCAAAATCAGTCAAATCTCATTAATCAAATGCATCTTAGATGTCATCAACATCTAGATAAGTTGAATTAATAGTTTAAAGAATAAGAAATAGATTAATATCAAGAGGAGCAAGAGGATTCATATCTTTATATAGAGTTGGAAAAATTTTAGATGCTGATCATGATGGGATGTTGAATTTAACTGAGTTTAGAAAGGCAATTAGAGATCATAAAATAGAAGTGACAGATCCTGAAATAGATCTTGTATTCTAATATTTTGATAGAGAATCATCAGGAGTGATAGATTTATGGGGTTTTATGTTTGTATTAAGAGGTGAAATGTCATAATTAAGAACTTAATTAATAGAATAATTATTTGAAAAATATAGAACAAATGATTATATAACATTATCAACATTAAGAAATAATTTTATATGTAGAAATCATCCAGATTTAAAAAGTGGAAAGAAAAGTGATGATGAAATCATATAAGACTTTTTTGAACCATTATAATAATTACATAATATAAATGGAGGATTTGGTCATGAAAATATTACAAGAGAAGAATTATTAGAATTCTTTAGTAATTATAGTGCTTCAATACCTGATGATAAATATTTTGAATAGATAATTGTAAATGTATTTAGATTGTTATAAGATGGAAATAAGAATCATCATGCTGGTAATAAATAAGTTTTTGAACCAGATCATAAAAGAAGTTATTTATAAGATCATCATAGATATGTATTATAAGGTGGTAGTGTTTCTGCAAATGCACCATTTGGAACATTTACCTAATAAGAATAATTAGCTTAATCAAGACCATCTGTTGGTTATAATTAACCAGCATCATTTAATATATTTAAACCATTAGAAGATGTCAAAGTTAATTAAAATGGATCATAAATTTAATAAATCCCTCTATCCTAATCATAGATTTCATAATAATCATAATAATAATAATAAGAAATAGAAAAAAGTGTTAAATCAAGTAAATAAAAAATGGATAGTGTTTAAATTCTTAGAAATAAAATATGTTAAAGAGGATTAAGAGGATTAATAAATATTTAGTATAGATTTTAATTGTATGATAAATCTCATTTGAATGCACTATCATATTAGGAATGGAAGAATTGTTTTAAATAATGGAGATTGGAAGTTAGTGATTAAATTTTAGATGAAGTTTTTTAATAATTCTAAACAAATGGAATGATGAATTATGATGGATTTATAAAATAGGTTTAAGGTACTATGAGTTTAAGGAAATTTAATGCTGTTCAATAAGCATTTGAATCTCTTCCTAAGGCTACAATTGATATAGTTAAATGTAATTTAAATTAAATAAATAATAGAATAATTCAATGCTAAAGATCATCCTGATGTAAGAGCCAATAGAAAAAGAGAAGATGATGTTTTATGTGAATTTATAGACACTTTTGAATAACATCACTTTGTTTTTGTATTAATATTTATCTATATTAATAGACAGGTGGAGATTATGTGAAAAATCCAAATGTAACTTTTGAAGAATTTATTGGATATTACAATAATATAAATGTGTTAATTGAAGATGACATTCAATTTGAATAGCATATTTAATCGGTATGGAATTTAAGAAGGAGATTCTGATTATAATATATATTAATATATCATAATTAAAATATAAAATTAATTAATTGTATTTTACATATTTTTGATAAATATTATTTATTTGATCAACTTAATAGCCATAATTTAATTGTTTGATCTACTGAACATGTGGCGAATATAAATTTATTTATTTCACATTTTAAAATGAATTTATCATGAGCATTTTCAATCTTCTTTTTTTATTTCTATTCTTTCAAATTCCAAACCTATTATAAATATAATATATATACTCTAATAGTCTTATCATCAGATACTGAAAGCATATGAATACCATCTGGATGAAAAGAGACTCCATTAACCCAATTATCATGTCCAGATAATGTAAATAGATTTGTTCCTAAAATAGTATTCCAAATTTTTATTTCCTTGTCTCTTGATACAGAAACTAATAAATTAATAGTTTAAATGTTTTGTTGTTATTATTAAGTCAATATTTATTTAGCCCCATGTTCTGGAACATATTTAACTTATTCAACCACATGTTCATGTCCACTTAATTAATGCAAAATTTATCCATTATCTATTACCCATATATAAATCATTTAATCTTAAGAACATGAAGCCATTTGCTTTTCATCATTACTAAATACAGCACATCTGACCCATTCTTGATGCTCAGAAAAGGTTTTCTTACAAAATCCAGTCTACACTTCCCATAATTTGATACTTTTATCTCTACTAGCACTCAATATAAAATCTCCATGATCAGAGAATTAAACAGTTGATACACTATGTTCATGACCAATAAGTGTTTTTACACAAGTATGATTTTTTAATTCCCATAATTTTATTGATAAATCCTTATTATCAAATTTAATTATACACTACTAGCACTACAAATATATTTTCCAGTAGGATCAAATGCCAAACAATTTACATTACTTGTATGTCCTTTTAAGGTTTTTTCGAAATGACCACTTTCGTAATCCCATAATTTAATACTGCCATCATCACTTGCTGAACCCAGAATTTAGTATTAGGGATGAAAAGCGATACAATTCACTCCTGCTCTATGTCCTTCTAATTTAAATTTCTCAATTGGTGTTAATCTTTATTCATCATCAGCTATATCTTAACTTTATTTGTTGTACATTTATTAAATTGTATTTTGCCAGCTTAAGCTTATGCTAATTATTCATTCAATTGTTCTACTTGCTATTCCAAAGTTATTACTCTTTTTGACAACCTTACAATAGAATTCCATTTTTTTTCCAATAAATCAGCTTCTATTTATCCATCCTTAACAACAGCTTCTATTTTAAACACTTATGCACTTTATTGATAGCTTATCAATAAATATTGATGTATTGCTTAATTTAATTCATCCCTTTGTCTAGCAGTCAACACCATAATAATAATTAAATTAATAATAATTTCAAATGGGATTCATTTTCATTTGATTTCTATAAAAATCAACTCAAACCTCCAATTCTGATTAATTATTCAAAAACATAATATATGTTAACCATGATATGATATAATCCTTCTAAACTTATTGATTATCTTTACCTTCCTCCCATTATTAAGATCTCCTATCAAGGATATAATTAATATTGTTTATTAAATAATGGATGGTATACATAATATATGATATTTTAACTCATTCTTTCTTACTTGCTTCTTCAAAGTTTTATCCTTGCACTAATACAGGAATATCTTCTTCATCTTTTTGATCAGCCTCAGCAATTTTTTCAACTTTTTCCTTAAATTTTTTTTAAATTATGTACCTTTGACTAATTTTCTTTCATTAATTCTTAAAGAAGACCCATTTAGTTAGGACCAATATGATTCAATATCTCTGGCATCAACTCTGCAAACTTTTTAGTTTCTGGATTTCCAAAAATGGCAAATGTATTGCTTGCAATAGCAGCTTGGACTTCTGGTTTTGAAAAATGAATAATTGTATTATCATCTTTGAAAAAGTTGACTTCATCAATATTTCCTAATTGTTGTACTCCAAATTTCTTAATAACTTATTTAAGCTTCTTATCATCATTTATCTATAATCATTATATCCATTACGTACTTATGTTTAATGAACATTTTTATGCTTTCTTCTGGCCAAAGTGCTGCCCATTTTAGTTTATCCAAATTTTTCAGCTAATTTTTTTCTATTTTCATCAAGTTCAGCCTTGATTTATTCTTTATTGCTAGACATTCTTTGTTTTTATTTAAATTTAAAGATTTAATTTTTTAATGACTCTCTATATATACCCTTATTTATAATAACTTATTTATTTATGTAATTATTCTACAGTGAATATCATCCACTATGAATCTACATCATATACCAATACACAAGTAAATGAGTGTAATTTATTAAACTTATATAATATACAATAACATTTTATTTTTAATTATCAAAATGGCAACAGGTAATCTAATATAAAAATCTTAGGTGGGTAAATTCTTAGATATAATGGTGGTACTTGCTATGCTATGTGTTAAGATGTATTTTCATGGTATAACCCATCTATCTAAATCTGTTGGAAGGGATGTGATTATGCTACTGGCAGAGTAAATGATCCTGTTTTGAGAAAAGAAGCAGAAGACATGTGTAAAAGATATACAGCAGAAGCAATGTGGACAAAAAAAGGAGAATTAGGTATTATAATGATTTGCAAATTAATTTAATAGATAATATGGAAGACTTAAGAATTCATGCTGATATGTTTCCAGAAAACCCTAGAAATATATATAGAGCATGTTTGGCTGGAGTTCGTAGATAAAAATATTGAATCATTATAACAATATAAAAATAATATATAGTATCATAAGATAAATAAATATTAATGTTTTCTTTTTAATCCTTAAATTCAAAAGATAGTTTAGATGAATTTCTACCAATGTTTCATAATAGAGACAATAAAAAAGCTATTTTATATCAAAAAGAATAGAGCATAATAAAATATTTAAAACAAATAGGAGTCATAATGAAAACTGATCCACTTTAAAAATAACAAGAACATTATAAGTAATAATTAACATAAATCCTTATTAGAAAAACTAAAATAGTTTAAATATTTGCTTTATAAGTTGAAAATTATGATTTAGATGAAGAAGAAAACACAGTTTCAACTAATGAAGTAAGTCCTTCAGAATTAAATGTAAACGAACTTTGTACGTTTAATAATAAATTAATCTTAAAAAGAGGATTATAAGAGTAATAAAGAAAACATTCTTTTGAAGCATTTGATCTTCAGTGAATTTTGAGAATTTCTTTAAAATTAATTTTTATACAATTAAGATATAAATTTCATTTATTATTATTTGGTTTCAAAATTATTTCTAGTATCACAATAATAATTGAATTAATTTCTTATAGAAAATATTGCAGTTTTTATCATAAATAATATAAATCATATTCCTTCTATTATGAATTAACTTTAAATAACTGTTTCTAAACAATTTTATAGATTATCTCTGCAAATATCTTTTTCTTAAATCTAAGTAACAGCAGCAATGAGGCTAACAAAAACCCAAGAATTCTAACCTCTATCTATTTCTAAATAGAATAATAAAATTGATTCATTTACCTATTTCATTTGACATAGTAAATTGTATGAATTTAAGATGAATCAAAAATAAAGGTTAATTTTATCGAATCAAAGTGTAAATCAAAATAATTAAAAAGTGATCACTATCAACTTACAATTGTTTCTTATTTTTCATAGGATGTTCACTATAATATTCATCTAAACACTTATAATTTATTGCATTATTACTTTACATATTGTATATTTTAATTTTCCAATAAGTTCAAACTTTCTTACAGGACATATTTATTTATAAATATAATTTAATTATAGAATAACTTCAGAATAAGGATCTTTCTTTTCACTCAACCAAAAGGCTTATTCTGCACCTAAATCATTAAGAGTAAGATTTTATTTAAGTTCTAACATTTATTCATAAACCTATAATTCTTATGAATTTACACATTTTAAAAAATTAATATAATGAAGGTAAATTTTCTCATATGAGAAAATGGTTTTTAATGTAATATCAGGATCAATATCTTTCATGTAGATTTCAGTTAGCAATTTCTATTAAAATTTAGTTATAAATCTTAGAGATTATTAATGATCTATTATTTCTTAATTCATTTCATTCATATTTATCTATTGAAATGTTAATAATACAAGTTAACAATAATTTTTAATGATAATCATAATAAAATTATCTTTTTATAAGATTTCCTTTTCTACTAAATTCTTTAACTTAGATTATTTTTTAAGTTCATTAATATTGTTTAAAATTCTTCTTTTTATTCTTGTTGATTTCATTAATGATTATACATGTAATTGGCATTAATCAATTTAAATATGTTCACTTAAATTTAAACAAGGATAAGTTTCACTATTATCTAAACGTAAAAATTCTTCTAATTTTTATTTATTTTGAAAAGCTTTTATTAATTCTTCTGAATTGATATTTTCAATGAATATTTTCAATTCTGAAATTATTTTTTTAATTCTCTTATTGTATAAAGGATAATCTTATTAAATTTATAATAGGTTTTAACTAAGTTTTTTCCATTAATCAATTGTCATAATAATATTATCATATTTGATACATTTTATGCCACTTAGATTTAGAGTTTCCTTTTTAGTTTTTAAATGTTTGATATATGCTTGAATAGATTATTATGCAGGAGTTTATTTATTACCCATAATGAAATATATATATATTATATATATAATAGATATTAAAAATCACTTTTTCCTGAATTATTAGGATTAACTTATAGATTCAAAATCTGGGATGTATGAATCTGATACATCATCTTTTTTTGATAAACTTCTTTTAAAAGTTTAACTTTAACTAATTTATTCAAAATCTTAAGAATATATATCTGATATAACATCTTCTTCAACAGCTTCTTAAATAGAAGTAGTTCTTCTATTTGAAGAAGGTTAATTTCTTGGAGTTTTTGATTGTTTTTGTTATTAACTCTATGAAAATTAGGATTAAGATTAAACAAAACTTTCAAAATCCTCTTAATAATTATCAGATACAATTGTTTATGTTTATACTCTATCTTTAGGAGTGTAATCTTATGGATCCTAAGAGTATTCAGTTTATTAAGCTTTAATAAAAGGTAATTAAAAATCTGTTTGTATACCTACAGAATAGAATTTAGCAGGTTTAACATATTTCTCAACTTGTTCTTCAGGTGCATTATAAATCTTGTGAACATATACTTTCTTATCAAGAAACATAGGTGGAGGACAATAAAGTTAATTAACCCATTCAGTTATAGGAATATCTTTAATTTCATCTGGTTCTGGTATAATTACAGAATTTGGATTCTTTTTAATTGTTTATTATGGTTATGGATTCTAGGGAATTGGTTTGGATGTTTTTTAATTTACTTTGAGTGCTGGTTTTAAGGGTTTTTTAATAGGTTATTTTTAAGATGCTTTAGATTCATGAAAACTATTTGGTTATTTAGAATTGGATTTGATATTTGATTTAGGTGTAGCACTTACAGGTCTTTATTGAATTTTAGGTTAAGTTGATTGCATTGTTTATTAATATTGTTGTTGAATATTAATTTTTGGTTATTAACTCATTTATTCAACATCATTCATATTTCTTGGACTTCTTTATTCAGATTATGTGTTTGGATGTGAATATTAATGTTTTGGAGTAGAATCTTATTTCTTCTTTTTATTATAAACAATTTAATCAGGGACTGGTTCTGGATCAGTTGGCTTCTCTAGTTATTATAAATAATCTTGTTGTTATTTTTATTTCATCATTTAGATTTATCTTTCTTTTTCCTCTTTCAAAACTTCTGGAATCTTATCTGGATCATGTATGCTTATTGAAATATCAGCTAATAAATAAGGTTTTCCAAAATGATCTAGTAAATGAAAATTGCCTCTTTTGAACTTTAACTCTGAATCAATATCTGGAATAAAATGCTCTAAATTGATTCTTGCTCCAGCTACAATTGCTTGTCCATTCAAAAATAATATTTCAAGGGGCATTTCCCTAAGTATGTCTGTCATTTTATCTTAATTCAAATGCAATAAAATTGATTTCCCATGACCAAATGGTTTCTGTTAATCATATGTTCCTTTTATATTACTTATAGGACATTTTCCGTTAACTATAATTTTAGGATAATTAGCAATAGTGAATGAAAGAGAAGGACTAGAGATCAAAATTGGATCTGTAATTTGTAATTAGACATCATGCACTAAGAGTTTAAATGAATAAGGCATTATTAATATATATATTGTTTTTTTTTTTGTTTTAATTCAAGCAATAATATTGCAACCAGTTGCTTTAATTCTAGTATCCTATCTAGCTAGAATATAAAATGAAATTTTAACAGTTCTTATTTGATCTGTTTTCTATACCTTATTATAAAAACTGTAATTAAAATTCAGAGACAACTTATGTATCTACTTAAGTATTTTATTTTCATACAAATCAATTAAGTTCACATTGTATTTATCAACTTAATCACATTTCCATACTCTAAATTCATCTTTGACTATTGTTGCTCTTTTATATTTCATTATATCATTTTCTTATTTTTTTGAACTATCTTTTTCTTTGCAACTGCTGGGTCTTATTAATCTAATTATGCTGCTATTGTAATCAATAATAATGTTATGATAAATAACTTTAGTATGAGTTTGTTAATATTATTAATGTCTTAATAACCTTTAATTGAAATTCCAACACTGAATCATAATGATAGTCAATAATAAGTGCCTAAAGAAAAATCAAGCAAACTGTAAAAATAATCAAGCTTTGATCATCTATCAGTTCATAGTTTTAAAAGTGGCTTAACGTATATTAGAGATTCATGGAAGAGTGGAATGGCTTAGACTATATTGAATATGCCATTTCACTTAACTATTGGTAGTAGTTCAGGTTGTAATGCTTCTGTTGGTGTCACTACAGCATTTATTGCAGCACTTACTAATGGATTTTTTAGTGGAAGTATTTTATTAAAGATAAATAAGGTAACCATTCAATATATATGCCATCTTGGGTAGTAATTGGATTGAATTATTAATTAGTAAAGACATATGGTGTTGAAGTTATGCCTTGGATCACAATAATAGTGGGAATCTACATTTATATAGCAGGATTATTAAAATGGCATCATTTATCTGATTTTATTCCAGTTTATGTTATAGAAGGATTCTTATTGGGAATTTCAAGTTTATTTTTTTTTTCATATAGTGATTATATGTTTGGTTTAACAGATAATCATTCTAATAGAGGAGTTGAACTTTATTCATCTTATTATGATATGTTTAAATCTTTTTCAGAAAGAGGAGATTTAAATTATTTTATTGGTGCATGGTGTGTTTTTCTATTTTTGTAGATGGGTAGAATATTTTTTAGATAATTTCCATGGATACTTATAACTACTTTAACTGGATTGACATTAGGTATACTATATCCAACTGAAAAATGTTTGAGATCAGCTTATGGAGAAGTCACAATATATTTTAATTTTATAGAATATGATGGTCCAAAATTTCATCCTAATTTTTAAGTTGTTAGTCATCTTTTAATAGAGGCTATTCCAATTACACTTTTTATTTTGATATAAAATCAATTTTGTGCAAGGGCAGGTTAATCTTTAAGTGGAGTTAAATGTGATTATGATTAGGAAATATAATGTGTATCCACTGCTAATATATTAAGTGGTATATTTGGTGGATTGCCTTGTTGTGCATCTTCAAGAATGTATATTCTAGATATCAAATTACGTAAAACAAATTAATGGTCTTCCATACTTAATGCATTATCAATACTATTCTTTTATGGTGTTTTTAGTAAATTTTTCATGGATATACCCTTCTATATTATAAGTGGTTAATTGTTATACATGATTATCAATATACCACCTTGGCATTACTATGTTAATTTATACAAAACCTAAAGAAAATTAATTTTATTCTATATTTTTTGTATTGCTTGGTTGTGTGTTAATTATGGAGCTATTCAAAGTACACTTATAGGTAGTATGCATGCTCTAATTATATTTGCCAAAAATATGAGTTCACCTTCTGCAGAAGTAATGACCAATTAAAAGGAAGGAGTTTATTAAATAAATTTAAGAGATACTAATCTTCATGAATTTGAAGAAGAATGCAATGACATTCCTCCAAATCTAGATGGTACTTTTACTATTTACAGATTTAATGGAGCCTTAAATTATATCAATATAAAAGGACATATCGATTAAATCAAAGAATTAGCCAAAACAGATAATTTCATACTTAGTTTCAGATATGTTTGCATTTTCGATTTTTAAGCAGTTGATAGTTTAGCAATTATTATAGATAATATGAGAAGTATAAAAGTATTTAAAACATAGAAAACAGTACTTAAGTTTATGTTACTGGATTACATCCTGGAATGTTAGAATAATTGAGTGAGAACCACATTTTTAAAGATTATTTTACAAATGAAAGCAACATGTTTCATCATATAGATAAATTGCCCTCTTCATGATTACCATTATAAATTGTTTTTAAAATATTATATCTAATTCTCCTAATCAATTTATTAAATTATAATTAATATTTTCACATTCTTTAATGACTTTATTACATACTTCTGACAGTAACAAAATCTGAATTTTCTGTTTTTCTATTTCTTTATCTTGTCGTTGATTTTCTTCTTAATTTACTTGCTAATGTATCATCCATATTGGCTTCAGTAATGATATCTTCTCTGAAAAGGGAAACACTTTGACACCATTTTTCAGGAATGATTAATTTAACCAAACATGAAAAGATAATGCTACCTACTCCAAATCCAATACATAGTAAATGTTATTAAAGAGTTAAATGAGAAACTTTAACAAATTTACCACCAAATTGAATAAGGATGCATTATATTATTAGAGTAAATGTTTAGACACCCCAAAATAATGGATTGTTACATGCATTTGCAAAAGGATTAATAGTTTTATAATCTAATTATCTACATGTAATAGAATTAAAGACTTGCATAACAACAAAGGATTAGAAAAATATACTCATTTATACTACATTTTTATGAAACTGAATTTATAATATTAATTATTACTTTTTATCCAATTAACTCTTCAGGCATAGATAAATCCATATATTTAGGTAAAACAAATAAGATACCACACAAAACAACTATTTGATATATAGATCCTCCTACAATAGTTCTATTCATAGTTGGAGATACAATTTTATCTTCTCTCTTGTATGGTTATCTTTCTAGAACTGTAATATTGGGGGGTTCAGTTGCTAAAGCTAAAGAAGCAAAAGTATCCATAATAAGATTAACCCAAAGCATTTCTATAGTATTTAATGGAGATTCTTTTAGAACCACTGCTCCTAAAAAGGACATAAATAATGCTACTAAATTAACAGTTAATTGAAATTGAATGAATTTTCTTATACAGTCATATATATTTCTACCCCATTTCATAGCTATGATATTGAAAATAAGTACCTGTTATAATGGAACTGAAATTATCATCTAATAAAATAATATCTGCAGCATCTTTAGCTACATCAGAACCTGTGATACCCATAGCAAATCCTACATCTGCTTTTTTTAAAGCTGGAGCATCATTTGTACCATCACCAGTAACTGCAATAACATTACCTTCTGCAATTAATCCAGTAACCAAAATATATTTATCTTCAGGTGATGCTCTTGCCATTACTTTCATATCTCTGGCTATAATTTTGAAATTTTATTTATTTCCTACTTCTTTGATTTCATTTCCGTCTTTATCTTTACTTGTTTTCAACCCACCAACAAATTCTCTAAAAGTCTTGCCTTCCAAAACTTCATATTATCCAGGCATTTTGCCAGTTTAAAGAATTCCACATTCTTTGGCTATGGCAGTGGCAGTTAATATATTATCTCCTGTAACCATTCTAACAGTAACTCCAGATGCATGACATTACTTGATTGAATTAGGTACATCTGGTCTTATTGGATCTTTAATTCCAGCTATAGCAACAAGAACTAAATCTTTATCTAAATCATCTTCTTATATGGATTAAGCGAATTTAGTAAGTTGTGGAATTTATCCAAGTACACTTGAATTTTAAGAATGAGGATCAAGATCTCTATAAGCAATGGCTATTGTTCTTAATGATTCTGAAGCAAATGCTTAGATTATATCATTATAAATTTAATCTCTTGCTTTCTAATCTAATAATTATTCAACACCATTAGCACCAACCATTTTGATACATTGATTAAGGACAATTTCAGAAGCCCCCTTTGTATAAACTCTAATAAATTGAGTTTTTGAATTATATACTGCAGTACTCATCTTTTTTCTCTTACTATTGAATGGGATTTGTCTAAGGATTTTATCACTAGGTCTGTATTATGAAAAGTTATAATTAAAATTATCAGCACACTCTAACAAAGCACATTCAGTCTTATTACCAATTTAGATCCATTTATTTGTTACTTTATCTTTTTATGGGAATGCATTAGAATTATAACATATACTTTCACACATTAACTCAATAGTATTCTTATTTAACTTAGATTTAATTGTATGGACATCATTCTTTATAGTATTCTTTTCAACATACAAGGCAGTTACTTGCATGATATTTTAAGTTAATGTGCCTGTCTTATCACTACATATATTATTAGCTCCACCCATAATTTCACATGATGATAGATTTTTAACCAAATTTTACTCATCTTTCATTTTTCCAACTGAATATGCTAATGCTATAGTAACAGCTAAAGGTAAACCTTCAGGTACAGCCACAACTATAATTGTTACAGAAATCATAAATGATTCAACTATTACTTATAAGGTTTTAAGACTTTGAAATTGTATCTTACCCAAATAAATATCATAGCCAAGATGTCCCATTAAAGCAATAAAAGTAAAAATTGATACAATAACTCCCAATTTACCTATATCTGAAGCCACTCCTTCTAATTTTTATTATAATGGTGTTGGTGGGTTATCTTGAATCAATAACTTCTTTAATTGTCCAGAGATTGTATTTTATCCAACAGCTAGAACTAACATTTAACCTGTTCCATCTAAGCATTTAGTTCCTGATATTAAAAATGGACTAATATGACCTCTTGCTGCATCCTGATTCTATTATTATTATTTTTGTTGTAACATTTCTTAATATGGTAATTTCTTTATTTCATCACTTTCTCCTGTCATTGCTGACTCATCCATTTTAACTGTACTTCCTTATATCATCAATCCTATAATAATAAATATATTATTATACCATCTACAACAAATAGATCCCCTAAATTAAATAACAAAATATCACCCACAACTAGATCCTTGGTTGCAATTTCCGTTACCTTATTTCCTCTAATTACTTGACATTTTCCATCATCTAATCTTCTTCTCAATTATCTGAATTATTTTTCTTTCAAATAATTATTTCCTGCAGTGATTGAGATGATTAAAAATATTGCAAAAAAAATCGTTGCTCTATTATGATTACATATATAATTTACCCTTCTGTCCATCCTGTTGCCAAACCTTCATTTATAATCCCTATTATAGTTGATACTAATGCTGCTAATAATAATATTTGAAGCATAGTGTCTTCCAAACATTCCATTATCAATTCACACAAGGTTGTCGGTTCTTTCTCTACTGGTATATTGTCTCCAAAACTTTCTCTATTCTTCTAAACATCAGCTTCTGTCCCAAGTCCTTACTATAAGCATTTAAACCATTTTTAATACTTTTATGTCTGAGTTTAGCTTACGAGCTAAACCATAATCGTCTCCAAATGTTTTAACCTTGCTCATACTTTGTCCATCGTTGATTTTGTTAAGTATAAATAAATCAGTGAGATCTTCAACAGTCAGAAGAGAATGTCTCTGACCCTCTATATCATTCTATTGTTAATATTTCATGAATAAAATTTATTATGTTAGCAACTTAATTTATATTCAGGCTTTTAATCAAATCTTTAAATAAATATTGCTATATCATCCTTTTTCCCTTTAAATAATAAGATGGTTTTTCTCACTTTTTTATTCATAATATCATATAACATACATTCCAACCAGATCCTGATGTGTATATATTATTAATGATTTAAATTATAGTTAAAATTTCTCCGAGGGAAAACCTCAAAGTTACAGTTCCTTAACAAATCACTGTGGAAGATCTAAATAACATTATAAGTAACACAAAAGAAGAATACAATTATATACATAAGAACAGAATTCTTTAACCAAAACTATAGTTAATTAATTAAGATGTAAAAGAAGGAGATCTAATAATCTAAACAATAAAAGAAAAGAAAAAGTAGAAAAATATAGAAATTTAATAAATGATATTAGATAATGCTGAAGATTACAAAAAGAAGGTTTTAGAATTGATTGAATAAGGCTATAAAAGAGAGGATGTAGTTTAAGCTATGATTCATAATAAGTATGATCTATAATAGGTGATGAGTCATCTTATTTATGGAAAAAGAAGAACTAATTATGATTAAGATTAAGTAGAAGTAGATGCTGAAGATATTAAAGAGAAATTAATGAATTTAGAAGAAATTAAGTTATTAATTAAATGTATCAAAAATTAAGATTGGGTGGAAGAATTTTATTAATTGTAATAAAGAAAACGAGAAATTTTTGATATATTTATGTAAAATACAATGGCCTTAGTAGAATTGATTGCAGAATTATTATCTAATTGATATCGTTTTATTAATATAAATGTTTATAATTGTAGCAATTTTAAGTGTTAGTGTATTGGGACAATTAGGATATGATGGTTATACAGAATGGTAATCTGGGATTGATAGAACCATCAATAGACAAAGCAAATTTGTTGAACCTGTGTATCCATTGCAAATGTTTACAAGAGTTTAATTTCCAAGATAATTCAGCAGGTTAGAATAATGCATAATTGAATAGACGACCATAAGTGTTATTGATGCATGAAGAAATAGAGTGGAATAAAAATAGGAATATCAATTATTAAACTTTTGTTTCAGATGTGACTGTAAAAGGCTTTTATATAAACTATTTAATTAATGGTCCAGCAATCATTCCAGTTTTAAGAGTAAGATGGGTAGCATTTGTAGATTCAGAAGCAGAAGTGCAATATATTAATTATCAATTTGAAGATTTGATTAGGTTGAGATAAGGTTTCGGAACTAGATTTCAAGATTTCATGGTTCAATATTATTTAAAATATCCAACACCAAGAGTAGTAGCATTTATTGTAGGAGCTGAAATTGAAGTTTATGATTCATAAACAACAACTATATAAATTTAGTTAGGTAAACCTACAGGTAGTGCTACTCCTGTTAGATTTTTAACAAGAGATAGATGTCATATTAACACTCTTAGAATAGCTTACTTTATTTCTTCAGATTATTCTACTATAATGGGAACTTTGGGTAGTTCAGATAATTATTTTAATTAATTTTTGGATACTGAAAATAAGATGAAATTAAGAGTATAAAGATTTGAGAGAGAAGTTCCTTCTACTTTTATTTTTGAATCTCATTAAAATATATTAGCTTAAGGTATCACAGGATTTGATGTGCATAGTAAAGCTGGTAATTTCTATATAAAAGTTGGAGGTGAATATGTTGATAAGAAATCATCTACTTTTCATTGTGCATATGGAACACGTAATAATAATATATATAATATTTTAGGTGGGGATACTGTACTATAATATATGGAAGTCAGTTATATATTACATCCTCCAGCATAACCTCCTTATCAAATGCTTGTTGAGGAAAATGTCACAGAGAATTAAGAAGAGGCTAAAATAGAAGAATAATAACTGTTAGATAAGTCATTAATACCTTGACATATATATATATTATATATAAATTAAAATAATGTAAATAGAGCAACCACAGATTAAAAAGTAATATGAAAAGGCTCATGTTTCTTTACATCACAAACAAATTCCATATTTACCATCCACTATCACAGCTCTCTCAAATAATCATAATTAGCAATTATTATTAGTTGGTAAAGAAAATGGAGTGATTGATATTTATTGTTATCCAACATATACTTAAATTTCAATCTGTTGTTCAATTAATAGTTAAATTAGATCACTTTTTTGGATTGATGAAGAATGTATATATATAAATAATATATCTAGATTTCATATGTGCATATTTAAGTGGTCAAATTTCATTATTTAATATTCACGATTATAAACCTTTAAATAATTTTTAATTACCAGATAATATTAATATCTATTAATCAATACCTACATATGATTCTTAATTTTTATGTGCTTGTAGTGATGGTTCAATTAGAAAATTTGATTATTAAAACAATAAAATATATCAAATACAATAATCATAATAATTAGATTGTCAATGTTTATCTATTGCTATTAATAAAGAATATGTTTATGCATCATTCTCTAATGGATCTATTAGATAATTAACTTAAAAGACATTATTACAATAATAAACATGGTAACTCAATATAAGTAGTTCCAAAATTGCTAAAGCCAATGTAATTATTCCATGGAAATTATGCATTTGTAATAATAATCTATTTATTGGATCATCAAATGGTAGTGTAATAATTTATGAAACTTAATTTAATACAGAAATCTAATAAATACAAACACATATGTCAGATATTCTTACTTTATATTCAAATCTAAATAATGTTTATGTAAGTGGAGTAGATAGTAAAATTGTTTGTTTATCATATAATGGATCATAATATCAAATTACATAATAATTAAGAGGATAATCTCATGATGTTTATGCTTTTGAAATCATTAAGAATAACATCCTAATATCTGGAGGTTTGAATACTGATATTTGTTATTATAAATTAGATGTTAATGGTTAACTTCTTTAATAAAATTAATTTACACATATTTTTACAATTCCTAGAAGTGAACAATTTATTTGTAATCATTAATATATTGCAATTAATAAATATGATTCTATTGATTTATTATCTTATGAAATTGAATCTGATCCTATTTATTGGTGTGAATTTAAACTCTAGAAACCAGCTCATTTTATTAAATTAACTAAAAAGTTATTATGTTATGGTTAGAGTGATTAAACTATAATTATGAATGAAGTAGATAAATAATTTAAAAAATATAAAGTATATCCTCATTTCAAATCTATGGAATTTGATCATACTTAAAATACATTTTATAGTATTGATAAAGATGATAAATTATTTAAACATAAATTTAATGGATAATCTTAATTTATAGCTTAATTAATTCATGGATAACCAAAATTAATGAAATTTGTTAATAAAAAAATATTAATTATTACTTATCCTCATTTGTAAAAATTCATTTCTGTAAATGTTATTAATAATACAGTTGAATAAATAGATTGTAGATCTAATCAAAATTATGTTACAAATATCTTAATAATCAATGGTAAATGTATGAAAATACTTGTTACTTATGCATCACATATATTTGCAATTTACAATTATGATTTTAAAGAATAATTATGGCAAATGAATTCTTATTCTAAAGAACACATGATGCATTCTCCACTTAATGTTTCTCTCTTAAAAGATCCAATAAGAGGAGCTATAACTGATAATGTGGATAGTAAAAGAATGTTATTATTTACTAAGTAAGAATTATTTATTTAATATATTTTAGTAATCATTTTATTAGACTTCATCAAAGAGGGATACCACCAAAAGAAGTAAAGGAGTAAGAATTCAATAAAATGTTATAACCAGAAAAAAAAGATTCTGGTTAAAAATTGGATATCGTTGAAAATTATGCTTTAATTTATCATAATTATGTGATTTTGAATTGCTTGAATGTTAGTAATGAAAATTACATTTTATTGGAATGGGATAAACAAGCCACCTTCTCTTAGATCCAAGGAGCCTTTGATGGAAAAAAATATAAGCATTGATGTATTTTATTTTATGTATATTAATAATTATAAAAAGTATAATTAAAATGTAAAAATCTCAAATAACATCCAAAACTTTTAAGGAAACTTATAGTATTTTAGAAAGGTAAGCTAAATTTAAGGAAAAGTTAAATCAGAATCCAGATATGATTCCTGTAATTTTAGAGAAACATCCAAAGTCTTAAATATAAAATTTAAAAAAATAATTGTACAATTTATCTTAAAGATATTGATATTTAGTAACTAAAGGTTTTAGGATGATTTAATTTCGTGATACATTAAAAAGCACTTTATAAATATCTCCTAAGTAATCTCTTTACTTTCATATTGGGAATTAATTGTTGCCTGAAGGTTTAATAAATTGAATTCTATTCTTAGATATCAAATTGGTAGATATTTACGAGAAAAAGAAGGATCCTGATGATGGATTCTTATACATAACTTACTCTGATTTAGAGGTCTTTGGATTCATGTCATAAATGAAATGATATAATAATTGTATATATATTTTTCATAATCAAAATCATCATAAAGTTATCAACGATGCATTTATTGCTGTTGATTATGATACTTAAGCTTTTTTTAATTTCTTAAATAACTAGTATTTCTTTTGATATATAATAACACTAATTGACAAATAGGAAACTAGCAGAACAATTATATAAGTGATTCCTTATGTTAAAATTTCTTAAAGTACTCCATATAGTTAATATTCAACAACATTATTAAATATCAAAATTGTACATATATAAGATACATATGACAATATTTATATAATAATCTATAAGACTTGTATTTAATGTGAAAGTAATAGAATTTTTGTATTTGCCACAATAATGCAAATAAAAAATATTATCTATCCTTGAACTAATAATCCATATTCAAATCCATTTGAAGATGATGTATTTAAGAAATAAAAACAAAAGAAGAAAATTATCAAACTTTGATAAACTCCTTCTAATAATGAGAGGATGAAAACTTTGAAATTCAGATAACGACCTTCTTATCCAAATTTATATTTATTTGGCATAGTATCATTGAATTTAATATCAAATACTCCATAAACAATAATAGGCAATGATGTAAACATAAAATTGTAACATTGAAAGACATAAAAATCATAGATTGATTATGCTGAAAATTGACTATATAATCCAAACCAAAATTATGGTATCAAATATAATACATTTTTATAAAAATTATAAGTTACTACTTAAGTATTCCTTCTATAACATTCTCTACCATGAAATAGAAGCAACTATTATAAACATTTAAATAAAGGAATTGCATAATCTGATGCTCTCGCAGCCTATAAACCTTCAACACCACAAACTCCTATTCCTACATTTGCCTCTGTTATCATATTAACATCATTTGCACCATCTCCAATTGCTAATGTGCAAAGATTTGGAAAACATTTTTAAAATAATTCTACAATTTCTCTTTTCTATTTAGGAGAAACACGACTAAAAATTACACATTAACATTCTTTTGCTAATTTTATTAATCTAAATTTATCTTCCATTGTATAATCAATTAAAATTTTGCCTAAAATTACTAAACTTATATCATATTAGTTGCTTATATTTTTTTCTGAATCAAATACTAAACTTTCAATTTCACTTATTGTTTGATGTTCAACTAATATTGATTTGGATCTTAAGGTCATGAGTCCTATTTTCTGAGCTACTCCCTTAGCTGTAGCATAGGCATCTCCAGTGATCATCCATATTTAGATATTAGCATATTAAAGTTCAACTATAGTCTCTTAAACATGTTCACTTAGAATATCTTCAACACCACTTGCACCTGAAAGAATAAGATTGGTTTCTAATTAATTTTGTAATTTATCTAACATCTATTCATCCTATTATATCATTGTTTTTTCATATATTTCTAACCATTCAGCAAATTCTGATTCGTCTAATTCTTTGTAAGAGAATAATAACACTCTTAAACCTTAATTAGCAAAAGTTTAACTAGATGATAGAATATTATCCTAATAATTTGTAGATGATTAGGTTCTTGATACTATAACACTATCTGCTCCTTTACAAAATATATAAAGTTTTTCTTAAAATCTTAATACAATTGACATTCTCTTTCTATCACTACTAAATGGAATTAAATATACTTTTTCAATTCTATAATAAATTTCATTATTTATATTAATAAGGTAATTTTTACCATCTTCTGCTATTTAAAGTCCTTGATTTAAAAAATAATTAATTAATGCCATTTCATCACTTGAAGAGGATAGTACATTTCCATTTTTTACTTTGATATCATTACAAAGTATGAATTGAAGTAAATAAATAATATTTTCCTCATTAAATATTAATTGAGAATCTTCTCTTTATAAATCAATATTTTAATTTTTAAAAATATATTATCTTAAAGTCATCTAATTGGCTGTTAAAGTTCCAGTTTTATCAGAAAAAATATGATTAATTTATCCAAGATCATCATTTAAATTAGAAGACTAAACTTTTGTATTTTAACCCATCTCTGGATCTTTAATTATAAAATAAGCTTAAAATAATCTAATCATTTCCAAAGTCAACATCAAACTTATTGGAACAAAATTTACAAAAAGTAAAAACCAATTTCCTACACTTTAACAAAAACTGCTAAAATAAAGTAAAGCAGTAACTTCAGGTTGATTTAAATAAAGATAATCTAAATCTTATTTCTTAATACTTAGAGCTATTGTAAAATAGGAAGCACAAAATATACACAAAAGCCATTATCCTATGAATAAATATAAAATTAATCTATTCATAACTTATTACATTTTTGTTACCTTACCTCTTGGGTTATGTGAATTCAAAAGAATTTTAGTTTAATGTCCTGTATATATTACAATTCCATCAATTGGATCTAGACTTTTTAAGCATGAACCTCTAAGTAATAAATTATGTTCATTTAATGGTTTCTACCCATTTATAGAACCACTAAATTAATATAAATAAGGATTTGGTCCTGCTGCTTCAATAAATTCAATATTCTCAATTATTGGTTATTTAGGTTTAAGAGTTGTTTCACCATCTAATTAAGATGTTTCAACAAAACATTCTTAATTTAATAATAAAATATCTGCTGGTATCTATTCATTAGGATTAATTCTTATATATTCTCCAACTCTTATTTCTTAACTTTTCTTACCAGATATTATAGTATTATTTTCCTTTCTGTCTGCCTTGTGTCTTTATAAATCTTCTAATAGATCCTTGATTGCTGTAGCTATTACAATGACTACTAAAGGAGTATATTCAGTTGGTAACCCATCAGAAACTGTAATTGCAGGAATCTAATGATAGACTGATTTAAAACCATCTATAATATTCCAACAATTAAGAAATAAATGTTAGCCATTTTGCTAAATTATTCCACCATATTTAAAGGAAGGAAAGTAAAAATAGTATATTTGCTAGTGATTACTTTATTATTTGGTAGAAGTATATCAGCCTATCCAGGATGTATTACTCTTTTTGGTAGATTTTTCCATTCATTTGGAGAACTAATGATTTTATAGATCAATAATACCCTCTAAAGAATCTTTTAATTTTATGAAAAAAGGTGTTCTTCATATTTAATTAAGAATATATTCATATAAATAATACATAATCAAATTTTATTAATCAAATATGTAGAAAAACTAAATATGTTTTCTTTTTATTTGAAAAGCAAAATGACCATTAACTATTATATTAATATCTCAAGATTGAACTTTATAGATGTAACATTTAAGTATATTTATTTTTACTTTTGATATTTTAAATTACTTTTTCTATTAAAATATTTAAAGATGAAATGATCTATCTTTATTTTTTATTTAATAAGGACTTTTATGATATTTATTATAATCTCTATAATAAAATTGAAAATTATAGTATTCAATTATTACAATAAGAATTTAAATATTGAGAATGAAACATTTATTAATAGTATTGCTTCTCTTATGTGTTTCTTACGCAAATAAAGGATTTATTGAGAAAGAATTTGAAAAAGTTTTCAAACATAAATCTAATGTGAATCAAATATATTCACATTCTTTGGCTTAACAATTCTTTCATTATACTAAAATTGCAGTATGTCATCCAAAGGAAATAGCTGATTGGGATTGTGGATACTATTGCGAATAGCACCCTGATATGATTGATGTATAGGCTTTTGCAGGAAATTACTCGAGTTAAGCATATTGTGGTTATAATCAAAAGGAAAATTATATCGTATTAGTTTATAGAAGTATTTGAATAATTGTATCAACTTAGGTACTTAGGATTTAACTAATTGGATCAACAATGTAAAGTTCTTTAAATAAGAATTTGGAGATTGTAAGGATTGTGCTGTTCATCTTGGATTTTGGGAAACATATACAGCTATTTCTAATGAAATGATTAATTGTACTAAAACACTCAGATAGAAATATCCTAAATCAAAAGTTTTAATTACTGGTCATTCATTAGGAGGTGCTATTGCAGCATTAATGGCAGTTGACGTCACTAGACTAGGAATTTAAGTGGATAATTTTTTTACTTATGGTGCTCCAAGAGTAGGAAATATAGAATTTGCTACTTGGTTTATTAATTATGTAGTACCAAAAGAATATTGGAGAGTTACTCATTATGCAGATACTGTTGTTCACACACCTCCAATGAATTTCTATTATTCACATTTACCATAAGAAGTGTGGTATAATGAAGAAAACACTTCCTTTAAGATTTGTTTATAAGGATTGGTAGAAGATGATACTTGTTCAAACAGTCTTTGGTGGTATTCTATTTCAGATCATACATCATACTTTAATGAATTTTAGGAATGTAAAACTCAATTTATTCATCATAATGAAACAATGCATTTCATAGGAAAATAAAGTGATCAACTAAATAATTAAACAAACCTAATTTAAGATTAAAAACAATGAACTATAATCAAAAATCATAATTTAAAAAAAATACTTTATCTAATATATTTTTAATTATTAATACCAATAATAAACATATGTTTTATAATCAAAAATAGTTTTAATTATATTTTTAAATATAACTATTTTATAATGTAGGTAAATCTCTAAAAAGAATTTTTATTTTGCATATATAATTATAATTATATAATAAATATTAATACCCATCCTAAAGTATTAATAAATAATGTGAAACTATTTATCTCATTTAATGAAATGAAGTTTAAAGTATAATATAATAACACAAAAATTATGGAGAATTTTTTTGTATTTAAATTTAATTATTATAATTAAAAATGAGAAATAATAACGAATGAGTTTATTTAATTTATATGAGAACAAAAATAACTTTATACTTCCTAATATAGTTAAGCAAACTAACAAAATTAATCACAGTAAATTTATGATGAAAATTTCAAAGAAGAGATTACAATCATAAGAATAAGAAATGAAAAATAATAATAAGGTAAAGACTTTACTAAATTATTGATTCAATATCAGATTTCAATAGTATAAAGTGAAATAATAGAGTTACTTTTTATTAAACTTTAATAAAAGGATACTTCTAAGAAATCTAAATACCTTATATATATCAAATATATTTTATAAAGATCTATGGATATTCTAATTTTTTAATTATAAATCTTATATTTATAAATATAATATAATTCTAATGTTAATTTTCTTTCCAAATATAAAGTTTTTAATTCAGTCTCAAAAAAGACAATTAAGAGAAATCTATTTTTAAGTATTAAAACTCTTTAAAAGCAAGATTATAATCATATAAAATGTATAAGATCATCATTAATGAAAATTTCATTATTAAATCTTGCTAAATAAGTATTTAAATTATTCATGTTCAGCAAACTAATTTTATGGTTTAAGGATCTCAGAATGAGTAACTAAATAATAATCATCAACTTTTTTATAATAATATTTGCTGTATTCCTGGTATTAGTAACAGCACATGTATAATAAGCAATATTTTTCACATACATTTAAGAAGTACAATAAGCATTATCTTTAAAATAAGAGAAAAGTATTGTAAACAATATCTCTAAAGAATTACGTCTTTACATTCAATAGAAAAATTATCAAAGTACTCATTACATCAAATATAATTAGCAATTTTAAATCTATGGCATTCATAATAAATGGTTTATTAATTTATATAGAAATAAGCCTAGTACTAAATCAAAGTGAATTAATTTTAAGATTGTATTGAATAGGAAGAGATAAGAGAGGATAATATAATCTATAATTCAGACATTATTTGTTAAGGATTATTCACAAAATAATATGATAATCAAGCAATTTTACTAAACAAAACGCTTTCATTATTATCTCCTTTCTCATAAATATTTTTAGGCGATGAATAAAATAAGATATCATTTATTGATGTACCAAATAATTAAATATTCGCATAATATCCAAGGATGTATAAATACAAAAACTACATCCCAAATACAAGACCATGGTAACATTGAATAATATTATAGGTACAAGAATCATATTGATCAATATGAGATTAATCCAAATTAATAATATTATTATTCTCCTATTTATACATCAGTTAGAAGTTTTATGCCATATTTTTCATTGACATATTCTTTGATTATTAATTCAACATTATTTGGAATAACATCATAACTCTAAGAAATTTATGATAAAAAAATCTAAAGTATACCAATGAGTATATTTTTGGTCAATTAAAATGGAGATATTATTTTGACTACTATGCCATCTATATCCTAAACCAATCTCCTTATTACAATAATTAATTAAACATATACAGGTTTTAATTAGACCGATTGGGACTTAATAAAAAAGAATTCCAACTAGAAAACCTCATAAGAAACTGCTTTCTATCTTGAAAATAAAATATTCAATAAAACTGTTTTTGTTAATGCTTTTAACTTTGAAAAGGAAAACCTAACTTTGATTGTGTAAGATGATTAAAGTATTTTTAAGTTTCAAAAATGTGAGTTATGAACTCGAAATGGGTGATAAAATATAAGATCAAGTTGATGCAATTAAGATGAAAATGATCCAAGAAATAGAAATTTATGTTGGAATATGCCTTTTCTTAGTACTTATAACCACTAGGTTAATAAAATGTATATCAGCTCCTTTATTAAATTTGATTTAAGTGATTAATAGTCATGTTAAGAAAATAGGAAACAATTTAAATTCAGAAATATTTAAAATGGCAATAAAAAGTAAAAAGTAAGCAGATGTATATACATCACTTGCATATTCATTCTTAGGTTTCAAAGATTTATAAACAAGAAGATCAGAATGTAAGAATTAAACTTGTAAATATATTGAAGATTTAAAATACAATTTAAAGTATTAAGAAACTGATTGCAGTAAAATTAAACAATCAATTTAACTTATCCATAGTTAAGAAGCATAAGAAAAACATTATTCATTTTAAAAACCCTTTCTTTTAAGAAGCTTTTCACAAAAATAAATGAAGGTTACTACTGATGATGAAACATCATATAGATTACTCCTAATTAACTAAATATTTTAACAATTGTTTTAAAAGCAAAATCATCTTTGAATAAATTGATTCAAACTAAATATTATTTTGTATTTAAAATTATTATCATTAAAATGCTACTAATTTAATATTATTCTCATAATAAAACATCAAACCATAATTCAATAACTAATATATTAGGTAAAATATATATATTTAGATATCCTATTAGTCAAAAATAAATCATTAAATAAAACAACAATTAGATTATTAACATTGTTCACACTGATTTTTGATATAATTTTCTGCTTATTCCTAATTAAAGTTTTTTTTTTTTTTGTGAACTATTTCTTCACATGAATCAGTAAAATCATTTGTTAATATATCCATAAAGGTTCTAGCAGTTTCATCTTAATTTATAAAAACTATTTTATGGAGTCCACCTTTGACTACTTAATTCCCAGCCCAATCCAATCTAATTTTACTTTGATTTGAACAACGCTAAGGATTTTTCAATATAGATTTTTGGATTACAGATTTAGTTTCATTAGAAACTTTCAGGTTTAATGTTTAAAATTGAGACATTTTTTTCGAAAGAAATAAATTCAATTTGTTTTTATTTATTTGAAATTTTAGTTTATAAAAACACTATTTTTAATAAATTAGATATAGTTATTTTTCTCTATTAATTTAAAATGTCAATTCTAAAATAACTATTTTATGATATTCACATTAAAAAATAAACATATAGTCTTTAATTTTCTTTTTCTCAAATTTTATTGAATATATAATGTATTATTATTATTATTTTGAAAAAATGTATAGCTTAATGAAATGTAATCCAAACTTCATTGAAATATTAAGAAAAAGCACTTAATATTAATTTGAATGATGGTAATAAATATTTTGTAATAATTCATTTTTTTTGATTCTTTAACTTATTTGTTTCTCCTTCCAAGGTCTTTAAAAAATTGCTTGATGTTTCAATTAACTTTTTCAATATTGTTTCACTTTCTTTAATCATGCGATTGTAATCTTAAAGTGCTAATTCTTTATCTCTCAATTAACCTCCTTACATTTATTATTATTATTTAAGTGTTGCTAATTCTTATTACATTTGAGCAACAACTGCTCTTTCTTCTTAAACATCATTTTATAACTCTTCCTTTTCCTCTTTTAGTTTCTATAATTAAGATTTTAGCTATGTAATTGCAGTCCCATCCATGAATTGTTATATAAATTAATTAATTGATCTGTTAAATATTATAAGAAAACCGTAAAGTTTCTTTTATATTTAAATTTCCCCCTTTTTCAATCAAAGTTATGAGATTTATTACTTAATAGGGATTAGTAATTTGAAGAAATTGAAAAAATAAATTATGTACTATCATAATAATTATTGTTTGATTAAAAAATTCAAAAAAATAAATAATAAGTCATTTAATGATTTCAAAAATTTCTTCACATAAGTTATAGACATCTTCATTTTCATGTTAAGATAATTCAGCTAAATATTATTCCCCATTTTACTCTACAAATACAGAAATTGATTCAATATTTTTTTGCATAATCATCTCTATAATTCTTAAAATATCAATAATAATATCTGTATTATTTATATTATAATCCAATAAAATTATCATTTATTAAATTGGTTAGAACAATTAAATGAATTATTTTAATTAGTTTTAATTTAAATTATTGATAATCTAATAATAAAAGGAGTAATAATAAATGCTACTAAAGATCTCATTATAAGTTTCTTATAATTATTCATTAAATTTAAATAATTAAATGATATTTGTATTAAGAGTATTAAAAATTAATTTAGGGTTTTCAACTATCATATTTGTAAAAATACTCAAAACTTTATTGATTTACTTTTACAAATATATATCTTATTATCCAGTTATAAGAGTTTAATTTACTTTAAGTATTAAGTAATTTAGAATGTTATTTTCAATAGTTTCATATCGATTTCTATCAAAATATGACATTATTTTAATCAAAGCTAATATTTCATTTAAGTATTAATCAGAATTTGAGTAATTCTAACAGATACTATTAAGGAAATTCATATCTAATAAATTTTTATCCTTTTAGCATATTTTTTATATGAGTTACAATATTCCAGCTATATATTCATTGCCTTATAGATAAGGAAATAATTGCCAACATAATTTAATCATTTAAATTTAGTTGAAATTTGACATTAGTGGTTGAGTTCTTGAGATGTTAATTAGAATTTATGCTAGATCATCCATTAATTCTCTTGAGGTTTAATGAATAGTTTAGAATACTGCTTATGGTATTTCATATATTAAAATGGCATCTCTACATTAATAACAGTCAGCTGCTAGATTAGAAAATACAAACAACACCGTCTATTTGAGTTCATCATATTAAGTTTCATTGAAAAACTTCAACAAATCAGGTATATACTTTAATATTGGTTTGCATGTTAAATGACTTGGTAGTGTAAATGATAGTAAAATTTGCAAACAGGCTCTCTTTAATAAATATAATTTAATACATCTAAGACTGGATATCCTTTATTGATTATGTCAAATATGATTTCAACATCTGAAGATGTATCATAATTTTTTTCACAATCATTTTCATTAAATGCATCTGCTAATTCAGATATTTTGAAAATCTTTTAGATAGTTTCATTAAGTTAAACATTGTTTGGACACTATTTTTAGTAATAAGCATTTGAATAAATTTCTGCTAAATTGGTTGTATTATAAGAAAATGGTAAATATTGGCTATTTGAGATTCTCTTAGATTTAAACAATTCTTCTCTTTTTTACTTTCTGATGTTGATTGAAAATTCTTCCCGCTTTTTCTATACAATATTCATTATTTAGTGATTATGTAAATGAATTAATTATGTACTTTAAAAATAGTCAGAAAAATATCAGATAAAATATATATAATATAATTAAAATCAATTTATTTCAGTCTAACTTTAATTAGTAATTAAGATTTTTGGATATTCTTTGTGACTTTGTTAATAAAGTCAAGTTTTTTTTTTTCTTTTCAATTTTAAATTTATTCTAGTAATTATTATAAGACAATTATACTTTAATTTATTTAATATCAATTTTTGTATTTAATTCATTATTTTGTTAAAAGTATAAAAGGATTTAATCCAAATTACCTGAATATTATTAATATAGATCTTTAAATATCTTTGTATTCTTTTCATTCCATTAAATCTTTTTATTTTTTTTATTTCTTCCCGCTACTTGTTTTTCAATTTTAATATTCTTGACTAATTCTCTTAAAGTATCTCCTTAACAGGGTTATTAATTTTCAGTTTAATTAATTTTATGAACCTCTTCTTTTTAAGGTTCACAATTTGTAAATTTTTTGTCAAATAATTTTTAAAAATCAAATCCTTCTTATTATATGTCTAGATCTGCACTATCTTGATTTATCATTTATAATTATATTTATATTAATACTAATTTCAATAGAAAGTATTTTATGTGATTTCATAAGTGTTAATGTATCTAATCTCATAAAAAAAGAGTTAAGATTAATTATAATGGAAATAATCCAAATGTATTTTCATATATTATCACCAGCTGCAACTCTAAGTGCTAATTGTTCTCTAAGAACTCTTAGGTGTTTATTTACTAAACCAATTAAGTCAGATACTAATTGTTTATTGTTATCTCTGGCACTTCTTGCTTATTAATAATCATAAGCAGCCTCTTCACATTCAGTAAATCTTTATTGTCTAGTATCTTAATAATAATCTAATCTTTATTATATTGTGGATATAGAGTTTTAGGCTTATTAAATTGAGTCGTTCAAACTATACAAAATTATTATAAAAAAATAACCTTTATAAAGTTGCTTATGTATTGGCTAAAATAGATTAAGCAGATTATAAATCTCTATTTAATAAATGCTTATGTTTTTCATAGGCTTATACTCTTTTATCTTCAGCAAATCGTTCTAAATTAGTGCTATCATCAATCTTGGCTAATAAATCGCTGCAGAGTTGAATTATTCTAGAGTTTTTAGTATAAATATTAAATTTACTTTTCAACTGATCCTTCATCAGCAGTGGATTCAGATTTATTCATGATTGTTAACAATACTTTGAAAATACTTGCATAAGCTTTAGTAAATCTATGAGTTTATCTGATTTTATTAATTGATCCACCCAAACTGGAAGTAACCTAAGCTAAAATATTAGGTGCTATTCTAATAATATTTTTGCCATTCTTTTTAATTTCAGCAAGTGAGGGTCTTTAAAGTCCATCCTTAATGATGGCTTAAGCTTCTCTAATAATTTTAGAGGCTTCAAAATGTTCAGCAATTTTAGCTTCATAGACTTCATTTTGTTCTTGTCTCTCTTCATCTAATTCTTATATTTCTTAAGTGTATTCTAAAATTTTAGATGAATATTACATTTAATTTCTGCTAATTTAGCTTTTTCTACACCTTATTAAATTGATCTGGCAGGAATGAGATTACCTTCTAATTTTGCTTCAAGTTGTAGAATTGAATATTAGCTATTAGCAATGTCTTTATCAAGTTAACCAATGTCTGAGTCACATTAATCTTAATAGACTCTATTGTTTGCATCATCCTCTTTTTAATCATCTTAGTAACGTCCTTCTAGTTTCTCAAGTACATTGATTAAGTGGTCTAAACTATCTGATGTTTCCATCTCCAGTTATAGAGTATGAATCAAATAACGACCAAATTCACTTTGTTCCAATTATGTCAATTTGGCAATAACTTCACCTTCATCTGAGAGTGATGTTGCATTCAATCCTAAAAGCAAGGCACAAATAATAAGTGATTTAATCATAATAAAACGGATTATAATTAGTATTCATTAAATTCACATTTTAATAGTTCTTAAGGGTCATCATATTCAGAAAAACGATATAGTTTCATTTATTACATATTCAAATCTCTCACATCCTTAACGTTCTTAAATTACATCAAATACTACAATAAAGATTTCAATTCCTAAAATATTACACATTAATTACTTCATCTGATTTATTATCTATATAAGGAATTATTGGTACACCATTTTATATCTAATATAGATATGAATGAGGTGCATTATCAATTAACAACATATCACTTAGTTTTCTTGTTGTAAAAATACGAAGATCTTTAATAAAATGTCCATCATCTGTAGGTATACAATGTTCTCTATAAAATCTATGACTTATCCATTTTTTCTATGGATCCAAATAATCAATCACTGCATTAGCATAATGTGATTGAGAAGCAGTAAACACAATCAATTCGAAATTTCTACTTAATGATTATAATAAATGAGATGTATAAGGTCTAATATTTAATGAAGCCTAATTTATATAGTAGTATTATTTACTTCCATTTTCTCTCCTTCATGATTGATATTGAGTAAAACATCTCCAGGTATAAAACTATTTGAGTTACAATGAACTAAAGTCTCGTCAAGATCAAACAAAAGAGTTTTTTTGTCAGTTGCTGGCAAAGTTATAGCCTTTTTAACTGGGGGTACTTTAAGTTTCTTAGCAATTATGATTCCCTTAAATTATTTTGATTTAATTTTACCTGCATATTGTGAATGAGATGTTCTTTTGCTGAATTTGGGCCTTTCATTTTAAAGGCTTTAATCAATGAAGTAATGTAATATAATTTGAGAGATGGATTTTTATATTCTTGTTATTATTATTGTTATTATTATTGTTATTATTATTATTATTATTATTATTATTATTATTATTATTATTATTATTATTATTATTATTATTATTATTATTATTATTATTATTATTATTATTATTATTATTATTATTATTATTATTATTATTATTATTATTATTATTATTATTATTATTATTATTATTATTATTATTATTATTATTATTATTATTATTATTATTATTATTATTATTATTATTATTATTATTATTATTATTATTATTATTATTATTATTATTATTATTATTATTATTATTATTATTATTATTATTATTATTATTATTATTATTATTATTATTATTATTATTATTATTATTATTATTATTATTATTATTATTATTATTATTATTATTATTATTATTATTATTATTATTATTATTATTATTATTATTATTATTATTATTATTATTATTATTATTATTATTATTATTATTATTATTATTATTATTATTATTATTATTATTATTATTATTATTATTATTATTATTATTATTATTATTATTATTATTATTATTATTATTATTATTATTATTATTATTATTATTATTATTATTATTATTATTATTATTATTATTATTATTATTATTATTATTATTATTATTATTATTAGTATTATTGTTATTATTATTATTATTAGTATTACTATTATTACTATTGTTCTGAGGCATTACAATTTTTATTATTTCTTTGAGTAACAACTGCATCTAAATATGATGCTGGTATACTGCTCTGTTATTTATAGATATTAAAATCTCCTTCTTTTGGAGTTGGGGAAGACAAGGTAGATAAACATCGTGAAGGAACAACAGAGGCCTTTCTAGTTAAGTTGATTGAACTTTAAACTGATTATTATTATGGTTATTGAAGATGATTGTAACTTTCTTGAATGATTTATTTATTCTAAACAGGAGTCATGGATAACAACTATGGACTTTAGGTTTTCTTACGCTATTCTAATTATTCCATCCTACATTCCATATATGTTTTTGATGATTAAAATCTTGATGCATCATTATAGATAGCTATTTTCTCATTGGGTAATTATTTCTCTGATTTTATGACTTCTCTTTTAAAAAAAAAGTCTTATGGAGGTGTATCAGAATGAATTCTTGCAGAGGAATTCTCCTTATTATCTTTGCTTTTGGCACCTAAGGGTGTTTTTCCTTTCAAATCAGCATTAGATGGTTTTCTGGCTAAGTTTAAAAATGATTTCTGCTCTATTGAGTCTGTTAAGGATATTTCTCTGTAAGAACTGTCTTTTCGTAGCATTTGAAGAAATAAAAACTCGTTAATAATTAATAATTAATTATGAAATATTTAGTTTATTTTAATATCAAGATTATATTTTATATAATAATCTGTATGAATTTTAGATATGGATAAATAATTGTATATTCTAATTAGTCATTTTTTTTATTTCTTGTCACCTACTGAGAACATATTTTTAACTATTGCTTTTGAAATCTTCTATTCTGGTTATGGTGGTTAATCAGATTTTGGTTTTTCATCTGTTGACTTTTCTGTAGTTTCACCTTATTATTGATCTTTGTTCTCTTGTTTTTTTTTATCATCCTATTTCACCTCAATGGTTTATGCTTATTTAAATGTGGAAGGTTTAGTAACTTTTTCCACACGCTATTCTCCAAATTAATTATCTTGATCAGGTTCATTATCTGATTGATCAGGAGAGTTTTTTATATCTTAATTTTTATCTGGTTTTAATTTTGTAATCTCAAATATCTTATCAGACATAGGATTTTAAAATGTTGCTTTCATAGTTTTTTATTTTTATTGTTTAACTTTAATAACATTCTCTTTGCTATCTATTTCACCTGCTTCACCAATATCAAATCCTAAGGCTAAAAGTTCTTATTTTATAAATGTCATGCTTTAAATATTTTCTTCAAGTTATGCTTCCAAAGAACAAATATAGACCATTTTTTTATAATCTTCTCCTTTACTGTCCGAAAATAAGATAGATCTGATTTATTCTCTTTTCTTTGAAAAAAAGACTGTAAATTTATCTAACTAATCAATAGCAAATCTAAAATAATTGATATATGTTAATTTCAAAGAGAATTCAATTAGTTTTCTCTTTGGATCCGTATTCAATCTTTATAAAATATCAAACTCCCCTTTATTATTTTAATCTATGTAAGCCTATAATAATTCATGACAAGCAACATCAAGTGGTTTTCTTATTTCTTTTTCATCTTTAATCTCTTTTGCACATTCTTCAGCCCAAGCTTTCATGGCAGTTAAGTTTGTTTAATTTCTAATGTTATCCTTTATTGAAGAATAAACCTTAATTGGTTGGAATTGTTTAATAATTTACATTAAATATTAATCAGATCCAACTTTAATAAGTTTTTCTTTAAAAGTAAACATTTAAATAGAAAGCATAACAAATTCTTATGAAGTTAATGATAAAGGATGTGATTTCTAATTTAATTATTCTTCAGCCTATTTTTCTTTGCTAAGCAAATAGCCTCTTAATGTAATAGCAAAAAACATATTCATAATTATAAATCTAACAGTTATTGTATATGGTAGTATCATGAGATAGAATTCTAAGGTTCTGTCATCTAAACGAAAGAATTATATATCATCTATTTTGGAAATAAAATCAAGCATTTTAACAATAGTACCAAAGAATGTAGAATATTAAATCAAATCAGTTCCTAATACTAAATGAGCCATTGATGAAAAAGCCACAATTATACCTAATAAGATAATCAAAATAAATGGTAGATGAGATAATGTATACTTGATTGAATTTGTCAAGGTTTAAAAATCTTTATTATGGGAAAGTAAATATAAAATTTCTAAACATAATACTAAAATTGCACAGGATCCAAATGCTCCAATCAATTTACTGTTATCACCAATATTTTATACTTAACTAAAGAAAAGATAATCATCCACATTTTAATTTACAGAAAATAATGTTGAAGGTAATAAATCATTGATTGAAGTTCCAAATATCTTTGATCCTTGAATCAAAGTATTCACTTAAAAGAAATAATATAGTATTAATGTAATTTGAGCTCCAAGAAGAGTCAAAAATAATAAATTTAATAATTATGATATATCCATTAAAAAGAGTGATTTTCTTATGAATTCTGGCATATGTCTTTCTCTCATGTATAATTATGATCTATTTAATGATAGTAATATGTAAGTACTATACCATCTGTCATAAGAAAAATTCTTATGCAACATTGTCTTAATAGTCACATATAAATAATAGCAAAGTGCAATGATAAGTGAGACTGATAAGATTAATATACTGATTTCACTTACAGATTATAAGGAGTTCTTTTTAATTCCTTGTACATCAATTAATTTAAAGGATAAAGCACCACATTAATTGATTGCAAATGACAATTTAATATGTGCTAATCCTCTGGCATTTATTGGATTAAATGTAACAAATTATATTGCTATAGAACTGACACTATCAATCAATTTGACTTTCTACAAAGAATTTATAACAGGACTTAATTATTTTGGTTCAAGTAACATAACTAAACCTCCATATCCTTCAAATCCATTTGAATCATCATAATCTATAGTAAAATTAGTGTCAGCATCATAAAAACTCTCATAATTCTCAAATTCTGAATCTAAATTATCAGTTGGAGAATCTAAAAATAATAACATAGTTTCAGAGGCAAAGGTAGAGAATTGTTCAATTGTATTATTTACCATTAATGATCTTCTAATAGTTACTCTAATTACATCATTGACTACAATATTGAAAGTATTTAATGAGCTAGTTCTAATTAGATTATCAAAAGCATATTCTTAAAGTTAATAATTAAGTATCTTATCTGTTGAAGAGGCATTAACTTTTATTGTTGGAGCTTGACCTTTTAAAATTGCTAATTCATTATTTCCAAATATATTGTCTTCAAAAAGATCAGGAAATCCATAAATTAACCAATCTGTCATATCTTGAATTGTATTTAAATCTTTGTATTATTTTTATGCATTTGATCTATCAAATTTAATTTTTCTAGAAATTGAGTCACTTTATAAATAAGCATCAGCAGGACTATAAAACTCTTATAGAAGGATAAAATTTAAAGATAATATTAATAATAATAGTACTGTTTTCCATATCAATTTAATAAGTTCCATTTTCTATTTACTTAAAATTCTTTCTTTTTCTTCCTCTATTAAGAATTTCTAATTCTTATCATCATCATCAACTGATTAATTTATTAAATTAGCAAAATCAACATTAAAATCAATGGTTTATGGATTTTCTTTGAATTCTCTCTCATTAATCACATATAATAATTCTTTATTTTCATTATATTCATCAAATTTTGATGGTTGTAATTTTAAAGTGAACCAAAATCTCATTACAAAATATTCAGCAATATTATAAAAATACCAGTAAGGATGTATATATTTAACAACTTCATCATGTTTTTTTGAATTATTAGTTTTTTATGATTATTTTTCAAGCTTCATTTAATATTCATTATATTCCTATTTAACAAAGACAAAAAACATATTACATAATATGATAATTACTATTACATAATATAAGATAGTCATTATAAATGTAATGACTTCATTATACTTAAATAATTCATTAAATTAATCATTTTAAGCTATCATAAATCCTAGTATGTAAGACAAAGATCTTCCAATTGTTGATGTAATGAATATTTAGCTTCCGTATTAAAAGTAAAAGAATAATGAAAATGATATCAAAATTGCTGCCAACAATACTAAATAAAATATCATATATTCAATAACATTTAATATTATTTCTAAATAACTTACTAATCGTTTAAAGATGTTAATGAAATACTTCAATAATTTGATCCACATTATTAAAAGTGCAACTGCACAAAATCTTCTATAAAATCTTAAAACATCAGCCTATTAGGCAAATTCATCATTTAAAGTATAAGGAACTTAAATTCCATTACGCATCTATTTATAAATGGGCTCAAAAACAGATTAATAAGTTGTAGCATTCTAAAATAATTCATTTAAAGAGTCTGAATATGGTTAAGAGGAAATCGCTTTAATATATTCTGAAGCAGCAATTCCAAGAATAACTAAGATAAACACATCAATGGCACTCCAGATGTCAGAAATATGTTGAATAACAACATTAATAATAATTTTAGTTTTTCTTCTAGCCTCCTCTATTTTCTCAAGACCTTTAGATTCTGATTTCTCCCCTTAAACTGCCAAATGCTTAACTTCTCCTTCTTCCCCCTAAACAACTCCTCCTCTTTTTTTAGCATCCTTCTTTGACTTCATCCTTTAATCTTTCTTCTTTTATGCTTATACTTTTAAATCATCATCTTTTAATGCCAACTAAATCTTAAAATATATCTTATAACCCTCCATATATAAATAGTTGATATAAATGATTGCAAATACAATTTCAAAAGCCATCCGTATATAATCAGTTTTATTTTAATAAAAACTCAATCTAAATGAGTCATATTGAATAAATTGATAGGATTACCCTGCAGCACTAAATTCCATGTTGATTCTGACTACACACTAGTCATAAGAATAATGTTTACAATCATCTATAAATTTGGACTATAATATGAAGCCTATGCCTTCAATGAATGAGTATTTGATGTTAAGTACCCTGTATCGATCAATTTTAAAGAATCCAAAGTAATTCCACTAACATCATCAATAAAGCTGATATTTTTAAATACTGGGTAGGGTGGAAATCGTTGGATAAACGGGTAAATGTATTACTATTGAAATCCTTAGTTTGCTTTGTCTTCAGTTAAATCTTTATCCCAAACATTAACCAAACTATCTATTTTTGCATACTTTGTTTAAATTTCAAGGAAAGTTGCTGGAATCAACCTACTATACATCTCTGTGGAATTTTGATTCAATGAATAACCATGATATAACTATTTATCCACCCAATTCAACATTGAAAATCGAGTTTGATTAGTAAACTTAAACACATTTTAAATTCCTGAAAACATCGAATTTTAAACTGATGTATTCATAGTACCTTAATCTTCCATTCGCATTTACATAAGCACTGAAACCATTAAAGACACCAAATATATTGTAAATCTAGCTATCTCCACTTTCGTTATAATAACATTATTTGTGGATGGAGGTGTACTCATAATATTATTTAATAATAAATATAAATTCAAATTGTTTATTCAATGCTATTGCTACTACTTATATCATTAACCCATTCTACTCTCTTTCCATTCTTCCAAATTCCCACTCTACTCTAACCTTATTTATCATAATAAGTTCCTTCCCCTTCTTAATAACCATTAATCCATGCACCTACATACTTTTTCCCCTTCCAAACAAATGTACCTTCCCCATGTTATTTCCCTTTCTAAAAATTACCTTCATAATATCTTCCATCTTCCCATTTCATTATTCCAAATCCATCCATTTACCCTTCTTTCCATTCTCCCGTGTAAGATTTTTTGTTTTTCCAAGTATAAGTTCCTAAGCTATATTACTATTTCAATTTTTTACCTTTACCATGCATCATCCCATTTTAAAACTCACCTTCATAAAATTCTTCAGCATTTAAAGTCAATTTTCCTACTCCTTATTTAACACCTCTAACAAATTCACCCTCATAGCATTCATCTAACAATTTAATTTATCTAAGAACTTCTTGAATTGATCTCTTTTCCAATACCATGCTATTTGTCCTCTAACCATTGTCCTTCATAGTATAATCCATCATGGCTATGGTACTTTCCAAAACCGCTAGCTTTATCTTCTAACCATTCTCCATCATAGACACTTCCTTCAGCATTTACTAAAATTCCCTTTCCATCTGCCATATCATTCAAAAAATCCCCCTCATAATAAGAACCTAAATTATAGAATTAATACCATCTGGCCATACTTATCTTCCCTTACCGCTTCGAATTCCATTAACTAAATCTCCTTCATAAATTGCACCTGTTTCCATATGCAATTATCTATCCTATTACTAAGTTGGTCTGCTTGTTGATGTATCTTCTTGTATTGCCTATTTAATTGTTTCTGTAACTATTGCAGATTCATTTACTATATTTTTTGTCTGTTATTAACATACCACTGAACATACACCCATTTTATAATATTATAATATTTAAATGATTAAACAACTAGAAAATATACTATTACAAAATTAAGAAACAAATTTTTAAAAAGAAAGGTTATTTCAAAATTAACCAAAATTTCAATTTAATTGTAGAAGGATCTATTTCGTGAAATATAATCAAATATTTTGTCTTAAATGAATTTCTTTAATCTTAATTTTAATAATATCTCAAATTTTAAAGTGAGATTGATAGATTAAAAAATTAAAAATAATGTATTAATTTATTACAAAAGATTGAAATAAAAAAACAAGATTTTAAATATTGAAGTTTAAATCTAAATAATTAGTGAGATTTTTGAATTATAATAAATAGCTAATATTATTATCTATAAGATTAATTATTTCTATATATATATAAACTAGATGAAAAATTTAAATTGAATGTATGAGATATGCTTAACAATATTTTGATAATATTAAATAATTAAATTTTAAGTATGGAACAATTTTGAGAAAAATCAATTTAGAAAATGGTTTCCCTAAATGAAATATAGTTATCAATTAATAAAATGCAAAAGCATTAAGATAAAATATTGCTTTTTATTAGGCTTGTGAACTAATATTATGTATTGAGTATTGATTTTTGTATATAATTTCATTAAATATTATGAAATAGTAAGAGTATCTATTATTATTTAATGCTAATTCGAGCTTTAAATTTTAATAAAATTCACAAATTATATTAATTTAGATTAAATGGATTTATTTACTAATTAATTATCACATTTCGTTCAAGGCTCATTAATTTTTGAACAATTTATTTGGAATATACCTCTTATTTTATTATGTGGTTTAGGAATAATAAATGAAATGCAAAATATAACATACATTACTATATAAACATCTGAATAAGTTTTCAGCAGTTCATCTGAGAAAAATATTTTAACATTAATTTCAAGACCCAATACTTATTTAAGCAATAGTGTGGTTCTCTCTTATTTTATAACCAGCTATTTATGTGTTTTTTTTATAAGTTGCATTATATTCATATATATAGTTAAATTTAGATCTACAGATACATTATTGAAATTATAATAAACATTTAATAAAAATAATAGCTAGAAGATATTAATGTAATACATAAATATATCAATTAATTTAATAAAATATGGTTTCGGAATGATGGCGATAGAATTATGTTTATAAAATATCAAAGCAAATTTAGATGATATATTTCAGATCACATTAAATATTATAAATATTATTACAATTCTAATAACTCTTATATTTTTAACAAACATGTTCACTTATAATTGGGCATTAGATTTTAAGCGTGAACATTTGTTAATAAATGACTCTTGTCTTACATATTATAGAATCTTTATCAAATTCTTATAAATGATAATAATTATAATATAAGAAAAGCCTAATTTGTACCTTGATTATATTTAGATATTATTACCAACAATATCATCCTTTTTATTGATTTATTAGATCTAAATTTAGAAACAATTAATCTATGGATTATATTATTCAATTATCTTGATGATAAATATTATTACTTTGACTATAAGTTTTTAGTGTTTATTTGAACTGATTTGCCCTTAATATCAATTTAAATCATTATGGATTATTTTATCAATCTTACCTTATAAGATATTTGTTTATAATATTAAAAAAGAATTAATTTTTAATTTCATCAATTTTTGCTCATGTAACATTAAAAATTGTAATCATGTCTTATTCTAAATAATTTATAATATTAGTTAAGGCAAGCATACTTTTTAATCGGATATGGTATTTTTAATGTTTCTTTAAAAACATACAGCAATATGTAAAGATTGTAAATGTAAGTGCAGATTTAGACTTTAAGAGAAATAGTTTTAAATTTTATCATATGAAATATTCTTCAAGGAACTTTTATAAAAATATTAATAAAAATTATAATAAAGAAATGTTTCAGAATCATTAATATTCAGTTATTTATAATTACTATTTTTTTAAAAGAAATACCTTCTGATTTATTATTATTTCAGAATAATTTTTGATAAAACTACTAAATCATAATAAAATCTAAACTTAGATTCTTAAATCAAAAAATCTACTATTCAAATCAATTCATTAAACAAACTTCTTATTTTAAAAGTTGCTTAAGACCTTTAAAGACTTGATATATAATAGTAGTTCTAAAATTAAAAATCATCCTTAAAAGTTGAATCCTTATAGAATCACCTTTGTATTTAAGAATATTTAAGAACTACAAAATAAAATGAATTTATTAAAGAAATATTATTAAAGATCATATAAATAAAAATTGAATATTTTGAATGTTTAAATTAATAAAATATTTAAAAAAACTTAGAGCAACTTGCATTAAAATCAATATCATTATAAATAGAAGGATTAAAAATACTCAAAGCTTCGTTATCATCAAATTAAAGTAAATATTATAATTAATTAAAGCTCAAAGATATTCAAATATTTTAAGATTTTATTATATGGAAATATTAAATGACTTGATTTCTGCACAATCAATTATTTCACCTCAAAATACTGAAGATGAATATGTAATAAAAACTATTGATTCCAATTTTTTAAATTAATTTTCTTTTATGAATGTAGTAATTTAAGATTTAGATAACATTTAGATCACCAAACATAAATATCATTAATCTGATTAACCAAAGGAATTAATTTAATTAAGTTTTGATTAAATGATACCAAATTATATAAAATTAATTCATAAGAATTTAATCGAGAAATTTATATCAGGCATGGAAAATAAATATTTTTAATAAATTAATTAAGCTTACATTGAATATTAATCAGGTCTTTGTAGAAAAATAGAATTAATCATGGATTTAAGCCAATTAAATTTGCAATCAATTGAAATAATTTTATTCTTCTAAAACAAAAATGAAAGTACTCATAGTATCTTTTTAGATGAAAATCAATAAATTATTAATATAGAAGAAGAACTATTTTGTCGTATATTAGATATTGATACAATATTTTTTAATTAGGTATATGGAATGAATATCAGAGTATTTTTTTTAAATTTCTCCTCTATTAAATTTAATGAAAAACATTTCTCCATTTTTTTTAATTTTTTTGATTCTAAAAAGTTAAACCTATTGAGTTAAAGAAATATCGATTATTCAAAATTTCCATAGATGGATATGATATTATATAAATGTGATCTTGAAATTATATAGAGATAAATTATGAAAGGAACAATTGTTTATTAACTCATTTTATCTAATGTTAAAAAAGTTAATAAAAATGATAAGAATATAATATAAAATAAATAAAAGTAAAATAATTGTCCTATATTTGATGAATCAATTATCATTGAATAACCTTTAAATTTTGATTAACAATTTAATCACTATAATTTAATTAGTTATTAGAATAATAATAAGTCAGATATTATATCATAAGTTGATGTTATTAATAATTATTAATAAAATGATATCTTATTTACTCCAAAGATTGAGGAGGAGCATTGCATTCTAAGTCAAGATGGAGATAAAAAAACAGTCTTAAAATTTAATGATGTTAAATAACACTCTGAGCCTGCTTCATTATAATCCTCTTTATCATCTATTCAAAAATCACAATATCATCGACAATTTTCATTGGTTTATAGTTTATCCACTTGTAAGAGAATACCAAAGATTTTTCTGAGAAAAACAATTTAGAGATTGTTATTTATAATAATATCAATAATAGGATTTATGTTGGTAAAAAATTTATGTAATTTTTAGTATTTTTAAGTTGTTAGCAATTTTGATCAAATTTTAAATGATTTTAAATTACTTAGTTTTAAAAATAATATCTTTTAACCAATATCAACTTTCACTCTAATAAGATTTTCAATAATTAATTATAATGTTGAATTATATTATAATTTAGTTACAAAATAATAGTTTGAAGAATATTTAGAATACCCTAACTCTAAAATTTTAGGAAGCTATGATAAACTAAAATCAGAAATTACAAAATTTTTAGAACAATAATTATTTTTCAGTCACTATTCAAAATTATTATTGTAATTGGAATTCTAAGAGTATGAAAATTATGGAAGTTTATAAGAATTAAATTTAAGAAATAGTCTAATCACTTTACTAAATTATTAATATGATTCCTAAGTTGTTTATAGTAATGGAGGAACAGCTGATTAAAGAAGCCCTTATTTTTATTATTAATATAAAAACTTTAACTTACTTTTAAACGCATTTTCATATGTTGATAAATAAGCCTTACTTTCATTAATATCAGACTCTTAGTATTATTAAACCTAAATATTAAATATTATGATTTATACTCTACTTTCTATGAGTATTATGCTATTATTGATTTCAATGTCTCATTATTCATATTGTTTATAGAAAGAAGCTTTAAAATTATTATTATTTAATTAGGAACATAATTATATTATATCAGATATTTAAAGGTTATAAAATCTTAAAGAATTAGTAATAAGAGACTACACTTAAATATTACATTATAAATTTAATTTTTAAGAGAAAGACTCTCACTTAAAAAATATAAAATTGTTAATTTCAAAATCAAATTAAAAAAAGAAAAAAATAGTTTTGCCTATTGATTTCTTTAATTTAAAAACATATTTGCTAATTATATCACATTTTTTAATTCTAATAGCAATATATGTAGGATTATAAATATCATTGTCATAGACATATGTTTTAATAAGAAATGCTGCTCAATATTATTAATAACTTACTAGATTGAATATCAATATACTAGTCATGTATTCATCAAGAGAAGTCTTGTATTATAAACAAACCTTTACATTTCTTACTCAAAAGGATATAGATTAATATTATGAGAATTGTAAATAAGGAATAAGTGAGTTGGAAGATTATGTTACAAATTTATGGAATTATTAATAAGATTCTTATATTATTGATAACAATTTTAATTAACTTATCAATAAGTTTAATGAAGGAAATCTTTGTAATTAATTAGAGGTATATATTTTTAATAATTATTTTAGGTGATAGATTAAACCTTGTCAATATGTAACAACTCACTTTTTGGTATTCTATAAAAAGGATTAACATCAACTATTATAGATATTAAAAATTCTTTTAAATAAGAATTTGAATAAAAAAACTTTACTAATAGAAGTTCATTTCCAATATAAGAATTAGAGGGCATCACTATTATTAGTTAAGCATTATAATATTTAATAGAAAGTTTTTATGATCTTTTGTAAGAGAAATTTTTGAATTAAAAATATTAATATAATGTAAGTATTCAACATATTATTAATAGATATTTATTATAATTTGTTTGGTTTTTTGTGTAATATATGGATTAGTATTACTAAACTTTACTTAAAAAATTGAATATAAAAAATCTGAAATATTATTGAAGTTTATATATTCTGTGCCTTTAGGTTCTATAGTTTGTGATGATAACTTTCTTCGTAATACAAGAAGTTTTTTTGTAAATTAATAATTAATTTGATATATGTTTGCCTTATAATATTATAAATGAACAATATAAAAATAATCACTTTTTTAATTTTTAAGCTTTCCTTTTTTCTCTAAGTTGTTTTAATCTTTCCATTTCATCATGAATATCTATCTTTTCACCTAATTTATTTAATTCTTCGAGTATCATAATTCTCATCTATTCAAAACTAATTGTGTCATCATTTTCAAATGTAAAATCAGCCTGCCCTTTATATGGTGTTTCTTCTGTTTTTTCTCTAATATCTTTAAAATAAGGATGATTTAAGGCCTGATTTAATCATTTATCATACTTCTTGAGCTGTGATTCTTTTATGAGGATTGATCACAAGCATTTTATCCAATAAATCTATGGCTAGAGGATTAGAATAATCAATTAATTTCTTGATTGATTATGGTGGTACACTTGGTAGAGATTGAACAAATTCCATGGCATTTTTATTCTTAATAAATTAATCCAGATCTTCCTAAACAGGTTTACCAAGTGTTTCAAAGATCATTTTAACCATTTAAACATAAGTTTTGCCTTTAAAGAGAACCTGATAGTTTTTTTATAATAATTTACCTTTCCTTCATTTAATATTTCTGCAAATGTGCAACCTAATGACCAAATATCAATTGGAAATGAATATTATTGAGAAGAAACCATTATCTCTGGTGCTCTATAGTATCCTATATAATAATTTATATTGTTTTATACTTGTGACAACATATTCTGTAAAATTTTATGCTTTTTTATTATCTTCTTCTTCATATTCTTCAATTTATCTGGAGAGACCAAAATCACATAAACTTATTGAACAATCATCTTTTGCTAATATATTTGATGGTTTGATATCTCTATGTATAATGGATGCTGAATGTAAATATGCCACTCCTTTAGTTAATTGATACCTATATTAGGATTGGTTATAATACATTATAAATTATACATGATCATCAGTGAGATCTTTTGGGTTTTTAAGAACTCTGTGAAGATCAGCCTAAAAATATTCTTATACCAAATAGACAGTGCCAAAATAATCACTTTCTTATGATACATTATCATAGATAGCAGCTTTAATTGCAACAATATTAGGATGAGCCATAGCTCTTAATATTCTTATTTCTCTCAACATTCTTTTGGCATCTATAATATCCTCTAATGGATTTAATTTTTTAATTGCAACTTTAGTGTTAGTATGGGTATCCAAAGCTAACAAAACTGTTCCATATGAACCTGCACCCAATAATTTAATTCCTTAATATCGATTATAAATAGTAAATGGGATGTCATTGAAGCTCTTTGTGACAAGTTACTAATTCTATGAATTTTATGAAATATGTTTCATTATTTATTGATTAAATTATTGTATTCAACATAAATACATTTATAAACTGGTGTATCCCTATCAAAAATGTCATCATTTTAGAAATAATGCTATAAAGTAATTGTGTAACTGTAATTTATCAATTTATTTATATAAAATATACATCAGTTTTTTTGTCTTTGAGAAATGAAGAAAAATAAAATATGTTTTGTAATTTGATACATTTTTATTAAATTTGATTATGTAATCAAAATTATTAAAACTATTTAATATATATTAATAAACTGTTAATGAGTGAAACTAGTTCGATTACATATTCTGATTAAGAAATTGAATAATCCTTAAAGGATTTATTGGAGAGAATTTTAATTTAATTGGAAAAATATATAGAAACAAAAAATGATTTAAATGAAATAGAAAAGGAATTGAAAGATTATGAGAATCTAAAATAATTAGTCAATATAATTAAAGTTGTTTTCACAAATCTTATCATAAAAATAGATAAAAAAGTCTAGTATGTATTTTTTATCATTAAAGAAAGTTAGAAAAAGATGTAGATCCAAATGTCTCTATAAGAAGTATAAGATGTGAGGAAGAATACGAAAAATTGGAATAAACAGTAATTAAATATGAGGGTGAAATCAGAAATCATATTAGAGTAGATATATAATCTTATTTTCAAAATAGCTTGAATAGCAATTAAAATTATATGCAGAATCAATCCAAAATAAATTAGATGAAAGTGAAGCTACAAGAAATGAGCTTCTAGAAACAACCAAAAAAGTAATGAATGTAAACATGTGTCAATATTGTCCATTAGAATTTAAAGAGGGAAAATTAAAAATATTTTGAGGAAAATACTAAATTACAATCTGATATCACATAATATAAGCAAAGAATTTAAGAATATGAAAATGAATAATAGAAAAAGACTATAGAATGTGATTATGAAATTTAGTAAGCAAATAAGAATAGTTAATAAATTAAAACATCTGTTTAAAGAAAGCCTAATAGTAAACAAACCAATAAAACTAGTTCCTATTCAGAACATAAATTAAGTAGTTAATTTTAAGAAAGCACTGATTATCCAACTTAATCTTAAGGATCTTTGAAATAAAATTACTTTAATATCCTTCAATATGGATAAAATAATTAATAATAATAATTGTAATAGTAAATTTAATAACAATAAGAATATTAAAAATAATTTCATGGTAAACATAATTCAATTTCTTCAATTAATGACACTATTCAGTAATAAATAATTATTAAGGATAAAAAAGGAAACTTAATTAGTTATAATGCATCTAAAAAGAATTCTTAAAATTCTTAATTCCATTAAAACAATATTTAATGTATTAAATACTTTTATTAATATAGAAACAATATTAACACAACCTAGAAGCAGGAGTGGAAGTGCACGTCGTAATTTAAATTAAAAATAAAAAACCTCTATCCATCAATGAAATTTATTATTCTTAATCAATTTTTGGTATATATATAATATTCAATTAAAAATCAATTTTGATATTCTCAAAATTATTTAAATTTCATTTTGATAATGAAATAGAACACATATTATTAGCAAAAATAAAAGAATATTGCAATCTAATTAGTAATTAATTAAAAATATACATAAATATTTTTAATTATTTATCTGTTAATTGGAATATTGAAAAATGTTTTAATATACTTAGGTATGATAAAGATTGTATTTAGAGAATAATTTAACCTTCAATTAGAATACCTGTATAGACTTAATAGTCGATTATTATTCCATTAGATAAATCGAGTTAATTGCAATCTACTAGAAGAGTCTCATAGAACATTGATTAATAAATTTCTAATGTCTCTCCAATAAGATTAATCACAAACAAAGTTTCAGTAAGTCCTAATGTTGTAAAATATCCTTAATAACCTCAAAATGTAACAATGACACCATAAAAAATACCTTATAATTAACGATAAACTTAGACTCCTACAAAACATTAAGTTTAATAATCAAGAACACTTACTCCAAATGTATTATCATAACAGAGGTAGAGCTTAGCCAATAACCAATATATGTAATCGAATAGAGTTCAGACTGATGCTGGTTTTTCTACTCCTTTGCATAATTAAAAAGAAAAAGAGAACAATGAATGTTCAAATGATAAGTTAGCAACATAATATCAAAATTTATAAGAATAATTGATACAATCTGAATTTAAAATAAGCCAACTTGAACAAAAAAGTAGACAACTTCAAGAATAAAGAAAGAAATTATAATAATAATTCTTGTAAAAGTCACCAAAGCTGGCTTCCCAATTATGATTACTATAAACAAATTATATTAATAATTAATTATATAATGAAAAATCTGAGTCTTTTTAGGATAAATATTAAGCAAAAATAAGAAAATCAAACTTATATTTATAAAAATTTAGATTTAATTTATTACTTTCTTTATATCCATATATGTTTTAATAAAGGAGTATTCTATTTATATAGATATAGATCATTTATTATTGAATGAAATTAATACATTTATTCGATTAATAATCTTATTGTTAAAGCATTTTTACTAGCTCCTTTAGCAATAAACGAAAGAGTTTCAAGCTTCTGATTTACATAGCAGCTTGACTTAATAATAGATCTAAGGTTTCTCATTAGATCTTTGCAGCTTCTACATCAGCTTAAGCAGAAATGATCTTAGCCACAGTCATCTTTTTAGTTGTTCCTGTCAATGCCAATGTTTATCTTATATCATCACTTAATATTTTATCTTTAATAAACAATTTCTCTATGTAGACACCTATTGTTATTAATTATAAATATATCCTCTTTCACAATAGTCTAATACTATCTATTAATAACTCTTATAGAGTGAGTTCTCCTCATTCTGTACGCATGACTGATTAAGTAACTTTAAGCATAGCTCCTACAAGATTATTTAATTAATAAATGCATTTGATTGGATCAACTATTCTATAATATAAAACTGTGTCAATCACTGAAGTAATATTATCTTTTGTTAGAATGACAGATTTATTGTCTTATCCATTATTTAAATTAATAATTCATGTTTACTATGTTTTCATTTCAACCATTATTATTTACCAGAACATTTACGTTAATTGATACTGATTAACAAAATGCTTACAAAGTGGCAATTGTATATCAAAAAGTTCAAATTCTTGTAATAATCTAACATATCCTAAGCTTATTTCCTAATAAGGATATGAACAACAACAACAGTAGGGTATCCAAGCTCTACAAGTTCCTCAAAAATTTTCATAAGTAGTTTTTCATGATATGCCTGTTGTAAGCTAATCTCTTAAATAATAAAATTAAATTACTATTTTTGACTACTAAAAGTTCTTGATCTTGCATTTATTTAATAAATGTATCATTTTTTTAAGGATTGTTAACTTATTTATTACAATTAATATAGAATAAATAACTTTAAATTCAATAATTTAATAAACTCCAATACTCTAATATATAAATATAAAAGAATTATCATTAAGATTCCAAGTTAACTTTAATTATTAAATGATTAATTAGCAATTGAATGAGAATTAACAAGATATTAATGAGGGTGACATCTCTTAAGATAGATATGGAGATGTTACATTGATATAATAGAAATAAAAAACAAATAGATTTTGGATTAAAGTGTGTGAAATTAATGAATCATTAATTGGTAAAACCATTTTAGTAAGAGCACGAATACATAATTCTAGAATTAAAGGAAAAATTGCATTTTTAATTCTCCGAGAAAATTGGAGTACAATCTAAGCAGTTTTAACGAAAGGAGAATAAACTAGTTCGTAAATGATCAAATACATAGGAAAAATCACTTTAGAATCTATAGTTGATATAGAAGCTGTTGTTTTAGAACCAAACATTTAAATCAAGTATTGTACTTAAAAAATGGAATTACATATAAAAACTATTAGAGTAATAAGTAGATCTATATCTAAATTACCTATCTAAATAGAAGAAGCTTCAAAAAGAAATGTTGACTTTTTTTATAATTTAGAACAGTAAAAGTAGAAAGAGAATTAATAGGAAAATACTGTAATATAGGATATCCAAGAATAGTAATTATCACAAAATTAAAGATTAAATAATCGAGTTCTAGATTTAAGAACTCCTGCTAAATAAGCTATTTTTAGAGTTAAATCTGGAATAGCTTTATTATTTAGATAATTCTTGATAGAAAAGGGTTTTATTGAAATTCATACTCCAAAATTATTAGGATTTAAAACAAAAAATAGTTATTGCAATTTTAATTTATAATATTTCAATTAATAAGCCTTTTTATCCTAATCATCTTACATATATAAATAATTGAGTATAATGGCTGATTTTGAAAGAGTTTTTGAAGTATCTCCTGTGTTTAAGGCAATTCATGGTAATACTTATAGAGAATTGTGTGAATTTATTTGTATGGATTTAGAAATGGTTATCAAAGAACATTATACAGAATTGTTAGATCTTACAGAAGAATTATTTTTATTTATATTGAAAGGAATTGAGAAAAGATTTGGTTAAGAAACTCAAATTATTTCATAATAATTTCAATTTAAACCTATTAAAATTTCATAACCTATTATCAAATTAACATTTTAAGATGGAATAAAATTACTTCAAGAAGTTGATATTTTTTAACCTCCTTAATACTATTTAACCATATCAAACTAAAAATAATTAGGAAAATTAGTTAAAGATAAATATGGAGCTGATTTTTTCATTATGTATAGACTACCAAGAGAAGATTAGCCTTTTTATGTAATGCCTTGTAAAATGGATCCTAATTTTACTTTATCTTATAGATTTTTTTTGAGAGGAGAAGAAATTGCATCAGGACATTAAAAAATTCATGATTCAGAAATTTTAATAAATTAAATAAAAGCAATAGAACAAGATGCTTAATTATTAGAAGATTACATAAGTTTTTTTAAGTATAATATTATTCTCTATTTAAAGATTTGGAACCTTTCCTCATGGAGGATGTGCTTTTGGTTTAGAAAGATTCCTATACTTATATNGATCTATATCTAAATTACCTATCTAAATAGAAGAAGCTTCAAAAAGAAATGTTGACTTTTTTTATAATTTAGAACAGTAAAAGTAGAAAGAGAATTAATAGGAAAATACTGTAATATAGGATATCCAAGAATAGTAATTATCACAAAATTAAAGATTAAATAATCGAGTTCTAGATTTAAGAACTCCTGCTAAATAAGCTATTTTTAGAGTTAAATCTGGAATAGCTTTATTATTTAGATAATTCTTGATAGAAAAGGGTTTTATTGAAATTCATACTCCAAAATTATTAGGATTTAAAACAAAAAATAGTTATTGCAATTTTAATTTATAATATTTCAATTAATAAGCCTTTTTATCCTAATCATCTTACATATATAAATAATTGAGTATAATGGCTGATTTTGAAAGAGTTTTTGAAGTATCTCCTGTGTTTAAGGCAATTCATGGTAATACTTATAGAGAATTGTGTGAATTTATTTGTATGGATTTAGAAATGGTTATCAAAGAACATTATACAGAATTGTTAGATCTTACAGAAGAATTATTTTTATTTATATTGAAAGGAATTGAGAAAAGATTTGGTTAAGAAACTCAAATTATTTCATAATAATTTCAATTTAAACCTATTAAAATTTCATAACCTATTATCAAATTAACATTTTAAGATGGAATAAAATTACTTCAAGAAGTTGATATTTTTTAACCTCCTTAATACTATTTAACCATATCAAACTAAAAATAATTAGGAAAATTAGTTAAAGATAAATATGGAGCTGATTTTTTCATTATGTATAGACTACCAAGAGAAGATTAGCCTTTTTATGTAATGCCTTGTAAAATGGATCCTAATTTTACTTTATCTTATAGATTTTTTTTGAGAGGAGAAGAAATTGCATCAGGACATTAAAAAATTCATGATTCAGAAATTTTAATAAATTAAATAAAAGCAATAGAACAAGATGCTTAATTATTAGAAGATTACATAAGTTTTTTTAAGTATAATATTATTCTCTATTTAAAGATTTGGAACCTTTCCTCATGGAGGATGTGCTTTTGGTTTAGAAAGATTCCTATACTTATATTTTGATTTAAAAAATATCAGAAACGCAAGTATGTTTCCAAGAGATTCTAGCAGATTATTTCCTTGATATGAAATATAATTATGGTCATTCAAAATAAAAACTTAATATAAACTTTTGTTATTCTAATACTTGAATGTGTACCTGATATCTGTTGTTAAGTTCTTGATAGATAGTTTTGTTCTATTTTTAAGCTTTAAATGATTTATTGCAAAATTTATGAAGGATCATAAGATATACTTAAGTCTATTGTAGTATTTCTATATTTTTTATTTATTAACTCATTTTATTGTATTCTTATCCAATTCGTTATCTGAGCTTTTTAATTTTTATTCTATTTTTAAGAAATATTTTTAAAATTGAATAATGTTAATGATATATAATTCCTTTATAAATTATATAAACAATCTTAAAAATTTTATTAATATTAAAAATGTAAAAAAAATTATTTATAAATATAATTATTTTAATAATTCTATTTATTAATAATATTCATTTTCAAATTCATTAAAATCATCTGAATTAAGTTGATCTTAATGTTGACATACCTTCATAGATACTGCTTCTGGTTGGTAAAATTTCAGCACAAAAATTCATTAGATCTTAATCTTTTATTTTCCTCTTCAAATCTTTTATTTATTTTTCTTAATCTTTAATATCTTATTGGCTATTTCTTAAAAAAATATTTAAGTTATTAATTTATGATTTTAAATCAGAGATTTCAATTGAATGTTAGGATTATTGCCTTTCAAGTGATCTTTTGTATATTTGATCTTCATCATCCTTTTTCTATTTTAAAGATTCATAATTTTCTTTCTATATTTTCATATCAATCTAAAATTTTTTTATCTATTAATCCTTTTATTCTAAAGTAATTTTTATATCTGATAATTATTGAGTTAAATCTAGGAAGCTCTAATAGTAATAATATGATTATTATTATAAATTACCCTTATCTTTTTCCAAATTACCTATCTAATTGTTGATATAATTTTATAGCTCAGTATTCTTAAATTATAGACTACTATTATTATTTTATAGATTAGTAATTTAATTTTACAATTCTTAATTTTTACTAGTTAAATCCCATTTTATCTTTTCTAGTTCTTAATTTGTTAGTTTCAATTATTCATCTTTTTTCTATAATTTATCTTTAAGTATTTAAATTGTGTTTAAGTTATTGGTGATCTCCTCATTTAACTTTTTAATTTATTCCTCCTTTTATTATAATACTTTATTCTTCTATTATATTTTTTCATCCACATTTTTCTAACCTATGATTTGGCTTTGAGTATTTTCTTCTTACATTTACTCCAACTCTTAAACCTTTATGTTTATTTCATATAATAAATTTTAAAGGTTTTAATTTTTTGTGATTTCATCTTTATAGTTATTTGATGTCTCCTAATTTTATTGACTTAATTAATTTATCTAATTTTCATATTCTTAATATCTAGCTTTTAATTATACATTCTCAATATAGACCTATTACATATCTATTATTCTCAGATTATATAATTCGTTATTTTGATTTTATCTATCATAATCCTAACTACATTGGAAAACGTGATTGATGTTATCATTGACAAGCATCATAAATTCATATGGTATAGTATTATCAATTTTAGAAACATTTTATTTGAGTTGAACTGATGTAGAATTAATAACTTAAGTCTGACCATTTGTTAAGGTTATTCTGTAATTTTTTGGTTAAAAAAGGTTCATTCAATGATAGAATTACAAAATTAATTTATTTTCTTTAATAAAGAAATAAATACTCATAAATGATTAATTTTTTTAAATAATCATAATTTCTTGTATTAAATGAGTAGTATAAGCTAGTAATGATGAGTATTATAAAAGATCTAAAAATTATAATAATCATTAATATTGTACATATTTTTTTTCAATTAACTCTAACCTAAGAATCAATTATTTTTAAATATTATCTCTTATTAAATACAACTATCTTTTTGCAGAACTGAATCCTTTCATAAATCTCTTTTAAATTATCAAAAACTAAATCACAAACTCTTAAAAATATACTAAAAGTATAATATCGTTTTTATTATTAATAATTATGAGATTTTGCGTTTTCATTTTGCTATTAGGTTTAGTTATTTGCAATTAGCTTAATGCATAAAGTAATTTAAGATACGACTATCAATTTGCCCCATGGAGTTTAGATTGCACAAATAAATGTCAAAGTGCTGGAGGTGTTGTTTGCGGATATGAAACATAAGTCTGTTGCAGATCAGTATAATCAACTTCTATCAATTTTAGGGTAAATGCTTAAAACACTGGAAGTCTGAGACTTGTGACACTTGGGATAAGATTCACATTTTAAATTGTGTACCAGGGCCAAGTAGCAAATAATGACATATAAAAATAATCATTTTATAATATGCAATTACAGATTTATTAGAATTAGTTATGAAAAATTAGAAAAGATTATTATTGAGAATTGTTATTAATACAAGGTTATACTGCTAAATTTACTCTACTTTATAATATTTGATATAAAAATAATTATTTTTTTATTGAATTTGAATTAAGAATTTTTGAGGGTAGTTCTTTTGAATTTGATTATGGATATTGATCTAATTTATATTATCCCTGTATTCTAGATTTGAAAACCCTAAATTAAAGAATTTTTTATAAGAAAAATATTTTTAATCAAATAGAATTTAACTAAAATCTGTATAAATCATTATTTCTGAGTATGTCAATTTAAAAGTATTTATCTCCTGATTTTTTGAATTAATAAGAAAAATATTAGTATGGTTTCTCAAATTATGTTTGAGTATTAATTAAATAATAGGTACTAACATTCCTTACTAAAACGCAAAACAATTTAAAAATTTAGTTTTATTGATACCTTAGTATACCTCTTTCATCCATAATTTTGATTTTCTTAAGACTTTATAGAATAAACTAAAATAAGTAAATGTTAAATTATTTTTTGAGACAATTCTTGTTTTTTAATTGTAATGAACAATAAAATTCAACTATCTAGTGTTTTATTTTTCTACATATTCATTTTTTTAAACGATTAATTTTATAAGTTTATATTATTATTATAAATAATATTAAGATAAATAAATTCATCTCATTTTTTTATTAATTTTTCAATTTGATCTTTCCATTTCAAATGACCTGTTTATGGGATGAGATTACCTCTAATTAATTTTTATTTATTTTGATCTTATTAATCCTTTTCATTCTTCCATATATCTACAGGTTATTCAAGCCTGGTAGTATTGTTTTTATCTTCTTCAATTAATTTTTTTTGTTTTTGTTAATAATTTTGGTTGTCATCTAAGCACTTTAAGTTTGGTTATATAAATCTTTTTGCAGCTTCTCTATCTAAACTCATCTATTTCTAATCAGATTGTTTGATTTATGAAGGTAAATATTTTTGGTAAGCCTCTTATATTCTTAATAATTCATTCATAATTGGATGTGCAGAAGTTTCCACAAAGTTTAATTTTAAATAAGCTAAATAATTATGATAGTAAATATATTACAATAATAAATAGAAGACAAAGTATAAGCCAAGTTGAGATTAAGTTCAATTTTATTCTTTTTGACTCATTGCCTCTGTAATTTGATCCAGATTGCCTTTTTGTGATAGTTTCTAGATAAGTATCTACAATTTTGTTAACTCTTCTTAAGTACTTTAAAGTGTTGTTGATATACTCATTACTTAAAAATATAATTCAATAAAACAAACTCAATATTTATCATTCATTTTAATTCAATTTAACTTTTTTTTCAGGTTTTTATTCATCTTCAATTTAGTTGAAATTTAATATACCCCAAAATACATCTATTTAGTTTAATAATTCTTTTGATAAATTTTCAATTTATTCATCATTCAAATCTTATATCTATGCTATTTCTATTTCAAATTCATAATCTGTTAAATTTTAATCTTTAAAGATCTATTCTAATTTATTTTGAATATTTATGCATTTTGATTAAGTGATTTCATCAAGAATCTTTTAAAATTCTGGGTCATATTTTACAATTGGAGATACTTTAGAAAGTGAAAATTCTAAATTATTTTCTTTAATAAATAATGTTTGTTTCAATCGTATAAAATTTGCATGCTATTTTCTTGAAGCCATTTAAGCAATAATATCCTTAAGACTTTTTGATAAAGTTCTTTCTTAATTTAAAGATATTCTAAAATGAATCTTATCATCAACTATATCAATATGTTCTTATAAATTTTTTTGTTTTTCAATTAATACAGCACTTATTTAGTCATTTATTATTTGAAATGAATTTCTTTGTTATTTATTCAATGAAATGTCTAATCTTTTTATTATAACTTAATTTCCTTTTTATTTTAAATAATCATAAGCATTATTATATTACTTTAAATTTATTTTAGATTCAAATTAATATTTTGCATTATTTTTATCTAATTATTCCATCCCTTTTATAGATTCCAAATATTTATTTGAATTGAAATTTAACCCTTTAAATTTTCCTATTTTAGCTTCTAATTCATAAATTTTTTAATCTGCCTTCTTCATTATTTTTGTCTTAATTATATTAGTTATCCATTTTATTAGTTAATCTTTTTTCATTTATTAAAAAAGAATTATATTTATTTATTTTATTTAATTAATTAATTAATTAATTAATATATTATTAATGATAAATCAAAATGATCTAAAATTTTTATCTATTTTAATGCATGCATCTTCCAATAATTTTAACAATGCTTCAGTTGTAGCTTCTCTCTCTCTTCTTTCAAAATTGATGTCTTATTACAATTTACCATGAACATCTTCAATCATTCTAAATATCTTTCCCTATGTTTCTTCTCTAACTTTCTTTTCAATTAATAATTAATCAGAGAACTTATTAATTTCAGAATCAATCTATTCAGATAAAGATTCAGCTGATTCTTCTCTAAATTTAATATTAATTAAATAAAATACCTTGATTATCTTTCTTAATCTAATTAATTTTTTACTACTTAGATTTATTATAAGACCTCAGCTATTTTTGCTTAACTTCTATCTTCATATTAATGGGTATTTCTGGTAATTGTTAATGTAATTTATGCAAATCTTTCGTCTATTTGCTTTTATAACTTTGTTTCTGCTGATCCTCTAGCATTTTTTTCTTATTCAAATGAAAGTGCAACATTATCAGATAATATTCTAAAATCTTTCTCTTTTTTATCATCAAATGCCTATAATAATAAGAAATATTTACCTCTCTCTCAGATTTTTAATTATGTGCATGATCTTACAATTTAAGTACTTAATCTTTAAGTACTTTAAATCTTTACTCATCCTTTGGTTTTTCTTATGATAAGACATCTTCAATAATTTTAATTCTTTCATCTAATACTTCTCTCTTCTCCAATTTATCTTTGTCAATTCCATTCTGAATATGATTCCATTTATCAGATAATAACTTGATTCTTTATCTAGATGGTGAATCTAAGTCTTAACTTAAATAATTGACAGTCGACCTTTGGGGACTTGATAATTATGATCTTGATAATTTTGATGTTGTAAGTTTGGATGTAGAAAGGAGCATAATAAAATGATATTTTCTAAAATAAATTTATTTACGATTTATTTCATTACATTACTTTATAAATTGCTATTTTTGTTTAATATTAAAATTCTAAGTTTTTTCAAATTAGTTAAATCATCTTAAGCCTTTATTTATTACAAATAATCATTATAATATTAGATTAGATTTTTGAACAATTAATCTTCATAAAATTCTATGTCAAAGTTATTTTAGAATAATTTTCAGATTCAAATTAAATGATTTCTTCATTGTAAATTAATTATAAAATTTAAAATCACTCAATTATTAACTCTTATTTAATAGGAGTATTGTTATAGAGTATATTTTAATTTTAAAGTATTACAAAATTGAGAAATAAATTAAATTTATTTAACAAATTAAATGATGTAATTTAAGAGTTTAGAAGAGCAAATACAATATTAAGAAAAGAATATAGAATATTTGTAACAATAAAATTTTGATTTGCAAAACCAAATTTCACAATTCTCTTAATTTTAATAGTTAGGAATTACTATTGATGCATTTTAGTCTTTGTAAAATAATAGTAAAGAATAATTACAACAAATTAAATAATTACAAAAGGAGAATAAAAATTTACTTAAATAGATTCAAAACAATCAAGTGAAATATTATGATAAAACATTGTCGAATTTATAATAAGAAAATGTGAAATTGAAGAATGAAATTAGATAACTACGTCAAAGGATATCATCACCTTCCAAACTTGATAAATCAATTATTTAGTATAGTACACCATAAAAACAATTAAATCCTAGTGCTATTCTTAAGTCTACAAAAGATCATCCAAAAGATGTTTCTAGTTTACTATTTATTAAAGGTTCTTAAAATTTCAAATCTCCATTTGTAGATATTATAAAAGGAAAATATGAAAATGTTAAAGTAATCAAATAACTTAAATCAGGATTAGAATAATCATATTTTGATACATATCATTTTGATGTCATAAGTCAAGATCTCTAATATATTCTTCAATAATTAGATAGATAACATAGTATACATTAAGGTAAAGGACTTCTATTATCTAATTAATTATGTTTGATTTATGGAGCATCAAGGACAAATAAAAAGCATTTCCTAATCTAATATTTAGATACTTTAATAAGTCAAATAAAACAACAATTTGAAATCTTTTAATAAAATGAAGATTATAAATAATTAACAGTAAAAATAATATATGAAGAATTCTTTAATGGCTAATCTAAACATCCTAGTGATAATGAAATACTTATTAACAAAGAAAAAAGTAAAAAAGATAATGAAAGCAAAGTAAGAGAGATTGAATTATCAATTTCTAAATTGAGATTAATAATTCTTAACAAACTTAAAATGACAATAAAGGACAATAGTAAGAAATATGTTAAAATAAGAAAACTTTATATTGAAACTGAATTATAATTTAACAAAGAAACTCAAGTAAAAAAGTTTATTGTATTTACATCAAATGCAAATTTAAATTAAAAATAATTTTAAAATGCTGAAGAAGGTTTAAATGAATCTTTAGCTATGAAGGATAAAGGAAAGGAATTAACATAAATATTAAGATGGCCATAATTGTAAATTTCTATGGTATTATGCATTCATCCTACAATTCCAGATTACGCTTTGACAATTAATACTTTTTAATTATGTAAATTTATTAGGAATTTGAAATTAGTATCAGATTCTCCTTAAAGTTCTGATAAATTTTAATAAATTTTAGAAAACAATAATGTATAATATTATTTTATATTAATAGAAATAACTTGAACAAAAGATAAAACAATTAAGAGAAAAAATAAAGAATTTAGAATCTGAAAATTATAGAGTTAAAAAGTAAAGTTTAATTTTAGAAGCAGAAAATGAGGAAGCTGTTGATAAAAATAGGAGATTGAAATAATAATTAGCAAATCTAACAGGTTAGCTGTAATAATTGCAAATGAATTTTTAACAATAGATTTCAGCTAAGAAATCATTAACTTTGTCTAAAACTAAAAGTGCTGTTGTAGCTGATAATAAAACTATATAGACTCTTGAAAAGGCAGCCAGAAGCATATCTGTTTTATTGTCTTAAAATAGCAAGACAGATTTGAGTGTTAGTCCTTCAAAAGTTTAAAAGACACTACCTTCAGATTTACTTCTGGTATTATTATAAGAGTTATAAATTATAGCCTAATTTTTAAGAGAATCCTGATGATGAAGAGGATTATTAAGAAGAAGGAGAGGATGGATAAGAAGATGAAGATTAAATGGATGAAGAGGAAGCAAATTCAGAAGAGCCATCTGAAGAGGATGAATCAGAAGGATAAGATATTTAATAACCTAGAAAAGAGTCATCAATATCTATGATATGAAGTAATGTGTATTCGTTTTTGAATATTTTAATTAAATGAAGATCATTCTATTGATTTTCTTGATTGGAGCCACATTTGCTAGAGATGAAGGCTTTTTCGCTTAATTAAGGAATAGTGATTTTGGAAAAACAATCATCTAAACACTTTAAGTTTAATTATCTCAAGAACATCCAGCAGACACAGTTGTTCATCTCTTGAAATAAATGAAAGATGACCTAAACAATGAATAAAGAGTAGAAGATGAAGAAATAACTGGATAATTGAAAACATGTTAAGAAGCTTCAAGTGCTGCAGTTGCTGTATTAACTATTGCTAAAGAACGTAAAGCTACATCAGAAGAAAGACTACCCTTACTATAATAGGAATAAAATGATAAGAAACAATAATTATTTGATAAGTAAGGAGAAGAATAAAGAAATTTGGATAGAATTTCTGTATTATAAGAAGCAAGAAATGTTTAAAGAGTAATTAATTATAAAATTAAATTAGCAAGAATTTGAGTAAAGAAGAGATGAATTAGTAGGATTAGTTTCTGCATTATAAGAAGCAAAGAAAATTTTATCTTAAGGAATTGGGGCTTTGAAAAAGAATAGTTTTGTTTAACTTAAAAATCATCATGAAAACTTTTTAAAATATTTCCCAAATAAGAAAGGATTTCATAGTATGGTTGATGTACTCTTAACTGTTTTATAAGAAGAAAATACACAAGAAAATGCTGCATAAAAAGTTGTTAAAATTATTGATACTCTTGTTGATAGCATCTTTTAAGTATAAAAAGAAGAAATGAAAGCAGATGATGCTAGAGAATTAGATTTTTAAACATAAAAAGAAAGATTACTTTTAGCAAATCGAAGATTGTCTGGAAGTGTTGCTGATTTAAATGCAGCTAATGAAAGAATTGGATAAAAAATATTAGAAATCAAAAATGATATTTCAATTCAAGATTCTGTATTTATTAGTTTATAATTTTAAGATTATTTTCAATAAATCAACAGAATAGGCAGATTGGGATTAGACATGTAATGATACTGAAAAGGCACATAGACAATAAACTGAATAAAGGTAATTTAATTAATTATAAAATAGAAATGCTTAATTAGCCATTATTGTTGAATGCATTGATATCTTTGAAACAAGATTCGATATGGAAACAAAAAGCTACATATAACGCCTTAGATTCTGAATCAAATATAATTGACATAATATAATAGCAATAAAAACGGATTTCTAATATTATTTATTATTCATAATGAAGATTTCTATAGTACTACCAATCCTTCTAATCATAGGAAGTATGGCTGCTGATTTTGATCAATAAGTGGAAGAATTATAGAACTCCAACTTTGGTTAAACAATATTACAAACAATTTTAATGGAATTGTAAACAGGTGATCCAGTAGTCTCTAACCTAATTAATATGATCTAAGGCTTGGAAACAACTTTAGAGAATGAATAAGAAAGAGATGATAAAAGAATTGCTAGAATTACATAAAACTGTGATATTGACATTAATACTTTGAAAGATTAAATAAATTAAAATACTGTCAATTCATTAACACTTAAAAGTGAATTAGATAGTTTAAATCCTTAAAAAGTTTCAGCAGTAGCCAGTCTTGAAAGAAAAAATAATGAAATTAATGAACTTAAGACAGAGCTTAATTATTAAACACATAAGAGGGAAACAGAAACAGTGACCTATTAAGTAATATTAGATAATTTGGAACAAGCCCTTTTTGGTGTAAATTAAGTTAAAGGATATTTCAATAGCTATTTAGATGTACTTGTAAAAAATCGCAAAAGATTTGAAAAACCAGATTCATCTTTCTTATAGGAGAATTATAGTTTTAAATATGATTAAACAGAGATGGATGATATAGAAGATTAAGGTGTGTAATTTACATCATTTACATAAGTGGCTGCAAAAGTAAATAAATTAAAACATCATGTAATATTATATTCTTATTTTAGGTTCATTTAGAAGGTTATAGAGCCATGATTGAAATGATGAGTCGTTTAGCCTCTAAAGCCTAAGATGAACCATCTTAAGCAGAAGTTCTTACAAGAAAAGTGCTCTCCATTTTAAAATAAATAGAAAATTATATATAATCTGAAAGAATCAGAGAAGATTAAGCTGAATCTCTTAGATAAGGAAATTTCGATTTGCTAAAAACTTTATTGTCAGATTAATTAGTTTAAGCAAATTAAGATAGAACATATATGGAAGGTGAAAATTATTGTAGTTATAAATTTAGGACTTGTTGAATCTTTGTCAACAAGAATTTAGTAAGCATCAAATGAAAAATTTGAAGTAGATTAAAAAATAATCACTAAAACAAAAGAATTAGATAATAGAGAAACAGATTGTAGACTTAAAAAGAATGAATATGATACAGATACAGCTAATAGGTATTAAATAATATAATATTTAAATAGAATTAAATAAAAGAGAGTAGTGGCAGTTGCTGTTGATCTTATCTCATCAAAATTAGGACAACTTAAGAGAAAATTGCTTGCAAATTGAGTTTCATATAAAAAATTAAAAACCAAATAATATATATCCTTTTGAATAATAAAAATCATAGTTTTATGATAGAAGCTCCTTAAGATGGTTAGGTTGCAAAAATATGATCTTAGTTTTCAATATGATTGTAATAGAATTCAATAATCTATTATGAATAATATATAGTACTTTATTCTTAAAATTCTTAGCTTCTGTCTCTTTGACTAAACTAACAGTACAACCTCCCCATCCTGCTCCAGTTAATCTACTTCCCAATGCTCCATATTTTATACACAAACTTGTTAATTTATCAATGTTCTCTGATGAACATTCATATAGTTCTTTACAAGATTTCTAACTTTGATTCATCAATTAACCTAACAATATTGATTTAGCATCATCTGACATTTTTGAATCACATATATTTTTGAATTTTATTACTCTTTAAGCTTCTTTTACTACATGAACCAATCTATTATAAGGATTTACACTTTTATTCTAATTTAATACTAATTCAAAATAAGGAATATCAGCTAAAAGCACAGGTAATTTTAATTATTCCAATTATTCTAGATCTATTTCACCTTTTGGAATAAATTTACAAAGTTCTTCCATAGAATCAAGTGATAATTGTAAATGATCCTATAATTATTTTAAAGTTTTAAAATTAGTTCCACTATTTAAAGCCAATTCTATTAATTTAATTCCAATTCTACATTCAACTACTCTTTTATTATAATGTTTTCCAAGTGTTTCCAACTTAATTGATTCTGTCAATGAATTAGCTATAATGAATGAATATCCTTTTGGTAAATTAACTTAAGTTAATCTTAATGGATCAAATTCAATATATAATGCAGATCCCTCTTATCCAAAAACAGAAATGGTTTAATCCATCCCTCCACAAGCAGTGCCAGCTTCTCTTTCAAATTTTATAATTTAATTGACAAACTAATGTCTATCAATATCTTATTGAGTTTTTCCACTAACTTGTAAACTCATTAAGGATGATGCCACGACCAAAGATGATGATGAAGATAATCCTGATGAAAAAGGGACATTTCCACTAATCAATATTTTAATTCCTTAATTTGCATTCCCATATTAAATTCCTGCTCTATATCCAGCAAGTACATATTTAACATAATTTTGGATTTCATTATATTCTTCTTTTGGATTCAGAGATAAATTGAATTGCTTAAATTATTAGTCATCAGCATGCTAAATCTATATGTCATTTCCATCTATAGCAAATAACATAAAACAAGATTGTTCTAAAGCAAATGGCAAAACTCCATATCCCATATAATCGATGTGTTCACCAATTAACTAACATTTATGATAAGATTACATTAACTCTACCAGGTGCTTTAACTAAAAATTGTGGCTGAATTCCATTATATCTCTGAGTAAACAAGTCAATCAATTATTAAATATTCATTTTTAATATTATTAATAATTTAACCTTTTTTAATTCTAATATATACTTGATTAATGATATAATAGATAATCAGTAACTAAATACAATTAATATTATAATAAACTATATTTATCTTTTATCATTCATTTTTTTTATTCTTAATCTATTTTAATTAGTTTTTAATCTAAATTTGTTGCTGCCTTTATTTTATCTAAAGCATTTTTCCACATTTGTCCTCCCCATTAAACTGTCAAAAACAGACCTGTAGCCTCTGTACATATAGTCTTATTTTGATCATATATTTTTGCCTTAAGAAATACTTTTCTACCTTCAATTTTTTCAATTTCTGCTGTTATCATATAATCATGATTAGTTTTCACAGGTTTTCTATAATTTATATTTAAATTTGCTGTTGCTGTAGGAATTTATCCACTTGCCAAGTAGCTTAATTAACCAAAAGCATTATCTATTAATGTTGCTAACAACCCTCCATGAACAATTGAACTATGCCCTTATAAATGATCAGCTGCATTAAATACGAAATGCAAATGAATTTTATCTTCAGATTCTAGATTGTCACTATATATTTTTTATTCTAATTTATCTGGATAGTATATTTTAAACACATTCAAAGCTTCATTGTGTTAAGCTATGAAATTGTGTAAAAAGTGTTTATCAGGAGAAGAATGCATTAATTCAATTACTTTTGGTTATATATAGTTTCCTTCTTCTAACATTGATTTAAAACTGTGATCATCGTTTTTTTGACTTTTATTATTTATGAAAGCTTTGATATACGGATAATATCTTTCAAAAGTAAAGCCTCCAGCAAATGCTAATCCATATAACAATATATTTTTTTTCATAAATATAATTTATTAATATAGTATCAATGCTGTTCATTAATCAAATTGCTTCAATAATTCAATTAAATTGCATTATCTAATTATATAATTGTAAATATTTTATAAATGACTTGAAAAATCAATTAAAAATATTATTATGCCTGGTTACCATGAAGATCTTAAATGTATAAGAACTTATAGAATGAAATTTCAAACTTATCATAATATTATATGATGGCATATTAAATAAATATATATTGTTTTAAACAAGAATTAATTTACAAGAAATTTTCAACAATGAAAGGAGCGATTGAATGTTTTAGTGATTTTTTATATCTTGAGTGTTATCTGTAATATCAGAAAACTTATTAATTATTGTAGAGCTTGGATTTTAGAAATATTAAGTTTGATTTGCCTGACAATTACTATTTGTTTCATTTTTAGGAATCGATGTAGAAAATTATAGAGCAATTCAACGAAAATATTAATACTTATTATGTTTTCACTCATTTGTATTATATTAGTAATAATTAGTTTATTTTGTATATAATCTAACAAGAAAGCATAGAACATTTTATTTTCTTGAGGAATTATTTTTTTAAGTATATTAAGCTTACTTAATTTTCTATTTTGGAAAAAAATTAGTTGTAGGTTCATCTTAAAGAAAAAATCTAAATATAATTCGAATAATCTTTGGAGTTCTCATAATCCTAGATGTTACTACTTTTATTATGTCTGTTATAGAAGCAATTTCTAAGTAATAAATGTGTAAATGTAAGTTAAAATATATAAAATTAGATTAGAAATGTCATTTACAGTTTTCAGATCTGTTAGCCTAATCACATAAATAGGGTTTCTAGTTGTTGTCTAAAAATTAAATAAAAAATTTTAGTAAAATTTATAAAATCTCCTCATAAATGAATAGTAAACCAAGCAATAAAAATCTCATTTCTTTTAGTTAAAGTATTGAATATTTATTAATTTAAAGAATATTGTGTTATATAAGCCTAATTGGATCAGTAATTTTGTTGATAGTCAATTTTTTATATATGATTTCAGATGATTGTAGAATTATTGAGCATTATGGAGATGAAGGATAAAATCTCTCAGATTCATTGAATGCTTTGGTTCATGGAATAGTTAAACTATCTACATATTTTTTGCCAATTATTCTAACTTTAGTTTTATTTAGAACTAAAAATAAAAAAGAAATACGAAGAAATTCTGTTTTTGAAGCTGAAGATTTAAGTTATCAGTCCTATTTTTAAGGATTAACTTTATAAAGATGATTATAAATTTTAATTAAAAATATTAAATTAAATTATTCTAACATTCTTTTTAATTGAAAATCATTGATTTATACCTTTTCTAAATTATATTTTTACTTAAAAATCTATTTCAATTCTATATATTTAACAGTATTTTACTAATATGAAATAATCCAAAAAAACCACTAAAATTATTTATTAGCTCTTTTTATGGAATTTTTATAATTAATCAATCAATATATTTTATATAAAAAATTTTAATAATCATTATATTTAAGGTAATCTATATTAATTTTTAGCATATAAAACCAAAAGATGAACAAAAGTATTTGTACGTTATTTTCTTTTTTTATTTCCTCCTTTTTCTTTTTCCTTTTTTCTATCCACAAAATAATAATGTAATATTATTTAAATTTTTCTCCATAACATTTTTCCTGGAGTAATCACAAATGCTAAAGGATTTCTTCTTTTTATTTCTTCAGACATTGCAAATACCCACGAATTAATCTCAAATAAAAATGGAAATTCTTACTTATAATGGTTAAGCATAAAAATCCATAGATCTAGTTTTCATAATCAAAGAAAAGCATAACCAAGGCTCTAATTTATCATTGTATGATTTTCTAAGGACATCTGTTACTTTCCCGTAGAGTAAACCTCTTATATCGGAAACTGAATAGGAATTTACAGATTTTGGATCATTAATATGTTTATTATTTTGAGCCCATCTAAATGTCCCATCATTGGCTAAAATAAAAAATCTTTCTATTCTTCCATTTGAAGATTTATTGCATTTAGTTAGTTAATCACCCAACATGACAGTTCTATAGGCAGCATTAAGAAGACTAACGTTTTTTAATTTTTATGATTTTGTTAGAGATACTGTCATATTTTATCCTTATTTTATTTGTGATGGATTTAATTAAGATTTTGAGAATTTTAGACTTGCTTATTATGATTAAAATTGTTATTATTATTATTATTATTATTATTATTATTATTATTATTATTATTAATATTATGATTAGACAGTATTGATTTTTGGTTGACTATTTCCAGTTATACCCATAATTTATGATCCAAATTAACCACTATTTTTTAATGGCTGCTATTCATAATTATTTGCATACACTGTTTAATACTTTTACTATTAGAAATCTTTTTATTCAATTTGATTATTTTGAGAATAGTTACTTTGCAAAGGATTATTAAATTATTGATATTGATTATTTTAATGCTAATTAGAATTTTACCCTCTAACCATATAATTTTATTAATCATTTGTTGAGTGATATGATTGAATATTCAATTAATTTTAATAATCATTATTAACCTAACTTTATTATGAATTATATTATGAATTAATTGAATCAAACTATTTTTATCTATTAGATAAAGACTATGGTTATTGTTAAGTTAAATAATGTGAATTTTAAATTTATTAATTGTATGTTTAATTAGTTTAAAATTTGGAATTAAATTGTGGCTATTAGAAAAGTTATTGTCCTTAATCATCTTCTTGTTTTAACTAATCAAGATAATTGAAAAATGGTTGTAATTAAATTTTTAAACAAATTCTATTGAATTTCAATAAATGAGATTTGATAATATTTACTGATTCTTTTGTAAATGGTAAATTTTATAAATAGTTTTCATATGGTTATTGTTAGTCCAATAATTTTAAAGAATGTTCAAGTTATGCAATAGATTATGATAATAAAGATGCATTCTCAACTTCCTATTAGGACATTTGATGATAGCAATATTAGATTGCCCTCTTGAGTCTTAATTTTAAAGCGAGTTTCCAAAATTCATCTTGTTATTTAACTGTTAAAGGCTATGATAATAATTACTAATTCTTTTAATAATTCAATTATTATTCTAATTTTTATAATGATGTTGTTATCTAAATTAAAAATTCATTAAATATATACTTCTCTAGCACATTATAATTTTTTTTCACAATCTTTAAATAAAATTTCTGGACTTATTCCCCTCAATTCAGGGGATTGCATACATTTTTACAATTATTATACATAATCCTTACAATCCATTCTTTCATTTTATGCAATAGTTAAAATTCTTCTTAATGTAATGACAATAAACCCATTTTCTTTCTGGTCATACCATAATTTAAGAGCTTTTTGATGATACTTAAAAGCTAGAGCCATATCTCCACACAGTTCTCGATTCAATCCCATAGAAGAGTAGAAGCAAGCTAAACTCTATCCATCATCTATATTAGTATTATATAATTTCAGTACACTTTTATTCTAGATTTTCAAAATTGCCATCTCCCATAGCTTCAAATGATTAAAATCTATAATAAATGTACATTAGTTCTTTAAATAATTGATATTACAATGGTGGTTAACTAAATATTAATTAATTTTACACAGAAAGGATTAATTGAATTGCTTAATCATTATAATCTTTACATTCTTGAAATTCTGTTGTTATCAACTTGATAATTGCCAAATTTCCCTAAATTTTGTTATCAAAACAATATTTACTAAAATCTTAATTAATAATGCACATTTGAAATCATTTTTTCTATCCAACATTGTGAATGCTTAAAGTAGCTTTTCAGTTGCTTATTTATAATCGCAATTATGAAAATAAATAATTCCTAAATTAGCTAGGATTATAGCCATTCTATCAATATCTTGAAATTTATATTTGATTTTACCTCTTCCAGCTTCTTGAAAATTTAAAGCTTCTTCATATAATCTTATTGCTTAATTCATATCCCTTAATTAAAATTGACTATGAGCTTCCAATAGAAGTTGATTAAATTGAATTTGATTTATGTTAAGAGTGTCCTCCTAATACATAATTTAAATTAAAATATTGAATCTAAAAATAAAAACAATGTGATTATATTTCATTCGTAATATCCTAATACACCATATAGAGTTCCATAAAATCTATCCTTTACACAAGTAACTTCTATAGGATTTGATACAGCAATTTCCATCTGTTCACTGATAGTGAATGTAAGTAAATTCAATTTAGCAATTTTAACATCATTTTCTGAGAAACATATTATATCATCATAATAAAAGGAAGCATATTGACATGGATAATTCAAACTTCCTAGAGCTATCATTTTTTCATCATAATAAAATAAATGGGCTCCCTTAAATATATAGTTTAAATAAATACTTTGAAATTCTCATATATTAAGAAATATTTATCTTTAATATCAAATCCCTTTAATGGAATATTGAAATTATGTACAAATTATCCATCATTTGAATGAATAGCAGTTTCAGTAGAAAAAAAGATAACATTTTAATGTAATTTGAGATCATATATTGGTTCTGAATATGTATAATTATAAATTAATTATAGCTATTCATTTACAATATTTATTTTTCCTTATTAAGATTCTGTATATCCTGCTAAATATATGTTATTATATTATTCCATTTTTTCAATAGAAAATTGTTATTGAGATTGAGTTTTTAATTAATCATCAAAATAACTCAACAATTAATTTTAAGTAGTTAAAACAATTAAATGATCTTTAAAAAATCTCAAATTTTTGATTTCTAAATTCTTGATAAATTTCAATTCTCTACATTATGAACTTGATCCTTAACTCAAAGTAACCATTTAAATTTCATTTTAAACAATTCCAATTAGTTTATCATTTTAGAAACTAATATCATATAAATGATCCCAATTTACAATAATTTATTAAAGTTAATTGTCAATCATGTAAATATGATGTGAAAAGATTATCACTTTATTGTTAAATTTCATCAATTTAATGGGATGAGTATTGCTAATCTAAAATATTTTGTGAACTCTATATGTGTCAGAAGCTAAGGAAACTAAATTACCATCTATTAGACCTAATAAAATAAAATTCTGAGTTTATTCAATAGATACTATTGTACTATTGATATTATTAATAACATAATGTTATTAATCATTAAAATTATGTAATTCAAATTAAAACCAAGAACTATAATGAAGTTTTTTATTTATAATTTAAAATGCACTAAGACGATTGATGATCTATTAAGATATTAATGTTATATTTGAATCATTAATTGTGTAAAATCTTAACTCATTATTACCTAAATATAGATATAAAGCTTTATTAGCTAAATCTAATCTACAATCCTTTATCTTTTAATAAAATTCTTCTTAATATATAATATTTTCATATGATTATAAGAATATCACTTTATTAACTGTAATTTATAGTAGCATCATACTGGAAAGTTAATGAATAAGTAAAGTCTTTTAATTTTTTATAACTTTTATATCAGCTATAATAAATTGAGGAATAGTATAAATTTCAGATGACTAAGAGAAACTAAGCATTATTAATGAAGGATTTATATAGAAGATCTTTCTTGGTCTCATTTCATTTGTTAATTTGTATCTTTCTAAAACATTTTCATTAATTCCTTTTCTAAATAAACTAACAGGATATTTCTTATTATAACTTGCAATGAAGCAGATTTAATTACATGGATGGATATCTACTATTTAACCTAAATTATAGAATTCTTTAATAATTTAATTATCCTTAACAAGAATTGAATTATCATTTATTGATCCAAAAAATGTTTGATTATTAAATTCAACCACACAACTAATTCTAAATTAAATATTTGAGTTGAATTCTACAATTTCTTAGTTTTACATTTAAAATAATTTGTTTTCACTTTGTAATATAAAAGTATTATGATACAAGAAAATTTATTCAATCTATTATCCAAATTCAATGTGATATAATTCTTCACATTTATTCAAATCAATAATTGTTAATTGTGGAAAAACTATGCTTTGATAGAGGAAATGTGGTTAGGTTTTGGATATGCAGTAGATTTATTCAACACCCATTTCTATATCCATAAATTTATGAGAATAAACTACATTGCATTCCATTAATTTTTATTTAATCACATATGTTAATTAATTAGTGGGATTTGGCGCAAAACTCACAATTTTATTTTTCTTTACTAAATTCTCAATCTCATCTATTTTACAAACTTAATATTCATATTGATAGTCAAGTACTATAAAATCTTTATAAGAATATATAGCTAATGGTATTTAAGGAAGTGTATATGAGGATAGCACCTCCAAATCTTAATTAACAAATTTGATGCAATTTTCTAAGGTATAAATTACAATGACGTTGTCCTATAATAAGTAAATGGTCTTAGCATTTAATTAGTATTTCTATTCATTTATGTATATAAATGGAGGAGAACAGAAATATAGATTCGATCTGATTTCCAAAGCACTTGTTACACATAATGACTCAAATAAATTATTTAACATTTAATTAATAATGGCCTTTAGAAATATTTATACAGGTGGTGCTTGCACTGCTGATGGAACTTAATAGATGAGTTAAAATCCATTTAAGCAATTTATGGATAGGATGCTATTTGGCTAAACATAACAATAGTATATCTTAAATATAAGAATCTTAGATAAATATAATAATAGATAAATGTTTAATAAGATCCGATTGTTCAATAAAAATTATAAGAGCGTTAACGATTACTTGAAAGCATGAATCAATAATGGGATGTTATGGCTAAACAATATGATTAAGCAAATATGGAATAAAGATAAATGATGGAAAAGATGTTTGTAGAAGAGTAAAGAAAATATGAATAAGCTATGATTTAGTAATAAATGATGATGGATTTTTAATGGTAATAAGCAGAAATCTAATACTAAGCAGATTAAATGGCTTAAGAATATTTATTTTAAGAAGCTTATGAAAATGCTGAGGATTTATAAGCTTAGAGTGAAAAATCATAAAAATTTGCTGATGATCTAGTTTAAGCCCTAGAAAAAGATCCTGATCCAAGATTTTAATAATCTAAATTTTTAAGATTTATGAAGGACATTTAGAATGGAAATCTAAAATTAGTTGGCAATGAATTATTAACATAGAAAGGGGATAAAGTAGAATAGTCAGCATTAGATAGAATATAGACATTGGAAGAAGGATGGGATTAAGCTACAAAAAATGTTGAATAAAAATAATCAGATTTAACAGAAGTTGAAGAGAAATTTTCAAAGATGTGGGATGAAAAATTATAAAAATATGAAAGTGAATTATAAAATGAAGATTAATTTTAAAAGAATCTTGAAGATACTTATTAAAAAATACTTAAAGAAATGGATACAGGAACAGATTTTGATAAAATGTTTTCTGATGCCTGGTAAGCTGCATCAGATTTATAGGAATTTGAACTCTATAAAGATTCTAATGATACTTATAGATTTTAAGAAAACAATAAATATTTATAGATGGACTTTCCTCTACAAGCAGCATTGAATTTAGTACATTAAGGCTAAAATACAGAAGCTATTCTTGCTTTGGAAGCTCACATTTAAAAAAATCCAACAGATTCTAATGCTTGGAGAATCTTGGGTAGGTTACATCAAGAAAATGATTAAGATTAAAGAGCTGTGGCTGCCTTCTTAAATGCTTTGAAATAAAATCCAAATGAATTAGATACATTAAGTGCTTTGGGTATATCTTGTACAAATATTTTGGATGAAGTAAAAGCAATGTCCTTTTTAAAATAATGGTTAATTAGAAATCCAAATTATAAAGTTGCAGTAGATGATAGTATTGTGCCTGATAATACAAATATATATGATTATACTTTAGATTAAATAAAATGCATGAATGCAAGAATGATTCAAGTTTTTGAAGCAGCTCATTAATAAGGACCAAATGATGTTGAATTATTAAATGGATTAGCTGTACTTTATTTTATTGAAAGAAATTATTAAAAATCAGTTGAAATATTTAAGAAAGCTCTTTAAATTGAACCTAAAAATTATTAGATTTGGAATAAATTGGGAGCTACATTAGCACATTTAGGTGAAGCAGATTAAGCTATGTTTTGTTACCATAGAGCATTAGATCTTAGACCTAATTATGTGAGAGTATGGGTTAATTTGGCATTTGCATATTCTTACAAAGGAGAGTATTTAGATGCTGCAAGATTGTATTTAAGTGCTCTTATGATTAATCCATAAGCTAAACATATATGGGGTTATCTCTAAACAGCATTCTTGTAACTATGTATCAATTAGATTTATATCAAATAGAAAGACCAGATTTAATTTCGAAAATATAACATTATGATCCTATGTTATTTAAGGATGAATTTAATGTTACTAATCCTAATGATTTGCCAGAACCTGAAATACTATGTAATTTTCTTTTGTTAAAATTTTCCTAGATAGAGAAGCTAATAATTTATACATATTTAAAATGTCTGAAGAAGAATGGTTATAGACTTCTTAGAAAAAACCATGAGATTAACCATTCTATATTTTGTTTAAAAAATATTAATAGTTTATTAAATGTCTAATTAAGGATCGTCAATGAAAGAAATTGAAATACCCACTCCAAGTGGTAAAAGCAATTCATAATTGTAATCAGTAAGTGATAATGCTGATTTACAAAGAGATTCAGATCCAACAATTCAAAAAAGGGATTTTTCTGTATCTCAATTTTCTTAAAATGCCATTAAACCTAAAAAATTGAGAAGAATTATTTAGGCTATGGACATAATTGGAATGCTTGGATTATTAATTTATTGCATTTTAATACAATCTTATTACTCAACCATATATTTGATATGTTTGCTCTTAATTTTAAATTACTCCTATATTAGTAGCTATAAAGGAGTTTAAGTAAAAGATGGAAAACTTTATCCTTTGGAAGAATTTGCAGCTTAATAAGAATAATTTCATAATACTAATTAGAACTAAGAGTAATCTGAAAATAATTTTATAACTCAATATTGGTTAGTTCTTAATGATTTTAAGAAGACAATTTGGTATAGTTTTGTTATAGTTTCCGCAATCTCTTTAATAGTTAAGCTTACATTATACCCTATAGCTAAAAATGGAGTAATTTAAATTAATATAGTAAGGGTTATGCAATGATGTCAATTGAAAACTTTAGAGGATTGGAAGTCTATTTCACATTGATAAATGGTAAAATCACAGTCTCTTCAGCAGAACAAGGATTAGCATTTGCACCTAACTGCATAATGTTAACTTTAGCAATAATTATTTTAATTTTCAGAAATGTCGAAATTAAATAAGAATTCAATGAATTATCAGATAGTCCTATTTTGACTAAATTTTTTATTGTAATCATTTGCCAATTTATATTTAGCTATTAATGTTACTTAATTTGATTGTCTTAACTTGTTGTACTAAATCTCTAATTGGCCTTGTTATGTGGGGTTTTTAATTGGTTTTGCTGTTAAAAATGTATAACAATCAATTAGTAGATAAACTATATTTTATAATTTTGAAGATAGTAATTATGGTAATATTAGTGGTTATGTTTTTCATCAGCACACCAATTAAGAAAGTTATCCTTTAAAATAATAGAGCTGCATCTTTCACATTATAATTTTCTGGATTTTAATTATTTGGTTACTTTTCGAATTACGAAGCCCAAGCCATTCTATTTATTATCTTCTCAATTATTGTACTAAATATGCTTTGTTTAGTTAGTTAAAAGATTAAAACCTAGAATATCAAAAATCAATTTAATTATACTGTATAAGAGATCTCTTAATAATATAAAGACTTTAAATAGTTTAAAGAGTTTATTAAAAGTTAAATGGATAATATTTCTGTAGATATCAATGATTCACCTAAAGGAAAGAGAAAAATTAGTGTTGAAGTAAATTAATTAGAAGGTTCTAATAAAATTGAATCTGAAGAAGAAATAGAAATTTCAGAAGAAGATATTGATGAATAAGGTAATGATGAATCAGATAATGATGAATCAAAAGAAAATCCTAATATTGAAAAAGAGTCAGAAGATTAATAAGTTTATACTACTTTTGCATATTTTAATAAAATTGAGAAAGCTTGGTATGATTAATTAGAAAGTTTAAAAAATACAATTGATAAACCATTGATTTCTTTGATTATATTACAAATATTGTCTCTAAGTATAGTCATACTGTAATAGACATATTTTTCAATTTTACTGGTATGTTGGCTTATTTTAACAGGATTTACATTAAATTTTAAAATAATTAGACTGGCTACAGTATTTTGTAATATTCCTTCATTATTGATCAATTTTTTTACTTTCTATTACAGCAATATAACAGGATTAGATAGACCTGATAATTTCTATTAATTTTGTCCTTCTAGTGAATATAAAAATATAGATGAGTTACCAAAAACAGTATGTTAGAAACTTGGATTCTTTTATTAAGATAATTCAGCTGTGAATTCAATTCTGATGAATTGTACTTTATGTTTATTTTTTTTGTTCATTAAATAAATTGAAGAACAATAAGAAAAAGAATAATAAATAAAAAGTTAAACTAATGAAATTGAAGAAAAGTCTAAATGGTTTAATATATTTTTAGCATTTTATTTTAGAATAGGATTTTTAATGGTAATTGTATTATTATATTGGGTTGGATTCAATGAAATTAATGTAATTTAATTTATTATGATTCTACTTTTGATAATATTTATTGTTAATTAATCAAATAAATGTGAATATAAAGGAAAGAAAGTACCTTTTCAATAAAAATATTGGATAATTCTATTGGTTTACATGAGTGTCCTTACTTTAATAAAATATTTATACATTTTATTTGGAGTTTAATAAAGTTACTTTGTTGTTTAAGTATTAGGGTTTAATATGTTAAATCGCTAATTAGTTTTGAATTGGCTGTTGTTTTATTTGACAATAGTTCAATATTATGGATTTAATACTACTTTATATGATTAATATTCAAATGTAAAATAAATATTATATTTTAGAGATTAATAGCAACTATTTCATAAGTTGATAGTGTGAAAGAAAATGCTCCTAATTTTAGATATCATTTTGGAATTTTAGAAACTATTTATGGTCATTCATTGATATGGACAGCATATGTAATTAATATATGCTTTTTGTTATTCACACCTTATAGTTATCTAAATAATATATTATTATTATATATAGGAATTGTTTTCTTATATCATGTAAAATAAATAAATTCATAAATTAATTACATAAAATTAAGATTATTATGGTATATATACATGTAATTATTGCTAATAGCTTTTGCATATAGATATCTCTTTTCATTTTTGTAAATTATTATAAAATTTATTAATTTAGTTGTGTTCCAGATTTAAATGAAAAATCAGATGGATTTTAAAGATTTTATGATAATCTTTAATTATATTATTAGGAAGCTGGTCTTTATGCATATTCTACAGATAATTTAAGAATGGAATACTTGGCTGATACTTTAAATATTTTATTTGGTGCTTTTGCATTGAATTAATTGTCAAAATTTAAGAAATTGTAATTAAAATAAAATAATTTAAATTTAAATGAATCTAATTCATAAAATATTCTAGATTTAAAAATATTAGAATAATAAAAGTGGCTGAAATCTATTTTGATTGGAATTGCTCATATTAATACTGATTTAATTACAATATATATTGTAATATCTTGTGTACTTTATCTTAGATCAATAGCTGCATTTATATTATTGACTTTGTATTTAAGTTATTTTTATCGAGTGCATAATACTATTTTAGATATTCTAGATGAGTAATAAAGTTTATCAAAACTATAAAAATGTAAAACATTATATAGATTTAGAAATTTATCTTCTCAAAAAATTATACCTAGAATTTGCTTCAGATATATCTCATATAGATGAAACTAAGAACATTAAAAGATTGAATGACTAAATTAAGTTATTGCGATTAAACACTAGAATCAAACTTAAAAGAAAAATATGGTTATATTCATTTTATTTTACTGCCTTTTGTATTTTCCTTTCTTACCTATCTTAATTTCTATCTACTGAATCATTTACAGAAATTGTTAATCCTCCATTATGGGTGGATTATACAGTACTTAGTTTTTTTATTTTTGGAACTTATTCAAGATAATACATAATTACAAATTAATGTTATTGTGGTTATGAATCAAATAATAATGATTGTAATGAAAGTAATTATGTTTAAACTGAATCAAATATGTGGTAGGTTTCATGGTTTTATTTATTTTTATTGTTTGTTAATGTAATTGATACTGCTTGTACAAAGATTTTAGAAGATGATTTAACTAATAGTATAGAAAATCTATAAGAAACTTAAGAAATGAATTAAATTGAAGAATCAAGGATTTAAAATTAATCTTATGAAGAAAGTAAAGAAATATTTGATTAAAAATATGATTTTATCATTTTTGTTAAAAGTCATAGTGAATATAATTCATTTGATAGAGAAGTATTAATTTTGAATTACTTTAAAAATAAAAGTAGATTTGTTAAGATATTACTTCATGAATCATTATTTAAGATTTTTTAAAGATTCCTTATATTACTTTATCTATCAAATACTTTGCTTGTTAATACTATATTTTCATTATTCTATTTAATAATATCTGTTATTTTATTTTAAATGAGTGCTACAGTAAAAAATACTAAAATGTTAAACTCTATAGCAATATTCTCAATCTTATTTTAATATTTCCTTTATTTATTAAATTGGACTCCTTCAATTAATAATGTTCCTAAGTTGAACAATTTTAATTTAACTCCTGATGATTTTAATATAATGGCTAAAACAAATTTATCTGATTATTGGTTAGCCTTTTTAGGATTTGAAAGTACAGAAATTATGGATTGTGATTAACTTAATTAGAGTGTATTTTAAGATATGAAGTGTGAAACTAATCAATTATTAAATATAGTTATTGTATTTAATTGTCTCATAGTATCTTTTATTTATTTATATTTTATAATGCTTGAGTGGTTTTGTAATCAAATATATAAACAATCTATAAAAATGAAGAACGAATTTATAATATGCAAAAAAGTACTTAGTAATCATAGTGACAGTCAAATTATTATTACTTATAATTTATGGAGATAGAAGAATTATAGTTTTAGACATGTATTGATATAAACAATCACTATGAATTATCATTTAATTCTCTTTGGATTTGTGTTGTTGTTATGTGAAATGAATAGATCAATTTTTAATTTTCTTTAATTACTTATACTTATTGGATTTTTATATGTTGCAGAATTCCATTTTAAATGGCCCTATGCTTTTTCTGAAAGGAGAATAATTAAAGCATTTTATCAGGCAATATTTACATTATCTGCTATCATTATTGCCCTATTTACCTTATTAAAAGTACCAACCTTTTTAGAATAATGTGTTAATGCTTCAATAATTAGAATAGATGTAGGGAATGGATTAGAATTCTATTGTATGGAAGCCTTTAATTTAAAAATTGATGGATAGATTTTCTTGATATTCTTCATTTCATTATATTTTGATTTATAACTATCCAATCATCTGAAAACTACATAAGATAATTATTAATCCAAATTAAAATTAAGATCTAGAATGGTATCAAGAGGTCTTGCTTATAATTATAATTATTAATAATATAAAAAAATATTATAATTGTAGGAAGAGAAAAATCTCTTAAATTAAATTTCAGATACAATAGAATAAAAGATGATTATATGGAAGAAAAGATTAAGAGAAATATAGATGAAATAATTTGAGAATGAAAAATCAATTAATGTTTAATAATAATAATATCCTCAATTGACTGCTAGCTTTATGACAGAGCCTGAAGTTTAAATTCCATAAGATTAATCATATTTTAGGAAAATATATATTAGAATGATAATTTGGATGAGAAATGATAATCAATAAATAAAATTTATGCCATTTCACATTTTGATGGATTATATCTTATAATAAAATAAACGACTTTAGAGACATGTATTTATTTAGTTAGAAAATCATTTAATGAATGATACTACATCTTATGAAGAAGAGATGAAAAATCTTGAGAAAATATATAGAAGATTTTATTAAGAGATTTGTAAAAATAAAGATAAATTAAATGATGCAGCTTTAGATAAGATTATTTAAAAAGCTATGGATAAATATAAGAAATTGTATAAACCATATAAATTTTAATAATATAATAAATATGTAAACTAATATTAAATGAATTATAACTTAAGTAAAGAACTTAGATTTGTACATATTGTTGATGAAAAAGAGAGAATAGTTTTAGAATAAACAAAATAAAAATATCCAATAAATAAATTAATATAAATGAAAACATTACATTTATTTAGTTTATTTCTACAAGATATATTTAAATATTGTTTGATTAAGTGGGATACTATAACTAATATTATAATTATTTGTTATTATTTCAAAAACTATGCTCTTTTAGGTATGGTATTACCAATAATTATGTTTGTATGGGGATTAATAGATATAAATACTAAGACATTTTGGATTATTTCTTATTCATTATACTTTTTCATAATTTTAATGATATTTGTTGACTCTATGTATGGAGTCTCATACAGTAAGCCAAATAAATCTACATAGTATATTCCATGGTATTACATATTAGATAATAGTAATACATTAGGATTATTTTATGAAATATTTACAATATGGTTAATTACATTCTAAGTATTCCTATAAAAATCATTTGGTATTTTTGATTACCCTTTCACATAGATAGAAAATATATTTCAAGGTTATATCAGATTAAAATTAAACAATTTTAATAAAGATATGGTTGAAGAAATAGTATAAGAATCAGAAATACAGAGATCAAGATCTAAGTCAGAAATAGGTAGAGTAGAGAATCCTGAAATAGTGAGAATAGAATTAGAGAGTTAATTATAAGGAAAATTGTAATTGGAAAAATCAAGTTTGGAAGAAGAACCTGAAAGTATAATGTTAAAAATAGGTAATGATTTAGAAAGAAAAATTGCTGCAAATCCTGAAATCTTAAGTGATAAATATTAACCAGGATTTTTTGAGAAAATAATGTCTTATGAATATGCAAGACCAGGCATAGATCTTTATTTAGCTATAGCTTTTGTTTAAGTAATCCTATTTTTATATATGTTATTTTTTTTCAATTTCATGACTGGGGAATCATAAAATATTGAAGGGTACTTAAAATATAATTAAGTACCTGCTCAATTAGTATTAGCATTAGTATTTTAAATGTTATTTATGATGATTGAAAGGTATATTGAATTAAGAGGAGATTAAAAATATATTAAAAATCAAGAAAAAGTAATATATAAAAATAAATACAAAACTTAATTTGTTTAAAAGTATATATTACAAGTAGTAATTCTAATTTTAGTATTCTTTTTTGTTTATTGCTATTTATTAAAACTTTGGAATAGAACTATAGAAGATTTTTCAGAATATAATACTTCAATTGTAATATATTTTATGTTATTTTGTGCTTATTTTTATTTATCTGCTCTTTAACTTAGATATGGATATAGAGAATTAAAGGTAAGAAATCAATTTTTGTATGTTTATAATTCACTTAGCTATTATTTTGCTTTAATGTTCTATTCAATTCCATTTTTATATGATTTAAAGGTATTGATGGATTGGACTTGTTTATATACATCTCTTGATATTTATTAATGGTTTACTCTAGAAGATATTCAAAGATAATTGTATTTTACTAAAATATCTTCACAAAAAGTAATGAAAAGACAATTAGGATTACAAATATCAAAGATAACTAAATTTATTTTCTTTTTCTTTGTTATTTTTATATTAATATGTATATTTGGTCCATTAATATTATTTTCTGCTCTTAATCCTGCTGCATAAGATAATCCTATTGTTAGTGGAACTTTTACAATTAATTTAGTTAATGTTGATACTAACTTAAATGTTTAATTTTATGAATCAAGTTAATTATTTGGATTAGATTTACCAATATTAAGAGACTATTCTGAAATTAAAATTCTAACTAAATAAGAAAAAATTACAAAATAATAAATAGATAATTCAGGAGGAATCTAAAGATTTTAATTATCAGACTTTTCAAATTCTAAATGGTAAGTCTCACTTCCACTCTATACTTAATTAATTAGAGAATTAGATCAAACTTTATCTTTATAAGAAGATTATGCTTTTATGTTTAATGTAACTTTTATATTTAGAAGACGTTTCTAATTTTTATTTCCTACAGTATATAAATTTTCATATCCTTATAATCCTCTAATAAATGGAAATAATGGTACTGCTAAATTAGGAAGAGATCAACTCAGATATATTAAACAAGCTGCCTTGAATTGTAATGATACAGGAATTATGTTACCCAATTTCTATATTGAAGCACTTAGAATTTATCAAAGTTCGGCAACAAATTATAATACAACTCCTATTTATGGAAGAGATCTTAAAACCGCTTAAGATGTTTTCCTTAATATTAATTGTTCATATGGTAATGAAAATCCTCTATAAGGAGTGTCTAATTGGGAATTTTAATATGCAGGAAATAGTAATTTATTTTCTAATTCATCAAATATAACTTTGGCTAATGGATTATTATATTTTGTAGTTTGTGATAAATTCTCAGTCTTAACAAATGGATTAAGTGTTATTACAATTTATACTACAATTATTCTTCTAATAGCCAAATGCATAAGAAGCACATTTTCCTCTCAAGTATTTATGTTAGAATTTACATAAATGGTTTAACCAGATGATTTATTATCAATATGTTAGGCTGTATCTGTAGCAAGATAGCTTGAAAACTATAAAAAGTATTATAAATATTTTATATTTTAAGAGAGAATTTATTGTATTTTGAATTGATAGACATTTTACGTTCTCCAGAATTAGTAAAAGCAATGACTGGTGCATGGTCAGAGAAGTTCGAATCTTAATACATGAAATAAAAAGAAATTAAAGAAGAATAATTGTAGAATCAGGAATAATTAAAAGAAGAATCAAAAAAATTAAAATTAGACTGATTGTCTTTTATTATATTTTGAATGAATTTTACTATTAAATACAAAATTTTAGATTAAAAAGAATTTTACTATCAGGAATTTCTAATTGAGAAATACCAAAAGTCAAAATCTATTTTAAAATATTTAAAGTTTTACAAAAGTTATTATTTTATTGTTAAAATTGATATTATTATCATAGATTTGATTTATACTATCTTAATTTTGATTTAATGATCTTCTTTAAAAAAAAAGAAATAATTATCTATTTTATAAACTTACCTCCTTTTAGCTTTTGAATAATAATTAAAAAATAATTGTAAAAATAATAATAAGCTTTTTAAAATATTTATTTTTTTCATTATGTCACAGATCTCAAAATACTAATTATAAGGGAAGGTTGGATCTGGTGTTTATGGAGATGTCTATAAAGCCATAAATACATAAACTGGAAAGATTGTTGCTATAAAGAAGATTAAGAAGCAGGTTGTGTATATAAATTATATATAGTAATAAGATTAAGGGGTATCTGCAGTAGCTGTAAGAGAAACATCGATATTACAAACAGTATAATGTGAAAATATTGTGAAGTAACAATTAAAATGAAAAAAAGATTGATTGAAATTGAATATGTTTAAGGTTGCATTAGATTAGTAATGGAATTCTATGATGTTGATTTGGATACATATTTGAAATCAAATAGATTAGAAATGAATAAAATTTAAGTAAGTTTGTAAATGTATCATAAATAGGAAATTTTATATGGAATCTTAAAAGGGATGAATGAATGTCATAGAAAGAAGTGTATGCATAGAGACTTAAAACCTTAGAATATATTAATTAGTAAAGATGGTATTTATTATAAAAATTTTAATTTTTTAGGTAAAGTTAAAATTGGTGATTTCGGTATGGCTAGATCTTTCCAATAAATACCTGGATCTTATACATATGAAGTAATAACACTTTGGTACAGACCACCAGAGTTATTACTTTAAACTTCTTGTTATACAACAGCAATAGATGTTTGGTCTATTGGATGTATATTTGCTCAAATGGTACTAAGAGCACCTTTATTTGCTGGAGATAGTGAAATTTAATAGATGAAATTAATTTGTGAAAACATATCATTGAATTAAGATAATGCATAAGTTTTATCTGTATCTCATTATGAGTAATTTATAGAATTCTGTATTTTAAAATTAATTGGAACAAAAGTTGGATTAATAATTCAAGAATACAAGTATGACTTAAGATGGTTTGGATTTGTTAAAAGTAAAAATATATTAATTTTTAGAAATTATTATAATTGAATCCAACCAATAGAATTTCTTGTCATGAAGCTCTAAAACATGTATATATATTTTTAATATTTAAGCCATTTTTTAATAATATCTAAGAACCAGATGTTATAAATTAAAATATGGATTTATTATCTGAGTATTTTAGAGTTTAATAATGAAGGAGAAATTTGGTTTCAATTAAGGATGATTCCTTAAATTAAATAATTCAATAATCGAAATATATATAAATAAAATATTTAAAAACAAGGATTTCTTGTTAAAAGGTCTTAAATTGTAAAAAAAGAATGATGTGGACTCAGTATTAAAAAACAAATAAAATATTTTTTAATTAATTGTATAAGTTTCATTTTGTTTTAGAATGTAGTTATATTCAATTAAAATTTATTATTTTAAATTAAAATCTAAAATTTTAATCTTTTAATATATTTTCTCTAAATTTTAGTAATATTGTTTTTTCAAGTTTCATAACTAGATTTTAATATTTAATAAGAAAATAAAATATATGAATAGAAATGATTCAAACTAAATAATATATATATATATATCTTTATGAATAATATAAAATTATTAGAAGATGTTATTAGACATAGAATCTAATTTAATAGAAAATAATGTTAACATCATAGTTTCTAATATTAAACAAAAAATATAAACAAATATTATAAGCCACAAATACGGTATTATAAAGATTCTAAGTATTTAACTTGAAAGCTAATTAAATGACTTTATTAATAAATATTTTAATAAATGGCTGCCACTCTTGAATAAATAAAAAAAGAAATAACTGCATAATAAGAAGCTTAGAATGGAGAATTAGAAGATTTAGATATTGAAGGAATTGCAATTGGTCAATTTGATTCTCAATCAGCAAATCTTATTCAATAACATTAGAATCTAATAAGTTTGAGTCTTGTTGAATGTAAACTCAAAAGCATGGAAGGATTCCCAAAATTGAATAATTTGGAAAATCTAATTTTGGAGGCAAATCAATTAGATGGATCAGCTATAACTTACATAAGCAAAAATTTTAAGAAATTAGCATGTTTAAGTCTTGCAGATAATAAAATTGCTAAATTTGAAGTATTATATCACCATTAAATATTAGGATGTGGAGCCATTAAAATAACTTAAGTAATTACAATAATTAGATTTGGGTGATAATCCAATTACACAACTTCCTGGATATTTTAATAAAATTTTCGAGCTCATTCCATCATTATCTGTTTTGGATAACAAGGATAAGGAAGGATAAGAAATTTAATATTCCGTAATACTAATATCTAATTATTGAATAGAGTGATGAAGATGAAGGTGATGAATACGATGATTTAGGAGCTAAAGATGCAGATGAAGATGAAGAAGATGAATTTGATGAAGATGAAGATGATGAAGATGATGAATCTGATGTTAAACCAGTTAAGAAGACTAAGAAATGAAGTTTGTTTGTTCTTTTAGTTCATTTATAAATACGTTTTATAATATATTAATAATGATAATAAATTAAGGGGCATTCCCAGAAGACATTGAATTCAAATTAAACAAAAAGATCAAATATTTATAGAATCAACAAGCAGATCCTTATATTATCATCAAAAGAAATGTGTTAAATATTCATTATAGTCATTAAATTCAAAAAGAAAGCCATTCTATTCAATAACATTAAACAATTTAAATAAATTTAAAAATAGCAATTAAAATATCCAATTTATCAGAATTTATTAGAAATTTTATATAAAAAAAAAGGGGAAATATTAGTAAGTCTTATTTTTTAAATATGAAATTCATGAAAAAATATGTATAAGTAAAGTAATTGAGTTAAAAAGGTATTTAAGTATTATTTATTGAAAAAAAGTAAAGTAATAAAAAAATAATAGAAGAAATTCAAAAGGCTATTAATTTTTGATGATCTAGACAAAGATGATATACAGAGAATGAGTAAACAAAATAACTAATAAATAATTAAAAAAGGGAATCAGAAAACAAAAAGATTGGGAAAAATAGCAAGATTTAACAACAGATTAAATTAAAAGAGCAGAAAATTTAATGATTTAGGATAATTGTATATTATATTTTTCTTTAATTTTGATAGATAATAATAAATTTCAATTTTTGTTTAACAATGTTATTGATAATAATATTAATATTATAATAAATAAATTATTTGAAAATCATGAAGAAACATAAGATTCTGAAATTTCTGGCTCTCTCAATTGCTTTATTTTGAATATTAATAGAAAAACCCCACAAGTACATAATAATACTAACACAAAAAATAGTATTGCCCAAATAGGAATCTTGTATAAGATCTTATAAATTCAATTAAGTATTCTTACTGGTCTTTTAATTTCATTATTTAGATTGCATTCTTTTTCATAATCAACAAATTGTTAACTTAGGATTGATTTAAATTTATCATATTAGCAAAAGGTTCCTTTTTTAGAACACACTGGCACATATTCCCCATTATAAAGTATTCTCACATATAATCCATTTTAAGTATTGTTGTAGAGTTCGATAATTAGATTAGATGAAAATTCTATATTCTAAAATATTAATTAAGATACTTCAGTTAAACAAAAAATGTCTGATTAATCTTTTTTAAAATAAATATCAGCTTAACATTAAGCGCTTGTCAAATTTAAACCAGAAATAATACCTAACATAGTAGAATCATGAGATGAGGAACCTCTGTATTTAACTTTAGATTTTCCATTGATAAAATTATCAAAATTTTAAATTATTTATTTAAGATATGGAGTTGAATATAATTTTGATTATTCCCAATTTTAAAATTATCTTAAGCTAAATGATAATAATGCAATTTCATCCATAAAAAATAATGTTTTTGCTGTTAATTTTGGAGGTAAATCATCACCATTATATCTATTACATGTAAATGTATCTCTCCATTTAGCCAATTCAATAATATCATTTACTTATTATTCTCCAATAAGACCTAATTCTAAATTAAAGTTTTTAAATAATTCTTATGTTTAATTTGCATAATTGATTGTATTATATAGCTCTGTTTATTTATTTTATTGAACTGTTGATCCTGTAGTTTTACAATAAATTGCTAAAGCATAATCTTATTCCTCTTCTTTTGTATGAATTGGTATTAGTGAAATTTTATAAGGTAGAGCATAATTTCCTATAGAAGGAGATTTACTACCAGAATTAGGAGGCAACAGTTTATCTTCAGTTACATTTGGAATTTCAAAGCCTTCTGGATACATTCCTTATAAATTGCTATAAGCACTCATAATAGTTCTCAAATTGATATATTTTGTACCTATTATAATCTGTGCTTTCTATATAAATTTCATTTTCATTAAATTATGGCGATAGAAGATGATTATCAATTATGTATCTTTATCTAAGCCATTTTCCTAAAACATATTATTGCCTCATGCCTGCAGGAGTAAGAATTTATGCATCGCCATCAGGTTCATTATTTTTATCACATCCCCAATTACAATAATAAAAGTCCCTTACTCCATGTCTCCAAATAGCTTAAACATTGATTAAAGTATCATTTGATTATACAAATGAAATGGCCCCATATAATAATAATAACAAAATATTCATAATATAATATTTCAAACTCTTAAATATAATTAACATATTAATGTATATTTAAGTATTGAGAAGCATTTAGATTTTTTTCTAATTTAATATATTGAAATAATTAAAAATTGATTAATGTATTATTTTGTATTGTATGTGTGTATTTTCAAGCTCTGTTGGGATAAAGGAATACTCTAAGGGTTGATCCAATAGCTCTTGGTGGGAGATTTCTGCCAAAACGAGCAATCACAACTCCATTTGCTCCATGTGATTTACTAATACGACCCCAAATAGTCTGAATAAAATTAATTTCATACTCTGAATTTTGTGTTGTTCTTAAGTGTATGGGCCTTATAAATGTATGCAACTCTCTTTCCCCAATAGAATCTGCTTGAAGCAACATCTTCAACATGTTGAATTTTGAGTAATGCTTAATTCTCATTTTATTAAACCTTTGATCTTCTGAAACCTGTAAATGCAGCCTTAACCCATAATCTAAATTTAGTATTCAACTCTACCTCACAGGTGCACTTTTATTAGTTGTCTTAACTTTCTTTACAGTTTTTGTTGCTTCCTTCTTTTAATCAGCTTAACCCTTCATTAATTAAAATCTTTGTTATTTTTTTATTTAAAAATTAAACCATAATCCTCATTATATATATATTGAGTTTATAACAAATCTCATAAATATACAAATATATATTTCATTCATTAAAGGAATTTTATATAGATGTTGTTGTCTAATAAGGGAATCGTTTTTATGGTTCTATTTATAATTCACTATAATTTAAATCCTATTATAATCCAAGAACTATTTAATATGATTTTTAAGATAATGCATAATCGTAATCTACTGAATAGATTTTTTCTCCTGTTTCCTCTGTCTATATTATTTATTATGTAAAGTTGTCTCCAGAACCTAAATGTTCACTTTTAGGTATAGAAATATCATAAATTGGACAATTCAAACATTTATTGAAAATGGATTACAATACATAACTATCTTATTCATTTGTTATAATTCCACTACAAATAAGTATTTCTAAATATCTCTTATAATGCATTTTTATTTAACTTAATTCTTTTAAATCTTCTTATTTCATTAAATTAATGCAGAAACAGCATGATAAGAATGAAGACTATTATATTATTTTCATTAAACTAATAAAGTCTTCTTAATCATATTAACTAAATCCTTTCAATTCTTTAATTAAAAATATTAATGAACAAAATAATCTTCCTTAATCAATAGAATTATTATTTCTTCCTTCTACTCCTTTTTAATATATTTTACATTAAAAAGTATGTACTATACCAGTTCCTTATTGATACTTTGTTAAATTTATTATAAATTCTGTATTTTCTACTGTTAAATTAAATCCTTTATTTTAATTAATTGTATTGCTCAACATCATATATTGTGATTTTTCAAAACCTGTCTTTTTTTGATCTCTTTATTTTAATACTATTCCATTTCTATTTTAAGATTGTCTAAGAATCTTATTGATCCAAAATTAATTTTCATACCTTTATATAAATGCTTCATTCATTCTAGAACCCATTGAAAATATATCTTAAATTGGATTGCCTTATAATTTGATAAGGAATGTAAATTTATCAATTTCATGTGGTATCAATCTTAACAATAAAGAAACACATTCTACAACTTGCTATTTACCTTCATGGGAGTAATCTGGCATAAATATATATTGATCAATTAATGATAAACTTTTTTTGAAAGAAAACTAGACTAATTTAATACAATAACCTTTCCAATAATTATTTCTGGTTTAGAATGCTTTTTTGAAGTTGAAGAATTTTAAATATATTATTGAATCTCAGAATTTGGAGTTTATAAATAAATAATAAACTATGATGCTTGAGATTCTATAAAATGAATTAATTCTAAAGGAGGATTTTATGTGATTAATAGAACAACCTATCCATTTAATGCAGGAAGAGATTGATTATATAAGTCATCAATATCAAGTAATTTCTTTTCATTAAATTTCACTACAAATGGATATTATGACTACTTATAAATATTCAAAGTACATCACTTCCTTAAATTATTCTAATTGGATCTTAAATTGAAAAATATTCATCATATTAACTAAACTTTGATATAATTTTCAATGTAGGTTATTGACTTTCATCAAAATTGGATACTTCCATCATATTTGTTATATATTATTATTCATTTTTATCTCTGATACAAAATAATCTTTGAAGCCATCGTGTAAATGAACTCTTTTATGGTTATACTTATTATTGAAAAGATTTTCTAAATCATTAAACTCATACTTAACCAAAGAAGATTTTGTATAATGTGGGGATGGCCGACTAGTATTTTGCATAAAATTATAATTTATTTATTTATTCATTTTGAGTTATCAAATATTATTATAATATTGAAGAAGATTAGTAATTTAATAATTATTTTATGATCTTTTCATTCTGTTATTACCATATATTAAATTTATTATACAAATAAAGAAGTATAAAACTTTTAAAGTTTTGATTTATTTTATATTCATTTTAATATAAATTAATATAATTGGAGTAATATAATAAAAATCATTTTCATCTTCTTTAACTGACATATAAAGCTTCTAAATCAGCTTTTGTAGAATTATATTCTTAGAGTAATTTATGATAATCTTTATTAATCTTTATAAACTTCTCCTTCCAAGCATTATCATTTTCAGCATCTTATTATATTTGAAGTTCCTATTATTCAATAATCTCACTAAGAGACTCTATTCTTTAATCTCTCTCTCTTAATAATATATCAAATAATTAATTATCTTTAGTTACTCTATCTAATCTTTCTAATACTTCTTTATTTTAATCTTCAAAGTAAGTAATTCTATTCTGCAATTCAATCTATGACTTTGCTTAAAATTCATCATTCTTATATTAATATTCTTTCAATTAATTCTCTAAATTAACAATAGTACTTGTTTTCTATTTTGTTTCCTCTCTTATTTGTTCTATTTGATTTTAATACTTTTTGCATTTTTAACATTCATAATTTTCAACATTACATCTTAGATTTTCATTTAATTTCTTTAATTACAAAATTTCATTTGATTACTTGATATACAATTATTCTAATCCATGATATTTATTAAGTAAATTTTAAAAATCATATTAAAGTTTGACAACATCTTTTGGAATTTATATTTGCATATTTTATTTATTCGTTAAATTATAATAAATTAATTATCATTTTTGAATGTTCTTATATTTGATACTATAAGATTAACATAAAAATCAAATGTTAATCTTATTTCCTTTATTATTTATTCATAATATTCATTAATGAACTTGAAATTAATAATAAGGAATATTAAATTTAATATATATATTATTTGTTTTGATAAATTATTTACTAATACAAATATAAAAATAGCTATCTTTCAAATATATAAATACCATCAATTTTGAAAATAATTACATAAATGATTTTAAATTTATATATATATATTTCTATATTTATCATCAACTCTTGATTAATGCATAAAAGATGTAAATTAATTTATATATTATGAATTTAATGTTAATTTTAACACTTGTTTTACTGAATTTATATTAATTAAAGTTGTTATAATAAAAATGAATAACTCAAAAATATGCTTTAACTTTATTTAGTTTTTATCTATCTCTTTTCTTTTCCTGGTCTATATCATGATATTTACTGAATGTTCGAACTTTTTCATTATATGCATCATCTCTCATTTAATTTATATCTTCAAGAATAGAGTTTTAATCATTCATTGGATTTTTGGATTTATAATTCAACATATATTAGTATATTTAATCATCCATTTATTAAATTACTTCCAAAACTCTTAAAAAATACTTTAATTAATATTGTAATTTACAGCATAGGTTTTTTCAAGTATGTTTAATTTATGATTCTATTTTTCTTCATAAATAGAGTTACATTCCTTTATAACCTTTTAAGTAATATTATTTTTGAGAACTTGAATTGTTTTTAATGCTTATTCATAGGAATCAACTCCAGACTTAGTGCATGATTATTTAAGTGATTTGGCTATGTGACTAATTTAACTAATTGCTTACACTTTTTATTCCAATAGATTTAATATCTATACATTTAGTTATCCTTTATGTTAATTGATTTGTTGATTTAATTTTAGATAATCTTAATATTATTGTACTTTAATCTTAGTTGTTTAAATCATAGGTGAAGAAGGTAACATAGTTTTATTAAATTATTATGTTTATCTTTAAGGTGAATAATGTGTAAAGTTCCTTTAAGTTAAAGGACTTTTTGTTTCATCTTGATTTTACATAGATTTATTGATGAATTTATTTTTTCTTTTTTTGTGTAAAAAGAATATATTTTTATAGTAATCATCATTATTTTATTATTATTAGATGTTTTCATGTTTTAATTTGGAAATCTTTTAATGAATATAAATATTTTACATTAATTTCTTCATCCATTTTTGCTTTCATTTATTTCATTCTTAACCTTAAAGTTAATGGTCTAACAGTTTGATTAGCTTTTGTTGTAATCAAATCTATATATTCTTTATCATTAATTTGGAAGTTGATTTTACCATTCAAAACGTTAAAATACTCTCTATCCATTTTATCTCTCATTTGTTTCCTTTTTAATTTTTAATTTAATGATCTAACAGTTTGATTGGCTTTTGTAATTAAGTCAATGAAATAATTATGATTCATTTATACATTCATTTTACTATTCATCACGTTAAAGTGATCTTTATCCATTTTTTATAATAAAAATTAATTTTTACATTTAATTTATATAAACTACAAATATCATTATAATATAAAATCTAATCAATCTAATAAATTTTCTTCATTAACTATACTTCTAAAATTCCTATAGAAGGAATCATCAAAAATTAATGTATGACGAGGAAATAAATATACACTTTATTTTAAGTATAAAAATTGTTAATAGTTGTATTTGTCAATTTTTGTAAAGTAAAAAATAACCAATATGATCTCAAATACTAAATAGAAAATACAAAATAACTATAATTATTTAATACTATAAATTACTTATTAATTTAAAATTAAACTTTATGCTGAATCAACTAAATTGTTATAAAATTAATCTTTCATAATTTCAATAATATCTGTTAAAATTGTTGATCCTTCTAATTCTAATAATGTAGATGCAGGTTGAATAGTAAAATTCTATGTATCTGATTATTGAACTCCAACAGAATTCAATATATAAATTAATGTTTATGAGAATCCTTAAACTAAATTACCTTACATAACTTAATGGCAAAATGATTAAGTTTATTATTTTAATTCATTACTCTAAAATTCACATAAATTTCCAGTGTTTATACTTGTAAAAAAATCAATTAAATATTCATCAAATAAATAATCTTTATTACTTAAATTGAGATTCTCTTATTAATATTTCTTAATTGCATTCAAAGCATTAAAAATAACTGCATAAGTTTAATCTATATCAGTTGAATTAAGAAAAGGATATCTAAATTTTACACGAAATAATATTTCTTTTTGAGCATACACAGCTGGTATATCAACTCCTAAATCTGATAATTATTAATAAAAAACTGCTGTCTTTTCATATTTTATGAAATATAATCTGAAAGTTAAAAATAAATAAATGCTAAATGCAGCAAACATTAGAAAATGTCCAATACTAAGAGTAAGTCCTAATATTGGTTTATTATTAATAAGTTTAGTATTTGATTTTTTTGAAAAAAATGATTTTTATTTGATATTTGATTTATCTAATTAATTATCAATTGAATCAATATCTATTGAAAATCCTTTTACTATATCCATATCTTAAATTACTATTTATTATAAATAAGATAATCTTAATTTTTCTTACTCAAGAACATTTAAATCAATTGAAGAAATATATTTCATAATAGCATTTTTTTCATTATTATGTCTAATTTATTGTAAAATAATTATCAAAGTTATCATAAAGTTCAATACCAAAAATGGAAAATATCCAAACATCCATTTTTACTTTTCTTAATTTGATCTTTCAAGTGTAATATCTAAAATAACAACATTCAAATTATCAAACATAGATTTTACTATTTGATAATCTTTATAAGTAAAATAATAATAAGGATTGTCAAAGCTACCTCCAGCACCATCTAAGCGCAATTTGAATTCATATTAATAATTCAAAGTTATTATTATAACTGATCTTTTGCTTACATTATATTCCTGTCCAGTATTATTAGTATTCACATATAACATTATAGGTAAATAAGTAATATTTGAAATCTAATCAATTTCACTTCTTAAAAGTACATCTCCCATACTTTTTTTCATTTTATCAAATGACAATATTAAATTATTTCTAGGAAATATTTATAACTAGGCAGCATAGGAAGAGTTAATCACTTTCCTACCAAGCATTTCTCTATAATTTATTTAAGTAAATCTTGAGACTGAAAAGGACTCTAAAGGGCCAGTTACATCATATCTTACTGAAAGCAATTTCATATCATTTATAAAACTACGTATATTAGATATCAAGGATAGGTTCTATATTAAATATAAAAATACTTACAATTATTACATAAACTTAAACTAATAATATAAAGAGTATAAAGTTATAATTGGCTTTTATTAATTTTGATGAACTTTTCAAAGATTTACAAAGTGAATAAATAATTTCAAATTTTTTGTAAAATTTTGACTTTTTTATCATTGTTATAGAAGAACCAGATGCAAAATCTCTAATCTCATTCTAAAATGTAAAATTTTTCTTATTTATAAATTCCTCATTCATAGATTCTTTAGGACTAAACAATTTTTGATTAGGCTTAAATTATTATTACATAGGATTAGTTTATTCTTAATCAACTAATAGATCAGTCATATATAGTTTGGACTCTACATGTTGGGTTTCACTTTAATTTAGAGGATTAACTTTTTTGATTAAAGATATATCATAAATATCTTAATAAGGGAAGGCTTTATCAATATCCTCATCTATTTCTTCTTTCATTCTCTCTAATTTTTAAATTATATTTTAGTCATTTGTTTATTGTCTCTAAAATATACTAGTATCTAATCTAGAATCTATATAATTTCTATTGTTGTTTGCTCTAATGTTATCTAAAGTAATCATATAACACATATTTTCATTTTTAAATTTCTTTTCAATTATAATATTACAAACATAATCTAAGTATCTTTAACCTGCTTATTTGGCATTTGAAGTTAAGAGTCGTATATTATGGTTAAAGAAATTCTTTACATTAGATTAGATCATAGAATCAAATTCAGGAATGATATTAAATATAGTTCCAAGACTTTTTGTAGAAATGAATCCTGTTGAATATTAATTATTCCCTAAAATTTAATTACTAATATTATCACTGCAATTAATTATATCAAAGGATTAATTAATTACTAAATATGATCTATAATCCATTTATTCATAAAAAAATATAAGAAATGAAAATGCTTAAGAACTGCTTTGATTTAATCCAATCATCATTTCTATTGGTAGCATTATTTTATCTTGCAATTTTAGAAATGAAAGATTCTATTATTAATAATATTTATTAGTTCCTTCATCAAAGAATTACTCAATAAGTGTTCTATGTTATTTTAAAACATATTCTGGTATGATATCATTAACACTAAGTTCAAGTGAATCTTTTCTCTTTTATCCATAAATTGATTAGAATTTGATCATAGCTTTTTTTGATTATCTAACAATTATCACATCAAGTTCTTTATTGATTTCAGCAACTATATATGATGGATTCTATCCAAATAATTTATTATAAACAGAATCATGAAATAATTAATATTTTTCATCATTAAGTGCTTTATTTTTATTTAAATCAAAAGCTTCAATATAGTCATTTAACACTTCTAATAAATAAAACTTTAATACATTTTAATTGCTAGAAGCTAAATAAAACAATAAATATATACTTGGAAATTATTAATATCTCTCAGTCAATTCTATTCTAAATTATTATAATTATTTAATAATTTTGATTGGATAATTTATATCTCCTTATAATTTGTTTGAATGCTCAATGAAATTGTAATAAAATAAACTTTTATCTAAAATTGTCTTTTTTAATTTCATCTATATATATTGATCACTATTTTCATTAATAGAAAATTATTTTAAAGAATCTGCAATTAATTTATTATTTGGATTAGTAAGAATCATTCTTTCCATCATTTAAATTAGAACATCATTCTCAATTTAATATTTTAAAAAATCTAAAAGACAAAGAGTAGTTATAGATATATTAAATTAATTGTATTTACTTTAATAATTATCTTTAGATTAAAACACTCTAAAAATAACTTATTATGCCTTTACAAATTGTCTTCTTCTAAATAATATTTGAGCTAAATCAAGTGTCAATTATTCAAGCTTTTTTGTTCTCTATTCTAAGAATAATTCAAATTTCATTTCAATAAGTTATAGTATTTTTTATTTTATATTTATATCTTTTTTGCAAATACATTCATTCTTTAAACAATTCTATTAGTGTTCAAAAATTATTAATGTCATTTATAATTTATTTTTTTAATTATTTCCATTAAGATTTTCAATATATGAGAAAAGAAACTTTAATTTTCTTACATCTACTGTTTATAATGATAAACATTATCTTTTATACATAAATTATAGTAAATATATCATAATAAGAGATATCAATAACCATAAATTATAATTTATTCTACTTTACATTATAAGAGATTCTATTGCTATTATAATTCCAATAGATGCAATAACAAGAGAAGTTAATGCACATTTCTCTTTTGTATATATCTTTAATTCTAAAATTTAGTAAATATGTAGAGATTATATGGCTATATTTAAAATATTATGTAAAAGTAAGCACAATTTTTAATTAGTTAAAAAGAAAAATATAAATATTTGAAATATTCTTAATGGTTTTATGAAATATTTTACATTATTATTATTTAAAGGTAATTATGTAGAAACTCTTAAAATTAATCCACTCTCATATACAATATCTGAAATTATTGTAATAGTTACAATTTCGATTATCATTATTGTTCCAAAAATGATACCATATAATTTTGTTATGTTCATCATACATATTTCTAATAGCCAGCAATATAATGTAGATGAAACCAAGTAATAATAATTACAAATATATTAAAGGATTAAATTAGAAACTTGTATTTCATGAAATTTTTGATTTAGTTATTTGATAATTAGGTAAATTGTAAATGTTATTACTATCTATTGAAATGCAAAGCAGAAACAGACAATAATAGTTTTTGACTGTTCACTTACTATGAATAAATAAGGTCTTGATGAAATAAGAAGTGATTAAAGTGTAGGTTCAAATTACTTTTCTGAGTTATATAGAGGATAAAAGTTAAAAGCAATAGGCTATACCTAATTTAAAATTATGAGGACTAGTTAAAATATCTAAGGTTAAGCAAATTCAAATTATAAAAATTATGAGAGTAGGAATATCAATCCTTTATAATAAGGTTCAAATAATTTGAGCATTCTGCTAATTTTATTTATATATTTATATAGATATAATATAAATCTAACTTTTTATATAAATTTATAGTACTCTTAATGCTTCCATTAAGCAAATACTTTCAATTTTATTTTGGTAATAAAATAACTTTGGTACTATGAAAATACTATAGATAATCCCCATGTTATTTTTTTATTTATATGGTAGATTGATGATATTTAGAATTAAAATTGCTTAATTATATGATTAAAATTACATTTAAAGGAAGGCTAAGAATATATTAAATAACTTAAGTATTCATAATATTTGAATTATAAAATTAAATATTGTTTATGTTAGAATAAACTCAAAGTTTGAGTATTTAGGCAAGGATATTAATCATTTTTATTATTAAAATTAATATAAGGAAACTATTCATATAATTTTAATACTATTAATTTTAAAATCCTTTCATTATAGTATTGTGCTAATTCTTTCATGAATTTTATAAAGAAAGCTAAGTATAGAATTCTTATTGAAAGAATAAGATGATCAAAAATTATAGTGAAAAATTTAGGATTTGATATTAAGGAATTTTATTGAAATAAAATAAAAAAGCGATACACTTAATTTCTTACTTGTTAATATTATTAAAATATATTCATCTTTTATTATGTATGTTTATAAAATAAAGATTACCTATTAGAACATATTTAACATATCTCTTGATTATCAAATATAACTGGTTTCTTCAATGTCGAACCTAAGAAAATGAGTAAAATTTCTGATTATATCTATAAAAAAGCCTACTTGATAGTTATTTTGGGATTAAAAAAATTTAATTATATTTTTATAAGCTAATGAATAAACAGTTAAAAATAATTGAATTGGCATCGCATTTATTAATAAGATAATGTAATCTAATATATTTTTTATTTTAAAATCATTTTAATTCATAAAAATAAAGTTTTTGATTATAAAAATTATTTATTAATAATCAATATTTAAGATTTCAAAATATAATCTGTTGATTATAAAAATGATTATATGATTGCTAATTTGAGCTTTAAAAAAATTTATAAAAATAAATTTAAAAAGCCTATAATTTAAGTATTGAATCTATTTAAGATAAAACATGAAATTATTGTCCTTATCATAAATAATAATACTTTTATTTTTATGCTCTAAATCTATCTATAATATTTTAGTAAATCAATTATAAAAATTTGATCTAAAATATAAAATTTTAGTATTATTTTCAAAATAACTATAACATTTTATATTTTAAAAATTGTAAAGATAATTAAAGTTAAACCCTATGATTATTAATAAAAATAATTAAAAATCAATTAATATTTTACATAAGGTATTTCTAATTTATTAACTTGATTAATTTTTACTTAATCCCATAAATGAAAGACTACTTTAACAAAATAAATAATAGAAGTAGATATCTTAAAAAAGATTTGTAAAAAATAAAAGAATAACTTAGTTTAATTTTTTATTTTGTATAGTATATTATACCAAGATATCATATATGATGTTTTCTTCTGTCTTGAATTGTCATTATTTTAAAGAAAATAAAAGCTTTTAAGATGTATTATCTTTTATTATGTATTTAAATAAAACTTATAATACAGAAATATAATAAAAATTTATATGAATCCAAAGGAAGGATTATCAGTATCATTGTAGAAATTCCATCGTAAAAGTGCTTAATCTACTACTGATGATTCTTAAATGGCTCTTCCTGAATTAAAAGGTAGAAGTCTTAAAAGTGCTACTCCTAAGCTTCATAATAATAAACCTTTGTAGCCTCCTTTAAGATACTATATAAACGAAAGTGTATAATAGAGAGTAAAAATTATACAATATTTAGAAAAGGAGTGAAAATCATTCAGATTACACATACATTGAAACTTATTTAGAAGCTTTGTAACGATATGCTTAAGAGGAGAAAAAGAAAAAACAAATTCAAACTTTATCAATAAATAGTTTTCCTATATTACCTGGTTAAGTCATGAGAGAAAGAATAAAAAAATATGCAGAAATTTAACAAAGAGAAGTCTTAAGTATCTAATGATTTAATATAAGAGTATTTTGTAAGAAAAGAATAACAACCAAAAAAACCTATTTCTACAGCTTTAAGTATAATGAGTTAAAAGAGTATAGTTAGTTAAGGAAGTAAAACAGATGTCTTATCAATTTCAATACCAATAAGTTCTAAAATAAAACACAAAGTTAGTTCTAAGAAATGGGCTATTTTTAAAAGAAATAAAGGAGAAATAAATTTTTAAAAAATATATGCATATTAAGATCATTAAAAAAGTGAGGTGGCATCAATTACAAAAGTGATGACTTGTTATACAACTTTGAAATTTTTAGAAGAAAAACGAATTGATATGGAATCTATACGAATAAAAATACCTGGACATGCTGAATGTATAGATGGTACTAGTGCCTTTTTAAATGCAGGAGGTATTATGAATGTAAAATAATTATTATTTGCAATGATGTTACCATCAGGAAATGATGCAGCATTAGTATTAAGTTATGCAATTGCATTTTTAAAAACTTGTGATAATATTCAAAGATATTGTAATGGACATTATATTGATTGTGAATTAGAAATAGAAAAAAATAAATTTTAATTAAGAACTTAATTCTTATAGATGATGAATAATCATGCTGAAAATTTGAAAATGGATAAAACTAATTATAATTCAGTTCATGGATTAAATGACACTTTAAATGTCTCATGTGCATTAGATATATTTAAATTAGTTGAAGAATGTATTAAAATTAAAGAATTTATGGAAATTGTTAATACAAGATGTTTTAAGACTTATGCAATTACTGAATAAGGAAATTAAGGAACTTATTATAAATGGAAAAACACAAATAAGTTATTGAAAAAAGAAGGATGGGAAGGAATCAAGACTGGAATCACATCAAATGCTGGTCCATGTTTTAGTGGATATTATAAAACTGATGATTTTGATGCAATTGTGATAGTCTTACAAAGTTCAAATATGCTTTAAAGATTTAAAGATGCTGAAATTCTGATAAAGTTATTGTGAAACATTTTAATTCAAAATTTTGGATGTGGGATCTTTATATTAACCCCAATCTTTACAAAATCGTTTTTGTACATAGCTAATTTAGCTTCTCTTATTCCTTTGCCAAAACTAAAAGATGGTTTATTTGGTTTAGTAGATGCAACTTAAGCTCCTACACTTTCTCTAAATTTATAGAATACATTTATACTGCACATAATATGTCTAATTTTTATCAATATTCTTTTATTAAGGTATCTTTGGAGCTTTGGTAAATGAATATTTTGGTGGTTCTTACAATTCTGTTGAGAAATCTTTTTTTGGTTTATAAGTTCCAGGTCCAACTTTACTTGGAGTTGAAAAAGAAACTGAATGAGCTCTTCTATTACCCATTGTATATTTTGGGCCTTAAACTCTCTATATTACATCATAATTAGGACCTGGAGTCTTTGTAAGTTCTTTCTATAAGAATCGTTGTTCTTACCCAAATCTAACTGTTCCTGCAGACCATTTTCTAAGATTCTCAGCTTTTTATGGTTCAAACTATTGTTTATAAATAAAAATACATCGACATCTTTTCTTTTATAATGATCATATTGGTTAGTGTTTAAACTCTATCTTGTAGATGTACCCATTCCAGCACTAGGAGCTCGAACTGCTTATTAATCAAAATTTTTTGTAGGATTATAAATTGGACCTGGACTGTGTTTACCTTTCTCCATTAGTCTATTTTCTCTGTATACTTATTATGCTTAATGTCTACTAGAAGTTCCAAAACCAAAGGCAGGAACATTTGGAACTGTTGACAATAACTCTACATTCAAATTATGATTTTACTCTTTCCAAAAGAAGAATTTCGATTGTGGTTTTCAAATTCGATCAAGTCATTTGGACTATGAGATGGTTTACTCATAACTTTTAATTTTTAAATTAAATTAGTTATAGTTGCTTATTTAATGTAAAATATTGCATAGTATTTAGAACTTAGAATAGTTAAATCAATTAATATAAAGAATAATAAAACTTATAAAGAATCTAAAAGATCTATAAAAGGATCAAATCTAAACTTGAAATATTATTAATTATATTTAAGAATGATTAATACAACACTGTATCATTATCTTAGTTTAATTATCTTTAGAAAACAATTAATTAGTTATAATATTATAAAATCAATTATCTAAAGTTTAAATGTATCTTTGAATATTTATGATTTTATATCTAAAAAATAAACAAAGTTTATAAAAATATCCAATTGAATTAAAAGTTTCTTAAAAATATCTATAATAAAATGTTGATCACTTATCTTTTTTCCAACTCTATAATTTGCTAAATAATAATAGATATAAATTTCTTTAGAATATAAAAATAAATAAAGGTAATTAAAAACTTATTAATTAAAATCAATCTTTTTTAGGTATCAATTTATGAGAGTATCTTGGCTTAGTGAATTAACTGTATAATGAACATTAATTTGTTAAAATGGAATATCTAATTAGTATTTTATAAAAATAAATATCATACTTCCAAATATTTGAACTAGGAATATTTTCCTATGTCTTTCCTCCAACTAAATACACAAATTAATAATCATCACTTATTATTGCATCAAATTTAATTGTTGGACAGATTAATTCTCCCATTTAATAAAATTATTAATCAGTTTCATCATATTTTTCAATTTATTTAATATATTTTTTGCCAGATCTTCCTCCAAACATCCATATACCATCTGGAAGAGTCAAAGAAATATGATTTCTTCTTGGATAATTAGGTGATTTGATTTTTTTCCATTGATTATTTATTATATCATATTTGAAACAACCTTATTCATCAAATAAATATAAAGTATTTGGTTCATTACCTTAAACTAAGGTGTGATTATAACATTTAATAGGAACAGATTATAAATTTTTTGTTTAATAGGTATCCAAATTAATAAGTTAAAAAATATCTTAAATACCTTGATCTGTTTTTCCACCTGAAATATATAATTTATTTCCTATTTATTTTGATGACAATCCACTAACTCCTTTGGTAAGTATTAATTAAGAGATTTTAGATTATTTTAGTTTTGGATCATATGATTCACATAAAGCTGTTCTAATACCTTCTTATTTACCTCCTATTAATAGAATTTGATTTCCATGATATGCTATTTAAAATCCATAACGATTTGATACCAAAAAATCATATTAACTAGATTACTTTGTTTATATATCAACCAATTCAATAAGATTTTATCTTTAACCCTTTAATAATCCTCCTAAAATATAAAATTATGTTTGATTTTAAATTGGAATTTCCATTTTTGAAATTGAATGATCACTTAATGATTATTTGTTACTAAAGAAATCATTAAGAATTGATTATTCAGGAGAAGCTTTGTCTAAAATTGAACTTAAATCTGTTGGTATATCTAAAGTTATTTGTTTAACTTCTGTCTTTCTCATCTATTATTTAGATGATTATAAACTAAAATGAGGTTAACTATGCTAAGTAAATCCTTTTTTAGAAAATGGACTAGCCCTTGTTGTATTAGGTTATTAATATAATTTAGCTGATACTCTTTTAATTCTATAATCTGAGTCTCTTTCTAAAATACATAATAGATTAGAGATTTATTTAACAATATCATTTGCATTTCTAAATTATAATTACTAATATTAAATTTTAGGAGCTTATGATAAATTATCATATTCGTTTTCTAGCTCTTTGATTGTCTTACAATTTATAGTTTAATATTCTCTAAACTTTTTTAATTATTCATATCCAGATGTATTTTATTAATTTACAATATTCTTCTCTAATTAGATACCTCTTCCCTTATATTCGTCAACTATACACTTTTATAATAATAATTAGCTGTACTTTGGAATCCTATAAAGATTATATATGTTTCATCTTATGAACTTCTACTTATTCAATTAATTCTTAAAATTTCATTTATACAATCTCAACAATTTATGTGCAAATTGAATTTAATGATTAAATTTGAAGTTATGACATTTTATTTATTTAATTATTTTCTTTTTAAATTTGATCATCAAGATTATTAAAGTTCTTAATGATTTTTTGAACTTTCTACAATTATTATTTATTTTATTAACTAATGTTATTCAAAGCCTAATTTCTATAAAGAATCTTACTTTCTCTATTGAAATAATGTTTTATACTTTCAAACTGCATTTAATCATACATTCCTAGCATAACAATTATTAAGTAGTCGTACAGTAATCTAATTAATTAATTAACAAAATTAGTTTACTTGTATAAATTAATAAATGTTTAGGACAATTGAATTGATCAATTTCATCTCCAGAAAAACATTCTTCTTCTGTGTCCATCTTGATAAAAAATTAATATTTTATATATTAACAAAATACTTCAAAATTAAACGAAAAATAATAAAAATTATAACTAACAATTAAATAAGCAAAAAAACTAATTACTCTTTTGATCTTATCTCTTTATAAACTAGCCATAAGATTACTTATACTAATAACCTTCCCAGTTTGATTATCAATTACAAATAAAAATGTTTAAACCTCCATTTTTTACATATTATAAAAAATACAATGTATTTTATTCATAAATTCTGAAACTTCTTATTTAAAGTGAATAAGATTCAGTTCCAGAAGTATATAGATATTTTCTATCTTCAGAAAAATAAATAAACAATCTAATTCTTAATCACTTTATTCACTTGGTATTCACCATTTTTTAATTTTTTAAATAAATTAATAATGTAGACTTTCCTTATTTTGTAACTAATTGTCTTAATATAAAATTTAAATTTTAAGAGTTGATCGTATAGAAATATATTAAGCTGATTTAAGATTATAGGATATTTAAAAGTTTTTAAATCTTATTTTTAATGGATATTTAAAATAAAAAATTCATCATTATCAATAACTTATTTTTTTACTTTTTTGTTCCTCAACATCTGACGTTCCCCACTTTTTTATTTAATGAAAGAATATATATTTACTAAAAACACTTTAACATTATAATATTTTTATTCTGATTATTTTATTCATAATGATTGAATGTCAAATTATATCTATAGTACTTCTTCATATTATTCTTTATATCCAATAAGACTATAAAATTTTCTTTACCTTTAACTATCAAATAATCATCATATCCTATTTTCAGATAACAACAAGAAAATTGAGACTAATAATCAAGATATATTATTTTTATAAGTCTATAATTCTAAATTATCATTTTTATAAAAAACTGTAAATTAATTTTTTTTCCTCATAAAAGCAACTAATTTCTGAATTCTTTTAAATTATATTTATTCTGAAGAAAGTTAATAATTATATAACTATAAGTTATTTATATCAAAAAGAAAAATAAGGATATATTATAATTTTTTTAATATTTATTAAATGGAGACATCACGGTTATTAAATAATTTGTAAATATTTATTTATTAGGCATAGTATTTTCTGCTAAATTGTACATTTTTCAAATTATAAATTTAATATGATGAATAATTGCTGTTTTGTTTATAATAAAGCTAGAAATAGTCAGCTTCTTTAGAAGTAAACAAGAAACACTTTAGAAACTTCCCCATTATCTTTCTAATTTATGTAAAATGCTAAATTAAGTTATATCGTTGTCATCAGTTATCAAAATAATAAAAATTCTGATTTTTTAGGATATTATTATAAGTATTAGGGAGAATGATTGAAACTAATATTTTACAGGAAAACATATTAAGTATAGAGAATTCGATTCTAAAAGAATAAAAGTAAATAAAAATTTGATAAAATGGTGATAACTTTTGAATGATATTATTTGAATAGATCATGCTCCTTTGAGTTATGATTTAACATAATCTTAAAATCTTGGTTAGTTAAGCAATTCTAAGGCTTGGTTGGCAGCATTGATTTCTTTGTTGTATTCTGCAACGGTTGAATTGTAGACGTCAGTTGCAAAGGCATAGTCATCATTTTCAGCTTATAATTATCCATTGAGGGTTGCTAAATCAGCATCGAGTTCATCGATAAGGTCAAGGGTTTATTCAATCTTGGCTAAATGAATTAGATATGTAAATAGTACTTGCATTGGCTTCGATTTCAGCATTCTTTACAACAACAGCTCTTTAGAATTCAGCATGCTCTTAGTTCAATTAGGCAACTTATGCATTGAAGTCAGCAACAGCTTAAGCTTCATCAGCTGTGATTTAGTTGAGAGAATCAACTAATTCAACTCTCAAGTTATTGAAAGCTACAACAATCTAAGAATGAAAATATATTTTACATCTCTGAGAGCACCTTAATCAGCAAAGTTAGATTCAACTGTGATTTCCAAAAGTACTTTAACAAAGATTTGGAATTAGTTGTGCTTTTTCAATGAGTTTTGGATTTTGGTGAGGTTCTTTTAAACCTTCTTGATTTAAGCAAGAGATGGGGCTGTGATTGTGCTCAATAATTAGAGACATTCATCAATGGCACTAATAGCATCATTATGTTCTGCAACTTCAGCTTCAAAGGTCTCGTGATCATTTTCTCTTTAGACTGTTGCTTATTCAAGAGTTTATCTGTTATGGGCAATGTTTTCTTATAATTATTCAAGTTAGGCAGCAAATCTATCTCTTTATGGGATAAGGACATTATCATAGAAATCATGAGCATTGAAGAGTTCTAAAAAGGATCAAAAAGAATGGGTACCTCTTTCTTTGTCTTAGATTTCTTATTCAAGTCTTGATACTTCTCTGTTATGAACGTCAGTTCTTCTGTTAAATTCGTGATGAACTCCAGCTAATTCTTCTTCTAATTCACCAACCTTAATTATTAATGATATAAGTTTACGAGTTTTTCAATTTCGCTATTGAGTTCAGAGAGAATACCTCCTGTTGACATATGGAGTTCAGCATAATTCAAAATGAACTTTCCCCAACCAGATGAGTGAATTTAAGCAAGAGCCTTTTAGTCACGATTAGTCCAGATGGAGGATTAGACATTGATGGCTGTTGCACCAAGCACCAACAATACACAAAGAGCTAGTTTTAACATTTATTGTAATTATTATTGACATATGTCTGACGATTATTTTTTGCTAAAAAATCGAAAAACGAATATTTATTTTCATATATATAATATAAATAAATTATATTATTTTTAATGATCAATCCATTAACATTTGATGAATATAATCATAAATCAATAAAGCTCTTCTATTTACTCTTAGATCTCACAAATTCTTAAACATATTCTTCTTTAACTGAGATTTCTCCAGTTTAAGGGTTAATTAACACTCTTTTTTCATCACAAAAGTAGGCAGCAGGAGTTAATTTTATAACACAATGTAACGGTATATCTAGAGTAGGTACTTCTGGTATCTCATTTTAGTGAAAATAAGCATATAAACATCTTAAAATGGCCTAATGTGCTATGATCATAACTGGTTGTCTTGATCTTTCAATTTCAAATATAACAGGTTCAATTCTACTAATTAAATCTAAATATGATTCTCCTCTTGGATATCTATAACCTAATTTATTGATTTTTCTTTCCTAATAAGTAATAATATTATTAAATGATTACTTAAAAATCATTAGGAAACTTTTATGCAATTTCAGTATATGTCATTCCATCACATATACCTACATTAATTTCATCTAATGTCTTTAATTATAATGGTTAAATTTCTAATTTTTAAGCTACAACATCAGATGTATGGACAGCTCTTCTCATTGTTGATGTCAAAAATATGATTTCATTTTTTATTTCTTTAGTGGGAAATTCTTAAAAGAAAAAATCTGCCAATTTGTCTGCATACATCTCTCCTAATTGAGATAAATCGGAATCACCTCCAACTCTATCATCAACATTGTACTGGCTCTCTCCATGTCTAGATAAGTAGATTGGTCTTGGATAGGTATGTAGATTCATAATAAAGGATACGATCTTGGACAACAGAAAGCCAAAGACTTAATGAACAATAATCTAAGCATGGAAACATGTTTTGTACGTCTGCTCCGACGTTCATAGTCTTGATATATGAGAGATTCTCATCGTCGGTTATAGTTTCATATATTTGCTCGTACATCTTAATTCTATTAAGGAAATCTATTGTAGCTTGTTCAGAGTTCATGTTACAATAATCTGGATTATTAATCTTGGTTAGTCGTATGTTATTTTAAATCACTTTAGAATCATTACATATAGATTCAATCCATAGAGTTTAAATTCCATTAAAAGAGGATTTCAACTCATTTTCAATCTAATTTCTTCTTTCTTTTGTAATGTTTGTTCCATCTAGTATTCCTACATCTCCTCCATTTTTAAGAAATTATATTAAATCTTATAATGCCATTTTAGCACAATCACTTCTTGCTTTTTAAGCCTAAATTTATTTTAATTTATTATACTTCTTCATTATGAGGATCAAAAAATAAAGAATTACATTCAGTACCACATATTTCTCTTCTGTAATTTCCATTAATAAATACTCTACTCTTATAGCCCAACCAATTAAAATAACGATTCAATTTCCTAGAAATATATGTTTTCCCTCTTGCTGGCAAACCAACTGTACAGATGGCTATTTTTTATGATCTATTGCATCCCTACATATTATAAAATTTTAATAATTCTTAGCCTTAAAATAATTTTAATGTTCAAATGGTTTAAAAGAGATAAAGCATAACTTTCTACAAATCTCAAAAAGCCATACAATCAAATATCAAGAGAATAAGCTTAAGAAATTCTAGCTAATTTTTCATATAGAACCATGGCTGATCTCATTTATAAAGATGATTCTAATCCAGATTTAAACGTAGAATAAGAATAAAAAAAGAAAATTCAATTAAAAACTGAATGCTATATGGATGAATAAGGGAATTTGCATTTCAATTAAGATGAAGAGCAATTATCTTGGGTTGATGAAGATTCTCATAATGAGGAAGATGAATTAGAAAAATAAATATATGAATAAATGTATGAGGAAATGTAATAAGAATTACATTAAAGAGAAGAACGAGAACATTTCAGACCAATTATAGGTCCTGAAAACAATGATAATGATGAATGGGAAACAGATAATGATGAACAAAATTGATTATTTTTTTTATTTATTTATCAACCAAAATTACCATGATTCTCTATTAATTCAATCCCTTTGATTGTAATCTTATCTGAAATTTATAAACTTCCTATTAATTTTTGATAATCATTCTGAAATACATTCTTCAATAATAGAATTCCTAATCATTTAAACACTATATTACCATCACTTTTCATCATTTCTAATACTCTTGTATAAGATTGTTCTTCTGTTGTTGCCATTATTTTAAATAATCTATAAAAAATTAAATATTTATACTATCCATCTATAATAATCTTTATTTTATAAATTAAACCACCTTAATCTAATTTACTCTAATATAATTCTTATAATTTCTTACTTGGCAAATACTATTTTATATATTTTTTAATATTTACAGACGAATTTGCTCTTTATTTAGATAATGATTTTGTTTATGATTTCTAAATTTTGTAATATGATGTTTGTTATTTTATTCTGGTGAATAATTTTTAATTTTCATCCATTATTTTCTATTGAAAGTCTTTTCTGTTTTTATAATTTAATGTGCTTTTTGTAGGTGTTGTAGAACAATTTCTTTATTTCATTGTAATGCCTAAAATTTTTTGAAAAAGCATTTGATTCTCCCTATCTATTTGTCTAGCCTTCTCTTCTTGAATATAACTCTAACGGGCTGTCCTCGACTAGGTTACGATATACCTCTTTATTTAGATTACGGAATTGGATTTGGAAACATTAATTTATTAAATGACTTTACAAGACATAAAAAAAGTTGCTCTTTAAATGAATTTATTTTAAGTTTAAAATACTTCTTGATACCTTAGTTTAAGCAAATTCAAAGGAACACATCTTAAACTTGATCTATAGAAATTTCTAAATCTTTTTAGATTTTATACAAACAACAATAATTTATAATACATCATGTAACTATTATAATTTTGGAAACCAAAAATTATACAAATGAATTAAATTGTACAACAAAATTAGATATTATACTTATTCTAAATAATTAGATATGAAATTAAAATAAGAATCAGAATATAAATTATTGGATTAATATGGTCTGGATAAAAATCTTATTATAGAGATTAATCTCTCTAAATCATTATTCATATAGTATATTAAATAATCAATTATTATATTATTTTAATAATAAGTGACTCTCAATAAAATTTGTAATTTCTTTAAATATTGGAATTTAAAACCAAGAAAGATAATATAATAGGATTATGATGTGATTTAACCTGAATAATGATTAAATTAATTAAAAATCAATCTTCTCTAACCGCCATTAGCAATTCTATACCATCTTCCTTATAAATTGGAGCTATGGCAGCATAAAGTGGAACTTCTTTAAGCTCTTTGCATTCAAATGCAATTCCTTAATTCTCTCCATTTATTGAAAAAGATAATTAGCCCTTTTAAAATTGAATTAGTGAGTTTGTACATCTATCATATTCAGCATAACTCCTATAACGTCTCCCTTCTTGTATTATTTGCCATACTTATTGCCAGTGGAATTAGAATTGTGTCTCAGTTCCCCATTATAGATTGCCCATCCTTCTTCGTTATCACTGAAAGCTTGCTTAGGTGGAGCATTGAGTTTACATCTTAGAACAGCCCATTCTTGGTGCATACGCCAATCTTAATTAAACTGCCCTTTAAGATTTTAATCTCATAGTAATATTTATAACCTGGAGTGAATTCCTTAAAGTATTAATCTTCATACCTAATCACCAATAGAACTTTTAAATCCAGATCCATCAGTAGCTATAACTTATAATTAGTCTTGGCACAATTTCAATTTAGTACTAGTACGTTTAGAGTCCCAAGAAAATAGAGCTTGCTTAGTTGATAATCTTACGTAGTAGGTACCCATCTGGGTATTCCATTTTTATATATTTTTATTAAATTTAATGTAAAAGCCTTAAATTATGATAGTTGATGTTTAACTCTTTTATATCACTCTAATTCTCATCAATACAATCCATTAATATGATTAAAATACCTTAATAAATACAGGAAGTCCAATACATAAAAGCTAATGATTTATTGGCTGTATAAGTACCTTTTCCTTTTGAAATCAACCAACCAGATGAAGAGCATTTAAAAATATTGGATTAAAATGAAACTGATTTAATTGAAAGTTACTCTTTAACAAAAATCTAATTAGAAAAGAAAATTTAGTGATGGAATTACTAGAGAAGAATTAGGTTAAACTGGATGGACTCTATTACATATGATTTCAGCTACTCTTTCTGTTGATTTGAGGAGGAATTCAAATTTAAAATCAATGTTTTTTTGAATTTATTGTAAATGAAAAATGCTATTTTTTAATGTTCGTCGACAGTTCTTCCCCTGTAAAGAGTGTGCTGGACATTTTTTGAATATGATTACCGTTTTACCATATGAAGGAACTACGAGAGTCTAATTTATGTCATATCTTTGAATGATGCATAACTAAGTAAATGAAAGATTGCAAAAAGTATATTTATATTATAAGATTAGCCAATTTTTAATTTTAGTGAAATACATTAAAGATGGGGTGCAGATTGTGGTTGCAAAAATGCCTTAGAGGAAAATATTAAGAAATACAGTAAGGGATAAAATTGATGATATAGAAATATAAATTCAATTGATTAAGAGATATAATACAACATAAAATTGAAATTATGAAGAAATTCATTTAATTAATTTAAATTGTATGATAAGTTTAAATTAAATCAAAAAAACTCATCTGTTTATGAATATTCATTAGAAATTTCACTTTATTAATCTTTCTATTCAAAATTATTTAGATATAATTTAAATTTATTTGGATAACCTAGAAGATCATTCAATCTTTCATTTAATTTTTTAGTCTCTGTTTATGGAGGCCTTCTTCTGATTCCTATTCTTCTATCTTATTATTCTTATCTATATCTATATCTATCTACTAATCGATTTTCTGCCATCTCTAACTGTTCCTCTAAAATTTCCCATCTTTATTACAATTCTAATCTCTTAGATATTAAATTTTATAAATTCTAATTTATTTTATTTACACAATGATTCTATGGATAACAAATATCTACAAAGTAGATTACTTAATCATATGATTCTCGAACTTAATTTTCTTCTTTAAAAATTTAATTTAAGTAAATTTTCTTAGAATTTAAAATATTATTCTCAAATTTTTGAAAATTTTAGTTGTCTATATATTTTATACCTAAATCTTATTCATCTTAAGAGATTAAGCTAACTTCTTAAATATCTTTAGTTGTATTTTATAATTTTTAAATATATTACACTAAATTTTATATTACTACAGAATAATCCTTATCAATTTTTATATGATTAGATATTTCATTTAAAAGTTATACTTTTCTGATTTCTAAATTTTTTAAACTCCATCTAAATGATTCTTTATTTTATAATATTTTAATTTATTGAGAATCTTCTATCTAAAATTGAATGATTGAAGTCTTGAAGTTATTTAAACAATTAAGGCAAGAATGAGTTTGCTAATTTGACATTTCAAAACATTTTAAATGGTATATATGACCACAATTTGTTAAAGTTACAATTTCTGTATTCTATTTTTCTGAACAAAGAGTGCATAATTTATCTATACTAGTTTATTATTTAATAATAGATTGAATTAAACTTAATTATTCTTCAAAATTCTTAAGTTTATTTTGAATTGAAAAGATCTAAAATTAAAAGCACTTTAAATTTTTATCATATGAATTTTCATCCTGATTTTGGATTGAACAAATATCTTTGAAATAAATAATATTTTAATCTTAATTTTCAATTTTTTTACTTATTATTTAATAGTCTATTTTACGAAGATATATTTTATTATAATTATCTTATAAATTTTAATAATAAGCTTCTTTTTTATTGTAATCACTTTATTAATAGAAAGATAATAATAAGTCTTAATCATCAAAGATATTATCAGTTATGTTCTTAGAATTTAGTTGTTGATGTTTAATCTACCAGTTTTTATCTTAAATGAGTTATTACAGATCACATATAACCATATAATAATCTAATAAGAGGAATTTATAATTTTTAATTGTCAGCTGTATTTCTTATTCTCTTTTTTCTAAAATTGATTTACGCATAATCTTTAATTAATTCAACTACTAAATAGGAATAGTATCAGTTTAATCAATTAAAAATCTAACTTCGATTGAGTCATTTTCATTTTCACAATTCACACAAATTTTTGATTCATTTTATTAATTATATTTACTATAGCAATTAATATGATAAAGATGTCCACATTATATAAGAATAACAATATCTTTCATCAACTAATTCTCACATAGAGTGCACATAATCATCTTAAAAAATATTTATTGATTTTATTTCAATTCATACAAATTATCATTAAAATATTTTGGATATTATACAAATTCTAAAATGTGAATAAATATTTTCAAAAATGTACTTAATTTAAATTTTTTTGATGAATTTATTCACAAATAATTTATTTATGGATAATTTTCTTAATCTTTCTTATACTCAAATATATTTATATTTGTATAGAATGTAAAATATTTAATATAAAAATGATGATTTAATATATAAACTATTTGGTTTAAATTTCATAAAAATTAAATAGATGAATATGTTCGATAATTATTGTAATTTTTTTTGTCAAAAACTACTATATTTAATTTTATATATATTCAAAGAGAAATTTATTTAAATTGAAAAAAGATAAATCAAAAAATTAGTGGATAATAATAATGAAGGAAAATTCATATATCAAATGAGCATATGATTTAAAAACTGAATATGTACTTTTTTTAATTAAAGTTAGATAGATTCATATATTAATGCTAACAGTATCTTTTTTATAAAAGAATTGTTTAATTTTGAATTATTTGAGACAAATAAATTAGTGATAATGGATTAATAAAGAAGGAATGAATATAAATAAGATAATAATATTAAATAATGTAAAACATTTCCATAGTCTTTTAAGGTGTAGAATTATAAAAATTATTATATATACCAACATTAAAACGACGAAATTTTATTCCGTTTTTGGTATTATTAAAATAAATATGAAAACATTCGTTGTGATTTGCCTCGTAGCAGCTGTGTTTGCACTTGACACAAACAAATTCGCCGTGCTTCTCCAAACAGGCACAAGAGGAAATGATGCTGTTGAATCCGTTTACAATCTCTTAAGAGATTTGAAAACAGAAAATGTGAATGTGTAAGCTGCTGCTGACAAAAAGAACAATACAGACGAAGGTATATTGTATTATTATGTGTAGAAATCTTTTCATAAGTTATTGGTGACTTGACAAACGTTGCCTCACTCAATAAGTAATAATGGGAATCTCTTGGTGTTGTCAGAACAGATGTTGAAGCTTAAGTCAGAGTAAGCAAAATAATTAATTCATTAAGGATGGATATTAATGGTTGGCCTGGGCTGAAGCCAGACTTGCTGAAATCGTTAGAAGAAATAATTAACTCCAAGACTAAAGATGTTGGGCCAATGGACTTTTTGTTAGATCCCTAGCTGATCATGCTGATGCCATCGGAGTCGTCTAACTCTTATAATAAGATGTAGCTGGTTTCTTAACAAACAATGCTGGAGTTGAACTTGTTGAAAAGGCTTAAACAATCGCCGATAAATTATCAGCATACAGTCATCTTTTCTAATAAGATGCTATCTAAAAATTCTAATCACTTGCTGAAGTTAAGAGAGAAGGCACAACTGGAGAATAAGTCCTCTAAATCTTATAAGATTTATAAGTTGAATTAGAATCAACTCTTGCTACCTTATAAGAATAAGAAATCCATGCAGCATTTGCTCTTGCCAAATACGTTTCAGATACTAATGCTGAAGTTGCTTGGTTGACTTCAGAATAAGAAAGAAGAACTGGTTTAGTTGAAAAATTAGAAACTGTACATTTTTATTTAATATAATTTTATAGCAACTCCCAGCTGTTCTTGCCTAATAAGCCAAAGCCCTCAAACTCTGGAAAGATTCTTTGAACGCCGTTGCAGGAGCTACCGCTGATTTGGAAGAGAAGAGAGAATTCTATGCCTCCGAAACTGCAAGAAGAGCCGGTACCATTTATCACAATAATCAATAGAGGAAAATGCTATCATCGATGTTGTCATTTAATTGTTCAAAGACTAAGTTAGATCCTTAGCCTCATAAACCAGCCTTGGAAGAAAATGATTTCCATAATAATACAAATATATTCAATTTAAAAAATGAATCTTAAATTAAATGCTATTCTCTAGTTATTCAGAAACATACTTCATTATATCAATTGTTGTTAGTTTGGAATAATTTTATATTTTTGAATTAATCTGACATTAAGCATAATAAAATGGTATTATTCGACTGTATAATTCATTATCTTTTTATTTAATCCAAATTTTTAAATAATATTTAGTTATTCATTCTAAGATATTCAGAGTTAATTGAAATAATCATTTACTTCTTACTCAAACCTCATAAAATATTACGTTACTGTTCTGGATTAAATATTTAAATTTGTTATTATTCTTAAAAGATGAAAAAATTTAACAATTTGTAAATTAGATTATTATATATTATTAAATAAAAGCTATGTTTATGTAAGATATAGAAATTCTTAAAAAAATTGGATAAAAAAATTAATTTTTTAAAACATTTAACTCAAACTAAGAACAAAATTTTGAGTCGATTATAGATATTAAAGCTTAATATTATAGATTTTTATGGATTAAAGTAAAAAAAAATTTGTGTTTGTTATTAAAAATTCAAAAAAACCTAAAAATGATAAGTTTATAAATTTAAATTTTGATTACGTTTAATATAGTTTTAGAATTGATTTCTCACATTAAATAATGATTTTTCATATGAAGAATAGATAAACTCTCAAATTAATTAATTTTCTTATGTAATTAATCATGTTATTTTTATGTATTGCCCAATTAAAAATAGGATAATCAGTACAAAGTAATACTTGACACTTTGTCCTATATAAGATATATATGATTGAAAAATTGAATTGATATAATAATAATATTTGTATCTTATATGTTATTTTTAGACTTTAATTGTTTATAATATTTGACTCATATAAAGGGGAAAACTTAAATTTTATTACACATAAATAAAATTATGTTCACTCAATCTATTGTTAGTTTGGAATCCAGCAAAGTTTACAAACCAAAAAACAGTTAAATTGGAGTATTATCAACTGCCATCAGTAAAATTGGACACTCTAACTTTACCACAAAAACTAGAGAGTCAACTAATATGTCTCCAGTCAGAATGAGAATATTTAGAGACTCCTCACCAAAATAAAGTAAAGGCTTATAAGGAATAGTAGTTGGGGAATACCAGTATTTATTTTAATTATTTTAGTGCATTAACAACTGCTCATATTGTATTTAGTAGCATTCATAAAAGCACTTCTCCTATTAGATCTAATAAGAGTTATAATGAATCTCCTTAAAGAGCTAAAGCAAGACTAGATAGATTCAAGAATTGGGATTCAAAATTAGGACTAGAGCTCTAAATCTAAAACACAAAATTCACTCGATTCAATAATGAATTATCATATTCAAGTTACTAACCTCATCATTTATCCTCTAAATCATCTATATTCTTGGGTAACAATCAGAGCAGATTAGGTTTTGGTGGAAATTAAAGTGATATAAGATTATTGAGTGCAAAATTAAATGCAATCCCACCTACTCAAATTGGAGCATTTACTGTTGGGTAAGAATTAAAAAAATATATTTATAGACATAATCATGAATTAGCAGACTTATAATAATCCCTAACTAGAATCTTAAAATAAAGTCGACAGTATTGAACAAAATTGATAATTATTTTATATTAATATGGATATAAAATATAAATTTAAAGAATAACATTCTTCATATAGATTGACAATAGTAACAGCTGAAATCTTTAATGTAATTTAAAGGTTTACGAATAGAATTGAATGATATTGTAAAATTTTAACAGTATAGTACATAATGTTTAAGATAATAATTATGATTATTGATGTTAAAGATATTGAATATGCATTTGAATATAGAAAATAGTATTTAATAATAATAATAATAATAACAAATAGGTCAAAGAAATATAGTATAAATATAATATTGATTCAAATATAGGATCAGGATGAATACATTATACTTGAAGAAATTTAAACAATATGAAAATCCTTTTATGGATAATAATTTACCTTACTTTTCATAAAAAAGAATAAAACTTAAACTTATTATAGATTATTAAATCAATATTCTTTGTGATAATAATATGAATGAAATTTGATTTTATATAAATATATATTTATGACTATAATTCTGTATGTTTAATAATGTACTTATGTGATGTATTATAAATCATTTTCTGGCAGCTAAGGCAACTTGAGTTGCAATTCTATTTAAATCTTATTATCCTTCTTTGGTTACAATTCTTGAACCTTTCTTTAAAAGTGATTTGTTATCTTTCTTTAAAACTTTAATAGCTTCCAATTATTAGAGTAAATATCTAATGACTTTTCCAGATCCAGATTCATGTTTTCCATTATCATTAACTGAGCCAAACATGTGAGTCAGATTTCCAACTCCCTGAAGTTAATTAATTAATTATTAATACCCAATGTCCTCTAACATAAATTTTACGAGCAAGTGCTGCAGCTCTAACATACATCCAATCTTAGTCAATTGGTGAGATTTCTTATCCAAGTCCTGTCTTAACAATTGAAGCCCATTCTGGAATCTTGATCTTGTTATTTTTTTTCAAGTATTCTGCATAACCGCGAATGAAATCTTAAGCTGGTACATCCTTTTATTAATGTCATGAGTTTACTTTCACTGTATAAAATGGTGCTGACATTAGAAAAATTAAATTATTTTTTGAATATTTGCAAGATTTTAATTAATAAATTAAAGCACTTTCATAAATCACTAGTAATCTCATCTGCTGTCTATTATAATGGTACTTAAGTTGAGTTATTTCTAATAATGACTTTAATAATTGAATAAATATGATAGCATTAAAATAGGAGTAATTATTTGATTTATAAATATTCTTAAACATTTCATTGTTTTTTGAAAGAAATCATAAAATATTATAATGAATAGATTTAAATGCATTATATTAATATATAAAAGAAGCTAATAAATAGTGCCTCTAGATTTATTATTTTAAAAGGATTAAGTTATAGTTAGATGAAAACTATAGAATAGGAATAATAACAATATACTATTATCTTATCTTTATATTGTATTAATTATAGATATTGAATTAATAAATGAATGTAAGAATTTTAGCAAAAATTGATAATAATGATGTTTGATGATAATTAAAAAAAATTAGAAATAGTTATGCAAAAAGAAAGTAGAAGTAGATAGAAATATAAAAAATTGAATTAATTTGGATAATATGAAAAGTTGATTATATGATAATAGGAATATTATAAGAAAATTGAGATAAATGTTTATAAATTAATTACATACATAAGCATTTTTCGATCCGTTTTTAAAACATTAAATTAAATATATGCAAAAACTAGCCATCTTGACATTGGTTCTTGCTCTTGCAGCTTCCAAGTTTGTAGATACACATGCAAGCTTGGCTTAGATTGATTCTAATCCATTTGGAAATGTTGTGTTGTCAGCAATCAAGGCACACTTATAAGCTTAAACACCAGCCAATGAAGTTAATATGTTATTAAATGGTGTTGCTGCTGGATTATAATAAGATTAAAATGACCATGATCATGCTTTTGAACTTGATACAACTACAAACAATAGAGTAAGAATATTTAACTATGTAATAGATCGTTGAAGATTTGGAAAAGGAAATCTTGTATCACTAAAATCAAATCTCATCAAACACTTAATTGAGAGATGACACTATTGAAGCTTTGGCTGTTTCTGAAGAAGACATTAGAGTCACAATTTCAGACATTGCAACTAATGAAGCCACTTATGCTAGAGAAGAAGCCACAAGAAATTAATAACACGAAACCTTTGTTGCTAAAGTTGCTGCCATCGATGATGTTATCGATGCTATTGATGATGCTGCCAAACTCATCCAACATTTGAGCTTAGGTGCTTCATTTGTCTAAGTTAAATCAAAGTATGAAACAGTTCACAAGAGACTTACTGACAACACTTCACACAGCCAACTCTTATAAGTAAATAATATTTTTCTATTATCTATTTTAGCCAGTCGTTGTTGCTCTTACTGAATTAGCTACTCACGGAGTTAACTAAAAGGCCTTAACCAAGATTGCTTAATTATTGAGCGAAATCAGATAATAATTAGTCTAAGAAAAGGCTGTCAAAACAGTAAATAAATTAATCTAAATAAATAGGACGTTGAAGATAGATAAGCTGCACACTGGGCTGAATTTAGCGCTCATTTGAGCAATGAACACACCAGATTGGTTGAAAGAAAAGCTTAATTAGAAGTCTAAATCTAAGAATAAAAGGATACAATTGAAGATGCTTAATCTTGGATCGAATTCCACACTTTAGAATTAGAAAACAGTGAAGAAAGACTTGCTGGATAATAAGCATGGTATGCAGTCTAATCAGAAATCTATGAAACTTAAACTGCTGAAAGGTACTATTACAATAATACTTTATTTTAGAGCTGCTTAAAATGAAATCGTTGATAGACTTTAAGAACATATCAGTGAGAAATTATCAACCACCGCTCAATTCATCAGCAAAAGAAATTGATTTATTAAAAAAAATAAATTATGAACAATATTGTTCTAAGTTCAAATATTTACAGTTTAAAATAGTTTGTTATTCTTTTTTTTATTAAAATAATCTTAAGATCATTTAAATTAATAAAAATTGAATTTTTATCATAGTAGAAATTTAAATCTTTTGTATTAATTCATTAACAATTTAATTGAGATACTATTTCTGCTAATAATTTCTAAATAAAGTGATATAAAGTTATATAATAAATTTAAAATGAATTATTTCAAAAAAAAAGAAAAAAATTATTTATAATGTTATTAATAACTAAGTATTTGGATAATAATTATCTTATATAATTAAATATAGCTCTTTATTATTAATATTTGAGTTAGACTTTGATCTTATAAAACTAAAGTAAATGAACAATAAAAATTGATATAGTTTTTTGGATTGTATAAATTATTTCTTTGAAGATCTGAAAACAAAAGAACTTTAATTTAAGTAAATGATGAATTATAATTACAAAAATGAGATAAAATAGTTTTGTTACACTATCAAATTTCCTCTATTATTTGCTATTCAATCCCTTTTTCAATATCCTTTAATGATTATTTTTACTTTTCTAATTATATCCTCAACATTTCCAAGTCATCCCCAGAGACTCGCTTTAATAAATTTAGCCATCTAATTTCCATGTTAGAAAGAGATTGAACCTTTTCTTCTGTCTCTTCTGAATAACACTATGAATAAGTCTATGAATAATTTTTTGAATTCATGCTAAATTTTACTATTCAAATTAATTATAATAAACTTTAGATGAATAAGTTATGAATATAATCTTTTTTTGAGAAAATGAAACAACAAATAAATGTTTCATTTTATCATCTTAGACATTATATTCAAGGTCAGAATATTTAATTTCAATTATAATTATTATTATTAGGTTTTATGAAAACTAAAAAGTTAAATTGTTTTGATGTTGAACTTTGTGATAATGCACTATTTGATAATGAACAATTAATAAGACCTAAATCTAAACCGAAATCTAATTCTGAATTAACCCCATTAGAAGTTCAATATTAAGAAATTAAAAAGGACTATCAATAAGATCTGGTTTTATTATAAAGAGGCAATTTTTTTTTGGCTTATTAAGAAGATGCTCACTTTATTCGAAAATATATTGATTTATAATGGAAAATACCTAATTATTTAGTAGGATTAAATGAAGCATCTGTAATAGAACATATTCATACATTAATTATGTAAACTGATAGAAAAGTAGTTTATTGTGAATAATCTGTATTTTAAATGACATAAAATTAAATACGAGATCGCTTTATAACTGGAATTTATAGCAAAGGACTTTTGGGATTTGGTATATTGGGAGAGAATATAGAAAATATAGAAACAAATTATTTAGTTTCGTTATATAAGGATGAAGCTATTGTACTAGATACTATAAGCAAAGTAGCATATAAAACGAGTATTGAGAATTTAAATTTTATAAAGATTACTGAAATAATAACAAATGAAAAAATAAAGACTCTTGCTTTAAAAAATACAGCTAAAGGTGATAGTGCTTTTGAATAGTTAGAAATATTCTTTAAAGAAAGGTTTATTAATGGAATATCATAGATTACTTTTATTGATGATTCTTCATTATTTTCAAAATACTGTTTAATATCTGATAATGCAATAAAATAACTATTTTTCAAACCATTAATATAACCATCAACTAAAGAGGGTTGTAGAAAATTATAAATGATTTTACGAAAAATTCCAATAGAAGGTATAAAGGACAAATAATTAGCATAACAGGATATGAGAAATCATTTAATTTTTAGAGATAGTTTTTTAGGTGAGATAAAAAGAGTTGGATCTTTGTAACATTAGATGGCTAGAGTGTTTAATGCACCAAAAGATTGTTTAATATTGAAATAATTCCTAAATAACATAAAATATATTCTTATGTAATTAAAACAGAAGATTTATATTAATAAATAAAATTATAAAAGTGAACAATTAAAAAATCTAAAAGAACTTAATGATAATATTTTGTAAAAGATTTAATAAGAATTTATATGGGAAGGTGAAAATCTTGATATTTTAGTTCCACAAAATTAAGAAAGAACTTTATATAATTAGATATTAGAAAACTTAGAAAAAACAGAGGATGAAGCAAATGATGAATATTAAAAAATAAAGAGTTAGTTTTATGATAATGATCCTAAAATTAAATATTATGGATTTGAAATAGAAATGCCTGAGGATTATAAAACTCCATCATTTATGTTATTTTCAAATAAAAGATAAGGTTATAGAAAATATACTACACAATTACTTTAAAAGAAATAATAATAACATATTAAATTATTAGATTAATTAAAAAAATTTATTCATTTATTCTATTAATAAGTAATAGAGAATATTATTAAACATAAAGACTATTTTTAAGAAATAATCAATTAAATTAGTGATCTAGATGTATTAATAGCAATGTCAAAATATTTAGAAAATGATTAACATAAATGTCTTCCTATTTAATCAGACTAAAATTAATTAATTTTAAAAGATTTCTGTCATCCATTAATCTAAAATTGTATACCTAATGATCTTAATATTAATAAATGTATCATTCTTACAGGATATAATGGGGCTGGAAAATCAACTATTCTAAGATCAGTTGGTTTACTTGTGATTTTAGCTATGTTAGGGTGTTATGTTCCATGTTAATAGATGATATTTAAAACTTTTAATGAAATACATTGTAGAATGGGTGCATATGATACAATAAGAGAAAGTACATTTTTTGTGGAATTGTAAGAGGTACGAAGAATGATTGATACTTAAAATAGTTTATTGTTAATTGATGAATTAGGAAGAGGAACAAGTTCAATAGATGGTCATGCAATAGCTTATTCAATTTTAAAATATTTACTCAAATAAAATAGTATGATTTTATTCACAACTCATTTCGATATTACATTAGATTAAGTAATGTATTACATGGATAATTATTAATTATAGAAGGGATAGGTTATTAAAGAACTTACATCAAAAATATTAATATGATATAAATTATAATATAGTTATATAATATATATATATATTATTAAAAACGGAAATGAATTGGTTAATCATTATAGGTTTGATTTATTTGTGTTAGGCTGAGCATTTTCTATATGAATCAGAGACAGGAGTTTCAATTCAAAATATCATTAATAAAGATGTAGATATAAATATTAAATTCAAAAAACAATTCTAAAGAACTCCTAAGATTGCTTATTCAATTAGTTTATTGGATATGAGTGGTACTTCATTCATGAGTGAAATTTTGAATGTTAATTAATAAGGTATTTAGCTAAAATTAAACGAGGTTTCACCATAAGAGTTAGAGGAGATCATATTGATTAAATCTCATATAATTGGATGGCCACTGATAATCCTTTAGTTCATATTGAATATGTTAAGTCATAAGAATCAGAAATCTAATTACCTCTTTTCAATTATGATAGTGATACAACTCCTTTAGTTAATTCATATTTGGTTGGAGCCACATTTTAAGATAAGAAATAATTCAATCAAGAAATAATCGAATTAAATAAAGACATTGTAAAAATTGCAACAAATGGTGCCAAAGAATTTAAACTTTGTCTCTTGATATCAAACTTTGAAAACAGTTTCAAGACAGATGATTTAGGAATTATTGTTGATGCTGATGATCATACATGGTTTTCAAATTCTAAAGATGCATAAAAAATATTGGTTTCTTCATATGAAATTCCTAATGATATTGTAGATTTTGTTTAATTGATGGGTATATCAGGATTTACATCTTTAAGTGATCATATTAGAATAGAAGTAAATGAAGAATAAGAAAATGATGATAATTAAATCAAAGTTGAATTTGGAACTTGTAAAAATTATATTTTATTTAATTAGGGGATGAATCAACCATCAAATCACTTAGCTTTTATGGATTTTATATTGGTAATTAAGAAGTTAAATATTATGATTAAAATTGTGCTTATTTATATAGTGAATGTGATTATCAAGGATAAGAGGTGAAGATTTGTGATAATAAAGCTAAGTTAGATTATAATGGATAAATAAAAAGTATCAGATTACCCAAAGATGCTGTATTCACTTTATATGGAAAAGAAGAATTTGAAGGAAAAAGGTTTAGAATTGAATCCAGTAAATCATGTATGGATGCATTATATCTTGGAAAATGAGCATTTATATATAATGAACAATTTAATCACGATACTAATATTATTTTTTTATTTTTAGTATTAAAATAATCATTCTAAAAACTAATTACTTGATTTTGTTTTACAATAAATTATTTAATAAATTATAAAAAATGGACGAATTTTTTGATGATCCAGCTGGCACTATAGAGACATATGTAGATCCTGAAGTTGCAGCTTAACCTTTAATGTTTAATGATGCAGGTATGGTACTTTGGAAATCTTAATTAAGCCAGATAGCCATTTGAAATACCTATTGTACCTAATGCTGGAGTTACTCTAGTGGTATATATATGAAAGATTAAATTCTAACTATTTAGAGTGCTGAATAATAAAAGAGAAGAGACAAATTAAGAGAATTAGAAGAAGAAAGAATTAAAATTGTAAGAGAGAAAGATTAGGAAGAAAGAATTTAAAAATAATAAAGAAAGGAGAAAGCTTAACAATATTTACTGCAATTCTAAACGTATTTCTATATATATTCTATATAAAGGGAATTGAAAAATGACATTCAAGCAAGAAAACTGGCAAATAAACAAACTTAAGAACTAAGGTCTTAAAATAAAAGTGAATATGTATTGTGTTATTCATGCTACTCAAGAAAAACTCTTGGGATAAGATAGCATCCAACATTGCTTTGAAAGATGGTGAATATCCTGGAGAAAAAGATGTAGCCAAAATGAGACAAGCCATACTTAACAAGAGGAAAGACTTGACTAAGTGAAAATATATATTGTAAAATATATATAAATATAAATAATAATAATAATATTTAATAGTAACCAATCCTTAATTTAATTATTAATATAATAATAAAAGATATATATACAATCCATTTTTAAGGATTGTTATTCTTTTAAAATTTTAGTTAAAAAAATTCATATCATACCAGAATTCAAAAAATCAAAATATTTATATTATTTTAAATATTATGATAATTATATGTTTAAAATTAAATCTTAAAGATATAATCTAATTGGAAATATTTATTTTAATAAACTTATTAATTAAGCTTTTTCTCTTCATGCATTGAATTTCTGATTATATTTATTCTTTATTTCGAAACATAATCATAAAAAACTTATTTTAAATAAATATTATAATTTTATCATTTTCCATAAAAAGAACTAAAACTATAGTTTAACATATTTAACTAATGTATCTCTCTTTAGTATTTATAAGTATTTTAAGNTTATTTAATAAATTATAAAAAATGGACGAATTTTTTGATGATCCAGCTGGCACTATAGAGACATATGTAGATCCTGAAGTTGCAGCTTAACCTTTAATGTTTAATGATGCAGGTATGGTACTTTGGAAATCTTAATTAAGCCAGATAGCCATTTGAAATACCTATTGTACCTAATGCTGGAGTTACTCTAGTGGTATATATATGAAAGATTAAATTCTAACTATTTAGAGTGCTGAATAATAAAAGAGAAGAGACAAATTAAGAGAATTAGAAGAAGAAAGAATTAAAATTGTAAGAGAGAAAGATTAGGAAGAAAGAATTTAAAAATAATAAAGAAAGGAGAAAGCTTAACAATATTTACTGCAATTCTAAACGTATTTCTATATATATTCTATATAAAGGGAATTGAAAAATGACATTCAAGCAAGAAAACTGGCAAATAAACAAACTTAAGAACTAAGGTCTTAAAATAAAAGTGAATATGTATTGTGTTATTCATGCTACTCAAGAAAAACTCTTGGGATAAGATAGCATCCAACATTGCTTTGAAAGATGGTGAATATCCTGGAGAAAAAGATGTAGCCAAAATGAGACAAGCCATACTTAACAAGAGGAAAGACTTGACTAAGTGAAAATATATATTGTAAAATATATATAAATATAAATAATAATAATAATATTTAATAGTAACCAATCCTTAATTTAATTATTAATATAATAATAAAAGATATATATACAATCCATTTTTAAGGATTGTTATTCTTTTAAAATTTTAGTTAAAAAAATTCATATCATACCAGAATTCAAAAAATCAAAATATTTATATTATTTTAAATATTATGATAATTATATGTTTAAAATTAAATCTTAAAGATATAATCTAATTGGAAATATTTATTTTAATAAACTTATTAATTAAGCTTTTTCTCTTCATGCATTGAATTTCTGATTATATTTATTCTTTATTTCGAAACATAATCATAAAAAACTTATTTTAAATAAATATTATAATTTTATCATTTTCCATAAAAAGAACTAAAACTATAGTTTAACATATTTAACTAATGTATCTCTCTTTAGTATTTATAAGTATTTTAAGAAATTTAGATTTTTTAATCTTGATTTGATGAGATTTAGTGTTAAATAAAAGAAATAATATAATTTAGTAAAAACGTATAGTGTGATTAGAAAAATGAAATTTGGTATGATTGTAAAACATAAATTAAATATGAAATTGATTCTTATTGCTCTTTTGGGATTGACACTCACACAAGCTGTCTTTGTTAAGAGATCCAACGATCCAAGCAAGGCAGTTTTCACACAATTGGAAGCCATGGAAGAACACGAATTAGGAAGAAAATTGTTAGACACAATTGCTCTCTAATTGAATAACAAGGCCCCATTGGGAGATATTGCCAAAATGTTACAATAATTAAGAGAAAACCTTATCCTCAACTAATAAGAAGCTGACTAAAAGCATGCTTAAGATGAAGTTGACTGTGAAACAGAAATCTATTAATATAACAGAAGAATTGACTTTGCATCCAATGAAATCACAGAATCAACCTAAGAAATCTAAACTCTCAGTGCCAAAGTTGAATAATTGACTTAAGATGTTGAAAACAAATAAGTCTAATTAGATATCTTGAATGAATAAGAAACCTAAATTAGAGAATAAAGAGCTGAAGATGCTGAAAGTTTCAAGACATTCGAGAATGAAACAGAAAACGTTATTGAAGCTGTTGAAGTTATCATCTAAAAGTTGAGCTCAATCCAACCAGATTAAGAAGTCTTAGCTGCTTTAACATAATTGAACAAGATTGGTGCATCAAATCCAATCCTTGCTCTTATGTAAGTTGCTTCAACATTCTCAGCTGAATAATTAAACAATGTCCTCGGAAAATTAGGTGAAGTCAGCACTTAATTAGCTGAAGCTCTTGAAGATGCCAGATAAACTGAAATCTAAGCTTAATTAGACTTTGAAGCTTTAGTTGTTGAAATTGCTTCATAAAGAGAATCATTGAGTGCTGCCAGAGAAGATTCTGAAAGATAACTCTAAGATAACTAATAAGCTTTGGATTTATAAAAGAAGAGAAAGGAAGATGCTACTGATGAATTGAATGCTGCCTCATCAGGAAAAGAATAAAAGGAAGCTGAATGTGATTCATGGAGAACTCAATATGCTGAAGATTCTGAACACAGATAATAAGAAATCTCCATCATCAGATAAGTTGAAGAAATCTTAGCTACCAAGTTATCCAACGTTAAGGTTTATCTCTAAGAGAGATCATCAGCTTGATATAAATTTAATTCTTCAACAAATAAAAACCAACTTAGTCATGTTCTATGTAAGCTCTACAATGTTCTTTCCAATTTTCTAATTTAATCACTTTATACTTCTTCACTCTTTCATTGTCAAGTTTTAATTCTTCTAATTCTTGCAACCAATTTGTAATTTGATGATATGACTCTTGCTTTGGAGTAGGACTTAATGAAAAAGGCTTTTTCAATGAAGAATGATCCATTGTAAATTATTTTCCAAATTCATCAAGTCCTGTTAAGCTAGGTAAATGTTTTTACCATTTTTACAGGATTCTCCTTCTCAAACTAATTTCTCCATCTTTTTTTTTTAATTTTGATTTAATCTCAGCTTCATTTCTTTAAGTAAACTAATAATTCATTGGATTTTTATCACGACCTTAATCTTTATCCCATTCCCAATGAGCAAATCGTTTTAATACTCTTTTTGGTCTATCCTATTATGCTTAAAGAAGGTAAGTATGAATTTAAGATTTTGGTATTAATTCACTAACTGACATAGATCCAACATTTTAGTGTCTACACAATCCAGTGAGAACTGGACCTAAATTTCGATCTTCTATAAGTTCCTGCTATTAAAATGCAAATTTTATAAATGTTAATTTGCGATCTTCCAAAGTTTATTTTAAAGAATTGAAGTCATCAACATTTTGTTTGATATATGAAGTTTATATTACTTTTTAAGCAGATTGCTCTTAATTATTAAGATTACTATCAATTACATCCTTAATCCTAAATTTTGTTCTACGTATTGTTTGACTCATATTCTTTATAATATATATAAATTTAAACTAATTTTTTATAATTTCATCCATTTCTTGAAATAAGTTACTGTCCTACAGAGATTTGCTTCTTTGGAGATGCTTCAACTTATTCTGATGATTTAATATAATCAAATTATTTATCTATCTTATTATCAGAAACAGATAATGGGCTTGATGCTTAAACAGAGATTTATTATTATTGTTATTATTATTAATCTTAATGAGTATTAACAATTTGATCACATAATGAGATCAATTTATTTAAATATTCAAGATTAGTAGAGTTTTAATCCCATTAATATATTTAATTATATGCTTTTTTTGCTTATAATAATTATAAATTATTCTTTAATTATTATAATTTGAATTTGATATGTGAAGATTTATACAAAGAAACTAAAATTTCTTACTTATATGGTGTTATTTAATAATTTAAATTGATAATATTATTGTAAAATGATTTAGCAGTTTATTACAATTACTAATGTAATTAATTTGGATTTAATTAATTAGTTCTAGCAATAAGTGTAGCTTATATAATCTTTTCATTCACATTCTAATTAGTTTCAATCAATAATTTTGTATCTACTATTTATTATAGATTAATTTAAGATTATTTATCTTAAAGTACTTTACATACTTCAACATTCATTTATGATTTAACAGTATACATCTTTTCTAAAGTATAAGTATTACTTTATCTCATAGGAGATGTTATCGCATTCATAACAGTTGCAATTATGTTATTGTAATCATTAAAGGTTAAAATGGATTTATATTATCTTGTATAGTATTCATTCAATCCAAAATTATCAAAAGCAACAACATTTAATCCTTCAAGAATACTTAAATTTTATGCACTTTTTACTATATCATGTCCATACTCTTAATTAGGAAATATTGTGAATGTCTAAACAACATTTTTATAATATTATAGTATATCTTATAACATACTAATATCTGTGCTAAGATGATGAGTAATCTATATTCCTTGACAATTATCACATATTTCCATTTCTTTACGTAAACACTCATCTAAATCTAATTAATAATTATTTGGATTAAAAATAAGTGATTATGGATTTGCAAGTATTTATTCAACATCTCTTGAACATAATATAGATCTAGGAACATATTTTTTATCACCAATTTCACTAAAATGTACTTCAATTCCTTCTGTTGGTTTTTCACATGTCCTATTATTTTCAATTTAATAGTCTTAAATAAGTTATTCATAAAATTTGCATCCTACTCTAACTCCACAATTACCCAAACCAATATGTATTATTTCTCTCATTTATTTAAGAATTTATAATTAATAAAATTTGTATAACATTACATATATAACTATATACATATATATATATTTATTTGCCATCATTTTTACATCTTTATTTCAGCCTTAATATCTTTTAATCTACCTAATAATTCTTTAAATTATTCATTTTCAAGATAATAAGGTTCAAGTAATTTTATAGCTTAAATACTATAATTTTCAGCTTTTAAAAGATAATTTAAGTGAAATCCCAATTTAGATGCTTCATTCATTTTCCATCCAATATATGGATGTTTATCATTATCATAATATTTGGGCATCAAAACAATAATTTCTTCTAAAATAAGAAATGCTTTTTTAAATTTTTATTGATTTAATAGAGTTAAATATTCTTATTATTTTAGATTTAATTAATCTAATTCTTCTTAATTATTAGTGTCTGTCTATTCTTATTGACATCTATCACAGTCACAAATAAATCCATATTATTATTACAAAAACTTTTATCTATCTTTTAAATTAATAATATTTCCATAACTTATACAAAGTTCTTATGGATCATTTTCATTTTAAATAAAAGAATTATTAGTTGTTATAATTAATTATCTTTGATTAAAAAAATGAGAACAATTAGCAACATTTTTTTATTTTGATGATGTTTTGATACATTTATGATTTAAAAAATTAGCAGGAGTATATAATGCAATTCCTAAAGTATCACCATTAATATCAGTCACAGTAAAAGTATTTAAATGAATTTTTACTTATATTGACATTAATTTTCCAAAACTTTCATTATCTAATTAACCAATTTTTACAATATAAGCAGCACAATCAAAAAATTATTGATAAGTTTATTAATCAATATTTTTATCTACATCTCCATAAAAATTCTAAATATCAATATTATTCTGAAATAGTCTTATGAGTATTAACATATTACATGGCATTTCCTTATTAATTTTACTCAATAATTAACATTCAATTTTATGTTATTTCCAATCATTTTTTTAACAAGACACAGAACAATAAAAATATTATTTACAAATTGAACAACGATTTGTTTAGGATCCTTATAAACAATAATTACAATGATTTGCTCTAAATTCCTTAAAGAGTACAATAGCTAATGGTTCACATCTCATAACTAATTGATCTTGTTTTGGTTATGCAAAATATCTTCTATCTTAAGGAGTAATGATTTTAATCATAAATTATAAAATAATCAAACTTATTATATTTATTATTATTATTATTATTATTATTACTAATTTGGAATTACTTAAACTTTCTTTTCATCCTCTAATTATTTATCTGTAATAAGTTTAGATATATATCCAAATATTTTAGTTCTGCCTTCTCTAATTACAAGAATCTATTCAGTTTTTAGATATTCTGCAGCATAAAGAAATCGTAATCTTTTAATTAATTAAATTATTTACCTCACTGTGTCTACATCTCCTGTACGTAATACTTCATGTTAGAATATTTTCTTCATTTCTACAGCTTATCTAATAACACCACAATGCATAACTGCTTAATATCCATGACTCATTGTAGTAGGATGATGGAGTACATGAATATTAGCCTTAAATTATTATATATATATATATTTATACTTCGAATTCTATAACTGGTTCAGGTTTCACTGCAGGATCAATTAATATCATTCCCTTTCTGAAATCAGCTCTATCTAATTTATCACCAGCCTTAGATGGTTTAAGAGCAAAACATGCAAATTCTCCTACTTATGCTGATTCAACTGCTACTCTATTTATGTGTATAGATTTGATAGTTACTGGCTTAAATGCTAAATTACAATATATTTAATATATACTTTTTCCTTTATCTGGTCCCAACAAAGTATGTTAATTCAATCCTGCTTTTCCACTTCTTACTATTCCACTAACAACAACACCAACTCCAGGAACATTAAAATTCTCTTGTATATCAAATTAGAATGGATCATTTAATGTTTAATATGCTTTGTTTATTTCATCTCTATTTGGTACTCTACTTATGAAACGAGTTAATTATGGTAATCCATTTCCTGTCACACTAGACACTTAAAATATTGGAACAACATTATTTCCATGCATAAGTGCTGCCCATTTATCAATTTCATCCATTCCAGATTTCTCATCAAATACAACTGCTGTTCTTTTTATTGCTGGACTACGAATCAAAGCTTTTATATTTTCAATAGTTTCATTATAAACATTTTATGGAGCTATATCAATTTTTGTTAACACTATTGCAAATGGTATTTTCAAAAATAAACTCACTCCCAAATGTTCTCTTGTCATTTTTGATACTCCCATATTTGCTCCAACTATAATTAAAGAATAATCTGGAATCATAGCAACTAAACCAAATATTGTAGTTTTTAAATATTTTTCATGACCACAGAGATCCAAAAATGTAACTATCTTTTTACTCTTTTCAACTACAAGACTCCAATATTTGTTCTTATTTTAATTGAATCTTTCAGGTAATACTTACTTTAAATTCTCATCAAATCCCATTATTTCTTGTGCAACTGAAGATGTCCTACCATTCTCTTTTTCATGCTTATAATTGAAAACACGCTTTAATAAATTAAAATACAAACCTCTCTAGCACCACCTCTTCCATCATCTAATATTCCCTTTGTTAGCACTCCAACTAATGTTGATTTACCTGAATCAACATTACCTATAATTGCCAATTTGCTATGTTCTAATCTCTATACTTACATAATTTTAATATATACTTATAATTTTAAATGTTTGAATATAGATATCAAATAATTCTTTATTAATATATATATATTTATATGTATTCATAGGTATGTATACCAAACATCAAATGCTTTATCATTTATTCAACTGGATCTCTTAATTTTCAAAATCATTTGATAATTGGTTTGAATTGCTTTTATAATATTTTCTAATTGTAATAAAGAGATTTTTATTTACTTAACTATTAATTTATAAAAATAATTTATTACAATTTTTTTTCTAAAATGAACGATTTTATTTATATAATTTAAACAATAATTCTCATTTTAATTGTTTAGTTTATATTATATGGAACTATTATCAAATAACCATATCTTTTCATTCATTATTACTTTTCATCCACTCATTTTTTAAGTTTGATTAAATAATTTAAGATCTATATATAATTCACAAAAATTACAGTTTTTGTACAATTATTAAGAGTTCTACCCTAGTTTCAAAGAATTTGCTTAAAGAATTAGAATTGAACCAATATATTTTATATGTTTATTTATCAATATAGATTGAGTAAATCGTCAGCAAAGAATACTTCTATTTCTACAACTGACAATATTTTATAATATGAATTATAAGTAGGTATAGTTTACCTATAACTTGTCATATATCTCAACTTGATGTATTACTTTAAGATATTTAAATCATTATCAAATTTACTTGCTTCTTCATGACCTTTAACAACATATTTATAAACCAAATAGAATGTGAAACACCAATCATCTGGTTGAAAATCATTTATATTTTTAGCTACATAAGTTAAAGTAGATTCCAATAAGTCTGTCAAATAATATACTAAATCTGTTTCATCTAATTTTTTAAGAAAAACAATCAAATCTTCATGACTAAAATTAACATCATCTAAATTCAGATTAGATTTGGCTAAAACTATTAAAATTTGATCTTTATCTTCTAATTTTTCAAATACATTAAAAATGCTTAGAAGGTCTTATTTCTTTTACTTAATATTTTTCAAATTAACTAAAGACAACTCATTAATCATTTAAATAACTTAATTAGCAAGTGTAAAACATTTTTAATTATGTACTATCTCAGATAAAATATTTAAATTTTTAAGAGAATCATATGAAACATTTTCTAATTCTCCTCTCAGAAATAAATTCATAATTCTATCAGCAAATTAATCTCTAAATGGCTGATCAATCTCTTCATGATATTTTAACATCATGTTGATTAATAATATATAATCTTCAAAATTATACATTAATTTATTGATATCTTAGAAATTATTAAGTTCCAAATGAAATTGTTATATCAATTTAAGGAATAATGCACGATTAGCCTAATCTAATTCTTATATAAGGAGGTGATCCATACAAAAGAAAAAGATAAATTAATATGTTTCCAAAGATACAGGTGGTTATTTTAAGGCATACATAAAATATTGCATTATAACAAGCATTTAATTTTTCATAGCAAATACCTTAAATTTTCTTAGATGTTAATATGCTTGATTCAATTCTTTCTCACAAAGATCAAGATTTCGTTTATTTTCTACAAAACCTATAAAATCACAAAAAGCTTCTTGTGAAATATCTTTTACTATATTTAAATGCCATATTTCATTTAAGCATGCTGAAAAATCATACACAGCATGAGTAAACTCAGTGTATTAATACCAATTGAGTACACCTTATTTGTGATAATTGTCCATGGCTACAATCCAAGATTATTAATCATAATATTTAATCTAATGAAGAATATTAATGAACTATGAAATATTGTATTCTATTAATTAAAGAGAGAGATTTACCATCTGTATCTGTATAGTTTAAACTTTTAAGTTCACTTGTTAATGAGCTAATTATTGATGGTACACCATAAAAGGAAAGATATTTAAATGAACTATTTTAATTAACCATGTTCTAAAGAATATCCATTTGATTATCAAATGTCATAGAAGACCCATGACAATGAAATTTAAAATATAAATCCTCTAATGTACCAGGATAGAATTTTTATGGCTTAGGATGTTTGAGATATTGTTTTTATATGTATTTCTTTTGTTGAAGAATCTCATTTGTAGATTTTTGTTTAATGATTGATGTACATTTGTATAAATTGATAGTGTTGTTTTTGAACATTTTTATAAAAATTAAAAATGCCTAAATACATTGATGTATTAACAATTGAATAGGCTTTAATAAAAGCTGGAAATGGACACCAATTTTAAAGAAGAGCACTTATTATCATGGGATTGTAATATATGATTGCAGGAATGCTCCATATAGCAATGACAGAACTATTCTTCCATCAATAATAATACAAATGTCTTTCAGAAGATCTGAATTATTAGAATTGTACTGAAGGAGCATTTTGTGAATAATATAAAACAAAGGAAAATAAAGTGTCATTAGTTGATCACTCTGATTTAGGTAGTTTGATCAAATACTTCTTAATGGTTTGTGGTGATAAAATTCAAATATTCATATTGGTCACATCCTATTATATTGGAGGTAGTATGGGTTCTTTGTATTATGGTGAATAAATGGAAATAAGATAAGGCAGATAGTACTTTAAATATATAATACTTTTAGCACAGTAATGATTGAAACATTATTAATGATGGGTTTCGTTTGTTGTATAAGTATGCTCTCCCCTTCAGCATATATTTTAAGTGTGGCATTATTTGCAATTAATTTCTTTTAGAGAGGTTTTTTTAACTCATCTATGATATTGTTTTTTGAGATTTCAAGTGAGAATCTATAGAAATTTGGGCCTGCTTTATTATTAACATGTTATGGAATTGGTGAGGTAATATCTCCAAGACTTATAGAAATGTTTAATTTAAATTGGTAATATTCAATGCTCTTATTATTTGGATTACCAGCAGTGTTATTTTCAGTGTTAATAAAATTTATGTAAGAATCACCAAGAATTTTGGTAATCAGACGTAAATTTGAGGAAGCAAGATTAACAATTAATTATATTGCTAGTGTAAATGAGAGATAAATGCCTGAAAATTGGTTATTAGAAGATGAGGTTAGAATTTAAGAATTGAAATAGAAAATGAAAGATATCTTACTTTAGGAGGAGATTCATGAATAACCTAAAGGATATAATTTTTCTTCTATATTTAGATATAAATCAATTAGAATTAGAATGTTTTGTCTTCTTTATTTGTATAGCATTGTAGTATTAGGTTAATTTTAAACTGCTAAAGAGATAGAAAGATTTTCAAGATTAGAAAGACATCATACATATTTACTATTATCATTAGTATCTACTGCTGGTTATTTGATAAGTGGATATGCTTCATTAAATTATTTAAGAAAGGAAGTAATAAAAGCTATCCTTATTTTGGGTGCAATATTTCATTTCTTAATTGCTGCTTTGCCTTTATTAATTTTAAATAAAACAGCAAGTGATTTAATAACATTCTATGATAAATTAGTATACACATTTATAATGATGGTTTTAGTTATGTGTAGATTGACCTTAAGTTTTGCATATGGATTTATTAATGTATATCTAAAATTTAATATTTAATAGGTTTATGCTTTAGAAATATTCCCTACTTCATTAAGACATTATGGATTTTGTGGACTTACTTTTTTGACTGAATTTCTATTTATATTTTAAGATTCTTATGTTATCTTTTGCCATGCATTTGGACTGAATTCATCTATTGGAATGTTTGCCTTATTACTTTTAGGATTATTAACCTTATAAAAATTGAGGGAAACTCAAGATTTACCACTTAAAGAAAATGTAGATGAGATGGAAGATGAGTTAATTAATAACATATATTCTGCTTGATATGTATATACATTTTAGAAATAAGATTCATCGTTGTCTAGATTTTCTTAATCTCTCCACGTGTATATTAATACAGTGTTTTGGAGATTATTGAGAAGTAGTTGAGTAGTAAGAAGATCCTTTTAATTAAGTTAATTCACTTCTTTCTGTTTTTAATAAGTTTCTTAATCTATTACTATAACTGTATTTAGTAATTGAATGAGTTTATTATTGATATTGTGGCATCAATTTGATATAATGTGGAATTTCAATAGGAATTAGACAATTAGTACTAGTAATTGGTGGATGATGAATATGTTTATTGCTTAATGAAATTTGTCTAGTCAAATGAAAACGAGTTATTTCTGAATCTAAATTTAAAATGGTCTTAGTTGGAGGACGACAAGTAAGTAAGGATTCAGTTGCCTTTCTCCTCAAGAGTATTTATTTTGAATGTCTTTCTGCTTTTAACTCTGACTTTTTTGAACAATCATTAGTTAAATTATGATTTTCTAAAGTTGAAAGAAATTGCTAAGAACTCAAAGTCATTAATATAGTCTCATTACTTTTGCATGTTGCCTTTTAAGTTCTTTTAATTCCTTTAAGTATTTCATTTTCTCCAAAAATAGCTCCTTTAGTCATTAAAGATATTACAATTCTTTATCGATTATTTATTTTATATGATAATTCCACTTCTCCAGTCATTATAAAATAGACTGAATGTGATTCTTCATTCTCTTTATATATTGTACTATTTAATTTTGGTTATATTTCAATCATTTGATGCATCAATTAAGTTAAATGTTAATCAGGTATTCCATGTAAATAAGGAATATTATCAAAGAAGGCTAATTACTATTTATGTATTGAATTGTGATGCTCATATAAAATACGATCAAAAGCATTTTTTTAAAGAGTCATAAAATGGCTATCAACACTACATATTATAGTTGCTGTTCTTTTAGATTTTGTTATAAGAGCCAATTCTCCAAAAGTATCTCCAGCTTTTAAAGTTCTAACTTTTATGAAGTCTGAATATGCAATTGTTAAGAATTCATTAAAATCACTAAATTATTTCCTTTTCTCATTTTCAATACGCTATCTTATTTAATCAACTGTTAATCGATGATTAAATAAATCTTCTTAAACCTAAGGCTTTGGAAGTAATACCACTACTTCCCCTTTCAGAATAATATAATAAGTGGATCCCATATCACCTAGTCATAATATTTACAAATACCATAATTAAATACAGATTCATAAGCTTAAACATTCTCATAATTAAGGTTCTTATAGATTTAAGTATAAAGATAAAGAGGAAGTTTAGCTTTCTACTCTTCAAAGAATTTTAAATTCCCAAAATTTTTCATCAAAAATTCCAGTTCTGTTTTTGTCAATTCACCACGTAGAAGCAATTCTATTGTAATCTAATTCTTAATTATATATACCTCATAATTTTCATTCTCATATTCTGTTATAGCCTATAATTTACGTCTAATTGATTTAAGCATATAAATATAATATATAAGTATATTAAACTTTCTTTTCTTACAAGCATTGTATTAAAAAAAGCAAAATCAAAAATATCTAATATTTATCATAATAATTTTAGTAATTAAGAAAAGATACAAATAAATATATATTTAACGACTGGTTAGATGATATAATAATTTTTTTATTTTTTGACAAGTCCAAAATATTTTACTTCTCTTATTTCTTAATCACTGTAATTTCTTCTTTCAATTTCTAATTATCTTTGAAGTTCTTAGATGTTAAATCCTTAACCAATATTCCAAATTCTAATAGCTTCTATTTAATTTTTTTATATCAATCATATGATTTATAAATGATTCACATAATCGATATTGGAAACTAAATAAATATCATTTTATTTTTACACATTTCTTAATATAGGAGACATTATGCATGACTCCACTATTCTTAAACTGTATTTTATAACTTAGTTTATTAAATATCATTCAATTCTTGAAATATCTAAATTTTATTTGGATTTTCTGGATCTTTTAGATTCTCATAATTTTACAAAAAGAAAATTATAATAAGCAGAAATTTTATTTATTGAAAAATTAAATACAATGTTTACTTACATATTTTATAACAAATATTATGATTGAGATTCTCTAAATAATTATCAGATTATTCTATAAATCATTCTTTTGATTTAATCAAATCTTTTTTTTAAAATCACTTTAATCCAATTATAAAATGAAAAATATATAAAATTAATTGTCTTAATTTTCTTTTTAAAAAATATGAGTTTGAAGTCAAAATTCAAAGAATTGAGAGCAAAAATAAAATTGAAAAAATGAATTCCTAAATCTCTATAATAAAACAATATACTTCAGTTGAGGATTATATTGAACATAGTTTTAATACATTCAAGTTAAAGAATCCTAAACTCACAAAAAGATAAATACATATATAATTACAAGATAAATGGAAAAAAGAATAACAAAAATATCTATCAATACATACTAAGAAAGAGTAAAATAGTATAAATAAACTTGATGAAGATTATGAAATTTATATACCTATTGAAGCTCTAAATAATGAAACCCAAGTTTATATATACATATGATTTTAGATTAAAACAAATAAAAAGAAGAATCAAAATAAAAAAAGCACAAGTAAAAACAAAAAATAATAATAATAAAATTTGTCTAAATCATTTATTATCAAAAATAATACAGATTCATCTTAATATTCATTTGATATAAATTCATTAGAAGAACGAGTATCTAAGATTTAAATTGATGAATAAAATTTATCAAAAACAAAACCTTCAAAAAATTTATGTAGGTAACAAATTAATAAAACAAATGAATCAATTAATAACTATTAAAATAAAAAGAACAACAAAAAATAAAAAAAAGTGACTTTTAAATAATCAGAAAAAATATCATAAACAATAGATTATGAGAATGTTTCAAATGAAAAACCTATTCCAATTTAAGATTTTATAAATTCTGCAAATTTTATTGATCATATCAGTATTATTAAAATATCGAAAAATAAAACAAATCAAGGATAGATTGAGATAGATAAAATTAAAACTATAGTTTCTCATACTTATGGACTAGTTAATCATTATAAAGATACATCAAACTTAAATCTGTAATTATTTTTTCAAGTAGAATTTCATCCAAGATCAGATGGAACATAACCTGATAATACATTTTGTACTGCAAAATAAGCAGCATTATATAATAAAGATTTGGTTTTAGATTATTTGAATAAAAATAAAAATATTTTTACTTAAGATTGTGAGTATTATATTAATTGAAAAAAAATTATTAATAGAATTATTATAAGAAATATAAACTATTAAGCATAATATTAAAATTTAATCTCAATGTTAGGTATGAAAACTTTTGCTTTATCTATAACAAAAATCTTTATCTTAATTATTTTCAATTTTACGAATTTCTACTTATCCTAATAATTATAAAAAACTCAAGATATCCTCTTTAATAGGTCCATTGGTTCTAATTTTAATTTCATATATATCATTCATTCTATTTGATTCTTATAATAATTATAATCCTTGTTGATTTACATAATTTTGTTTAGATTGCTATAAATTTTAATAATTAATTGAAGTAGCTAAATCAAAAGGATTTTCACCAAGATTAATTTTTACATCACTTTTTGATTCAAATAGATTTCTATTATTTTATTTTGAATTATCCACTCTATATTTTTATTCACTAGTTTATAAACATGATTTTTAGCTAGACAAAAATTAACTATCCTCACTTTTAGTTATTCTTGATGTGTTTCTACTTGTTTGAGATTAAAAATTCAACAAATAATCATAAGCATTCTTAAAATTCATTTAACGATATAAAAATTTAATAATAAATTAATTATGCATATTTTCTAATTTCTATTTAAATAAAAATAGAATTGTATTAATAATATAATTATTGAGTTATCAATAGTTTTGATTGATATTTAATAAACTTATTAACTTGGAGAAAAATTGAATAAAAATATTATTTCTTAAGTAGATTAATTGAGTAATTTAAAGATCCTTTTGAATCCATAATTATTTATTAGATTTATTTTATATTTAAGAAAACTAAAGAGAATAATATAAAATATATATAAATAATTTTAATAAATTATATAATATTCAAAAAGTGTTATAAGTTAATTATATTACCAAATGAAGTATATTGAGATCATCTTTTGAAGTCTTTTTATGTAAGATATATATCTAAATTCTATCATACTTATTAATATTATAAAATATAATTTTTGTTTTAATATCAGAAAGATCAATTAAGAGATATTATAAATACTCTTAATCATTATATAGACATATTTATTCAAAATTGTAAGCAGTTTAATAAATAAATTTAATTGAAAATTATCCTAATAATTTATCAGGATTGATCAGAGTTAAAAAAAATTTCTTAATATAATTTATGTGATACAAAAAATCATTTAATTAATAAAATGATTCAAGAAAGCCTTGTTTTAAAATTGATCTTCAAAGATATTAAACTTAAATTTTCAGTCCCAGATCCTACTTAAACAATTGAATAACTCAAAGAAATTATAATATAAAAGTTATCAGAATAAGGAATAAATTTACAACCAAATAATGTTTAATGTAATGATTCTGATGATTTTATGCTTAATTCATCAGATATTATTGGATAACTATTAAAATAAAATGACACAGTCAAATTAGTAGAGAAGATAGCAGATAATATAATATAATAATAACAATAATAATAATAATAATAATAATAATAATAATAATAATAATAATAAGATAATACAACAGAAGCACCTCAAATAATTTAATAATAAGATCCTGCTGAAGCAATTGTTGTACTTTATGATATATCAGGTTCAATGAGTTCATAATTTTTTGGAGATAAAGAACTTTCAAGAATGGGTGCAGTAAATGCCTTCTTTTCCGCCTTTGCTGATAAAACTTTAGCTTTTGAATTTAATCACATTGTAAAATTAGTTTGGTTTGGATCATAATTATATGATAAATGTGAATTTACAAGTGATTTTAATAAATTTATCAAATTGGTAGATGATGCTAATCCTGGAGGATCAACTAAATGTTATGATGCAATTGATTATGCTATTAATAAATTATTAGAAGTCAAATAAAAATATCCAGATATTGTATTGAGAATACTTGCATTAACAGATGGAGAAGATAATGCTTCAACTAGTAAACCTAATACTTTAGTATAAAAGATCTTTGATCATAAAATCATCATAGATTCATTCGTTGTAGGTGAAAATTGTGTTGGTTTAAAGACATTGACTCATGCTAGTAATGGTAGATGTTATTGTCCAAGAGATTTAGGATAAGGGATGTCTCTATTTGAAATAGAAAGTATTTTAAGTACTAGCAGAAGAGAAAAAGTAGAATAGGCAACAAATGTTGTAGATTTGGATGCCATTAAAGGAAAACCATTTGATACTGAAGGAATGAAGGTTGTGACCTTAGATGTATCAAATAGAGCAGTTATGAAAAGAGAAGAAATTGTTAAAAGAGCTAAAGAAGCAGAAGCTTAGGATAATCAATAAACAACTTCTACAGGTGTTGAAGGAAAAAAGGCTGCTGTAGGAGGTGGTGGAAGAGATAGAAGATTATTGAAGGAATTAAATGATGCTATAACTAAATGTTATGGTGAATGTAAAATATATCCAACTGCAGATGATATTGGAATTTGGAAAATATTAATAATAGGTCCAAAAGGAACTCCATTTGAGAATGGTATATATTAGTTAACATGTGTACTTCCTTAAGATTATCCATTTAAACCTCCTAAAATTTCATTTGTTACTAAAATGCATCATCCTAATATAAGCAAAACTTCTGGAGCACTTTGTTTAGATGTATTAAAAGATAGATGGAGTCCTGCTTTGACTGTATTTTCAGTCATCCTTTCTATTAGAAGTTTATTAACTGATCCAAATCCAGATGATGCTTTAGATAGTAATGTTGCAGCTGAATATAAACATGAAAAAAAATTATATGAGGAAAATGTAAAAAAAGAAAAGCAACTTTATGCTAGTCCAACAGTTGAAGATTTATTAAAGGATGTATTAGGTTCAGTTAGTGTTGATTCTCAAGAATATAAAGATGCTCATAAAGATCTCAGTGAATGGATAAAATAGAATGCACAATGATTCATTTATTATTGTTAAAATAATCATTATATATATTCATTATATTAATTATCTTGTTAAAATATTCTATATTATTTATTATATATATATATATATATATATATATAAGTTAAATAGACTATATAGATTAAACTAATAAATTTAGATATTGTTAAATAATAGAACTTTAATTCAAATTGCATACAAAAAAAATTAAATATATTTTAATTGAAACAGTCTCCAAAATCATATTATGAAAAATAATTTAATATATTTATTTATGATTTCTATTTAATAAGGAGATAAATTAGAATGCTTTAAGATTGATAATCACTTCATTGGAACTTTAACATTATTAAATAATTATCCATCTCAGTATTTCGTATTTTTTATCTATAGTCAATGTGGTTTCAAAATAAGAACCAATAATACTCAAGATATTCAAGTGTTACCTCATATAGGTTCCTTTAAAGGATAAACTTACAAAATTACAGTTAAATGTGAAAAGTTCTAAAGTAAGTATTATTATAGATGATTAAGAAAATGCTAAATTGTAAATATTGGTAGCTAATATAAATGATCAAAATTTCAATAAAAATGATCCAAAGTTGCTAGCATAATATTTTGAGGCAAATAGTAATAATCCATAAGTTGAAAAAATAAAAATTGAGATTGTTACTATTGATTAAAATTTATTAATAAAGTAATCAAGTATCATCAATTAATCAGCTTTTTAAAATAGATATTATGAAGATCAAATGTATGGAAAATAAGAGTTTACATATAAATAAAATGCACTTTTAATGAAAACTGGATAACCATAATCATAATAAATATAAGATGCTTCTTAATCTATAAGTAGAGAATTTAATGATGACTAAAGATAGTTTATTACGTAACCTACTTTTTAGATACAATATTAAACATTTTCAAAATAATCTTCAGGTTCTTAAAATAACATTTTGAATGGTTAACCTCAAAAGTTATAAAAGTATCCATATTATTAGCCTTAAAATTTGAATGGTTTTAATTAGAATCTTGATGAAGATCCTTAAGTAAAAATGTTGAATTCTAGAATCTAATCATTGTAAAATGACCTTGAAAAATAACAAATTGAAAAAAAGAGTTTAGAATAATAAAAGCATTTGCTTATAAGTAATTATTAAGAAAAAGATTAATAAATATTTGTTACTATTTAACATGTATTATTCTCAGCAATCCTTTGTTTTCTGATAGGTTATGTAGCCACAAATTGATGATATAATATATTTTTATTTCAATATAGTAATTTAGAGATTTAATTTCTTATTTATTAACAACGATCAGATTCATATTAATTTTTGAGATTTGCTAAATAATAATTATTAAGATATGATATTATAAATTTATTTCAAATTGATATATCTAATTCTTATTAAGTAAAGTGTTGAAGCTTATGAATATTTATGAAATTTAATTATAATAGCTGAATTTCAACATAAGTTATTTTCATTTTAAATAATTATTATTATACAATGATATCCAGTAATTAAAAAATAAATATTGAAAATATTTTGTTACACTGATATCAAATTTGATGCGTATTAAATTATTAGTATTGTTTGGTATGACGAATTCTATTCGTTTATTTTGAACACATTTAATTGATTTTTGCATCCTTTTAAATAATTAAAAGATGAATACTTAAGCTAATGAGATTGATCCTCTATAGAAAGAAACTAAGAGAAGGGTTCCCTAACCATTATCTTATTTATAACTTTACAGATTTGCTAATCAAATGGATTATATATGGATAGTAGTTAGCATAATTGGAGCAATATGTAATGGTTTGTCAATGCCAATCTATTCGATTATTTTTGGAAACCTGACTGACTCATTCGCATATGAAGATTCAGATACTAAGTTAAATAAGGCAGGTCTTAATACAATGTATATATATTTGTCTTAATATAAAAGTTACATGTTTGTTTTGGGAATCTGCACTCTTTTGGTGACTCTAATTATGTATACTACATTTTCAATAACATCAGAAAATTAAACAAAAAGATTGAGAAGACAATACTTAAAATCATTGTTGACTAAATAAGTGAAATGGTATGATGAAATTAATGCAAATTCTTTAAATACTAAAGTGAATTCAGAAATATTAGCAATATCAGATGCCATAGGAGATAAGGTTATAACATTTGGTTTTTCAATTGCAACATTTTTAAGCGGTTTTTTAGTTGGATATATTAAGTAAAGCATATTAATTAATAACAATAGAGGATGGAAATTAGCTTTAGTGATTACTTCTGCTCTACCTGTTCTAGCTATTACGATTGCTCTTATAGGTATATCAGCATCATGGAGAGAGTAATTCATTTAAAAATCTGATATTGAATCCTCATCATTAGTTGAAGAAGTAAATTCTAATTAAATTTATATTAGGTATTAAGTTCAATTAAAACAGTTAAAACTCTTGATGGAGAAGATTTCGAATTTGATAGATTTAGAAAGATTATAATACATTCATCTAAATCCATAATTAAATATGGATTATATTATGGTTTAGCATTTGGATCAATGTGTGGAGTTTAACAATTTACTTATGCTTTAGGTATTTTTTATAGTGGAGTACTTGTGACTGATTAAGTAAGAAATTTTAATTAAATATGAGATTGACCCTAATTATTAAGGTCCAATATATACTTCTGGGAGTATTTGTACTATTTTTATATCTGTATTAATGGGTAGTTTGTCATTAGGTAAGATTGGTCCATGTTTATCATGTTTTGCAAAAGGTAAATTAGCTGCAATGGAAGTATTTTAAATAATTGATGAGAGTCAAGAATAAGAGATGAATAATATTCATACAGATTTTGAGAATCTTGATGGTGATATCAAAATTCAAAATATTTCATTTAGTTATCCATCAAAACCAGATCATATTGTATTGAAGAATATTACATTTGTTATACCAGAAGGAAAGAAAATAGCTTTAGTAGGTGAAAGTGGTTCTGGAAAATCTACAATTGGTTAACTTCTTTTAAAATTTTATGAAATTGAAAATGGTTAAATTTTAGTAGGAAAAGATGAAATTCCTTTGAGTTAAATTGATACTCATTAATTCAGATAGTAAATTTCTATTGTTTCTTAAGAACCAGCATTATTTAATACTACAATACGAGAAAATTTAAAGTTAGGAAACTAAAAAGCTTCAGATGAAGAATTGAAAATAATATTAAATTTGATGAATTCATCAGAATTAATAGATCATTTAGATACAAATGTAGGATTTAATGGGAATCAATTTAGTGGTGGTTAAAAATAACGTATAGCTTTGGCTAGAGCATTACTTTAAAATCCAAAAATTTTAATTTTAGATGAAGCTACAAGTGCTTTAGATAGAACAAATGAATAATAAATAACAAGAATTATTGATGAGAAATTCAATAAAATTACAAGAATTGTTATTGCTCATAGATTATCTACTATATAAGATAGTGATAATATAATTGTATTTAATTAAGGTGAAATTATAGGATAAGGAACTCATGATGAATTACTTTAAAATTGTGAACATTATTCTTATTTAATATCAAAATAATAATAAAAAGAAGAAGCTGGATATGGAACACAAACATATTTAGAAATAGAAACATAAAGAAAAATAACTGAAAAGTCATTCAGTAAAATAAATAATAAACAAGAGAATGATTAATTTGATAAATCAAAAGTTTAGATTTTAAATACATAAAATAATGTAAAATAATAGTTAGGATAGGAATTTAATGATGAAATGAAAGTAGAATCAATAGATAATAGATCAGAGTTATCATTTTTGAAAAGCATTAAAAGTTTAATACTTTTAAATTATAAAGAATTACCATATCTTATAATTGGATCTATTGCAGCATTAGCAAATGGATCAATATATCCAATATTTTCATAAATTTTAGCAGATGTAATAGATAATTTATTAATTCATAATCCTTAAAGAGTAAATTCAATTTAAAATGAATATGAAAGATAATAATAAATTAATGCTCTTGATAATACTCTTAAAAATAGTTCTACTATTCTACTTATTTTAGGATTTATATATTTTATAACAAGTGCTTTAGAATGTTTTTGTTTTAGTGTATATTCTGAACGTTTAACTATAAGAATGAAAAATGAAATCTATTAGAAATTTTTAAGACTTCCCATCAGTTTTTATGACAATCCAAATAATAATATAGGTTTCTTAACTCCTAAAGTAACAAATGATACAAGAGTTGTTTAATAATTCTTTTAAAATATTATAGGATTTAAATGTTAATATTATTCTGCTATCATAGTAGGATTTTCTTTGTCATTTGTATCATCATGGAAACTAACACTATTGGCTGTTGGTTTGGCTCCAATATCATATATAGGTGGATGTTTAAGTGAAAGATATGTAGTAGGTTCATAACAATCATTTGCCTAAAAAGTATATATAAATAGCAACAAGTTGTTGATGGATACATTAACAAATATAAGAACAGTCTATTCATTAAGAGCAGAGACTTTTATTGTTAATTAATATGCCAGTTTATTAGAAGAACCTTCTAAATAAGTAAAGAAATTTGGTGCTTAAATTGGATTCAGTTCTGGATATGCTTAAATGAAACCATTTATTGTAAATGGTTATTTATTCTTAATGGGAACACTTTTAAATATATATGATGATCTTCCAATTTTGGCTATTTATTAAACTATATTAGCCATAATATTTTCAGTTGTTGGAGGAGCTAAAACTATTTATTTTTAATCAGATAATAATAAAACTAAGAATTCAATTGCCTATTATTTTAGTCTCTTAGAAACATAAGATGAATTTTAAAGAGAAGAGAAACCTTAAAATCCAAGAATTAAAAAAAACATAGTTGGAAATATTGAATTTAAAAATGTAACTTTTTTTTATCCTCAAAGACCTAATATTATTGTTTTGAATAATTTAAATCTTAAAATTGATTCAGGACATAATGTTGGTTTAGTAGGATGTTCTGGATGTGGTAAATCAACAATTTTTTAACTTCTATTTAGACTTTATGATGTTAATTCTGGAGAAATTACATTAGATGGTTTATCAATTTATGATTATGATCTTAGATTTCTTAGATAATAAATTTCAATGGTTTCTTAAGAACCTTAACTCTTTAATGAGTCTATATCATATAATATTAGATACAATTTATAAAATATTACTCAAGATGATATCATTTAAACATCTAAATTATCACATGCTTATGAATTCATCATAAATGAATAATCTGAAGATTAATAAAATTCAGGTTTTAATAAAAAGGTTGGTACTAAAGGTAGTCTAATTTCAGGAGGTCAAAAATAAAGGATAGCTATATCTAGAGCTTTGTTGAGAAATTCAAAAATTTATTTATTTGATGAATCTACTAGTGCTTTAGATTCAAATGTAGAATCTTTAGTATAGTAATAATTGGAAGAATGTTTAAAAGAAAAGACTTCAATTGTAATAGCTCACAGGATGTCTACAATAAAAGTAAATAGTTATAATTAATTAGAATTGTAAAATTATTTATGTATTTGATAAAGGTTAAATTATTGAGTAAGGTAATTATGTCCATTTAGTTAACATAAAAGGCCATTTTTATAAATTAGAATAAGGTCTTTTAAATAAGGAGGAGTAAATTACTTCTCAATAAATTTTAAATTGATTAATCTAATGTATATTTGATAGAATAAAAGTTTATTTTTATTTATAGATACTAAAATAAATAAAATATTTTATTCAACAGTTATTCTAATTAATTTCAGATTTGCAATCACCAAAATGATAGATTTTATAATTGATCATTCTAATATAATTAAATAAAATGATTTGTTCACGTCTCAACATCAATTTATTTTAAAAATTTGATAGTATTGGATAATTTAAATTCTATAATATTCAAATCATAAATTACTAGTAAATTTTAGAATACTTTATTTGGGATATTCAAATAAATATTATTATCATTTTTCTAAAATTAAAATGTATCTTAAGATTATTATTTATTGAGTTCTAAGCAGTCTTTTTTATTGCTACGCTATTAATTTAATAAATTAAAAAAAGCTAAATTCAATTCACCAATATTTGTTCCAATATCAATCTTTGGAAATGATGTCTTAAGAAATTTACCTGATTTATTTTATAGATTTGAATAATACATTAATTATTCAATTGGTCTTTGCAATACTATAGTTGTTATAATGAAAGATATAAAAAATATGAAAAAGGCTAAAATTATCATACCAATTATGAGAGTAGCCATTTATTGATTTTTTTAATTGATTTCTTCTAATAATGAATTCATCACACTAGAATATAGAAAAGGATCAAATTTAGCAACAACAATATATTTATTATTCATAATTAGACCTAATTTAAAATAAAATAATTTTTGTTTTAACTTATCATATAAACAAAAGGTATTATTAATATGAATTTAACATAAATCTGTATATAAAACATTTTATTAATAGTTTAAAAGAATGGCAAAGTCAGTTTCATTAAAACCTGTCTTTGTAACATTTTAAAAATAATCAACAATTTCTTATCCTTTTTCATAATGATTACTCAATAAAATTTAACCTTTAAAATCAATTAAAAGAAATTCAGCTATTTAATTATATGTAAAACTAGAAAATTATGCCATTGTTATATCATTTGCTATGATACCAATTGAAAGATTTTGTTCATTTGTTAATGATTTAGTTTAAGTTAAACATACACCACCTCCATAATCAATATAGGCAGAAGTATATTAAATTTCTAAGTTACTTTAATTGTGTTATTGATACCATGGCCGTTATTTAGGAATCCAAGCTGATGGTACATTTTAACATGGTTTAAATGTATAAAACTAATCATCAGTATTTGAGGAATAATATAATTAAGTATAATTTGATTAAATTGTAGATGTAATACTTAGAATGTTGCTCAATCTAAGTTTATCATCATATTATAATAGACTATTACCAGCTAAACCATAACAAAAACAAAATGATCTTTCTATTTGTGACATTAATTCTGAATTACTAGTAAATGTTTAACATATATCTAGGTTTTATTGAAACTTCAAATTTTTATCTTAAGCTACAAAATACAATGAATTTATTGCATTTAATGATTGACTCCTTTAAAAAAATCCATTATTTATCTATTAAATAAATTAAAATAGATAATTCTCAGATATTCGATTCATCTCTTTTTATGTTAATACCTACTAAGAATCTATAGCTAAAGTGTTAATAATATTTTTTTAAATTATTAATGTCAAACAAGTGAGGCAAGTAGTTATTATTACTAAATAAATTATTTACAAAATAAGGACTTAAGTTCTCAGTCTTAGATTTGAATAACATTATGAAAATGAGCTTCTAAATTTAATTTATTTTTATTTCATATAAATATTAATATCATCAATCTGTATAAATATATCAAATTATACAATTGATATATCTACTATTACACTAATTATTTCATCTTATTTAATTCTTATTTAAACATCTACTTTTAGAATTCTCAAAAAATAATTGTTTTAAAAATAAGTTTTTGTTAATTATTGTTTACATTATTAAATAAACTTATTTAATAAAATACAAAACTTCCTAAAAAGATACTTAACTTAAAAAAAGATTTATGAATAAATACTAAAATTCTCGCCACATTACTTTTAGGCTACATGATGTTCTAGAATAATAAATCATTTCGAAATTTTTCACTTATTTGGAGAAACAAAAAATTTAATAATTCATATATTATTCTATTCTCTCTTACCATTATTAGGAAATAATTGAATTATGTTTATATATAATAACAAGTAACATTTAATAATTTATTTTAATAAGTATTATTAATTCTAATATATTATATAATTATATATATTTATGAATTTAAGTTTTTAATCAAAATCAGATTCTATGTCAATTACTTTGAAAAAAGGTTTACTATTTGAAATAATATAAAGTGCTTGATGAGTTTACACAATTAAATGAAACAACAAAAGAACATTATGCAGTAATTTTGATCAAGGTGATGATAAATTTGATCAAAAATAGTAAAGGTAAATTTATGTACTTATTAAGAAATGACAATGTAAGGTTTAACACATGAAATTAAAACAGCAGGAGAATATTTGATTAATAATGCATAAGCTGGACATGGAAGATCAGAATTAGTTTTAAGATCAACTTAGACTATTTATCAGCATTATATTAGTAAAGGTTTACAACACTCAAAAGCTGATAGCATGGAGGCATTGTAATCATCACTTATAGAAATTTCATAAGAGCTAATAGATATAATAATTCGTTCAAAAGATAATATAAAGACCTAATGCTTAAAATTCTTTAATAATAGATTTGTAAATGAGAATTTTTATATTAGAAAGTCTTGGTTGTTGGATACTCTAATGTTGTTATCTATTCTTTGATAGAGGCATTTAAGGCTGGGATAGTTATGCAAATTTATATTCCTGAATGTAGGCCAAAATCAGAAGGAATAGAAACATATAGATAATTGACAGAAATAGGATATCCTTGTAAATTAATATTTGATTCTGCTATTGGATAAGTTATGGAAAATATAGATATGGTCTTAACAGGAGCTGAAGCAGTAGTTGAAAATGGAGGTATAATCAATAGAGTTGGAACTTATACAACTGCTATTTGTGCTAAATTTTTAGAAAAAACCATTTTATGTTTTAGCAGAAAGTTTTAAATTTACACGTTTATTCCCTTTATCATAAAAAGACTTAAGTGATTCAATCAGATATAGCTAAGAAGAACCTTAATTTTCAGAAAAATTGAAATTACCTGAAAATTTGGATGTAATTTAATAAATATATTGAATTTAGTTTATCAATCCTTTATGTGATTATACTCCACCAGATTTGATTACATTATTATTTACAGATTTAGGAGTTTTCACTCCATCTGCTGTTTCAGAAGAATTGATTTTAATATTTAACACTTGAGAAATAAAAGTATAGTTCTATGTTCATAAATATTCATAAATACACTTACAAATATTTATCTATTTATAATTATGTAATGAATACAATCACATTTATTAAAAATGTTTATAGTAATAATTTTTTTAAAGTGATATATAAATATATATATATAAAAAGTTTCATAATTAATAAATAATATCTTTTAAATCCATTCTCAATAATTATACAAATTACCCTTCTTAATTTAAAAATTCTTTAATAGAATTTATATCAATTTTAATTTCATTATTTACTTATTCTAAGAATGTACTTATTATTTTCTTAAAGTTTAAAATCAAATTTTTAATCTCCTTATCATTTAATTTACCAATTACATAAAAATTCTCTAAGTATTTAATACCAAAAATCCTTTTAATTTTTCTTTATAATTCGAAAACTATTTCTCTTTTGATTATTTGTCCTTCCTAAATTTAATAATAATTTATTTTTAAAGTTCTTATTGTTTAATATTTAAAGATTGCATTTTATATTTGTTTAACTTATTCTTCATCCTTCTCCTTATAATAAACTACACAATTTTGATTATCTCTTTGAATGATATAAGACTAAATAGAGATTGAAATATAGAAATACTCGATTTAATAAATTTTTAGAAAATTAAGTGAGTTGATCTTCTTATATTGATTTAGGAATATCAACCTAAGTAAACAAAGTCTTTTTATTGTCACTTTCAATAATTATTTTTTTATTCATTGAATCATAAATTCCTTTCAAAACATCAAATCCTATGAATTCATAAGCAGTTTATGATTTTACCAATTTAAAAATTTTAGCTTAAATTACAAAAGAATTTACCTTATAGATTCTAAGCTAAAATTCTAAGTTAGTTTTCCTAAAATAAATAGATTCCCTTTTCTTCTGAAAATCTAAGATTATTTATAATTCTAGAAGATATTTTATTAACAAATTGACTATAGTTTTCATTTATAAATGTATAAGAATATCTTTGCTAGGTGGATTTTGTTTCAATTGCTAAATATATTATTTAATTTCTGGAACCTACATCTAATATACCTTAAATATCAGTTTTAGCTAATTTAAATGTTATATGTCTTCTATAATGATCAAATTTGAATTTTTTTTGAAGTTTAAGAACTGCATTTTCATGTGTTTTTGAATAAACCTTTAAAAAAAATTAATTTTTCCAATTAACAAGAAATCCTTTTAAATATTTTTATGGCTTCTTTAGTGTTTTCTCTACATTTTCAACTTTAAAATAAGTTGGCTTAATTTTTATATTTTCTATTTCTGCCTTTGCTTAAAATAATTATTATTCTTTATTGATTAGAATATGAATAAATATTAGTTTTCCATTTATTTTATTAATTCCATTAATTATACCTACATTATCATAACTATATGGATTTATTAAAGAAACTAAATGGAAAATTAAATAATTACTTTCTTAATCAGAATCAATAATTTCCTTCATTAAATCTGGTAATTGTAAACTTGTTTATTTACTATAATTTTTATTTTGTTGGAAAGGTATTTGAAGTATATTCATTTAAGCTTTTTCATCTGGAAATGCTTGACTGTTTTATTTAGTTTATTCATCTTGATTCTATTTTGATTGGTCCTTATTATTATCATCTGAGTTTGATTAAAAAGATTAGCTTTCTACATAATATTCCTTCAATTTTGTTCCATCTTAACCACTATTATTATTTAAATCTTATTCTTTCTGATCTTCTTCTTCCTCTTCTAAAATTGTATGATTTACTGAAGGTTTTTCTTTATTTTTATTTATATTATCTAATTATTAATAATCTGTTTCAACATTATTGATTACACCCATCATTGAATTATTAATACTAAATTCATTGTATTAAAGAGTAAAATCTAAATTTAAGTTATTTTCCTTAAGTTAATTTTATCTTTATTTTTAATACTCGTTCTCTTCTTCTGGCTTATCTAGATCTTGTTAAGATTATAATTATTAGAAGGATTAGATATTAATATTAAATTATCCAGTTTCATTACCTTTTTCCATATCATCACTTCCATTTTTTCTTTCTTATTGAACCTAGCTAAACTGAATTTCTTAATCTTCTGAAGGCTGTTCTTACTCTTCATTTATATTCTTTTCTTAATTCTCTACGTTTAATTCTTATATAATTTATTCTTGAAACAAAGGAATATCTTAAAATGGTTATTAAAGTAATTCTTAATTTATTTAAGGTGATTTTTAAATTACAATAGAATCAATATTAAATGAATTAATATCAGCAATAGTAGTTGGAACTTGAAGATTTTGAATACTATCTTCAAATTTAGGATAATATTCAGATAGTTTTAATTATTTTACATCAAATTTTATTGAACTTTATTTGTCCATTAATTTTATTTCAATTTCTTACAGATGAGTTTGAATAATAAGTGATTATTTATTGATATGAATAAGTGGTAATAATTATTTTATAAAATTCTCTAAAATGTCTTTAGTAATTTGAATAATAGATGAAATACTTAATATTAATATATGTACTAATTTTTCATTTATATTTTTGGATTTTCTCTAAGATTTTCTTATTATATAAAAATCAATAAACAAAATATCTAATTAATTAATATCTTTATGATTATAACCTAAAAATAAAATACCATTATGAATATTGTTATTATCATCCATAATTCTAGAGTATTATTAATCTGTGACTAATTAATAATTAGATTATAATTTTAGAATTCGTTAATTCAATTTAATTTAACTTTGTTTCCATATTTTTTAAATGTAATTAATTCCTGATAATTTTTGCTCTGTTTTAAATAATTTAACTTTTTATTGAAATATTTATTCTACTTAATTTTCAACAATCTATTTATTCTTTTATTAATAATTAACTTCATTAATTTCTTCTAAATCTTCAATCTACTTATATGATATATTTTATTAAAAATAATTATTCTTAAGTGATGAATCCTATTCAAATTCCAATTTTCTATTCAAACTCTAAATTGTTTCATCTTAAACTCCTTTTTATTCAAGTGTTGTTTCAAAAGACAATCTTTTATGTTATTCTTCTTTTTTTTAATTCTTATCATTAGTACTAATTTAATTATTCAATAAATTTTCTTCTATTTCTATTTCTGTTTTATTTGATCTGATCTATTATTAAATAGCAACTAAAGGTTAAGGTTCACTTTCATTTAAGATTTCCTAAATTTATGGATCTGTATTAAAAATTTATTTGGTCTAATCGATTGATTACTTCATCTCTCTAGAAGTTTAATTTGAGTGTTTTGATTATTTCTTTTACTGTATTTATTAATTAATATAACGAAAAGCTTCTAATTTTTATAATTCTCTTTATTTCTCTTCCTAAATTCTTTTCAATCTCTCTTATTCTTTTTAAGCTTGCTGATAATAATATGAATAATTACTGATTATAAATTTTATATACAACTTTACAATAACTTAGTTTTTTCTAATTTTTCAATTTCAAACTTTGTATTATCTTCACTAAATTGATTTAATGTACGATTTGTAGCAGACATTTATTTATGAATAGTATATCCTTCTCTTCTAGTAAAATCAAATGATTTTAATTTAGGTTTTTGTGTTTAACTCATCATTGCTGATTATGGTCTAAGTGAATTTCCTAATCTATTTGATTCTGATTAAAATAATCTATCAGTAACCTTTTTTACAGTATCTAATGGTTAATTCCTTAAAACATTTTAATCATATTGACTTTTAATATTTGATCTAATTTAAAATTTATGATTCAAAGAAGTAATTGCAATCTTTTAACCTTCAGCCATTGCTAATTATCTAGCAAATTCTTCATATATATTTTTAAGTTAAATTGTTAGATAATGATGAATTCCTAAATTATCTTCAGCTACTTTAAATGCTGATGCATATGCCTATAATGCAAATTAATATCTTTAAAAATGTTATTCTTATACTCCAACATTGTAAAATGAGATTGCCAATGAACTTACACAACGTTAAAATTTAAAAGTTTACATTGATACATGATTCTTTATATAGTATTAATATTCTTTATGACTTTCTGTAACTGCCTTCTTAGCATTTTCTAAAGCTCCCTCATGTCTAAATGCTAATATAATTACAATTATACTCTTTCACTAAAGATAATACTACAGATAAATTTAGATGAGTTACTGCAACCTCTTTCAAACTATATTTTTTAATCACTGCCAATGCATATTCTAATTCTTTTAAAGCTTTTTCTAATTATCCAACTCTTCTATAATAACAACCTAATCCATTCAGAATCTAAACTCTAAGATAACCTTATTATTTTGGTTTCAATCCCTTAAACATCTAATCACAACCTAGTAGCAAAAGTAATGCTGAAGCTGGATCATCCTCTAAAATTGACATAGCACTTGATACAACCAATAATATAACTTTCATAATCAATTATACTTGAGATTGTTAACCCAAATATTTTTTCCCATCAGAAACCACTACAATATTATTATTCATAATACTTTAGTTTAATATGAAAATTGCTTGATTTACTTAATGATTATTAATCAACTGCAAAGCTTCAGTCAAAATTGGATCATCATGGCAATCTAATTCTTGGCCAATTTAATTAATATCCCAAATCACATTTATTGTATTACTTTATGGAGTTATTATAGCTGAATATCTTAAGTTTGAATGTCCTGAAATATTCGATACAGAGCGTGTTTATATTTTTGATTTAAGTTATTTAATAAACATAATTAATGAGAGAATCAATAAATGAATTCAGCAAATATCTTGTAAAAGTCAAGTATAGGGATTTTTTATATTTTTAGAATTAATAATGTATATAGTTCTAAGTAACATATAAAAAACTATGAAATGTAAAAAGAATCAAATAAATTGTAATTTGTATTTCTCGATTTTTCATTATGGAATATTTTGTATAAATTGATATCTTTAATGATATAGAAATTATTTAATTGTATTTCTGAAACAATATCTTAATAATTAATTTAATAGATTCTTAATAAGATTCATATATAATAAATAACTCTAAAAATCTTTTACTTAATAATAGTATATAATATATTGATATGATAGATTTATAAGTTATTTTTTCATTAAGATTATTGAACTAAGAGAATATAGATTATTAATAAAAATAATCTAATTTTTGTTTATAAAACACTCTTATAAATACAAGAATTGTAATGTCATGATATATTTGGGATATAATTTAATATTACAATATATAAATATTAATATCAAATATGTCATGCAATAGATAACATAATTTATAAAAACTCTTCTTGAGTTATCTGTCCATCTCCATCTTAATCTAATTATTATGATAATTAATCAAGTTTTTCTTTAGGTATTTACATATCTCTCAATAATTTCTTAACTTCTAATTTACTTAATTATCCACTATGATCTCTATCAATTTATTGAAATAGCATTAGTAGTTTTTCTCTATTGAAATATTTTTTTTAATCTATAGTCGCTAAGACAAACTCTAAAATTTTACTAATTTTTATACCTTAGTAATCAATCCTACCACTATGATTTTAATCAACTTTCGAGAAAATGGTTTCAACCTCTTAATTAGCTTACTCAGATGAATACATAGTAATATAAACTTTTAAGAGTTCTTCTTTTGTAAGCAAACCATCTTTATTCAAATCAAATTTTTAGAATTCTTCCATTAATTTTTTCTTATCTTATTCTTATAACATGTTTTCAGCAATGTAATTTAACATGGCATTTTGCATTTAAGATTATTACTAAGCTGATAAAGTATTTATATACTTTAAAATCCTTCATATTTTTTGAGAGTTGTTTATTTGGTTTAGTTAATATTCTTGCTCTGTTCACAAAAATTGGATGATTAATAATTTCTGCTGCTGTAGGACGAGCTTATGGATTGGAACTAAGCATTTTACTAATTAATAATTTCATATCTGGATTGATATGTGACCATTCAGAGCCTTCATAATTAACAATTCCTCTTAATATTGCCGTTTTTAAAGTTTAAACATCTCTAGATTAAAATGGCATATGAGAAGTTAAAAAGAAGTACAATAGACATCCACATGACCAGATGTCAGATTTAGCTGATGTAAGACCTGATTATCTTAAGGCTTCTGGTGATTTAAAGGATATCTCTTAAATACTTCCATTAGGTTTCCATTATAAACATATTTATTTAAAAGAATTTGGGATTCCATAGTCCAATAATTTAACATTCTCCATGTTTTTCTCCTTAAATACTATGCTTTCAAGCTAGATATTACTAAAATTTCACAACCTAACATACCCATGTGCAATTCCTTAATTATGTAAGTATTAAACTCCAGCCATAATCTAACAAAACACATCAATCATATTATATTGTTGAAGTTGGCTAAAATGATCCAAACGAGATAATAGATTGCCTCCTTCACTAAATTCACTCACTAAAAACAATTTGTTGTCATTATAATAGTATGATAATATGCGAATCAAGTTTAAATGTTTCTAACATATATCATAAAATTTTACAATTTGTAATAAATGGTTGACTATTCTCTCTAATTCTAACTTTTCAGTTGATCCAAGATTTAAACAATTAAAAATCTTTACAATTCTAGTAGCATTATTGCTCTTAGAAACTGCTTTCTTAATGTAGTTTCTCCTAGCTATTTTAGTTATTAAATAAATAGTATACTTACTAAAGGATCCAAAGCATGGAAAATAAAGTCTGTTTCAATCTTATCAGTTTCTTACATCAAAGAAACATTGGATATAGACATTTTTTTAAGACCAACAGGAGAATTTTATTTGCTAAGTTATTTCTCAGATTTTGCAGCAGCACAACCCATCTTCAATCAAGTAATGATATATTTTAATATTTGATAAAAATATTCAATAACTTTCTCAAAATATAACAAAAATTAGCGTTATCTCACAAAATATTAATGTTATCCCTTTTTGTAGTTATAATTTTATTAGTATCCTCAAATAAGCTTCAACTATATAATTTTAAATATATCAATATTTATAACTGTTTCATTTTTAACTAAAATTATAAATATTTCCTTTATTAATAGTGATCCCATTTAAAAATTAAATTATCATCTATCTTATATTCCTGTAAGAATTAAGTATTAAATTAATGTGTATTAAGTATATTGAAATAACTTTAATTAATTATTTTTATTCAAGAATTCCAATTATGTCTTAATAATATTAAAAAAAACTCCTTAATTAAATTTTGTCAAACTATTTTATTCATTCCCATTTTTATATTATCATCACTTATCATCTATTTATCTATTATTTAGATTAATCAAATTACTAAAAGTTTTATTAGTTTGATAGATTAATCAATTATTATCATTTTTCTATATTGATATTACAATATTTAAATGTCGATATAGTCAATTTTATTGATTTATTTGATTAAGATAGTAAATATGAATCAATAAGTTTAATCTATATATATCATCTCTCATACATAATCAATGATGAAATGAGTATAATTTTAATTGCTAAAATAAGCTTATTCAATTTATTATTATATTTTTAGATGAAGGAAGGCTAAAATATTAAAGTAGTTGCTAGATTAAGACCACTTAATGCTCTTGAAATGTAATAAGGAGGTGAATGCTGTGTTACTTATAATGATAAATAGATTACTGTCACAGTATTAGATTTTAAGTCTATCAATTATTTTAGGTTGGCTCCAATGACAAATAAGATTTTGCATTTGATCGTATATTTGGACCTGATTCAGAATAAGCAGATGTATTTGAAGAAGTAGGTAGACCCATTTTAGATAGTGTGATGAATGGTTATAATGGAACTATTTTTGCATATGGCTAAACTTCATCAGGAAAAACATTTACAATGGAAGTACTATAGAGAATGAATTATCTAGGGTCCAGATAATCCAAATGAAAGGACTAAAGGATTAATACCAAGAGTCATGACTGAATTATTTGATGTTGTACATAGTAAATCAGATGATTTAATATATATTGTAAAGGTTTCATTCTTGGAGATTTATAATGAGAAAATTATGGATTTATTAGATACTAATAAAACAAACTTAAAAATAAAAGAAGATAGACTTAGAGGCATTTTTGTATAGAATCTTACAGAGATTAAAGTTGAATCTCCAGAAGAAATGAAATAAGTCATGTTGACTGGGTCAAATAATAGAACAATAGCAGCAACTAGAATGAATGAAAGATCATCTAGATCTCATTCTTTATTCTAAATTTAAGTGAGTGAAAAAAATATCAAAACAGATTCCAGTAAATTAAGCAAATTATATTTTGTGGATTTGGCAGGTTCAGAAAAAGTAGCTAAAACTAATGTTTCTGGTTAATAATTAGAAGAAGCCAAAAACATTAATAAATCATTAACTTGTTTAGGTATGGTTATTAATGCTTTAACTTCTGATAAAAAAGAACATATCCCTTATAGAGACTCTAAATTAACAAGAATATTAAGTGAATCACTTGGAGGAAATGCAAAAACTACATTAGTTGTTGCTTGTTCAATGTGTTCATACAATGATAAAGAAACATTAAGTACATTAAGATTTGGAGCAAGAGCCAAAGCTATAAAAAATAAACCTACTATTAATGCAGAGAAAAGTGCTAAAGAATTATAAGCCTTATTAGATATTGCTGAATAAAAGATCATAGAATAGGATGAAATAATTAATAAATTAATGGAAAAAGTAGAGAACAGTACTTATGTCACATAAGAAAAAGGAAATTCAAATTAAGGATCTTAATAAAATATTGCATAATCCAAATAACATTCATCTCTATAATTATTAAAAGAACACAAATTAGTTGTTAATTTATAAGAAGAATTAGAATTTTAAAAAACAGAAATGGCTGCACTTTAAATAAATTATTAAAGTAGGATTGATGAATTATAAGATAAAATTTTAAAATAAAAGTTTAATGAAGAACATTTAAAATAATAATTATCTGAATGTTTAAAAAATAATTAAAAATTCATATTTGAAAATGAATAACTAAAAACTCAAATATTAGAAAATGAATAAAAATTATTTGATTTTCGTAGAGCACTCTCTTCAACCAAATAAGATTTGGATTTTTTCCTTGCTAATTTAAATCTCAAAAATTAATACAATTATTGTCCTTCAGATTCAGAATCAACAAAGGATATTTTCATGACTGAATAATATGATAAAGAAATTGAAGAAAGAACCTTTTAAAGTATAATTAATTTTTCAGAAACTCTAACAAAATTAGATTCAATACTTATAAAAGATCTTAATTAGGATTAAGTAATTCCATAATTAGTAAATTCTGAAAATAAGAAAAAAAATGTATCATTTTAAATAGATTCTTAACCTCCCTCACCTAAATCTCATAAATTATTAGATATAGATAATTTCTCTTTTTAAACAGATGAAGATGATTTAAACATTAAATTTGATGAAAACGAATAAACTTTGATTAAGTCTACCTAAGAAAATGAAGAGATCTCAGATGTTGAAAAATTATTAGCCATGTTAGGTGATAAAATGGAAGATCCACATGTACTTTATCAAATACAGGAGGTAATGTCAAAATTAAGGAGGCAACTTTAAATTGAATAAGATAAGGTTTAAGAAATATATTAAATAATGGTTACACTTAAAGATTAATTTTCTATGTATCAAATTAAAGAAAGAGAAAAGATGTAAAAATTGAAATTATCATATACTTAAAAAAAAAATGAAATGACTTAAATGAAACAGAATCTTGAAAAATAATTAGTAAATTTTTGATATTAAAAATTATAGGGAGATTTAACAAGTGAATTTCAGAAATATAAGTATGATTCAGAAAAATAATAATAATTTCTAACTTAAATTAATTAGTAACTAATGTTTACTATTGAGACTCAAAAATCTTAGTATTATATTATTCTTATTTTTTATATTGTAACAATAGGAAAGTTCTGCCTTTAATCCTCTCTCCAGAGAATATCAACTAGAATGTACTGTCAAATAGTTGATGCATGAAAGGAATGAAATGCACAATTCATTATTATAAACAAGATAATAATTGGAAAATGCTATAAAATAAAAAAATTCCTAGGCTGAAGAAATAATTAAACTATAAAAGAAAATCGATACAATAGAATTGTAATTGTAACATAAGAAGCTCTAGGAATAAGATTTCTTTCGACAGTAATTCAAAAGGAGATTCAGTAGAGATTCAAAAAAAACCACCTCAGAGACTTAAGGATGGAGTTTCGACTAAATTATTAAAGATGATCATGCAAGGAACATTGCAAGATTAGAAACAATTTTAGGATATTCTGGTTTAGAAATAAGCTAAACAGGAGCCTGTGTAGGAAAAGCAAATCTAATAATAGATGAGTTTTAGGTAAAGATTCATAATATATTATAGAAAATATATAACATAAGCAGTTAGTAGTAAAGAAATGAATAGGAGTTTGATGATCTCAGTCCAGTCATTGGTACACGCACCATAATTTCAAAAGAAATTGGAGAATGCAAAGGATAAAATACAGAGATATTCTAATAATAACATGAATAGATAAGCGTAGCATTAGATGTAATAATTTAAATTGATGTAAGGAATTTCACGAATAACTTGTCGATGACATTGGAACGACCCCCTTTAGAAGAATTATAAGAAAGTTACTCTCCTGATTGAATAATTATAAATTCAACAATATTGTTTTTAAAATTTAGAGTTTGTTCATTAAAATATATAGTTTTTAAAATTTTCATAAAATTATTAAATTATAAAAAATAAAATTAAAAAATTTAGATATTATTTTTGTTTAAAAAAATAGGTTATGATATTTTATTTATTAGATATATTATCAAAAACCTAAAAAATAATCGGTATCAACTCCCCAAATGGGTTATCTAGATTTTTAGCAACTGTTGTTGTTGCTAATAGATATTTCAGTTGATGCTTTGCTTATAGGTGAATTGGTTTAATTTTAATCTTCTAAAATTAAAGAAAATATTAACTTATTCTTTTAGCACTATATGCCCTTTTATAAAGTTGACGTAGCATTTTATCGCATTTAGGATTTTCAGAATCTTTTAAAATATCTTGGATTTTCACAAACGAAGTTAGATCATGAGACTTGTAGCTAATCAACAGATCATGATTGAGGAGATTTTTTCGATACCAGTTATCCATTTCAACACAAGAAAATGGACCTAAAATATTTAGATAAGGCTAGACCTTACCTTATACAGTATTACTATTGTCCAAATAATACCAATATCGACTTGTCAAAGATTGAAAGTAAGAATATTTAGAAAAAGAAAATGGACTCATGTTAGCTTTGTGAACAGGCCATTCTATTTAAATTTTAGATGATTATTACTTGAAGGAAAAAAAGTTCTGATCTTTCCTTTGGAACCTTTAGATTATACAGACCTTAATTATTAGGCTGATATCTAGGGTGTGTTACTTTAACTTATAGCTGACATAAATATTAAACCATTCTCAAAATCTAAGGTCAGTTGTATTGAAATAATTACTTTCAGGAGATTCATTTGTTAAAGGATTTTGTTATTAAGTAGTAAAAAAAGCAGTGAAGTTATCAAGTAAAGTATTTGGAATAGAACACTTAATGTTTTCATATCCAAGTAGTTCTAAAGTCTCTTTCATAAAATTCATTAATTAATATATGAGATTATATTTTTTTGAATATTTGGTTTTATAACATAATATTGATAGTTTAAATATTATAATAAGATTATACAGGGAGTAATAAAATTTAAGTTTTGATCTTCTATTTGATATTATGATATTTATACTAAATTAGAGAATCAAATATTTATAATAGGAAAAATTAAAATATTTTATTTATTTTAAATATGCTTGAAGTTTCATCAACAGAGATTATCTTCGACTTAAAAAATGATGTTTATATACCTTACAACATAAGTTTAAAAAATGTCACATCCCTATATATAGCATATAAAGTTTAAGAAAAAACTTATTTAATAGATTAAATCCACTAAACCAGAACTTTTTTCTGTCAAATAAAGTAGAGGATTAATTTCACCACATCAATCTGAAATTATTGAGTTCAGCACAACAGATAGAGCAAAAGTAAATTATAAATAAGAATATAGGAAGAATTAAGATCCAAAGCATATCGTCAATTAAAAATTCTAAATTTATGCTATTAGTATTCAAGAGAAGAAATCAGTAAAATCGAATATATAATTAGACTGCTGAAATTGATAATCTCTTTCAATCTTAAGCATGCTTTAATATTAGATTATGTACAAGTGTATTGAAAGAAGAATTTGGCAAAAAAATTCCCATCTATGGTAATAATTTGGCTTCTAGTCATACATCAATTCTAGTATGAAATAAATTCAATATATTTAATAGTCAAATAGTAGAACAGAATCATAGCCTATTTTACAATCTATGATTTAACCAAATCCATTAAATAATTAAGTACAGTGTGTTCAAAGACTCAAATAAATTGAATTGGATCTAGTAATATATTTTTAATTATAAAATTAGGCAGAAGAAAAAAGAAAGAGAGAATAAATATATAATACAATTGAAATCTCAAAATTAAAGAAAGGTTGTATTTATTATTAATAAATAGGTTCCTCATTATTCAAATTTATTTTACCAATAATTTTAGGAATTGTATTATCAAATTTTTACTAATTGAGTCTTTAATATTATGAATGAGATTGAGATATAAGTTTTTTTTGATAAAATATGCAACAATTAATATATATTTATTAATAATAATATTATTGGCACATATTTGTATATATAAAACAATATCAAAATATGTATTTTATATATTAATTACATAAAATCTTGCATTAATTCATTTTAATTATTCATATTCCATTTGATCTTTGAGTTTAGCTATTTCACTATGTACTTTTGAAAATTATTAATTTAAAACAATTGCATCATTAAGTACATATAGATAAGGTTTATTTGATAATTAAATATCTGAATTTCCTTATATTAATTATGCACCTTCTTCATAACTCACACATTAATAAGCAACATGAACTCCACATTCTTCACAACACCAACGATATTATTTCTCAACAGCTTAAAATATGACACTATATTACAATTAGATCTTTTAATATATTTGATTCCTTCCTATTTTAGAAACAATCGAATAAATATTTATTTTAAATTGATTGCAATGCTATTATCTGATCTTCTTGTTGGAAGAGTATCTAAACCTATATTTGCTCCTATTGCCTTTTTTCCACAAAGAGAGCAGAAATATATTTTAATATTTTCTGATTTCAATGTAGTTTCATTTAAAGTTCTTAATTTCACTACAGTTTATAAATCAACATCTCTGTTATAGATTGCAGACTTTAAGGTTTTTAAAGATGCTAATGTTACCTAGATTAATTTAGATTAATATAGTATACTGGATTTTTATCTTATGCTTTGTCAAGTTCTTTTAATTATTCTAATATTTTTTCTTCGTCTTACATTAATATAAAATAAATAATACATATTTAAACAGTTAACCTTAAAATTAAATTTAAAAATAATGTTCAAAAGTGCTACTGCAACAAAGAAACATGATGAATCTGATTATTCAAATGTATAGATTTGATTATAATATGATAGAGAAATGTATCACCTAGTTAAAATCAAGATCGTATCAATGAATTGAACAGAGTATTGTAAGGACTATCCACTAATGTTAAAGATGACAAAGTATATATTATTTCAATATAATTTAGAGTAGGAGAGATTTATATTTTCAAAAAATAAAAATATTAGAGGAGAGAATTCAAAAAGGAGAGATTAATGATAATTAAAAATTCAGAGTATTTATTAATTTGTAATTTCTTAGTTACTTTATGAATAATATGAAAAATTAGAAGAGACTTTATACAGCGAAAGGGATTAAAGATAGGTAATATATTTATTAATTTTAGTTAATTTGTGAAAAAAGTTTGAAATCATTAACTTTAATTGAAAAAAACTTTTCTTTATCTTTGAATGAAGAATATTCTAGTAGAAAAGTGAATGAATAAGAGATTTTTGCTGAAATTGATGATAAAATATCAGCAATGAAAGGAGAATTAAAAAAAGATAATATTCAAAGAACTGAATATGAAGAAAAACAAATTGAAAATATTGAAAAAGAACTTGAAGAATTAAGATATTATTTTGAATAAGAAAAATAAATAAGAGATTAAAATGCTGAAAAATTAATAAGAGGATTTGGGGAAGAAATATTAAGATTGTAAGAATAATTGAGTGAAGAAAAAAGAATCTCAGAAGAGTCTTATGAAACTACTATTAGATTATTATAAGACTTAGATTAATCTATTTAAAATGATTTAGAAGTATATATATTATTCTATTAATTATTTTAGTAAGAGTAATTTTAAAGAGAAAAATAAGAGAAATCTTTATTAAAATTATTGGAATCAACATGCTAAAAGATAGAATAATCTTTATTATCATGATATATAAATTTATTTATGCATATTAATTAATTAGAATAAATTAAATGGGAAATTAGATCAATGTAAAGTCAAAATTTGTAAATTTATTGAAATAAGAGGAAGAAAATGCTTTAGCAGAAGAATTGAAGTCAATTTTGCTTCTTGATATCTCCTAAGAAGATTATCTGAATGCTTTTTATCCTTCTGACATTCGGGATATATTAAAATAATCTCCAAAGAGGATATTGGGCATAATTAACTATTTACATAAATTTCTTTGTGATGCATAATCTGAATTACAATCTCATATTCAATATAGATAATGGAAGAATAGTTTGAGAATATTAACTTCAATTATTCCGGTGTTATATGAAGAAAATTTTAAAGAATAAATGAAAGAGATATTATGGAATACCAAAATTGCTTAACCTAATAAAGAAATCTCAGAAAAAGATCCTCCTTTGATAATTTCACTAATTACAAGACTATTTTAAATGTGTTTCCATTTTGGATTTACCATAGATGTTTTAGAATATAATGTATTTATACTTACTAATCTTAAAAGGAGTCAGTTGTAAAGAATGATACTCTATTATAATTCTTTGCATAATATTATCATAATGTATGGAATTCTTATAAATTTCAAATTGGTTATGTATGGAAAGGTTTTAATCCTTAATGTAAATATCCAAATGATATTGCAAAATATTATGAAAATCGATATCTAGTTTTATCCTGTTTATTTGCTTTGGTTAGTTCTTCTTTATTTTCATCAGAGTTATTTTTCTAAATTGAAATTGAAGAATTAAATGATGAAGAATAAAAATAAAAGATAGAAAATATTAATTAGTAGAATTAATCAGATGAATAAGAAATAGATGAATAATTTTAAGAAAATAATACTTAAGAATAATAAAATAACAATAATTAAAAGTAAACATAAAAGTTGTTAGTATAAACACCAAATGCACCTTTGTTAATATTACAAAAAATATAATACTTTCCAGAATTAATAGTTTCAATGATTGCATTTTCATTATTCTCAACTGAGAGAATTTAGTAATTTTTAAGAGGCATAGTTAATATATCTAATTAAATTGAAGAAAATCTTTAAAGTGTATGCTTAAAGTTAACATCACTTATAATAGGGGGATAAGGTAATAAAATTAATATTAATCATAGGTTTTGTCTATAAAGATGTTTTAAATTTAGGAAAAGAATTTGAGGAGATGATCAAAGCCAAAGAGCACTTTTAAATGTTTAATAATCCATTCCCTTAATTTATTAATTTTCCATAATAAATATTAGAAGGAATAATAGTATAATTAACATAAAAGTTTTATTCTTATTACAAATCTTAATAGTAATTTATTAGAGGAACCTTTGAAAAATAATTATCAAATTTTGAAAGCTGTTTCATTTTTTTAAGTTATCTATCTTCCAAGACTGTTTATAATGGTATTTATTATTATTATAATAATATAGTTCCTAATATAATGACTGTTTTTTTATTGTCTTACTTTAATCCAAAAATATATATAAAGAATATTTCATTAAAAATAATCAAATTGTTGAGTACTTAACCTTAATTGAATAAATAATTGTGTGTAAATTAAGAGTTTACTTTAACTTTTACAGATGCTCCTATTGTTTTTGGTACTTGGGGTGATTTATTGATTACAGCACTTTCTGATACAGTCTTGAAAGAGTTAACATCAATTAAAGAAAGCAAACTATTAGAAATATCCCAAATATTATTCAATGTATCTTCAGATATTGAAAAATTGAATAAAGAAAGTTGCTAAATTATTTGTAATTTAATTAAAAAATTGGCAAATTATGATTTTGTATTAAAATCACCTAATATCTTAATAAGTCTATTGAATTTGATAGGAGCAGTATCTCAAATAATTTATTTCTTTCCTGATGAGAATTTAGATCTTATAGATAATGTAATAAAGATTAAGGATAGCATTAAATTTATTCATGAATTATAAGTTACATAAAAGAAACTTCAAGTTTGGTGGAGTAAACATGCTCCTCATAATCCAATTGTTAATTAAAGTTTCATTAAAAGTCAGTAATTTTAAAATGATGTTCATGATATAAGAGAATCATAAGTCAGATCAATCACTCAATAATAATAAGTTATTTAAAAAAGATAATTAAAAGATTCTTAACATGATGAGATTTAGGGTCTTAAATAAATGGAGTAGATTTAATCTGAAAGAATATTAAAGCCCTCTGTTGAATATGATAATTATATTGAGAAATGGAAAAATTTTAATTAGAATATTCTAAAAGGTTTTGTTCCATTAATTAGTTTGGCTAAATTACTAGAAAATTTGTATAAATTAACTGTGGATCCAACAGATGAGGTATAATTAAAATCAGTAATTTAATCACATGATTTACGATCTTTGATGATCAAACAACTTAGTTTTAAAATTATGTTTGATAAATATAAGATATTTAAGACTTTGACAAAATAAATTTGGTTGAATTGTTTGAGAAATACTGAAAAATTTCCTTATTTTGAAAAATCTGAATGCCTATGCTTTTAACAATCATATCAAAAGAAATGATCTATTAAGTTATAAAGTTTATAAATAATTTTGTGAAATAATAATTAGGTTTTAACTTTTATTATAAATTAATATAAAATGAGAAGATAAAAATAATTTGAATTCAACATAAATGAGAAAATCTCTTATCCTTATACACCATTGAGAATAAGTCCTAGTTTTCGTATTAAATTTTAAAGTCCTACCAAAGTTTAAAAGATCAAATTCATTTATTAAAAAGACTTAAAGGAATATGAAAGTCATTATTTTGATTAATTTGTTGACACACATCGTATCCCAACCATACATACTCAACGAGCGTAATTTTTATAATTTAATCATATTAGAGCAAGTCAAAAATAACCCTAGATGCAATTGAGACAACAAACACCTAACTATATTAATTTGAATCCCAAAGATTCTGAATAAGAGAATGATAAATTATCAGAATTCTTAAGAATTATTAGAGGCAAAAAACAGGTTAGAATTAATGAACATTAATAATGAAATAAATTTTTGTCTTGTAAATTATATATATAAAACATATATTCTATTGATATGTTAAAAATTTATGAAAATATTAATTAAGTACTACCATTCTGAATAAGGCATTTTTAATTTTGTGATTGATTAAATTATTTAATTTTTTATAATAATTTAATGATTTAAGCATCTGAACAATATATTGAATAAGTAACAGATTTATAATTGATCAATAAAGAAATGTTAAAGGATAACTTTTTAAAAAAGATGAGAAATAGAGAAAACATCAGATAAAATTATATTGAAAAAAGAAAAAGTATAAATCCCTTGAATTATTTACTTTTAGAAATTAAATTACAATAAGACACAAGACCTAAATTTGAAGATTTAATTTGTCCTATTTGTTTAGAAATCTTTTAAAAAGTTACTACTACTTAATGTGGTCATGCATTTTGTGAAATGTGCATATTTGATAGTTTAATGAGAAAAGCAGTATATAGTTATTTTAATAAGAGGAATGTCCTGTTTGTAGAGTGAAAATTAAAACACACTCATTCTAATATTGTGAAAGTTTTGATAATAGAATCATTGATTTAGTTAATTAATATGGAGATAAAACATAAATTGAACATTTTAGAAATAGACAATAGGAGATGGAATAATGGAATAAATCTAAATTGTATATAGATATTACTAAATTAGAGTAGAATGTTTGGTTATAAATTAAAAAGTTGATATAATGGATTAATAATTTATATGGTGTGTGGCAACAATATAATAAATTAGTAAAAAGGAACTATTTATTCATTATGATGGATGGGGAAAAGAGTATGATGAGTTCATTCCATTATAATCAAACAGAATTGCTCCTTTAGGACTTTATACTAATAGAGATGATATTCCAAAATATTAACATGAACAAAGACAATTTGCTGATATAATAGAATATATTAATTAATCAGAATGGTGAACTCTCAACATAAAATGTGTTGCCTGATTGAATATATAATATATTATTACCAATAAATAAATGATTGGCTTTCTTAAAAAAAGAATTAATAGGTATAAAATACTTCATCAAATAATTTCATATTTATTAATTATTAAATATCCAATAATTATATATATATATATATATCATAAATATATAGCCAAAGATTTTGGTTTGTAATAGTAAACAAATTAATTAATATTAATTTATCCTCTTTCATCAATATCTTATAATACTAATTAAGCCTCTTCAATTGTAACCAAATAACCAAACTACTCTAGATATCTATAATTTTTATTTTTTTACATAATAATTTTGTGATTTCTAATGCTTTAATATATCCATCCCTATCTTGATCTATGAATTCAAAGATCTATACTAAATTAATAAGAGATTTATCAATCTTTTATCTATAATACTCCAGAGTAGACATCATTTACAACTTCATTTGAATTAATCTACAAAATATTTCCATTTATTCTTGTGTAGGCTAATCCTATTAATACTTTAGATCTGCTGGATCGGGCATTTCTTCATACTTAATATAAGGGATTATCAGTTGTAGAAATTACCCATAAGTAATTGATTAAGAACGTTTCCAATTATTTAAATAATTGAATAATAATTCCAAATCACAAACTTTGATATCATCTTGATAAGATTGTAATACTTCCAAGAATTTAAACTTTTCAATTTTCTATTAATTAGAATCAATTATTACATAATGATTATCAGATGTAAATACAAAAAACAATTACAATAAGTTTGGTTTGAGTAGCTTTAATTTTTTATTGATTTGAACAAGTTCTTTTCTAAACTGTATTTCCTCTTAAAATATGTAAGAAATAAACTTAATATCTGAATCTGTTATTTAGTTATATTTTTCTGATATAGGAGGTTATTGTTATTAATTATTATTTCTTTTATTCCCATATGTTTAATTCATAGTATCAAGATCTTATTTATATCCATTCTATTTGCTATAAGTTTTCTCCATTTTTTGATATTCTTATTGAGATTAAGCTAAATCTTATTACTATTGATTATAGATCTAATTTCTGTAATATTTATCTTCTATTTCATATCTTGAGTCATAAATCAACTTAGGTTACTCCCTTTAAGGTAATTCTGATAATGTTGGATATTGAAGGGGATAATAATGGGATGAGGGTCTTGGTAAATACATTACTGTTAATTATATTGAAATGTAAATAATGTATATATATTTGATGATGAATATTTTTTCAAAATATTATTGCTTATATCAGCATGATCGATAATAATTAAAGATAATTTGCTAATGGGGTATTTGTATTGTTGATTTATTAAGGAGAACAGGACTCACAGGTATTGTTTTCTGGATTCCATCGATATGTATTTAAAGTGTTGAAATTGCATTCAGGACTTTATAGATTTCGAGGATCAACAGATTAACATGAATCATTTGACCAAAAACATGTACTTATAGTTTAATTGTTGAAATCTTTGATATAATTGCATTGATTAAGAATTCCTTTAGTTTAACATGTATGAGGGAGACATGATGAAGTACCATTAGCATAATTTATCCAATTACAAAATTCACTCATTCTTTGACAAGCAATCATATCTATATTAGCATCTTTACAAGATTTCATCAATGCACAATTATTACCATTCCAAGCACATTGTCCATCTAATCCTTTATATGTGCAAGCAAGTTAATTAGGATAATATTCACATTTGACTTATGGTATACATTTATCTCCATTAGAAATGCAAGTAGAATTGTAATTTTAACATGTAAAGTGATTGGTTCCATTTTTGATGTCAGTACATTCGAGAGTTCTGCAACCAGCAGTAGAAAATAAACATTTTCCATCAGTTCCTAATGCAAGATTGCAGGTAATAATATTAGAATATTAAGAGCAAGGTTACATGGTAAGACAATTGGTTCCATCTGAAGTGCATCCTTTGAGTTTAGCTTGACATGACTCATGTGTTTCACCACTTAAATCTTCACATAACTGATCTCTACATTTACCATTAACCCAAGCACAATATCCTGTTTAAATAATTTAATTGTTGACTAATTTTTATGGTTAAGAACTGATTTTGCATTACTCTTTTTATTTATAATTGAAACACTATTCTAAATTAATACATCCATTTAAAGTATCTGTTGTACATTTAGAAGAAGCTTTTTGACATTCATCGTGAGTTAGAAAAGGTAAATCAGAACACTTTACAAACATAAGACATTTTTATAAAGATTCAATCCATTAACAATTTCCATCTAATCCAACTCTACAAGCCTCTTATAATCTATAATTAGAACACTTTTCTAATCCCACACATCTCAGTCCATCAGTTGTGCATAAACTATTAGCAGATTTACAAACTCTATCTAGATTACTTTAAATGCTTGAACAAGAGAGAAAAAGAGTACAACCAAATTCATACCATACACATGGTCCATCAACACCTTTAATGCATTGATCTTTGATTAGTATTTAAGAACAAAGTCTTGGTAAAATGCATTTAGTTCCATCGCTAACACACCCTTTTTTCTAAGCATCACAAATATCATCATAACTACCATCAAAATCTTCACATCTCTAAGCTCTACAGAAGCCTTCTTACCAGAAACATTTTTCACCAATATTTGATGTAGTGCATGCTTATTCAACATTGGCTTCTGAACAAGTAGTCTTTACTCTACAACCACCAAATAACTTTGTTGTGCAGCCTTCTTTATAAAGATTACATTCCTATTCAGTAGTATATTCAGGGGCTGTATAACATGTTTTTATAACACATTCTTCATTGAACCATTCACATTCATTAAATTAATCATCCATAACACAACCAGCACTATTCTTTACATCTCCACATTTCTTTCTAACTACACAATTAATTCCATTAGTTGTACATTTACTATTATAATATTTACATTCAAAATCTGTAGTATATGATAAATCTTCACATTCCTCTAATCTACAATATTACATATTAGAATAACATAAATTGAAGTGTTATTCACATAAGGCAGGAGTAAGTGAATTACTAGGTGCATTTAAACATGTAGTAATCTCACAAATAGGAATAGGCAATTCTTTATTCCAATAGCATAATTAATTTGTTATAGTTTTTACACATTATTTACTTACTTTATAATCAGAACACTCTGATTTTCTAGATTCACAACCAAATCCAGTTTCAACTACTGTACAACCATCCATATAATCTTAACAAGCACTATCATTACTATATGTTACAGTTGGAGGAGCAGTGGAACAAGATCTATTAGCACACACTGAACCATTCCATCCACATAATAAACCACTTGAATTGATTTTGCATTATCTTTCAGATGTATATGTATTACAATCATTAAGAGGAACACATCCACCTATTCCAGAAGCAATAACAGTACAATTAGGTAAATAGTTTTGACATTCTTCATGAGTGTCTCTAGTAGTATCAAATGCAGCAGTTGTACAAGATTTTATATTACAAGTTCCTGATTACCATTCACAAGTATCACCAGTATTAGATATAATACAAGATAAGGATGTTGTGTAAAGGTTACATGCAACAAGAGGAATACATCCTCCTGCAGTATTTACTGTGCAAGTATTCAAGAAACTTTAACAATCTTCATGTGTAGTTAGTGTTGATAATGCATTTGTGCAAATAGCATCTGTACATAATGAAGTTAAAGTATTCCAATAACATTTAACTCCAGATGAACTCTAATAACATTATGATTATTATTTGTAAGATGAACAAGTACTTAATTTATCTGTACATCCTCCAAATCTAGCAACAGTACATGAATTCAAAAAATTAATACATTTAGTATGATCATTATAATCAGTAGTTTAAGGAGCATGTTCACATGTTCTATTAACACAAGTAGTATTATCCCAAAAACAAACTACACCAGAACTAGTAATATTACATTAAGCCTAGATAGTATAGGAAGTACATGAAGATGATAGTGTTTAACAAGCAGTTTAAGCACTATTAACAGTACAAGTATTTAACCAATTATTACAATTAGTATGATTAAATGTACCTGAATATTATGTACATGTTCTATTTACACAAGCACTTCCATTCCATGCACATTTTACATTAGAATAACTGATAACACATTAATTTTGAGTTACACCTCCAGTAGTGCAATTTGAAGGTTTAGTGACACATCCATCATTGGTTGTATTGACTGTACAAGTACTTAACCAATTTTCACAATTAGTATGATTTGCTGTTCCACTAAAATTATTACATGCTCTATCTTTACATGAATTTTAATGCCATACACAAATATCATTATTAGTATCTTTAACACATTAATTATATGTTGCAGATGAACAATTACTTACATTATTTGTACAAGTAGTAGGTTTACTTAATTAACAAACACTCAACCAAGATTCACAATTAGCCTAAGTCCAAGAACTGATACCAGTAGTATTTAAACATGTTTTATTAATACATGCACTATTAGTTGAATTGTTAGTGCATTTAGATAGCCAAGCTAAACAATTAGCATGAGTATAAACAACAACATTAGCACCATAATTAGAACATGTTTTTAATTCACAATCTGTGCCAGTTGCATTAACAGTACAATCAAACATCCAATTTTAACAATTTGCATGAGTGAATTTAGTTACTTAAATTCCATGATTTTCACATGTCATTTCTTCACATGCTGTTCCTGCAGCATTTACAGTACATTTAGTTAACCAATATTAACAATTAGCATGATTAAATATAGTAACTGCACTTCCATGATTTGTACATGTTCTTGTAGATCCACAAGATGTAGAATCTGCAACAGTACATTAATCTAAATAATTATAACAATTAGTATGGTTGAATACACTAACATTATTCTTCCAACAAGTATATGGTTCACATGCATTACCTAATGTTGTTGCTTTACAATATTTCCACCATCCAGAACAATTAGCATTATTAAATAAGGTAATATTATTACCATAATTTGTACATGATCTAATTTCACAATTAGTTCCATCCATATTGACTGTACAAGTTGATAACCAATCTTAACAAACTGCATGACTAAATTTTGTTAAATTATGATTATAACAAGTCTTTTCAATGCATCCATTATTTGTAGTATTTACTGTACATAATGGAGACCATGAACTACATGTACTCACAGTAAATGTACTTAAATTATGATTATAACAATTTCTAAGACTATAGCATTATGTTTGAGATGCAGAATCAGCATAACAATATGATAACCATCCCACACAATTTGTCTAATTGATTGTACCTGTATAATTTGCACATGTCTTATTAATACATGAATTTGTTCCATTTGTACAAGTATTTAACCAAGCTGTACAATTAGATTGTGTAAATTAAGTAATAGTGCTATTACTACAAGTCTTAGCAGTACATCCATCATTAGTAGTATTAACAGTGCATGAACTTAGCCAATTAGAACAACTACTATAATTATAAAATGATAAATTTGCATTTTGACATGTTCTATCAATACAACCATTATTAGAAGAATTCACAGTACAACTATTTAACCAGTTTGTACAATTTTAATGTGTATATGAGGGTAATTCCTATGCATTACTACAAGTTCTTTCTAAACAAGATGATTTAGTAGGATCAGGAACACATTAACTCAAATATTCTGAACAAGTTTATAATGTAAAAGTTTATATTAAGTTAGTATAACTAGTACATGTTCTCGTTGTCTTACAACCTGTAGATAAATTATTAGTACATTAATATAACCAATATGAACAAGTTGCAGCAGTAAAACTTGTTAATTAATTACCATAATTTGTACAAGTTCTTATTTCACATCCTGTATTAGATGAATTAGCTTTACAAGTATTCAACCATTACCCACAAGTTTGATCATTAAACACACTTAAATTAGTATTAAAACAAGTCTTATTCATACATCCATTATTTGTTGTATTTACTGTACAATAAGATGACCATGCTTCACAATTAATATGATTGAATGTTAAAATATTAATTCCATAATTACTACATGTACGATCAGTCATACAAGCTGTTCCTGCTGAATTTACTCTACAATAAGACAACCAATTTTAACAATTTGCTTAATTTATAGTTCCTAATGAATGATTTTAACATGTCTTTAATTCACAATATTATGGCCAAATAGCATTATTAGCTTTACAATAAGGCAACCAATCACTACAATTAGTTAGAGTGACATCACTACCAACTAAACCTGAATTACTACAGGTCTTATCTACACAACTTCCATTGATATAAGCACAAGTAGATTTCCAAGCAGTGCATGTATATGAATTTATTTATATAACAGCACTTGTATTTATATTACTACAAGTTTTTTCAATACAAGCAGTATTTAGAATATTACTAGTACAATTACTATTCCAGTTTTCACAATTGACATGTGTAAACGTTGTAACTGAAGATCCATGATTAGTACAAGTTCTTCTAGTTACACATTTTGTTTTTGTTGTATTTGCTAAGCAGTATGATAGATAAGATTAACAATTACTATCATTAACAGTTCCAGTATAATTATCACATGTTTTAGGCATACAACCTAATGTTTTATAATTAGTACAAACAAATAACCAAGATTCACAAGTGCTAGAAGAGTATAATAATAGATTTGTGGAATAATTATAACATGTTCTATCTTTACAACTTGTAGTACCATTATTAGTGCAAGTAGACAACCAAGATGAACATGTAGTATCAGTATAGGATGCAAGTTAAGGATTTGAACAACTTCTTTTTTCACAATTGGTATTATCACTTTTAACAGAGCACATAGTATCCCAATCTTGACAATTTGCAAAATTAAATGTAGTAATACCAGTTGTTGTAGTACAACTTGCTTCACAAGCAGTTTTTGAAGAATTAACTTTACAATTAAAATACCATGCTGAACAATTAGAATCATTAAAGACTTGATAAACATATGAATAGTTAGAACAATTTCTCTTTTCACAACCTGTATTCGTTGAATTAACTGTACATATGGAATTCCAGGCTTAACAATTAGCAAAGGAAGGTGAGAATTAAGAAAAGTTAGAACAATTCTTTTCAACACATTTTTAATTTACACTATCATATGTACATGTTGATAACCAACTATTACATTAAGCATAAGTTGAAGGATTAGATTGATTTGCACTAACATAATTAGAACACGATCTTTCTTCACAACCATAATTGCCAGATCCTCTGAATGCACAACCAGATTTCCATTAATCACATGCGGCTTAATTCGCAATGCTATAACCATTATTATGAGCTATAATAGCATTAGCACATGTTCTAATATTAGAAGTACAAGAAGTAGTATTATCATAATTTCCATAATAAGTGCATCCACTTAAGTAATTATTGCAATTTGCAGTTGATAATGATCCTCTAAAAGTAAGACAAGTTTTCTCAACACAATAACTATTCGAGGTGTGTAATTCACAACTAGACATCCAAGTATTTGTACAACTATACCCTGAATAAATAGTTTGAGTATATGATGCATTTGAACAAGTCTTTGTTTCACATCCAGTTGCTGAACTATTAATGGTACAAGATGATAGCCATCCTTAACAATCGGAATGAGCATAATTATAATAAGTTACTGAATATTATAAAGTACGATAAGCATTACTACAAGTCATATCTTCACAATTATTATAAGAATTATTTACTGTACATGTAGATTTATAGGAATTGCAATTCTAATGTGAAAATGAAGATAAAGAGTTTGCTGCATTTGAACAGATGAAATCAGTGCATCCATTATTACTAGAATTAACTGTACAAGTGTTCTTATAGTTTTAACAATTGGTATGATTAAAAGTAGTTAATTATGCATTAGCACATACATATTCAATGCAACTAGTTCCAGCAGTAACGGTTCCAGCTTTATTGTATGTACAAGAACTCAACCAACCAGAACATGTAGAATGATTAAAAGTAGTTAGATTAGAAATTGCATTTTCACATGTTCTAACAGTTTCACAATTATTTGCTTGAATATTAGCAATACATCCAGATAACCATGAATTACAATTATTAAAATTGAAATTTCCAGCAGTTATATTACTATTAGTACAAGTCTTAGTTTCACAATTAAGTCCATCAGCTGTGACTGTACAATCTGATAACCAGGAATTACAATTTGAATGATTAAATGTCGTAATATTACCTGAATGATTAGTACATGTACGCGTACTTATACAACTATTAAGTGAGTCATTTACCTTACAATAAGAATACCATTTATAGCAATTGGCTTCAGTATATGAACTAATGCCAGTTGAAGAATTACTGCAAGATCTTGCTTCACATGCACTACCTGTTCCAGTACAACCATCTAACCAAGCATTACAATTAGTGTAAGTAAATACAGTTACATTACTTCCATAATTTGTACATGTTCTATCTATGCAAGCAGTGTTACCAGAGTTATTTGTACATGTACTTAACCAATTACTACAATTTTCATGAGTAAATTCTTATATATATGATCCATAATTAGAACATGTACGTTCACTAACACATCCATCATTTGTTGAATTAACATTGCAACCATATAGCCAATTCTAACAAGTAGTAGATGTAAATGTAGTTACATAATCTCCATGATTAGAACATGTTCTATATTAACATCCAGTACCATCTGAATTAGCTGTACATTCCAAATACCATTCACTGCATTTTTAATGATTAAATACTGTTATACCACCTTAAGATGCTAATGAGCAAGTTCTAACTATGCATTTTGTACTTCCAGAATTTGTACATGTACTTAAATAAGTTGTACAATTTGCATGATTTATAGTTCCTGAATAAGATCCACACATTGTATTTGTAGAACTTCTACATGTAGTTCCTCCTCCTACACAACCACTTTTCCAACTATTACAATTTATATTATCTATCACAGTAACTTAAGTTCCATGATTAAAACATGTTATGGTTTCACATGCAGTACCTGCAATATTGCTAGTACAACTTGATAACCATGCATTACATGTTGCATGACTTATTGTACTTAATTAATCCTTATAATTTGTACAAGTTCTACTAATACAAGCAGAACCTGTAGCATCAGATGTGCAAGAACTTAACCATTCTGAACAAATAGCATGAGTAAATGTTGAAAATACTAAATTTGCTTTGGCACAAGTCTTGGTCATACAACTTGTAGCTGTATTCTTAGTACAACTTAAGGAATATGCTTCACAATTAGTATGTTCATATTGATAACCTGTTGGAGCACTTGTACATGTTCTACTTTCTTAACATGTTGATGTTGCACCATTACAAGAAGTATGCCATTTATTACAATCTGCATTTGTAAATGATGTTACATGACTTCCATAATTAGTACATGTCTTTACTGTACATCCTGTATTAGTACTATTGACTGTACATTAAAATAACCAATTTTCACATGATTCATGTGTAAAATAAGAGATAAATCCTTTATGATTATAACAAGTTCTCCATTCACAACCATTAGAAGCTGAATTACTAGTACATAATTTATAAAAGTTTGTGCATGTCTTATGATTGTAAGTAGTTATTCCTGATGGGGATGAACAGTTTTTATTTGTGCAATTAGATCCACTCACATAAGTACATGATTCTAAATAATCACCACAATTAGCAACAGTAGTAAATGCTCCAGAAGGACAGGTATTAGATGATTCACAGGCAGTTCCATTTATATTTGCTTGGCATTAAGATAACCATGCTTAACAATTAGTATTATCAAATGTAGTTATTTATTGACCATAATTAATACATGTTTTAGTTTCACAACCTAATTTATCCCATGTTACTGTACATGTAGATAACCAAGTATTACAAGTATCATGAGAAAAGAATAAAATATTTTATCCATAATTAGTACAAGTTCTAGCTGTACAAGCTGTATTTGTATTTGTACATGATGATAACCAATTTGTACAATTTGTATGATTAAATATAGTAACTTTGCTTCCATAATTAGTACATGTTCTAGCACTCTTACAACCAGTTGATCCATCATTTGTGCATTCACTAAACCAAGTTGAACATGTTGAATTATTAAATACAGTAACATTAGAACCATAATTTGTACAAGTCTTATTTACACATTAAGTTCCATTAGTTGTACAATCACTTAACCAAGAATTACAATTAGAATGTGTAAAAGTAGATCCTGTATAATTAGCACAAGTTCTTGTAGTCTCACAAGCAGTATTACCTGGATTAACAGAGCAGGAAGACAACCAATTGTTACAATTAGATTAATTGAATACAGTAACTGAATAACCATGATTAGTACATGTCTTTTCAATACAACCATCATTATACCAAGTACAAGGTTAATCTGCATAATTTTTATAACATTGATTATAATTCACATAGTCAGCACAATTAACTGGTTTCTATATACAAGTAGTTGGAGCACCAACTGTACATGAAGACAACCAATTATTACAATTTGTATGATTAAAATCAGTTATATTTTGTGTTGTAGAACAATTTCTAATTCCACAAGTTGAACCATCCCAAATACAATAGCCATGATAAGTAGAATATTCACAATTATCTTAATTATAATATTGAAAACAGTAAGATCTCTAAGTCATACAATTTGTATGAGGTATATTGTTATCAACAACACAGCCAGATATCCAATTTTTACAATTTTGCTATGTATAATCATATCCAATCATAAAAGTACATGATCTAGTCTTACAATTAGGAGTTGCTAGAGTAGTATCCCAAGTACATAAATTATCATTACTATCAGTAATACATTATTATTCTGTAAGATCTTGACATGAACTTAATCTTGATGTACAACCTAAATTACTAATTCTTCTGACAACAGTACAAGAATTAAGAAAATCATTACATTCTGTATCAGAATCGAATTCATTTGTATCAGGAGCATAAGAGCATTATCGATTGTAACAATAATTATATTACCAAGCACATTTTTAGCCATTGGATGCTAATTAACAAGATCTAAATGTAGTATATTAGGCACAAGTACTCAATTATGTCATACAACCTCCAAGACCTGTAGGGACTACAGTACATGAAGACAGAAATGTATAACATTCTTAATGAGTGTCATAATTGGCAGAGATTGGAGCATTATTACAAGTTCTATTAACACAAGATCCAACCCAAACACATGGCCCTCCAAGTGAGTTGGTAGATGTTTCTGTACATTAAGTATTTGTACTCATCAATCCACAACTATTAGGTTTTTAAACACATCCTTATCCACTTGGAGCAACAATACATCCAGTTAAATAAGCCTCACATTCTTCATTTGAGTCATGGTCAGCATCTTAAGGCGCAGTTGTACATGATTTATCATAACAAGCAGTACCAGTCCATTCACAAAGTTAATTTAAATTATTAAATCTACAACTTCTTAATGCTGTATAAGTAGTACATGAATCCAAAGGTACACAACCACCATTACCTTCACTTGCAACTGTACATCCATTTAAATAATTATTACATTCTTCATATGTGTCATAATCAGATGTGTAAGGTGCAGTAAAACAAGCTTTATCATAACATGCTCCTTCAAACCATCCACATATTTAACCAGTTGATGTAATGTAACATTAATCTTCTAGTACTAATAAATTGCATTAATCTGGCCTAGTTATACATCCACGTCCACTATTTGCAATTGTACATGAGCTTAAATAAGTTTTACATTTTAAATCTGTATCATATTCAAATGGGGCATTAGCACAAGTTTTTGAATAACAAAGACCAGTCCAAGAACAACGATTACCATTTAAATCAACTTTACAAGTACTTTGAGATGTGAGAACTTAGCATGTCATTTTAACACATCCAATAAGTGTTCTTGCCACAGTACATTCCTAATTGAATTCTTAACATTGTTAATGACTATTAAAAGATAAGGGTGCATTTTCACAAGTTCTTAGAGCACATTAATTATTATAAAAAAAACAATTTCTTCCATATTTATCTACTACACAAGCAATTTCAACATCTATATCACTGCATTCATTTAATTATTTACATCCTCCTCCAAGTTTTGTGATACAACCTTCTTTATATTTATTACAATCATAATTGGTTTATAGAAATGTAGTTGATGTTGTTGGAGCATTATCACATGTTCTTTCTGAACAACCTTTAAAAGTAGTATTATTAACAGTGCAATCTTCTTTGTAAGCAGCACATTGTTCATGAGTAACATAATCTAAAGGAGCACTTTGACATGTATATAAGATACAATAACTACCTGTCCAAAAACATTTATTATTTTAAGTATCTAATTTACAACTCTCTTTCATATCATATTTTGAGCATTCAGATATACTCATACATCCACCTAAGGATTTTGGAACACAATTTTCTAAAAACTCAGAACAATTAATATTTTAAGGAGCATTTTCACATTTCTTATCATAACATTTACCTTCATTCCAAAAACATTATTATCCATTTGCATTGTATGTACATGATTCTTTAATGGTTACATCATTACATTATGTTCTTTATCTACAACCTCCTTCAGCAATTAATGTGCAACTTTAGAAATATTCTTAACATGCTATATCAGTTCTAATAGATTTTGGTGCAGTTTCACATGAACGATCCATGCATTTACCATCAACCCATGCACATTATTCCAATTTCTGGTTATAATAGCATTACATCTCAAATTCTTGATCTTCGCAATTGTATCCACTCACTTAACATCCTCCTCTTGGATTTACTGTACAATATGATAGTTATTCACGACATTCAGCATCTGTTTTGAATTAAACTGGTAGTTTATTACAATCTGTTGCATCCATACAATACTAATCCCAAAAACAATATTTTCCCTTTGAATTTTTCACACAAGATATAGAAGTTTAATATTAGTAACAATCTCCAATTTCAATACATTTTTCACCATCAGTGATACATTTACTAGAAATCATTTAACAAAGTTCTTGAACACTAAAAGGATAACTAGAACATGATGTAAATTAAACACATTCATTTAAAATGTAAGCACATCCCTCTGTTTCCCAACATTTATCAGATCCAAATTTAGTACAATAAGTATTATTTTTAGTTTTAGTATTAGTATTTGATTCTTCTGTAGTTGATTTGATTTCACATCTTAATTACAATTTATTCCAAACACAATTTTAATTCCTATAACAATCATATTCAAATAACTGTGTACATTAACAGGGTGAACTTAAACTTAAGTTTATAGTCTCACTCTATACTACATAAATACACATAAACAAAAATAGTATTACTAACTTCATGTATATTATAATATTTTATATTTATATGAAGTAATTCATAATTTAATTAACAAACTAACAAAAATATGGATAATTAGAGTAATTTTCAAACTGTGAATTAATATAAAACTTCATCTTCTAAGTGTTTTATTAATCAATAAGTAAACTAAGTTGATAAACTTCCTAAAGAATCTGATCTTGTTCTTTATTAAGCAGCCAAAGAAAAATGCGCCAATAAATAAAATGAAAGATAATAAACTCCCCTTTTTTAAGTTACTAGTTTAATTACTAATGCACCTCCTCTTCATAAACCAACTGTAAAAACAACTTAATACAGCAATCAAGCTACAAATATTTTTGATGTATTCAAAATTCTTTTACTAAAATTTAGTTCTCAGAAAATAGAAAAGAATAAGTTTTTAAACCTCATTGTATTAAAATTGCTGAACCTGGTAATAATTCAGATACTGTTTACAGATAATAGTTAAAGACTTCAAATCTTCCATCTAGAGATAATTTATCTAGAAATCCAATAACAACTGGAGATTCAAAAAGTGAATATTTAAGAACTACAAAAACTCCACTACCAAAAGATTAATTTAGTTTTAATTGAAATTATAATACAATCAATAATAATCATCACATTACTAAGTATTTATTTGTTCTAGCAACATATTATGCATAAATATCCCCTCTTTTCTTTTTCATATGAGCCTCTGTTAATGGAGTTGTGAGAAATTCCATTACACAAAATAAAGCAATTGGTCCTATAAATGCACATAAACTTATTGCATCATTAATTGCTGCTAATGCAAAACAAAACCAAGTAACTAAATCAAAAAATAAATTTGGATGACGACTCTTTCTCCAAAGTCCAGTTTCCATTAAATCTTCTCTAGCTATCAAACCCTATTGTTTCTACTTCTTAAATTTCTCTAATTGTAAGTCTATACTTTTTATATTTCAAATATACCTGCAGTTGCTTCTAAGAATATACTGAAAGGAATTATTGATAAAGCAATGTAATTCATCACATTCAAACCTTTAAAATTATCTGATTACCAAGTGAGATCATTTAGAAATAAGAAATATAATGGTATACTAGTGACAAATACAATCAATCCTTAGAACATAAATTACACAAAGACCATTACATCTTTCTTAAATTTATCTGCATTATATTCACTAAAGATATTATCATATCTCTCATCTTTAAATCCAGCTAATACTCTAGTCACACATAAAAATCCACCAAGTCTTAATGACCATAATGCAACAAGAAGGATATTGATCTTAAAATATTAAATTATTATTACTATCTTTGCTGGAGTTGATATTGTCGAAAATATAAAATATACTACTCCTGCAACTAAATGACTTATAGAGTAGGCTACATCTACAATACATTCATGATTTCCACCAATCTTATAAACCAAATAGAAAATCAATTTATTAATTAGGATGGCTGGCAATGCCCATATTAAAGCAACATCGACAAAATAAACCATAAGGTTTTTATTATATGATTTTTATTATTATTTTAGAATTTCTTAAATATTTGTTTATAAATTAGATTATTATCATTATATTTTTAGACTTAATAATAAAATAATATGTATTTTTTATAATAAAATATTTTATGGCTGATCATTTAAATTGTCCATTTTCATCAATGTGTCCCATTTCAGATAACATTAATGTACAAAAATCATCAAAATCTTTATCATTTTATATACAAGTGTTTAATTCTTTAAATCTGTATTTACTATTATCAATATGAATCAATAATTTTTAAAGACGCTTATTGGATACAAACTTTCTAATTTTCTAACTTCTTTCTATTTATTTATTTATATTTCAAATTTACTAAGGATATCTAATTTCTCTTTTGATAATTTATATTCCTCCTCAATATAATCACTTTTAAAAGGTTCTTGATCTTATATTTATGGTTTCTTTTGTATAGGTTTGCAATTATGAAGCTTGAAACATGCAGCACTGCAATAGGGCATTTCACATTTAGGACATTTATATTTTTTGGGCTCATTACAACAAATACATAATTAATTAATCATTTAGCAGAAGACAATTAACGATGACGCTCTTGAAGCTTCTTCTTTTCTTCCTCTTAAGCCAATTATTATCCAACTTTCTATATCATATTATTGACCTTCTCAATTCTTACCAATCTTTCAGAATTTCTACTTCGACAACGTTCAACCATACTTGTATCATCTTTTATTAAAAGTGGAATTGAAGATTTATCCTTCTCTAATAAGAACTATTCAGGATGTAGCATTTCTTTAGTCAAAATGGCTTATTTTGAATTTTGTTTTGAGAGTCTATGTGACATTGAGGAAGCTTGATAACTTTTGAAAGATGAATTAAAATCAACCTATTAATCTGAATGATTAGATTTATGTAATGAATTAATGAGAGAGACAGGACCTCCTTTAATACTTGAAGGGGCTGCAGGAGGTAATTTACCACTTTTATGAGAACCATGTTATGATCTTAAATTTATTTATATGTATACCCAATTCTTTATTAGCTTCCTCTTTATTAACTAGGTCTATGTTCTTATCCAGGGATTTTTAATTGATTATTGCCATTTCCTAAAAGATTTGGAATATCAAATTATGGATTTTGTAATTCACTTTTCGATATTTTTTCAAATAAGTTCATGACTTTATCTTTTTCAATTCCTTTTCTATATATATTAGCTAATCCTGGAAATAAATTAACCAAATTGTCAAATATTTTATAAATTTGTAATGTTGTATATTAATTAACTTGTAAAACATCAGCTGAAATTAAAATTTCATTTTTATAACATGCCACTAATGGTTTATCTTAAACCCATTATCTTAATTTATCATCCATAACTTATTAAGGAGTAAGTTTCCCTATTTTTTCACCATGCCAAACATCATAAATTCTAACTTCTTATTAAGCATCCAAAGCAGCTGCCACTCCAGTATGACTAACACTCATTCCAATAATTTTCCACAATCCTTATTTTTGTTCTTCCGTTTTTACTTTACTTCCCTTTCTAAATTGATGTGTTCTTTTACACAACAACTTACCTTCCTTTATATCATAGATATTAACACTTCCATCATATGAAGATGAAACTAATCTATTATCATCACAAAATTAAATCTGAGTACAATTATACATATGCTTATCTAAATAAAATCTCTCTTATTCTAATACTAAATCATATACAAAGACACTTCCTTATTATAACCCAGTAGCTAAATATACTGATGATTTTGATATGGCCATACAACTCAAAGGATAAAGAATTTAAACTTCTGTAATTGATGCTTACTACTTTAATAGCTATTAAGATGGTAATCCAAAAGAAGCACTTAAGTATTCTGGAAGTGCTGATCTCTTTGCACTAGTAAAACGATGTAATTCAAGTCTTGTTGTATTAGTCCAACCAACTACTATTCCTGTTATGCATTCATGCTATTTATATGAATTAAATGTTTTGTTTCCATTTTGTATACTAAATCTTTCAATAATAAATTCAACTAAAGCTCTATATTTCTGAATTGGATAATCATCATCATTTGGTACTGCTCCATTATCATTTTCATCATAAAGTATTTCCTCTACAACTGGTATAGGTGCTACTTCCACAACTTTTTTTGGAGGAACTGGAGCCTTCTTTTTTGGATCAACCTTCTCTTCAGGAGGAGGCTCTTTTGGAGTGGTTAAATCTTATTTAATTTTAGCTATTATTCCATTATAATCCAGTGTTTTCTAAATTCCATTAAACTTCACTTAATAAACCAAATCGGTTAATTCAGAACATGTAATATCCATTGGAGATGTTTAAATTTATTATTATTGAATGGGAGTCACTATTGGCTAGTCTTTCCCTTTTATTGGCGATGGTTTGAATTAACTTTAGATATGTCTTGGACTTTATGCTCCAACACTGTTATTTGATATTTGACTTGAATTTGATTATTAATCTATTTTCAAATCTGGAATTCTAAACACTTTGACACTTCCATTATATTATGTAACAGTTATATATTAAGAAAATTAACTTATGTCTACATCTACTGGATATTCACCTATTATATTCTTGTCCTTTGACATTGTTATAGTGTGATGAAGTAATAATTTATTTTCTAATGGCCTAAAACGATAAATGTACACAACTGGATCATTATGTTAAACAACTCCAATCCTAAATTAATAATTATTTTCTACACACAAACATTCTTATAATCATCTGTTGCTTAATCTCTACTACTTAAACATACTTTAAGTATTCTTTTCCCATTTGTTTCTTTCTTGGCAATTCTAAGTTTCTTACTTAAATCTAATATCATTAAATTTCCCTAAGTATCTCCTGCTGCTACTAAATTACTTGAACTATCTCGACTCACACAACTCAATTAAGGAATGTCAAAAACACCTTAAGGAGGCAGCGTTCTTAATTGTCCTTCATAATTTGGGTCAGAACGATATTTTTCAATTTCGAATACTTTATTGTAGACTTCATTAAGTATCATAGTATTTAAGATTTTGTTTATGAATCTAGCATACTAATTTGTTAAAGTACTTATATGGTTTTGGAAGTTTATCTTCCCAATTAGTTGGATTACAATAACCCCATGAATTTAATTAATCCATTATTATTTAATTTACAATATTTAGAAATCTCAAAATTTTTGACTTCTTGATTTTTGATATTGAATTCAATAAATAGAAATTCTATGATAAAACCTTAATATGAAAATTGAATTTAAATTTTCTATCTAAATTTATTTTTTCCTTTCTTATTAAATTTAAGAAATCAATAGAATTTTATATAATTTTAACATAAAAATAAAAATCATGTAGATATTCAGCAATGTTGAGTATGAGATCTTTTAATTTTTTCATTTAATTTATTTTATTAAGATTTTTTAAGTGTAGGAAGTTTTCCTTATTCGTTCACAAAAGAGACTAATTGTTATGTATTTTATTTTTAATTTTATTCTTTATTTTTCAAATTTAATCTCCTTTCAATATCACTATGTAGATTAATTTCTCTATCTTCTTCTGGTTCTGTCAATAGAAATTAATAATTTTATTATTAATACTTTATTTCTCCATCTCTTTGTGATCCAACCTTAACTTTAATATTAGAAATAATTTGACTTTTGTTATCAGGAAATTAATTTTCTATATTAGTATGTTATTTATGTAAATTTACAAATGATTCTGTAAAAATCATCTCTGATGTTTCTTCATATTATTTTTTTGTCATTCTTAATGAGGAATCATTTTTTAATATGTCCAATTTCTCTATTTTACTAAAACCATTCATATTTCTGACTAAACCAGATTCAAATTTATTAATTTAGTGTTATTTAATGTCATCTTCAAATTTTAATTAACCTACCTATTGATTATCAATTTTAGTTTAATTTCTAATATAAATATTTTCAATATGATTTTTATTATCCATTTTTTTCTTATCTTATTTTTTCTTTAATATTTTAGATTACAAATGATAAAGTTTGACTTACATGAAAGGTTTATTATAGGGTAAAATTGATCCATCATAATCATATCCACAATTATTATGATTTTATTGTTTTTTCATTTATTCTAATTGATTTTTCTATCTCACCCTATCTTCCTCTAATTTTTTTTCATTTCTTAATATATTCCTAAAATAATTACTTAGCTATTTATTCAAGCATTTTGCATTTTAATTCATGCTAATATCTATAATATTATTCTTTTTCATCAATTTATTGATTGGGTTCATCAAGTTTAACAACTTCAATACTTTATTTTTTAGAAGTCTGTTTTTTTTATGTGGATCTATTCATGCTAACAACAATACTGACTGAATTTGATTTCATTCGATGAGATGATTATCTTAGAAATTTAGTTGATCTTGTAATATCTTTTTCACAAATAATTTCTATATCTTTTTTTAATGGATCAATTTGAATTAAACCTGAATAGGAATCTTTCTAAGGAGGAAGTGGTTCTTCATCTTAAGTAGTATTCATTTCTAATGGAATATCAATGTAATGCTTAATCAGATTGTTCAAAAGCACAATTGTTGTAAATTCTGTATAATTAGGGATTGAGTATGTTATAAAATGATCCTATAGTAAAATATGACAAGAGCCTAAAATTTGATCTAGAATATAATGAGATATCAAGTGGACATCAACAGTAGAGGAACAGTTATTATTGATTTTCTAAAATTTATTTTATTACATATTTAAATAACTTATAGACTACATTAATTTGTTAAAATACTTTTACATTAATTGTTTGATCAATATAGTTATATTATATTTATTGAGGATAGATACAACGAATATATTTTAAAATATTAATAATTTCTATAATTTATCATTTTCAAATTAAATGGACTAAATAAATTCTTGGAGTAATTGCACACTTTCAATTGGAGAAGAAGTCTTACCAAAATAATAAAATGAATTACATGATGCTATGAATAATTATTAAAAGCTAGAAATGAAAGGGAAAGGAAGTTATGGTGCAGCTTATTTGGCTTTATAATTAAATACAAAACTATAATGCATTATAAAAGTATGATAGTATTAAATTTGAATAGGTTATTAATATTTCAAATATGAATAATAAATAAAAGGAAAATGCAATATGTGAGGCTAAGATTATGAAAGATTTAAAGCATCCTGGAATAATAAAATATTATGAATCATTTTTTGAAAATGAGTAATTTTTAATATTTATAAGATAGTACAAATTTATGTATTGTTATGGAATATGCTGAAAAGGGCAATTTGGAATAAATGTTATTAGAATATAAATAGAATAATGAATATTTAAATGAAACACTTATAATTGATTGGTTTACTCAATTATGTTTGGCTGTTAAATATTTACATGATCAAAATATAATACATAGAGATATTAAGACATAAAATATTTTCATAACAAAAGATAATTTTATAAAATTAGGAGATTTTGGAATAGCTAAGGAAATTGAATGTAAAGAATAATTATGCAAAACTTCTATTGGAACTCCATATTATATTAGTCCAGAGGCGTTTTAATCTAAACCTTATAATAATAAATCTGATATGTGGAGTTTAGGATGTGTTTTATATGAAATGATTTCACTAAGACATGCATTTGATGCTAAAAGTATTTGAAACAAGATTTTACTCATAGCCATTGAAGGATTAGGAATAAAGATTCTAAGAGGATAATATCCACCAATTCCGGAGCACTATTCAGATGAACTAAAAAATTTAGTTACAAAATTATTAGTAGTAGATCCAACTAAAAGATTTAATATTAATGATTTATTAAAATAGGAAATATTAATTAATGGAGCTAAAAAATATTTAGATAAATATACTTAACATACAATACAAGCAAAGATTAACACACAAAGCAACTATAATTTTAATGTATGTAAACTTGAGGAATTGAGAATGAATCTTGAGAATTAGTTAGGATTAAAAAAGTTATAGGATTATATTTAATAAATTGTAAATAATTATTTAATAAAATTAGGAAAATGATACTTTAGACTTTAATAATGATTTGAGTGAAAAAAATATTAAAGATATTGAGTTACTCATATAATTAGAAAAATAAATATTTTGAATTAATTATTTTTATCAATTTAACAGATATTCATTCAAAATTCATTTATTTTATTTCTTATTTTTTTTAAACTTAAGGATATAATAATTAGTCATAGTATTTAAAAATATTATCCATTTCATAATTTTTTACATTATGAGTTTTTGTTAATTCAATTATTTGATTATAAAATTACATATAATATTTAGAACATAATTTATATATCTATTCTTTAAAAAAAAGATCTTTCTATTTAACATTTATTAGATAACTAAAATATACATAATATTCTTATACTATTACAAACTTGATAATATATGAGTATTTAATTCTATTGTTCTACTTATATCTCTATCATCATATTAATTCAAATCATTTGCTTCTTATTAATAAGCATCTGCATAACTCTATTAGGTTTCTTAATATTATTAAATTAATGTAGTCAATTTTGTTCTAAATAATTTATGTTATTCATCTCACTTATTATTATCAAATACATTCTATAGTTTTTATTTTGCTAATTGACAAACATTCGAATTCATTAAACAAATATAAAACTACTCCTTCTCCAGAAATAGACAAAGGACTTTATTGGATACTGTCTTAAATTCTTTATAAATGATTATCCAATATTATTTTTTTATTCGCTTACATATATTTGGTTTTCACAAATTAGAGATTATGTTTATTAGCTAAATGTTCTGCTTATCTAGTATGACAACATAAATTCCTTTCCTTTAATAATAAATTATAATTACATGATTATTAACTAATGCAAAAAATTTTAGAGCAGATTATTAATATTCTATAATATGAACAAAATATGGATTATTAACAAATTCTCCTATCAATGTATGATCTGTTAAATCTTTTTATAATTATTCTATATTTTTTTCAATCATATCAGAAAACCAAATTTCAGCAATTTACCAAGGTAATCTTTCTGGACTATGAATATCCTTATTAGGACAATTTAATAAGTAATCATCATAGTTCTTACAAAATATAGAAACATTTTTTGATGAAATAACCCAAGTTTATAAAATAGAAGAAAATGATATTTAAAAATTCTCTCCATTTTCTTATTGTTATTAAACAATAGTTACAGGAATATTTAGTTTTAATGATTAGTAAGCATTATGTAATTAATTTTTATATAAAAACTAATTTTATTATTATTCTTTATTTCTCCAAAAATCACCTCTAATTTAATAAATATTACTTACAAATCATAAAATTTTGGCAATCCTTTTCTTAAAATTGTATAATTATTATTTAAATTTAAGATTGTAAGTCCTCTTCTTAAAATAAAGATTAAATCTGGATTTGTTTCAAAAAACTTTTATTCATCTTTATCCTTTAATTTTATCCTAACAATGTAATAAATAGCTTTAGCCTAATTTAAGGGATTCTCTTTTATAAAGAGAGTATTATTTGCTTTTTTTGCATATGCAATTAAATTTTCTAAATCTATTTCTTCCTATTATAAATTCATAGAAGAAGATATACTTATTGAAATTATTTTTGATTAATATTTGGTAATGATTGCTATTTTTGAAAGGCAATATCATATTTCTTGTTTTGCATTCTGATTTTTTAATTGAAAATATTTATACTAATTATTAAATTTTAAAATCACAAATGACTAAAGTACTAATCAAAACAACACCAACATTGTATAATATCTATATTTATAAAAAGAGATTAATTATTTAAAAACAAAAAAAATTAAAAGCCTCAATATTTGTACATATAGATTTTTTTAATATACAAAGATAAAAACATAAACTTAACAAATATTGGATTAATAAATATTGATAAATCAATAATTGAAATAAAATATAATAGTAATACTTTTTATATTAATATTAATTTGCTCTAAATAAATATTTTTTTATGAAAACTCAAAAAACGGAACTTGTTCTATTATTGCTAATTTGCACTATAAATTGTGTAAATATTAGTAAATAAGATGGAGTGGAAGAACTGAAAGTAAATAGATAATTATGAAATAGATAAGAAAACTAGTTGGGGTAAGATTGCGTGGAATTTAAGTTAATTGGCATTTTCAGGTGACTCAGCATTAAAAGAACTAGCAGATGTTTTAACATCAGTGGTATATAAATAGGTATTATAATTCCTTAGACAGAATAAGTTAAAGATTTGAGACATGATCATGAATTTACTAGTGATAAAGCTATTAATGTTTATGTTAGCAAAAATGAAAAATTAGATTTAGGAATAGATGAAACAGTTACTTTTATTGCTAGGAATACAGATTATTTGGATTCATAAATGCATGATTATATAGTGAGTATAAATAAGAGATTAGAAAATCTAGATTAAAATGTTAAAGAAAATAGAAAATAATTAGAATATCTAACATTCACTAGATAAAAGGAAAATGAAAAGTTCTTAGATACTTGTAATCAATATTATTAATTATAGTATTATAATATGAACATATGGTTGCATAAGTTGATATGTGTATTGCCTTACTATAGGGAATATTTGCTAATGAATAGTTTATCTAAGTAGATAGAGTCAAAATTATTACAAGAAAGATTTTTGCTGCTACAATGCTAATTGGAGGAATTGATATGAAAGAATTATTAGAAACTACTGAATCAGCTTAATATACTGATACAAGAGTACAAAAATATGTATAATATAAATTTATCATTATCTTTTAGATTTTAGAAGCCTTTAATAATTTAAGAAAATAATTTATTGATCATAAAAATTCAGATATTGCATATGATGCTGAATAATAAAAAGAATATGAAGATTAAAAACATTAATTAGATGGAGAACTTTTAATTTTCAAAAAAGATATTGCAGAATTAATATACAATTTATCAGTTGCAGAAGAAAAAATAAGATAAATTAAAGATGATATTGATTCAAATAGAAAAGATTAGGAGTTTTATTAAAAGGAAAAAGAATTTATTAATAATGGTCGTCAAATTGAAGAAAAATGGAAATCTAAATTAATTTAGGAATATAATAATCAATTATTATCAATAGAAAAAGCTATGAATTTAATAAGCTAACCTGATTTTTGGGCAAGAAACGATTAAATCAAGTTAAATTATTGAAAATTGTTATAGATATAGAAGATAAATATTTCATTTTTTCACTAATAATATGGTTTTAATTTTTTTAAATAATATTGTTTCGTTTTTGATCCTTGATGCTCACATGGTTAAGTTTTAATGTGAGTTATTGAGGTATTTTAAGAAAGTTTTTTAAAATCAAAATTTTTAATTTATTGATTTTTCGTTTAATGCAATTACAATTCATCAATTTCTTTGATACCATTAGATCTTGAAGTATGTATTGAAATTTAGGATTTTAATTAACTCTGTTAAGTATATTAAGATTATTTTGAAGTATTATCAGTATTTCTCTTAGTTGACATAAAATATAAATTAATTTCTTTTAAAGTTGGTGATTGAATTTTTGGTATTTATTGATTTGGTGGAGATAAACAGAATTTATTTTTAACCTATTTTTCTTACAGATATTTATTAATAATGTTAAAAGAAGTTTTTCTATGAAAAATGGAATATTCATTATTATTAATATATCTTGGAGTCAATTATGGTTTTTCAGGAATATATGGTTTGGTTTTTAAATTGATGGTTTATTGAAATTATAATAATTTATTCGGTAATGGTGAAGATTCACCTGAAGTCTCAAATTGATCTTCCTGTTATTTAAAATGTTTTTAAAGTGTTTCTTAAAAATTTAATAATTTATCTTTAGGCACAAATAATGTTTTACGATCTTATATACAAGTTTTTCTTCTAAACATTAATAAGGTATTCCTCCTTTTTTAAAAGCATAATAGAGCTACTTTTCTTTATAATTCAAAATCAATAGGAAGAATAGGACCTTAATATATTTAGTCAGCTATGGATTTGGCTCTCTTATGTGTTATTTTAGGTAATCTTTTAAGTGGGCAACTTTTACTTTTTTATTCTCCATTTGTTTTGCGTTGTCTGGATCTCTATAAAAATTCTTATTGTAACATATTATACTGTATTGATTTTTCAATCTATTGATCTTTTTCTTCTTAACAATCACAGCTTCATGAGAATGCTAATAAACTTAAGTATGAGGCACTAAATGATTCAATCGTTTCTATTTTTATCCCTAATATTCGTGAAAGGTCACTCTTCTAATTTTACCTTATGGCTAAATTTTTTAATCCTAGATATCAAGACTTCTTTAGGAAAGAATTTCTAGAATATCTGCTCTTTCCACTTTGGAAACTCTTCTAATTGGAATTCCAAATTATGTAAGAATGGTTGGAGATTTGATTATTTTTCTTAGTCTTTATTTGGGTGAATTTTTAACTTCTTCAATTAACATACTTTTAGAAGCAAGTTCAAATGATCTAGCCTTTATCTTTTTCTAAGGTGAGATACAATTTAAGATTGGTTAAACATTTCTTTGTAATTCTCTATAGATTTTCCAAAATGAGGTAGTTTATATTGTATTATTAATGTACATTTAATAATTTATCATTTCTTTCCTTTTGGTTTTCCAGCTCCTTTAGCAGCAGCCTTTTAAGCTGCTTTTGTTTCAGCTTTTTAGGCAGTTTTTTGAGTGGTAGTTACACCTTTTCTTTGTTATTTTTAAGTCTCAATTAACTTCTGCTTTCTGTCCTTGATTTCTCTTGCAGCTTATTCTGCTTGAGCTTTTCTTGTTTCTATTTAAAAGATTATAAAAGTCACAACTTACTTTCATCTTCCTTTCTTCTTCTTCTAATCTCTTCTAATGATATACCAACAATAGCTCTTTAGACTTTAAGATTTCTAATTCTTCTTTTTTTTGCCCCTTCATCAGTTTTAATTTTTTTATTTAATCTTCTCCAAGCAACAGTCCATTGAATTTCTTAGCTTTTAATCTTGAATGTAATAATCATATTATACTTTTCTGGCAGAAAATGCTCTACTCTTTTGATTCAAATAGTAAAATAATCTACCATCTTTAGCCACGAATCTTCTTCCATGTCCAGGATAAATACGCCATTCACTAAATGAGCACAAATCAGTCTTGATAACCATTTTAAATTAAAATAAAAATCTTTTTTTAATGAATTTAATCACTAGTGTACAAGATAAACTCAAGCAATAAGTCCCAACAGATAAATAATTATAAATGAGTCATTTTGCAAGATTAGTTGAGTTGTTAAATGAAAGTCCAAAAAATTAATAAAATTCAGAATTAATCTAATTAGTACAGATACTCATTTAATTTTAATTTCCTCAACATACATATTAGATGATTTGTAATTCTTTCTCCTTATTGATTGCTAAAACAGGAAATGAATAAATTAAATAAGTTGTAGAAGCTTTATTGCAATATATAAATAAAAAGGGATCATTAAAAAGTATTGCTTTGAATTTACTTGTTACATTAATTCAATTAACTAAATATGAAATTCAATCATTCTCATACACTTTAACTTAAGATATCACAACTACTTTAATGAAGTTATTAAAGAGTTCTGATTATCGTATTTTGCTATGTAATGTATTGTACTTTTTAATTGAATCATAAAAGATTGAAATTCTTAAAATAGCTTTGAAATTTGCATAAAATGAAAAACTTGAAATACTCTAATAAACAGGTATGTAAACACTAATATACTTAATGTAAGAGGAAGTTATATCAGAACAAATGTATTTAATAGCCTAGAAGTCTGATGACTCTCCCTTATTTTATAAATATTTTTCTAGATACTTATTCTAACAATAAAATATAGTGGCTTTAACAAAAAAAGATAAATTGAAATCATAAGTTTAACTTTAACCAAGAGAATAAGCTTAAAAAATATTTCAACTTTTTGATGAAAATTTATCTAAATTTCCTTCAAATATAGTTGGGAACATATTCATAGCATATAAAAAGTAATCTTTATTTATTTATTTAGATATTTGCTACATGAATTTAAAAAATTAGGACTTTCTATAGTTAGAGGATCTTTTGAAATTTCTTTTTCTTATTTAGGAAGTATGGCATTAGATGATCCCTATCTTCATACAGTTTATAAAAAGTATATAATTATTGAATAAATTAGAACAGTCAATTTATGTCTTTATATGGTTTAATAAGTTCAATTGAATGAAAGAAAGGATTTATTAGAATATTTCTTTGATAAGATTTCTAAAATAAAAACTTAAAAATGGAATGTTTATAATTATAAATTGCTTTTAAAAGGAATAAATTTCTTATTTGATACATTAGGTTCAAATGTTTTTGATGATAAAAGATCAAAACCATCAGAATTTATAGATATATTAACTCCTATTTTTAAAATTAATGATATTTTCTAACATCCAATGAGTATTGATAAACCAATTTGTATTAGTGTAAGTAGAAATTTATTCAATACTTTTGAATCTTTATTTTAAGAGAATAAAAAATGGTAATAAAGTATTTTATCAGCATTATTAAACTATGCTAAAATAACATTAGCAGAAATTAATGTAAAAGAAACTAATTAATTATTAAATTAACTTAGAGTATAATGTGCATTATTATCAAAATTATTCTCTTTGTTAGATTTATAATTACATTCAATATCAAGTGAATTAATAAATCATTTATGGGAAACTGCAAAATCATTTTTAAATAAATCTTAATAATTAAGAAGAACTGGTTGGATAATAATTGCTGAATTATTGATGGTTCCATATTTTGGAACAACAAATAAAGTTAAAGAAATAGGAATATTAGTTGAAAAAAATCTAACTTCTAAGGAAGATATAAAAGATGAATAATAATTATTAAGTTATTGTAGTGTAGGTCTAGTCATTATTTCAATATTAAATAGTAATACATTATCAAAATAAATTAAGGATACAACTAGAAAGTTTTTTGCTTAATAAACAATTTTAATGTTTAATAAATTATAATAATGTAAGTTCGATAAATAATCACCTTTTGTGATAGCTTCCAAATATATTTTTTATTAGGCAATCAGATAAATAATACCAAAATACTATTCTAATGAATTAAATACACTTGTATAATTTTGTCTTGAAGATATTATAAATGGAAATTCAATTTGGAATTAAGTTAATGTTCATAAAAATAATCATTATGTTGATGAACTTTTAGGAATACCTAGATCAGAATTTTAATTAGTTTTGGCAGCTAGTAAATTTTTAGGTCATATTATTTCTTCATAATCATTTACACTTAAAAATAAAATAAATTTTATAAGATATGTAAATGGTACTTTATAAACATAAGTTATCAATATAAAAGAAGTTTAATAGAAATAATCTAAATAATAATGTTATTTATTTTGTCTTTATTAAATTGCTCTTAAAATTTATTAAGCTAATACACTTGTATCTCAAGAATTTAATGAACAAATATTTTAAGTTATTAATATATGTTAATGTGTTGATAATTAAATTCAATAATTATGTGCATACCTTTATTGTTCAATGTTATAAATTAAAGATGTTGATTAAGCTGAATAATTAAACTAGTTGTTATCATAAAAGTCATAAGCTAATTACACTTATTTAGTTTTAGAAATTCTAAAGAAGAAACTTACAGGAGTTTAATTATAAGTGCAAAACCTTTTGATGAAAGTTTTATCATAAATGACAACTGATGTAGCCAAAGTAATTCAACTCTTCTAGTAAATTGATCCAAGTTTACTCAAAAATGTTTGGGTATTTCTTGTATTTGCTATAAGTTAAAGTGATAAACCAATTTAAATTACTTAATTTAAAATTCTCTCTGGAATTATATTAAATTATGTAAGAAATGGTGGTGTTAAGGATAATTATTTTAATATAATATATTAAGAATGTAGATGCAGACTTTAATCAAAACAATTCTAAATTTTATAATTAGATTTTGCATTAGAATAAGACACAGAATAAACTGTTACAAAAGCTATTAATTTATTATTAAAAAAGCCATCTTTAAAAATAGCTGTATTTATAGATTAACTAACTGATAAATATAATATGCCTTCATTAGTTTAACCTATTTTATCTGTATTAAATAATCTATTTTCTAATTAAAGAGTTCATTCCACTAATGAAGAAATGGAACTTAGAAATTTAATGAAAAATATTTTCATTAAGGTTTATAATTAACCTATTGCAGAACTACTCTAACTTCTATAACCTTATATTTTAGATGAAGTTATACCTGAAAATCAAGATAGAATACCAATACACATAAAAACAAGAATCTTTCTTTTAAAAAGATTATAAAAGTTATTTAAATAATGTGATACTTCAAATTAAGTATTTGATTTCCTTTTTAAAATTACAACTTCTATATATGAGGAAGCTAAGGAGATTTCATTTGATATGTTCCAACACTTTTTTTACAAAGAAAAGGATTTATTAAATTTTGCAGCTCAAATTGATTCAATTTTATGTGATACAATTAGAAGAGAAAACCAAAATCCTCCTTCAGTTAATTTAACTAATATGAAACTTATAAGCAAATTTGCTAAAATAGTATAAGATGAATTTTTGGCTACAAAGCTAATTTAATTATTATCTAAGCCATTATTAAATGATGGTAGAAAGAAATTAGTACCTAGTTAATTCTTTAGTGAAAAATCATAACTAAATATTCTAATATAAAGAATAGTTTCATTGGGAAGTATTTATAGAAAAATACCAAATTATTTTGATTAATCTCTTGTAGATTAATTAAAATGTTATGTTGAAGAATTATTGGAAGATATCTTTGTAATATTATGTACACCAAGATCTAATGTAAGAGAATATTAATCATATAATTTTGTATACAATGGAAAAAAATATAGTTATGATCAAGTCTTTCTTCATTAATCCTTACCAAAATTATTGAGAATATCAAATCTTGATAAACCAATCCACTTTACTTTAATTGGGTACATTATTACATAATATGTATAATAATTATTTATTGTTTTTAGGGTGCATTTGAATAAAATGAGAATATGTTTAAGAAAACTATAGAATCCCTTACAAAAGAGAGAATTTTATAAACTAGAGTTTATAGGATAAAGGGAATCTAATTGCTCACTGAAGTTATTAATAAAAACCCTTAAAATCAATTATTGATTAGTGGAATTCAATGTTTATTACCTATAATTTCTGCAGAAGCTCCATATTCTTTAGTTGTTTGTTAGCAATTTTATTAAACTCTAATTCATCATCAAATTGATTTATAATTAATAGTTGAACCTATAATACAAATATATTAATTGACAGTTGATTAGAATGTAAAATTAAATTGCTTAGCATCTTTATTAAAAATATCTCAACAAAATAATTAGACCTTAGATTAAATCAATATAATTTTTTGGGATTTTTTGTTAACATAAGATTATGATTTTATGAGATGCACTTAATTAATTTAATTTTATAAGGATAAAATTTATAGTATAAAATTTAGTGGTTACATATAAACAATATTATAATCGATATCTAATACTCAAAAAATGAGATAAGAAGATTATTATTTATTATTAAATTTAGATGGTTTAATTAATAATAAATTAGATAATTAGGGATACTATCTTATAATTGACAGTAAGACTATTTTTTATTATTAAAATAGAGCATTTTACAAATTTATTATCAATATCTTTATCTTTAATAAAATAAATAAAATAGAACATTCAGACCATTTTAAACTGTATGCTTCCAGCAATCTATCACAAAATAGTAAATAAGGAATCAGAAACTTATTTATTTATAGGAAAGTTTTTATTGCTTACTTATTTATTGAGTAATTAAAAATAATTACTTTTTCAAACTATCTTTAGGATGATGGATCTTTTCACAGATGATACCTTGGATTCATCTATTATTGAAGCTTCAAAATAAAATCTAAAAATTATTGTGATGAATACTTAATTGAATTAAATGAGATTACCAGATGACCTATCTGAAAAAGTATAAATAATATATGATGATATTTAAAGGGAAATGTATTTTAAACATTTAAATTAATAGTTAAGAAAAATAATAGAGAGAAGCTAAATAAAGGCAACCTTAGCAATCAGGTTAAATAGTACTAAAGATGTTTGGGTGATGTATTAAATAATTAAATTAAATAATGTCTCATTTTTCTGATCGTTGTAAAACAGATCCTGATGAAGATAGTGAAATTAAACGTAAAAGAAGATAGGTTCAACAATTCATCTAAAATTCAAAAGAAGAATAAAAAAGGATTACCATTCTTTTTAAAAAGGACTTAGATTTATAAAGTTAGAAAATAAAAGAAAGAATTCAAAAAAGAAACTTTAATAAAGCAATAACAAAATCTTCAAGTTGTGGTGTATATATGTCAAGCAACACTAATAGTGAATCTTAATCATTGGCTGACACTGATGATTATTAAGAGTCATTATATGAAGATGCTTTATTAGAGTTAGATAACTAAAGAGATGAAAAAATCTATAGAATAGTTTAACATTATAACAATTAAATTAATAATTTAAGAGTGATAGAATACACAGAAGAAACACTATAACAAATGTTAATATTTGAAAAAAAAAAATGGGAAGAAATTCAAAATATTTAAGAATAATATGAATTAATAAAGAGTAATTAAATCAAACAATGACTATATTGCATTTTAACAAAATTACCTATATTCTAATATGCATAATCTCAATTTTAATATTATAATTTATTTTAGAGTATCTATCATTATTAATTATTCCTTTCAATTTCCATTTTAATATTATTTTAAATTCATAAAATAAAGAGATTAATAGTTTTTATTAGAAAATATTGAGAAATTTTATATTCTAATAAGGATAAGAAATAATAATTGCTAATAGATACCAGATAGTAATTAATAAATTATAAATTCATATTTATGTATAATTATAATGTTGATATTACATCAAATTTTATAGTTGTACATAGATTATGAAATATAAAAATTATGTTATAGATTACTTAATCAAAATAATTACATCTAATAAAAAAATTATTATAATATCAATTATAATATATTTTTCAATGTTTATAATGAATTTATTATAAAATTAATATCATATTTAATGAAGATTTGTTAATTATTACGAAATAGAGTACTCTTTTTCAATTGTGATATATAAACTGTCTTTAACAATCCTAAACACATGTATAATCCAGGATAAACAATATAATGTGCTTAATTAATGAATGAAGTATGTTATCAATGATAAAAATATAGGCAGCAGGCATATTAAATATACCAGTTGTTTATACAGAATAAAATGTAAAAGCTTTTGGATCAACAATCCCTGAGGTTAAGGCAACAATTCCACCAAATAGTCATTATTTTGAAAAACATACATTTTCAATGTACAATGAAGATGGAAAGAAAGTTTTATCTTAATATCCTGATAAGAATTAAGTTGTTATATATGGTTGGGAAGCACATGTATGTGTTTAACAAACTTGTTTGGATTTAGTTAGAAATGGTAGTAAAATTAAGATATACACTAGGCTATTAAGTTCATATCTTAACAGATGGAACATCAAGCAATAGACCACTTTATAGATCAACATGTTATTAACGATTAGCTTAATAGGGAGTGGTAATAGATAATTCACAATCAGTTTTATATGAATTATTATAGTCATATAAAGATGAAAAGTTCAAACCAATTTTAAGTTTATTCAAGAAATATAAATATGAAGAGGTTTTTACAACATTATGAATAATTATAAAGATTAAAATAAATAAAATATAATATCATACTAAATTTGCTTTTTCCATATATTCTTCTTTTAATTTTGATTTTCCCATTTTATAATATTTTTGTTGGAATATTGAATATTTTTTAAGCATTTCTAAATGTAAGTATCTCATTTATGCTGGTCTAGTTTTATCAATAAATTATGGATCAGCATATTTATCAATAATAGCCATAGTTTCTGGAAAATAATAATCTTATTATTCAGGATCAATTTCTTCTTCTATATCCCCATAATACATCACATCTAATATTGCATGTCTTTCAATTAGATCTTCACATGTTAAATCTTTGAATAGAGTTTTCTTTATTTTAGGTATTTCCAATTCATACCTTAAATGAGATGCACTTTTATTATCTAATAAATCTACAATAGCATCAGATTACATATTCCCTAATATACCAAAAACTCTTTTGTATGATTTTTTAGCTGCCAAATACTCTATTAAAGTAGTCATGAATTCATCTGATCTTTTTAAAAATATATGAGGTAATATTTAATATGCAACATTCATAGGAGTATTTGGAATAATATCTGGATTTTAAGGTGTTGCCATACATGCAATTTAAAAATATTATTATAATTAAGGTAATGTTAATTAATTACATAAAGTTTCTCTGAAAATGAAAGCTGGAATATCAGCTAACATTATTTTTGCATTAAATTTTTTGGCAAAATATGAAATTGTGGCTATTTTATCATAATCAATTCTTTCCTTATTTATATAAGGTTCATATTCTAAAAATTCCAATTTATCATGTTATAAGGCTTCTGCTATTTTTTCATGATATCCAGCAGGCATAATCTCATCAGGGTTTCTGATTATTTAATTGATATAATCTTTTGATGATTTAAATTTATAATCAAAACCTTTAAGTATTTGATCAGGTTTCATTTAAAGCATAATTAATGATGGTCTGGAAAATAATAAGAGTTTATATAGATTTTTGATTGGTATATGTTCCCATTATGAACCTGCCAATGTGAAATTTATATCTTAGTAATTAAATATATGAACTTTGCCATGAGGATTTTTAGATGCAAATTCTTTATATTACTCTTAAGTCAAAAAATAATGATTCTATCTACCAACTTTATTTGGTTAATACTAATATTGAAAATCTAAACCAGTTTATTCTTTTAATTCTTAAGGGTTTATATCGTTCTATTCTTTTAAGACTGGAGATAATAAATATTTTGAAGGCAATTTTCCAATACGTTCTAAAGTTTTGTTTATTTAAATTGGTTTGACTGCTACGATGAAAAATTGTTTCAATTTCATTTGTGGTGAATAATATAATGAATATTAATATCAATTTTATGTTTATGGTTATTAAGCATTAGGATCTGGATGAGGTCTAGAACCAGCACTATACAATAATACTATTATCACAACTATCAAAGTTATAATGCCACAAAAAAAGAGTCTTAATTCATATTAAAATATTACATTCTTCCATTATTTCCTTATTAAACTTATGATGCCTTTTTCACTTCTGTAACTGCTCCTTCCACTTTTTCTCTGGCACTTCTAACATTTGAACTTATAATATCTATTTTTAATCCTTGTTCTTATATCATTCTTGCTCCATCTGTCATCATTTAATTTAGTTAGTATATTACTCTATCATATTTTATAATAATACTATCCCATTTCATTTATCTATTTATTCCTTCTTTATATAAATTCTTCATCATATTATATTTCATCTAATAATTATACATCTATTTAAGTATCACTATGATGATCTTTAATTGATTGTTTTGCTGATTATAAACTTGTTTACTATCTTGATAATAACTAATCTGTTAATTTTTTTAATTTTTCATTTGAATCTTAGAATACCTGAATCAATTTCTATACAGTTTGTTATCTTTGTGACTATATTTCAATTATAAATATTATTTACATTCTCTGTCTTTCTAAATAATTGAATAGATTGCATCTCTTATATTATTTTTAGCATTTCATCTAAATCATTTTTTGCTTCTTTTACTAATAATGGTCTAAATAATAATCTTTTCAATCATATACATATCATCCATTCCTTTTGAAGATCTACTATGAATAATCTTGTTAAAATCATATATAATACTTCTTCATTTAAATAATGATAAACCTTTTCAAAATTTCGTATTCTTGCTTGTGCCATCTAAGTTAATTTATTGACTTAAGCCTCTCCATCTTTTTTATGCAAATCTTAAAGCTCTAAAATATCTTATTATTTCTAAATTTAGTGTAATTTTACTTTCACTTTGTTAAAGTCTTAGAAAAATGACATTAAAAAATATAATATTTTATAATTTACTATTTTTATTCAATGAAGAAAGAAGAATCAAATGAATTTGAATAAATTCCTTTTAAAATTGAAAAACAATCCTCTCCCTAACCTATAGGCATTATTAAAATTGAAAATGAGAAAGTTTGGCTTTCATTTAAAAAAAACAATCATTTTAAACCAGATTCTGCCATACTTCCTTATCAAATTGTTAAATAAAATTACCCTGATTTAGTAATGTTATCGTTGTTATGAGGTTGCAGAGAGATTATTGTATGAAAAATTGAAATTTGTTGGTTTTACCTAAAACACAGAAAATTAGGAATAAGCATGCATTTTTGATTTTAATGGTAAGGAGTGTTTGGTTAAATGGCTTCCATCTTAACTATTTTCTTGGATACCAGTTGCACAAGCAGATCCATTAAATCTACTTGATTTTCTTGAAACATTAAAAGTTTATAAAATTTATTGAATTGTGTCTAAACTTATAAAACTCATCTTTTTCTTTTATTCAATTCAAAATGATTAAATTATTAAATCATTAAATCCCTTCATTTCAAATCCAAAAATCAATATATAATTTTTTTATAAAATTAAACATATATGCAACATACAAACATCTTTATTTAGAGCTCTCAGTATATTCCTGAACAATCAGAACCAATTAAATTTTTAGATTTTTCTAGAGAGCCATATTTGGATCAATCAAATATTGATACTTATAGAAAGTAAGAAAAGCTTGGAAGATTTAATTAGATTTATAAAAGTTATTACTATATAATATAATTTAGATAGAGAATCCATATAGATTAAGTTGGGCTAATGCAATATTACATAAACACTATAATGTTGATATTCTTGAAAAAGGAAGTAAAATTATAATAAAAAAATTACCTGAAACAGAAGGTACCTCTTAAACTCTTTTCAATCATTTACCAGTAATATAGAAATCATAAAAAAGAGAAAAAGATCAAATATTTTCTAGTATTTCTCAATATGCTAAAAATAATTTGGATAAATTCTTTAAATAAAAAAGAAAATATCATTTATCTACATCTACAGAAAATAATAGTTATAATATGCACAATTCATCCTGTAAGTAAACAGAAATGAATGATGCATTCTCATTAATTTAAGTAAAAAGTTAAGATAGGTTGATGCCAATTTTTGATGTAAATTTTAAAAATAATCTATTAAAATACAATTTATGAATTCAATATTTCTTTATTTTAATCTAGAATTTGTATTTGTTTAATTTTTATCTAAAATCTTTTAAATATAAGTAAAGAATTTATTTATAGATTCAACACTAATAAGTTAAATCATAAAAATGAATTTTAATAAACTTAAACAATAAAAATTAATGTAATATATACCTTAATATTCATATTTCTCTTAATTTTGTATTAAACATATTAATTTAGTTACAACGTATTTATATAGAAAAATTACTTTTAATTATTTTTATAAGATTATTTTGATATTCAGTTTAATAAAAGAATATCATGAGCTTTAATTAGTTACAATCATTGCAAAAAATTGAGGTTGATTATATCTTTTTACATTGAATAATTTTTTATTTAATGAATCTACTAAACAATAAAATCATAAAATTATTTATTGATTTAGATGTATTTTAGAATAATTTTATTATTTATAAAAGAAGATTATCAAGAATTCAAAATATAGGTATATTATATTTTATACTTGTTTATTGATTTATCATAAATATTAGAATAGAATTAAGTATTTTATTTTTATATTATTTTATTTACAGAAATTTTTTAATTAATTTGGATAATAATAAAATTATAATATTTATATAAGTGACATTATAGTTTTGGAAATTTTAAGAAAAAAGTTTAACAAATAGTTAATTCATTGAATAATTATATCATCTTACTATAACTTTTCAACAACTTAAGTCTCTAATTTTAGTATATTATTTAATGCTGTTTAGTATTTATTCTTAACTTCTTCCAACTCTTGTAATTTTGAGGGTATATCTCTATTCTCTTATTATTAGGATATAAATTAAATTGATGGATAAGGAATTCTTTAAATTGGAGAATTATGTTCCTTAAATTATGAAAACGATTAGGATATATTTGATGGCCTAAGATAATCACGAGGATATCGATCCTAAGATTATTTATTTTGACTAGGTCTCATAGATTAAAAAGGTGATTTCTATGATTCTCTTTCTCTAGTTCTTTCTCTTTTCATCTCTGATATTGCATCCAATACTTCAAGTCTTTGTTTTTTTCTATTATCAGATTGAAGTTAGTATTTTTATAAATTGTCTCTAAGCATATCAATTTCTTAGTTTAATTCTTAGATATGCTGATTTAAATGCAATCTTTAATTTGATAAGAATTATATCTAATCTTCTAGACCTTAAATTACTTTTCTTTAATATTCTATTGTATCAAAAAGTTCTTATTAATCATCATATTAAATTCTGCTTTTGAGTTCATTTATTGTATTTTCATAAACTCTTCTCTCAGCATAAAATTCAATATCCTGAGTTTGTATTTATGATCTTTATAAAATCTATAATTATTATTTCAATTCATAAAGTTCATTTTAACGTTATTTTTCATATTTTAGAATAAGTTCTTTCCAATTTTCACCTTCTGGATATTTTTATACATTACTAATTAATAATTAATCAATTCTTCTTAAAAATTCTTATATTAATTATTATTTTTCATTTTCATGTTATTCTTTTAATTTTTATATTAAATTAGATTCATTAGTTGATTATTCTGGTATTTTCTATTTTTCTTAGAATCTAATTTTTGTTAATTCTTCTTTTAATTCATCTTTAAGCATTGATTAAAAAGATTGCATATTCTATTCTAATTATTTTTCTTTTTCAATTATTTTTTAAATTAATTCTTATCTACTCTATTCTGCTTAATCATATTTTTATCTCCAATAACTTGCAGAATTTTAAACATCTCCTTATTAACCAATTTCTTTGTTAATATTTTATTAAACAACATCATTATATTTCTATTACCAAAATTCTTAATTTTAAATGGCTTTTTATAAATCTCTCTCCATTTATGTAATTTAATATTATCTTGATTATATTGTATCTTATTAACTTGGTTCAATCTTCTATTGTTATTATTCAAGTTCTAATACTCTCTTTTTATATAAATTAATTTCATTTTAAGATTTTTAATTTTCTATTCTTAATCTATCAATTAATTCAAAATTAATATTAATTTAAGTCAAATCTTTATCAACATTTAAATTTTTAATTTCTTCTTCATCTTATTTTAAAATATCTTAAACTTTTTCAGAATTTTCATGATTATTTTTTAAATTATCTTCATATTTATCTTTCCAAAATTTTATTTATTTTTCATTTAACTATTATTATAAAACCTTTTATTGATATAACTATTAATAAATATTTTATTCATCCACTAACTTTTTTTATAAATAATCAATTTAAGTTTTCATAATCTCAATTTCTCTTTAAAGTTAACTAATCTAATTTTCATTCTATATTTTAACTTTATCAGTTGTCTATTATAGTACAAAAAGTGCTTCTTCTTATTGATGAATTTAAGAAATTTAATCAACTAATTATTTCTACAAACTTGTAGGTGAATGTTATTAACTAAAATCATTTAAAACTGATTAATATTTTTATTTCCAAAAATCTATTTATTATCCTGATAATTCAATTTAATTTTATAACTCTGTAATTCTTTATTTATCATAAGGTATTTCAGTTCTTTCAATATTATTATCTTATTGTTATTATTACTAATTCTATTTAAATAGTTCCTTTTAATTGGCTTCCAAATCAATTAAAAGTTTAGAGTTAGCTAAACTTAAAAAGGTATTTTTCTAAAGTAATTCTGATATTAATTATGTCTTATCATCCCCACTTAAAGCTTTATTCATTTATTAAATAATACTAGTATATAATTAAAATATTACTCTTAATTTATTTTTTTCAATTCTTCCACTTATTTAGTCAAAGCTTAATTTTCTTATCCAAGACTTTATATATCTTAATCATAAGAATACTATTATTCTTTTTATTCTTAAGTTTTTAACTTACTTTGTTTATTAATTATTAATTATTAAAGATAAATATTTTATTTTTTTAAATCTTCTATCTCATTAATATACTTTTAAGCATTTTAATCTTGGGGTTATTTAAATTATTAAACTAATTCACCTTCTTTTTATTTTATAATATCATTTAAATCTTCTTAAGGTTCTTTTTATTTAACCATTTCAGTATATTATTATTTCCAGAATATTGATTTCTATTTCTCATTTTCAAGTTGATCTATTATTTATTAATTAGAAGATGTTTGATTTTATTAAGAAAGTTATTCTTTGTAAAACAAAATCTATTAATTTTAAATTTAATCAACTTTCTCTTGCATTTCAAGTTTTTATTTAAGATTTTATAACTCTTCTAATATTTCATTAGATTAATTAGAATTTAAAAGCTATCTTTAATATTAATTTTTCAAATTTTCAGATGTTTAAAATTACTCTTCCAAATCAATAATTTATTAATATGCTTTTAGAAGTTTGGCTTATGCTGAAGATGGAGATAATTAATTAATCTATTCTTAAAATAATTGATCGAATTTTTATTTTTATTACTCAATTTTTTCATCCTTTTCAGTTATCTATAATTATAGTTTTTCAATTTAATCTTCAGATCTTTCCTATTATATTTATATGATTTCATTATATTTACTATTCCATAATTGAGCATCTGATATTGCATTTTTTAACTTTAATTTTAATTCTATTATTTCACCAGAAAGTTAAGGAATTTAAGTTTCTACTTAATGTTATAAATTTTAAATTTATTCCTCTAAATCATGAATGTATTAGGTTTACTATAATATTTTCTCTTTTAAACCATTTGGTGTTAAATTTTCAGATTGTAATTATAATAATTCTTCATATTAATCTTTAATTTTATCCAATTATTTTTTTAAAAGATCATTTTCATTTTATAGTTATATTTATACTTATTTAGTTTCTTCTATTTTAATTTAATCATGAATATCAATTAATTATTTTGTTTTCTAAGTCAATTAACTTTATAAAATTAACTATTCTTATTAAAGATTATCAAATTTATTTTATAAATATCTTAATTCTGATTACAATTATTATTTTTCTTTTATTAAACTTAAAATTTAACTTTCATTTATTCCATTCTCAATCATGTCTTGGAACTTTTGTAGATCTTTCTTTCGAGTTTACTCTAACTCTTCAATTTATTAATTTAAAGATTAATTTTATTATTTTAATTAGCTGAATTATAAAGCTTTTTAAGGGTCAACTTAAAATTAAATGGACTCTTATGTTTCAATAGGTTTAGGAACTTAACTATTCAATAAATCATTTATTTAGTTTTGAGCTTAGAGCAGCTATTCTTAGTATTAAATTTTTGTCAATTTTAGATCTTCTAATTAATTATTTAATTATTTTTGTAATAAATTATTTTGATTTTTAAGTTCATTAACACTATCTACTTAAATTTTTTCATCTATTTACAAAAATTATTTTATTATATTCTCTTAATTTGGACAACTATTTGATATGTCTTAATATTAAGCTTATTTAGAATTGTTTAATTTTTCTATTTGAATATTTTATGTTTCTATTAATTTACTTAATATGGCATTTTCTTTTAAGATATCTAAATTTTATTAATGTTATTTTTCTATTTAATTTTCATATTAATTGATCAATTTTTTTTATTCATTTATTATAATTTAGGCTTGCTATTCTAATTCATTAGCTTTTTAGTAATTCTTTATTAATTTTTATAAATATTCTTAAGTTTCTTCTAAATTCATTTCTTTAATAATATTATCATCAATTTATACTTGAGGGATTTCTTACTTAATCTCTAATAGATTTAAATATTTTTCTTTCCAATTTTTACTTTCATCAAGTGCTTTTTTAAAATTTTAATCTGCTTCTTAAAATTATTGAGTAACCTGGGGTATATCATTTTAAATTTGATTTTTTAAGACTAATATTTATTCTTATTGTTAATGAATAATTTATGTATTTTGCAGAAGCTTTTCTTATAAACCATTAGGAGTTAAATTAGCTAATGATTATTCTTAAAGTTAATTATATTATTCTTTTGATTGTTATAATTATTTAGATAATAGTTAATTTTAATTCTATAATTGTAAGATCTAATTAGCTAAATTTGAAACAATTTTACTATCTTAAAGATCTTTTATATCTTTTAATTACAATAATAGATCATCTATTTAATTTTACATTTATCTCTTAGATGATTAAAGTTGTTGATTTTCAGAGAATAATTAAACAATTTAATTATCATGAGAACCATCATTATCTAAAATCTATTGAATTTTTTTTAAATCTTCTTTTCTTTCTTCTTCAATTTCTGTAATTTAATTAATTAATTTTTAATTTTTTTGTTAGAGATCAAAAATCAAATTTTATTATGGACAACCTTAAACTTAATTTTAATTATTTTCCTGTGTTGCTAATTTTGTATACTCTTCTTTCCAAAACTCAATATTTCCTTCAGCAAATTTGTTTTTTAAGTTTAAAATTTCCTAATCTTTTAAAGTAATTTATTTTTTTTAATCCTCTAATTAAGTTTAGATCTTCTCTTATTATTTAAGCATTAATGCTATTTCTTATTCTTGTAAAATATTTTTTCTATTTAAATCATCATGATAATCTGATATATTAGTTTAATCATTTTTATCATCATATTTTTATGCAGATAAATTTGTATCTTATAAATTATTATTATTTTTTGTTGAATAACTTTAATCATTAATTTAATCTTATTATTGTAATTTGGATCTTTGAGTTAATAAGTTTTGATATCTTTCCATTAATAATTGTATTTCTGCTTATGAATCGTTGTGTTTTTATTTATATTCAGCTAAAGCTCCTTGCAATTTTGGAACTTCATTATCCAATTAATGATGCATCAATTATATTTCCTCTTATTACTCATGTATTTGATTTGCTTATTATAATAACTTTTCCTTTTATCCATTAGGAGTTAAATTTTAAGAGGTTAAATCCAAAAGTTCTTAATATTACTATTTAGATTATAAAAGTTTATCTTGATATTCTTAAATAATTTAATTTTAATCTTCTAATTATTTTTTAAAATCTTCTTCATTATAATTTGAGCAAAATTCAGAGAATTATTTATTTTTTTAAACTAATTAACCTTAAATAATAATTTATTCTTATAATGCATTATCTAATTAATTTTATAGATTTCTCAACTGTTATTCTAAATTTTATTTGGATTAAAAGAGTTCTATTATATTTTATTAATTTGCTCCATTTTCTATTATTTCTTTGAACTTTTATAAATCATCATTACGTTGATTATTAGCTTCTTATAATTAATTTCTTAATTATTAATTTTGTTATTGTAATTAACTAATAGCTAAAGTTTTTTCTGGGTCAGTCTCAAATGTTAACTTTTAATCAATATCCTATTATTTTGAAGGTCTAACAGATTCTAAATTATGAATTTAATTTTATAATTGTACAATCTGATAATATAATTAAGTTTGTTTTGTTCTCAATTCTTCATTTTCAGGTTTTAAATTTTCTAGTATTTAATATTGATTTTCTTTCAACTTATTCTCATCAATCATTTTATTTAATTCTTCTTATAACTATTTAATTTTAAGATTAGAATCAATATCTTAAATTTATATAATTTCATTTTATTAATTTTAATTATCTTCTTATTTATTATCATCATTTACATCATTTTGTTAATTTAACTTAATTTTTAAATCTTATATTTCTTTCATTAATTATTGTTCTTTTTCTATCATTTTATTAATTTTAGATTACTAATCTTTTATCTAATCTTATTGAATTTATTGTATTTACTAAGACAAATTATATTCTCTAACTTTTTCATTTATTTCTTCTTACAATTATTCTTGTATATCTTATTGAACTTCCTATCTTCTATTATTTTATTATAATTATAAATCAAGTTCTTAGTTTTTCTCAATAAGTTTTTTCATATCATCATTAAGTATTTATTAATCTTGATTCAAGAGATTTTACTTACTATTTAATAATTCATTATATCTCTTATCTTAAATAATAATATTATTCTCTGCAATTTATAATTTCTAATTTCCAGCTGCTAACTGTCCTTCTAAAATAGGAATTTCCTATTCAATTTTATCAGATAAATAATTAATTTAATTTTCTTATTCATGAATTAAAGCTTATTATTATAATATTTTCTCTTTCAATCCATTTGGACTTGAATTTTATTATGAAGTTTCTAATAACTCTTAATATTATTTTTTAGCTTATAATAATTATGCTTGTAAATTATTTATTTAATCTATCAAATACATTTAATCTTATATCTAAGGTTTATTTTATTCGCCCTAATATTATTCTAATTCTTTTAACTCTTTATTCTTACTCTATAATTCACTTTATAATTTAATTTAATTTTATTACAAAACATCGACCTTATTCTATAAAACTCTAAAGTTCTCTTAAATTTTTTATTTTTCAGCTATAAGATCTACAACCTTTTATTATGTGATTCCATTTCCAATCATCTCTTAAAATTCTTTAAGATCATCCTTTCTTTATAATTCATTTTCCTTTAATTATACTTTCAATTTTTAATTCTCTTATTCTAATTAACTAATTTTAATAGCTTTTTCAGGATCAACAATCTCTTATTATGTATAATTTTTTCTTATTTTGTTAGATTCTGAATTAATTTTATTTAATTCATCTTAAAGTTCAATAACTTTTTCTTGAAGTTCTAAATTTTTCTCTTTTAATTAATCTTCATTTTCTTCTTTCTTCTTATTTTTTTCAATTAAAAGAGGCTCACAAAGTTGAATTTAGAAATTATCCTATTAATAAGGTTTTAATGATTATTAATTTATTGTATTTTTTAATCTTTATATTTCTTTATCATTTAATTGTAATTTAATTAACATATCTTATTTAGATTTTTCATTTTCTATATCCTTTTATAAAAGATCTTCAATTTAATTCTTTAAATTTTAATATTATTATTATTATTAACCCTAAGATTCTATTAACTTATTATTTTAAGTCTATTTCTTTTTTAATTCTAATTCATTATATAATTCTTATTAAAGGAAATCATTTTTCATTAAGTTAATTTATTAAGATAATTCTTAATTCTCTCTAATTTATTCCAACAATTAATATTCTGGACTTTCTAATGGTAACCCTCTTTTTTATTTTTCTATTTCTTCTTCATATTTTTATTTCCAAAATTATTCTTCCTAATTAATTTATTTCTCATTTTCTAATCTATTAGTATTCTCTTGACCTTATCTAACTTTATTTAAAATGTTTTTTAAATCATCTCTCTTTTTTTCAATAAATCCTTACCTTTATTAATTTTAAGTTGAATCTTATTTGTTAGGTTGAATAATTGAAATTTTTTAAGGAATACCAACAGTAGTATGAAATGTATGACTTCTAATTGGAGAAATCCTTATTGGACTAACATATTTGACTGGGGTTAAAACTCTCACACTAGCATTTAATCTTTCAGCAGAATATCGGATTGGAGAAGATCTCAATTTATTATTAGTTCCAATAAGTTTTAAATCTTGATTCTTCAATCTAACTAAAGAATTTAATAAAGAAATTTATTTTATAATAGCTGGAATATTATTGCCATCTAATTAGAGATGCTCAATGTGACTTATAATTTTTGCGAAAACTTCACCAGCACTCATTGAAGGAGATAAAGACCTTCCTTTTGTAGGACTTTAATTATTTAACATTCTTCTCACTGCCTTTGGTGTTTCATATTATTTTAATGCTTCTAAATCTTAATTTAATGAGGTTAAATAAATTTAGATTTATTGTAATTCAACTTCATTGTTATCATCTTTATTTTCATATTTTTTAATTAATTTATGATGAGAATTCATTAATTCAGATAACATCGTTAAAGCATTTGCATATTTATTTTATAACATATTCCCCTTTCTAAATTACATTATATTGTTCTGTAAATTGTCAAAAGCACTTTGTAAATTTTAAGGTAATATATTCTCATTTACTCCTTAGATTCTTCCTGATTTATTAAATATTATATTATCATTTTTGCTTTATTATTGATTAACTTCTAGTAAATAGGACAGTTTTTATTCTAATAATATATTTTCTTCTTGCAATTTTTTTAATTCATCGCTCATTAACTGATCCTGAAAATTAATGCAAAATTTACTCTTTAAAGCTAATATTATTTATCTCTGTTAGTTTTTTCTTTTTGTTATAAATCGTTTATTTATTATTTCTGATTTTATATTTCAAGTAGCAGAATCTGCTCTCTTTCTTACAGTTTTTAACTTAAATCTCATATTTTTAATATACTTCTAATTTTTCATTGCTATTCTCTTTTTTTCTACATCTAATAAAACAGAATTTAATCTTTGTATTTCAAAACTCATCAAAACTTTTTCCATTTTTAGATTTATAACAATATCTAAATTTATAGTTTAAGGGACTTATGGAACAATTTGTATAACTGGTGATATTGCTCTTTATGGAGATCTCATTTAAAAAGGCTGCTAATTATGAATAGATCTTCCTCTCATTTTAAATTTCAAATTTATTTTAATATTATTAAATGAACGTTATGATAAATGCTTTTATTGTCTTTTTCATTATTTTGACCCATTATTATTAAAACTTCAATATTTTACTCAAAAAATCATTGATTTCATAATTATTAGTAATTGAAGATTAAATTCTCTATATTATTTTTTGTAATATTAAATATCAAATAGTAACTATTGTAAATTGATATAGCTTCAACAATAACATTCTATTAGTTTATTGGAATGTAAAGTATTCTAGTAATATTTAACTTATATAAAATCTTTCACAATTGAAAAGACACATTAGTTAATATCTTAAAAACATATTTACTAATTTCTTAAAATTACTCTCAATAAATGTAAGTATTAAGGATTTTAAATAATGAGACCCTCATCACAAATTATATTATTCTTTTTTTTATCTATTTCAGTAAATAAATATACTAACTCTTACTAAATTATGGATTCTGTAATCTCTTATATATATAATTATTCAGGTGAAAATAATATTGTAATTCTATAAATTAAACAGAATTTAAAATTTTCCATTTGTTTAAATTTCTAGATAAAAGAAAATATGAATTATTAAAATTATTTCATAGCAATCATGCTTTACAAATCCTTATTTAAAGTTAAATAGACCTTGTAAAATAATTTAAATTAAATAAAGTTGTAATATATTACTTATTTTGATCAATATTTATGATTTCATGTCCGATTTTTATTTATAATTTTATAAACTATATAAAATAACCAAAAAATAGAATAAACTAAAGGAATTATTAATTATTATTCATTTCAAGGTTATTTAATATTGCTATCATCCAAATTAATATTTTTTATGAAAATCTTGATTATATTCAGTACTTATACAGATATTACAGAGGAAAGTTATGTAATAAATGATAAGAAAGAGATGTTTAATATGAGAAGCTGTTGTTTATAAAAAATATCAGATAATTAAAAATATTGTAGAAATTATTATCATAATTGAAAGAATTATAAATATTAATTCCTAAACAAGGATGTAAACCAATCTTAAATTACTGATTAAATAAAAAGCTAAATGGATGGTCTAAAATAATTAATCAACTTATAGATTCAAAGAATCAAAAAACATTCACTTAAATCATATTAAATTATTAAGGACAAGTAGAAAACCTGTATTACTCAAGATATTTATACTAATTGTGTAATATTTTGATAACGTGAATAATAGTGACTTTTCTATTGTAATATCTTCCAAAAATTTAAATTATTCATAATATTAAAAATGTCTATTAGAATTTTTTCATTTATAATTAGATTTTGTAATATAATAGAATATAAGTAGAGGAGGAACCTATTTTGTTATTGATGAATAGAGAGAAAGAATTATTGAAATTTAACAATTAGAAGGGATATCATTAAAAATAATTAGATTATTAATATACTTATCAAACTAATGAAGAGAGATTAGAATATTGAATTTATATTTCTAACTGTTTTAAATTAACTGAAATAATAAATATTAAAAATGAATAACACATCATCTATACCATAACTCCCTTAAGCTTCTATTTATGAGCCAACAATATCGGTTTAGAAAATATAGCCACATTATCGATTTGATTCCAATAATATGCCTAAGATTCAATGTTATTATCATTAAGACAGTCCAAATAATTACATCAAATACTTTTGCAGACAACCAGAATGCTTAATGCCATTATGTGATAAGTGTGTTTAACAGCATTTGAATTAATACCACACTTAAACTTAAAGTAAATTTAAATTAAATATTCTTTAGGTAATATTGTACCTTTTGAAACCATACTCTCAGAAATCTATTAAAATTTAGCAGCTGATTGTAATGAAATGTGCGATCAAATCAATAAAATTTAGTCATTGTCAGAAAGAACAACTACTGATAAATTAGTTGGAAAGCAATCTTTATAAACAAATCCTATTAAATTGATAGAATCTGCAAGGGATCAAGTTATAGCTATTGTCAATAACTATTTTGAGACTTTGAAAACTTATCTTCTAACATAAATTGAAGAACCATTACCTGATATTAATGTAAAACCTGCCTTAAAGGACTTGAAGGTAAGATGGGAATAAAACATCAAAGATTTAGAATCCATCAATAATCCAGTAGCATCAATAGAAAAAGTAATTGAATACTGTGAAGAAGAATTAAGAAAAAAAAATGATACAATTTTGAATGATGCTGAAAAATTAATCAAACTATTAGAAACTTCTACACCATAATATAGATAATATGGAGTTGATATTCCTTAACTATTTGTCGATCCATCATTTCTACCTAGATTTTTATGGGTTCTGGAAAGATATGCTTTTTTTAATCGTCCTCCTTTGGAACCAGAAGTCTTACCTCCTCCGAGAATAGTTGAACCAATCCCTGTATATGATCTTCCACCTCCTCCTAGATATTATGATCCATATCCTCCTATGGAATAAGTTGTTTATAGAGATCCTATTGTTATTCGGGAGCCTGTATTTAGAGACAGCTTAATAAGAGAAAATGAATATCCATAAGATTTTGATGAGGATGCATATAGACAACGAAGATATAGAGGAAGATAATAATATAATTTTGATTACGATCTTGATAATGAGAATGACGCATTTAATATGAAGAGTGAAACAAAAGAAAAAAGGAAAAAATCAAAAGTTTAAGAATCTCCTAAACCAAGATACAAAATAACTGAGTAATATGAATCAAAAAAAAAAAATAAAACAAGCAAATCTAAAGGTCCAAAAGAAATAGTGATTAGTCATGCATAACCTTCATATATGAATGTTACAACAACCTAAATACCATAATAAACAGTTTATTAACCTTAACAAACAACATACTAAGTTCAACCTACTTATTAAGCTTTGTAAACTGCTAATATTTTATAAACCACGAATAATTAATTAGACTAGACTTAAAAAGCACCTTCTGGTATGACTAAATCAAAAATTACAAACTAAGCGTACAAAAATTTATGATTATTTCTAATATATTATAATATTCAACAAAATTATTTATTTATTTTATAACATCAATTCTATATTAAACACTTAATTGTATATTAACGCCTCATTTATAAAACAATAGATAAATTTAATCAATCCCTTAACAAAATATATTTATTAGTATACATAGAATTGATCTATAATATATAATCTATTTTTTTATTAATTATGGTGGGTTAATTATTTTACATAACCCAAATTGATTAGGCTTATTCTAATTTTAATTTTACTTTTTGATATGAAATAATCTCAAAATATTATTGTTCTTTGGTAAATTGCTTAAAAGAACAATTAAACACATGTAGGCTAATATTAAGGCCTAATTATTTTCAATATTTAAGAGCTATAAATTTATAATCAAAGTTTCATTATGATTTTAACTATAATTTTATAAATAGGATATATATATCAATTTAATAATTGATTTTTTAAATTCTCCATAAGTTAATTCATAATTTGGTAAAAGTTTTGCTTTATTTTCTTTTTGTATTATATACAGATAATTCTAATATAAATATTTGATTAATCAGATAAATCAGATTTGAAAATAAGAAAATAACAATTATCAACCTCTATATTAAATGATAGAACTACATATTTATTTCTTTAGAAGAGGTATTTTTGTTATTTTAATACATTTATATGAATTGAATTCATTTAGAAAATGAAATATAATATTCAAATATTATGTTATATGGTTTTAAATCTCTATGTATTATTATTCTATGGAGCAAATTATTTTATAATATATTATATAAACATTATAAATGTTCAAATTGCAGTTGGTTATTATTTATCAGTGTCATTTTCATAAGCAATTCTAATGGTTTTATTTGTTCTAGAGAAACAATTTGCTATTCTTTTAAGGATGAAATCAATTTTTGCTTCCCAATAACAAACCATATTGAAAAAGTAATGCGAAAAAATATATCCTCCTGGTACCTATGATATAGATTATAAATTACATCAATGGTATAATGGATCGCGAAGGAAATAACAATAAAGGCTTAAAAGATCGAACATATGAAAAAAAAAAGTGCCATATAACTTTTTCCTACTTTTCTCATTTCAAGAGCACAAATAGTTAAAAACCCAACATGTCCCTAAGAATATTTGAATGAATATACTGAATAAAAAAAATCTGAATATTTCCCATATTTTACAACTAAGCTTGGCACCAATGGATCTTCCCAGTAGTAGTTAGGCGAATACTCCAATTTGAATATGTTCAAGTGAATTGCCCTGATTGCATAGAATAGGATAAGAACTGCAAACAATCTAAAATTTCTTTCGTACAAAACCCAATAGAGTGACACATAAAAAAATGCGAAATCTAAAATAAGTGCGGAAGATATTTGCATCATTGCAGAGAACCTAAAAAAATTCAAAGTTATAATACCATCTATGTTCTTAATATAATTTATTGACTGGAGTAGTCAATAAATGTCCCCAATCCCATATACCATTAATGTCATCACTTGGAGTACCAAATATTTCCCCTAGCTGTGTAACAACAATATAAGTAAAGAAAATAAAAATTCTGAATCTAAAGTTATAACATGGATTTCCTGGAACAGCACTTTATCGATGATCAAATTTATCTGGGAAATAAAATGATTTCAAATCTTCACCATTATATAACACAGCATCATCAGTTTTCGTTGCCATATTAATTAAATTAAATAAATGTATTTATTTCATTTTTATTCATTTTTGTTCTTAAGTATCTTTAAAAAAGTAACTTGTTGAATATTTATCTCTCAAATGAGTTATCAATCTATAATAACTTATAACTATTTTTGTAAAAGTCTATTATATTTTATCATAAACTTCGTTTTCTTCTATCTTTTGATTAGTTTATTGATCATTTAGAATTTTATTGTATTTACAATTCATTTTAGAAGGTATTATCAAATTCTTTTTTATACTATCTTAAGTCTATTTGTTAGAGCTTAAATTTCATTAATAGACCCTAAATTTATTGGAGTTACTTTTCTATTTTAAATCATGTAATTTTCATTTAAACATATTGTTCTTTCCTCTAAAGTTTCATGATATTATTTCTCATATTCTTGTTGAACATAATGTAAATTTTAAATTTAATAATTTTATTATTTTAATAGATAAATAGATTTATATATCTATATTTTATTAGTTATAATAATTATCTGTAAATGATTAATTGTGAGTAAAATAAGTAAATTTTAATTATAACATTTATTTTATGTTAGAAATTCAATTGTTCTTTTTTGTTTTAGTTTTTTATTAAATTATTAATAAAATAAAATGAATATTTAATTGAGTGATATATTGACTGCTTATGAAGCAGAGCATTATATAGAGAGTCTTCAAATATTTGAGATTACTGAATTGGGATGTAAAAAGTAATAATATTTGAATAAGTAGGTGGTTTGCATAAGATGAAGTTTTATAAAAACTTAACTTCTAAGCGCATATAAATGCAATAACTAGATCTGATGAATTCATTATGGAAGCCTTCTGTACCTTTGATAAAATCAAACCATTAATTTATGATTTAATAATGACTGAAATGTGGAAGCAATATGTGTTTCCTTATTTGAAATCTCATTTTACAGAATTGTCATCAATTAGATCTTACACAGTATTATAACATGAAGCTATAGTCTGTAATTTGTTGCAAATTTGCTTATTTCACAGAACTTCGATTGAAGCATCAGAAGGTTATATTCTTGAAGTTGTGGATTATTGTAATAGAAAATTAACAGCTTTACTATAAAAGTACTGAATTGTAAAAAAGATTTAGGCCACCTGCAAAAAGAATTGAGAAAAAAAGCATTGAATATTATAAGAATAGAACGAAGGAAGATGAAATAGATGAACAATTTTAGAATGTAGAATTTTAAATTCAAATGATGTGTTTAAGCATCATTAGATTTATAACTGATCATATTAAGCATTTACCAATTAATATACTCCATCAAATAATTGTTGAAAATGACTTTTTCTTTTTACTAGTTCCTTTGATTGAAGAGAAACCTTGGTTAAGAATTAATCATAATAATGAAAGAGAAGTATTTGAATAATCAAAATGGATTACTTTAAATAAAGAAGATTATAGTAAATTACCTAAAATTGAAGCTTAATTGTGGATTACAATATATAATTTATTTATGGATCCTGAAAGTAGAAGGAAATATGAATTGAATGATTTTAAAAAGAGTAACTTATTAAGATTAAGAAAATTTATGAATGAATTATTATTAGATTAAATTCCATAACTTGTTGATATGTTGAGATCTTTGGAAGAGTTATCTCTTATGTAAGTATAGACTTAAAGTAAAAATACTATAGTAGTTCAATAATTGCCAGAATTAAGAATGGCAATATGCAAAGATAAGAATTGGAGTTCTATTGCTTAGAAATAGAAAGAAGAATATTTTTAAATTAATGATCCAAGTATAAAAGAAGGTATTATATATATTAATAATCTAAATAGATATTAAAAGAATGGCTGAACTCTATTCAAATACAGTATTTGAAGGTATTATTGATGGATTTAAATGTGAGAAATGCACAAAAGAAGCTACAAAGAGATGTTCTCGTTGCAAATAAGTATGGTATTGTAGCAAAGATTGTTAAGTTGGTGATTGGCCAAAACATAAATTGAATTGTTAGATAATCACAACATAAAAATAAGAGGATTCTAAATAAGTAGATAAATAATCAGATAAATTATTGGATCAAATTGATTGAGTATATTAATTTAATAAATGAATAACACTTAAAATATTAAAAATAAAAAATTTTAGTTGCAAAAAGAAATAGTACAATTCTTATACTTATTATTATTAGATTGAATAAAAGTTGAAATTTATATAACAAACATAAGAGCATATTAAATTAAATTTTAATAAAAGAAATATAATGTATTATTTAAAAATCCTAAACTCAAACCTTATAATAATAATAATCATAAAATTAATAATTTTTTGTATTTAAATAAATAATAAAATTTATTTAATATAGTATATAAAAATGTGGAAAAACAAATTAGCTGAAAAAGGAAATCGAAATTATGGAGTAATCGATTTCTCTTAATTTTAATCAGCTGCAGAGTGTGAAAAAAATAAAAAAACATTTGAACCTGCCTCCAGTGTTTACTCAATCAATGTTAAGGGGAACAACAAAAATGCATTTCCAAATATTAAATCAAAATCTCCTGATCTTTTAAAGATTCATTAATTTAATTCAGCAGCTATGAATATTAAGTCAAAATCTCCAAAAGCAAAAGCTATGAATATTAATTCATAAATCTTAAGTAAACAATTTGAAACTTTTATGAAATCAAAAAGAGAGTATAAATTATAATAAAATTAATAATTATGATGCTCAACATTTATACGTATACTTAAAAACTCATTATTATTTATTAGTGTTTTCATTTGGTTCTATTATTGTTTCTTATTCTGCTTATTTCTTTTTATATACTTTTTTTATTTTCTTTTCAACAGGTTTCTCCACTAACAATGGATCTTCTATTGATTTTAACATTGAAATAGAAGTTCTTGATCTTGAACTTCTCTTACGAATTGGATCATCCTTTCTTCTAACTGGTTTTCCTTTTTTCATAATTGGAGTAATAAATTATTATTTAGCCAATCTCTTAGTAAATAAAGCAACTTTATTTCTAATATTACCTGTTCCCTTTTTAAGAATAGTAACTTCTTTAAGATAAGGTGAATTTTATTTGACATTCATGAAAACATCAACACCACAATATCTGAATATAAATTTGAATGAAGCATCTAATGAGTTTGATCTTCTTTTTCCAACACATAAACCTTAGTAAGTATTCATAGTTGGTTCACTCATATTATGAATCCATTTTACTTGAATAACATCACCTACTCTAAAATCTGGAAATGTCATAGGCTTTAATTATTGAATAATAATAATACTTTGATTATTTATAGTCTTTCATATTCTTCTTTTTCTAATTATTATAACAACTTTTATCTAGATTGAATTGGAGATGGAGGAATAACTGGCCATATAGTTTATTCATCATCCCATTATGGTAATCTTGGTCTTCTTGATTTTGGATAAGGAATTTATCTGGGAATGTAATTCTCAATGTAATGAGTTTTATCAAAAGGTGACCTCTTTGGTACATAGCCATAAACTATGTTGAATCTAGGAATAGTATTCACTAGTGATCTGTAAAATCCAATCATATATTTATATTAAATTATATTTATGCAAAAAATTCAAAACTTTATAGAAAACAATAAAGCAGTTGTTGCTATTGCTGCTGTTGCTGCTGCTATAGGTATTGTTGGAATAAAAGTATTAAATTCAGAAAATAGAGGAAGTGGTAATAGTTTTTCTATTTATTAGCTAAGATCTTGGATGCAAGTATATAAAAAGTTCCTTTAATTGAAAGACTAGGTGGCGAGTAAGCAGTTTAACCAATGATATAAATATTATTCGATCGTATATCAAATAATAAGGAATTGAAGCCACTTTTTTAAAATGCTGATAAGAGTGTATATTAATTTAATATATTTTTTTAGAAAAATTCATAGCATTTTAATGCTGTAGTTTTGTATTTATTTGGAGGACAAGTAAAATCATAATAAAATTTTTAAAATCATTGCAAACTTAATATTACCGAAGCTTAATTTGAAATTATTCTAAATCTTTTAGATTAAGTTCTTCAAAATTTAGGAGTAGACAATAGAGAAATCAATGATGCAAGAGAAGCATTTTTAACCATGAAATAATAAATTGTTAGTCCAAATAAAAGTGGTTGATAAATTTTAAAATCAATATATAATACAATATATTCAATTAATTACAAAATTAAATAATAAATTGCAACTCATCACTCATCTGAATGATAAAAAATTTTATATATTGAGGATAGTATCAAATTAAATTTATGAGTGTCTCAAAATTTTTGATTAATTATAGAATTATATAAACAATATTTATATAATAATTAAAATCTTAATAAATATTGAAATTTGAAATCATTAATATCATACAAAATTTTAAGGTGTTTGTATTATTAAGCATTTTATATCATAAGGAGAATATTAAAAATACTATCAGAAAATAGTCAAATCAATAGAAAATACAGATTTGAAATAATTAATTAATTAGTAATTTCTACAAGATAGAGGTACTCATAATATCAAATAGTTTTATTAGATAACTTTGTTATAATTATCTTTTATTTTACACAAATAAATATAATCTTGAGAATTAAACTATCATATTAACAAATTAATTAAAAATTAATAATTAAAATCAATGTTAAATTGATGAAGATTAAGAATCCTTGAATTTTTATAAAATTCTATAATTTATATCAGAAATCTGAACACTACTTTCAGAGTCAAAAATTTTAAATCTTAATATCCTCAGTTTAATAGAGGGCTAAGAATAATAAAAAGATAATTAATTTTAAATTAAATGAAATCTTAAAAGTGGACTGAATTCCTAGAAGAATTAGGAGAATCTAAAGACTAAGAAATAAATATAGAACTTCTAAAGTCAATTGTAAAGTTCCCTAATGAAAAAATGACATTTTTAGAATTAGAACATTATTTAAGCAATGAATTTTAGGTTCATTTTAACAAAGATAGTAATCGAAGTAAATGGCATAAAAAGGATAAATACTTACTTATATGGTGCATTGTTAAATTAGCAGAGAAGAGAAACATAAAATTCAATGAATTGGTATTTATGAAGCCTAAGTATGCACTTTAGCATCGAAAGGGAGTCTTCTAATATTTTTCAACTGTTCTCGATCTTCCTACACAATTTCTTATCAAAAAATGGATGAGTCTATTAAAATAAAGTTTGAAAGACATACCTTGGACTTAAGAGGAAGACAAAATATTGATTGAATTAAGAAAGTATTTGTAAATATCTATAAAGTAAATATCCAAATAATGATTGGACTATAATAGCAGAAGAGTTTATTTATTTAGCACCAAATTTAAGATATTAAAAGTAGATACGTGAAAGGTATAATAATGTGATAAATCCAAAAATCAATAAGTAAATCTAATTTATATTCTAAGAAAGCCATTTACTCATCAAGAGAAATAGACACTAATGCTTAAAGCTTAATAATTGAAGAAAAATTGGTCTAGTATCTCGAAATTAATGCCGGGAAGGACTGATAATAAAATTAAAAATTGTTATAACTCGATTGTGAAAAAAATTGCAAAAAAAATACATTTGGTATATTTAAAATATATCTTAGGATAAAAGTGATCCTAAATAAGAGTAGTAAATATTAAAGTATATCTAAAAATATAATACCTATGATCCTGATGAATTAGCAAATCAGATAGAAAAAATTGAAACAAATATCAGTCCTATCAAAGTTGAACATATAAATGATAACTCCAATACATCAAACCATCAGAATCATATATCTCCGATTCTCCCAAGTTTCTAACCATTACCATTTATCTATGCCTAATACTATTAGAACTATTATTATCCTCCAAATATCAATTATCCATTGATATATTTTCATGGAAATGAAGCAAAAAAATTTTGATCTATTAAATTAAGTTATTTAAATTTGACACTTATTTAATTATAATTGATTTCTTAATTATCTGTTAGGAGAAGAATTCCTTATAAAAACTTATTTTTTTTCAAACCTTATACAAATATCTATTGAGACAGTTTTATATTTACAATACACTTAAATTTATTCATTCTATAGCGATTTTTATAATGAATCCTTTAAAAAATTCAGTACTCATAAGTTAATTATTACATTTATTTAAAAAGTATTTTATTAGTAATTTTTATGCCAAATGAATTTTAATCTGTTATAATATTAATACTATGTATTTACTCATTATCTAAATTTTACCATTTTTAATAAATCTGATATATTTTTTTTTTGATATTGTCTAATTCAAATATTTGAAAAATTTCATTCTATTTCTAAAAACCTTTAGAATATAATTTAATCTGAGAGAATCTATTATTTTTATATTTAATTCATGTTGTATAGATATCTAAAATTCCAACCAAGAGAACTTTAAAGGAAAATTTTAGATAACCTTATGTTTTGGTTATTTTTATTTTGACTTATGAATCTAATTTTAATGCTTATCTAATATAATTACAGCTTGGTTTAAGGACAAATGAATAGTTAAAGAACTATAACCATTAAATAATGTGATTAAATGGTGTTTAATTATTAATTACTTATATAATTCAACAAAATTTCTACAATAATATTATGTGATATATAAATTTTCATTCAAACATTAATTTTTTCCATTCTTTTTTCTTCATATAAAGAGATGCTGCACCAACATGACCTCCTCCTCCAAAAGATTCTGCAAGAACATCACATCTAAATCTATTTAATAGAACTCCATTTTCATCATGATGAGCTGATCTCAAATGAATTTTATATTAAGTAGAATTACTTTTATCATCATGATAAACAGCACCTAAATTTTGATCACCTGATCTCATTGCTAAAATACCCAATGCATTGCCTAAAGGATTCATTATGCTTAAATCATCACAATAGAGCGCATAACCTACTGCATCTTTACCAAATACTACTGTTTTACGATTCTTAACTAAATTTTCCACTTTTTTATTTCTTTAGACTGCTAATTGTTTTCCTTCCTTAACTAAGAAATCAAAATCGAATTCTAATAATTTATAAAAGATTGCTGGATTTTATCTAACATCAAATTACAATCTTCTTCTCATAATCGCCATCTAAAGAGGTTCAGTTTCAGGATATTATAACACAAATAAATCATTATCTGAAATATATTTTGTAAATAATGTAAATTTGGTACCAATATTAGGAGGTAGTAATGATGTATATTTAGTTTAAAATATTTATTCATGAAAGTCTTGTACTAATAGACATGCTGCTTTATCTATACTTACTAACATAAATAGATTGTCAATTCCTGATACTTTATTTAACACTTAATATTTTTCTATTTTAAAATCTGGTATTGCATTAACACATGTTTAATGATGATCAATTACAATTACATATTAAAATCTTTTTGTTAACAATAACAAATTATCCCATGTTCTTCCAAAATAGTCAACAATTATCAAAATTGATGATTTAGAATCATCATTTAAAAATTTTATTATTTTCTATACTTCATTAGAATCTTCACTTAATCTAATAGGCATATAACATAGATCTTAAATAGTTGGATAAAAAAAGCCCATATTTTGATTTTCTATTGGTTCATCTTGATAAATGATTTCTTGTTTATATTCTTAAGGTTTTTAGATTTCTTTTGATATTTTAGAGAGTTCTGATTTAAGTAATTCTAGATATTATTAAATGGTCCAGTTATCTTTTCTTATTTTAACAAGAATAGGTAATACAAGTCCTGTTAAAGAGTAAATTCCATCTAAACACGGGTCATGATATATAACATATAGTTTGCTTTAGGGTTCTTTATTTTACATAATTAAATAATGAAATTTATTTGAAGGATTCCTCTTTGAAATTGATTTTGGCAAGGTATTATTTGTTAAATTATTAAATTAATGGAATCGAAACTTAATGAATTTGAAATTTTGAATAAATTAGGTGAGGGTAGTTTTGGATAAGTATATAAAGTAAGACGTAAAGCTGATAAGTAAACTTATGTAATGAAATAAATCAACATATCAAAAATGAATGATAGAATGAAAAATGAAGCTTTAAATGAAGCAAGTATCTTAGCTAAATTAGACAGTTCATATATTGTCAAATATTATGAATCTTTTATAGATAAGTAATTGTTATGTATAGTAATGGAATTTTGTGAAGGAGGAGATTTACATAAACTATTAAAAATGCAAATGGGAAGACCGTTGCCAGAAAATTAAGTATGGAGATTTTTCATCCAAATAACATTAGGATTGGCATTCCTTCATAAAAATAAAGTTCTACATAGAGATATTAAGTCAATGAATATATTTCTTTCCAAAGATTAAGTTCGTATTGGAGACCTTGGAGTAGCTAAACTGTTAAATGACCAAAACAACTTTGCAAGAACTATGGTAGGAACTCCTTATTACTTATCACCTGAAATGTGTGAGGAGAAACCTTACAATGAGAAAAGCGATATTTGGGCTTTAGGTTGTGTGATATATGAACTATGCACTTTTAAACATCCATTTGAAGCCAATAGTCAAGGAGCACTTGTACTCAAAATAATAAGAGGGAGGTATGAACCAATAGGATAAATGTATTCTTCAGCTTTAGCATAATTGATTGATTAATGTTTGTAAAAAGATTACAGGTAAAGACCTGATGCATTCTAATTATTACAATAATCAAGTAATTATAAATATCACATTAGACAGGTCTGATTTAATAAGCATAAAACTTGAGAATGCAATTAAATTTAAATTAACCTCATCCTAATTCAAAATAGATCTCATAAATTTAACCCAATTAAACTCCTATTATTAGCAAACCTAAAGAAATTCAACAACCCTTAGCTACACCTGTTCCTGTATCTATTAAAAGTACTCCTTAAGGAAAACCATTGAAAGCTAAAGTTTAATCATCCTAAAATTTGTAATTAGAAGTAAAAGGTAAACAGGAACCTGTTAGAGATACTCCAATAGTTTAAAAGAAAATAGTATAAGTTCCACCTCCATCTGCTCCTAATCAAGTTCAAAATTAAAAAATGGATGATTTTTATAAGGATTGGAGAGATAAGGTTTCTGAATTGCAAAAATAAAAATAAGATGATCGAATAATAGTTTCTCGACCTGAATTATTAAATGCTGAATTTCAACCTATTAAAATTCCTATAATTTCATCTTAATCAAATAATAATCAACCTAATTAGTAATAAAACATTTTCTCAAATTAGCAAGTATAACCTACAAAGAAACCAGTTTTTTAAGTAAAAGCAAAGGTTTCAAATCCTAATATAGAAGAAAATGATAAAAAGAGAATTAGAAAAGGAGCCCCAAAAGAACCTGCAAGGTAAGTTAAAGAACCTTTAAGAAAGGCTGATAAGATTGATTTAATAAAAGAAACACCTAAATAAACTAATAATAAAAGCACAAAATAATAAACGTGCTCATAAGAAGAAGTTGATATGGTATTGAATTTACCTGATTTTGTTGCTAAAGAAGAAAGTAACATGAAAGTGATTTAACCAGAAAGAGAAATCATAGATATAACTTCATTTGCTGATGAGATTCCTACAACTATTGTTGAATATCAAAGTGATATGGAATCGAATCATTATGTTTAAGTACAATTTAAATCTGATTCAAATTCAGTTGATAAATAGGATAATGAAAATAATAATAAATATTAATAAGATTCAGATAAAGGAGTAATTATGATTATTTAAATTTATAGGCATATACAGACCCTGAGGATTGTGATAATGAAAATGATGAAGAAGGAAGAGATGATACTGCAGATTATGGAGATGAATTGCCAATTTAAAATAAAAATATCCATACAATATAAGAAGAAGCTTTTGAAGATACAAGTTAATGCCATCAATTTATTGAATTATGTATAGATAATAAGAAAATGGATCTGAATAAGTAATTATTGGAAGCAGAATAAAGAAAAATGGAGTTAGAGTAATTCTTATAAATCAAACGAAAAGAATGCATTTAAGATTTAGGATAAAGATTATTTGAAGAAGTTATCAATTTCTTAAGGACAAAATTAAATGTAAATTAAAAATAATAAGTTATTAGTCTTAAGAAGAATTGAATGATAAAGATTAAGAAGAAATAGATGATTTAATTCAAAATAAATTACTTAATACAAAGAATCCTTAAATTATTTATGTAATCTACAAAATTCTACATTTTGAAATAGAAATTACAAAGAGTATTGATAAAATTAAGGATTTATCTGAATAATTAATTAAATTATGATAATCATTAAAAAAGGATAATTATTTTATTTATCATAAATAATCATGCATATGTTGATCAAAATTAATTATTTTATTTATCCTAAGGAGACTCTTCAAAATAATTAAAATCAATAAATAAAGCAGCAGACAATAACAATGCTTTTTATCTACTTGATGATTAAGGTGGAAATAAAAGTCTAAAATTAGTAGCATCAACATCACATAATGCATTACAAAATCCTGCAGATTCTTTCCAAAGTTCAGAAATTTTCTAAATCATATTCACATATACTTACTTATCCTTAAGAGTCTATAATATCAAATCTAGCTCTTTAACATGTTTCACAAGGTAGATTTACTAAAAATGGCCATTAACAACAACTTCCTCTTATTTAATAAACTATTTGATCATTCTCATCTAAAATATCAACACCTTTATCACAACACATAAATGGATAATAAATGGATCCTATCTTTCCACCATTCTCCAATTAAACTTCCATCACAGGTCTAATCAATTATAATATTATATTCATTTACCTCCCAAAACAAAGAAATGTACATTTATATTCCCTACTCATTCTAAATACTGTATTAGTATCTTATCTTTCATTATATTATTTAACTTTTAAATCAAATCCTCTACATGCTCCAGGAAGACAATTCCTTTGCCAACAACTGCTCTCTTCCTTGCATTTGAAAATGGGAGCCTATTGTTTAAAATCTGGTTTATTTCCCATTGAGTCAGATTAATACACAAAATAAGCATTTTTTTTTTCACACAATCCTAATGTTTCTAAATAATCAGGACGTTATTTTATAAAGACACTTGGGCATCTTGATAATGCATCCAAGCCAGAATTGAAACCAGCCTAAATGTATTTAATAATATTACATCCATTTACATTGGAGATACATAGTTTTGTTAAGGAAAATAATTAGCTTAAGGGTAATGATACTACATTATTTTCTAACTTATTAATATAAATTAATAAAATATTCAATTTATTTGGACTAATTCAAAAAAATAAATAAATAAATATTTTAATATTTAAATCAAGCTTTGAATGATTTAGAAAAGCTTCACTAATTCCTTGTTTATAAAAAAAAATTAAAATAAAATATTAAAAATGAGAGATAGTTGGTATATGCTTATAAGCATATGATGATTTTATTAATCAACTTATAAAAAAATCAAAAAGTTAATTAATAAATTTGAAAAATCACCCAGACATAAATTGAATATAGCAATAAACTATGATAAAATATCATTTAAATTAAGAACTTCATAACATTATTAGTAAACAATAACAAATGTAAAAATTTTTTACCAAATAAATTACTTTGTTAATTAAAAAATCAATTATAAAATTAATCAAAAGAGGGATTGAATTATGAAAATTATTCTTTAAATTAAACTCTAGCTTATAGGATTATTTTAGTTCTTATCTTTTAGATTTTTAAAAAACCCAAATAAGCTGAAGTAATCTCATCATTTAAATCTTCAAATATTTAATCTAAATCACAATCTTTCTTAATTAATGAATGATATCTTTATGTAAAAATTCTTAAAGGTTCTACTTAAGATTGAGATTCTAGAGGTTTTATTAAACCATAAGTATCTTTTTCAATTTATTTGCGAATTTCTATTATAAAATCTTTATTTTTTGTTAAAAGAAATTCCAAGATGTTTACATCACAAATATCAGTAATTTAAGATTTTAGTTATTTTAAATATTCTCCATTAATTTAAATTTATTGAAGTGAATCTTAAGCGAATTCTTCAATCCGATTAATTTAATTTCTTGTTGCTATTTAAACTCTGATATCCATTTCATAAAGCAAAGATTTATATGTAGCTTCATTCAGCGACTCCTAAATAGTTCTTATCCAATAATTAAAATCAGTTTCTTTTAGTGCTTAGAAAAAGTATAATTTCCTTTCGTTTTCAATTTAGAAATCAAATTTGGTATTATTCTACCAAGTATAGAGTCTAACATTATCTAAACAGCTCAATTTAATTTTCTCTAAATAGTCTTAGTATTTTTACCTTTTTTGTCATTTTTAAATCCAAAATATGTTTAAGATAAATACACTTATGTTGCTATATAAATACCTAATTTATTCTTTTTCAACAGTTTACCATAGGCTTTAAAATTATCATCTTTATTAATATAATATATATACCAAAATATTTAGGATACTTTTACCCTTATATCTGTTATTTTTTCTAAAAATCACATATAACAAATTTGCTATTATTATTATGTAAAACATCTTCTACTTTTTCATAATTCCATAGTCTTCTTTATACAGAATAATGGATCAAAACAAGATGTAAATTTTATTTATCATCATCTCCATGAATGAATTTCAAAATATCACTAATTAACATATTTTATTTGATTTCAATTGTTATTTTACTAGTAAAGCTAGTATCTACATAGATTGGGACAGAACGATTTTCAGATGTTTGTTTAGGTTTAGACGGAATCAATAAAGTGAATATGCCTTAATTCATACAATAATAAATATCTCTAATTTATAATAATAGTTAGTTATCAATAATAATTATTGTAAATGCAACTACATCTATTTTTTATACTAAGTATATCAATTATTCTTTTAAGATATCAGATTGTATAATATTATTAGTAATATATTTATATTGAACTATTTAGAATTGTATTATGATTAATGCATACATTTATTTTTGAATAATAAATTAATTATTTATAGAATATATGTTTTAAGTCTTTTACATAATTTTATTGTTTACTTTAAAACTTACGTACAAATTTATTAAAAATATATAAATATATTTATTATTAACGGATACTTTGGAAGCAGAAATGTTGAACCAAAAAACCATACAAATGATTCCATAAAATTGCAATATGTTAGTTAAAGTTCTATCATTTATTAATAATGAAGAAGGTATTAATTTAAACAAATATAATAGAAGAATAATCTGAATAGGAAATGGATAAGAAACATAAAGGTAAATTATTGTCAATAATCTTCAGTATTTGAAATCCTAAGAACCAGTATGTAATTATAAGAAGTTGAAGATGAAGAAAATGATTATGAATCTGATTATATTCCTGTTCCTTGTTAAGAAGCTTGTCTCTCTTAATAAAGTACACAAAAATCTTAGCAATCTCAATATTTAAGATCACCTTTATAAACATTTACTCAGCATTTTTAAAATTAAAATAAAGGATTTGGAGGAAGATTATTTACTCTTACTGATGAAACAGAATATACAGTTGATGATCGTAAACCTACTCATACAAGAGGACCAAGTAAAATACAAGAAATTTTGTAAGATTTATAAGCAAATGTTGCTGATGATATTATGAAAATGGCAAATGATATCATTAAATTTACTGAAAATAGTTCAAATACAAATGGAAGTGCTTAATTTATTCCTAGTGATTAAAAATAAAAAAGACAGTTAAGTGAATAAAAAATTAATTAGCAACCAAGAGATCCTAAAGCTGATAATCTAAAGGATGGATTCAAATTATTTAATAAATAAAATAGTTAAAAATAACTTTAATCTTAAAATTATGTTAATAAATAAAGTTAAAAATCTAATAGTGAAAATGAACCTATGAAATATTAATAGTAATTACCTAAAGCAAATAATTAGACTAATACATTCAATTATAATTCAAACAATACTAATTATAATTCTAATTATAATACTAATTCATCTATATAAAAAAATTAATAAAAATCATAAAGAAATTCAGAAGAATATATTAAAAATAACACAAAATAGAATAGTAATTCAAAATCATCCAATCAAATTTAAAATCCAAGAACTAGTTAGTAATAATTTAATTAGAATATTTAATAAAATTTAAATTAATAATATTCATCAAATAAAGATGAGTATAATAATTAATAATAAATATATTCCAGTAATCGAAACTCAAATAATAATAGTAATAGAGATTCTGTTTTTAGTAAAAAAAGTAAATAACATGAAATAGATGAATTTGATGATAATTTTCATGTAGATTATGATAGTTTCAAAAATAATCCAAATTACAATCAAATTAGTTAAAATTTCTATGATATTGTTTAGAAATAGTTCAACTTTTCTCAAAATTCTGATGATGAATATTAAGATTAATAATCTATTGAAAATTAAACGCCTAATTTAAATATTAGTAAGAAACTAGAAAAAGATAATTTAAGTATTAATAATAGTGGAACCATTAATTAATAGAGTGATAAAAAATCATATCAAGAATTTTGTGAACCTTGTTAAAAAACATAGGAGAGTGAAAAAAAGTAAAGTAATTCAGTTTAGAAAAAAAAAGTTAAAAGAAGAAAAAGATCTAGAATACCAAAAAATCTGAAATATTTTTTAGATATCATAGAGGAACAATCAAATGATTATTATACTCCAGATAAATCTTTATTAGAATCAAGTGAATGCCTTGATACAATATAATCTGTACCTAATTTTGGAGAGAGTGAACATCAAAATATGAATTATAGATCTGATCGAAAAAACTTTACAATTAGTGAAGGTAATAAAATATAAATGAGAACTCCAAACACTCAAGGTATCAAGGAAGAATTATAATCATCAGATTCATATGATCGTCCAAATAGCACTTTAATAAATTAAACTTTAGTGAATTTTGAGGATATTGATTAAATCTTGAATTAAGTGTAAGGATATAAGACTTTTCGATAAAAAAATTAAGAAGAAGAAGCAATTCTTGCCTCTTGGAATAGAGTATGCAATGAAATAATAAGAAAAAATTTACTTCCAGTTACTTTGAATCTAGAGAGAGTATTTTATATTAATATATTTTTAGATTTAAAATTAATTGGAAATTTAACAATAAAATTAGTATTGTTAAAAAAGATATCAACTTTTTAATGTTTTAAATAGAAATTATTTAAATCATACTCAAAAGACAGAATAAAATTCTTTTGTAGAAAATTCTTGTTTCATTGGAAGTGATTAATAACAGTTGGATAAAATAGAAGCAGAAATTCAAGTAGATGATAATGATGATACAGCAATTGGATTACTAAATAAATAATTCAGTCCCAATTTTAGTGATGTTTGCAAAAGAATTTAATTCACTTCTGCTCCAGAAGAACCTAAAATACTTTAAGGAAAGGGACTGAATAATAAAGATATGCCAAATGTCTAAATGTACAATAATAATTATGAATAATAATTGAATTATTAATTTTGAGTAATTAACTTAAATATATATATATTCTTAGAATTGGATATCAATAAAATAAGATGGAAATATTAATTACAAATTCCTTATAAAGATATAATAATAGTATAGATTTGTAATGATGTCTTATGATATTTATTATAATATTTCATATTTTATCAACCAATCAATCGAAAGTAGTTTCTCCATTAGCTGACTAATTGCATTAATAAAGATAATTACTTTCAATCTTAATGCATTGAAATAATATCTAGCTGCTGCATAGACTCCAATCAATGTATTTAATCCAACGTACTTCATTCTTACTCCAAATGAATGACTGTAATTGTGGTTGTTTTGGATCAAGAAATATGCTTAAGTATAGATCTACTTTCTCATTGAATATAAATTAATTAAATTATTAAAAATATTTAGATGATAAAAATATTATGATTTCTAAGTCTTTATATTAAATTAAATGATTTTCATTGTTATTCATTAATGATTGGGTTGTCATTCTTATTTTCATTAATCTATTCTTATTCATTCTATTAATCATTAATTTAAAACTTAAAGGAAATAAAAGGTTTTTTAGGTGACTATAATTAATGTTTAAAAGAATTATCAGCATTCTAAGTTTCTTGAATCATCAATTCTATTAACTTTTGATTGATTTTTAAAGAGCAATCACTCTAAAATTCTGCTGGAATATCATCTTTAACTAAAGCATAAGCCTATTTAATTAAAATATATATTACATTCATAAGCATATATGAAATTTAATCTTGTTCTTTGATATCTAAATTATTTTATCTTTTTAATCTACTTTTTATTTTTGAATCATGTATCAATAAACGAGAAGGAACTCTACTATTGCTTTGGACAGATATCTATGGTTTTGGTGTAAAATTAAATAAGATCATTTATTATTCATTGAATAGTAATTTCTTAATTTTACTTATTTCTTGAATTCTATATAAAATACTATGTAGATCTAAATCTTAATTCATTCTATTAATAGCTTTTTCTAGAAGTATTGCATTTCTATCTTTAAACATGAAACCGCATGTAAGTTTGTTTAGAAATAATTTGAATGAAAATCTGATAGGATTAGATTCATATAATATTTTATCGATAGCACTTTTGATATTAGTTGTACTAGGAGACAAGAATGTATCATTTTTAATATCTAAAATAGCATCTGGTTCTGGAGAATTCAATTAATCTTCAATATATTTAGATCTAACAGTATCTTATGGCATACTCCCTGTCATTTAAGGAGGAGAAGGTTATTCAACTCTTTTTAATTTGATTTCTTTAAAATCATACAATTTATTAGACAATTCAATTAACACTAAATGATAAGAAATACTCTACTTAATTATCTATTGCAAAACACTATGAATATTCCAAATAACAATCTCATTATTTATACTACACCTCCAAGATAAGACAACAATTCACCTAATTTTTAAAACTTTCTAGATATTATTTAAGTGAATTAACTTCTTCTTAAATAAATTATTGCATATTAATCATCCGTATCTCTTCCTAATTCTGTCAAATCACGAAAATCCTCATTTTTTCTCACAATCACTGCTGTTTCTGTTTAGTCCCTTAATTATACATATAATTTGTACTAATAAGGTAAAAGACTATTATCATTAATAATTTTAGATTCTCTAAAATAAATATTAGCTTATCTAGAGAGTTTTTTTGGAACAAAAGTAAAATACATATCACTATCAAGAAATTAAGTTAAATAATTATCAGGTTTGTTTTAATTAATTATTGTATTGGTCTAGTATAATTATAATTTAAATTATCCTTCTTTAGTTAAATATTTTTATTTGACTTCTTCATTTGCACAAATTGGGTTCCAAGTTTAATTTTGTATATTTGAATTTTAACATTCCTTAACAACAAGTTTAATAAATTAGAATTGATCACTTGAATAAGTTCCTTTCAGTAGGATTTTGAAATCATCTCTAAGATAATTTTAATTTTTACTTTGGGCATAACCAATATTTTAATCCTAAAGTATTGAATTATTCTGTAAAATTAATTCCGTGTTTTGAAAATACTTTATCAAATTAATCAAATCTACACTCTTAAAGTTAAATATATTTTATTGTCTTTTTTAATACTCCATTAGTATCTCTATCATATTATCTTAATTAAGTAAATCAGTTACCTTTACTCAATTGAAATATTAAAGAAAGGATTCAAAGAATAATTTGTTTATTCTATGGAGACAGCTAACATATAATTATCTGAATTAAGTTCAAGCATTTAAGGATCATTTGAAATTAAGGTTTCATCATCTGTAAATACTTAAGTTTTAGCAAAAAAATCCAATATATTAGAAAAGAAGAATAAAATAACTACAACAATAATAACCAAAGATGAAATTCCACCGAATTCTGTTGTGTACTAAGCTTCCTGATTCATATTTAATGTAATGTTTTATCCAAATATATCAATTTTATGCAAACCTAGGCTTCATAATTTTCATACTTCTTCGTAATATACGCAACATATTAAATTAATTTATATCACTATGCAAAACTACCAATCATTAATAAGACATTTAATTCTAACTTTTTTTTTATTTAATACTAGAAAAGCGACAGTTTTTCTATTCATTCAATCAACCAGGTAAAAAATTAACTATATAACATTTAGAATTAAATACAAACTTTTTATTATCTATAAGTATGATTAAACTTATAATTTTTGCTTTCTTGATGCATTAATGTTTGACTGTAGATATTGATCCAAATACATTCAGTAATTATTTGGATGTTAGAATGAATCACTTACATGTAGAGTGGTTATTAAATCTAGATAAAAAAATTGTTAATGGCACAGCACAAATTTCATTCAAGTTTCTTAAACATACCAATTATGTATGATATTACTATTGAATCTAGATTGATTTAGATGTATATCAATTGGATATCTTAAATGTATATTTAGTCAATGGAAATTCTCTCAAACATGAAATCCAAGTCGTCAAAGAATAATCTTTAATTCAAGGTGATAGATTGCATATCATATTGGATAGAGATTACAACCCTTTAGAAAACATAATAATAAGAATTAAATATGCATATGATGAAAGAGCTAGAGCTGTTGGTTTCCTTACTAAAGAATAAACTTACAGCAAGAAAGTACCATACATGTTTACTCAATGTGAAAGTAACAATTGCCGTTCAATCATTCCTTTATAAGATACTCCAAGTGTCAAATTTACTTATACATCAACAGTGATTAGCACTAATCCTTTAATTAAAGCATTTATGACAGGAGAATAAATTGCATCATTGCCTTTAATTGGACAATACGGATTAGAATCCACATTTTATTCATATTCATTTTAATTAAACATTCCTATCCCAGCATATTTGATAGGTATAGTAGCAGGAGAAATTGAATAAAAACATATTGGAGCTAATTGTTATGTAATTTCTGAACCCTTTTATTTGGATGACTATGCAAAAGAATTAGATGAATTACCATTTTTTATTGAAAAAATGACTGAATACATAGGTCCTTATATTTGGGGAGATTATAAAATAGTAATATTACCTTAATCATTTCCATTTGGTGGAATGGAACATCCGTTATTAACTTTTGCAAGTCCTGTCATTATTGTAGGAGATAAAAGTGGAGTTGGAACTGCTGTTCATGAAATAGCTCATTCTTGGATGGGAAATACAGTCACAGGAAATAATTGGTCTAATATGTGGATTATGGAAGGATTTTGTGTCTTTTTAGAAAGGAAAACATATAAATATGTGAGACCTTAAGATTATGACATAATTGAAGCCATAAATGGAAACTTTAATTTAATATCAGCTATTTAAGGTTTCACTGATCCAGATCAAAAATCTTATTAAACATTACATCCTATCACTAGTTGGAAGAACCCTGATGATTCGACTTCTTCGGTACCTTATGAAAGAGGATATCAATTATTATATTACTTAGAATAATTAATTGGTGAAGAAAACTTCAAATTTATGTTAAGATAATATTTAGAACATTTTAAATTTTAGAGTATTGACGAAGATGATTTCTATAAATTTTTATTAGATTGGGTTAGATCAAATGTAAAAGTTAATACATAAAAAATAATTGATGATATTATTGCTATTTACAAACCCTGGGTATATTAAGAAGGTAATTATTTTTATTAATGATTTAGGATTGCCTCCCAAACCTATTGATTTCAAAACTCCAAAGTATGATGAAGCAGTAGCTCTGGCAAATAAGTGGATTACTCAAGGTTAACCATAAAATGCAGATGACTACATTAATTACATGCCAAATCAAAAAATGATCTTCATGCAATAATTTCTAGATAATTATTCAAAATTAACTCATCAAAGATTAAAAGAATTAGATGATTATTATAAATTATCAGGAACAAAATCAGGTCCTAAAATAGCCTTTAAATGGTATAAGACTGTTATTCTTTGTAAATATGATACTGGGCTTGAAGCTGTTCATGCATTTTTATAAAGTTTGGGAGTGAGATCCTATGTTGTTGGTACATATGAAGTATTAATTCCAAATTATCCGTAAATAATAAATTTATTATAGAAATTAAGCCGAAGCCTGGTTTGCATAAGATAAATGGTTATATCATCCATTGGTTGCAAATAGAGTTGAGGATATGCTCAAAAAAAAAATAAAAAGAGCTTAGATCACATAATGACAAATATATCAACACAATAAATATCCTATTTAAATTTATTTCATTATGTTTAATTCAAATATTACTTAAAATATTGGATAGACATCATCATTTAATCTATTTTTAAGATAAAAACTAAAATATATTGATTTGAAATAATATTCTTAAAATTATCCATAAAATAGAAAAGCTGATATAAAATGATATAAATATTGAGATTGATTAACAATTACAATTATTAATATGCTATTTAATTAGTATTTTTAAACAAAGAATTCAATTTAATGTATATATATAAATTCAACTCTGTTGTCTTTGAGGATGGCAAAAGAAACATTAAACATTTTCATTTATACCATCATCAAAATCTACTCCTGGAAATTGTCGTTTTTTCTCTAACATATCAGTTTTCATTAACTCAAAAAATTGATCAAATGTTAATGTTTCTCTATCCCCAATCTTATTATTTAACTATGGTGCATCATATGAGTCTCTGTAAAGTTTTCGAAGTGTTCCTGTCTATATTAAGCCATCCTAACATTTTGAATTTTTTGATAAATACTTTTGGATCCAAAGAATCAAAAACATTTTTTATTCCTTCAACTTCTTTTATAGATAAACCTGAATTGTGTTAATAATGTTGAGCGTTAAATTCATTTTAAGATGTGCTGTTACCCATTCAAATTATTAATATTAAAAATAATATAAACTAATTTATTGCATTTTTAAAGTTTGAAACATTTGAATCAATATTTTATGATTATCTTGTATATCTTATTATCTTATCTATTTTAATATATTATTCATTTCTTATCACTTCAATGTTATTTAGCTACTTTTCTTTTCATTAACAAAAAAGAGCAGAATTTTTTTATTCTAAAATTTTTTTTATATTTTATCCATTTATTGTGCATTTTTTATAAATTTTCTAATGTAATTGTTAATTATATTTCATTTTTACTAATATATAAATATTATACAATAGATTTTAAATAAAGTAAAAATAAGAAATTTGTTTACTTAACATGATTAAATAGATCTAGTAAATAAATTTATTTTATTCTTATATTAAATATAGTAAATCAATAAATATAACTGATAATTATAATAAAAATTACTTTATTGCACAGTTATATAATTAAAAATAATAAAATTCTTTAGGGAAAAGAAAATTAATTTATTAAACAATATTTTTTCTATATTAATTAATATAAAAATTATCTTCTCAAATAATAACATTTAAATTTATATATTATTAAAATATATTAGATACATATTTGAACCAAATTAAATAAATATAATTATCTTTTTATCAAAGTTTTTAAAATTCAATAGGATGTTGAATTAAAAAATATTTCAGGATCACAATCCTAATCTGCTGAGCTAGTTTCAGCAGAATATTATTCAGATTATATATTAATTTACATGATATTTCTAATACTTTCAATCATTTAATAAAGCATAAATCTGTATTTTTATATCGAAAATAAGAATAATTTTTTCAGTTATTCTAAAAAATTCACAGTTACTTAAAAAAATTGAATTGATACTATATTTTTCTTAATCAATAAAATAAAGAAGTTTTAAACCAATTATGGAACTTCAGATAATTATCCAGTTATAGACTTAGAAATCAAATAATCCCCAATTTCTTAATTTGAAATATTATTTTCAAATTATTCCATTATAATGTGCAATTCTTCATAAAAGTTTTAATTGAATAAAAATTTAATATTCTTTAACATAGCAGTCCATTATTGATTTTTGAGAGTTAATTTTTTATAATCTAATTTGAGGTGAGTATTATTCCTAAAAAAATATACAACATTCCTTTTAGAACAATTCCATTCAAATAAATATTTAGCTGCAATTTCTATTTTATCAAATAATTCTTTTTAATCCAATAAGTTTTGAATTTTTTACTCTTTTTCAATTGAATTTACTTAATTCTTATTTAAATCCTTATTTAAAACTGCTTGGTGTAAACAAACATGTCTTCCATATTTGACCAAAAAGGAAATTAATTGAACTTCTTCTTTTTTAATAGACCAAATATCTGGAGGATCTAAATTAATTCTCAACAATCCAATAGGTTTTCCAACATTCTTGTTGATTTTTTTGTGAATTATAGATTATTTTAATTGTTAATCCTAATGCTTGTTTTTCATTGTTGATGATATAAATTATGCTTTAATTTGAGGAGATGGCTATATTTTCTTTTCTAATTCTATTATTATTTTTCTATTATTTTTATTATAATTGCTAGATGCATTAAAAAATATAGATCATATATTTAAATTATTGATATTAAATATATGATTAATTTTTTTGACCTCATTGTTTGATGAGTAATTTTATTTTAGTAAAAAAGTATTAAATTTTATTTTTTGTTATGGAAGATTTTAATGATGATGATATTCATATTTTTGTCACAAAATTTCAGGAGGAAAACTAGAAATCAACACTATAACTAGATGACATAATGAATCATAAAGAATTTTAAGGATAAAATTGTAATTCTATATAGAAAAATTTTAGAAATGATAATCTTACAATAAGCAATCAAAAAAAAATAAGAATTAAATAAACAAATTATTCCAATATTAAGTAAGTAATTCACATCATTATAGAGTATCTTTAAAATAAAAATCTGCAATATAGAGATTTAGAAAAATAATTTTAGCAATAAAGAACATCATTAGAATAATTTAAGTAAAATATCTCATAATCATAAGTATAATAATGATTTCAATAATAGGATGAAATTCAATAAGCATAAAATTCAATATTAAATTCTTAAATTGTTATTGAATAAGAATAAAAAATAGTAGATTTATAAAATATACAAATTGAACTTGAATAGAAAATAACAGAACTTGAATATGAGATAAATGGAATGAAGTCTGTAGATAAAAAAGTTTCATTACAAATCTCTAAATTAGAGAAAGCAGTATAATTTGAAAAATAATGTATCTATATAAACTTTACATACTTAGAAAATTCAATTTTATAATAGGAAAAGGCATCAATTGAATTGGAATTGAGAGCTGCAAAAGAAAATACTGGATTTGTAAAATATTTATCCTTATAGTTAGAATAGGATGTCAGTTAAACTTAATTAAAATGAGAGTGGAGTTAGTTTAACAAATCAAGATGAATTAAATTTAAGAGAAAAAAACATATAATTAACTAGAGGTAATATTTAGCAAATATATAGATTAAATTAGATTTACAATCAGCAAAAAAATAACATGATCTTTTAAGGGAAACATATGATAAACAAATAGATCAATTAAAAATTTAAATTGAAAATTATGCAAAAACTAATTTAGTGATAACAAATTAAGTTTAGGAATTAAAAAAAAAGTTGCAATTGACTCTTGAAGAAAAGGATAACTTTAAATCATAATTAGAAAAAATGGCTGATAGTAAAAATTTGGATGGAGAGTCAACTTTAAAAGAATGTAAAATAAAATTAAGAAAATACGAAAGCTTGTTATAAAAAGCTAATGCAGAAATAGAAATTAAAGACATATAAATACAAGAATAACATTCTAATTAGTTAATTGATATCATCAATATAATAGAAAGCTATAATAAAGAGAATCTTCAAATTAACCAAAAATTATAATAATAAATTTAGGTTGTTGAAGAATTAAAACTATAAAAAGAAAATAAAAATGAGATTTAGGATATAGAAAAATGTAAATAATTAGAAGAGCAAATTAATAAATAGAAAATGACCATATAAAAATAAAAAAAATAAATTGAGTAACTTGAAAAGTCAAAGTAAGACTGTTTAGTAATTAGAAATTCAAAAGTTGAATATGAATAGCCAACCAAAATAGAGAATATTAGTATTGAAAACTAATCTATTAAAAAGACTTAAAATGTAGAATAAGAAAAGATTATTGATAATATAAATATCTAAACTTAATAACTAAATATTACTAAATTATAAGAAGAAATATAGGAATTGTAAATTTAAAATGATGATTTAAAAAAACAATTATCTATTAAAAATAGTAGTGATTAATAATAATACGAATAACTTTTAGTTTAACAATTATAATAAAAATTAGAAATAGAAAGAAATAATTTTGATTAATAGTAAACTTAATTATAATAAGAATTAGATAAATCAAAATAATAAAATTAATTATTAGCAAAAAATTAAGAAAATTATCAAAATCAATAAATCAAATTAAATGAATATAAGTAAGAAATTTAAAACTTAATAAGTATTAATGATTAGTTAAATTTATAAAAAAAAGATTAAGAAAAAAGCATAAATTAATTATAATCAAATTTAACAATTCTAAAAAATGATTTTGAAAAACTTTAAAAAGAATATCAAGTTTTAAAATAAGGAAAATTAGATAATGAAACTAAGAAATTAGAATATTTAAATCGTATTAAATCTTTATAAAATCAAAAGGAATAATTTGAACCTGACTCTATATTATCAACAATCTAAGGTTAAAATACTTAAGCTGAATAAAAAGAATCCAAAATTACTTAACTTTCAGAAAAGATAGAATAATAAAATCATAAAATTCAATAATTAGAGATTATTGAAAAGAATTATAAATAATAAATAGAAGAACTTAAGAAAATTAATTAAATTGTTGATTCTTCTTAAATTTCAAAAAATCCTATTTAAGAATAAAAACAGAAAGAATAATAATTAATAAAGCAAATAAATACAATAAAATAAGAAAATTTAGAATTACTTTAATAAAATTAATCATTTAAAAGTTTAATGGAAGAATATAAATTATAAAACGAAAAAGCTAATCATTAAAAATCTTTCTTTGAAAATTCAATTTAAGAATTGAAATTAATATAAGTTAATCTTCAAAAAAAAATAAATGAATAAGAAGATAAGATCAATTTACTTAAAATATAGAGAGAATAGGATAGTAAGAAAATTATGGAAGCTGAAGAAATATTAAAATAAAAAACTGAATTAGAAAAATAAAATTAAAATTAAAATGATACCTTATCAAAACTGAGTTAGTAAATTGGATTACTTGAAAATGGAAATTCAAATGAATATGTTGCTGCTTAAAAAGCAAAAATTATATAGCTTTAAAAAGAATTGGATAATTAAAAAGTTGAGATTAAAAACTTATATTAAGAAATAAAAAAGTATTAAGAAAAGGAGACTTAAATTAGAATTTATAAAGAAAGATTAGAAAAGAAATATTTAGAATAGATGACTGAATTATCAAATCATCAAGATGAAATGTATTTATAAATAAAGGAATTGAGATCTAAAGCTTAAATGAGTGATGATTATATCAAAAAAATTAAAGATCTTGAAATGAATCTTAAACATAAATAAGATTAATTATAAAGCTATTCTTAGAAAATATAAGAATAGACAGTTTATATTGATAAGCTTGAACATAAAATATAAGACCTAAAATGAAAAAGTGATTTCTTATTCAAAACATTATATTTTATTGAAATCAATCATTTGTATGTTCTTTTTTATTCTATCATTTTTAGTTATCAAATTCACAATAATTCAAATATAATATCCCTTTAATTCAAAGTATTCATAAATTAATTTAATTATTTTTAGAACTATTATACTAAATAAATAGATTTAATACTAAAGATTATAATATCTGAAATGAGTATTTTTTTGAAAATATTGCTATTAATTAATTTATATATGTATTCCTTTTATCCATTTTCATCTGTAGGTATTTAGATTTTTTTCATAAGTAAAAGAATACTGTTTGCTATTATTCAATAAATATATAAGTAGTGTATTATAATTTTCACTGAATATTGTAAATGATTCACTATGATTATTCAATATATTTAAAATCTAATATTTATTTTTATTGTAAAAAAAAAAAAATGAATACAAAGTCATTTGAGGTTTTGATTCACTCATAGTTTGCTTTCCATAAGTGCAGATCAGAAGTTCATAAATATGAAGATTGCAGACAAACTACATCACCTATTCCTAAAGATCCAAGGTTATGTAGAGATAAAGCAAGAGAATTGGTTGGATGTTATAAAGAGGCGTAATTATTGGTAAAAAAAGGTTAGCGAAAGGATGCATCCTCTATGCTTGGCACCATTTAATGATGTAAGGGAATGTGTTTTTAAGGCTGATGGCAATATCTTTAATTGTAAAAAGGAGGCACAGTAATTTGTTGATTGTTAAATGGATTAAGAAAAATATTAAGATTTCTTATCTGTAATTAAAATAATCAATCAAACTAGCTTTCAACTGATAAATAGAAAGAAGCCTTATAATTTGATTTCTTTAACTACAGAGGACATTTTGACAAATATAGTTGAAGATGCATTGATTATTAAATAAAATACATAATGCCTAATATAATTAAAAACATTAACAAATAGAAAATAAGAAGAGCTTAATTCAAATTTTAGTTTACTTAATGATTAAATAATCAATTCTTTTAAGAATCATATTTTAATAGTTTCTTCAACTTGAATTTTAATGGTTTTTATTGATAATTGTTAATTTATGAGAATTAAGACTAAAATTAATGTAAACTATAAAGTTAAATTCTTAAATTTAAATAGATTCATATTTTGAAGAGTTTAAAATTTAGATTTATCTTTTAATAAATATCTTTTTTTTATATTAAGATTAAAATGAGGAACATCATATATTGTTAAATGTTTCAAATTTTATAAATTACATATAAAATTAATTTAAATATTATGATAAATCTAAATCAATAAATTATACAAATTTCCCATTGATTATTTGAAAAAAATAGGAAACCTATTTATTTAATTTTAAAATGATATAATTAAATAAGTAAATATAAGTTTAAACCCATCTTTTAACATATGTTTATTAATTTTATTCAATATTGACATTATATTTAAAGCAATAGTCCTTTGAAATATATTGAATGGTAAGTTTTTAATAAAATAAATATTAAATCATTATGATTTATTTAATTATTTGTATTAATAAATCAAACTAAAAATATTTAATATACATTATTAAGTTAAATATATGATATTTTATTTTAATATTAAAACATAAAAGGAATGAATGAATGGATCAAAAAGTTAATTAACGATTAGTTTGACTTACTATTTTGTTGAGTTTTTTATATAAGTAATTTAGAATTTATTATTCTAATAAATTTATATTATATTATTACTGTTATGAAAAGTTTAAATTACCGATTTCCTCATTCAAGACAGGATTCTGGATAAATGAACATAGTTAGATCATAATTACCTTAAGGGTAATAAGTGATTAATGTGTTAAATAAGTAAGAAGTTATGTAAATCAAAAGCCGCTAAAATGAATAAAATTGTGATAGATCACCTGCTCCTATGGTACATGGGTTACAAAAATTCGCAGTACCTTCTAGCTAATAATCATCAGCAAATCATTCAAAGAAGTCTTCGATTTCAAAATAATAGTAACCAAAATAAATAGGTTTTCTTAACTACTTGATTCTTAAAGATAAATCATAAATTATATAAGATGAAGAAAAAGAAAGTTAAGAATTATTGTTTATATTTAGATATTAATGAAACTGTAGTTTAAAAGAATATGTTTAATTTTTAATTTGTAATTGGTATTGGTGGATTTGGTAAAGTTTGGAAGGTGGAATATAAAAAAAATGGTTAGATATATGCAATGAAAGAAATGTCCAAAGCTTTGTATGTTATCTATATGTATTTTAGAATTATTGCAAAAAAAAGTGTTAATTCTGTTATGAATGAAAGAAACATATTGAGTAATCTTAAGCATCCGTAATTATTTAATCAAATATAGATTTTTAGTTAACATATATTATGCATTTTAAGACCGTGAAAATCTTTTCTTAGTTTTAGATTATATGTAAGGAGGAGATCTAAGATATCATATTGGAAAAATGAGAAGATTCTCAGAGGATCAAACAAGTATCAATTTATTTAAAACATAGGATTTTTTATGGCTTGCATATTTTTAGGTTTAGAATATATGCATTCTAAAAATAGTCTTCATAGAGATATCAAACCAGAAAATCTAGTACTTGATAAAAATGGTAATACATCGAAAAATATGTTTTAGGTTATATTAGAATAACTGATCTTGGAATAGCTAGAATTTAAAGGCCTGATAATGCTTAAGATACATCAGGTACTCCTGGATATATGGGTATAATTTTGAGTAAATTTTGTTAGCACCTGAAGTAATGTGTAGATAAAACCATTCTTTTGCTGTAGATTATTTTGCTTTGGGAGTGATTGGATATGAATTTATGTTGGGAAAAGTAAAATATTGTTTTCATAAATAGAGACCTTATACTGGTAGATCAAGAAAGGAAATAAGAGATTAGATTCTTGCAAAATAAGTACAAATAAAAAGGTCTGAGATTCCTGATAATTGGTCATTAGAATCTGCAGATTTTATAAATAGAGTACAATTAATAATTTATAAATTTAAAAGTTAATATAAAGAAAGCCTGCAAATAGATTAGGATTTAATGGTCCTCATGAATTGAGACAACATTCCTGGTTTAAGAATTTTCCATGGTAGAAATTAATGAATAAAGAATTGAAATCTCCATATATTCCTAATGTATTAAAATTTTAAATAATTTAGTAAAATGAAGATAATTTTGATGCTAGATAAATATCAATTGAGGATGATGAAAATAATGAGCTTATTTAATCGCATTCAATTATGTTAAGAAGAAATTCAATATAATGTATTATTGTTTAATATAAAAATAGCTTAATTTTCTGGATATGAAATGGATAATTTTAGTGATAAATAGAATACATAGTTTAATAATTTTTGATAATCATTACATTATAAATCTTATTTGTAAACATTCAATTGAAATCATTATGATGGTTTAATAAAAAATATAAAATTATATATTTATATAATTATAAAATGTCATTAAATTTAAGTGATTTGATCAATCAATCATTAGACAAAATCAAAAAGGTAATATCAAAAAAATAATCTGAATTGAAATAGCTCATAGAAGAAACTCAATGTAAATATATTTATTATTAAAAAGAGATTAAGGATTATTATGATGCAAATCACTTAATAAAAGTGTATTAATAGTGTATTGAATCAAAATAAGCTAAATTGATTGAATTGGCATTATTTGATATAAAAGTAAAACTCTAAAATATCATAGAATATTGTAGATTAGGGTTTTTTAGCAGGAGAGTAAATTATAGGAGAAAAAAGAGCAATTGAGATAGCATTAGATTTGGTGATGTAAACTCAATAGGAGAAGGAAGAGACTGTTTAAATAAATATGATAAAAGCAATATAAGCTATAATGACAAATAAAAAACATCATATCTATGGGGAATCTGTGACAAGAGTATTTTCACTATTAATAAATTTGCATTCAGGTAGACAATATAATAATATTAATTAGTTTCAAAGATTGTTGCAATTATAAATACTAGTAAAGAGGCTTGCCAAAAGATTGTTAGTACATATTTTACAAGACTTGAAGATTATGGAATTCTTATAGAAGAGGAATATTAATTAGCAATTTAATAATAACATAATTATGGAGTATTAGTTTTTGGGAAATGCAAAGCTTAAGTTAATGCTGAATAATACATGAAATCTTTAATGACATCTATTGTTGATGAAGTTTAAATTTATTGTGAAAGAAGATCAATATATGAAAGACAATAAGAAGATTTAAATAAAATTAAGGTGATTGACTTAAATTTACATGAACCTAGTTTAAGAAATGTTACAATAGATAACAATTAAATATAAGTTAATTTAGTTAATGAGATGAATATAAAAAATGGTAAGTTTGGTTGGTGTATTGTTTGTAGAAGACAAGCATCATAATATTGTAAAAATACTAAAGTACCAATATGTAGTAAAGAATGCAAATTTATACATTTAAATTAGATGTTAAGTTTTTCTTAATCTAATTAATATTCTATTTTTAGTTAATAATATGAAAAAGATGCTTATGAAATATTAGAAATGCTTTGTTAATTGAGTTATAGAGATCCTTAGAATCCATAATTAGTTTAATTAATTATAAAATGTAAAGTTCTTTCTTTGGAATTAATATATGATGCTTTAGCTCAAAGTGACATCATATTGTAAAATAAACCTAAATTAATATTAATATTGAAAGAATAGTTATTAGAATCATTGCTTAAGAATTCTCTTTCAGCTGAAAAATAATTATTAATATTGACATTAAATATTTTCATTTAATTGATTTGGAAAGTAAGAAGCCATTTAAAAAAAGAATTAGAAGCTTTAATAGAAAATGTTTATTTTAAATTTTTGGAGAGTAGTAATAGTTCTTTTGATCATAAATAATATACTTTGAAAGTTTTCAATAAAATTCTTACTCGTCCGAAAGTTGTTATAGAAATATTTGTAAATTATGATTGTTCAGTAGGATAGAATAATTTACTTAAGAAAATTTTAGATATGCAATGTCGAATTATTTAAGGAAGATATAATAAACAAGAATATTAAGCTACAATATCTTATAATCAAGAAATATATCTTAAATCTTTATGTTTAGATAATTATTGTGGATATGTAAGAAGTTTAAAAGAATATTGTGAATAATATGAAGATTCACAAAATGTTGTTTAAATTTAATCACATGATGAATAAGAAGATACTATTATTTAATAACATTAATTATCATAGGATCCACTTGAAAAATAGAAATAAATGAAATTAGAAATGAATAAGGCTGTTCAAAAATTTAATTTTAAACCTGAACATTGTATTAAACATTTAATTGCCGTTTAATATATGGAAAACAGAGATCCTCAAATATTTGCTTAATTTCTTTGGGAAAATAGAGATTTAAATAAAGATAAATTAGGAGAATTATTTGGTAGTTCAAATGAATTTGATTAGAAAGTGTTTTCATTATATGTAGATATTATGAATTTTAAAGGATTATAAGTAGATGAGGGTTTAAGATATATGTTAGAATTCTTTACTTTACCAGGAGAATCATAATAAATAGATAGAATTATGGAAAAATTTGCTTCAAAATATTGTGTAGACAATCCTGGAATTTATTAATCAGCATAGGCTGCATATACACTTTCATATTTACTTATGATGTTATAAACAGATTTACATAATGAAAGAAATCTAGATAAAATGACTTTTGCTCAATTTACTAATTTAGCTAAGGGGATTAATGATGGAGAAAATCTTCCTTAAGAAATGTTATAAGGTTTTTATACAAGGATTTAAAAGACACCATTGGCTTTACATGCAAAAGAATAAGCAAAGAGGGCATTAGAATAAGCAAATTAAGTAGATTTTAGAAAGAGACATGCAATCTTAGCTAAAGAGGCAGAAGATTCATTAAAAAAATGGTTTAAAGAACATTCAAATTAAGATGCATTCTATTATGTAAATTCAATAGAACATATGAAATCTTTATTATAATAAACATGGAGTGTAATATTTGCATCAATAAGTGTATTTTTAGAATAGACTGATGATTAAAAATAAATATAATTATGCTTTGAAACAATATAAGCATTTATTTAATTGATGGGTAGATTTGATCTAGATGAAGAAAAAGATACATTTATTAGTTTTCTATATAGATATTGTACAAATATCCCAAATACTTATAAATAAATATTGGGAGTACAAACTTTGATTAAAGTTACTTTATAAAGTGGATAATATTTACGTAAAAGTTGGAAGATTGCTTTACAATTAATATCAAGATTAGAATAATTACATCAAGTAGTAAAGAAAATAAAAGTAGACTCACCTTACAAAGAGACTTATAATTAAGATGACATAATTAATATTGAAAGATTGTTTTAATAAATATAATATGATCAGATTGATAAAATATTTAATAGTTCAATTAATTTGGATTCCAATTCAATATTAGAATTTATTAGAGCATTATGTGAATTATCTATAGAGGAAATTAAATATAATAGAATATTTTTATTAAGTAGAGTGATTGAAGTTGCTGATTTTAATATGAATAGAATTAAAATTATCTGGTCTAGAATGTGGGAAATCATGAGAGAACATTTTCTTGAAGTTGGATGTCTCAAAAATGTAGATGTTGCAATCTATGCTATAGATTAATTAAAATAATTAAGTTGCAAATTCTTATAATAACCTGAATTGATTAATTATCATTTCTAAAAAGAATTTCTTCTACCATTTGAATAAATATTTAGTCATACTTAAGCTTAATAGTAAAATAAGATATAATTGAAAGAATATTTATTATCTTGTATGTGTATGATTACCAATATCTGTTTCAATTCAATTAAAAGTGGATGGAAAATTATTATGAGTATTGTAAACTAAGCTCTATAAGATGATTAATAATAATTAGTTAGATTATGTGTTTAGATTACTGATAAAATTATGGAAGATGTGAATAATTAATAAGTATATTCCGAAATTTATCTGGAACTTATATAAGCATTAATTAAATTGACAAAAAATTAAGATATTAGTATAGTTTCAAATTCGATTAAACAATTAAAAGTTTTAGTTGATCACATTGTTTAAATCAAAAGAGATGATAACAAATATTTAGATTAATTATGGATTCCTGTTTTATCAGCTCTATCCATTTTATATAGTGATGATAGAGTAGCTGTATAATAATAAAGTGTTAATACTTTATTTGAATTATTAAAAATACATGGTGAATAATAATCTAATGAATTTTGGAAAATGATTATGAGAGGTGTGATAAAACCATTATTTGATGAAATATAGTTTTCTAAATTATAATTTACAAAACAATCATAAACAAAATAATAGGTTATCTAAAATTGTAAAATTACCTTTTATTTATTCACAGATCTAGTTGTACTTTATATTTAATAAATGCAACCTTGTTTAAATGATTTAATTGATATTTATATTTAACTAGTGTTGTAAACATAAGATGTAATATTTTTAATTTATTTAAGTTTCTTTCAACTTTATGTCTAGATTCACTTAAAACCATAATTAAATAGGGAGGACAATCATTTACAGATGAAAACTGGACTGTTATTATTGAATAAATATAACATCTTTTGTAATAATGTTCCCCTAATGAATTGTTTGAGGCTTATAATTTGGATGAAGATTTTTAGAAACCTTTGAATGAATTATTAAAAGAGGAAATAAGACCTAAAAAGTTTAGTTTTAAAATTAATGCCTATGAATGCACTTCAAAATAATCTATTCAATATAAATGTCTAGAAATTCTTGAGCTTTAGGCTATTTAATTTAATAACTCAATATCTTAATAACATAAACAATAAATTTTAACAATTTTTACTGAGTAATATTAAAAATGCAAGATATTTAATACACATTTATATATGAGATATTTTTTAGAATAATGGGCTATGTAATGGAATAGAGTAAAGAATGGATTAGAAGATTTAGATGAATTAATTGATAATTAAAATACTAATAAATAATTAAGTTTTATAAATTAAGAATTTATTTCGGCAAAAGTTATAGTTAAATTAACATCCAAACCTTTAGAATTTATTGAATAATTAATTTAAAGATTTAGTGATGCTTACAATGGATTTTAATAACCTATACACAAACCTGAAACTTTGAATGGCTGTTTAGAATAACTTAGATACTCAGAATCCTAAACTTTAATAAGCATATCTCAAATTTTATTTATGGAAAGTGTTTTTCCAATTTTATAGATTAATTTACAATAGAAAATAGTTAGTAAATGGCTTATTTAATTATTAAAATTGGGATTGAATGCATAAAATGTAGAAAATAGAGAATATAATAAAACTTTAGTAAATTTATTAGAAGAAATAATAAATTGTGAGAATAATTAATATTGAATTTATTAAATAAAATGGAATATATGTTTTCAATTCAAATCTACCTCTTAAGTAATAAAATGATATTGTTATCTTATATTAAACAATAATATAAGTACTTAACAATTAGAGTCTTACATCAATTATTTATATTTAATATTATATATCAATGAATGTTTACGTAGTTGGCGTTGGAATGACGAAGTTTATAAAACCTGGTCGAGATGGAAACCCTGACTACCCACAAATGGCAGCTTAGGCTACTAAAAGAGCTCTTAGAGATGCTAATATTCCTTACTCATCTGTTTAAGTAGCTTCTATAGGATATGTATATGGCGACTCAACATGTGGATAGAGAGCATTGTATGAAGTTGGAATGAGTGGAATTCCAGTATATAATGTTAATAACAATTGTTCAACAGGGTCTAGTGCTTTACATATGGTGACTTAACTATTAAAAGGAGGACTATATGATTGTGCATTGGCACTTGGATTTGAAAAAATGGAAAAAGGATCATTGAATATGAAATTCCCAGATAGAACATAACCACTTGATAAAATAGTTCTAAAAACAATGGAAATGGGAGAACAAAGCACTGCTCCATTTGCACCTTAAATCTTTGGAAATGCAGGAATTGAACATATGAAAAAATATGGTACAAAACCAGAACATTTTGCACTTATAGCATATAAAAACCATCTACATTCAACTAGAAATCCATATAGTTAATTCAGAGATAAATACACCCTTTAAGAAATTATTACATCCCCAAAGATACATGGTCCTTTAACAAAACTTTAATGTTGTCCAACATCTGATGGAGCAGCTGCAGCTATTGTCTGTACAGAAAAATTTGTACTTCAACATAATTTACAAGATTAAGCAGTGTAAATCTTAGGAATTACAATGACTACAGATAGTGAAAAAACATTCACTGATTAGAGTTTGATGAACTTAGCTGGATATGAAATGAGCAAAAGAGCTGCTTAATAAGTTTATTAATAAACAGGTGTTAAGCCTTCTTAGATTGGAGTTTGCGAATTGCATGATTGTTTTTCAGCAAATGAATTAATTACATATGAAGCTTTAGGTCTATGTGAAGAAGGGAAAGCTGGAGATTTTATAGATAAAGGATATAACACTTATGGTGGACGCGTAGTTGTGAATGTAAATATATATAATTTATATTTTTCAGCCTTCTGGTGGACTTATATCTAAAGGACATCCATTAGGTGCAACTGGTTTAGCTTAATGTGCAGAATTATGTTGGTAATTAAGGGGAATGGCAGAAGAAAGATAGGTTCCTGGATTACAATATGCTTTATAACATAATATTGGTTTGGGAGGAGCTTGCATAGTTGCTCTGTATAAGAAATATAATACAAAATCAGGAAGACCAAGAAAAGATCAAACATCTAATCCTGATATACTTGAAAAATTAGAATAATAATAACCAAAATTATGAATTTATACATTAAAAATACAGAAAAATTAATGCAAATTTAGTTTTTAGTAATTTTCATCTTAAATTAATTTCTTAAAAAGTTGAAAATATGATTTTCTTCATTTAAATTAATTATTTGATCACCTTTTGATCTGGATTAACTTTAAATTATTACGAAAGTTCTAAATCCTTAAAATTATTAATTTATTTTTTATACCAATAAATTAGATCGATTAATATATTTTCTTAGATAAAATTAAGAATATTCTTTTTATTTTTTGTGATATTCAGAAAACATTTCAAATCTTAATTTTGCTAATTCTTTATTATCTTATTTCCCTTAATTTTATTGATTTAATAAACTCTAAAATGCCAGATTAAGTCTACCTATTGTGTTTGAATTTGAGAATGTAATTTTCTTTTATTTTATTGTTTTAGTACTTTTATTGAGTAAATTTGTATAATAAAGTAAATTTTATAATGGTTATTGTAGAATTAAAGTATTAATCAAAAAGGATACAAAAAATAATGAAATTGAAAATCCAATCACACCAATAAAAATATATATTGATAATCTTTTTTTATTTTAAATTTCATAAACTAAAATATTAATATCTTCTATATATAGATCTGGATCAAATTCAGAAACTAATATATAATGCATTTCTCTTAAGTTAAATAAACTTATAAATTTAATTTTTTATTCCAATTTATTAAACAAACAAAATGTATTATCAATATTTATTGGACATAAATCTTCATATATCTCTCCATTTAAAAAATTTAAAAGAGTTTTAAAATCATTTTCATCAAAACCTGTTTTTGTAACATTATAAAAATAGTATATCTCTTTTTATTCTTTCAAATAAATATAATTTAATAAAATCTATCCTGTTAAATCAATTAACATGAATTTTACTGGAAGTATTTGATCATATAATGTAAACTAATTCATAGTTAAATCATTTGCAATAATTGCAATATTTATATTTTCTTTATTGAAGAGACTCTTTGTTTAAGTAAAACAAACTCCAATATCTATTTCCAAATACATATCTGTTATTTAAAGAAATGATGAAGATTAATTATGAGATGTATACCATGGTCTTTCTTTTGGTACCCATTCCTTTGGTATAGGTTAACATGGGTCAATTGAATAAAACTAATCTTCACTTGTTGCTGCATAATATATTTAATAATGTGATCGTTACATAGAAGCTGTTTAACTAAGAAAATTAGATAAAATTAATTTATCATTATATTATTCTTACTGCGCAGATTAATTAGGTAATCCAAAACAAAAACAAAAAGAATTTTCAATTAATTTTAAGGTTTCAGATGCATTTTCATCAAAAATAGAACAATCATCCAAATTTTCTTAAAAATTTACATCTAATTCAATTGCATACTAATATAAATCATTAATTGAGTTAATAGATTATGCTCCTGAAAAGAAACCATTATTTAGCTATTCAATAAATAATGATTAATAAATTGAAGATTGTCGACTCATAATCTTTTGTTGTAAAACATGAATTGAATCATTTGCTATAGTATCAATAATTTTATATTATATGGCTAATATGCTACACCCTACCATTGTAGTAATTAAAATTAAGAAGCATATCTATGCCATAAATATTTATGATCGTAGTCTCCAATCTGATATATTCCAAATATTTGTACTATGACAACAATCTCGTTTAAATTTCATTTAAATAATATATTTATCAATAATTCAATTGTAACATTTACACATATTCTTAATATAGATTGAATAAATAAAAGTACTTAGTAAAATTATTATTGAATTAAAAATCATTCTATAAATTACAGATACTCATTATTATCATAGAAATAAAACTTAATTAAACTATTTCTTTGAATATAAAAACAATCTTCATTATAAACTATTGATATTATTTATTTATATAAGTCATTATTTTAATAATTAAGAATTTAATTATTTGTTATATTCTTTATAATAGGATTGAATTTTGTAAGCTTAATAAATTTTTCCAATTTAAACTCTGTTTTTTCAATTTTGAAACAATGATATTATCATAATCAACTAATTCTCAAATATTTGATGAATTTTTGGTTCAAAATTATAATTATTTCTATAACTAAATAAAACATATTAAATCAAACATATTCTTACTTAGTTACACTTTTAAAAATCAATTATATTAATATATTAAGTATATTTATTATTTCATGCAAGGAATATATACAAGGTTATTAAAATCTTGTTAATACTAATATTAAATAAAAGAATTCAATATTTCAATATAAATACGAAAATTAAAAATAAATAAAAATAAACTTTAAATTCCAAATTTAAACAAATCCAGACATGTTATTGAATTATTAAAATTATAATATTCAAGAATTTAAAATTATTCTTAAGGAAATGTTTCTTAAATTAAGCAACCACAAATAAATAATTAAAATTAATCATTTAATATATCTAGATGATTCATTGAGAAATTGAGAATTGTAGAAAATATGAAACCCTTTTTTTTTTAAATTCAAATTTTCCTTTCATAAATAATTAGCATCTTTTGATACCTGTTGAATTTAATAATATTTAAATTAATATCATCAAGAGTAATTAAAATACATTTAAAATCAATTTATTATTGGGAATCTTTATGGAGGTTCAATAAGATGAATTTCTTAAATCTCAAAATTACAATTTAAAATCTCCCGTAGATTTTGAATAAGCATAAAAGCATGGGGTACTCTAATAAGTATTATAATGATAAGAAATCATAAACCATTTATCAAAGTATTATCCAAGACTCAGAAAGATGTTAATGTTGTAACAATCCAATCTAGACAATTCCATACTCAATTACATGTAATTTAAAAGTATTTTGTCAACATGGTTATTCATATAAATATTTTAACTATATCAAATTAAACTTTATATTATTAGTCATAGGATTGTAAGTTATTATTCATAAATAGTCTTATATTTGGAATATATAATATTCAAGAGAATCTCAAAGGAGATTAATGTAACTAACATCAAAATTGCAAGAAAAATTTAAATAATTACTTGTCTCTCTTAAATAGAATGGATAATGATGAGTATATAAATATTTAAATTTATCAGGTTTCAAGATATATATCTAGATATCTTATATTTTATAGCAATATTAGTTTAAGTTTGTTTTATTGGATACATTACTTATTATAAAAACCATTGTTTAAATGTTGACAACGAGTAAGATTTAGAAAAGGTCATAAAGTATTGTTCCCTTTAAGTGTCTCAAATACCTGGCAATTGGAATATGGAAAAAATTTAAGATTTTTTTAGTAAAGGAATATGGGAAAAAAAACCAATAACTTATAATATTGTGGATATATGTTTGATGTATGATCAAGAATAATTAGAATATTTATTAAAAGATAAGATCAGATAATAATTCACAATATAAAATAATTAATGCACGTATATTACCTTTTAGAAATAGATCTTTGAAAGATGTGATAAATAAAATAGTTAACATTCATAGTGTCATTTAAGATCAAACGGTATTAAAGTTTAACCGATCAGTTTTTATTACATTTTCAAATTAAGTACATGTTTTCTTTATAATAAAAGGCTGAATTAATAAAATTTGTAAGATATTTTAGATGGGTCTTTGTACCTAATTCATTAAAATTAGAATCTCCCCCTAGACCATCAGATGTAATTTGGCATAATGATTCTACATTTTCAAATCTAGAATATGTAAAATTATTTTTTATATGTTTTGGTTGGCTTCCTATAATAGGAATTTAAGTAGCAAAATAAAATTATATTGTTGAAAATGGGAATCAAGAAAAAAGTAATTCATATTAAAATACATTATTAAGTTTAACAGTTTCTTTACTATTATATCTATTAACTAAATTTTGTGAAAAGTCTATATAATAGTTTTTTAGTTTGAAAGACTTTAATTCTAATCGTAAAAAGAGGAGAATATTTACACTATTTTATGAAACAATAGTAATTTAATATTTTTATTTAATACCTCCAATCTTTGTTGGTGTGTATTCAGGAAGTGGAACTAGGCAATAAAAGCTATGGAGATCAGGAGGATTAAGTGAAGATATCCTATTTATCTAAATATTAAATGCAATTTTCCCAATGATATTCAGTATAATAGATGAGACTTATGCAATACAATTAATAAAAAGATTTTGGTTTAAAAGAATTAAAAAAGATTCAGATCTAACTTAAATAGAGGCAAATTAATTATATGAACGTTAACTTGATTATTAGAAAAAACGATTATCAATTACTTAACTAGTTTCTATTTGTTGTTATTATGGGTATATTTATCCCATGTGTTATTTTATTACCATATTGGCTCTTATTGTTATCTATTGGATGGAAAAATATAATTTTGTAACAAATGGTGTAAGTTCTAAGATTTCAGTTAAATTTCATATTTCAAGATATAATTTGTTAGCATTTTTATTATTCGAATTACTTTCAAAATAAATATTTCATATAGCATTTTGGTCATTTGATTATAAAAGTGTTACTAACTATATTTATGCTTTATAGTATTTTTTTCTAACTTATGTGATAATTACAAAAAAAGAATGTATAATAAAAAAAAGAATTCATAGAAATTATGATGATAAAATGCTTTAAGAATCTCTCAAATACTATGATCTTTATACAAAGCATAATCCAATAATAAATCATTAGTTTGAATAAAATTTGGAAGAAATCTCATAACTCACTAGATATTCAAGATAAGAAAAATTCTATTCACAACTTCAATTAAAACTATATAGAGAATTAAAATATGAATATGTATTAATAATTTTATTCTTAAGAGTTTAAAAGATTCAGCCAGAATACATCCTACAGAGATAGTTTCCCTTAGATTTTAAGAATAATGATATTTTAAGATCATTTACAATAATTCTTATTAATAATATTATACTTGAGTATGATTTATAATTTAACCTATATGTATAATAAGAAAATATAATATAATTATTTAGATTGAATTAGAATTTTTTTATGATTTTATAGTAATACAACAATGAAATAGTGAATATAAATATGAAAACTTTATAGATTTACTAATGTATATCAATCAGAGGCATTTTTTAATAATTTAATAAATACATCAAGTATTGGATCTATTTGACTTTATTCATTATTTGAGATTATCTTTTTTATTTAATTACTAACATCTTCAATTTCTTTTTATTCAAATAAAGGTTTTTTATATGAAAGCACAGATTATAAATGATCTTAATCCTTCGTCAATAATAATTGATCTAACTATACTTATGTTTATTACATAAAAAATCATCTTCATCCCCTCTTGTAGCCCTTATAAAATGCTCTTTAGTTAAGAATCCATAATTTCTACATTCTATACATTTGCATTAATCTGAGCAAGGCACTTTAGCTTAAAAGCATTCACAATATTTCTTCATACAACCACTCTTTTTACATTGACAACCTTTGTTGTGTTTTCCAAAATTTAATGGATCTGGTTTTGAATCAGAAGTAGTTATCTTAGGCTAAAAGGCACTAGGGTTTTTCTCTAATGTGTATTACATAGCCTTTAATCTTTATTTCTATTTTATAATTTTGAATGATACTGCATTAGAGGAATTATTAAAGCAATTATGACAATGACAATTATTATCACAAAATACTTTATTTTGATAACATTCACAATAGAGTTTTATGCATTTCGAGTTTTTACAATTACATTTCTTTGATGGCCCTTCCTCAAAAACTTAATCAGATTCTTCCTCTGACATTCTACTTAATAAATTATATGTATAAAATTGATATTTAACACACAAAAATTTGAAAATGTTTTGAACTTAATAATAAACAAAATAAGTAATATCTATCTATTATATTTATCAATAATAATTATTAATATTAATCAATTATGTTTCTATAAATAAGAATCAAACTCTTATATTTTATTTTAAATATTCTTTCTAGCCCTATTTGTTTCCTTCATTTTTTATTTTACTTATAAATGAAATTATTAAATATAAGTATCTTCAATAGGTTTTGCACTAAATTCTTCTAATGGATTCATTNTACAACAATGAAATAGTGAATATAAATATGAAAACTTTATAGATTTACTAATGTATATCAATCAGAGGCATTTTTTAATAATTTAATAAATACATCAAGTATTGGATCTATTTGACTTTATTCATTATTTGAGATTATCTTTTTTATTTAATTACTAACATCTTCAATTTCTTTTTATTCAAATAAAGGTTTTTTATATGAAAGCACAGATTATAAATGATCTTAATCCTTCGTCAATAATAATTGATCTAACTATACTTATGTTTATTACATAAAAAATCATCTTCATCCCCTCTTGTAGCCCTTATAAAATGCTCTTTAGTTAAGAATCCATAATTTCTACATTCTATACATTTGCATTAATCTGAGCAAGGCACTTTAGCTTAAAAGCATTCACAATATTTCTTCATACAACCACTCTTTTTACATTGACAACCTTTGTTGTGTTTTCCAAAATTTAATGGATCTGGTTTTGAATCAGAAGTAGTTATCTTAGGCTAAAAGGCACTAGGGTTTTTCTCTAATGTGTATTACATAGCCTTTAATCTTTATTTCTATTTTATAATTTTGAATGATACTGCATTAGAGGAATTATTAAAGCAATTATGACAATGACAATTATTATCACAAAATACTTTATTTTGATAACATTCACAATAGAGTTTTATGCATTTCGAGTTTTTACAATTACATTTCTTTGATGGCCCTTCCTCAAAAACTTAATCAGATTCTTCCTCTGACATTCTACTTAATAAATTATATGTATAAAATTGATATTTAACACACAAAAATTTGAAAATGTTTTGAACTTAATAATAAACAAAATAAGTAATATCTATCTATTATATTTATCAATAATAATTATTAATATTAATCAATTATGTTTCTATAAATAAGAATCAAACTCTTATATTTTATTTTAAATATTCTTTCTAGCCCTATTTGTTTCCTTCATTTTTTATTTTACTTATAAATGAAATTATTAAATATAAGTATCTTCAATAGGTTTTGCACTAAATTCTTCTAATGGATTCATTGATTGAGGATTCGATATAAGGGATTAATTTACTTCTCTTGTAATTTGATTCTATATTATACTATACATTTTCTCAAGAGTATTATCCTTCTTAGAAATTGTCAAGGGCTATTTAGGTGATTCCTTATCTAACTGATTTTTTCTTATAAATTCTTAGATTTATTGAGAATAAGAAGGTTTCTCACTAGGTTTAATAAGAATTGATATTGATTTTGGTAGTATAGCTTAGTAATTAGGTTCATAATTAGGAAGAGAAGGTTGTAATTTCTAAACTTTACGATTGTGTTTTCTTAATTTAGATTCATGAAATAAATAACCAAGATTCTTACCCTTGTCTACATTACTCATCTTCCAAACAAATTTATCTTGTGTAATACTTGAATTGAGTTTTTCAATCATCTCTTCTAACACAGGACTCATAACTTTAGTATCTTTTTTCCGTTCATACATTTCTAAAAGAGCTTTCTTTTCCATCATGTCTTTGTATTACTTAGCTTTAACCTGTTCTTCTGGAGAAGGAGGTTATAAGTTGACTAAAAGAGATAAGTCCAAATTATGAGCACTGTTCTCTTTTTTATGTTTCTAAAGAGCATTTTATTTCATTGATTAAGATGGTTATTATTTTGTGATCGATGCTAAACTATAAACATGTTTGATTCGAGCTCCAAGATTCAATTAATTTGTTGATTTCGATTTTCTTTTTGTATTCAATAATAATCCAACATGATCCCTCTCTTATTTATATGGAAGAAATTTATCATCTTCTTCTGTCTACAGTTCATTAATATATCTGATTGCTTTTTATCTTACTGACTCTGAATGCATCTAATCAAAACACTATATTATTTTATTATTATAACAAAAAATGGATTAAATTCATTTTTGTTAAAATAACAATAAAAGGAAGTAGTATAATATTCTCATTTACTAATCTAAAGAAGCAATTATGAATTTAATAGTAATCTGATAAATATACTTAATTATCATTATAAATATCCAAGTTCTACAGAATTTTACATTATATTTAAAATTGATCGACATTAAACAATATATACATTTTATTTTGTTTACAAATTATAATTAAATTTGAGAATCTTTTCGCCCTCATTAAAAAATTTTAAAGAAGAATTTAGATTAAAGTAATTAACCATATAAAATTAATAAATACTTAATAATATCTTTCAATAATAATTAAGAATACAAAAATAAGTACACTACAATAATAGAGTTGGTATAATCCTTTTAATTATTAATTATAGAAGGTAGATTGATTTACATTTTAATCATTCTATTTTTCTTAAATATTCTATCATAATTTTACTATGTATCTTTTAAATAATAAAAATATAAATTTAAAAAAAAGAGTTGTAAAAATTTGTGGATTACTAGAATTTTAATAATTTATTAATTTATTTTTTAATAATCTTGAAAATCGATAGATGAATGCATAACAATTTATTAAGTATAAACTCTATATTTACATTTAATAATAAAAATAATAGTTAATTGTCATTAAACATTATTTGTAAGCTCTTCATTTGTTATACACAATTATTCTGGTTACTTGAATTCGTCTTGAAGATAGAGTTTATTATTGCTAGTTAGTACCTTTTAAAGAGTTTTATTATCTTTGATAACTCTATGATTTCTTTCTAGAAGTGTGGAGCATAGATTATGTAAGTAATCACATTTTTGGGAGAGCTAGAATTTAATAATAAATTTATAGTTGTTACCTGATTGAGTTAATCTTATGAATCATTTTGAATAGGTTAATTTATAGGTATAAGTTCATTATGTGCTTTCCGTTTAATTTAATGTAGCAGATCCCTAATTAAATATGTTAATACTTTCTGCCTTTTTGGAAATATTCATTTTTGAATTCATTGACACTTCCTCCTCTTGTTTTATGAAAATCATACATGTTTAACTTAATGAAATAACAAGAACTACCTATCTAATAAAGGAAGAGAAATTTTAATGCTTGAAGTGGATGGGTAGAACAATCGATGAGAATTGACTTATATTTTTGACTGTAAAAGATAGCCCATCTTCATTCCAACTAACTATATCTTCATACATATTATTCTATGTTAGTGATATTATATACTTCTAAAATGTTATAAGTCTTGAGGATAAAACTAGAAATTTAATTCTTCATTTATTATATATATATTAATCACATAATTCTTGCTGTTTTCAATTTATATTCGGCATACATAACAGGGGATTTACTTGGTTTCGACATATGAGTTTTCCTTTATGAATTTTCTTTTGTCTCATACTAAGTTTTGATGCGTTCCCATCTATCATTTTCTGTGCATAATCTTCTTTCAGTAGATTTAGGCCTTTCTGAAATACGATTATCATATCCTCTATTCATAATCATAGCAGTATTAAAATTATTTTCATATGATTTTGTTTTGTTATGATAGATGCTTGAATTAGGTCTACGTTCATTTGAACTACTTGGTTTATCAACAACTGATTTTATACTCTGATGAGTTCTTACTCTCTAATTTTGCAAAACTGGCTTTTGATATTTATTTAAAAGGTGATAAGTAGTTGTTATTGGATTATGTTTGTTATTAATGATCATTTCTCTACATTTTTAACTATCAATACCAATTGCTTATAACTATTTGATTATGTTTGAATTGATAGCCAAAGTGCGATGTATTTGAACAGAATAAGAGTATTTACTTATATAATTAAAAAAGTTGTTACCTTACAAAAGGATGCATCTTGATTTTAGCTATACTCAATCGATTTAAAGGATTCTTATTCAATAATCCCTATAATAAATCAATGACTTGAGGACTCAAATGAGAAGGCCTTTAGAAATCAGAATATTTAATCTTCTCATAAAGTTTTCTTGTATTTGAATCCTCAAAAGGTACATAACCACAAAGCATGGCATATAATATTATGCCACTTGCCCAAATATCAGTCTTGATGCCTGAATATTAGATACCAGAAACCATTTCAGGAGCAGCATAACAAGGAGAACCACAAGGAGTTGAAAGTAGATCACTATAGATATTACTTAGACCAAAGTCAACTACTTTTAGAGTATTATTTTCTAAGAGTAAATTTTCAGGTTTAAGATCTCTATGAGCAATTTTAAGTGAATGCAAATATTCTATGGCTTCAATGATTTATGAAAAGAGTGCTGCAGCTTCATTCTCTGAGAGTCGTTTATTTTTAACTATGTGTTGGAATAGTTCACCTCCACTAACAAACTCCATGATGAGATAAATTTTAGTATCTGATTCAAGGATTTCATATAATTAAACAATATTTGGATGACGAAGTTTACGAAGGATATGAATCTCTCTTTAGATTCTAGTGAAATCTGCAGGTTATTCTATTCTGCTTTTCTCTAGAATCTTGATGGCTACAAATTATTGAGTAGGTTTATGAAGACCTCTATAGACTTTGCCAAAGGTTCCCTTGCCAATGGACTGCTCTATATAGTTTAATTTATGCACCTATTATGTAATTATCAAGTGGGTTGGAAGTGTTGTGATTGAGGTATTGAAGATTATTCATGTTCGTTAATTAATTAATGGGAAATAAGAATATATGTTGTACTTAGGAAGAATAATAGAAATAATAATAAACAGTTGGTTCAGAATGTATAACAACAAATTCAGATATTAGTGAAGTTATTCCTATCCTGTAGTTGGTATAATCGAGTAAATGAGATCATCAATAGAGATTACAATCATATGCCATTATTAAATGAATTCAGAGTTTAGCCTACACTTAAAACGATTTAATAGCATCTACATATTAGAAAACAAATGATAAGTGATATTTTTTATAGTTTTGTTCAGAATCCCAAGGATTTGATGTTTCATTCTCAGATGAAGATTTCATTAGTTTAAAAATCCATTATTATTTCAGATAATAGTTAATAATCATAATTAGCTTGGAGTTTCATAAAGGCAACAGATTTGTAAATTTAATAATCTCAATTATCTAGTCATATTGATTTAAAAATGGAGATTAATCAATTTATTCACTTTTTTGCTGATTTGATTCAAAAATTATACAAAGCTCCATAGTAAATTGATGAAATACAGATGCTAATTTTAGACGAATTGTTTGGAAATGAGAGTTTTTATGATTTTGTTAAACTATAATATGATAAGGGATTACATAGTAAAATAATTGCTTATAGAGCTAATATTCAAAAAATAGAAAAATCTCAAAATAAACAAGAAAAGGCAGTAGCAATATTATCAAGCATGGTTAATAAAAGATCTCCTAGAGAAAAATTATAAATTTTAGATATGGCAGCTCAAAAATTGACTTAAGGTAAAAAAAATGTAGATGCTGATAAATTTAATGAATTAGTCTATGATTTGATTGTTCAAGCAAATATACCTTCATTTGTAACTGAAATAAAAATGATTCATCATTTTGCTGGAGAAATGTATATAATTATATTTGAGATTTATTAGAGATTCAATGGGAAGATATGGTTATATTCTAACTACTTTTATGGGAGTATTAATGTTAATAATACAAAATTATTGATATGATATAAATGATTTTTAGATAGATCTTTATTTTTTCATTAAATATTATAGTCATATTTTTAATTATAATATATTTCATTCTTATCTTAATTATAAGTACAAACTCTTGATATTATGATATTTTAGTAACCATTATAAAAAAACTAGATTGAGTAATGAATACTAATAATAATCAGATATAAAAGTGTCATTATACAATTTCAAAAATACTTATATTATTTTATTAATGAAAATTAGTGAAGTCATACTAATGTGTTTAATCTCACTAGTGTCTGCTGGATCTCTTACAAAAACAGATGCTTGTGTTTGTAAATAAATTTTGAGTTAAATTGATTGTAATGTATAAAGTGATTGTCAATGGAACAGTGTATCAGCTCAATGTGAAACACGTAAATCAACTGATATTGAATCATACTGTTCTCAGAGCACTATTTGTCCTATTATAGGATGTGCATTCTATAATAAAATGTGTAAACCATTTAGCGGTTGTACAGTTTATATTGCTACAACACATGCTGATTGTCAGGCTATCTCACCCTTATGTACAAGTAATGGTGAAAAATGTATAAATGTAAGTACAATTTGTGATGATTATCTTGTTAAAATAGCTTGTGAAATTAATACTTAACAGTATCCTTGTTTTTGGGATAGTTAGAATAATAAATGCTAAGAAATATCAACATGTGATTAATATCCAACTACTTATGATTCCCATGAAAAATGTTAAACAATGGGATTAATTAAGTCAATTAAATGCACAGCTAAAGAAACAGGTGGTTGTATCAATATTGAAGATGATTGTACTAAATATACAGAAAAAGGTTGTGTTATAAATTCTTTGGGTAATTCATGTTTTTGGGATAATGGTACATGCAAAGAGAAAACATGTGTCAATGCTCCAACAACTTATATTAATTAAGCATAATGTTAATAATATATGAGTACATGTTCAGTTAATGAGAATATGTAAGGTTGTATGGATAGTCCTTAATCATGTGAAAATTATACAAAAGAAGGTTAATGTATATCTGTAAATGGATAAATATGTTTTTGGTTTTCAATAACATGTAGTGAAGGATAATAAAATTGTACTGCTGGTTAAGGATGTAAAATATGGTCATGTGAAAATGCATTGAGTACTACTAATACTGATTTATTATGCTAGTAATTTAAGAGTGAATGTACTGTCAATGCATCAAATAATGGTTGTATTAAGAGAGCTATTACTTGTAATTTATATACATCATAAAATTAATGTGTAAAAACATTGGATGAATCTTAGAAATGTTATTGGAATGGTACAAGTTGTGTAAATATGACTTGTGCAAATGCTGCTTTGACAACATATAATGAATCTAATTGTAATAGATTTATGCCAATATGTACATTAATTAATGATAAATGTGGAGTCAGAACTTGTAATACATATTTAACAGAAAGTTTATGTAGTGTAGATTATTAAAATCAATAATGTGTTTGGAGTGGTTCTTGTGTTTTAAGGACATGTTAAAATGCAGATGATGAATATAATACACATAATGAATGTTAGAGTTGGTTGAAAAGTTGTACTGTATAGAAAGATTTAACAGGTTGTTAAACTTAAGAATTAATTTGTGCTAATTACTTAAAATAAGAACAATGTTATATGGCTAATAATAATACAATTTAATGTTTATGGATAGATAATAAATGTGTATAAAAGACATGTAGTACTGCTAGTACTTTAACATTAACTGATAATGAATGTAATACATATTTAGGAGGGTGTATGATAAACAATAATCAAGCTGGTTGTATTGTTAGAAAAACTAATTGTAACGATTTATTATAATTTTAATGCACATTTACATCCACAGGTTAATTATGTTATTGGAATGGAACTTAATGTGTTGATAGACAATGTATATAAGCCAAATATAATACTTATAGGGCTTGTTAAACATTTTTATCAACTTGTACTGTTAGTTACACAGGTACAAACTTTGATGGATGTACAAATAAATTATCATTATGTTCTGATTATCAATATGAATAAAATTGTATAGAAAGTTTAACAGAAGGCAAATGTATTTGGAATAAAAAAGCATCTCCTAATGCATGTTAAGTGAGAAGTTGTTCTAATTCAGATTAAACAACAAGTGATGCAGCCTGTAATAATCATCTAAATACATGTACTGTAAATGTTGCTAAAACTGGTTGTATTGAGAGATATGATAAATGTTCCTCATTTACAAGTTAAATTAATTGCATAAAAAATAAAACAGGAGGAGAATGTTTGTGGTACAATAATGCATGTACAGATAGAACTTGTGATAAAGCAGATAAAACATTTACAACACATGAGGCTTGTTAATCATATAGCACTAAATGTACAACTAATGGAAAAGGATGCATAAATATTGATATCTGTACTTCTTATACATTAAAATCTGGATGTGTTATAGATAAAAATAATTAACATTGTGCATTTCAACCTAGTTGCAATGTATTATAATGTTCAGATGCTCCCCAATCTTATTCAACTGATGATGAATGTAGAAAATTTAAAAATGAATGTACTACAAATGGAAATGGATGTGTAATAAGAACAACTTGTACAGATGCATATATCTAAGAAGCTTGTGTTACTGATTCAACTAATAATAAATGTGCATGGATCAATAATAGATGTGTAAATTTTGGATGTAGTAGTGCTCCAAGTAAATATATTACAGAGAAAGAATGTCAACTTTATAAATAGGGTTGTACTGTAAATCAATCAGGTGGATGTATTTAAAAGGGTACTTGTAAAGATGCTAAAATATAAGCAGCATGTACTACTGATAAAGATGGAAATGAATGTGAATTTTCTGCTGCTGGATGTAGAGATAAAGTTTGTAGTGATTACACTTTTACAACTCATAAAGAATGTTAATAAGCAAAAAGTACATGTACTACAGATGGAATTAAATGTGTTAATTAATAAAATTGTAGTCAAAAAACAAAGAGTGGATGTTTTTATGGAAGTGATGGACCATGTTTATGGATTAATGATGCATGTTATCCTTATACAACATGTTAATCACTTATATTTAGTGATCATACATAATGTTATTCATTTAGTAATGAATGCACCACTGATGGATTATCATGTATTGCAATTGATAAATGTTCCAATTTATCTGAATAAAGTTGTTATTAAGGAACAGATGGTAGATGTGTATATACACCTGATTCATTAAATGGATAAAGTAAATGTAAAGTATATGATGGATGTAAATCTGCTTTTTTTAATACTCATATTCAATGTTAACTTATTGATCCTACTTGTACAACTGATGAAGTTAGTTGTATTGATTTATAAGAATGTACTTCATATACTAAATAAAGTACTTGTAATATTGACCAAAAAAGAAATAAATGCTATTATGATGAGAAAGAAAAGAAATGTGTTCAATTAGAATGTAAACATATAACTTTAACAACACATCAAGAATGCTATGATAGTTTATCTACTTGTACTTCAGATAATACTAAATGTATTAATATGGGTAAGTGTGAAACTTATGCTAGAGAATATTGCAATACTTCATTAGGTACAGATGGTAAATGTTTATATGATCCAAATATTATCAAATGTCGTCTAGCATTATGCACAGAATTAAATGATAATTGCTCTTAAATAACTAATTGTGTTGACAGTGGTATTGGCTGTGTCATTAAATCTACATGTGATAAATATCAAACTGCTATTGCATGTGAATAAGGAGGATCTGATGGATTATGTGTATGGTATTTAAATAATGGAGAAGGTGCTTGTAAATTAATGACATCTTGTTCTGATGGTTCATCCAACAAAGAAGCTTGCTTAAAAAAATCGTGGAATTGTTAATGGACTGAAACATCAACTTAAACAGCCTGTGCTTAACACACATGCTCATCTAAATTTAAAGAAACAGGAATTTGTTAACCTATTCTAGATTTCGAATAAAAGAATTATGAATTATGTGCCTTGACTAGTTCCTAATGTATTTCCATGGAATTTGCATCATTAACAGAAGGTAATTGCTTTTAAGCCACAGCTTATACTTACACTTGGGATTCTGTTAATTCCAGATGCTTAAAATGTGGAACAACTTTTACAAATAACACTAATAATCAAACTAATAATTCTAATAACTAAACAAATTAAAACGATTCCAGTACCCAATCCCCTATATTATTATCATTCATAATAATGATTATTAGTATATATATATGAATTTCACAAATCTTCCAAATTAAGTACATCAAAGTTTTCTTTTTAAACTTCTTATTAATTATCATACCATTTAAATAATTTTCCATCTTGCCATTCACCAAACCTTGTTTACCCATTTTCTAATACAACTTTACCCTTTCCATTAGGCTTGTATAACTTAAAACTGCCCTCATAACTCCTACCATCTAATATATCTTGAATCTTATACTTCCCCACTTGAATATTCCATATCCATTTGGAGCATCTTTATTGAACAAACCTATATAGTGACAACCATTAGACCATTTCATTGATCCTTATCCACACATAAAATCCTCAAACCACTCCCCCTAATATTCCTTACCATTCTTCCAAGTTTATACTCCTTAACCATGTCGCTTGTTATTTATCCATAATCCAGTATATTATGAGCCATCACTCCATGTATATGTACCCTACCCTTATTTTATACCTTCATAAAAATATCCTTCATATCTACTCCCATCCTCCCATGTTTCAATCCCAAAGCCTTATTATAAGTCATCTTTCCATTAACCCTCATACTTTCCTCCACTTTAAGATATAAAAATCCCTTAACCATTTTATTTATCATTTTCCCATTATCCTTCATAAAAATCTCCATCAGCATATACAAATTTGCCCTGTCCGTTTGCTTTATTATTTTTCCACTCACCCTAATATTCAGAACCATCAGGCCATTTCAAAATTCCATAGCCTTCCCTCTTATTACCTATCCAATCACCTTAGTATACTCCTCCACTCTTTAAAGTCACAGCCAACTACTTAGTTCTCTCTTAAGTTTTTGTAGTTTGACTGGAATTCATCACTTTTTACTTCTTCTTATAATTGTACTTAATATTAATTTATCTTGGATCAAGACGTTTCATTTCTGCATCTTCACATGGTTCCATATCTTCTGGGTATTAGTAATTGTTACAGCATTATGCTCCCATTATAAATTAAAAATTAAATGAATAAGGATGGATTTGAAAAATTTGATGAAGGTACTAATAAAAATTATATTCTAGATATTACAACTAGTAGACCATTAGAACATTTTCATTAACTGACTGAAGCTCCTCCATAAAAGAATTTCAATTTTCTAGTTGTTTAAAAAATGAATGTAGAAGGACCAAATATGATACAAAAATGCATTGTTAAGCCACTTTAACAAGTTGGCTAGACAGCAGTTGAAGTTTCATTTCATTAAAATACTATAGAACACAAAGAATGCTGTCTTGTAAATTCCATAATTTTTTAAATGGGGAGCATCTGAATTGCTCAATAAATTATAGTCTACATTTCATAAATCTCCAGAAGATAAACAACCTTAGATAGAATAAGAATAACAGTTATAGTAAAACCAACACGAAGAGAGTAGTATTGATGATATTCCTGTTGTATTTGTTGTACCAAAGGAAATAATGGAAGGACCAATTGCTGAAAGATTATAATGGATTGATCAACATAGAAATGATTGCGAAGTTTTCATTCCTCTAGAAAAACCATTAAAGTATTAGCTTAAAATTAATTAAGATTGAATAATTATAATGGCATTCACAGCTCCTCATCATCTTCAAATGGACCTGATGATTTCGATTATGAAGTTAGAAGAATTTCTTAAGAATTCAAACTTAAAGACAATGAATCTGAATTATTTCCTTCTACACAAATTATGAAAACAAAGTTAATGGAATCAAAAAAAAGATTTATTATGTCAGAGGAGGATTATAAACATTTAAATTAATAGAATAATCAAAATTAAAATTACAATGAACCCTAAAATATTATTCTTTATCCATTTTTAGGTGAATTGATTCCAAAGGAGACTATTTTAGAATAAATTAAATAATACTAATTGGAATAATCATCAGTTACCGTGATTTAATCGAATATGGAATAAATATAAACCTAATAAATTCCATAATAAAATGAAAATTAATTTAATCCTCTAATATTGAATGGAGAGCCATTTGAAAATAATTAATAAGTCTAATAATAATAATAATAATAATAATAATAATAATAATAATAATAATAATAATAATTAGAAAAAGTTTAAGAAAGATAATTAGAGGCACTTTTAGAAGTTTGATTAATCATATATTTAGCTCTAAATAGTTTTAAATTTATTAACCTTACACACTTTTTTATATTAAATCAAAACATTATTAACTTTTTAAAGTAATAGAATTAAAATTTTTTTAGAAATTAAAAAATCATCTAAAATATTATAAAGATCAATCAATTTTTTAAATTTACATTTGCCCATATGATTTAATAGAAGATTATTAATAAATATTTATTTATTAATATTTTTATGTTTCATTCATTTTCCATATCCATTTCTTATTCAATTAAATTTAATGCAAATTTTTATGCATCAATTACTTCTTATAAAGACCATGGAATTTTACATTTAGAATTTTTGACTATTGACTATTCCATTTTCAATCTTATAAAATTTCTAAAATATTCTTCATCATCATTTTTAGCACTATACATATAAAATTCTTTTAAAGCTTCTTCATACATTCTAGAACAAAATTTAATAAATTTTTATAACTTGTAACTCATTTCTTCTTGTACATCTTAGATGAAATGATTGAGGATGTAATTTTTAATCTCTTAACGAAAAGATTTAGATTTCAATATAGTTCTTATGTAAGGTTAGTTGAATGATTTAAAACCAGACTAATAAGTGATGATTCCTATTTACATTTTTCTCTAATAGTAATTTAAACTTACTTTTGAGGATGAATGAAATAGGTTAAATGCTTATTCATTTTCAAAGAGAGCTCTTTGAAATGAGTCTCATAAAAATCAATTTATTACTGATTTTACTTCTTTTTTTTGTATACTTTCAATTAATTTTAATAGAACTTCTATTCTGCTATCTTGAAACCTTTTTTAAATACTAATTTTTGTTTCTCTTCTACTCTTTTATGATTAAATGAAGATTTCTTTGTAAACATCTCAAATGTCAATCTTTCTTCATCATTCAACTTTTATATTTCTTAATCTGTAGATTGGAGTCCTTATAGAGCATTATTGAGTTATTAAAAAAGAGGATCATTTTTGATTTATTCATAGATATCTGGATTGAGTCCATCATTCTATAATTATGATAAGATAGCTTAAGATTATTCATCTGGTGTAACAATAAATTAAGGAGTTATTTTAGATTTGTCATCCATCTTTATTAAATATATTATTATGTTTAAATTTAGCAGGCTTAAGTTTTTAAAGAGCCTTGATATTCTTTAAGAAGATAATCCAATACTAAAGAAACATTATCCAGTTATGCATAAGGAAATATTAGAGAGGGTTTTAGCTTTTTAAAAAAAGACACTTAAAAATAATATAGATATGGTGGATTGCACAATAGGAACAGGAGCTCATAGTTCGATTTTATTAGAGAATGTTAAAAATCTTAAAATGTAAGCATAAATAATATCTAGATTAGGATTAGACATTGATGAAAGGATGATAAAAAATTTACCACAGAATATCATTGCTAAATAGGATAATTTTATAAATTTTTATAAGCATAAAACACTAAGTGATACTAAATATTTTGATATTATTTTTGCTGATCTTGGTTATAACATGTAAGATACTTGAATTTATATGGCAGAAATTAGGTGTATGATGAATCATATGGTCTTAGTTACAAAAAGAATTCTGTACTTGACATGCGATATTCACAATCGATTTAATATACTGCAGCTGATTTACTCAATAATAGATCATAATAAGAGTTAAGAGAAATATTTCATAATTATGGTAATATACACAAAGCGAATTAGTTAGCCAAGATTATTATAGATAATAGATAAGTAAAATAATTTTATAAATAAAAAAGAAAGAAAAATTTGAGAGAGCTAATTAAATAATTGATATTTTAAATGAATTATCTATGGGTGATTAAATTATGAAAACATTTCAATCATTAAGAATAGCTGTTAATTAAGAAATTAATAATCTTAATTTATTTTTAGAAAAAGTATAAAGCTAATAAATAGTTGATAAATAATTAATTTTAATTATTACTTTCCATTCATTAGAAGCTGAAGCTGTCTAAAAATTTATTATGAAATTTAAAAAGTAATTTTCCATTAAAATTATTAAACCTTCAGAAGATGAAATAAAAGAAAATCCTCGTTCTAGATCTGCATAATTATTTGAAATAATTAATAAGAGTTTATGATTCGTATTTAATTGAAATGAATATGAATATTTTTGCAATCAAAAAGATTATTATTGAATATATTTGTACCTTTCAATATCTGTTAATTTACGTTCTATTGGTCTTTATATTTGTATTTATATTTCTTTTGTTAATGCCAATTGTATATTATTGGAATCCATTAAATTAACAATCTTAGATGTAATTTTCTTAAAGAGAACACATGAATCAACCGGATTGTGTTCTAATCTAGGTTAACTGAGGTATTAGTTAAGTGAAACATTTTCAAATTTATGATTAAATTATTATTCAAAAGGTCTATTATGATCTCTTAAAGGTGAAACATAACTCATATAATTATCCATTTTAATTGGATCTATACGTAAAGTTGGCTTTTATTGATCAGCACTATTTTTTAATACTTTGAGATAACTTTGTATTCTATTTAAATCAATGCTAGATGATGATAACAAAGATTTAAAATAATTCCATTCTCTCTTAGGATTTGCAAAATTTGTTATATATTTCTCAATTACTAAGTCGAAAAATTCAATTATTGCATTGCTTAATTCTTGCATTATTAATATTATTTAACAGTTAATATATATAAAAATCATAGCATTTATCTAATTTAGCATAATTGTTCCCTGAAATCTTCACTCATTTTATCAAGTGCATTTTTGATAGTTTAATTTACAACAATCAATAATTAGTCATTAAATTCTGCATTTGGATCAGTACCTAATTTATCATCAATGCTACGAACAATTTATTAAGATCCTTCTTTTAACTTTGCTTCATACCATCTACTTTTTATTATTAAATTTTACCTATATAAACAATTAATAGAAGATTCTAAATCTTTAATTCTCTAATCTACTTATTATACCTCTAATTAAGGTTTTTAGGGCATAGATTCTATTTCTCTTAATTTTCTTTCAGCACATCTTTCCTATAAAATTTTATAAAATGTTATACTAATCTTCCTTATTTCTATTCATTCACTTCTTATTTTTTTTATACTTATTTAACATTAGTTTCAGTTCTTTGAATTGATGGAATATATTCAATCATTTACAATAATGGAAGAAGAGCATCTTATTATAAACTTACTCTATTTAAATCAGCTATAAAATAATGATATTATAGAATACATTCAAATTTATCTATTCTTGCTTCAATTGATTAGTCTATATCAGTCATTTTAACGGATTAATTGATATTTTTATTATTTTTATATAAATATTTAAAATCACTTGAATTTGAGAATGCCTATTAATAATAATAACACTATAATAATGACTACTCCTATTTTTATGAATCTATCATTCTTTTCTTCTAATATTGGAGCAAAATTTTAAATATTATTTTATTCTTATAATTTTGGTTAAGATTCTATTGTAACAGGTCTTTAAATTAATTAATCTGTTTAAAAGTGTAATGGTTTATCAAATTCAGAAACTCCAATAGTTGAATACATGTTAGAATTAGACATCTTTGATGATTTAAGGTCAAACAATGAGTTTTTTTGAATGCTAATAGGTATTTTCTTTTATTAAAATATTCTTTCCTTTTATCTACTTTAAGTTCTAGATACTCATTATTAATAAGTACAATGAATTGTAAGAAGAATATTATAATGAGCTTGATTGAAAATTTGTCTAAGTATTGTTAATAGGACTCACTGATTTGGATAGCTATGACATATAATTATTTGACTAAGGGTAGTAATCATCAAACTATTCATTGTAATACTTACTATTGGTTTTTTTATTTGCACTCTTCGTGAGTAATTCATTGGAAAGTTAATAAAATTTATTAATATTTTATAAACTAACATCGATGAATTCACATAACTATTTGAATAAATTTTATATATTCGGGTGATTTAATATTAATTTTTAGCATTACTATATAAAGAAGATAATAACAATGAACAAATAAGATAAACCAGAATCAAGAGCTTAACGTAACATTCGAATTGTTATGGCTAATTTAAAAGAAGACTTAAAATATAAAGGTATTCTAACTTCTAATCTTAGTTGTCAAATATTTCGGACATCAAAAAGAAGAATAAGAATTAGCAAAACCAAGGTATGCTCATTCATAGTTTCCTAAATAACAGCTTTTTAGTTAAGAAGCAGAGTCTAATCTAATTGACTTTTGTCTAGATAATCAAGGTTTAAAAGTCAGCAAAGTAGGGACTCTTGTAGAACCTATGATAACCACGGAAGAAATTCCTTAAAGACCTTCAATAAGGAAGATGAAGGCTATAAAATAACCAGTTTTTTTTACGGAAGTCACTACTACCCATTTTCAACCTAGTGAAAGACCAAAGGAAGTACCAGCTTCAATTAAAAGAAGCACTAAATAACAAATGATGAATAAAGAGATTTTACGTAGATTAGGTTTATTAAGTGTTTAAGCAAAAAGAGAACTTGAAATAGAGAAACTCTGTAATAGAGCTTTAAAAGTGGCTAGAATAAAAGACTCTCCTGAATTAAATAAAAGATAAATAGAAGTTATTCAAAAATAAATGAGAGATGCTGAAAAATAATCTTAAGAATTAGAAATTTAAAGATGTACTACTTCTGCTTCTGCTGCATCTAGAAAAGCTTTCGATTATTAAGATGACTATCTTTTAGAATGTTTATCAGAAAGACCTTAATTAGTTTATAGTGTCTAATCTTTTCGAAATAGACCTTAAACTTAGTAAACAAAATCTAGAATTCACAATTTCTTTAAAACTGTAACTTTAGCTCATTTAGATAATAAAGATGAGATTAAAAAAGATGATCTTAGTATGCAATTTTAAATGTAATCTATAAAAGAAAGTTTATAATTATGCAAAAAAAAACTATTAGACTATAATGATGAAATAGAAATAGCATTAACAGAAGATATTAAAGGACAAGTGATAGAATATAAAAATATTATTAAAAATAATAATATAAAATGAATGATATAAAAAAACTATATTGCCGATTTGTTACAGGAATGACTGTAGAATTGGATGTAAGACCAGAAACAAAGACAGTGTAACAATTAAAGTTATAACTTGCTGAAATTATTAATTTGACATAAGATAGATTATATATCGGATTTGAAACATCTCTTTTGGAAGATAATGATTATTTATAGAATAAAGGAATATCGGATTGTGATACTGTCCATGTGATTACGTCTTAATTGACAGAAAAGATTTGTTACAGAAATAAAAAATGATAAATATGAGCCTTATTATCATTCAAATATAATTTAATTCATATTAAATGTATTAATTATTAGATGTTCATTCTTTTAATTATTAAATTATCATTTCTTATGTGTGCAGAATATGTCAGATTCTTAATTTCTTAATGTCTATTAAAAAATAATCGTTGAATAATAATTACATAAATATATAATATATATATATATAGATGGATCTAAAGGCTTAAATATTGAAAAGAGAAACTAGTTAAGAAATATCAGCAAATAATCTATATAATTATGAAATATTTAAAGGAACTTCATGGTTTTTAACTTTAGAAGATATTTTAATATTGGGAGAAACTTGCAGTATTTTAAATGAATTCGTTTAAGTTTCAAATTATTTTTATATAGATAGAAACATTATTAATTCTTTGCAGAGAAATACTATAAATAATTTCTTAATGATTAACTTGAAATAACACTTGAAATTAATTATCCAGATATAATTTAGAGAAATCTAATTCGTTAATCAAATTTTGGCAATTATCCTTTGGATTGGAAAACTCAATATAAAAGAATGAAATAATAGAAGTAAAATAATTAAATATGAATTGGTAGAAAATCAATAAAAATTCCATTTTTACTTTGTGAATCTGTTTTTCCTAAACCTATTTTAAAAAGAGAGACAATAGGTTAGTATTGTGAATCAGAATTTTAAATAATGCTTGCTTAACGTTTGGAATTAGAATAAAAGGGATTCGACAGATTGTTTGACTTTTAATTGATATCAAATGAGGTATTTAAAACATGATTTAAATTAAAGTTAATGAACACTTTAAAATAAAATAAACAATAAGTAATAAATTAAATGTGCGAAAAATTAGAAAATAATGAAACATTTAAATCAAAATTTTTGATATATAGATGGAATTTATAAAATGAATCTAATAATTTACAATAATTACATCTATCTAAAATAGATTCTTAAAGCATTTAAATAGAGGAGGAGGAAGAACAACTATTCAATGATTAATTTTGCATAATAAATCTTTTAGAATAGTTGTATAATTCTATTGAATGCTATTTATAAGGACTATCAATGTACTTTTCTACTTTCATTACTCCTAATTCAACAAATAGTATAGATTTATTAAGTGAATATGTAATGTATTGGGAGGCATATAGTAATTCTATTGTAGAATTAAATGGAATTATATATCCCTTTGAAAATATTGTGAATGATATACATACAAAAATATTTCATTAATATCCTCAATATCCTCGCTTTTCAGTTTGGAGAATAATGTGTTAATTATGGATTAAATATGTATTATTTCTTTTAATTATAGATTATTAGAAATGATTAATTTTAATAATTTCTTGTAGAATGTTTCATTAGGACTTTGTAAGCAGAAAGATAAGCGAAGTTTCTAAAAGAATTTGATCAAGGTGTTAATTAAAACTTAGGTTTTACTCCATCATTTTAAATTACCTATGAAATTTATGATAATTTCTTACTAAAATAAAAAAATAGTATAAAGGATTGGTTTTAAATTGAATCTACTCATAAATATTATACAGAGATAGTAGATTTATTGAGAAGTTTTAATAAATCTATTTAGGATATTTCAATTAATGAAGTATCATTTTAATCAATTTTAGATATCTGTTCATTGGATTGGACATCTGGATTGTTGTTATGAAGAATTCTATGAGTTATTAAGCGAAAGAGTTCAACATGAAACAAGTTTGTACTATGATGAAACTAAATAGGTTTTTGGATCAAATGTTGCCTCTTTTATAGAATATATGAATTTCGATAAAGAGTAAATTAATAACTATTAATATTATTCTAGATTTTTATCTCAATTTTTACCAGAAGCTCTGATATTTAAAATTGAAAACCTTTAACGCGAGCACATTTATACATACTTGCTTTATTATTTAGAACATTCATATCTTTAAAAATTTATTTAAACTCATAAAGATATGATTGTTGCAGCTTATAATACGAAAAAATCAATAACTCCAAAACAAGAAAGAATATCAGTTACATCATCAAATAATAATGAATATTTAGATACTTAAGGTGATGCTATTTTAAATGATGCTTAAAAATTTCTTAATTTTGCTTTAGAAAATACTAATTTTGATTTAGATGAACTATTGATTAATTAAAAAAATCAAAATTAATAGGAACCCTTATTAGAGATTATAAAAGTTGCTCTATCTTAAAAGAACCTTGAATAATTAGTAGGAAATAATTAAAATGATGATTAATTTTAATAAAAAGATTATTTTGAATTGAAAGAACCACAAAAAATTACAAGAGCATACTCAAATAATAAATGTAAAATTACTTTTAGATGATTATAGTAAATACTGATTCAACTGAAGTTCCAGAAGAAATAATCAAATCTGTTAAACAATTTTTATTAAATGATTCTTAATTTAATTAACTTTATCATATTTTCATAAATTACACTAAGCTATTTGATAAGAGCTGGGTTTAAGTAATTTAAAAAAATCAAGATATTGAAATATTAAATAATGATAGAGAAATTCCTAGGGTAATGTTTATTTTATATTTAAATTAGGTTCTATAAGATTATCTTTAATATTTTTATTTTATATCTAAGAATTTAACTATAGCAATCTTAGAAGATAATAAAATTGTGGATGATGAAGATCAAGATGATCTTGAAATGCCCCCTAACCTCTCAAAAAATTCATCAAAATTTAAAAGTAATATATTAATTAATATTTAGAAAACTCTGTATGTATGGAAGTTTATTACTCAGAAGAAGAAGATGAAAATTAAGGATGAATTCGAATTATAATGAATTTATTAAATTAATTTTACCCAATTATATTCTCCTTTTAAAATATCAACTATCTTTTGATTCCTAAATATTTGTTTAATTAATTAAGTAAAATTTTAACATTTAACAATTCATTATTTTTAATTCTATCATATTTTTAATATTGGAAAAAACAATTCATTGTTTATTTATTAGAGTTCCTTTGAAAAATTATATTTATAGATTATAAAATTAAAGAGATTTGAATATTTAATTTTAGAAATTATTAATAGATATGATGTAAAAAATCTTATTAAAGTAATAATTAATATATTTCATGATATTGAATTTTAAATGGCCATCATATTGATGGCTAATTGTGAAACTGATTCATTTTTTGATTCTGCTAATATTTCTAATAAGACCTTTTATTTCCTAATTAATTTATAAATATTTTAATCAAGTAAATTCCAAATATTTATTAAAGTTTCAATTACTTCATCAGTTAATTATTGTTCATTTAAATGTAATAAAATTTCAAATTGTAATGATATAATATTACCTGATTCTTCTTAATCTAATTACTCACATAAAATAACAAGTATAAAACTACACAAAACAAGTAATGAACTTTAAACTTTAAATTCAATCAAGTTTTAAATATCTTTTAAGAATTTTAAGAAACAAAATCTTATCTCTAAAGATTAAAATTATAAAGTTTTATAAATAAACTATATTGATATATATATAATTAAATACTTCTAAACCAACTTCTATTAAAAACATTTATTATTCTTAAATTCTTTCAAAAATGATTTTTAATAATGTAATAATTTTAGAATTTTTAACTATTCCTAAAATCTTTTAATCACAGTATGAAAAATCTACAAGTGTGTTTAATGCTGTTAAAATCCAATATGTAATATCAAATTATCTATTTTATAATGAATTTATTGCACAATCAATTATTGAATTAATTTTTTAATCATCTATTAAATCAACCAATCCTTCAATATCTGAACATATTAATATAATATTTTCACATGATACTTAAATATTTTTTTCAAACCAATTAATATTCATAATAAATAGATCTATTAGTTATGGTTTAGATACATAATTTTAAAGTTGATAACTTTAAATTTTAATCAATATACTTAAACATAAATAAAGCATACTATCTTTATCTATTAATTAATTTTCATCTATTTATTCTCTTAATTTTATAATTGATGTTATTAAGTCCTAATTAAGCAAATCTGTTAATTCTTATTATATGTTAATTTTAGAATTAAGTAAATTAGTTAAACCTTCACAAGCATATTGTAATTAATATATATTACTCTATTTTGATTAAATAATTTCAAGAAATTTCAAATGCAAGTATTATTCTTTTATCAATCTATCAACACTATTTGATGATTCTGATGCTGAAATATTTGACAAAAGTAATAAAGCATTCTTATTTTATTGATTCTTATAAACTTTCATCATTAATTCATCATTATTTAATATCATTTTACTTGATTGTTCTATTGAAGTATGAAAACTGAATAAAATTGATGAAATTTTTCCTTTTTAGCAAAAATTTGGCAAGAATCGACTTATTCTAAATTCATTCTCATTTCTTTATTTTCTTAAAGCTTCTCTATATTTTTCTTTTTTAAATAAAAAAATACTTTAATTCATAAATATATTATTATTTATAGTCATTTAATTCCTTATTTTATAATTTTTAACATTTTAGGTTCGAATTCTTACATTCCATTTTATAATATCTAAAATTAGTTCTTAATTTAATCAATATCTAATTGAAGCTCTTTTTCATTAAAAGCAAAAGATTCCCAAATTTTACACATATCACACTTTTTACCTTATCTTTCTGATAAGATTTAAGAGAAATTGAGGATTTTATTCTATAGAGTTGTTAAGGCATCTGACTCTTATGTCTTTTTATGAATCATTTTAAATATTTCACTATTAACGTTATTACCTTAAGATAATGTATATTGTTTAATAATTGAATTAAATTATTTTAAAGGCTTAAATACTATTAATAGTACAAAGATTTAAAGTATTATAGCTACAAATCCTAAAAGTATTTATCCAAATAATGAAATAGTAAAATTAATAAAAGATGTTTCTCTTATTGCTGTTGATTAATTCTGTGAATCTATTTTTGTAGTTATATTAGTATAGCTTTCATAAATAATAATAATACACAATAAGAGTGAAATTATTCTTTAAAACTTAAAGAGAATAAACATTAACTTTTTCATCTTATAATTTATTCTCTAAAACCAAAATTACTTTTTCCCTTTAACTTGAAAATTAAATCATGCCTTCCCAATCAGTTTTATTAAAACCAGTTACATTTTAGTCATATATGTAAAAATAATCAGTCTTATTTCTAAGTTATTCAATGTTAAAATAAACAACTAAACCATCTTAATCTAACAATAAAACATTATATGGAACCGTTGGTATCAAATAATCACTAATTATTAAACCTTCTCTTATAATTCCAATCATATTGCCATCAGAATATAGAGAACTTGTAATTGACATTTCCTTAATTTTTGTAATGAAAAAATCATTCAAAGGTGAGAAAATAAAACCCTCTTTTTCGTTTTCTGAAGTTTTTAATAAATGATTTTAATACCTAAAAATTAATATTTAAAATTATACCATGGTAATGAAGTAATATCAAACCAGGGTAATAAAAAACAAAAAGGAAATTGACTAAAATATTTTGTTTTTGATACTGATGATATTTATATCATTCCACTAAAAGAAACATCCAAAGAAAAACTATAATGATTGAGAAAAGAAATAAAATCATGAAGAATTTAAATTCCTGTTTCATTTTAGGGAATAGTAACATAATCTGGAACTCCAATTGCTTAATAACAAAATTTAGGTGTGTAAAGGGAGGTATTATCATTAATATAATCTTCAATTGATATGCATGAATCCATTTTATAATTATTTACTATATTTTCTTTTTCTTTTTCAAAAAAAATATAAAATTCCTTTATCTACTCCATTTATGTAAGAACTAAATAATTAAATTAAATTAAAACTTGACAAAAATTTCAGTTCTATAATTAATGCTACATTTTTAGCAATAAATCCAATTTTATCTTAATCTTATTTCTAAAGTATTTAATATAATGAACTAAAGGATATTGATGAAAATATTTAAGTTTAGACATAATAATTTATCCAAACCACTTAAAGTACAATCACAAGAGTTAACACATTGAATAAAATGATTTAACTTTTCATAGTCAACGAACGAAGCTTTTAAACAATTTTGGCTATCATTTTATTGTAAAATTCCTTGATAATAAATAATTAAATTAATATCTGATAATGAATAATTAATTATGATTAATTAAAGCAGCACATATAAATTTATGTCTTGAATTAAATCATAATTATATATCATAATAGCAAATTTACCTTAAAAATAATATTCAAATAATATGGAAATAATTTGATTAAAAATAATTATAATAAAAATAACACCGCTCATTTATATTTAATTTAATCATTTAGTCTAGAAATATATTATTTGAAAATATAATTTTTATTGAAATCAATGAATGAATGCTATAAAATGAAATCAACCTTTTAATAACCAGAAACACTAGCATAAAATCAATCTAATATAATTTTGTAAAGATTCTAATTCAAAATATAAAATAAGAGTAAAAAATATAAAAAGAATAAACCAAAGATAAATAATTCTATACTTTAAATTAAAAATTTGTTGTCTTCATATTAATTTCCGAATTTTATATAATCTTATATCTATCAAAAAATTAATAATGTAGACTAATGAATTAGAATTTCTTTCAGAAGAATAAATTTTATAAATAGAATTTTTCATTTTTTCAAAATTACAAAAAGTTTGATTTAAAGTTCACTGTAATGATAAATAAGGTTAATTACAGTGATTTTCAACTAACTTTGATTAAAATTGGCAATAAATTAGTCAGAAATATGAAATACTTTACTCCAATAGTTTTCACTAATCAAAAAAATATGTTGATTGTTTAAACTTATATTTTCATTATGGTCTGATTATATTATTTATAAACATGATTATATATATTGTTTTCTTTTTAAATGCTGATGTAGCTTGATCTCTTATGGATAATTTAACAAAAGATTATTGCAAAATATTTAATGTTAAATGTCTTTTTATATTCTAATTTCCAATCCTATTTTAGAGGATTAAACTATGGGCATAGAGATGAAGAATTCATTAATTTAATATTTCTTAAAAGATAGGAATCCTGCGCTAAAGATTTATAAACAATCTTTTCTTTAACAAACCTTAAAGGACATCACTAAAAAATGATTTAAAATTTTATAATATAAAAAAACAATAAGATATTTAGAAAATTAAATAATTTTATAATAATATCATCATAAAGAAACTAATTACAATCCAACTTAAGAAATGTATTAATTAGAGAATTTTTCCACTTAAGTTTTAACTTCTTTAAGTATTTAATTTAAATTTACTAAAGTTTCTATTTGCAATGAAAAGACTTGAGCAAAGATTAGTTTCATAGAACTTCCCTTATGGAGTAGTGTTAAATCTACTTTTGACTATTTTTATTATTTATTCATATGAACAAAGAATTCTAATGGAGTTGCTTATTTGTTAGTTAAAAATTAGTTTATTTCAGAAAGTTGGTGAATGAAATATTTAGTATCTTCTATTTTATTTTTAGTTTCATGACTTTTTGTATAAAATATTTCAAATTATTCCTACAACTCTCTTAACCATTTAGAATCATCTTTATTTTATTGCTTTAATTATTCATTTTCTAAGATTAAAATCTACATAGAGGTTTCCATTTCTTTTAATTTAAAATCATTATTTTTATTATTCTCTAAGTTTTATTCTAAAAATTTGATTTATTCTTATAGTGCTTATTCAATATTGGTTGAGTTTTTCTTTCCAATTTCTAATTCTTTATTTATACGATTAATAGTATTTCAATATTATTAACTCATCAGATTCTTTTCTTTTTTAAGTTCAATAATTGTTTTATCTAATTAATCAATATACTTTTCTTTAGAATTTATTTACTCTTTTAAAGCAGCATTTTCCATTCTAATTCTAATTAAATCATCTCTATTAGGACTAATTGAGACAATATTATCTATATGTGATTATTTAACAGATATTGGAGAAGACTTGAAGATCATATAGTATTCTTACCGAATCGATAAGACTAGAAAGCTCAGATTTATTTGGAACTATAGAATTCTATTTTGTTGATTTTTTTTTTGTACTTACTTAACTCCTTTCCATACTAGTGTTCTTAAAATTACTATTCACATTAATTATAGTCTATTAATTTGAATCCAATACTAATGCATAAATATCTTTTGCTTAAGCACACAGTCTTTAATTATGTTATTCAAGTTTTTGTTAATTTTTCTTAATTACTTTAATTAGATCAATATTCATTAATAATATAATAAAAAGAGTCATAAATTAAAGAATTGAATTGTATTTTAATTGAATTCATGCATAAAATTTGTTTAAAAATGAAAATAATATTAATATTTATACTATGCTAACTTATTTTAACAATATTTTTTTTTGCCTTTCCAAATGAAATTAAACAATACTGAAAAAATAAAATAATCATATAGATTTAGTAAAATTTATTGATTAATGAGAGTTTAAATCAAAATAGATGAAACTTAGATTTTGAATGAAATTATTTATTATTTATAATGGAATTATATGTGTAATTCATTCAAAGTTAAAAGAAAGATGTCTTAACAAAAAGATAGTATAAATTCTTAGCAGATGAAGCAATTACTAGTGGATCTGATTATGATTAAGATGCTAATCCATTAGAAGGTTATAAAATAAAGGAGAAAGGACGCTAAGGTCAATATAGTTATAAAAGAAGATTGTTGTCATCAAAGCATACATTAAAAAGAAAATTTAGTTTTAATTGGGATCGCATGGCCATACGTTTTCGTAGATTTTATAACAAAATAAAGTAATTAGTAACAATCAAATAACCTTACACTTTTAGTCCAGATGGTTCAATGAAAATGTTATGGGACCTATTATGCTTATTATTAGTGATTTATGAGATGATAACAATACCTTTATTGATTAGTTTTGAAATTGAGATAAGTTAAGCATTTTCAAGAATAAGTACAGCTATGTTTGTATTTGATATTCTACTCAATTTTAACACAGGTGTTTATTTAGAAGGTAAATTAAATATGGAAAGGAGGGAAATATTTAAGGAATATATAAGTTTTTGGTTTTGGATAGATTTCATATCTACATTTCCTTATGATATTATAATGGATGAATCATCTTCATTAGTTTAAAGTGCAAAATTAATAAGATTACTGAAATTTTTAAGGTTTGTTAAAGTCTTAAAATTAATAAGATTAGCTAAGTTAAAAAAAATAATAGATAAATTTGATGAATTATTATCAATGAGACCTGGTATAGCAGCAATAGTCAATTTTTGTAAATTATTTTTTTTTGTATTATTTTTTGCTCATGTTCTTGGTTGCATATTTCATTATCTTGCATAATAAGAACCAAGTGATGATTCATGGTTAGGAGATATCTATTTTGCTGATTGGTAAATTAGATATGTAAATTCTTTATATTGGGGAATAGCAACAATGACTACAGTAGGTTATGGTGACATAAGTCCTTAAACACCTTAAGAAAGATTTATTGGTATTATACTATTATTGATTGCATGTGGTGGTTTTGCTTTCACAATGAATTCTATTGGATTTGCTTTATAAGAAATTGATGGATAGAATAAATTGAAAAAAGAAAAAATTAATGGGATAAATAGATTTATGAAAAAAGCAGGCATATCTAATTAATTATAGAATAGAATTAGAAGATATATTGAATTTGTAATGGAATCAAAATCTTTAGTATTATAAGATTTAACTAATTAAGTTTAAATTGAATTAGCTAATGATTTAAGGAAATAAGTAAATGGAAAATTACTTGGGTATTGCGATATCTTGTTGAAGAACAATTCTTAATAATTTCTTATTGAGATTGTTTTGCCTAGTATGAAAGAAAGAGTATACAATCCAGAAGAAGTAATTTTTGATGAATTTGATTTCTAATAAAATTATGATATGTTCATTATCAAATCAGGATTAGTTGATATATTTTATAAAAAAACTGGTATCGTTGTTGATCAAAAAAGAAGAAATGAATATTTTGGTGAAATAAGTTTTTATTCAAATATGCCAAGATCTGCAAGTTCAAGGAGTGTCAATTTCTCAAGCATATTTTAAATTTATTAAGACAAATTTTAATAAAACTTAAAGACATATTAAGATTCTTCATAAAATTCATAAGGACGAATTTTTGATTTAGAATAATATTATCTGATTAGAGATAAGATAGTATTCCATAAAGATTATGGATCTATAGGTGTAAGATGTTATATTTGTTAAATGGATGATCATATAGCAAGAGATTGTGAGAAATTACATTTTAATGTGTAAAATTAATATTTATTTTAGATCAGCCACACATTTTATTAAATTCCTAAAATAATTTGATAAATTACATTAAGCAGCTTATTTTCGTAGGGATAGAATTGATTTTAATGCAAGAAAGTGTATATAGTAAATCAGATAAGCACAATAAAGATTCGAAAATTCAAAATTAATAAATCTAAATGTTAAAAGAAAGACTTATCTAGAAGATCTTCTTAATAGTTATAATGTAGCTGAAGAAGATATGTTGGATACTTAATATCCTGAATATCAAATTTATAATCTCAAATAAAAAAGTAGAATAAAAAGTATCAAATATTTGAATGGCAAAATCACTAGAAAGTTTACTCGTATTGTTTCATATGCATCAATTAGTGAAAATTATTTTGGAGGTCTAACTGAAAAAATAGATAATTTTTTATTATAAACAAAAAAAAAAGAAATGGAAGAAAAATTTAAATAGTTACATTTAAGTTCTATTTCAAATTTTGATTAAATATAAGAATATAATCATTTTTATCCTTAAGGAAACTTTTCTACTGTTCTAACTTAATATTTAAGAGCTTTAGAAAAAGGATTTCCTAAAATTATAGAAATTGAAACTTTATTTGGTATTGAAGAATTTCAAAATTATTCTTAATACTATTGTTATAAATTAGAAATTGATGCAGAAATTAAAAATAGAAACAATAATGTAGAATTAAATTTTGAATAAATGAGATTACTAAATATGGATAGAAGATAGAAAAAGAAAGAAAAAGTCATTAAGGATGCTAATCAATAAATTCAAAAATCTTTAGTATAATTAAAAGCTTATAAAGCAATAAATCGTAGTTTTAGAAATCTATTTAATAAATGATGATAAAATTAATTAACTATTTATTTAGAATTATTAACCTACAACTATTATAGATGATTTATAATTATATGTATTAATATTAATAATAATCTTAAACTCCGATTCATAATAACAACTTTCTATAATCAAAAATGATTAATCTTTAAATTATTGATTTTAGTGTTCAAAATTTTTTATTTCTTACACTATCTTTAAGACTATAGTAATTTTTGATTGTTTTAGACTATTAGATATTTTTATAGATTTAAATCTTGTATTTATAAACTTTAACATACAATAACTATCTTAACTATTTTAAATTTATTCATTATTTTATAGTTACCATGTCTATGAAAAAAAACTCAAACTAATCTTCAGGTTAGATATTTAATATAATCGTAAATAGGTCCAAAATTCGTAAAAGATAATAGTTATAAATCTAGATCAGAACATAATCAATCATTTGATGGTTCATATTGCAACAATTATACAACATCAATTAGTAATAAGAGCAGACAAAAAAGTTATAGTTAACAAAGCAACATTTTAGATGAATTAGAAGAAGAGTAATTTCCAAATTAGATTAATGTTACAATTCAAAAGAGATAATTTGAATTAGCCTTATAGAATGAACTTCAAAAATTTTTATCAAAAATTATTGCTGGATAATAATTTTCAATTGAAGACTGTTAGATTATCATAAAAGCAATAGATGAATGTATATCAGAAAGTATTCAAACTATAAAATTGAAGGAAGCAGAAGTATTTATATTATTAATAATTTATTAGATAAAAACAATCAAATAAAGTTTTGAAATGAAAATAAATCAATATGAAAATACCATATTAGCATTAGAAAATGAAATTTAAGAATTAAAACATATGATAACGTTAAATCCAAACGATTCTATAAATTTCAAATTATCATAATTAGAATAAGAGAATGAAATGCTTAAATTATAAAATTAATAAGCAATTAAATTAGCAGTTTAGGGTAGAAATAAGAAATAAGAAAAAGAACTTTTAGAGCAAATGAATAGTAATAAATCAAAACCAAAAACTTAAGTTAATAATTATTCAATTTTATTGAATCAATAGTACAATAAAATTTACCAACAAGATAAGAAAATAAAATAATAGTTATTTTGAATTTTGAATTGATATTTTCAATTAATTTTAGTACTCCTTGTCAATTAATTAGAGTAAAAGTTCTTAGATTTTTGTTATCTTGAATTTTAATTCAAACGTTGACTTTAATATTCTATAACTTAAGGTGGTTATTCATAAGATTAATTTTCATCTGAATCTATTCCTATAGAATTCTTTTATAAATTTTACCTAAATTTGTACTAATTTCATGACCATCCAACATATCATTCATCTCTCTTATAAATAGACTAACAGAATCTTCAGTACCCATAATTCGATCTTACATTTCTTAATTTTCAACTTCTAAATTTCTTAACTTAATATTATTATAATATTAAATACTTTTGAATCAAGTGTTTTATTAGCTGAATTTTTTCTTAATTCATTTTCAAGCTAAGTTAAGATTAATTCTTTTTATTTTAATTTTGATTATAGTTCTTATTCTTTTAACTTTTAATTTGTTATATTTTCTGTAATTTCTTGTTCTTTAATTTATAGATTTTTAATTTCAGCATCTTTTGAAGCAATAACTTATAAAAAGGATCTTCTAATTTTATCATTTTTATTTTTGGGAAATAATAATCGAACTTTTAAGAAAGCATGATGCAAATTTCTTTTTTATCTTTTTTGAATAATTAATCCAACTTATTAATATTTTAATGCTATTTAAGTAAATAACACTTTAAAATGATGGGCATTATAACAACTAGTTTTCTTAAGTTTACGAAAGGCATAAAATTTTTATTAATTTCCTCTACTATTAACAGTTAGTATTACTTTAATTTTATAATTAATGCTACTTTTCTCATAGAGATTTCCATCTTTAAAAATATTAATTAGTATTTAGCCATCATATTCAAAGTTTCAGCATGAATAACTTGCTCTCTATACTTACTTAATTAAGTTTCTTTTTCATCTCCCAACATTTATTATAATTTATAATTAAAATAAATTATTTTTATATTCCAAATTTCATAATCATATATAATAGAACTTTATCAACTCTTAAATAATTTTGTAAGAAAAGAAAATCATTAAAAAATTTAAAATTTTATACAAAATTTAGTATAATATTATTGAATTATATATTTAATATAAATCAACAATCAAATTAAATTTTCATTGCATTATTTATATATAAATTGAAAGTTTTGTAAAATGACGTAGTAGGGGTAATCAAATTTCACACTTTTTATTTTATATTTTTGGATTAAAAACTTAAATTTTAATATAAAAAAAATAAATGAGTGCATAAGTTTTATTTCGTGTTGTATGTCCAACTTAACTTTCTTAAAATGTTACTATAGTTGGAAACCATTCAGCATTAGGTAATTGGAATCCATAAAATGGATTTAAAATGATTACTAGTCCAGATACTTATCCAGTTTGGATGAATGAGTATCCTTTAGAAGTTGAGCCAAGTATTTTCATATTTGAAATTTATAGATGAAATTTTAGAATTCAAAATAGTTATAAGTAATGGTATAAATTCCTAATGGGAAATTGGAGCAAACAGATTGATACAAATCTTAAGCCAAAAGATGATAGTGGTCTTAACTTTTGATTAACCACTACTTATTATCCATAATATAAGAAGACTATTCTCAAATAATGATTTAACTAATATTACTGAGTGTATTTTAAATAATTATATTTAGCCAACGCAAGAAAGATTTCAATATAGTTACAAGAGAAATTATATGATTCAGATGAAGACTCAGTAATAATATATATCATATTATTTAGGATCAAGAATTAGAGAGTGATGATAATTCATAATTTTATGATGAAGAAACTTCGTTGATTTCTAATGAATAATATTAGTGTACTCCAAAAAAATAATCAAATAATTAAGATTGCCAATTTCAATTTGGATTGGTCGATCTTTGATATACTCTTTGTGTTTATAAATTACTAAAGCAAAAAATCAAATTAATTTAAATTATAGAAATTTCTTAGAATATAGATATAGAAAATTCTAATGCCAATTAATATTGTCTATATTAAGAATAATTTTTTTAAAGGGCAATATAATTAATATTAAGTTTCAATCTTTTTATGATTTATATTAATTTTATTAACTTACTACATGCCAATATAAGTTTACTTTAAAGTCAGATGCGAGACACATTCATCACAAGAACTTAGAATCGTTGGAGATATTCCAGCCTTAGGCATGTGGAATCCATTTAATAGTCTAATTTTACATACCAATAATGAAATATATCCTTTTTGGGTAGGATAAATTTATGAGGACCTAGAATAAAGTACAATTGAATGTAAATACTAGATACTTTGATTCAATTTAAAGCTGTCATTATTGAATGTGATGAAATTATTTGGGAATAGAGTGAAAATAGGGCAATATAAATTAGATACTAATCATAGAGTGTCCTTTTTTCTTTTAGTGGCACATTCACATAAATGGTGAAAATCTAATCATATTACGATTAACCATCAGATTCAGAATCAGAATCAATTGATATAAGTAAATTTTTATATTTATAAATATTAGAAGGGGCAAGGAAAATTTATCTTTAAACTTCTCTACATCCTTATGATTATGAGTTCATGAGTTCAGTAAATAATTTAATCTATTTAGGACTCTGGGAAAGACCTGGATTATTAAAGTTCTAAAAAATCAAGTCTAAATTCAAAGTCATCTAGTTTAGAATAATTGGACAACCAAGAGACCTCTTAAACTAAATTTGTGCATATTTCTAGTTTTAGATTCTGATTATTATATACGATGTTATCTTGCATCTGTTTTTAAAATTACTTATAATTAAATAATTATTTAAATTCTTATTTATTTTTAATGGTGCTAATGTTAATATTCTTACTTCTAATATCTAAATAGAAAATATAATTTCGCATTTATAAATGTCATTCAGATTTTTTCATTTAGATAATATTTTTAGTCTAGCTAAGTATTTTCTATTCCTTCCTCATTTAAATGTGATTTTCCCTCTTAAATTGCATTTTTTCTAATTTTATTATGAATTATATAATTCTTTCAATTTAAATTGCCCTTCCAGTTTTTTATTATCTACAATATATTATAATTAATTTTGATTATGGTAAGTTTTATTTGTATTCCTTTTTTACTTAAGCATCTTCTATTAATCTCATTTCAGGTATTAAATATATTCTATATATATTAAAGCATACTTTGATCTTGATTCTTTCAATTAATCCATTTTTATTTATTTAATATAAAGGTTTAGGTATTGATACAATCTTAATACTTATAAATTTCATTTAATTAATTATAGATGCTATTTGATTATATGCTAATAAAGTATTATATAATATCATAAGGGTTTTAATTAATATAAATATTAAAATATTAAGTATGTCAAGTTCATTAGAAAGCTAAATATTATTGGCCATATGGACTATGTATTAAAGAAATCAGATATCTATGGAGTAAAAAGGATGCATAAAGGGTAATTCTAGAAATTTATAAAGATTTGTTAATTAGAAAGGATAATAATTTATATTAAAGTATTTGTAATTGCAAAAGATAAGATTAAATTGAAGAAAGGTTGCTTGATATTCTGAATTGTATATATTTTTAATTTGGTTTGATTAGGGTTCTCCAAGAGACCTAGATGCTGAAGATAATATATATCCAATTTTCAGATTGAGCAATTAATCCAGTTCTCCAACTACTACTTAATCCCAATGTCATTATCCTGAGAAAAGATTTAGATTTAAGAGTTCAAATAATGAAAGTGATACTTCTTAGAATTTTCATAGGATTCGATCGAACTCTTAACATCATAAATGAATTCATGCAATATTTGTTTGATTATCTTAGACTTAAACTAAATCTAATAATTTATTTTCAGCAATAAAATATTCCTAATTGATTTAATTATTTTAATAATTGATATTTAGATAAATTATATTAAGCTATTTAACATCTTAAAAGATATAATATTTATATATATAGAATTCAGACTCACATACTAATCTAATTCTAATTATTATATAATTAAGATTTATTTTATCAATAATTCAAAAAAATAATTGAATAAAATAATTCAATTAAGTAATTAATACAAAACAAAATAGTAATTGAAAAAATAACAAATCGAAATGCTACCAATATTTATGATATTTAAATCTATTTTTAAAGTCATCTTCATTTTCTAATAATTTTATTAACAATTGAAAAACTTCAATATTAATTTAGATATCATTTAATATCCTTCTTTGCCCTAATAATTTTAAATCTAAAATTCAACCTAAAAAATAATTTTTTATTTCTTATTTTTAATAATTATGGATAGAGTGTCTAATAATTAATTGGTGATTCAACTTTGATTTTAAGAAGTATAACTTATTTATTCAATAAATTAAAGGATAGAGGAATAAAAGGTAAAATTAATAAAAGTGTAAAGTTCAGGATAACCGAAAATAATGATATTGAGATTATCATTTTTCAAAACTAGATTTAATATTGAATTCCATAATTGATAAGCTTTGAAAAGCTCTTAATTACTTTTATAACCTTACTAAATTTTTATCAAGTATTCTAAATAGCATAAGCTCATATAAAATACTCCATCCTATTTTAAATTCGATTGTTTCAAATGATAGTAAATAAAGAAGTAACTAAGTATATTAAAATATATGTAAAATAATAATAATCTTATTATTATTATGAAGACTTCATCAAGAAAATTAATTTAATTTGTTATTTTGCTATTAGAAACTCCATCTTCTGATTTTTGTTTTTTCTATTATTTTTATTTAATAGAAATAACAAATTGGATTGCTAATATAATTCAATTTGGATTTATGTAAGGTAGAATTATTTTTGATAAATCTAAATATTCTGGTAAATTAAAATATATTCTTATTGCTGTAAAATAAGTTATAGAATTAAATTATTAAAATTATTCAAACAATAATCCTAAATATAATTAATATAGGCTTTTAAGTTGTTTTAGATTAAATTTAATAAAATAATAAGGTTCTATTATGTTTATAAACAATATATTTGAATTTTAGTAAATAAAATATCATGATTAATCATATTTATAACTTTTAGTATTTGTAAATAGAATATATTTAATAAATATTATATACTATTTTATCAAATACAAAGCTTGTTTAGTAGTTAAATTTATTTTTAAATAATGAGATAATAAAAAAACGATTTATTATTATTAAATGTTAAAATATTGTACAATTAGAAAAACATAATTTATTACATTTTTTCAGGTAAATTAAAGACTTAATTATTTGAATGCTCATTAATTGTTTCTATGATAAATATATTTGATATATATGAGAATGATTTGAAGAAGAGTTGTTTTACTAGAATCACTTAAAAATAAAAGTTAAGAATTCTATTTGTGTAACAAAAATTGAATTGTCTACATTAACTTTAGTTTTTTAAGAAAATAATCTCAGACAATAGAGTTCTATTAAAATGAACAAGATTAAAGATGGTATAGATCTAAATGGAATAGTTTATTAGCTAGTTGAAAGTTTTTCCGAAAAAATGTTCAAAAATGAATTAATAGGTAGAATGTGATCTAAATTACTCAAAGGAACTAAAGATAATGGTCTTCATTTTTAACAAAAGACAATATTAATATTCTTCAAAATGAATAACAAAATCTTCTCTTTTTAAAACACAAATACATTGGCTTAAGCATTAACCAATAAAATACATGAATTAGAGTATTAATCAAAAAAAGGTACCAAATATCCTTTTGGAAATAATGAAGACTTTGTTGGGATTGGGTAAATGATTTTAGAGTTTTTTTTCTCTGATTACTTGATTTAAAGAGGGTGGGTATTAATGTAATTAAACATAGTTATCCAAATAAAGATAGTTAAATAAAAAAGTCAAGTGATCTTGTGTTGTTGAGACAAAGACTATTGAGTGAAAGGAATTTAGCTGATATAGCAATAATGTATAAGATTGATAATATCGTTCAAGTAGGTAACTAAATCAGCTTAAAGTAAAAAATAAATTATATATTAGAAAAAACCCTAAAATACTTGCAGAAACTCTTAAATCAATAATTGCTGCTTAGTATTATGATTCTGGATTCGATTTAGATCATTTAAGAGAAGTTGTATAGCCAATACTAAAATAAGTTTTGGATAAGTATATAATTCAACTAATACAACTAGAGGATAAGGTGTCCCTATAATTGAGCTTAAATAAAATCCGAAATCGGCATTTTTAGAATTTGTTAATGGGTGTACCAATTTAAAACCAAAAGTTTCTGTTGAATGGAAAAAGGATACTACTTAAAATGGAAACCCAATTAATGTATATTAAGTTTAATTGGAATTGAATAATATATTATCAATTACAAGAATGGGAATTAATAAGAGAAACACAGAATAAATAGTATACAGAGAAGCATTATAAAAGCTTAAATAGATTTAATAAAAATAATTACATTCATAAGAATAGTAAAATTAACAAACTCAACCATTAAAAATTAAAACTTAAGATAAAGAATCCATTTAAGAAATTACTATTTTAGATGAATTAGATACTTCTGTAATGGAATAAAGTTAATTTTACTCATTATCTGATTTAAAAGATGATGATTTAAATTTATTAGAAAATTAAAGAACATTAGGTTAAAAAGTAGAATCCCTATTGGAATAGTTTGCTTTATGATTATTTATAAATTTATCACTCCAATTCATTATAGAAATGGGTGTTCTTTACATTATTTCCATGTCAATCTTTCTTTATGATTTTTTTTGAGCATTCCTTACAATAAATCATAAAATTATTTATCAAATTAGGATTCGGGATAAGTAAATTCTGCTTAATTCAATAAAGATAATAACTAAATAGGGGTTTTAATATTTGAATCAAATTAATAATAAGGATGTTTACCAAAGGCAAGCTCATAAAATATAATTCCAGCACTCCAAACATCTAAAATTTATAAGTTTTATGTTGGCTAATAATTTAATTATTCTATAGACATATAAAGGAGACTCTTGTTTATAATTGATATTACCTGCCTTATCCCAAATAATCTATATTAGAGGGAATATTGTCAATTTAATCTAAAGACTCATGCATTTCTTAATTTTCATCTTATTATAGAGATGTTGATAACCCAAAATCTGAAATTTTGATAGTATCTCCAACAATAAGAATATTTTAAGGTTTTAAATCCAAATGACATACTCCTTTATATACCTTATCATTTTGTAAGTGATTAATAATTTGTATTTCAGACATATACAAGAAAGCATTAACTATTTATGTTATAATTTTTTTCATTTCTTCTTAATTAACTATTTCTAGGAATAGAATTAAAAATTTAATATACTTTTAGTATAATATTAATCTAAAGTGCTATGTGCTAGTTCCATAAATAAATAAATTGAATTCTGAGTTTCTTAAACATTAAACAATTCTAAAATATTTGGATGTTTAAGACTACTTTATATTGTTATTTCTCTTTTAATTCTTTTTTTGATTATTTATCTTTCATTATTATGTATAAATACTTATTATGTTAATCTCTTGAATTGATATATTATTTTGATATTATTTTGACTGCTACTTTTAATTTATCTGTTTTCCTTTCACCTACATATACTTCAGACATAGCACCAGAACCCAATTTCTGATTTAAATATATTTGATAATCTCCTACTATTTTATATTGATTCATTTTATTATAGTTAATAATTTAATATATAATATTAACTATATATAATTAAATGCAGAATAGCATAGATGAATTCGAATTTCGAATGAACGAGTTTTCAGAACTACTTAAATAAGATTTGTTTACCAAAGATGGAAACTAGAAATTACAAAATGATTGTAAATATTTTGCCAATCTATTTTCTGATTTACTGAGAGAAAATTATAAATTGAAAGATTAGATCATTGAACATTTGCGATAAATTTCAGGTAATGTTGAAAAGTAAATAAGTTTACAGAGAAGAGCTTTAAAAAATAACATTTGATGTCAATTAAACAACCAATGAAGATAGAAAATTTTCAAAAGATATGGCGTCAATTGAACTGTTAGTTAAGTATTTAGTTGAAGATTAACGATACTTCTATATGGAGAAAGAAAAAATGATAAATGCAATCAAACAAAAGGATTAAGAATTTGAAATGTTAAAAGAATAACATATTTTGTAAATAAAAGACCTTGAATAATAAATGTTGAATAGAAAAATGAAATGGAAAAATAGATTTAAAAAATAAGTTTAAGATGGATTAGATAATGTTTAGTAAATAAAACTATTGGAAGATAAAATATTATAACTAAATTCAGAAATTGAATAGCATTAATAGAATATTTTGAGTTATGAATCTGAAATAACAAGAAAGGATTTGAAATTATAATATTACTAAAAATTAGAATAAGAATTCTAAACTAAATAGACAGATATTGATATTAAACATGATTTTGCAATGAAAGAATTATAAAAAAAATATAGAAATGAAATGAAAGAATAAAAAATATAATATGCAAATAATCAAAAATAATTATAAAACAATTATGAAGACAAATTTTAAATTTTATAAAAAAATGCTGAAGTATATCAAGTTTAATTAGAATAAAAAACTAATGAATTTTTGAAACTATCAAGTGAATATGATGCTTTAATTCAATTATATAAAGAAAATAAAGAAAAATATAGTGTAGTTGTTTAGGATTTAGAAAATTCAATATAAACATAAAAATAGGAAAAACAAGAACTCTTAGAAAAATATACAAAATTAAATGAAGATTATGAATTAACTAAGAAATAACTTAAAAGTTCCAAAGAAGAAGTATTTAGATAAGCTAATGATATTCAAAATTAATAAAAAGAAATTAAATCACTTTAATTAAATGTTTAAGCTCTAGAAAATAAAATGAAAGAAAAAGTTGAAAGATTTTAGAGATTACAAGAATAAATGAAAGTTGATCATAATAAATAATGTTAAAAGATTAAAGAGGATATGGAAAAATAATCTGATAATAGATTGAATTAATTGTAAAAAAATGCATAAGAATAATATGAATTATTAACTCGATAAAAAAATACAGAAATAAATAGATTAAAAGGATAATTGGATACTTCAATAAGTAAATTTGAATAATATGAATTGATACATAAAGATCAAATAAATAAATTAGAATAACAAGCTTAAATGAAGTAAATAGACTTTAATGAAAAAGTAGTAAAATTAAAAGAATAATAAAATCTTTAAGAAATGATAATAAAAAATAAGGATACAGAAATTTAATAATTGAATGCTAAAATTTAAATTTAAGTTGATGAATTCAAGATGCAATTAAAAGAAATAGAATCAAAATTTCAAGAAGAAATTATTATTTTAAGGGATGGGGTTGAAATACTTATTAAATCTGCAAAAAAGCCATTAGAAGATAAAATACTAAGTTTAACAGCTTCTTGTGAATAAAAATAAAATTAATTAGGAAATCTATAAAATCAATTAAATTAATTACAATCTAAATATATAGATTCTGAATAAAAAAGTCATGAAAGAATTATTTAATTATAGGATGAAATGAATATGTCTTTAAATATTTTTAATAAAATGAATGATAATTTGACAACAAAATTATAAAAAATGATGGAATAAACTAAACAAATTTAATAAAATTATTTTATTTTGAGTGAATAAGTATAAACAAAGAATAATGAATTAATTTAATTGTAATAAGAAATAAATAATAAAGAATATGCAAGACAATAAGAAAATCATAAACATTAAAAATTAGTTAAAGAATTATAAATATTTATAGGAAATAAAGAATTAGAATTATAATAATTAAATAATTAATATATTGAAACTCTTGGGATTACATAATAATAGAATATTAAGATATAAAATATCAATTATCAATATTAATAAGAAAAAGAAAGTCTTATCTAGGAGATTGCTAAAAAATAAAACTTAATAATTTAATAATAAGAAGAAATTACTGTAGCCAAATAAAGTGCTTTATAATAAAAGTAAAATTTAGAATAATAATTATCTAACTAAAAAAGTAATTATGAAGAATAAGTTAAGATTTTGGAAGAAAATTAAATTAAATTAGAATTAATTGATAAAGAATTGTAAACAGAATTTTAATCGAATAGTATAATATAATAGGAAAATTAAGAATTTCAATAATTTAATGAAGGAAAGGATTCAGAAGTTATGAAGGAAATGGAATTAAATCATTAAAAGGAGAAGGCTGAATTGATAATTAGATATGAATAAATAATTGAATAATTAACATAAGCAACATAATAAGAGGGTAATGAAAATTAAGAGTAAAGAAGTCCTATAATTTAAATAGTTGAGAAAATAGTTTATAAAGAAGTGCCAAAAAAAGAAAATCATATTTAAGGATTAGATGTTATAGTAAAATAATGTTAAAAAGAATTAGAGGAAGCTAAGGAGAAAGCATAAGCAGATAAATAAGAAAGTTAGGAATATGTTAATTAATTAACACTTAAATTTCAAGATATTTTAAAAGAAAATGAAAAGGAATTAGATGATATGAATGAATAGGTATAGATTTTAAAAAATTAAATAACTTAATTGAAGAAAGATAATAATATGTTGAAATCAGATATGATTGAATAAGAATTAAAATATTAATTGTAAATTTAATAGATGAAGGAGTAGAGTGATGTTTAATTAAATACATTAACTGAGACTTGTAATTAAGAAATTGAAGAGTATAGAAAGAAATATGAAGAGAAATACACTCAATTTGAATAATTAAGAAAATAATATTAAGAAAGATTGGCAAGACCAGATGATACTGAGACAATCTAACGTTTACTTAAAGATCATCAAGAACTATATCATTTAGTAGTAAATGCTTATGAAAAAGTAAAAGAAGCAGGAGATATAATAAAATATTTAGATTTAGAAGTATAAAATTATAAGAAAGCTAATGATATATTTGGAGGTTCTTAAATTTCATCTCAACCACCTCCTAGTTTAAGTACATAGAAAATGCTTTAGAGAGTAGCTTAAATCAAATAAGATTTAGAAGTCACTTAGAATAAAATATAATCAAAAAAATCAGATAACACTTTAGCAAGAGAAAATACAAATAATTAAGAAGAGAGACAATTGTCACATTTATCTGATTATTCAGAATTAAATTCTAAATTATAATTAGATTCTAAATTACCACCAAAAAGAAAAAAACTCCCTAAAATGATGACATCTATGAGATCGAATTTAAGTGATGCATAACCATCATCTTAAAACCAAACCTAAAGATAAATAGAAGAGAAACCAGAAGTACCTTTATTCAAATTTGATTAAGATGATTAAGTAATAATGGAAGCACCAGTTTCATTTAATGCTTTTGTAGATTAAAGACAACATGGAAGTTAAATGTCTCAATAAAGATAAAATAAATATACAGTTTATATAGAAAAGAAGAAAAAAGATATGATAAATATATCTGATATTGTATAGTAACAATAAGTAAGTCCTGCTGAATCCAGATATACTAAAAGAAGACAAGAATTATAATAATAGTAGTAATAATAACCTAAAAAGTTTGTGCCTTATTATTTAAGAAATCCAGAAGTGCAACCAAGATTTAAATCTTAGAAAAAAGATTCATCTTTTAAATTTAATTGATTTTGTATTATAAATTAATATTATATAAATTTAAATTAAATAAGATTTTTGGATATCATTTTTAATAATAATAATAATAATATTTCATTTTGAATTTGATTATTTCAGATTGTCATTCAATATTTTTTTGTAAGAATACCCATTAAATAAATATCCATCAGCTTTATAAAACTTGTTCTGAAACTCAACCCTTTCATTAAACTATACAGTACCAATGCAAACGAAGAGCATGCAAAAAGCATTCCATGACATCCATAGTCATTAACACTCCAAAAGTAAGTAAAGCAAACACAATATAAAAATATCCTCCTAATAAACCACCTAAGATGCCTCCTATATCTAATTTGCCAGCCAAACACATGTCATAGAAAACTTCTGCTAATTATCCATGAGCTAAAGATAATGCCCAAAGACGAAGATATGAAGCTGTATTGCTGATTCCTCCTAATACAAATTCAATAGTTTCAATCATTTAATGAACCCAAATCTCACCTGAATCATGTTCTTCTTGAGTTTACTCAGAGAAACTTTTAAGATTAGCTACATTTTGTAAATCATTATCAAATTCCTAATTACTATCTTCATCTTATTCTGAAACTTGTTTATCAGATACTAAAGGTTAATATTGTGAATCAGACATTGACACTTTGTGTTTATCATTTTTGGAACCCAAAATCAATGGTTTAGGCAATAACATCCAAGGTATACATATGACAGCAATTAATGTTAGGATTTGTGTTATTCTTAATTAAAACTCAGCTTAATTTGGAAAAACAGGATTTACAGGTTTATCAAATGGTTTCAAGACTTAATTAATCATAGTTTCAATAATGCTTGGATCAGTATTATTTTCATATGTATTCAACCATTTTACAATTATAATGAAATCCATCCATCCAAAGGTACAAATCATGAATAATAATTGAGGAATAAATTCACAAAAGAAATCTAGATAGTTTTTAAAATATAAAGTATTGACTCCTTTCATCAAAATACCAAATAACATATGAATCACACCTAAAATAACTGATAATTTCATCTTATAGGAATTCATAAAATTTAAACTTGAACCAGAAGCTTACCAAACTGGATCAACTCCAAAAGGATAAACACAATCTTTTGATTCTCTTTTCCATTCGTCTTTTTCAGGTGAATAACAACTACCAAATAAATTCAATGATATAGATAGATAATCATTATAAATGAATCCATTATAAAATGCAAAGAATCCCATCAATATTATTAAATATCTAAAGGGTATCATCAAATTGAACATGGAATCTGTTTATTTTAATAGATAGTTTTTCCAAAATATTAAATATATTCCACATAGAAATAACATGAATCCATGAGCAATATCTGCAAACATTACTCCAAATAGAAATGGGAATGTTATTATAGTAAATAAACCAGGGTTGACTTCTTGATATCGAGGTATACCATAAGTATTAACTATTTCCTAGAATGGCAAAGTTACTTCATTTAAATTGAAATAAGTAGGAGGTGTATATGGTTAAGGTTTGATTTATTAAATTTAACCTGTTGGATAATGATCTCTATTATTTATCATTGCATTTCTTAATTTTTCTTCTACCATAATTTCCATTCCTTCTGGCAACCAAAAATATCCTGTAAAGATTGATCCTCTCATTGTTAAGTAATTTAAATTTACGTAAAGATACTTCTCTTTTAATATATATAAACGCATGTATTCAAAATAAGAACAATTACATCCTTATTTCTACAAAACTAATTTATTTAATGATTATTCCAATTATTATTTTGTCATTTCTATTAAACTCTTAGATTCCTATAATTACTAAGCTAATTCCATCATTTTTCTTTGAACTTAATCCATCGAGTTTGGATACTCAATTCTTTATTTATTAAAAGAATCACAAACTTTAAGCAATTTAATTTTCAAAGAACTTGATTCTTCTGCTCCAGGAAAAACAATTACAAAGAGACATCTTGGTTAGGATGTATTATTCTAGATAATATGAATTTTATACTTAATTTAAGTGAAATGATTTTCTCATAGAATTGTCTATTTATTCATTATTTAAATCTTTAATTTAAACCCAAGCATTGCCTTTAGTAACTCTAAATATAATTCTTTTAAATCTAACTTCTTCTTCTTTGTCAATTACACCTATTAATTAACCAAATTTTAATTATTAATAATCATTTGGATTATGTGGTACTTATCTAGATATTAATAAAAATAATAATAATACTATTAAAACATTGATTGACCTAGAATTTCTTTTGCATTTTCCAAAACCAATTATTATTCTGTTATTATATTTACTCTATCCAATAGATTTTGTAAATTAGCAGATTATTCTTGAATTTATATTTTTTTTTGTTCTATTTCTTATTCCAATTCATCAAAATAAGTATGTCCTGGTTTCATTCTATCTTATTGAACTTATTAATAATAATCTAATAAACTATCTACATTCTCACAATAATTAAGATTTTTTTTGAATTCCTTAAGAAGTAACTCTAGACAACTTAACTTAAATAAGGAATCATCACATCTTATATTAATTAATTTTATTGATACCTTTTTACATAATTAGCAAATGGTCTATTGATCATAGGCAATTATGGATCATAATCTACAAAATGCAATTAATCTAATCTTGCTAATTCATTCATCACAACCCAAGCACTCTCTCTTGGGATTACTAAACTATAATATTTCATCTTTTTAGACCTAAAGAAACTCATATTAATATTATATTTATTGAATGTATTAAACATTTTATCAATCATCATCATCATCTTCTTTCTTAATTTGAATTTTTGCCATTTGTTCCTATAATTTCAATTCGTCCTCTTCTGAAGCAGGAACTTCTTTTTGAATTACTATTTCAGCTGTTTTCATAGATTCTACTGCTTTTAAAATCTCTTCAGTGTATCCCCCTGGAATTTCTATATTAATAGGTGGCCTAATCTTACTTATAATGATGATTACCAATATTTTGTTAAATTAGCTACTTTTCCTCCATATTATTCTTCTAATTAATTTGCAGGAATACGCTCTTAAATTTTTGGATATTCATTTGGTTTCAACATTTATACTTTTTCCATTGTATCAGCATCAGCAACAGCTTTAAATAAATATAATTTAAATACCAGATACCATTTTCCATGAAAAACTTAATGAACTTGAAGGATTTAATAAATATAATTTATCTAAACAACCACAAAAATTAACTTACATTGTTTTGGTTGCAATTTATATTGCCTATCATATAGTATTTAATATTAATACTTTAAATGGAAATTTAGAAAGTCCTAATTTTTTTGTATCCATTATGAATACCCAATTTTCTATTTTTCCAGGAACAAAACAGTTTTTCTTTATTATACCAAAATAATAACTTAATGCATTGATATAGACTTCTTCACTAAACTAAAGATTGATTATCTTATTTACTTATTTCAAATTGACTAATTCAAGATTCATTATTATAATAGGTCTTTGCTATTTGTCTCTTCCAAAAGTATATACTATGCCTTTTTGTAAAAATGCAATATTGATATCAGTTGGTTAGAAATTATTAGGAACTGCTCTCCAGGCTAAATGAGATTATAAGACTTTTAAATAATTCTTATCTTTAAATTTGCCACAATAAACCATTTTCAATGTATCACAGTCTTTCCAACTATTATAAAGATATCAATTAAATATACTCTGCAGGTAATTATATTTTATTCTTTGTTACTATTTTCATAAAATCTGCCATCTTCTCTTTTTCATAAGCATCATATGGCACATTCTCCCAAATTCTTCTCTAACTTTTAGATCTCTCCTTTCTTTTTATATATTATGCTAAGTCATTGAATAGTATAATTACGATCATGGACTATTGCATCAATCAAATATTAAGCTGGTTTTAGATATTCAAAATTCAGAACAACTTATTGTTATTGCATATTAATTTTATTTGAAAATGGGAGCTTTTTAAATTGCACTCATTTCAATAATAGTCTTTAGTTCCATTCAATTCGTCTAATATGTACTTGTAATCACAGCATATTTGCTACTTATACAAAATTAAATACCATATTTGAGAACTAAATTCTTATTAGTAACATTAGTGGCATTACAAAATATAGGAATGATGTTAGTCAATGAACATTAGAATTCTAAAATTGTTAATAATACAACTTGCACCATATAAGTAATTTAATATAATATTCTTAGGCACTTATCATTCATGGTACTCAATTATCAATTTATACTCTCTTTTTATGCATTACGTATTCAAAGTGTAGAAAAGAATTGAATGAAACTTCAATAATAAGTCTAACATTAATAACTCTATCATTTATGATAATGTAAATAAAAAGAAATCATTTAAGCAAGTCCCCTTATAATGCATCAAACTCGACCGGGTGAACTTTTATGTGAATTTGATTAGCCAACAAAAGTTATTCTTAGCACTATCTGTAGTTATATAATATTAGTTGTTTTGCTTGTTTGCCCACTACTTACAATTAATAAAATTGACTCATAGTTGAATAAGTTCATTATTATTTTCACAATTACTTAAATAGTTGAAGTAGTTAAAAATACAATTGATATCAGCGAATTAGAATGTATATAATATATTGATATATAAAGTGGCTGGGTTATTTTTCATTTAGATTAGAAATTTCTTATTTATGCTATTTTTTTAGATTGAAACAAAAGATGCTTTATGTGGATATTGTGGATTGATTAAAAAACCAAAAAAACACAAACAAAATTTAACTAGATTAGAAGAATGTATTCCAGTTAGGGAAAATGAAATGACATATAAAATTTGACTATTTTATTTATGTTTTCATTTTTTATTATTAGAATTCTCTTTCTGTATAACAATTTTGAATTCATCCCAATTTAAAGCACCATCATTATTTAAATCAGCATATTAAACCATTTCTCTTAATTCCTAATCAGTATATCTTTCAGAAACTAATTCATTAATTCTTTTGAAATCTTCATAAGTAATTTTACCTTCTTTTGAAGAATCAAATTATTTATATAAATCTGTTAATACTTCCTCATCCTCTATTGAACTTTAGATTAATATCATATATACCCTTAAAATCCAAATATCTATAAAAACTCTTCAAAATCAACTTGTCTTGATCCATCTTAATCAAGATCTTGAATCATATTAACAATATCCTCTATACTTTGTTCCATACCTAAAGCAACAATCGCATTTTTCAATTCATTAGGTCTATACAGAGATAATATGTCATATTTGTTACGAAATAGCACCACTTTTATCATCATCAAAAATATCAAAACACTCTTTGATTTTTATGACATCTTCCTTATTAAGTCCAGGTTTAACATATTTTAATGGATCAAAAACATTAACTTATTGTGGATGTGGATCTAATTGTTCTGTTGGTTTTAATCTTGGAAGAGGTGGTTCTCTTAAAGGCTTTTATGAATTTGATTATTAATTTAGTTAGCTACTCATTAATATTAATTAATGACAAAAAAAAGCTAAAAAATTATTAAATTATATAAATTAAGAAAGCTAATCATAATATAAGAATAATTGAAATACATTAAAAAAAAGTGAGAATTATTATTATTGACAAATTAACAATTTATATCATTGTTCATCTTCTGTAAGGATCATATTAGGTATTCCATTTGTGATTGGATAATTTCTTTTACATGATGGATTAGGACAAGTCAATTAGCCATCCATAATATGAGTCTATTTAAAATTCTTTCTTTAAATTATTACCTCAAATAAAACACGATGCAAGTCTTTTAAGAAGGCTAAATCTTATTCCACATTTGGAGGTATTTATTTAGGGAATTACTTGAATCCAAGCTATCAAATAAATTATTCTTTTACTTCTCTGACTGTATTAGATAATACCTCAAAATCAAGTTTTGGAATTAATTTTAAAATTGCATCTTTTTTGAATTCTAATTCCATTATTACACTTTTATTGACTTCTATTTTAAGTGGATAATTGTTTTTATCACATTTGTTACACATTAGTAAATTATGAACCAATAATCTCATATTAATTAAATATTTATATTTATATATATTTTATTTATTTTTTAAGAATTAAGTATTCCCATTTAATCCTATATTTATCATGATTTATATAAAATAAATAAAAGTAAAACCTTATAAATTTTAATCCTTTTAAAATATTTGAAAAACCTTTTTTATTTTTATTATTTTTTGTAATATTTATTTATAGTAGAATTAAGAATATCAAAAATCTAAATAACATATTTTTATGTATTCATTTGTATTTGAATTACTAAAACGTCTACTAATCAATTAAATTTAATAAGATGTTAAATTAAATATAATACTAATATATATATCAAAGTATTAATGACTTACGTTTTTGGATCAAAGTGCTTTGATTGATTGTTTTAAGTTTTGGTACCTTACGTCTTACATTATACATTTAATCATATACAAAATAGTATCTTTTTGAATTTGGAGTGTCATGTACACTAACAATTCTATTTACAAATTCCCTTTAACTTAATTCTTAGGTTGCTCTTTCAGAATTTTAATGTAGCTCATCTGTGTCTAATAAACTTGTCTCTGAATTAAGACTATCTCTATCTATTTACTCTTCTCCAAAACATGGAGGTTCAAAATTGTCATAATTTTATTCCCTATTCAATTTTTAGTTAGTAGTATTAATAAAATAACTATTTTGATTGTTAGATGTACATACTCCCATATTATAAATCAAAGGAGACTTAATAATTTTATTTAAAATATTCTTCTATTTAGTATTATTGCAAACATAAATAGTTTATTTTAATTTCTTCAAAATGATTTTATAAAAAAGAGAAAAATTCAGATGTAGCATTAGAAGAGAAGCATTAGAGAATCATTTCAAATTGGCTAGAGAAAAAGCCCATCAAAATAATACTAATTTATAATTAATTCAAAAGTATGAATAATTAATACAAGCTAATGTAATTGATTCCGATTTCTTACAAGAATCTATCCTTCTCCTTGAAAGTACAAATGATGAAGATCTTATAGTCATCATTCTTAGATATATTGAAAAATTTGACCTATCGAATCAATCATATCAATTGTCTGAAGCACTAATTAAATAGTTAAATAACACTAAAATTAATAGTTTATAATTCTATGTAAGAAACTCATTATTATATAGCTTATTGTATCAATAACTAATATTTTATCTTTACAAAACTCAGAAACATTCACACAATTTGTTTCATTTAAATTATTAATGTCTGTCTCAGAAATTCTTGATAGTTTTACAGAATTAGATATTATACCCAATTTATTAGAGTGTATTTCATGTTGGCCATATTAATTTATTAAAATGAGCTCTGACTAATAATAACTCAAATTGTTATAATCCATTAAAACCTTTAAATAATATGATGAACTAAATTTTTATAAATTTCTTATTAAAATTACAGAAGAAATCTAAAATGATGAATATCTATTCACATACCTAATTAAGAATAAATACATTCAAGAAGCTATAGATGATTTTAAAGATAACAAAATGTATGTTCTTGACTTTTTTATTAATTTATCTTTTTTAGAGGGTGAATAATTAATGCAGATAATATCATATCAATTCTTATCTCCAATAATTTTTGAATTAAATAAGGATAACAAAATCCAAGGAGGATTATATATACTTATTCGGAATCTGTTATTATCAAATTATTAAATTCGATTATATTTCTATGATTTTAGAATTTATTAACACCTTTCATATGGAATATAATATTGTTTAGATAGATTGGATATTACTAATTTAGAAGAAGTAATAATGTTATTTATTTTAGATTTTGATGTGCATAAAATCAGTAATTTAATAGGATGAAGTATCTTATGCTAGTACTAAATAATAAATAATATCATCTGATATTGAATTAATGTTATAAAATATTTTTTTATCTTTGGAGAATTAAAAAGATATTTTCATTTTGACTGGTGAAATATTATTCATTTATTATACTGAATTTAAATTTAACGGAAATTAAAAATTTAAAGAAAAACTCAAAACATTAGATTTAGAATTGGATATATTTGATTCTATTTAAAGTTATATTGAATAATTTGATTGATCATCTTCTTATTAAATTTTCTTTTTAAGTCATGAAATTTTGATATTGCATATTTAATACATCATGTATAGTACATGCACGATTTATCAATTATTATTTAGAAGACAACTTTTCTTATGAGTTTTTATTTTCTCTTGGATAATGAGTAGAGGATTCTCTATGATAAGGAACATCACGAGTGGCATAATTAAGTTTTTCAGGTGCTTTAGGAGATTCAGTTTATTTTATGGTTTTTTTATCAAATACATCAAATAATTAATCTTTCCATTTACTTACTAAATTATTTTTTTAAGATATTTGACTATCAATCATTTTTTTTGAATTATTCTTATTTTTATCATCACTATCTTCATATCTAAATTTTGATTTTGGATTTGCATTAACACTCTCTTAAGTTAATATCTTTTAAGTTTTCTTATCTTTTTCCCTTTCTCTATAATCCTTAAACTCATGAAGATCTTTACTCTCTCTTATAGTATTTTTTTCTAAGGATTAATGATGAGGTTTATCATTTTTAGGCCATAATTCATTAAGCTTCTCTGATTTTATAGGACTAAATTTGCTTAGTCTATCCTATCTTTCAAAATGAACATTGAGTTTAGAATCCATAGGTTTTTCATCTGAATTTGAGTTTTTACTAAATAATTCTTTTTATCTTATAGATTATGGAAAATCTTATAATAAATTAGGAACAGTTGCACATAATTAAGATTAAGCATTTGTTGATAATTTAAGTAATTATCTCTAAGTAGCTAATATTGATGATTTCTATAATGTTATAATAAAAATGATTACAATTTAAAGAGATGAAGAAGGAACATTTAAAGACTTTTCTATATCAATTAATAATTTGCTTATATCTTCTTAAGACTTATTTAAATTTTAATAGATTAATGAATTGATTTCTTCTTAAAATTATGCCATTTATTATATTTATTATTCAAGATCTTTTTCTTATTTTTAAATTTCCAATAATTGAATCATTTCTAAACTATTTATATCATTAAACGTTTAATTTTTCTTTTATTCTAAACTCAATATAAACTAATAATGAATATAGTAATATTTACTTATTAATATTGACTATTGATTTCATCTTTCGTTTATTTGCATTTTGATTAAAATTAATATTTCTGATCCTGAATATCCTTAATAGCTTCAAATTTAGATTTAAAACTCTTTTCTAATCTCTCTAAATACAATTAAAGTCTTTCATTAGCCATTGCATTCTTTTAATTTGATTAATGTTAAGATCCAATATTTTATACTCCCAAATCATGTAAATCATCAATTACTTCAACTACTTCACTATCGTTATTAGATTTAGGGTTAATTTAATTTTATTCAATTAACGGAACTATGATTTCCTTAATGACCATATGAAGAGCTTCAACTGTATCTTAATCAAGTTTAGTAAGATGATTGCATTTAAAACATACTGCTACTCTTTCAAGTTCTTCTAGATTTTGCTTCTCCTGTTAAATTTATAAGTAATTGTAAGCCAAACATATCAAACAAAATTTATGTTCACATTCTAATTTTACATAAGTCTCTGGAACTGTTTAACATTGATCACATTCTACATCTTATTAAGAATCCATTTCAATATTCTATACTAATTTAATTAATATATAAATTTTATATCGTTAAATTATAGAAAATTTATTGTATTTTAAATCATTTCAAGTTCATTTACATTTATTTAATAAGTATTTATTTAAAATGAAGACTTTAAAATCAATAATAAAAGAATTATTTAAAATCTTAAAAGTCTAAAACTCTTATGCATTAGCTATTTATAATTATTTTAATAATTGATATAATTTTTAAAAAATTTAATCAGAATTAAAATGATCACCTTATTAATTACGAATTATTGCTGATATTTTATGATAGTACGCACTAAATCTGAGTTAAAATAGAAATTTATGTTAAACATTTAAATAATTATAATAAGACTTACTTAAATATCCTACATATGCTATATCCAGAACTTTAATCCTTAGATGACTTTGAATTTATTAAAAATCTTGGATCAGGATATTCTTCAAGGTAAATTACTTTATTCTATTTTGATAGTGTTGATCTATATAGACACATTTAAACTGATAGAATAGTAGCAATAAAGAAATTATCAATTAAGAATTTAACTTAATCTGAATGCAGAAAAACTTATGATACTGAAATAACTATCCTAACCAAATTATAAGGTTGTTCTAATGTTGTACAATTAATTGGATATGGATTCTACACCACTATTGAAAATAGTATTAGAAGAACTAGAACTATAAACAATTATTTCCTTATTTTAGAATACATTGATGTTCAACCTTTGGATAAAAATAGTGAAAGAATTACTAAATAATTCTACTACAAACTTTTATAAAGTATAATTATTAAATCTATAGTAGCTTTGTAAAAGATTCATGAATTAGGAATAGTTCATAGAGATTTAAATCTAAATAATGTACTTGTTTAAAATAATGAACCAATACTAATTGATTTTGCCTTTGGTTTAGTTACTAATGGCAAATAGAAAGTTGCTGAATTTTATGGAACTAAACCATATGTAGCTCCAGAGATTATTGATGGTTAATCTTATCTTCCATACCCTACTGAAGTTTATAGTTTAGGTGTTATATTATTGGAATTGATAAATAATAATGAATCCAAAGAAATTGCACTTTAAATGATGCAATAAAATCCATATAAAAGACCTAATTTGGAAGATGTTATTGCTCATCCTTGGTTTTAATTATGATGTTACTTAGTTATTTGTATTTCTCTAAAATCAATTTATATTATATTATTTAGATATATAATTATCTATATTTTAGAAATACCTGATATATTTTTATTAATCTATTGATTTATCATATTTAATTATATAAATTGTTTTTTTATGTTAATTATAATTACTATACTAATAATATTTTTTATTATATATATTTCCCAATGGTTTAAATAAATTAAAGTGAAGATGACAATAAAATGAAGTCTCGTGAAATGTAAATCATTACAAATTCGAATCATGGGTAATTTGATCCTAATCCTCATTCAATACAATCTATGAATGTTTATGAAATTAATTATGATTTGAATAGGATTCTAGAATTAGAATAGACAGATGTTATACTTAACATTAATGATAGAGATCATTAATCAGATATTAATGAGTTACATAGCAGTATTATACAAAATATGAATAGGTATAATGCCGAGATGGATGCCTATTCTTTTAGAATTGGAAATAGAAATAAAAGCAATACTTCTCAATAAAGGTAATATTCATCCTGATTTCAATACATATTTTAACAAAAGAGTATTACCAATAATGGATAGTTTTTTAAATAAATTATTTACAGATCAAAGATAATTAAAAGTATAATGTTACTTCAATGAAATTCTATTAATGATTTAAAGATTAGCATTAAATATTTGGAAACAATATCCAACAATAAGTCTAGCAATATTTAAGAGAATCTTTGTTTATCCTGAAGTCAAATTTTTTGATTCTCATTTTAATGAAAGTTAATTCAAATAAGCATTATCAAATTATTATTTAGAACGTCATATGGCACATGTTTAAAATGAGCATAATATTGTATAAGGAAATGATTTAGATTATTCTTATTAAAGTTATTATCCATTATAAGATGAAATCTTAGAAGATTTTCATAAAAATAAATCTAGTATTCATTTATCACCATTATTGAGAATTTAAATGCATTATTTTTATAAAAATGGAGGATTTTCCTTATTAATTGATGGAATAAATAATTTTTAAATGTTATATTTAGATATTTTAGATTTATTCAATTATTTTAGTAATTTTGTTGATAAATAGAAATTTATTAATTATTTTTAAGGACTTAAAGATTAATTAAAATTATTATATTTAAAAATTAATGAAGAAGATATAAAATTATCTACTAAGGAATAAGTTAAAAAATTAAATGAAACACTTGAAAAAGCATTGTTTCCATTTTATACAATAAGAGAAACAAAAGAAATTATTGGATAAACAGAATTAAACATATATTTACATTATTTTAGATGTCATACATTTGAAAAGCGTATTTTTGGTAAATTATTATTTTTTTATATAATAGGATTATAATAGATTTGTGAAAAGATAACTCCATTAAATTTTATGGATTGTAATATGAATTATGAAGTAGGTCAAATGAATGATGATAATATAATGAAGGATATTTTAATTAATTTTTTAGTTAAGAATAAAATATTTTAAGAATTATTTGGAGAAAAAGCTCATTTTGAATTAATTAAACGTTCAAATCCAATAATTCGTTTTTTATATAGAAATAATTAACTTTAAACAAGTGATATAATTTAAATTTTGAAGATGGGAAAAGGTAAACATGAAAGTTGGAGTAATTTCTTATTTAAAATATTGAATGATATAGCTGAAATAATGTCTGAATCTGATATGGAGGCTGTTTTATAAGAGATATAAGAATAGAAAGTAGATTCTAATATTTTAAATTTTATTAAATGTTTAGGTAGAAATCAAAATTTTGATAAGAAATACTTTTAATAAAAGAAAGAAACTAAAGATAATATTTTAACAGAATTAGAGATTGAATAAGAATCAATTTAGAATTCAACTAAAAATTCAGAGAAACTTACTATAAAAGTTTATAATGAAGATTAATAATAATCAGAGAATTAATATTTAATAAATAGAAATTAAGATAGAAAATTATAATAGTAATAATAATAATAAGAAATTAAGAAGAGAAACATTTAGAATGATGATAGTATAGATACAAATTATGAAGAAGGAGAAGGTATTAGAGGAAGAATAGTAGAGTATCTTTTAAATATAACAAATTAAAATTCTAATGTTGATATTGAATAATAAGCATTTAAAATAGCATTAGATTTAATTTGTATGTAATTTAGATTTTTAAGAATGAAATATTTAAATTAAGCATTTTAAAAATTATTTGAAAATGATACATAAACTGAAAATCATATTTAAATGATATCAAAAATTGTAGTATCATAATATCCAATAGATAATTATAATTCATAATCTGAATTAATAAAATATTTGGAATAGAAATATAATTTTAAAATGTCTTTATTAGCAGTTATTGCAAAATCTAAAAAGAGAGCATATGAATAAAATAAAGATCATTATACTGAAGTAATTGATTAATTGTTAAAATTTTATTAATTCTTATATTTGTTGACTGATAATAAAATTGAAGCACATCATTTAAGAATTATTTGGTAAGTATTGGTGAATAATGCTTTTAGTGTAAAAGAATATGATTTATTTTTTAAATGGATTTTTAATTCTAATAAAAATATAATATCATTAGATGCTTTATAAATGTTATTTTTTGATTATTTAATCAAAATAGATTACAATTCATATACTGTACCAATTTTTTCATGTTTATAGAATTTAATTATGTATTTCAATATATAATACAAAATATTAAAGACAGATGTTATGGATTCCTATATAATATAAGATTCTGATATAGTAGGTTTAGAAATATTATGGAAAGTGTTTTTTGAATGTAATAATAAGGAAATAGTTTAAAAGGCTTAATAGTTTTTACTTTAAATAACTAGTTTTAAATCAATAAATTAATAAATAATGAATAAATTAAAATAAAATTATATTGAACATATATTTGATAATGTTTAATAAAACACAACAGAAAAATGTTTAGATTTATGTATTAAATTATTAGAAGAAGTGGAAGGAATGAAATATTTAAAATAAGATAGTTTTGAAAAGGGTGAATCAAGTGGTTAAAACATGTTAATTATTATTGATAATAGATGTAAAAATGCTTAACATCCAAAAAGATAAGAAATATCTGTACCTGAAAATATGAAAATAATACTTGTAAAATAGATTATTGGATAAAAGATTAATCCATAAGTAAAAAGGAATGAAATTGATGTAGTATATAGAGGAACATGGCTTGATAATTAAAAGAGTTTGAAAGATTATAAATTTGATAAGAAACCTACTTTTCAAATTTTGATGAGACTTTAATAAGATGAAAATTAAAAAATTGAAGATTCAAAACCATTAGCTATATGTTAAGGGGATATTGATGATTTAAAAGATGCTTTTAATCCTTAAAAATTTAGTAAAGTTGTTCCTCTTTCAATAAATGAACCAATACCTTTAGGAATGCCAATTTATAAATAATTAAATAATGATTAATAAGAAAAGATTTAAAAAGTTATGAGTATAACTGATGAATTTAATTAAGAATTTGTAGAATATTTATTAAATGAAAATAATTGGAATTTAGAAATTTCTATACTTGAATTGATTGAAAATAGAGAATTCCATTTATAAAAATTTGAAGAAAAACAAATTAGATAAGTTAGTCCTCTATAGGATAAATCTAATAAATAATAACAAACTTAATTTATAGACAATTAAATATCTAATCCTTAATAACCATAATATTAATTTTAGAAAGTTGTTTAGAATGAAAATAATTTTTAATTGGTTTAAAAATTTAGTGTTGCAACTTTCATTTCAGAAAATAATAATTATATTTAAAAATTATTTGATATTTTAAATTTAAATGATGAAAATTTGAATTCAAAAGTTTGGTAGATTTTATCTATGATTCCTAGAAATAGAGAGACATATGAATTGATTGATAAATGTTAATAAACATCAGAATGGGAAAATCTATTAGATTAACAAAATAAATATAAATTATATTATAATCTATAAATATTAAAAGAATTATTAGATTGTGATTTTATAGATGATTAAGATGAATTAAGAAAACGAAAATAATGTAGAGAGAATTTTTTAATGTAAGGTGGATTAATTTAAATATAATAATTATTCTTTATGCCTAATATTGATTCAAATACTATTTAATTAGCATTAGAAATATTTCTTATTTATTTTACAGCATATGTATTATCAAAAATAGAGAGAAATGATGAATTTTGTAGTAGAATAATCAATTTAAAAGAAACTGTTAGAAATCAATTTAAATAATTTGAAGATAGATTACCTTCAAGTTTCTTTTTTAATGAAATTAATGACTCTGATAAATCAAAATAAAAGTCTGAAACAGCATCAAATTCTTAATCAAGTGGAGTATCTACTCCTAAATTTAATAATGCCTCAATTACTCCTCCTTTAACTCCACCTGTTGAAGAACATTCAATACCAATATCAAAATAATAATTATAGGTTTAAGATAATTTTGATGAAAGACAAATGTTAATTCTTTAATTTAAGGAAAATTAACTTTTTTAAGGATTTTTAGATTTTTCTCATGAAGATCTGTTAAAATCTTTGATTAATAAAATTGATTTAGGATTTGAATAAATTTTCTAAGCAATTTTATTAATTTTATATTAAAATTCAAGTCTTGTACAAACTATTTATGAAATTGAAAGTTTTCCCTCTTAAGTTATATAAGTTTTGACATAATCTTAATCTTAAGAATGTAGAAGGATTTTAACATATTCATTAATTTAAATTTGTAAAATACCTTCTTAAAATACATAAAATGATTTTGGTTTCTATTTATTAAAAGAATTAATTCCTCAAATAGTAAATCCAAATACTTAATTTGAAGATATATTCATATTGACAGCAGTTGTTCTTAAAAGAACTAATTATGAGATGCTTACATAAAATTTTGACTTTTAAGATTTATCATAATAAATAATATAGAAGATTATTGATAGACCTATAATAGAAGAAAGATTTGAAGATAATGAAGATAAAGTAGTTTAAGGATATTTAATACTTTTGACAGCTATAATAGAAATATGTCCTTAAACAAAGGAAGCATTATCAAAATAATTAATTAGATAAGTTTATGAATTTTTATTTCATTTAAATGATGATTATGCTAAATATCCAAAATTTAAAAGAAAATTAACAAGAAAGAGAACTTTTCATTTATTAATTGAGGCAAGTAAAAATTGTGAATAAAATTTCTTACTTTTATTAGATCCTATATCTAATACTCATGGAAGAATTGAATAACCAGATTAAGATTTTGATACTGGTGTTAAAGGACATTATGGATTTGTTGGACTAAAGAATTTAGGTGCTACATGTTATATTAATTCATTATTATAATAATTTTTTATGAATAAAGCATTTAGACATGGAATTTTGAATAGTTAGATATCACTAACAGAAAATAATGAAACAATTATTTATGATGATGTTGATTAAATAAAATCTGAATCTGCAAAAATTAAATTATAAGATAATACTTTATATTAATTATAATTAGTATTTATACAATTATAGGATAGTGTAAGATCATTTATAAATCCCATTTAATTTATAAAGACTTTATAAGGTTATGATGGTTTACCTATAAATTGTTCAGTCTAATAAGATGTTAATGAATTTTTCAATTTATTAACTGATAAATTAGAGAAAGATTAAAAAGGTACTTAATAATAAGATTTAATACATTAAATAATGGGTGGTATATTAGGACATGAAATTAGATCATTAGAATAAGATGTAGAATTTTAAAGAGAAACAGATGAAGTTTTCTTAACTGTAACAATAGAAATAAAAAATAAGAAAAATTTAGAAGAAGCATTAGATTTATTTATAAAAGCAGATGTATTAGATGGAGAAAATAAATATTTTTGTGAAGCAATTAATAGAAGAATAGATGTTGAAAAGAGATGTTATTTTAAAAAATTACCTAATACTTTTATTTTTACTCTTAAAAGATTTGAATTTGATTACAATAGAATGTTAAAATTAAAAGTAAATGATTATTTTGAATTTCCATCTGAAATAAATATGTTTAAATGGACAAAAGATCATTTAATTAATAATCTATAATTAGATGATTATACAGATTATATATATAAATTAGTAGGAGTTTTAATTCATACTGGAAGTGCAGATAGTGGACATTATTATTCATTTATTAATTCTTAAGAGAATAAATGGTTTGAATTTGATGATAGATTTGTAAGTCCATTTAAATTTGAAAATTTAAAATAAGAATGTTTTGGTGGTAATAATTAATAAAATGATTATTATAATAATTTTGATTGGGATTCAAATAAATCAAAAAATGCTTATTTATTATTTTATGAGAAAATTGATAAATAAGATATTCAAATTAAGGGTACAAATGAAAAATGTTTATAAAATAAGATTATCTAAGAGAATATAGTATATCTTAAGAATTAATTATTTTATTCATCAGATTATTAAGCATTTGTAAGAGAATTTGTATGTTAATTTAATTTTGAAGATCATTAAGAATAATAATAGGAATCCTAGAATATTTAATAAAAATCTGATGAATAGAGTATAATCAATATATAAGAATCTCCATCATTAAAAGTGGTTAAATTATTTACTTTATTTTCTTTAGAATCATTAATGAAGAATAAAGATTAATCAGAATTTGTTAATTCAATTCATGTCTTATGTGCTTTATATGAAAAAGTAACATCAGCATCATTTTGGTTTTTGACTCATTTGTAAACAAATCTTAATTTACTTATAAATACAATAATTGAATCAACTTAATAGGAAATTAAACATGCATTTAGTAAATTATTAATCCAATCAATTTAATGTGTTGTTAATTATGAAGAAGAATAATAGAAACATTAATTTTAAACATAAAATTCAACTATAACATAATTTTTATCATTTTTTATTGATAATTTATTGCCAATATGTAAAAAATCAATGAGAAGAGCTTCAGAATTCTTTTAAATTCTAAAATTTTCAGTTTCTACATCATCATTTATTATTGATTATCTATAAAAGAAAGGATATATATAAAAGATATATAAATTATATAAGGAAACAATTCATGAAAATTAATTTCATGGAAATTGTATGAATATAAGTAAATTGAATGATAAAGGATTGGAAGGTACTTGTTCAGTAATGTGTGAATTGATTTGTAAATCTATTTTAGGTTCATTTACTGATGGAATGAAATTAACTAATGAAAAAACACCAACATATTTATTTTAACATTATAATCAATTTGTTAATATAGATAATAAGTTACTTACAGATATAAGAGATTAAGGAGATTATAAAACTATATTTGCTCCTATGGTTTAATTAAATCCAATAGTTGTAGATATGACTAAGCATCTTTGTTTTGATGATATCTAAACAAGTGAAATTATAATTGAATAATTAATTTAAATTCTTTTGGATTAGAATATGGCTTGGCATTAGATTGATCCAATATTTCATATAATAGAAAGCATACTTAAAATATAAGATGCATATGGAGATATGAGATTCTAAGTATAATTAAATCATTTATATTTTAGGCTTTAATAGAAACATAAACAAAGTTAGCATTATTTTCAAAAGGTAAATCTATTTTAGATGCAATTAATAATCAATTTTTAAGTGATAAAAACTTTTCATATTGTTTGGCCTCTTGGATAGCTGAAATAACACATAATTTTAAAGTTGCTTAGAATTATTTTAGTTCTAATAAATTTTAGATTGAAAACATTCTTGGAAAATTAAAAAGATATAAGGAATACTAATTTTATTTGAATTTTCCTATTCCTAAAATAACAAAGGCTATTGATTAAGTAATTATAAATTATCACTATTTTTTTTAGTTAAATATGCTTTTTAATAAATCAGAAAGTTAAAATATTGATGAACCAATTCTTTAGCTTTAGAAACCATAATAGAAAATTGAAGATAAAAATTGTTAATTAGAAACCAATTACAAAGATAATATTGATTCTGTGTGTGATTAAGGTATGATTTTAGATGTTGGAATAATTGATCCTTAGAATAATAATGAAGATTTACCTTATTAATGAGTTTATCACAATTATTAAATATATTAATTATACTTTAAATTCTATAGTAACATTATTAATTTAAATAAGCAAATAATAACTTATATACTATTATTATTATTTATTTATTATTTAATGAAATCAATATATGGAGATCCTGAATTAATAAGATGGTTAAATAAAGAAATCAAACTTTAACCTGCAATTCTTGATATTGAAAAATAATTTCAGAATTGGTTTTATTTTTAAGAAGTACTTTATAAAACAGGAAATCCTCTTAAGAAAATCTTAACAAATAAATTTGATGAATATTCAACACAAAAGAATATAAAGATAGTTAAAAAGCACATTATAAAATTAGTAGGAATTGAACCAAAGGTTGAAAAAGGTTAATCATAAATCGAAGAATATTTGAAAGCAATTAAATAACATTCAAAACCAATTGCTGTTAATTCATTACTTACAATTGCACGTAAAGAAACAAAGGATGTTTTAAATGAATTGACAAAAACTATGAAAGTAACAGACAAAAAATAAGTACAATCTTTGGTGAATAAGTAAATTATGAAACTGTTATATCAATTTTTAGTTATGAATAGAAGTTTATAAACTCATTGCCAAAGAAATTAAAGTCTATTGAAGAGAGTTTACATAGATTTAGAGATGAGAAACTTATCCATGAAATTTAAGCAGTTTAATTAAAATAGAAGGATGAAGAAAAAGAGAGACAATGGTTATAGTCATTAAGAGAGAATGAATTGGAAAAAATTAGAGCAAATCATGAATTTATAAAAGAATAAGATAAAAAAATATATGAATTCTGGAAGTATACAGAATCAATTAAACATAATCGAATAGAAAAAGAGACAAAACTTAATTAGATGATGACTGGAAGATTAGTGGCTGAAGTTAATTAAAAAAAAAAGGATGATTAAAAAGCTATGGATAACAATATTTATTTATTTTTGTAAACTTGTATCAGATAAGGAATTGAAATAGAAAAGGATCCTTCCAAAAAGCCTGTACCTGAAAAGGCTAAGTTTTCTGCTGTTGCAACTATGATGAAAATAAGAGAAAGAACACATAAAACTGAGGAAGCTAGAAAAGCAAGACAGAAACGAAGAAATAAAATGTTAGTTGAATAATTAAAACAATAAGAATTAGTTGAAGCTAAAAAAAGATTGGATGAATTAGTTGATAAATTTTCAGAATATGGAAAAATAGCTAATTAAGAAGCAGCTTTAAGATAGAAAGAGAAATTAAGAGGAAAATTATAATTTAATGAAAGAATATTAATGTGTGAAGTATTGGAAGAATAAAAAGAAATGTTTTTTGAATAATTAAGAAAAGAAGCTAAAGCAAGGGAATAAGAAGTTCGATTATAGAGATAAAAAGAGTGGAGAATACTTTAAGTTTAATATATGGAATAGAATTATAATAGAAAAGTATAAAAAAGATTAAAACATATTTAATAAATGCAACCATTAATATTGACAATTTTAGATTTGGCTGATAAATGTTATTTAAAAATGAATGAAAATATAGAAGAAAATGGTAAACCTTTAACATTAGACAAAAAGATTTGGAATAAATATATTGAAGAATGGTAAAATGAATTATCATAAGTAAAACCTCTTAATGATAATATACCTGCAGCTATTACATAAGATTTTGTTGAATATTATCATGCAATTAAAGATTGGAAATCTACTTAAAATGATAATTAACTTATGGCAAATATATCATTGGCTGAATTTCTATTCGAAATAACAGATGAATTATATCCAATGTAACCATTAAAAGATGGTATTAATTATTATTTACCACTTAAAATATCATTAATTGGAGGTAAATTTAGTGGTAGAAAAACTACTGCTAAATATTTAAATTTAAAATATGGTTTAGAAATTATTGATATAGAATCTATAATTAAAGAATCATTAAAACTTGCTTTTCCTCCTGTTGAAGATCCTAAGAAAAAAAAGGATACAAAAAAAGTAATTGAAATTCCTATAGTGGAAAATCCAGAATTAAAAGAATATGGATTATAAATTAATGAATATAAAGATACAGTAATTCCTGATGAATTATTATTAAAAGGAATCTTAATTAAATTAAATTAAACATTTAATTAGAGAACTCCTTTATAAGTTGCATAAGAAATGAAAGAAGCAAAAGAAATGTAATTAAAGAAAGATCAATAACCAGTTGTTGTTGAAGAAGTTAAAAAGACTTCAAAAAAACCTGGCAAAAAAGATGCACTTTAGAGTACTGGACCAACATAAGAAGATTTAATTAAAGAATATATAAATTCTAAATAATTTTATTATACTAAAGGAATGGTTTTGATTGGTTTCCCAGAAAATGCTAATCAAGCTAAAATGTTAGAAGAGTAATTAACTGGTTTTATACCATATGAAGAAAGGTTAAATTAAATAGCTGAAGAAAAGAAAAAGAAATTTTAAGAATTATTGGACATACCTACATAAGAGGAATCAAATAAAATTTAATAATCAGGGATAGATTTAATTATTAATTTGGATACTCCTTTTGAATAAAGAGTTTAAAGGATGTAAAATAGAAGAATAGATCCACTTACAGAGATTATATATAATTTAGAAGAAAATCCACCTCCTCCTGAGATTAAACTTGATAAACTATTAAAAATAGAAAATGAAACAGAAGAGTATTTTTATATTTAATATTAGAAAATTATAGAAGGAATTTCAATAATTTAATGATAATTTACCTGGTCTTATAGAATGGTGTGAATAATTTGGTTTCGAAGAAGAATTTAAATAATTACATAATATAAAAATTACAGGTAAAGGATTTGAAGTTGCAAAATCTATTGATGGTTTAATTAATAAAGTACTTACACATAATTGTGAGTATTTGAATTAAATAGCTGAAGAAGTATTGGTTAATGAAACATAATAAGAATAATAATCTTAATAATAATAAGGTTTAGATAATGCAGATTTAGAGAAAGTGGAAGAATAGAATCCAGAATAATAGGCATAAATATTATAAGAGAAATAGAGTCATCTTGATGCTAAATAATCAACAGAAAGAGGAAGATCTCAATTAGCATCACGATAAAAGGATGTTCAAAGTGAATTTTTAAATTAAGATTAACTTAAAGGAATTTTAAAATAATGGGATGAAATATCTAATACATATATAAGAGAAACTACTATTTATATTAGAAGAATGAGTCATTAAAGAAAGAAATGTTAATAGATATTTTTATAAACTTAAAAAACCTTTATTGAATTCTTTGAAAGTCCTGATAATAAATTAAAATTAATGCATGAATTTTAATAAAGTTATAATAAATTTCTTTAAGAAAATGATGATTTATCAAAATAAAAAAATGCAAAATAATAATTAAAAGACCATTTATAAAAAACTTATGAATAATTATGGGATATATTAAATTAAAAGAAAAATTAAGCATTAGATTTTGTTAAAAAATTGAAAAAGGATAGATTTGTTGCTATTTAAATTTAATAATTTATGTAACATGTATTAATGTTATTGTAAACAGAAACCAATCTATTAACAGAAATCTAATTATTAGGAAAACCTTGGAGTGAACATTTTATTCTTGAACCACCTCAATCATAATTAATTGATGGATATAAGTTTCCTTAATTAGATGTACTTATTTCTTATTATAATGATTGTCTCGATAAAATTACATAAGGTGAAGAATCTTTAATTATTAAAATCTAAAAAGAAATTGCATATAAGAGAGGTCAAATTATTAGAAGTGTTGCTTACAGCAAAATGACTGAAATGTTATTGATGGAAGATATTCTTTATTCAAGAATTGATGATTGGATTATTTGTGGCATTAAAAAGTAATTATAAATATTTTATCCATAGTGAAAATGACTTTTGTTTTGAATCAATTAATTATTTAAAATAATAAATTGAAAATAGATAAACAGCTATACTTACAATACCTGAGCCTAGTCCCATTTCAGAAGCCTTTAAAATGATTTATATGTAACAACATTTAATTCCTGAATCTGAAAAGTGGAGATAGGCTATCCAATTTTATGAAGAAGTTAAATCACTAAGTGATTCAGTATGGATTCCTTTAGATATATTTGAGTCTTTCTAAAAAAGAAGAACTAAATTCTTATCATAATTTAAATTAAATATCAATAAAATAGCCCATTTGGGCTGTTATCCAAATGTTAGATTTAGTTACTAAACTTTACTCATTACTTTTATATTATATGAATGCAGAGTACCAACCTAAGAGGAAATTTAATAATTAGTTGATGATTTATAATCAGTAGAGCCAGATGATTAGAGAGATTATTGGATAGAGGTATTCCTTTTTTTATTATTAATTCATAGTATTAATTTTGGTTTGATGACAATTTTGTAGATTAAGAGTTCAATTTAAAAATTTATATTAAAAATTTCCTTTTTAATGTATTACAATCCCAAGACTTAGTAATAAATTAATTATATATATTAGGCTGTTTCTGTAAAAGAGAATTTTGGATATTTTAAATAATTTGAAAATTAATTATTTTCATCTATTTTTGATGAAGTAGTAAATGAAGAAATAAAAAATTCTAATTCTAAATGAAAATTAAATAATTGAATTTTTTTAATAATAATTTAATGCAAAAATTTTAGGTTATTCATTATGCTTATTTTAAAATATAATCTTTTATTCTTTTATACCATTTATGAAATGGAACACCTTCTGCCAAAAGATCATTATAAAACATGTCTACATTAATAACATAATACTTTGTCTAATTAAGGTTTAATTTAACAGATTAACTAATCTAAATTATATTAATTTTTCATACTAATGTATAAAAATCTTTATATGGATTTCTTCTATCCAAAAAAATAGGTTCAGAATCAGATATAAATTTTGATAATCCCCTTTAAGGCTGCTTATTGATTAATTCTTAATTATCAAATTTTGATGATATTGATAATTCAGTTTAAACAATAGTTGCCAACTTAACCCAATTTATACTCTAATTTTTAGAATGACAATAATTATATTTTAAATGATGTCCAGTTTCTTTAATACTATTTTTACGTAGAATTCTTTAAGAATAATCTTCCTATTATTAAATCTCTTATAAATTAGATTGCTAATTTAATTCTATACTTATATAACTTTCTTATTAATTTATTTTAACACTTTCTAAAGAAGGAATACTACCTTTAGGTTCCTTAATATTAATTGTAGTTTGATTTTTAGATTCTAATTAATCAGGTGCAGGTTCAGTATGATATTACATTTGTAACTATAATAATTTACGCAATTCTTAAATCTCCATTTACTGGTCTTCATTTAACTTTTTTACTTATTCTAATTGTTATTATTGTAATTTTAATGATCTCACCATTTCATTTGTACTTGATTTCATAGAATTAAGTTATTCATCCTTCTCTTATTCTATAAAATATTCTTTTTTAATCATTTTATCCTCAATTATGGAAAACTCTTCAATATTTTATTTATGTTGTACTTTAAGTGTTTCTATTTCTTATAATGCCTGAAAATACTATGATTATAAATTAGAAAACTCTTAATTTAAGGCTTGATATTTATTTTTTTCTTCTTCAAAGCTTTATTGAGCCTAATCAATAAGAAAATCTTCAAAATATGATAATAAGTTATACAAACAATCGAAATAAGTTAATGAACAATTTCTTCCATTTAAATAAGATCTTAATAATTTCCAATATTAGTTTAACATTCCTATAAGAATTCAATTATTTTCTTCTCCATAGGTTGAAATTCAGATTTATAATTATTTAAAATATTAAAAACCATTTATATCAGTCAATTTATAACATTAAATTTATTATTAGATATTTCTTAAACCTGTTGACTTCAAAATTTAAAAGTAATAAATTATATGATATAAATTCAACAACTTCTTTTCATCAATTGTAGGTAAAGTATTAGATTTAGATATCCATTAGATTTGATATTTTATATAATTATTGAATATATGATATTATAAAGTATATTATTTTCTTGAATTATTAAATGATTTATTAATAAAGATGTTCTTCAATATTATTTAATATATTCATTTAATAATTGAAAATTAATGTAAAAGAACAAGATTTTCTTAAAAGGAATTAAATAATTTGATTTGTTCGCTTAACCTTTGCAATTACTAGTTGATAAAAAAGAATATCACTAAACATTATTTGGGTCTATTCTAACAGTCTTATTGTTGGCATTATTCTCAAACTTACTTTATTAAAAACTAGTTACATTATTTGACAGGAGTAATCCAACTTCTTTGAGTTCAGAAATTTATCATTCTTAACCTGAATAATACAGTTTAATGCCATCAAACTTCACTATGACTTTTGCCTTTTAGAACTCATCCTATAACACTTATATAGATGAATCAATTTATGTTGTTAGCGCTTACCTTGTGAAAAAGAGTGCAAAACTCTAAGATGGATATAAAATAGATGTATATGATAAGTAAGAGTTACCTTTAGTCAAATGCAATCAATAATTAATTTAATAGTAAGAACTAAAGGAATATTTTTCTCATTTAGATTTACCAACTAATTATTGTATTGATTGGAATAAAATTCCTAATATATAAATTTAAGGAACTTTTGATGCTCCAAAATTTGAATACATTATTATGTAATTCAATACTTGTACTGAATAAAATAAAAAAAGCTAACCTTGCAAATCTTAGAAGGAAATTGAGTAGGCATTAACATAGAATTATTTTTCTTTTTAAATTTCATCTTAAACTACAAATTTAAAGAATCCAAATTCTCCTTATCAACCAAAAGGTCAAGATCTCTTTACAACTATATCAAGTAATATTTATAAGGAAATTTCAATTTACTTAGAACCACTTACTACAATTACAGATGTAGGTTTAATTTAAACAAAATTGGAATATGAAAAAACTTTGAGATATGGAAGACATACAGAAATGTTGGATTTGAGTTAAAGTGACTTGATTATGAATGTAGTTATTAGACTTGATACAACTGAATATGTTGATTATAGAACATATCCAAAGATATAAGAAATTTTAGCAGAATTAGGTGGCTTATGGTAAGTATTGTTTAGTCTCTTTTATATTATATCTAAACCAATAAATAAAATTAGTCTTCTTCTTCAACTTATTAATTCTTTATATGAATTTAAGGATAAATAATAATATGAAGATAATTTTTAATAAAAAGATTCTTCTTTAATTAAAAATGAGAAATCAGGTTCTCCTTTATAGAGATAGTTAGAACAATAAGTTTAAATTTGTTAAGATTAAATTGTAACAAACAAGACTTTATCAATTAAAGAGAATATCTGTAATAAATAAGGTCGTAAGGATAGATCATACAAAACTATTCTTTAAACATATGTTCAATATCTACAAAAAGCCTTATTTCGTAAAAATAAAAATATTAAATTTGGATACATAAATGCATTTTAAGCTTTAAGATGTATTGTCACTAAAGTATAATTATTAATAGATTTTAGGATGATGAAAATATACTTCAATTCAGACAAGCTCATAAAGAGATTTGTAATTAATTAAATATTCTAAATATTTTAAAAAGACTATAAGATGTTGAAAAATTGAAACATATAATTTTTAATGACAATTAAAGAATTCTATTTGATAAATTTAATAATATCCCATAAAAAGATTAATAAGATGAATTAAAGTTATATTCTGATTAACAAATAAAACAATAGGGAATTACTTAAGATGTAATCTTACAAATATTATCTGATTAAAATAACGAAATTAATTAAAAACTTATAGCATCCTTAGATGTTACAGTAAGTAATTTATTATAAAAATGTAAATAAGATAATAATGATAATTTAGAAAAAAATTGAATTTCATAAATTAAATTTATAAATTACTCAATCCTCTTTTTTTTGTACTTTTTATTATTTATTTTTTTATATCTCTTCTCTTTCTGAATCTAATCTATTCATACAACAAATCATAAAAATCAAAAATAACATAACTACTATGACACCCTTAAATTATTAAATTCATATATACTATAAACATAGGATCTTTAAGATACTCTATTATTTAATCAACTAATGTAAATTCTGATAATATTTCAATTTATAAAATGCCTTCCTTTTACCATCCTCCTTTAATAAATAAATCAAACTCATCATTAGTTCTATTACCTTTTTAAAATAGTAAAAAAATACACCATAAAATTTATAACCAAATTTTGATTGTGGGGGAATATAAACCAAAGATGGAAATCCTTTTATTTTGAATCTGGAACAAAGTTGTGAATGTTATTCACAATTTACAGCTGCTGTATTGCTTTATTAGCCTTATATTTCCCATGTAGGAATCAATTTAATACAATGAGGACACCATGGAGCATAAAACATTATAAATATTCCTTCATCTTTATCTATAACTTTTGTATTGATTTTTACTTAATAAATCATATTGCTCTTCATTCAATAATTTAACTTTAGTATTTTCATCCCAATCATGAGCATATGAGAATGAAATCAAAAATAAAATTAGAATAATCATTTATATGTAAATATTAATTTTTATTATGACCAATAATGTTCTCTTTTGGATGCCTTAAGTATTTGCATACGAAGATGAATCTAAATATATATTCATTATTTTTTATTACTGTTTTTGCTTTTTTATATAAATCTCTAACTTTAGGATCTAAGAATTCTAAATACTTATCATAAGTATTTTTGAGATTTCCCCATGGAGATGCCTTATAATATAATAAAATCAAAACACATTAATTACATTTTCCTTTAATTGCATAAAATAATGGAGTTCTTCCTTACTATAAAAATAAATAAAAATATTACTATATCTTTACTATTAATTTCAGCATGATTTTATAAAATTAAGATTGCCATTTCTGGATAATCTCTAATAACTGCATGATGAAGCATAGTTAATTTAAAATTATCATAATCATAAACTAGATATTTATTATGATTAATAAATTGATTTACAAGATCAATATCATTGGCTTTTACTTTTTGAAAACATAATTTAGACTTTTCACTTTAGTAAGGTTTAGTTTAAAATACATTTCCAGTAATAATATCTTCATATTTTAATTTATGTTCAATCATCCAATGTAAAAATAAAGTGATTTATAACAATACACGTTTAATTTTATTTTTTCTTTTTTAAATGATTAATAATTATTCATTTTCATTTTATTCATTAATTTTTGTATTATTATTAATAGATTAAGAATTAAATTGATTAATTTCATTATGATGTGGATTTGAAAAAGGATTTTAAAAAATAGACTTCTTTTATAATTCTTTAATAGTTTCATAATCCTAAATAGTCAATTCATCATCTAATTCAATTAGATCTTTAATTTCACTCTTATATTGATTATGTAATATGTTATTCTTAATACCTCTTTTGACAGAGGAATATAAATTAATATGTTGAATATTTTTAATTTATAATTATTCCAAAATAGAATTTTAAGTATATTGATGCTCTTATTATGTTTAACAATGTCTTCTTAATTCATTATTTTTTTCAATAAATTCTATTTAAATTTAAATTTTATAGTACATTCTAAATTCATGTTTCTATTAAGAGCTTTTTTCTTAATTCTACTCATAGTCGAGCTCATACTTATTAGTTCTTTTCTAAATAAATATGATTACATTTACTAGTATTTTTTTGTTTAATTAAAATTGGTTTGATAGGTGTTTTAATAACAAAATACTTGTCACAATAATTTAATTCATTTTTATCATCTATTTTATTTTGTTAAACATTAACTTTAGTCTTATTCTAATTTTTTGTAGATTATGTCCTTGTAGCATTTAAGAATTCTAAGAAATTTTATTATTATTCTATCTATTTATTTTATTTAGTAAACCAATTCACTCTTTAAACATCTGTTTTTTTTTCTAAATTAGGAAATTTACTAAAATCATATCTAGAATCTGGTTTTGTTATAGTCATAAAAGCTAAGTCTAAATTAGGGTCTTTCTTTGGAAGATTATTTATTGATCTTGATATTTTTTTGTGCGAGTTTGATAATTAAGAGTCAGTTTTATTTTTTTAAATTTAATCATTAGTTTCTGCAAGTGATAGTAATTAATTTGATCGGAGAAGCTAACTTGATGTATTGATTTTTCTTTTAAGTGAATAATACTGTCCTTTCATCTATCTCCTTTTTAATTGCTTTTATGATAAAATATAATTATAATTTTTACTAATAAATAATTCAAAACTATCAAGATGCTTAATAATTAAGTTAATTTATTAAAAATACAACATTATTTTCTTATAATTGGATAATTAAATATATAATCTCTATATTTGACAAAAAATAATATTTTTATACATTTTAATCTACTATCTTGAGTTTTATTTAATGTTATGAATTACTCTTATAAAAATGATCAATATATATATATAATAATAAAATGTTAGAATAAATAGATTGAGATGATGATATATTGAATATAATTTTTATTTTAAATTAATTATGGATTAAGGATTAGATGCTGGATAATTGTTGGCAGAATTGAAAAAGCAAGATGAAGTAAATTATTTATAATAAATAATTAGTGGGCTAAAGCAATAATATTTGATGAAGATTTAAATGTGATTACACATAAAAATTGTGCAGCTTCAAAAGAAGAGTTGGCACCATACCTAAAGGCATACGATGTAAGAGATAATACAATTGGAGCTGGATTTGTGTTATTAGGAGAACATTATGAAGTTCATAGATGGCATCCTCCTCTGGTTTATGGAAGAAGAGGTGATGCAGATGTAGGAGAAGGGATTTCATTAGCTAGAGTAATATGGAATAGATAATTATTGTTTAGGGGATTTGCAAAAAACATAATGGTAAGAGAGTGTATTTATTGATAACATATGAATTACCAATAGTTAGTGCAAGAGCTGTTCCATAATAAATTAATTTTTATAATCAATTTATTGGTGAATTAGAGAAATTTGATATAAAGTAATAATGAGATATGAATAATATAATAAGATTAACAGAAATATATATATATATCTTGGATATAAAATATGTATTTTACTATACTAATGATAATCAAATTCATTTTTTGGCTACTTTCTTTGCTCCTCTCTTTTGATAGAATGTATCATCTCTTCTAAATTCAAATTCCAAATCTCTAGTTGTGAGTACTTTATAAACATCTTTAATTGCATCAAGTCTATGCTCTAATTCTTTTTGATCGCTTTCATCAAGGAATCTTAATATTTTATTTACAACTAATTTACATTCTATAAAATTTAGTGCCATCAACTCTAACTCTTGTTCTTCTTCCAAGAATGACTGATGGACTAATCAAATCTTCAAGTAAACCCTCATAGACAGATGTAAGTGTTCTTGAGTTAGGTCTGGTTTAAGATCTGTGACTCTTTACCCATTTGCTTTCTATTGTTCTTTTGGCAGCTACTAATATTGTAGCTTTGACTCTCTTTTCTAATTCAGGTAATAATTTTGAGCTATGATTAAATCAAAACTCTTACCTAATCTTATTATAAATGCTCAAACATGGATATGGGATCAATACCAAATAGACCTATTTCTTTGCATTAATTTTTGCAGTGTAGTCAACAACAGATGACACTTTGAGATTTTTAACTTCAGTGATAGTTGTTTCGATTTATGTCAATGCTGATCCTACTTATTATTCTAAACTTGATAACTTTAGATTAGATTTAATTTCTTACTTCTTTCTTTTTCCAAAATTTATTAGCTGCCATTTCTTATCAATAAAATTTGATTTTTTATTTAAATCTTTTTATATTAATAATTACATGTAATTATCTAAACTAATTAAAATATACATCTGAATCAACATCTTTAATCATTATAGAATCTACAAATATATTAAGTTCTTTGTTTCTAAGAAACATAAGTTTGTTTATGAAAAATCAAATAAAAAATACTAAATTAAAATAGAAATAATTTAAATCAAAAAGACTGCAATTACTATTTATAATTTTTTTAAATTTTATGATATCCAATAGATAATTATCATTTGATGATAATGAGGTAATTCTAGATTTTAAAAGCAACTTCTTAAGTATGATAATTAATTAAAAGAAGTTTAATGATATAAATAATAAATAATTAAATAAATGTTTTCACTTATATTCTAAATGATTGAGTTTTTATTGTCTGTTGCATTGTGTCTATTTATTAAAGTAGGAAGAGAAGAGACAAAAATGAGTGGAAGAGTACTTAAGTTTGCATATAGGGTTGAAAAGAACCTACTTTATAATTATGAATTTGGAAGATATACAAAAGTAGGTAATGAGTTTACAATAGGTTTTCAGATTTTGCCTGATTCCATTTTTATTATCGACTTTATATCGCAAGGTTATGAAACTTAAATCATCCTTTAATTTGTATCAGATAATGTTATTAGTGATTGATTTATTATCATTGACTGATTATATTAACACAACTGAGTCATATTAAAGATATTGTCTAGTTTATGCAATCAGAATAATTAGAACAACAATAATGTTGTTTGATTTAATTAGAGATATTACAAAAGTGGCTATGATCCATTATGAACAAAGATTATAAGCAAAATAGCTATAAATATAATAACAACTTTAATAAAATCAATAAGAATAAACAAAACTATAGGAGAGCTAAGATGAAGAATCAGACATGGATGAATCATAGAAATTAATCAATACAAAAAAATAGTAATAATAATAAACATTAATAAAACGACTAATATTTCCATAAATGAAAATTCCTTGCATTGCATTAAATTTAATAATCAATCAACAGTAATATTATATTTAAATAATTGATCCTTGGAGTTTTGATAAATCATTCTCTTAAATCTAAATCAGAGAGCAATTATTAATAATGATTAAACTTAACTTTTGTTGCTAAATTTATTAAAACATAAAGAAAACTAAATGTAATTAATAAGCACTTTATTAATATAGAGAATTAATAGCTGAATATCTATCTTAAATTATTTGGATGAATTGATTAATAAATTTGTATATATTTATTAAATTATATATATATATCAATCTACTTCTTCCATTTTTGATTTGGTAGCTTCAGTATTGGCTGTCTCACTTTTCTTTTCTAAACTTGGTAACTTTTCATCTTCTTCTTCAATTGTTGTATCATCTATAGATAATCCCAATTTTATCATCTTATGAATTCTACTAGCAAAATGTGCTGGATCATCTAAACTAAATCCTGAAGTCAATAAAGCTGTCTCATACAATAACCAAATAAGATCTTTAACAGTTTTATCACTCTTATCTTTATCTGCTTTCTTTTTCAATTCAGTCATTATTGGATGAGATGCATTGATTTCTAATGTTTTCTTAGACATCATATAACTACTCATTGATGGATCTCTTAATGCTTAAGCTTTCATAATTCTTTCCATATTAGCTGACCATCCATATTCACCTGTTACTAAAACACAAGGAGATTATTCTAATCTTTATCCTAATTAAACTTTCTCTATTTTATCACCTAGAATATCTTTTATTAATTTGCATAGTCCTTCAAATTATGATTTAAGTTCTTCAAATTTCTTCTTCTCATCTTCAGTTTAATCTAATTCTAATCCTTCCTTACTGCAATTCTTCAATTTCTTTCCTTCAAATTCTTTCAACTATTAAATTACATATTCATCAATAGGATCAACCATATAAATTACTTCATAATCTTTCTTCTTTAAACTTTCAACAAATGGAGAAGCACCTACAGAAGCTTTTGATTCACCTGTTATGAAATAAATATCTTTTTATCCTTCTTTCATTTTACTAATATAGTCTTTCAAAGAAATTTAGTCTTCTCCACTTTTTGAAGTGTGGAATCTTAAGAATTCAGCTAATTTAGTTCTGTTAGCAGAATCTTCATGAATACCTAATTTAATATTTTTGGAGAACTATTCATAGAATTTTTTATAATCTTCAGCATTTTCTGAAAGTTCTTAGAACATTTCAATACATTTTTTAGTAATGTTCTTTTTAATCACTTTCAATATTTTATTATGTTATAAGAATTCTCTTGATATATTTAATGGTAAGTCTTCTGAATCTACAACTCCTTTGATAAATCCTAAATATTCTGGAATCAATTCTTCACAATCATCCATAATGAAAACTCTTCTAACATATAATTTGATATTATTCTTTTTCTTTTTAGTTTCAAACAAATCAAAAGGTGCTCTTTTAGGAATGAATAGTACAGCCTTGAATTCTAAACCACCTTCAACTGAAAACTATTTAACACTTAAATGATCTTCCCAATCATTTGTTAAAGATTTGTAAAAGTTTGCATACTCTTCTTTTGTTATTTCTTCTGGTTTTTTCATCCACAAAGGTTTATTCTTATTAACTTATTCAAATTCAGTAGTAACTTCTTTAATCTTTTTTTTCTTTTTTTTCTCATCTTTGCTCTTCTCCTCTTAAACTTCTCCCTCTTCAGTCTTCTTTTCTTTATTATCTTCTTCATCATCACTAACTTCTTTCTCATGAGTTTTTTCAATTTACAATTCAATAGGGAATCCAATAAATTCTGAGTGTTTCTTAACTAAATCTTTAAGTCTCTTTTCCTCCAAAAATTCTAAATTGTCCTATTTAAGATGAAGAATAACAGATGATCCTCTAGTTAATTAATTAGGATTCTCACTATCATCATAGATAAAGAATGTTCCTCCAGCTTATGATTCCCATCTATATTATTATTAACCAACAGCTTTTGAAAGTACAACTACTTTATCTGCAACTAAATAAGCAGAATAGAAACCAACACCAAATTGTCCAATCATAGAAATATCAGCTCCAGAATTGAGTGCTTCCATAAATGCTTTTGTTCCAGATTTAGCAATTGTACCAAGATTATTAATTAATTCATCTCTTGTCATACCAATACCAGTATCTTAAATAGTTAAAGTGTTATTGTTTTTATCTGGAATAATTTTAATTTTGAAATTAGGTTCAACATTTAATCCTGCACTATCTGGATCTGTAATAGATTTGTATCTGATTTTATCTAGAGCATCAGAAGCATTTGAAATTAATTCTCTTAGGAAGATTTCTTTATTTGAATAGAATGTATTAATGATGAGACCCATCAATTGTTGAATATCTGCATTAAAGTGGAATTATTCTTCTTTATTTTGAGTTGTTGACATTGTTTAAATTAATTGTTGTTTCTTAACATTTGAGTCAAATATTTAAAAGATAAAATCTCTAGAATTTTCGAAAATCAAGAATTTCTATGAGTTCTTTATAAATTAGTAAAATTCTGGAAATTTGTAAAAAGTTAATTAATTTTGTACTTAATTTAATTATAATTAATTTTTTGTAATTAATTTAATGAATTATATAAATAAATATATAAAAACTATATAAATGTATTATAATAGTATTTAAATATAATAATGTAAATATCAGATAATGCAAAAGCATCACGCAAAGGATTAGGATTACTCCTTAATCAACATCATCGTTAACACTTTTCAGAGGACTTTCAAAGACCATAATAATTAGGAACTCCAAGATCTTATATGTAAGCCTTACCAAAGATGAGTACTCAATTTAATTCTGTGAGTACTACAAACTCAAATACTAGAAAATTAATAAGTGCTGAGAGACCCACTATTACCATAGCTGAAGAGCAAGATTCCTATGGTTATAGATAGTAAGACTAATTGGATGAAGAACTCTTAGTAACTATTTATTAAAAATGCAGCGAATTCGTGAAATGCATGAAATTCTTAAATCTAGATGCAGTACTTTAGATTTATTGATCTCAGTTATTGGTGGCAAAGAGTTTGTACACAATATTAAAAACCAAACTACATTATAAAAGATTTAAGAATTGTTAAAAAGCATTTCTTAAACATTATAACAATCTGCAAAGACTGAAATAGAATTAGGCTTCAAAATGAGGGAAATAGAGAGGAAGAATAGTATATTAATTAACTTATCGTAGTTAAGTATTCATCATTATAAATGAAGTAACTGAAATTATCAGATAAAAATCAATCTCTATAAAGTGTGATTGATGTACATAGTTAAAAGACCAATAAATTATTGGATGAGAATTCTAAATTATAGAAACAATTAAAACAAGAAAGAAAATTAAATGCATCTAATTCTAAAAAAATCACAGCATTAGAAAAAAGAATTGAATTTCTTTTGGAAAATGATGTAAATTCTGCCTTGAATCCTAATGATAAATTAAGGAGTAGTCTTAATGAATTGTTAAAAGAAAATGAATTAATAAAAAGAGAATTTGAACATAAGAAATAAGAATTAGAGAGAGTTCAAGGAAAACTTAATTAATATACATAATTGGTTAATCGATTATAAAAGACAATTGATAATATGAGGAAGAAAAATTAAGATGATATGGGTAAAGATGAAAAATCAGTATTTAGAAAAGATGATATTGATTTATTAGTTAATTTTAGAATACCTTAAACTTTAGATTTTAGAGTAGTTAGTTAAAGATTAAACAATTAACATTTGTTAAATGATCTTACTGATAAAGGTGTATTAGCTACTTGTTAACATAATTTTACACTCCCTGTAGAATCATAAAAAGAATAATTCTAAATCATAGCTTAATAATTATTATCTTATAAAGAATTTGCTGAAAAGATGAATTAATTTTTCTTTTATATGGAATAATTTAGTAAATGTATTCTATTTGAAGATGTAAAATATATATTTTTAATTATTAGATTATTCATTAAGTTAATAGAGTATTACCATAAGTATTTGGATGTGAATAAGTTAGACTATGGTTAATAGATGGAATGAATGGAACCATATTTACTTATTTAGAAACAGGCAATCAAATTAGAGCTTTATAACATAAGGGTTAAGTTGCTGATGTCTTTAAATTGAGGGCTGCCTAAAATATCTCTTAAGCTTCTTAAAAACCTTTATTATATAGAATAAATGATTCAGAATAAGCTGATTATGCTAGAAATGCTTTGTTATTACCATTGTTTTGTGAGACCAATGATGCTATCAGAGGTGTTTTGGAAGTGACCAATACTGAAAATGAATTCTTTTCTTTTGATGAAGAATACTTTGGTATTTTAGCATCACATTAACTTGGGCATTTGCTATAAAGATTAATTGATAAGTAACAAATCTAGTAGATTTAGTTAATCATGGATAATTACTTAGAAATATAGAGGAATGATGATGGATGGTTTTACTAATCTAATGAAAAGTTAAAGTAAATAAGAGTTCTCTTCTAAAGTGTAATTAAGTCTTAGTTAAATCTTTGGATTCTCATAAGTCTTGTTTTACTTTTTTGAAGATAATCAACTTGTGGATTATAGCGGTCAAGAGGTTAGAAAATATGATGTTTAATATGGATTAGCTGGGATGGTGGCTCATACAAAACAGAAATTGATAATAAATGATGTAAAAAGCTCAATTCATTTCAATCAAGCTGTAGACATTAAGTCTATTTTACCAATATTTGCCCAACCGTTATTAGACAAAAATAATAATACAGTTGCTGTTATTGAAGTAATCAAAATTCTAATATATTAGACTTGTTTAAAATGTAAATTAAAAGTATAAGTTGAGAAGGATCAATTATTATCACCAAGTGAAGGAGTATTAGGAATGGAAGAGCCATTAACTAAACAACTTGCACATTTTGTTGATATAATAGTAGCAGCCTTGTGTAATATAAGATTCTGATTTTAATTATTTATATCATATTAGAGGTGGATATTCAAAGTCACCAAATTCTGATGGTAATTAATAAGTACCAGGTCCAGGAACTTATATATTATCTTAAAAGCAAATTTACATTAAATATTTTTTAGACCTTGAGTTTATCTTTCCTAAAATCCAAATCTAAAACCACTTCTATTAGAATATTAAGATGGTAAATATGTTCTAAGATCTCCTATATCTCCAGGAGGGTCATAAGTGCCAGGACCTGGGATTCTCTTTAATCTTTTAGCAATAGTAGAAGATGGAGAAATAATTGGAGCTCCACTGCTTTTATATCTTCCTATGAAGTAATTTCCTTTGGCTTTAAGACCTCCCACATCATATCGTCCAGGTGCTGGAGTTGTAGATTAAAGATAAATATCTAATAAAATATGAAATTATATTACGTTTTGCTGAAGTTCTCTCTCCCATTGAATATTTGTATGTAGTTACTATATCTTTTACTTAATATAGATTAGGAGCTGGGTTTTTGTTAGGTCGACCATGTATTCCTTTTATTATAGTTTCATCTCTTCCATATCCAAATTTAACTCCTGGATTTGAAGGTAATTTGAAATTATAATCAGTAGGTCCTGGAATATATTTGTCTTTTTTAGTAAAATCTGATTTATTTCCATATCCTAAGGCTGCAGCTCTTTTATTCAATTATGTTTCGATTCTATAATTAAATTAAGAAATACTGTGAGTCATAAAATTAAATAGAGCAATAACTTTCTTTAGCTTTCGAGAATCTTTCTGCTTTCGAAAATGTATATTATTGTTTTGAATGAGATCGATTAATTTAATCATGAACTATTTTTGTATCAAATTAATCTGATGTTCTGAAATGTAATAATGATTTAGTATGTTGTTTACTATATACTTATTCCAAAGTTTTAAATGTTCTTTCAGATACTGTTTTTTATCCCTATTACTTTTCAGTTTCTAATTTTTTATTCAACTCTTTTCTTTATGTAGAAACTTTAACATCTTCTTATAAATTCATCTTATTTGGATTCTGTTACATAATCAACTATTTTATCTCTGGTTGATCTTCTGTTTATTTCTTTGGAGGAACTATAACATATGTTTCTCTTTAGTTATGATCTACTCTACTATCTTATTCTTATTATTCCTGTTATACTTCATTCTATTATTCTACTTATTCTACTTATTCTGGTTATTCATTTAAGCTTTATTCATCTAATTACTAGATGTTTTCTTCTTGTAGTAATTAACTCATATTTTGATTTATATTTTACAAATATTTAAAAATTATATTATATCAAAATAGAGTGATAATAAGGAGAATCAATTCTGTATTTTCAAATATGGATGTAGCTCTCCATTATACTTTTTTAGAATAGTATAATAGAATCTATTTTTTACTTAATTTTCCTAAAAAATTATAAGAATTTCAGAATTACAGATCTGTTGTTTAGCTATTTGGCTATTTAGGCCCAACGTGGTCCATTCTGTTAAAATTCCTTCATAATAATCTTATCTTCTGCTTCATTCCACTCATCATGATTGATTATTGGGTTTATTTAATTTACATATCTATCTCTTACTTATTTTGATGTTCTTCCAGGAAGTTCTATATTTAGTAACTCTATATAATACTTTCAGCTATCTTAATCCATTATTTTCCATACAATTCAAAGCTATCTAATAATATTCTATCCTCCTCATTTGACCACTTTCTTTTCGTTCTTTTTTCTTAATCCTAAAGTTTCCTATACTTCTATGAACACTATGAGATATTTCTTCCTTTCAAATGTTTTATGATCTTTTTCCAATCTCCATTATATTATTTATAATATTTCACTAAGTTTTTCACCTCATCATTAGACCATAACTATCCTTTCCCTCTTACTATTCCACTTGCATTCGTTTGTTCTTGAATACTTTATACTGTTTGTTCTTTCTCAGTATCAGAAGCCTCCTCTTTAACAAAATTTTGAGGCAATGGTACTTGATAAAAATAAGGGAAGCAAAAGAACATCGGGTTCATAGGGTTTATATACATTGAATAAATTAATAAAAGCTACATATATGATTCCATATAATATCATCATTTTATGGAGCATTCTGTGTTACCTCACTCTATCCAATTCATTTTTGTTCAACATTACATCATATTCACCTTTAAAAGTAATAAAATATTTAAGTCCTTTTTAATATAATCAACTATAATTTACCTTATCATATAAAATCCTTGATTATAAATATATTATTTAAAGATATCTTTTCATCAGAAATTGTTGTAGTCCATCACTCTATTTTTTAATTAAGTATCCTTTTTTATAACATAATTAAAACTAATGTTGATCATAAAAGTAAACTTAATTAATTATATTAATATTGTTAATTTATACATAAAAATAAATTAAGAAATAATTTGAAATGCTATCTATATTTCATATACAAAACCCAAACAATTCCTAAAATACCTATAAACAATAAAATTCATTATTAAATACTTAATTCAATTTTCTGTTTAAAATAATTATTAAGATATTCTCAATATAATAAGAGATAATGATTTTATAATAAAAAGAGATTGAAGATTTGAAATTTCTTTCATTATGTAATTTACTAAAGATGATAATTTCAAATGACAACCAACATTAATTATTTTAATATCTAAACTTTTGATTCTAATTAATAAATATGATTATTAAAGTTTTTAATAAAAAACATAAGTTTCTGTTTTTCTTTTTAAAATTATGAAAACTAATTCATAATATTATTTTTTAGACTAAATAATGAATATATAACAAAGTTATAATAGATTTTGTTGTATATTTATTGGAAATAAAAGTAAGGATAAATTACTAGTTCCAAACTACATTTTTATCGAATAAAATAATATTAATTAAAATTTAAGAATTACAGAAGATTCTAAAAAATAATCCCTTCACAACTTTTAATTCTAAAATAAAGAACTTAATCAAATAGAAAAAAATTAAAACACTCTTTCTTTAGTATTCTCATAAAACTTTCTTAATTTATCAGTTTGTTTTGCAAATAAATTATTACATTTAATATAATAAACATCATTTTGAGTATGCAAAAAAAAACGCCATTAGATAGACAATAAGTTTTAGAGATGTTTTTCTAACCAAATTATGAGTTTGCATAATCACTTCTTAAAAGCCATTAATTCTCATTCTAACAATTGCCTACGGTTGAAGAAATTAATTCTATATTAAATTCTGTGGAAAAGGCCTACAATAGTAAAAGAGGAACATGGACTCCTTGTTAAGATAAATTCCTAAACTTGTTGGTGTTAGGTACTTGCTTGAAAAACAAAGAAATTCCTATCGAACTAGTAAAATATTTAGAATTATTCGTTCATAGAGTTCCTATTAATGGGAATAAATATCAAGGATGTTTAGATATCATAATTGGAAGGCTTGTAGAAATAGATGGTTGGAAGAATGTCATTAAAAGGTAAGTTGGACACCTTCTGAGGATTAAGTCTTAATTTAATTACAGAAATTACATCCAAATAAATGGTGTGAGATTGCAATAGAAATGATGAGGATTTGTAAAACACCTTATATTCGTTAAGGAAAACAATGTAGAGATCGTTGGGTGAATAAATTGGATCCAAATATTGTCAAGTATTAAATAATGTTAAATATTCATAGTCTTCCATGGACAAAGGAGGAAGAGTTAAAACTATTTAGGGAAATAGAGAAAAGAGGAAAGAGATGGGCAGAAATTTCATTGAAGGTATTTAAGTTAAAAAGAACAGAAAATACAATTAAAAACAGATATTATAATTTATTAAAATAAGAGGAAAATAAAATTAAATTAAGCAGAGTAACTAAAGATGAAAAGAATTAAATCTTAGTCAAATCTATTATATAATAACTTGAATAATAAGTCAATTGTAAATTTCCTATAAAAAATGAAGAAACAGTAGAATAAGAAAATCAATAATACAATTTCTAAATTTTTGATTGCAATTAAATAGAAGAACCTTTACAATTAATTTGTTTTGTTAAAAGAAAGATTGTTAAATTAAATGAAATATGACAATCTTTTTTTATTATGCTTGATTTATATTTTATAATTATTGCTAAAATTTATATCATTTGTCATATGAAATTAAAAATATGAATTGTTAAATCTGCTTCATAGATAAGTTAATGATTAGGCCTGGAGATTGTTCTCATCAATTTTGCAAGTAAGTATACTTAAATCAAAAGAGAATGCATCATCATGTATCTATAAGAAGCAATTAAAAGTGGAAGTGTATTTAAGATAACTTGTCCTACATGCAATATAGAATACAATGCTTTAATAATAAAATAATATTGTGAAGACTTATATCCAAAATATTTAGAGTTAAAGCAGAAAGCTATAATTACTTGTTCTGTATATGATTATTTTATTCAATAAGGTATGTAAAGAGAATTTATAAACCCATAAATGCGGATCAAATGTATGTAAAAAGTGTGGTGAAATTCACAATGGAGATTGTAGTTAAAGATGTCCTAATTGTTTGATACCAATAGAAAAGATTAGTGGATGTAATCATATGGTTTGTAAATGTAAATATGAATTTTGTTGGATTTGCAAAGGAAAATTTAGTAAATATCATTATAGATTATGGAACTTATTTGGATGTCCATGTAATATCTATATATACTAATTTAAAGTTCCTGGTTCAATGATGAAGAATGTTAAACCTTTAAAAAATCCAACTTTATTGCGATTAATAATGGTTCTACCCAAAATCATAGTATTCATTCTAATATTTTGTTTTTTACTCTTAATATACCCATTTTTTTGTTTTATTATCACATTTCAATTCCATTACTAATAATTCAAAATCAATAAGTAATCCATTAATTATACATTTATTAGATCTAGATTATTATTGGTATTCCTATTTCCATTCACTTATTTGATGCATTTTTTTTATAGAGGAATATTTGCTGTGTAGAATAAATTACATTCTCTTAGTTGAAAATATATTAAATAATTTATATTTTATATTTGTATTTAATTAGATTAGCATTATATTTAACAAACAATATTACATTTAAATTGAGATATTACAATAACGAATTATTCAAATGTTTTTACATTTATTCTGATTTTTCATAAATTCTTAAAACAAATTAGTTGAAACCTTTTTTCATTAATTCTAATTAGAGAATGTACTACAAAATTTTGAGATTAATATGATTAAGCTTTACTGTTAATTAAGAATATTAGGATATAATATTAATTATAAAGTAGTAAAATAGAAGATTCAATATTTCTCCATCAATATAATATTAATATAAAATTAATTATAGAGGAGATATAATTAAATAAAGTATTCTATAGAATAAAAATGATTAATTTAATGTATTATTAATAAATTGATTTATAAAATACAAATAATTTAGAAAAGAACATCTTTTTTGTTAAAAGTATAATTATAATCTAATAGAAAGTTTAATGTAATGTTCTTTTATTAATTGATTTGATTTTTGCAATATAGATTCTTAATCAATAATAATAGATAGATCGTGTAAAATTGCAATAAAAATTGAGGAAGAATTCAGTTTACTTGAATATTTTGATGCTATCTAATTTTGTGAATTACTCAAATAATTTTTTATGAATTATTAACAGAGGATTTTAATTTTTGATAAACATTAAGTAAGTATCATATTTCTTAACTTTGAATTACAAGAGCAAAAGAATTACAATTAAATTAGATTTTGAATTGTTTTGATTTGAATAGAATGTATAAATCTGATAATGGTTGATATTTACAATTGCCATATGTACTATTTTATATAATTGATCATTCTTTTAAAGCAAACTTTCTTAATGGGAAATTGTTCAATCTTTTCCATTGTCTTTATGTTTTTTATGCTTAATTTATTTATCATTTATTATTACCTTTTTCGCTTCTTGTGAGTCTTTATCTAATTGCTCTTGTTTTTTTACCTCTAAGATCAACTGGGAGTTTAGTAATTGATTTGGCTGCATTTTTCACAGAATTTCTTCTTTATTCATTGATCACTGTTAAATATTTAGCAATTCGCTTTCTAACAAGCTTAATTAATTGATTAGTTGCTTACTCCAATTCTGCCAAGTTTTTAAGCATTACCAGCTGAAACTTTAACTGTTCGCAATTAAATAAGTTCTCCTTTGAGTTTCTCTAAATCTTTTATAAGATCTTCAGGCTTTTAATCTCTAAGCTTTTTAACCTTGAACTTTTGAGAAGACATATTTTAAAAAAAAGGATTTAATTTTTATCAAATATGGGTAATTGTTTCAATTAAGATGAGAATGCCAAAACATCCTTATAATCACTAAAGAAAGTAGATTAGTTATAGTCGCAATCTCTTTAAGACTTAGATATCAATAAAATTACTTTAAAAGATTTTTTAAGTCAAGGCTAAATAGGAAGGGTTGTGAATATATAAATATTTTAGGGATAATTCGGTAAGGTTTTTAAAGTGAAAATGAAGAATAGTTCTCAGGAATATGCTATGAAAGTAATTAAAAAATCAGAAATCATTTAATTTGGATTAGTGGAACATACAATGCTTGAAAAGAGTGTTCTTATAAGAAGTAAAAACCCTTTTGTTGTAAAATTAAAATACTCATTCTAAACAGATTAAAAGTTATATTTAGTTATGGAGTAATATATTAAATTAGAAAATTTAGATTAGTTAATGGAGGTCAGCTTTCAAAGATTCTTAGTAAGTATCATTAAAATCGATTTACATAAATTTAAGCATAGTTTTGTGCTGCTGAAATTATTCTTGGATTAGAATATATACATGAAACATTAAAGGTTTTATATAGAGATTTGAAACCAGATAATATTTTAGTTACTTAGGATGGACATTTGAAATTAACAGATTTCGGATTATCAAAATAATATGATACTTAAGATATGAAATTCTTTACTGTAATGATTAGATTTAATTATAAGTTTAGTTTGTTGGTACACCTGAATATATAGCCCCAGAAATTTTGTTGAAATCTGGACATAATTCATCTGTAGATTGGTGGAGTCTAGGAATATTACTTTATGAAATGCTTGTAGGATACACTCCTTTTAGAGATCAATCTAATAATTTAAGGGTGATAGAGAACAAAATAATTTAAAGTGAGATATTATTTCCAGATTTCGTATCTAATGAAGCTAAGGATATCATTTCTCAACTATTAAATAAAGATCCCAATAATCGTTTAGGTAATATCTATTTTTCATAATATAGGAAGTAGATCTGTAGATTAAATAAAGAAACATATATTTTTTTCTTAAATTAATTGGGATGATATTTATTATTTAAGAACAAAATCACCAATTTTAGATGGTCTAACTAAGATCTTATAATAAAAATAGACAGAAAATAAAGGAGTTCCAAAAAAAATATTCGAAACTCCCCAATCTTAAATAAGATAAACTAATGGTTAATTCGAAGGTTTCTCTGTTAATCATGATGAATATTGATATATATGAGATTGAATTTAAAATTATTTGCTTTTATTTTGAAAGCATAAGTTCGATATTTTGAATTCATTATTATTAATTGAATAATAATAATAAAACACAATCATTATGATAAATGTTTGTACAAAACTATCTATTAAGTATTTAAACAGTATGATTTTCTGTTTAAGAATAATATTTAAATATAAGTACTATAATAATTATTATATAAATGTAAATGTTAAGATTCATTTAGATATACTAATTGACTTTTGAGAGTGAAATTATTTATGAGTAGTAAATATAGGTAATTTAGTAATAGAACAATCCTTAGGAATATCTTCATAAAATGGTACAGTGCTTTCTCTTAATTTTTTTTTTGTCTATTCGATAATGGATTTAGAGGATTTGAATTACATAATTTATTTCTCATGTTTCTATATATATCCAATTATATATTCTTATAATGTTAAGATGATTTCTTTATGGGTTTAAAGTATCATCTTATTGAATTGAGTATTAGTGACATCCTGATTTTCATAATTTAACATGTAAACTTCACTACCAGGATGATTTTCAGCATAATCTGTCAAATTATATACAGTTTTCTTGTATGCATATAATGAGATTTGATTTTATCTGGCATACTGTTACATTTCCTTCAAATCATTAAAATAAACATATTGATTCATTATTTTTGATTAATATTAATTAAAGACAGTATTGAAACTATTGCATAAATAGCAATTCTAATTTATTAACTTAGAATATTATATAATTTAATATTGATTTCAATGAATTATTGAGTGATTAAATTATTTTATATTAAAAATTTTAATTTTCCCTCAAAATTGAATGTCTAATTTTCAAAAATAAAGGGAATAATAATTCGAAGAAGATTTAGAAAAGTTTATAATCTATTTTACAGGATTTGGAGTAAGATTGTATTTTGAATTAAGTCATCCCAAAAAAATTTTGAAATAGCCCACAAATATGCAAGTTCAAATTTGAAATATCACACATTCCTAGATCCTGATGCTCATCAAATAGAAGCTAAATTTTAAGAGTATTAATATGAAATATTAATTAGCATTTTAATTAAACTCTAAGTAATGAGCAGACCTGATACTGCAGATTACTTAAATACTCTATTTTAAGAATTAAAGAAAAGAAAATTAAAATAAGATTACAATGATATACCTCATCGTATCTTAGGTTTATTACTACTTTTAAGTTCTAATTTGATTGAACACAACTTGAATCGTGAACCAAATAAAAATATTTTAAAGAGAAAATAATAAGACAATATGTCAATTTCAAGCATAGAAGTAATTATAAAATATTAATTTTGCAGTCCTTAAAGGATTGGAAATTTGAAACATCTTCAGAAGAAGAAGATGAAGAAGAAAATAAATAAGAAGATATTTAAATTAATTAAAGAAATGAAAATGTAAGAGAAATTCAATAGAAAGCCTAATAAAATTAAAATTTGATCTCTTCAAAAGATTAATTACCTAATGTATTATGGCATATGAGTTTTAATACTAAAAAGTCTTTTAATGAATTTGTAAGTTCTAATGATTCTTTTATTCAAATAAGATCATCATAACTATTTTTATCTGAGAATTAAAATAAATCATAAGAAATTCTTAAAAAGCCAAGGATTATAAAGTAAAAATATTCTTTTTTTAGATTAGTATGATTACAAATGAAAAGGATGTAGTTATTGCAGTCTTATATAGTTTTTTGGGTTTACAAAGTGAATTATTAACATTCTCTTCAGGATAATATTAATTAACTGATTTTGATGTTCGTCATATGAGTCATGATAGTCTTCTCAGTAGTACTCAAAAGTTTTTAGAATATGCTACAATAGTATGTCATTTAAAAAAGCCATTAAATATGATTCAAAAACCATCATTGTTGAATATTGAAATATTAATATAGGAATAATTTTGGTTGGGTGTAAGATCTATACTAAGTGAATTTGATCAGGCAGTTACATATTTATTAGAATAATCTATTTATGATGAAAAATTATGTTAATAAAAGGTTGATCGATCTATTACTTTAATGTATTTAGGTTAAAGTTTATAGGATTGGTTTGTGATTATTAAATAGATCAATCTTGTTGCTCAGAAAATATCAACAATAGAAGCAAATAATGGTACATTTAATTCACCTACACTTACTATTCTATATAATTTATGCATTTAAAATTCACTTTAACCTCAACATAATTAAGTTTATCTATAGAAACTATTTTTATATGCATTAGAACCATACATAAAATTATTAGATAAATATTTAGATTATAATTCAACTATCACAGATACTTTTGAAAATCTTCCTATATTTTTGTAGAGTTGTTCTGTCTAATTAAAAAATATTGGTTAAGCATTTTAAATTTTCTAAAAAGTTGGATTGCCAGCTTTAAAGTAAATTCAGTTTAAAAAGAATCTTATAATGAGATTATGTGAGGTATCTGATACTTCTCCTACTAAATCTATTTAAACTAGTTTATAATATTGTACTCTTTCTGGAGGTTATAAGTTTCATGAACCTTTTACATTAACAAAATTAAAAAAGGATGATATAAAAATTTAAGAAAATGAATCATATTCAATCAAAAATATTAAAAATCCTAATTTGATCAAAGTATTTTAAAAAGAAATAGTTAAACTTATTAAAAAGGAGGATTAAAATATTTAAAATATCTTATTAGATTATCTTAATAATCATTTGCAATTTATTAAATTACATAAATATTTAAGATGTCTATTTTTCTTTGAAAGAGTTGATCTTATGTAATAATTTATAGAATAAATTGCAGAATCTCAGTCTCTTGCTCGTTTAAGAGCTATTTAAAATACTATTTAAGATTTATTAGGTAAAAACTTTAATTTTAATAATGCTTATGAATTACAACCATAATTAATTTGTTAACAAAATTCCTAATTTTTATTATCTCATAAAAGTGTTAATTTCAAAATATTTTTACCTCATCCAATTGATTTAATCATAAATGAAAATTCATTGATTTTATATAATAAAATCATGCAGTTTCTATTATTTTTCAAAAATTCAAAATTACATCTGCAATAATCTTAAGTTAACTTAAAAAAAAGATTTAAAAATTAATTATCAAAGTTTCTTCATTTTGGAAATTAATTGACACATTTTATAACTAATTATGAATATTTCCTATTTATATCTATTATATAAGTTCAAACAGATTTATTTTTGGATAAGGTTAACAAAAGTTTAAGTTTTTAAGAGATAATCAACAATCATAATTTATATCTAAAAACAATATCTGATAAAATGTTTCTAAATTAAAAAGTATAATTTTAAAATTATTATTAGTCAGAATCAATTTTAGAAGCTATTTATAAGGTTATTGATATAGTATAAAATTATCCTATGTTAATTGAAAGAGTTACTACATTAGATTTAGTTGATTAAATCACAAAAAATATAGAAAATATGAGAATAGAGAGTGAATTTACAAAAATGAAAGATTCCTTTAATTAATAAATATCAGCTTTGATATTACTATTTGATCATTATACTTAAAGATTTACTCATGCTCCTGAAAGTAAATATATAAATATATTAATTTTAGTCATTGAATGTATTTTGAAGGTTAATTTTAATTAATTTTATAAATGAATTATTTCTTTAATTATATATATTTGAGCATTTCTATACCTATAATATTAATGAAATAACTTAAATAAATAAATTATAACTATTAGATTTACAGATGTTAAACTAGTATTAATTTATTTTTATATATTAAACAAAATAAGAATCAATTTCTTATAATTTATAATGAAATACAATTAAAGAAATGAAAGTGATATATATTCTAGATTCTAATTGTTTTGATTTCCTATACATTGATTAATTAGTTTTATTAATATACATATAGGATAATCATACCTTTGATATTATATATTTAGATTAAAAAAAATTATTCAAAATTTGGCATTACATTAATCAAAAAAATTTAATGATTTTTTTTAATTAAAAAATGGAGTATTGAATATTGTAATGTATTAATAAAAATGGATAATAAGGAGAATGAAAAGTAGGCTAAATTAAAGGAATTTTAAAGAAGATTTCCAAATTATATGAATGGTAAGAAAGTTATATTTCCAATAATGGATGAGATAATAGTTCAATTTTCATAAATATTTCCATAAAGTAATCAATTTGGAAAGATGAGAGAAGGGAATGTAATTAAAACATTTTCTCCTATTCCTTTAAATCAATAAATTGAAATTACAACTTTCATAAATGCTTTTCCATATAATTAGTAATTTGCAGCTATGTCAGATAGCTAAAATTAGTTTTAATTACTTCTTTCCCCTTTATTAAAGTTAACAGGACATTTGATAAAAGACTATCATACTAATGCTACATTTTCAAATAGTTTTTAATATTCAACCTTTGATACTCAAGAATAGTCAGATCGTATTAATTTCAAATTGACTGCTTTTATTATTGAGGATATATTTAAGTATAAAATGGGTTTATTAAAACCAATAGACATAGCTAAATAAAGATAAGTTTAGGATGAAATAAAAAAGAAGGGGAATAAACCTTAAAAAATGAGTTTATTGTCAATGGTAGAAAAATAATAATAATAAGAAGAAGAAAAAGACTTAAATTAAGATTTAACATTATAAAGTTAGAAATATGAATTTGAAAATTATTTAGATCCAACTTGCTAATCTTTTTGGAAAATAGCTTATGAATCATTTAATAAAATAATAAAAAAATCATAAAGAACAAAATTATAGGATATGGATATAGAGTAAGATTCAGATGAATAACCAGAAATGATTTAAAATACAAATAATTAAAAAGGAAATTTAAATTAAGAAAGTTTAGAAATGAGAAGATAATAAATAATTAGTAAATATTAATAACTCAGTAAATTAAAGGATTAAAATAAGAAGAAAAGTAAAATAACAAAATAATATTCACAGATTAAATCATTNTATTTAGATTAAAAAAAATTATTCAAAATTTGGCATTACATTAATCAAAAAAATTTAATGATTTTTTTTAATTAAAAAATGGAGTATTGAATATTGTAATGTATTAATAAAAATGGATAATAAGGAGAATGAAAAGTAGGCTAAATTAAAGGAATTTTAAAGAAGATTTCCAAATTATATGAATGGTAAGAAAGTTATATTTCCAATAATGGATGAGATAATAGTTCAATTTTCATAAATATTTCCATAAAGTAATCAATTTGGAAAGATGAGAGAAGGGAATGTAATTAAAACATTTTCTCCTATTCCTTTAAATCAATAAATTGAAATTACAACTTTCATAAATGCTTTTCCATATAATTAGTAATTTGCAGCTATGTCAGATAGCTAAAATTAGTTTTAATTACTTCTTTCCCCTTTATTAAAGTTAACAGGACATTTGATAAAAGACTATCATACTAATGCTACATTTTCAAATAGTTTTTAATATTCAACCTTTGATACTCAAGAATAGTCAGATCGTATTAATTTCAAATTGACTGCTTTTATTATTGAGGATATATTTAAGTATAAAATGGGTTTATTAAAACCAATAGACATAGCTAAATAAAGATAAGTTTAGGATGAAATAAAAAAGAAGGGGAATAAACCTTAAAAAATGAGTTTATTGTCAATGGTAGAAAAATAATAATAATAAGAAGAAGAAAAAGACTTAAATTAAGATTTAACATTATAAAGTTAGAAATATGAATTTGAAAATTATTTAGATCCAACTTGCTAATCTTTTTGGAAAATAGCTTATGAATCATTTAATAAAATAATAAAAAAATCATAAAGAACAAAATTATAGGATATGGATATAGAGTAAGATTCAGATGAATAACCAGAAATGATTTAAAATACAAATAATTAAAAAGGAAATTTAAATTAAGAAAGTTTAGAAATGAGAAGATAATAAATAATTAGTAAATATTAATAACTCAGTAAATTAAAGGATTAAAATAAGAAGAAAAGTAAAATAACAAAATAATATTCACAGATTAAATCATTTAAGATTAAGGATAAGTATAATGATTTAGAAATGATAAGATTCAATAATCTATTTAAGTTTTTAATTTAGAATTGGCCAGCTATGCTACTTTAATCAATTAAATTACCTTATGTTTAATCATTATTTACTGATTTGGAGTTAAGAAATATAAAGAGTATTGGTCAAAATGATTTAGGTTATTTTGGATTGAAGGCAAAATAGAGAGCTGATATTACAAGTAATCTTATAGAAGGAGTACGTGAAACTGATAGTTTTAAAATAATTATTGAGTATAGATAAGAAGTTATAGAAGCAGTTGGATTAGTATTGGAAAATGTTCAAGATGAATTAAACAATATCAATCAGACATTATAAAAGAAAGATTGTCAATATACTCAATAATAATAGTAATAATATCGAAAGATTTATAAATAATATCTTTAATTAGTTGAATTTAGTAGACTTTTCATTAATGGATGTTTATATTTGGGTTCTGATATACATGGTTATGATTACCATATATTCTCTAATGATATTGATCATATCTATTAAAATAATGGTTCAGAATGGAGAGTATTAGATGAAAATCAAGTCTAATAATTATTTAAGACTTTAAATGTTTGTGGTGTAAAAGAAAGAGAATTGTAAACTAATATTTAAAAATTAATGGCATGTGAGTTGTTTAATGATTAGGAAACAAAAGAATTAATTACAATAAAAAATGTTGAGTAATCTTAAGTATAGGGTGGTAATAGAAGTCCAAAATAATTAATAGTTAAAATATTACTAGAAGTTGTATAAAAGTATACTGATATTTTAATGGTGAGAAAAATGAGATGGGAATCATATAAGATAAGAGAAAAGTTTCAAAATACTATTAAAACACTTGAAAACCCTTTAGATATGGTTGATTTTATGAAAATTTTAATTGAGTAATTTGAAACTGCTTAAGTATTAATTATAGATTAGTAGAAAATGTAAAATGGAAACCAATATGATTAAAAAGATTTAAAAGAATTTTAGTAAAGATTACGAATATATGAAAATAAATTATAAGGATTAAAAGAACCAGAGAAAATTTTATTTTATGATAATCAATTATTTTAAATGATGGAATCTAAAGAATATATAAAACCTAATGGTGTTAAATTTAATACAAAATTTTGGTAATAAAGTTTAGGATTAGAAGTTAAAGAAGCATTGATGAATTTTGCTAATAAAGTAGATAAAGATAACTAATAATATGATGTTGTATTTATGGCTAATACATTATTATTAGCAGTTTAAGAATATGAACTCTCAAGTTCTCCTTAAGATAATGAAGATGATGAATTACTTAAATAGATAGTAAGAGAAGTAAAATTTGATAATTCGAATATTTTATAGAAAACTGATAATCATTAAATTAACAACTAAATTATTGAATTAGATTGAATTTTAGTATTAATATATATATTTATATATAATATTATTATATATTAAAAATTATCAAATAAAATCTTATAATTTAATTAATTAAAATTATATAACATTTCAAATACAATTTTATTTTCTACCAAATTTAATATCATAAAATTCTTCTTCACTTTCTTCCTCTGGTTCAGCAAAAATAATAGTTCTTTCGCTTGGATATTTCTTATCATTAACTGTTATTCTCCCTCTTACTGTCTTTAATTTTACATTCTTTTTCAAAAATTATTACTATTTAGGTTAAGATATAGGATTTATATTTAAAAACACTTTATATTCCATTTCTTATTATACATCAACAGCATCTGAATACATTTTATACTTTTAACAATTATCATCTTCAAAAAAATAATTATAAACATATAATTTCTAATTTTCTTTTATTGTTGGCTATAACCAATAATCAGGCATTAATTAATCATCTCTTATTATTTAACCTTGACTAATAAATTTTAAATCAAACATAAATGAAATACAATTTAATAATAAATGAAAGTTCTTTTTTTTCATTTTTTAAGTAACTGTCTAATAAAGTGCAGTTATGTCTTCTCCATCATAATCAATACTAATCATTAGTAGAATAGACAATTGTTCTGACATATATTTTAATTTATTCGTAAAATAATCATCTGAAGGTAGAACTTTACATTATAATACACGAGAGATAGCTGAACCAGGAATTCTAACTAATCTCTTTCTATATTCTGATTCTTCTACACAAATACTTAGATTCCTATTTCTATAGCTGTTTTAAAGGAACGATACATTCTGCTTTAGAACTTTTTTGATTAAATTCTGAAGATATAATAACACACTTTACTATATTCCTGATTTTTTTTAAAAGTCAGGCAATGCTTATTTAATTAAAGCTGAATGTTTGATTACAGTTATAACCAATAATCTATGTTATTATTTATCTAATTCAACATTTGGACTAATAATGGATTAATAGGCTGGTTTTAGTAAACAGGGTTTTGAAATAGTGATACTAAACATATTTTCCAATACTTTAGCTATTTCTGGCCATCTAATTACTCTATCTTTTCCACATTCTACTAATTATTTTAAGGTTTCTGCAAATTTTGGATTTTCATTCACATAAGTGAGCATTAGATTGATAATATTATATGAAATATCTTTTATAATAAAAAAATTCCTTTAAATAATATGATCAATAAATTTTAAAATTGATAATTTTTTCATTGAAATTTATTCGAATTTAAATTTATTTTATTTAAAAATTTATATAAATTTTGAAGCAATTTAAAATAAAATTACAAGTTTCTATAATTAATGATTCTAAATTTGTTTAATAAATTTATATTTCTTACGTTTTAATTTATTCATTATAAAATAATATAAGTGGAAATATAAGATACTTTTAATATTAAGAAATATAATATTTTCATAATAAGATCATATCAATCACAAAAGTTAATTTTATTACTATGGTTAATCATTTCCAAGTATATTATCTACATTGATTACAATCTACTAATTTATTTAATCATTTTGAATTTCTGGTTATATTACCTATTATGGTTAAGGTAAAACGTCTTATGCCAATAAATTGGGAACTTAAATAGGAGCATTCTCTACATTTTACTCTTGATTTAACAAATTGTTTAATAAAATATAATTCTTATCTACAAGAGCTAAATTTTAAATTTAAAAATATCTAATATACTATAATTAAAAAGATACCTTCTTCCACAAAGAGGATAGAACATAGTCCATAAAGTAGGAATATCATTCATCCAATTTATATTAAACAATGGAGTGTAGAATACTCGTGGTCGATCAAATGAAGGTGTATAGGGTGAGATAGTTGACCACTCTAAAGCTGCTATTTCAAAATAAAGTAAAAAAGAAGATAATATAGTAAATTATGAACAGATACAAATTTAAAATGCTAGATTGTAATATCCATAGATTGTAGTTTCAAAATAATACAAAAATAGTATATAAGTAAGGGCTATGTATTTAGGAATAAAATAAAGGGATGATCTGGTTCTTAAAAATATGATACAAGCAAATTCATTAAGTAGAAATGATCTAATTGATTTATAATTATTTACGAGAAAAAGTTTTCACTCAATCCTCTTGGGTAGCTTTTGGTGAATAATTGTATTGAACCACTATAACCACTAAATTAAAAAAAATAGATCAAGTAAAATAAAATCAACATTTAAATAAAAGCTTTAAGCAATTCCTATTTTAATTTATGATTTCTATTCAAAATATTCAAATATTAGCCTACCCAAGGAAATGCAACAACTATCGCTTGTGCCTATATATCTTCATTCTAACAAATTGACATACAACTAACTTTAAAATTGAATATTAAGTAATACCCATATATATTATAAAAATAGGAGCACAAATAATGGACATCTTCATATAAATAGAAGCTAAAATTGATTATAGAAATATTCCTAAAACACATTTAATCAATGTGATAAGAGTTGTATAGATTCTTTCATCATAAGCAACAACATTATTTCCTAATATTAATCATAATAATAAACTATCAAATTATTAAATATCCCAACTCCAAGTTTCGTTTGTTTATTGATTTAATAATTAAATGTTACTTTCTTAATAAGAATCAAGAAAATCAATTATAAACATTGTTTCTAAATCTGTTGCTAAACACAAAATAGAATTAAATCCTTTAATGTAAAAATCTACATCAATAAAATGAGTAACAACAGAGAAATTATATTTCTTTTAGAAATCACTACTCATAAAGAGAAAAGTTTTGTTAATTGTAAATTTCATTGATAGGTATGATTCATTTTTTTCTTTTAATTCAGTATCTGTAATATTAAAAATGTAAATTGTTTCATTATTGAAATACTCTATTCTTGTATATAATATATACCATGATTTTCTTAATCCAAGAAGTGATTGTATTATTCTCTGAATTATAATAGAAAAATGAAAATTAATCCCAAAATTGTTAAAATAGGAAAGAGATAAGACCCAACCCTTAAAATCTTTCTTAATAATTATCCACCAAGTATTCTTTCATGAATTCTGTATAATTGTTTTTCGAATTCCATTATAAATTTTAATTAATATCACATTTATTATCAACATTTTCATCATCCTCTAGGATCTAATGGAATTAAATCTATTTTTTATCTACATAAGCCAAATGCTACATATCAAAATACCTGAATAATTTATAAACAATAAATTCTACTTTCGTTCAAAAAGTCCATAAAAGATAGTCCAAAATTATAAAATATTACTAATCCATTCAATTTAAAATAATTGTATATAATAACATCTTGCTCTCTATTCACATGGAGTATAAAATGATTTAAAGTAGTCGCAACATATAAATTTTGGTTCAAAGTAAATTTAAGATTTTTTTCATAAAAATAAACTTGTTATTATTCATTTATAAATACAATCCTAATATGTTGAACTATTTTACATCATAAAAAAAATATTAAATCTATTGGTAATACTTTTTCCCAAACATAAAACAAGTCGCATATTTAAGATCCTCATTATAAATTATTATGTTACAAAAAGTTATTGTTAAAAAAGGCAAATCTAAATTAATATTTTGCATTATTAATACTATCTAATAATCTTATCTAAATTCCAATCCAGCTCTCTTGTTTTCCTTAATTATTCAATTGTTATTCTTAAATAAAAAATACATTATATTGAACTCTCAATAAATTTTAATATATTATCTATTTAAAATAAAAGAGAATACAGGAACAGATAACAAGAAAAGATGGATTATAATATGAAGAGCAAGAAATAAAAAATACACTAACTAAAATCTATTGAAACAAAAATAATTCTTATCATATTGAAGTAAATAGACAAAGTTGAAAAACAAATAGATTAAATTTTGATTTATAATTGATAGCATCCAAAAAAAGTATGATCTTTTGCAATATTTAATTAAAGTGATAATAGATATCGATTTAATGAAAATTTCAATTATAACAAAGGATCATTAAATTAATAATGTTTCATTAAATTTAGAAATTAGACTATTTTCTCTTTATAAAAATTCTAATCTCCTTTCTCCTTGTCTTATTCAAAAAGACATATATTCTTATAAATAATATTGATATTCCCAGCAATTCTAAATTAGTATCTTTTTTTTGATGTAATTTCACATATTTTCATGAAGTTAAGAAATAATGGAATTTGTATATTTGTTTTTCTAATTCCATTATTATATTTTAATTAAATGTAAGAAATTAATGAATAATCATTAGAAGATCTTAGTAAAGAAGTATTAGTTTCATAATTGAAGGATAAAGTATTTAATACTTAATAAATGATAAGATAAAAGAAAACAAAACCATCACTAAAAAATTAGATAAATTATCAGAGAAATATGTATAGACCTATAAAGAGTATAAATTAATTGCTAAAGACAGAGAAACTTTATTTTAAGCTATCTCATTAGTCTTAAATGATGAAATTTACAAATTTGAATAGAAACCTTTGGGTTTTATATATTATTAAAAATAGGTTAATTTGATCAAAATCAAATTATTGATTTATTTAAGTAAAAGGATGAAGATAAATCTAAAGCATTAACAAGTTTAATCAAAGAAACAAATAATGAGAAATTTTAATTAGAAGAAAAATATAGATAAATGATTGAGAAACAAGGTTAAAATAGTGATCAAAAGACTCAATAAATTATTAAATAACTAAAATAATAGATTAATGATTTAGATGTAAATAATACTAGATTGGCAAAAGAGATTATTGAATTAAATGATATCATATAGATTAAAAATTAATAATTACAAACCCTTCATTAATTGGAAGAAGATTGTGCAAATTTAAAAACGTAATTAATGGTTTAAGAATTATAATTATAATAACCAGATAGAGTAAATAAAATAAATTCATCAGATCTTATGAATGAATAATTGAAATTTAAATAATAAATTGATAAATTATTAGAAGAAATTCAAAAACAGAAAATCAAAATATAGGATTTAGAATAATAATTATAATTTAAAAAATAAGCAGAAATAGAAAAAGTAAATTAACAATAGAACTATTAAACTCCAACACCTGATTATGATGAAATTAATCCATTTGAATAGGATGCTACTTTAAAATAATAATACTTTATCCCAAATAAATAGCTATTAAATTAATAGATCTAAACAGATCAAATTATTTTAAATAAAGAGGATGGGGATAACAAAAATGCAAATTTTGAATATTTAAAGAATGTTGTATACAAATACTTTTTATACTAAGAAACTAGAAATTATAAAGAAGCAACTATTTTAATGAATGCTATTATGACAATTTTAAAAATGTCAAATGAAGAGAAAAGAAGAATTGATTAAGCTAGAGAAAGGGGTTTCTTAAAAAATGCCAAGAATCTCATAAGTGATAGTTTTGCTTGTCTCAAATAACCCCAATTAAATGATATGAGTTTGGAACGACCAATTAGTAGAGTTGAGTAAATGAATAAACATATGATGAATTGATTTATTTTAATTATTTTATATAGTTTTATTAATAATATGAAGTCATTGTAATCTTAGGATCAATATGATGAAATTTATAGAACATGAATAATATTATATCAATCTCATAAAAAAATAAAGGATAAAAGTCATTCTATCTATCATTCATCTATCATTCATTAATTAAAGATGGAAATATTAAAAATGAATATCTTTAAAAAATTAATTTATGAGCAAAATTTTATAAATGAAATATAGGAAGAAAATGCGTAATTTAAGGAAATATATTAGAAATTATTTTTTAAAAAGGAGTAGGAATTTTGATAGAATGAATTAACCACAATAAGAGTTTGATAAAAAATATGATTGAATTGAAGGATATGATATAGCATTTAAGATAATATGAATGTAATTAAATAATAAGAGATTTATGACTAATGAAAATAATTAATTAAATTAGGAAATGTAATTTTTATTTTAAAAAGGAGGATAGTTATATTAAAATTAAATCTGAGATAGTAAGAATCTAATATCAGTAAGACAATAGATAAGATAAAAATAATGGTTTGGACAATTTATCAAACTCAAAGGAATAATTTTATTGAATATAAATTTTATTGAATGTTATTTTTATTAGCATTACTATCAAATATAAATTGCTCAATTTATGATAAGTTAAAATACATAGAAAATTAAATAGATTTGACTTAAAATATTGAATATTTTGAAGCTAGAAAAAGATTTCTGGATGGAGTTAAAATAAAAAACATATTTGAAATGGACAAAGAAATTATTGACATTCATTTATTTCATCTAAAATAATTGCATTATCCTTCATCATAATTATTAGTTTGTAAATCAAGTGATAATGAATTAATGATAATAAATTAATTAGGTACAATAGTTGCATAATATAATCATACTAATGATATACTTATGACAGATATATTACATAATGTAGATGAATTTTATATTGGAATATATGATGCAAATAGAAATTTAACAATTATCAATATGACAATAATAGATAGAAATATTAAAGAATAACCAGTTGATGATATTCGTAGAATAGATAAGAATGGATTTTATCATGATATTGAATTGATATGGGCATCAAGTTTTTAGTTAAATCATAAGGCAACTTCTATTTTAGTTAATTCAGGAAGAAATACAAGAGTATTTTTGGTGGGAGATGAGAATGGAGCAATTTCTTATTATTTTTAGAATGGTACATTAAAAAATAAAAATACAATATCATCAACACCAATTATGAATTTATTAAGAAGACATCCACATATAATGTTTTAAACTGTAAAATTTATTGGTTTCTTGAATTCCGTATCTTTAACTGTAGTAACTCCAAAATGTGATTAACCTGCTACTTCTATAGTTTCAATATATTAAGAGAATATTTACAGTTAAAATATTTATGTATTATTATCAAATTAAGATATTTTAATATATCAAATAAAATCAGGAAAGCATCATGAGTGTTCAAGTAATTTAATATATAAATTAATATAGTATCATATAAGATTCCTACTTTATAAAAAATAAAGAATATTAGAGTAATTAATTCATATTTAATTGGATATGATAAAACCTTATAAATCTATAATACATCCTTATATAAATCACTTTATTAGGATGAAGTTCTCTATCTAACATCATTAGATGATAAAAGATTATGGTATCAATACTATTCCATACGATCCCATAAAGTAAATGCATAAACTAGTAATGCTTTCGAGTTCTACACATTGAATAATAAAACTACTATTAGGTAAATTGAATTGACTCATGTACCAATGCCATAGAGTTCTTCTTTCTCTTTAATGGAATCATTTAGATTCCCTATGATATTAGTGGCAATTTTCATAGTTTTTATTTTTTAATTTTGGTAAAAAAAGAAGAAAACTGATAATGAAAGTGATGAATTAAGTGCTGAAACTAAAAAGAAAATAGATGACATGGTAAAATAGTATAAAAAATATGATAAGCCTGAATGAAAAGTTTATAAGAATATCTAAATATATATATTTAGTATATATCTAAAGAATTCTTCATAATTAACTTTATGTATTTAGTATTATAATAAATCAATAATATTATAATTTAGTTTTAAGAATAAGGAACTTAGATTAATTAGATCATGAATATTTTCTTAAAATTCTCATAGATTTCATTCGAGAATGTAATAAAAAAATTCACTTTACAAAAATGCTTTTCATTCAATATTTGAATATTAATGTACGAATGATGGTGTTTATCAATCAAATAAGCCTCCCATATCAACATCTTCTTCAGGTTCTTCTACTTTCTTAACTTCCTTAGCAGGTTCAGGAGCTTTAGCCTATTATGCAGCTGGTGCTGTGGTTGTTGTAGCAACTTAAGAAGCAGGAGCATTTCCGCTGCTTCCATGTAATAAATCTCCTACTCTCTTTCCTTTAAGTGCCTTTTCGAATACTTTAGTCCAAATTGGTTCAACTCTCAAATTAGCAGCTTTAATGATTTATGCCAATTTTGCTGAATTGATCTTTCCTTAATAAGAGTTTTTACTTCTTAATTGTCTTCATATAAGATGAGTGCAGCATAGGTACATGCAGCTTCTGATGTATTTTAATCTGCAATTGGTCTAGTGTCTTTTTATGCTCTTGCCATTTAAAAAAAAAATTAAAAGATTTAATATTTTATGTTCTTCACATCTCTCTATTCCAAGTGATAATTATATAATTAAAAACTAGAATTGTTTAAACAATAAATATAATCTTATTGATTTCACATATATATATATATCAAATTAGATATAATATGTATATATATATATGATTTTTTAATTGAATTTTAACAATTTTTGAGTTCTATTAGTAATTATTAGTCATAATTATTGATTATATCATTTAAATTTATTATATACTTTTTTAACATAGTTAATCTTATACAAGAAAGTATTTAATTTACAAATATTAATATGTCAGAAAATTAAATGAACATCATCCTTAACTTAATTTAAAAATGGATGAATATATATCTCATCTAGAGTAGCTCTAGATGAAGTATCTGATTATAAAAATAATTCTAAGAAATTCTATGTAAGAGGATCAATTTGAAGTTTTGATAATTTTTGAATTAATGTCCAATATTATGTCCATTTTTTCTGTTATATTAATTTCCATAATTTACAATTAGCCCCTGGTTTAGTTGAAGTAAAAGGCTAGAATCCAAAAATGATTTAAAAAACTGTAACTCCAAGAGAGAACACATCAGATTTTATTAGGATTTGGGTATTTATGTTATCACTATTCATTCCTCCTATTAATGATTCTTAATGTAATTCTGGAGGCATATAATTTAAAGTTCCCATAGTTCTTTTGACTGTGCTATTGGTTAACAATTCAGAGAATCCAAAATCACATAAAACCAATCTTCCAGTATTGTCTATCAAAATGTTCTCCAATTTAATGTCACGATGAACTACTTACATTTTATGAATAGTATTAATTATCCTTATCAAAGTTTTGCAAGTTTCTTTTATGAATTAATGATTTAGACTTTGAGATTTTACTACTTCAAACAAATCTTATGGTCTTAGTCTTTCCAATATTAAGTAATTTTCAGTAAATGTAGTCAGTTTAACAATGTGTTCACTTTTAAGAACTTCTAAAATTTAAGCTTCTTTTTATCTCATTGAGACAGGATACATAGATTTAAATTCCTTCATAACATAATTAGGATCCTCTGTGAGGAAAACAAATGATGAAGATCCTTCACTCAAAAGAGTGGTCTTGATATGCATATGCTTTTTAGAGTGTATTGATTAATTATTATAAAAGAAAAAATTAACATTGCCTTTATATTACCATTCTAATTTGTTCCGATAAACTCTTTGAAAAACTAAAGATTATTATAATACATAAAATACAGTATCTCATTAATTTAATATTCAACTCCATGTCACATTTATATATTTTAAGATACAAATTTAAAAATAAATAATAAATACTAAAATAAATACTAAAATAAAATGATATAGTTTATATAATCTAATCAAATAGCTAAGACTCTATAATTATGTTAATCATTTTACTGTATTTTTTTAAAATTAATTAAAATATTATAAATTCAATAAGAATAATAAAAATCATAATAATTTCTTAAAATTATTTCCTTCTCTTTTAGTGAAATTTTAGTTTTGAGGAGAGAGGATTTCTTAATTTTAATCTTAGACATAATTTCTAAATTAATTAATAGATATTATTTTGTTATTTGATTAATGATATTAATTCTCTTAATTATTAGTATATTTATTTGATCTAAGTGGAGATGTACTTTATTATTTGATATCTGATTTAATTTCATGATAAATGATTGTTTCTCTTAAATTTTTATTTGTTTTAACTAATAATTTTATCTAATCATTCTATTATGATACTACTTGATTTAATTCCTCTTCAGTTGATAATAGTTTCTCTTGAAGTGCTTCAAATTATTTATTGGCAACTAAAATTAAATGTTTAAGTTATTAATTCTTCTATTATAAATCCAAACAATTTAATCTTTCTTGATTGAGATCACCTTATACAGATTTCAATTAACTTTATGTTTTTTGTATGATCAGTTATTATTATTAAATTTGATTGTATAATAAAGAAATCTCTTAATCAGCATCAATTAATGTTTATTTTAAACTATTTAATAAATTGATAGATTTTTCCATTCCTTAATAACTCTAAATATGCATAATCTAAATAAATATAATGATAATACATATATCATTTTCATTTTTTCTAAATTTTAAATAATATATTTATGATCTTTAGGATTAATAATTATTTGATTAATAGCTTTAGTTGCATCTATGAAACACTTTTAATAACCTTCAAGCATAATTTGATTTTTATCTTAAGGTTGCTTTTATTAAAAACTATAATATTCTTCTTATTCAGTACTAGCAATAATAGAGAGTTCATTTTTAAGTTGAGATGGTTTAAATTTCTACAATAAACCTATAAATTAATCTAATTCGAATTTGAGATTGGAATCTTTTGTTTACTCATGAGACACCAATTTTTCTAATGATTCAATAGATTGTTCTGATTTCAAAGTGGCAATAGACTATACAGATTATTTTTAAGTTGATTTGATAGATTGATCATAATATTGATCATCCTCATAACATTAAAGTTATTCGAGAGACATTTTATCGCTATAAATAAACCTATATCTGTTAAATAATATTAATTAATTATTTCCATCATATATTATATATTCTCCTAAATCCAATATCATTTTCAACTAACTTTGTATCTAATTCAACTTGATTAGAATAATCTTTAATAAATATTTTGTCATTCTATAATGATGATATTTGTTAGTTTAGACTTCCATAAACAATTGATGTTGTATGTTGTTATTTCTTTAATTCATATTTTTATTTATTTATCTATATAGGATTAAAATGGATACATTTTAGAGAACAGTTTTAGTAATGCAATCTTCTTCTTTATATTAATTAGATTCCATTTTTTATAAATCCTCTTTTATAATATTCATTTCATTTCGACTAATTTTTAAATCTTCTTTAATAGATTTTAGAATAATCTAAAATAGGACAAGAAGTTTCATACAAAAAGTTAATCAATATGTTCTTTGATGTTTAATTAAATTGTATTCTCAAATCTAGCTTGAACTATGCCATAATGATCAAATTGTATTTCTGTTTCTTAAGTCTTATTCTTTAAATTTTAAAACTTTCTTGGTGACTATTATTAAAAGTCAATGTATAACCTCTTGCCCTGATTATGCATAGAATACTACTTATTATTATTAATATAAATGAATTAATGTAAAATCAAATAATTAATCAATTTATATCGTAACTCTACATAATGAATATCAACATAACATTGTTTAGTAAGAACAATGATGACAAATTAGTAAATAAATTGGCATTTATAATAAAGTATTATAACATCAATCTTGCATTATTGATCTCTAACTTTTCATAGAGAACTTACTTTTTCTTGTCTTTTATCTTGATTACTTTAACATAGGTTCTTCTGATTCACTTCCATCATCATTCTTTACTTAGACTAACTCAGAAAACTAAACTTTTTTGCCAATTATTTTCTCTGATTATGTTTATTAATGCAAAGCTTAAAGAGACCCTGAGCTATATCTATCAGTTTGTTTTCCAAGCATAAAATCAAGACTATCATATCCAAGATCAGTTGTTTCAGTCTTCATTTTATTTTATGGACTAGTTAAATATTTTTCAGGTAGACTAAAAGGATCAGAGAAGAAATCCCATTTTTTTAAAGACTCTTATCCAACCTTAGTTAAATTCATTTTAGGTTCTTGCACATCTCGAAAGTATTATCCTAATAAAGGTTGACTTGAATTATGTTTGTGTTATGATCTCACATAAAATTACTTTTAAGGAGTTTGAAATTCAGATTTAGGATAATCAAAATTCATTTAATTATTTTAAAATTCAGGTCATTGTCTCTTCTCTCAAAGTATTCTCTCTAATATATAACAGTTCCCATAACTTATCTGTAATTTATAATTCTACTGAAAACATCAGTACTTCATTAATTTTGGATCCTCCTTTCAGATTCAGATAAAACTGTTTATATAGTTTTCAATCTATCCATTTAAGTAGTATTTAAACAACCTTTCCAGTTAAGGTTCTAAGTCATCAATTAATTCTAAGAACCTTCATAATTTTAATAATTGTTCTAATTTTATTCCTAATTTTCAAATTTTTATTTACATTTAATCATCCAATAAATTCTCTCCAATTTTATAAATATAACTAATTTTCCATAATCTAATATTTTTATATGTAAATTTATTTCAAAAAAAACAATCCAAAAACATTATATCTAAATAATTAATTTATTCCTTTTATCCTAAACTTTTACATGGTTTTAAGGTGTTATAATCTCTTTAAATTTTAGTTGATATCCAAAATCCCCTAATTTTCCTTGTGTAAAATAGTATTTTAATGCAAATAATTTAAAAGTTGTTAAATATTAGCAATATTAGATATTATAATCATTATATGGTTCCATATATTCATTAGTAAGAAATAGAAATCTTTTTTATTCTTATCATTCTGTAAATATATCTATGATATTCTTAGTGTTTGGATGTTGCAATAATTTCAATGTTTTATATTCAATAAGATTAATATAATTTAAAAATCTAATGACTATAATATCTTCAATAGTTATTATTACTTTTCTATATCTTTTTTATTTAAGTAATATTATTTTATTGGTGAATATCTTATAATTAAATAGAAATTTCATGGACATCCTTTAAAAATGATATTTGTATAACCATATTTTGTTCCGTTTTTTAATTTTTTTTCAATTAAATTCATCTTAAATAGAAAAAGCATCAGATATTCACAAATTAATATTTGAATTGGTCACTTATGCGCTCCTCCATATATATTCAAATGTGAATATAGTAGGTTAACATAAATTAGATTACAATAAATTAGTGAACTAACTTAATATATTTTTATATTATGATTAAAATAACAAATTCCAAAGATTTATATAAGATACCGAAGATATCATAGGTAAATAGAGGACAGATAAAATATTTAGTTTTTTGATAAATAATGTGATTGTTTGTGAAAAAAATTTAAAAATTTAGATATTATTTTTTAATGGTAAACCTTCGTCTCTAAAAAAGATTAGCTTCAACATAATTAAAGGTTGGTATTAACAGAGTTTGGTTAGACCCAAATGAAGCAAGTGAAATCAGTCTTGCAAATTCAAGAATGTCAATTAGAAAATTAATTAAAGATGGTTTGATTATGAGAAGATTAAGAACAATTCATTCAAGAGCTAGAGCAAGAAGATACCTTGAAGCAAAGAGAAGAGGCAGACATACAGGTACTGGTAAGAGAAGAGGTACAAGAGAGGCAAGAATGCCAACTAAAGTTCTTTGGATTAGAAGACAAAGAGTTTTGAGAAGATTACTTAGAAAATACAGAGCAGCAAAGAAAATTGATAGATAATAGTAATTAAATGAATAATAATAATGTAGATATCACGAATTCTATTTGGCTTCAAAGGGTAATCAATATAAGAACAAGAAGGTGTTGATTGAGGCAATTCATGAAACAAAATAAGAGAAAGTTAGAGTTGATAAGATTGAGAAAGAGTAAAATGATAGAAGAGAGAAAAATAAGGCTTAAAGAACAAAGAAAACTCAAAACAAATTTGCTGCAGAATGATATATACATATTTAGTACAATAAAAAATGTTGTTTATATGAAAATCATTTACTGCATCTTGGACATAAATATTTATCAATCTTTGTAATATCTTGATCTTGAAGTTCAACACAATCTAAATGAAACCAGTTTTCGCATTCATCACATTGAATCATTTAGAGATCAGGGTTCTAAGGTAATTAACATACACAACTCTTTTTCCATAACTTTATATTTGGTCTAGGTTCCATGGATTCAAGATCTATGGCAGCTCTACTAAAGAAGATTGTTTCCTCTTCAAATTCAAGGTCAGAGTATTCTTCAAAAGTTAATACTTTGATTCCAACTTGTATTTTGTTTGCTGGTAAATACTCAGAGTGAGTAGAAAAGAAAAGTTCTTTATCAGAAATACATTTAATAAGTTTCTGATCAATTTTTAGATCTTATTTAGAATAATACCTAATGAAATAGAGATATAAATTACCATTAAACTTAAATAATGGGTATGAAAGTATTTGATGGATCCTTGATGCAATAAATTTTAATTAGTTTTGCTGAATAGATATCATCATTTAGAGCACAAACAGCTACATCTTGATTGACATGATATATTTTATTGGATTTTTGTATACTATTATACTTTTTAATTCTATAATAGGGTAGAGTATTATAATACCTAGTTGGATCTTTCTTTAAGTAAAGTTAAATTAAATGACCATATTTATCATTTTTCACTAATTCATTAACTGTATTAGGACTGATTTGATTGACTTTTTCTTCTTCGCTCATTTATTATAATAATTATTATTGAGTGTTGAGTGCCTTGTTATGTTTTTAGAGTATGTCTATATTAATTAAATAATTGCAGGATTTCTATTTTTTATATTAAAAAGATTTAAATTAATTTTTAGACAATGGTAACAATAACTATTAAATTAAGGCTGACAAAAAAGAATAACCTGTTCAATAGCCAAAAGGAAAGAAGGGAAAGAAAACTGGAGAAGAAACAACATAATAAGTTGTTGCTACTTTGGGACCAAATGTTGCAGGAAATGAATTAGTATTTGGAGTAGCTCACATCTTGTCAACTTGGAATGACACCTTCATTCATATCACTGATTTGACAGGCAGAGAAACATTAGCAAGAGTCACTGGTGGAATGAAAGTCAAATCTGATAGAGAAGAATCTTCACCATATGCAGCCATGCAAGCAGCCAAAGATGTTTATGAGAAATTGAAAACACTCAAAATTAATGCTTTGCATATTAAATTAAGAGCAAGAGGAGGTATTCCATCTATCTCATATATTAAGGTGTCGATACTAGACAACCAGGACCTGGTGCTCAAGCTGCTTTAAGAGCATTGGCTCGTTTGGGACTTAAAATTGGTAGAATTGAAGATGTTACTCCTATTCCAACAGATTCTACTAGAAGACCTGGAGGTAGAAGAGGAAGAAGATTATGAAAAGTTAAATAAAACATACATTATATTATACATGTACATTTATTAATTAAAATATGATTTTTGATCTTTAACCACCATCTCCATCTCTCTCTCCTAATTCTAGAATTCATTACTATTAGGAATAATTAGATAAGGCTCATGAAATTATAGATCAATTAGAAATTTTACTTTCAGAAAAAGAAATACAAAAATAAGATCAACATTTTTATAGTCGTGTTCCAATCCCTCCTCTCCAATTCCATTCTAAATCTCCTAGTATCATTAGTCAAAGATCAAAAAGTTATGTAGCTACTCCTTAATAATATTCTACTCCAAGAGATCTCAGAAATAATATGTCTATGGTCAATCAAAGTTCTGTCAAATATATTGAGGAAATGAAAACAAGGCATACGGAACTAGTTTTACAATTTTAAGAGGATAGCACAGAGAAAGAGTAGAAGAATAAAGAGATCAATGATCATATCTAAGAACTAAAAACAGAATTAATTTATTGTTAAGAAAAATAAACTATGACTAAAAAAGAAAAGAAATAATCCATACAATAATTGGAAGTCCTCTAAAATGAGATTGAAAATATTGAATCTTAATTAAATAAATCTAGAGAATAGGGATTATAATTATTACAGAAACTTTAATAATATAAACAAGATATTTAAAAGATTGAATAAGAATAAGAAAACACTTAAAATGATAAATAATCATATCCTTAATTAGCCACTCCAGACCTTTTAAAAAATAGAAAATTTAAAAATTCTACTAGTCACAAAAAACTTATGTAAACCTTATAATAAGAAATTGAATTACTTGAAACTTAAAAATAGCATTATTATAACTATTCTATTTCAAAATTCTAAGAAAAATCAATTGATACTAATCTAATTAATGATGAGATTGTAACTTCATTAAATATCTATGTTTTTAGATTTAAAGTAAACAAAATCCTAGGATATTCAATCTAAGTGTAAACAATGATTCTGGTTTTAAATTTAATACTTAAGTAGATCATGAAAATGAATCAGTTAAGTCATTTAAAATAAACAAATAGAAACCTAGAAGTTGTGAATCATGTAAAATATTCTGATTTCAATATATATACATAATTAAATTATTATTGTTTTATCTTATTAAATCAAATTAATTAAATTAAATAGTACTTTTTATGACATTTGATTTAAATATAAAAAAATCATGAAAAAGATGTTTCAAGAAAATGAAGAACTAAGAAAAAATTTAAAATACTTTGTTGAAAGTTAGAAGTAAGTCTTAAGGTGGCCTCTCATTGCCTAATAATTGGAAACACTTCATGATATAAAGATTGATATACCATATGAATTAAAATAGATTTACTAGGATTATTGCTGTCCTAAACCTGAAATAGAATCTAATAACTTATAAATTTTAATGCATACTATTATTGAATGTCGATGTGATATGTCATCTACACTTGAAAAGTTTGTAGAAAGAAGTGGAATTAAGTATTATGTATAATAGTATTTTAAGAATTTCATGTTATTTATTAACAAGTAGAGCTTAATAAATCTTTAAAAAAGCAATTGAAAAAGGTATTATGGTATTTGTAAAAAATAAAACAGAATAGAAAAAAAGATTAACTAACTTTCCAAAAGCAAATATTGTTAGATTGATTAAATGTTTAGATTTAAAACCAAATAATGAACATTGTGTTATGGTTATTGAAGCAGCAAATTGTCTTAAAGAATTATTATTAACATATTCGATCAACAAAGATAAAGATCGTTCAATTTATTATGAAGAAATAAAATAAAAGATGAATAAAAATCAATTCTTTCGAACTCTTTTATGCTTATCTTTTCTTGATGATCTACGTATGATAAGTTAAAACTTAATTACATAAGACAAATAATTATTACCTGATTATTTTCTTTAAGATTCAATTGAAAAAAACAAAAAATTAGATGTTTATTAATTTTTATATGTATCAGATATGCAATTGAAATATTAAATGTATAATGATTCAAAAGATATCTAATAAGATTAAGAATTTAAATATTATATTGAAGAATATCAATATAATAAATTTAAGAAATTATCAAAAGAATTAATACAAGAAAAACCATTAAAAAGAAGTATTTAGACAGTAAGAGGTAAGATCATTACAAATACAAAATACTATCCAAGCAAAAAGACTATTAAATTTAATAAAGATTTAGATAAAAACTTTGATGAATAAGATGATGATTCTGCTGGATGTTATAGAGTGGATATTCCTTTATTTAAACAAAAAAATTGAAATTTCAGTAATAATCAAATATTTTATATTTTTTATAATAAAATTAAATTCAAATTAATAATGCAAATATTAAATATAATAAATGGAATGTCCAATGTGCTATGAATTTTATGCACCAGATAGAATAGCAAGAAATCTTCTATGTGGTCATACTTACTGCACTATATGTCTTGAAACTATGTATAAAGTAAATAAGAGAATTGAATGTCCTCTTTGCAGAACAAAACACGAACCTAATGTGAAACCAAATAATTTAAGTAAGAATTTTGTTGCTATGGATTTGGCTTCTAAGCATTTGGAAGAATAGTAAGCTAGACATTTTAACAATTAGAAAAACATTTGAACTATGCTAATAACATTAGAAATATCCATTGTAGTTTTATTGTGAAGATGATTAATCAAATATGTGTACAGAATGTATAACAGAACATTATGGTCATAAATTTTTTAAATATGAACATTCAGGTATTGATTATATTTTTAAATTAGTTTCTTTATAAATGAATAGAGTAGGTCGTATCTAATAAAAATTAAAGATTCAATATGAGAGTTTGGAAAAATAGATGAAAAAATTTGATAATTGTAAAGAATAATTAGAATTAGATAACATTAAACTTGTATATATATATAAAGTAGGATTTAGATTGAATAAATTGATGATTAATTTGATAGAATAATTGCAAAATGTGAAAAAAGAAGAAAAGAATTAAAGGATTAATTATTAAAAATATTTGATTCTGAAAGTGAATAAATTGAATCAGAATTAATATTAAATTAATCCTTATTATCTAATATGACTCTTTTATTATAAAAATTAGATGAAAAGTATAATGAATTAAGTATAATTTTTTGAAATATTTAGAGACTACAAAAGCTTTTAAAGGAAATGATTTTATTAAAGAAATTAATGATTTAGATGAATAGGTTGATAAAGATATTGGTTAATTAAAATAATTAAAAGGTAGTGAATTAAAAATACTACCAAAATTAAATTTTGAATAAAAACTAATTAATGATATTTCTAAATATGGAAAATTTAAGAAAGAAGTTAGTAATCCTTAAATTTGCTATTTTGGAGAAAAACATAAAATTTTAATTTACAACATTGAAAAAAATGATTGGTAATATAGATAAATGTCTAATGTATAAAGTCATGAATTAATTGGATAGAATACATTTGATTACAATTATTATGCTGCAGCAGCTAGTTTACCAAATGGAGACATAATAATAACTGGAGGAGGAGTTAGTAGAAATGCTATGTTAATTTCTCCATCTAAAGGATTTTAATAGTAGGCTTTGAAGAGTATGTACTATCCAAGAAAAGAACATGCTTGTGTTTATCTTGATGGATTTGTTTACGCAATAGGAGGGTATCTGAGATAAATGATCTAATAAGTTATGATGGCACTACAAAGCAGATGTTATCTTGTTGTGAAAAGTATAGTTTGGTTACAGATGAATGGAAGATGATTGATCCATTACAAAAATAGAAATGTGCATTTGCTGCTGCAACTGCTTTAAATAAATATATATATGTATTTGGAGGATTTGATGGAAGAGATAGATAAAATACAATTGAAAGATATTCTGTTAAAGATAATTAATGGAAGGTTTTGGAACTTAAATTTAAGTAAGGATTTAGTAATGCAGCAGCACTCTCTTAGGATGATAATTAAATTCTCATTTTAGGAGGAGGGTATCCATTTATAATATATCTAAGTTCAAATTAAGGTTTTACAAATAGTTTACAAGTTTTTGATCCAATTAATCAAACAATTAAAATTATTAGTATGATGACAGAAGGTAGAGATTTGAGAAATAAATTAATTATTTATAACAATGATTTGTATGCATGTGGAGGAAATAGCAATTCTATTGAAAAATTTTAAATTACTTAATAAGTCTGGACTAATCTTAAGTATTTTATTCATTCCATCTATAATTTAGAAGTTATAATTATTTAATTTAGGATAATTTAGATTCTTGGTGTAGTGCTTTTACTTTTGATGTTAATACATCATATACAGTTTCTAATTTTATGAAAAATTGTAAATAAATAGATGTAAACATATTTTTATATTTAGCTATAATAAAATTAAAAGTATCAATATCAGGAATAAATAATGTTTGAAAATAATTCATTCAATTAGGATGCATAGAGTGATGTATCAGATGGTTAATTTTATAGTATGTCAAATCAAGATTAATAGAATGATTGGTTTTGAATTTAAATTAATTAATTTCAAATATAAATAATAAATCAATGTGTAAATAATCTCAAAATTTAACAATAATATCTCATAAAGTATAATTGCAATTTGTGATTAAATGGTAATCTCACTTATTTGTTGTTTGCTTATTATTCAGTTTAAGGAAGTTTGTCATAAAATTTTTATCTTCTGAAACAAACTTTCATCAATTAGATTAAAATAATTGATATAATTGTTAAAGGCAATAATAATGGAGCAAAATCTATAAGTATTTTTTAAGTAATATTTGATTAAATTATTCCATCAGCATAATTTTTAATTGATCTTATGAAATCTTAACATTATCCAAGATAAATCAAAACGAAGAGAATCCATAATTTTATCATTCACACAAAAATGCGTTTTAATTATTTTAATATAAATAATATTATTTTTTTTTCTTTAATTTATTCAATAATAATAATATAAAAGCTTAAAAGATTAAAATACTTTTAATTTTTCTTAAATTTAATGAAACATTTTCATATAATTCTTCTGTTAACTTTCAATATTTTAAATAATGATTTAATTTACTTAATTTTATATTTCAAATTTTGAATTCTATTCTCAACTATTCTACATTATTATTATTAAGATTTAACTTATAATTATTTTGTCTAATTTGAATTTTGTTGTTTTTGCTAAATACACATATGAATGAACATTAATTATGAATTATCTATCTAATAATTAATTTTGTTGGATTACCATAGATTCATAATGATTTTATTAAAAATGTAATCCTTAATTTTGATTATTTAAGAATAAATTTTGTATTTTTTTTGATTCAATCTTTTCTTAAATTATGATGAATTACTATAAAATATAATATCATTAATCAATAGAAATACATAAATATATATTTGGTTAATATAAAATATTCCTATGTTATTAAATAGTATAATTATTATTTAAGGTTAGGGTTTATTTATAAAGTAAAATAAAAAATTTGCATTTGCACTTTCTTCCTTATGAATTAAGATGAGAAAAGGTTTTTATTCTCTTAAAGGATCAATATTTTAAATAAATTATTGTTTTTAAATATGATATAGAAATTTATAATAAAAAAAAAATTTGATATGATATTACTTAATTTAATAGCTTACTTTTTTCTTAATTTTATGAAGTAATATAATATTAGTCACTATATAGAAAAAGTAGAATGATTTAAGGTAATAATATAAAAAATTTGAAATTATTAATTTAGATATTTTGATTTAGAATCATAATAATAAATTAATTAAAGTTTTGTTTCAATATTGAAGAGTTAATATTTTTTTAGAGTAAAATTTTTTGTATGCTTTTTTTTTTTATTATTCTAATATTTTGCAGGTAAGTAGTTTGTCTCTAATGAAATCTAATAATATAATTAAGAAATGTTAAAAAAGTGTACAGACAATCCAAAAATAGCAGAAACTTTAAAATAATTGGTTTAAGAACGTGGACAGAAAAGATGGCCAGAAATTGCTAAGGTGTTAGAATCTATGTATGATATAAAAATTGAAATTCCATTTACTTTGAAAGCAATATATTAAGATATAATGAATCCAAGACCTGGTTTAAACACTGAATAATTAAAATTATTAGTTACAACAGCTATGAAATATAGATCTGTAATAAGATTGGCATTACCAGAATTCTAAAAAGTATCAGGCATAGGGTAATACATATAATTATGATTTTTAGTATTTCTAGACACAAATTTGTAAGTAGATTATACAGATTTTATAAGAACACAATTTTAGCAGGAATTCAGATATTTATAAGAAATAAAATGGATTACAGAAAAAGATTAGCTAAATTTCCTGGATAATCAATTGGGAGAATTTTATAATGTAAGGAATTGACAGGAGAGGATGATTTTACATAAAGATTAAAATTAATGGCAGAATAATTAGAGATATTATTAAATTGTTATTTATAATTAGAAGATGAGAGAGATTATTCTTTATTATATGATATTTTAACTCCAAAAATGAACAAGAAAACCTTTTTCTTATTATTAAATTGCATTTCATTTATGGATGATTTAAGATGCATATAATAAAATGTTATTAAATCAGATGATGAATTGATGCCTGATTATTGGTTATAACCAACAATCAAAGAGAATAAAGAACTTTTAGTTTATAAAAAATTATTTTTAGATGATATGGATTACAAATTTAGAATGTATACTGATTCATAAGATGTTTAAACTGAAATAGATTTCAAATTCTTTTTGAATAATGCATATATGAAACCAAAGTCTGTTGTAACTTAAAGATCTGCAAAATTAAAAACTGTAAGAGGAAAAATTACAGTAAATGATAAAAAATATCCAAGTGATAAAACTATAATTTTTGATTAACCAGAAGAAGAAAGTGAATAAGAAGGTTATGAAATAGATTTTAAGAAACATAGATTATTAAATAAAGATTGATATTTTAATATTCTATATTAATATATCCATTATTTATTAAAGGAATCTATAAATTCCATAAGATTATTTAGAAATAATTAATTATTTCTAAATATTATTATTAGAGTAGTATATATAAAGCGAACGAAATTTAGAATCTTGTTTTATTAATATTTAAATAAAAAACATGTTCGGCTTTGCTAAAAAAGGTGGAGGTGATAAAAAAAATTAGCCAGCTCCTGTTCCAGATGCTAAATTAAAATATGAAAAGACTCTTCATGATCTTAGATCTAGAAGAGATTAAATCTAAGACAATATTGATAGAATTGACTCAAAAGTGACTGCTTTGGATCAAGAAATTAGATCATTACTTAGTTAAGGAAAAAAACAATAGGCTAGAAATAAAGTTACAGGTATAGAATTCACATTAGTATTGTAGAAATGAAATCTTTACAAAAATAAATTGAGTAAATGCAAACCAAATATAATGTTCTCACTCAAATGACAATTTAAATAGAAACCTTAGAATAAGATTAAGGCATAGCCGATGTAGTTTTTAATGCAGCTGAATTAGGAAAAATGTAATAAGAAACTAATGATAAATTATAAGATGCTATGATGGATTGGAAGTATTGATTAACTTAATTATATAGTGAATTCGAAACTTCACAATAAGAAACATCTGAATTATGGAAATAAATGTCCAATATGGGAGTTGATAATGAATAAATTGATGCAGAATTTGAAAAATACATGCAAGAAAATGATTAATAATAAGCAATAAATTTATAGAAATAACTCAACACTGTCCCTGCAAATTAAATTCCTGCATAATAATAAAGTTATTAACAATAAAATAAAAATAATATGGAAAAAGAGTTAGCAGCATTATTGGAATGATTATTATCATCATTTAAGTAAAAACAATATTTTTTTGTTTATCCATTCTAAATTTATATGAATTATTGAATCAGTACTTTATTTATAAAGATATTGAAATTATTTTATTTATTTATTCTACTTGAATATAGCATTTAAAATGATTTCACTTATCATTCTAATCTTATAATGATATTTATATATCAGAAAAAAACTTTAATTAAGAGACTTACAGGATTATTTTCATAATAAATAATAAATTAATATTTGGATTATTTGGTGGACCTTTAAAAATTTTAGTAGAATACTATTAAATTTTACTTAATTACTTTATGTATATAAAATTAAGTGTAGATTAAAATAAAATAGTAAAAAATATAATGGTTAAACAAATTATCAACTTTAAATATATATATATGGATAAAATATTAAAAGATTTTACATGAATTTCAAAGATCTTAATCGAATTCTTAATCTTTTTCTGATTGTTTTTATTCAATTTATTTTTATTCTTCATCTTCTTAAACTTGTTCATGATTTTAATTATCTTAAAAATTCAATTACTTCTACAATTCTTATAATACAAGAGATGGTGGAAATGGAGCACTTCCATCCATAGTTAATCTATTATAAAAAATATATAATCTATTAATTTTACCTAGCAGGAGGGGTTTCAAGATATGGTAATTCTCTGGAATCAACACTTGGCTCTAATTAATCTTAATAATTAGAAATTCTTTTAAAATCTATTCTATCTATAAAAGATTAAAAAATCATTCCCTTTTCTAATTATTCAATAGTCTTAATTAATAAATGATACTTACTGCTGTTTAAAAGGAAAATCTATTTTAAAATAAAAAGTAAATAATGGCAATTATGGATGCGCTAATAAATGTCAAAGATTATTGAATTAATGTAAAGAGAATAACAAACACAATGGGGTAATATTTATTTTTTAGTTACATCGGAAAAATCAGGAATTAACTTTATCCATTAGGTATCATAAGACATCTTGAGATAAAATAATTGATAATACTCTTGAATTTTAAAGAATATAGTAAAGTTCCATAGACTATATGCTGCAGTTTCATAGAATGGAGGATATATGTAAGAAAATATAAATTATAAAATAAGGCATAATGACTAAAATAATATTTGTTTGTATACTTAAGTGATAATACCTAGAATAATAATTATGATAAGGAATGTTACTGTGCCATGTTTTATTTCAAAGTCTTTTAATTTATTATGAATGCATATTATAGCTAATATCAAATCAATACTGTAATCTATAGAAATTTTTAATTTGTATATATACAATGAACAAAGTTTGCAAAAAATAATCTTTAGATTTAAAAAGGTAATGTTAAACTAGGGGAATTACTGAAGATGTCAAAAGCAAAATGAGTAACTAAATCAATTAATCCAAGAATTATTGAAAAGGTTAAGATAACTTTTGTTCCAAATAGATGTGATTACCATAATGTTTAAAGGAAGGAATCTAATCCTGGTTACTTATGTACAATATTATCCAATTATTATTGATTCATTATATTAATATTTATATATTCTAATAATTAATCACTTGAATACAACTGCATAAGTGTTGTTTTATTAAGTGAATTCAATATTGAATGATGATGCATTCTACCAGCTACTCAGTTTCAACTGTTTAATCTACTCAGTTGTGAGTACTTTTAATTATTATGTGTCTGCTACATTAACAAATGTAATAGGTTTCATATTATTTCTATTAGGCTATTTGCTTAAATCTTTGCTCCACTTATTAGGTTGAGTTCCATTATACTTCCAAGCTAAAATAGTTAATTTGTTATCAGAAACATAAGTAAATTCATCAATTTATCCATTTTATTTTTTTTAACCCTTGCTAATTGCTACTTAAGTATATAATTAAGCCAATAAATTAGGTTACTATCTATAATTAATTCTACTAATATCAACTGATTAATTTCCATAGAAAGTCAATGTGCTATCATATAATTATTCATTTAAGAAATCCAAAAGGATTACAATAGTATATTTACCCTTTTATAAATTAACATTAACATTTAATGTTTTAAATTGCCCAAAATCCTCAGCAATTAATTATTATTATTCATCAAATACTAATAATCTTGCAAAACAATAATCATATTTTTTAGATATATTATTTCTAAAATATCTTTCATCTCTTTAATGTAATCTAAAGGTGGCAACAGTATCTTAACGTACATCCACATAAAATGATGAATAAGCATCATTGTTTGCTTTCAAATTATAACTGATATGGTAATTATTAGGAACACATTTAGCAATTGTGATTTATTTACCTATAATGTTTTTTATGGGAACTTTGAATTCCCCTTCTGGTTAAGCAGTACTTGGTTAATTCTTGACCCAACCCCAAGGATTACGTAGAGTTACATCTTTACCATCTTAACTTAAGTATGTGAAAATTCCATCAGCTAAATGTATTAGAGCAACATCATTCTATGTCAAAGATTTCAAAACATTTTCACTTATTTATTCAACAGTAGTAGGTGCTCCTGTTGTTTCTTAAAGAAAATCAGCTACTGTAGCAATTTTAAATGCATCTTCATAACTTCCATATTCTTTTGCAAATGCTTTCTCAATAATGAATGGCCACATTTCTGATTAATACCCAGGATTGGATTTTTGTAATGATCTAATAAATCAATAATGATTAATACTTTAATTTATTATTATCAATTGTTGTCCTTGCTCCAATTGGTTCTCCTTTAAAATAACCAAGCAAATCATCAACTAAGATATATTTCCATACACCTCCTATACATAATCTAGCATAATAAAATCCAAATTCGTTGATAACTTGATCTTCCAAAATTCTAGTTATTAATTATGGTTATTCAGCAATAGCAGCCAATACTTACATTAGAGTACTTGATTATTAACCAGGTACTATATCATTTGGATCAACTACTTAATGAGTATCTTATTCTCTTCCAAGATTAAACCTCTTAAAATCAACTTAACCATGGCCAAATACTTAAAATACTTATAAATCATTAGGAGGAAATGTTGGATCTGTATATTCTTTTTATGGTGCAAATTTCAATGATAATTTTTTACTCACTTCAATATTGTTTTTTGGTTCTAAAGCTTTAATTCTATCCTCTGGTAATGTTTTGATATTTTTAGCAACATCCTTAACATTCTATGTGTTCTTTCCTCTCCTAACAAAATTTGGTCTATTTTCAGAAATTTATGGTCCTTATTCTTATTATTGATTATCTTAATCAATTCTATTTTATTAAGGTTATTGATTTTGTGGTTGTTTTTAATTGCCCTTGTTGGATTAATCAGTTTTAGAAGGCTATTCAATTTTAGTTGGTTATTCAACTTTAGGAGGTGGTTGAACCTTACTTGGTTATTCTGGTTAAGGTAGTGGTTATTAATTCTTTTGTTCTTCTTTTTTAGCTGAAGGTTTATTTGAAATTGATTTTGCAGGATCTACTATTTCTTTTGGTGCAGGAGCAGGAGTTTACTTTTGATTCTATTATGTCTTATTTGTAGCTGGAGTTAATGATTAAGAGGGTTATTATTGAGGGGTTTTGGTTTATTAAGGAGTCTTTGTTTATTGTGGGGTTTATGATTACTATGATGGTTGAGGTTATGCTTAAGGTGTTTTAGTTTATGATGGTTATTATGCAGGAGTCTTTTATTGAGGTTATTGTTATTTTGGATCTGGAGTTTAGAATGGCTGAGTAGTATTGGGTTTTGCAGGAGTTTATTATGATTGCTTTTATTATTATTATTATTAGGGTGTATCCTTATTTCCAGAATTATTTTGTGTTTATGTTTATCCTTTCTTTGGATCTGTATTTGATATTTCTTGATCACTCTTTTTACTTGTACTTTAGGGAGGTGGTGTACTAGGTATAATTGAACTATTATTGGACTTAGATATTATTAAAATATATTTACTTTATCTACTTTGGAGTCATTTCTACTCTTTTTTCTCAATAGACTATCAAGAAAATCAGGATCACTGTTTTGATTTTTGAATTTTTCATCATCATCATCGACTTTGCTTCTTGCAAAACTAGAGATGCCAGGATCATCGTCATCATCATCTTAGATGTCACGTGCCCTACCAGTTAATTATCTCATGTTGGGTCGACGGTTAATTAGCTAACTTGTCTAATACATAATAAAATTTAATTATTCTTCTAAGATTGAATTTTGATATTATTTGCTCAGTATAACATTTGAAATTCAAATTTTTAGTAAAAAGTATCAGAAAGAATTTAATATTTTATAGTTTCTAAAATAAACTTATAAATTCAATCATCTATTCAAATAATACATATTTTATTATTGAATATTATGATATAAATAATTATAAGATTTTTTATAAATAAAAATTATAGTATCAAGATTTTTTCATAAATTACTCAATTTAAGGATTTACTTATTGTTATTAAGGTTTGTTATTATTTTAAGTTTAACTTTTATATCTTCTTTTTTTTGGATTCATTTCTTTATCTAAATTTTCAGCTATATGAAAATCAATATGTTCATCTTTCAATGTTTTCAGTATCTCCTGTTTACAAATTTCACAATTATAATAATCTTAAGGAGATAGTTCCTTTTATACTTCTTCAATAAATTTTGACATTTTTTCTTATACTTAATTTTCTATTACTTTTTTAAAATAACTAGTTATTGGATTTTAGATACCCTAAGCCATAGGTTTAAAGTATCTACAACTTAATCCAATAGTTATCAATGGAAAGAGCTCATTATCTTAAATTGAATTTAAAATTGAATTAACTCTATCCTCAATTTATAATCTGAAACTATCTATTGGAAGAGTTAAGTAAACAGGTTCACTTTTTTAATGAGAACCTTTCTCAACATTATGATAATGAAGAACTACTACTGATGGAACGAGATTTGTATCTTCAAAGTAATCAGTTACTCTCATTGTAAGATCATGTATTATTAATTCTAAAGATTAAATAATAGTATCTCTAGAGAATGTTTTTTTGATATTCTTTAAAGATAGAATGGATTTATGTTTGCGTTCAGATTCTTTCTTGATTTCTTCATTGTCATAACCTCTTAATTTATCATAAACATATTGAGCCTTATCTCCAAATAATACTTCTAATTATGATAGAGATAATTGCTAAGCTTAACCAATAGTTTAAATTTCACTATTAATAAAGGAATGTTTAATTTTTCCACCAAATCCTCTTATTTTCTTTATATTAAATTAAGCTATACATTCAGGTAACATACATTCTAAAATAATAGTTTATTTATTAGGTTTATTAGTAGAAGATGCAAGTTTAGAGAGCATTTTATTAAATGAAATTCCAGCACTGCATTTATATTATGTTTCTTTATAGATTGTATCTCTAATTTATTAACATAATATAGAAGCCTTCATTATTTAGATATCTTATTCAGTTAATTTATAATCTGATGGTATGTCACACATAAGATTACCAACAAATTGATTATGTTCAATTTTTTCTAACTCATTTTCACTTACTTATATGTAACATTCATCAGTACCGCCTTTTTCAATACAACCACAAAATTACTTAATAATTGCAAAAATCAATTTACTTTCTTCTCTATAATATCTTAGACTAATTTTTTCTTCATTTTGGTTATGTTAAGTGTACTTGTCTTGTATTGTTGAAAAGATCATTTTACCATCTGAAATCTTGAAAGTTTCAACATGAGGTAAAAATACTTCTGGACATAATTCTAGTGCTTCATCAGATAACATGCCTCTTTTAATACCTGCAGCTCTTGCAGGATAATTGATTGCTATTAAAGTATTCCATTATCTTGCACAAAGAGGCTAATCATCTGGTATTTTTAATAATTTCTATTCTGCTTAAGCATAATATGCATCCATATCTATATGAATGTATATTTCAAGCAATAAATTCATTAATTATTTTTTGTATATATTTGAGAAGTACTATAAAATTTGCCTTTGAAATTAATTTATTTGATAATATATTATATATGAATATGTGTATATATGTAGAATTATTATTGTTATAGTTTTGGTTTGTAATGAAATTGGCATTAATAATTGAATAAATTAATGTAATATAAATAGATGTTATTTTATTATTAATAAAAATGGGCTTATATATTTCAAGGTTTTGTAAATACTTTAGAGGAAAAGAATCAAGAGTTTATTAATAACAAAATTCAGGATCTATTTCATAACACAGATCAAAAATATTAGTATAAAACAACTCTGATGGTTATGATTCAGAGCCAGAGTAACATTTTCATCATACTGAGTCACTTGTAAAAATTTAATGGAAAAAAGGAGAATTGATAGGATAAGGGTCTTTTGGGAGAGTTTATAAATGTATGGATATAAAGACAGGAAGAATATTAGCTGTAAAATAAATTGAATTAGGTTATGTGGATAAAGAAAGTTTAGAATCGTTTCATCAAGAAATTAAAATACTTCAACAATTGAAGCATAAAAACATAGTTGAATATTATGGATGTGATGAGGATAAACATCATTTGAGCATTTTATTAGAATATGTAGGAGGTACCAGTGTGCATTATCAAATCAGGTGGCTCCATAACCCATATGATGAAGAAATTTAAGTTCAATCTAATAGAACCAGTCATTCAGAAGTATGTCACAGATATACTCCATGGTCTTGTTTATCTACATAACAAAGGAATCATTCATAGAGATATCAAAGGTGCAAATATAATAGTTGATACCAAAGGAGTCTGTAAACTCGCAGATTTTGGATGCAGTATCATAGGATTGAATGCTTATTCATTAAAGGGAACTCCCAATTGGATGGCTCCAGAAGTAATCAATTCCTAAGAAACAGGAAGATACTCAGATATTTGGAGTCTAGGATGTACAATCATAGAAATGTTAACTGGCAAACCTCCTTGGGGAAGATTTCAATCTCCTATGTAAGCATTATTAACCATTTCTTCCAAATAATGTTCGCCGCCTATTCCTATTAATATATCTTCAAATCTAAAGGATTTCTTAGATAAATGTCTTTAATTTGACCATAAAAAAAGATGGAAAGCTAAGTAGTTATTATAACATCCCTTTATAATTTTTATGCCAAAAAAAATATCTAAGACAGATTAATTTACACCTCTATAGAAACCTACAGAAGAACACAACAATTTCGATCTTCATGTGGCTCCATAATTAGAAGATATTAAAAAAGATGAAGAATATTTAGATAGAGAATCTTATCCGATGATTCTTTCTAAAAGATCTTCTGGAGTAAGCGATGAAAAACATTTATAGTATTGATCTTTAATTTAGTTGACATATATAATTACTATTTTAAATAACCCAAATTTATTAGCAATATTAATAATATTCTTTCTTTTAATCTTAAAAAGTAAATCTTTTTATTATATTTGAAATAATTGAGAAATACAAAAGATTTAAATTCATAATATAAAGTATTATTCTGAAATTTAATTTATAAATATAAAATGTTCAAAATTATTTATTATTCATTATTTTATCTTAATTTTTTGAGGTTTCCTATTTTCCTTCAATGTCAAATATTCACAATAATATTAATTGTAATTACATCCATAGTTCCTAAATGGATATCTAATATAGTAATCACAAACATGTAAAAATTATCAGCTACAAATAAATATCTTCTCATCACCTATTGAACTTTCTCTTATCATTCTTACTTTTATAAATGTTCTTAGTACAAATAATCATATTCCTGGATATGATATTGTATACAGAAATACTAATTCAGATTACCATAATTACAATATTAATCTAATATTTCATTTTATTCCTTTTAACCTTTATATATCACTTGATTAAATTAATCATCTCATTGTTTTTAGTTTTCTAAACTAATTCCTAAAACTATTTATTATTCTTTTATTATTAAAAATAATGTAATAATTAAGCGCTTATACCTTGTAATTCAATTGAATCTATATATCAGACTATAAGAATTTGAGAAGTAAAGTGAGCTAGATATAAGTTCGCTTAGGAACGAATTCTAAAAAGATTCAACCTATGTAATTGAAGTGTGTGCAAATGAATAAAAATTAAACAATGTTGCAATATTTAAGAATCCATTTTTTTAAAATCATTTATTGACTGAAAACTCATTTCTATAAATTATCAAGTAAGGGAAAGTAGACACTTAAATTGGTAAATTTATATTATATTATAGCTACAATGGGATCTCCATATGCAATCACATTAAATGAGAAGAATTTAAAAAATTAAGATGATCTTTATAAATTTATTGTAAGAAATTTAGACAAAACTTTTACAGTTTAAGAAATCAGACACAATTTTTATACAGTTAGTGTAAGTTTTTGTGAATTCTTAAAATCATTTATAATTTCATCAAGTGGATAAACAATAATATGTGAAGATAAGAATGATATTTCTCAATATAATTAAATATAAGGCTATGAAAGAGCTTGTAAAGTAGCTATATTATTCTTTAATATACATTCAAAAATGAATCATAATCAATAGATCAACTTTGCTAAGGATCTTATACATAGAAGTCTAGTTGGATGTAGAAACTCATCAAATTTTATTGAATGGTATACAATTATGGAACATTATTAGTCATAAAGAATACTACCACCCAATATTGTTAAGAATTTTCTTAATCATTATAATTTAGAATTTGCTAAATCAAATGAATAATAAACAAATCTATTAAATTTCCCATCAATATATGATTCAATATATAATTAAATAATAGATAAATATCATGATTATTATAAAGGAAAAACAATTTATTTTTGGAAAGATGATAAATATTTAGGAAATTGTTATATTCCTTCTAAACATTTTGAAATTTTAAGGCAAATCAAAANTAATTACAATATTAATCTAATATTTCATTTTATTCCTTTTAACCTTTATATATCACTTGATTAAATTAATCATCTCATTGTTTTTAGTTTTCTAAACTAATTCCTAAAACTATTTATTATTCTTTTATTATTAAAAATAATGTAATAATTAAGCGCTTATACCTTGTAATTCAATTGAATCTATATATCAGACTATAAGAATTTGAGAAGTAAAGTGAGCTAGATATAAGTTCGCTTAGGAACGAATTCTAAAAAGATTCAACCTATGTAATTGAAGTGTGTGCAAATGAATAAAAATTAAACAATGTTGCAATATTTAAGAATCCATTTTTTTAAAATCATTTATTGACTGAAAACTCATTTCTATAAATTATCAAGTAAGGGAAAGTAGACACTTAAATTGGTAAATTTATATTATATTATAGCTACAATGGGATCTCCATATGCAATCACATTAAATGAGAAGAATTTAAAAAATTAAGATGATCTTTATAAATTTATTGTAAGAAATTTAGACAAAACTTTTACAGTTTAAGAAATCAGACACAATTTTTATACAGTTAGTGTAAGTTTTTGTGAATTCTTAAAATCATTTATAATTTCATCAAGTGGATAAACAATAATATGTGAAGATAAGAATGATATTTCTCAATATAATTAAATATAAGGCTATGAAAGAGCTTGTAAAGTAGCTATATTATTCTTTAATATACATTCAAAAATGAATCATAATCAATAGATCAACTTTGCTAAGGATCTTATACATAGAAGTCTAGTTGGATGTAGAAACTCATCAAATTTTATTGAATGGTATACAATTATGGAACATTATTAGTCATAAAGAATACTACCACCCAATATTGTTAAGAATTTTCTTAATCATTATAATTTAGAATTTGCTAAATCAAATGAATAATAAACAAATCTATTAAATTTCCCATCAATATATGATTCAATATATAATTAAATAATAGATAAATATCATGATTATTATAAAGGAAAAACAATTTATTTTTGGAAAGATGATAAATATTTAGGAAATTGTTATATTCCTTCTAAACATTTTGAAATTTTAAGGCAAATCAAAATGTACATAAATAATTCTAAATCAAACTTTTATATGAATTAACCTCCAAATTTTCTATCATAATTTAATTTAAATTAATAAGAATATGAATTTTATTTAAAATGCTTAAATCTAATGTTTAGTATTCCATTTAATAAAAGAATAACCTATAAATTTCTTGAATTGTCAACTCTTGTTTTCAATTGTGTTCATAAAAGATTAACTAATATACCATAAAGATTAGATTATTAATTGTCTCTTGCTTAATGTTTAAAACCATAAACTACTATTATTGTTTTAATTCCAGTAGGTATCAATGGAATGGGTTATGATGAAATTTGTTAACATATTATTAAAATGTGTGAAGGAGTTAAAATAGTAAGTAAAATTGATTAGGTTAATGATAATCAAATACTCTATTTATTTGATTAAATTTGTTCACTTAAATAATTAAAATCAATTCATGATTAATTAAAATAGCTTCCCTATGATATTAGAACTATTGCTTTATATCCAGAATGTTCACATTATTATTTATCAGAAAAATAATCCAGATTTCCATTCTCTTTTAAATTTATTATGTTTTGTTTATTATCTGTTTTGGATCAAAGAGACCAAGTTAATCGAATAATAAAATAATTAAAAGATTTTGAAAATCAGTATCTTAATCATTTACCATCAGATTATTAAATTAGTTGTCATTATATACCATAAAAAAAAGAGGCTGATGATCTTTATGGCGAGATAGTTGAGTCAGATTTCAAAGCAGCATTTTCATTCACAAATGATTATTTAATAGAGAGTTTATCTTAATATAAAGATTATGTAGGAAACATTCCTAAAGGATATTTATTAGATTAAGCAAAGAAGATAATTAATTAAATTGAGGACAAAGTTAAAATTAATATAACAAAAAAGAAATAATTATTGTATAATAAAACAAATTCAAAACTTGAAAAACAATATGTATTATATATTTAAAATCCAAATTGGGATGATATAGATAATTTCATCTTTGATTGTCTTGAAATTATTTTAAAGAATTATCCAAAAGACACTTATGCTAATTTAATGTATCAATAATTAAATTAATAATTTTTTTAAAAAAGAAATACATAAACTTATTAAAGAGAAAACTAACCTTATATGTTATCTAAAAAATCAGAATAGAAAGAAAGGTAAGTCTAGGTATAAGTAGCAGTAATTGTTGTTGATGGAATAATAATTCTGCAACCATAGGATTTAGGATTAAATCTTTTATAAGATATACCAATTTATTCTAACAATATTGAAGTGACAAATTCAGAAAGGATAGCTCAATTTGTAAAATCAAAAGTGGAGAAATTGTATGATAAGTAAACAAAGGAGGAAACCATATTTTAATTGGATCTAGAATTGAATTATAAGGTGTGGAGAGTATATTTAGTGAAATTGAAGCCAATAATAATTAATTTAGTTGAGGGATTAGTTGAGAGATTAGTTAATTGATATTTTTATTATTTAATTTTTATTAAATGGGTTCTGAAAAGTATATTATTGTTTTCATATAAGATACAAGAAAGAAAAGAAAGAGAAGAAAGATAAGAAGGATAAAAAAGAGAAAAAAGAAAAGAAAGAAAAGAAGGAAAAAAAGGAAAAAAAAGTAATTGCATTTTAATTAATGAATTTAGGAATCAGATGTTGGTAAAAAAAGATCAAGAAATGTGAGTAAGGAGAAAGATAGAAAGAGAGAGGAATTTTAGAAACCAAAGACATAAAATAAAACAAATGCAGAATAATCAAGGGGGTATTTTCAATTATATAAATTGAAAGATTTCGTTTTGATTCTCCACCAAAGGATCCTTTATAGAATACTCCTTTCTCAAACTTTAAGAGTAAATTAATAGATCAAGTATCTTTGGGAGAGTTTGAGAGTATTAAATTAAAATGAATTTAGCTATACTTCCTGCAAATCCTCTTTAGAATCCTTTAGCTTCATTAGAAGCTCTTTAAGCAATGACACCATTAATTTAAATGCAAAGATTATAATAATTAAGAGCTTAAGCAGATGTAAAGGCTGATAGAAAACTCTATGTTGGAAATTTGCCACCAAATAGTCAACCTAAAGAAGTATAATAGATATATCAAATATAGCTTTAAGATTTTTTGAATTAAACATTATTAAAGATGGGAGTTAGTTCTGAACATGCAGGTTCAATTTGTAATTGTTGGATAGATTCGAATGGTTTAATTTAGAGATTTATTTATTTAGGACATTTTGGTTTTATTGAGTTTAGATCCCCTGAAGAAGCTACATAAGGATTTATTTTGAAGGATGTTATCTTTAAAGGTCATTAATTGAAAATAGGTAGACCAAAGTCTTTTTTGACTTCTTTAGCAGCTGTAAATTAATAAATGATGAGTGAATAAGCATGTAATTGTTTATTAATAAATTAAGTTAATCCTTTGAGTAGTATGAAAGGAAATGATAAGGATCCATCTTCACTTATTAGTTTTAGACCACTTAAGTTAATGGCCAGATATGTGTAAATACCTACTAATATTTTAGTTATCAAAAATGTTCTTACTCTTGAAGATGTTTAATATTTATACAAATATATAGGTTACAATAGATGAAGAATTTAATGATATTATGGAAGATATAAAAGAAGAATGTTCAAAATTTGGAACTGTTAAAAATATCATTATTCCAAGACCTGAATTTGGTAAAATAATTGTTGGAGTTGGAAAAATATTTGTAGAATATGAAAAGACATAAGAAGCTAGAACAGCTAGAAGATATTTGGCTGGTAGAATGTATGGTGATAAAACAGTTGAATGTGAATATTTATCTAGAGAGAAATGGGCAAAAAGATAATTTACAGATCTCAATGAAGATATTTTAAGAGATAGAGAGGAATAATAAAGATTGGATTAATTGGAATAAGAAAGAATAAAAAAGTAAATGCAAGAGGAAATGCTTCAAGGGAATTGATTTATATATACAGTCAAAAATGTTAATAATATTAAGTTTTATTAAACAAATTAATAATGTTTTAAATAATTTAATAACAAAATACACATCATTGGGTTTCTGTTTTCCTTCTCTTTTGTTTTTTTTTTCTTTTTTCATTATATAGTTTATTTTATTCAATAAGATTAAGCAACAATACTCCTCCAAGTACAATAAGAGATGCAACAGCAATTAATATTGCTAGGAATAATGTATGAATCAATTTGAATTCTTATTCATTTTACTATTTATTATTAATTGAGTAGATATACTTTAAATGGAAACAGCCAACTTATATCACCTATATAATAGTTAATTAATGATTATTTATTAATAGCCATAATGTATAATAATTGAATTCCTTTAGCTAAAATATTTGCTATAAATATGTAAAGTGGAGTGATGAATACTAACAGCCATACAAATATAACCTATTTGGAAATAAAAGAATATATTTATCCTATATTCATCAATTATTTATTATTTTATAAAATTAATTTTCAAGTATTTTTATGTATTCATTTCATTCTAATTTAGAATATATATACTCAACAAAAACTTTAAATTGATTTTAAAGATTAGAAAATCCAGGACTTTCAATTACAGGTTTCAATACTGTTTCATCATATAATCCAAGTATTGGGAATTTATCAGTAACTTAAAATTTAGGATCATTCTGATTGATTGATTATTTTATATCAGCTACATTACGTTGAGTGAAATCTAAGATAGGAACTTATTCAATCTGATTTTAGTAATAAAATATTATTTACATTAAATTTAATATTTTTTGAAATGATCTATAGATTTTTGAATTTGTCTATAAATAAATATTATAGAAGAGAAACTAATAATTTTAAAGGTTCTGCAAATGGTTTTAGCAATTCTTACCAACCACTAACAGAGAATATTTATTCATATAAAAGTAATTGTATATAAGTATATTCTAAAAAGGCCATTCTTTATTGATCTTTTGAAGTAAATCTAAAATATAAATACTAAAATACTTTAATTTTCTATTATAATTTAATTATAATCTTTATGCTACAAAAGCTGAATGTGCTGGAAATAAATAACCATCATTTGTAGTGAATGCTTTAATATATGATATATGTTTTTGATCAAATTTCATTATTTAAGTTACTATAATTAATTATTTAATAAAAGTTTCTGCTGCTTAAATTAAATTATTTATACGAGTTGGAACATCTTTTTTTTCAGTGAAAACCCATGATTTTTTAAATAAGGATAGTTTTTGACCTTCTTTAACAAATTGTGATATTGCATTGTTGTATTACTAATATAATAAATAATTATTTACAAATTAATCATCATATAAACCGACTTCATCTTCAAATCTTTTGATTGCTTTTTTCTCCATTATTTAATAATATTTGTTTTTATAAAATATAACCATCCATGCACAATATTTGAACTTTTTCTTTAATAATTTTAATCTCTCTGGTGTAGGTTTGATTCTAAGAGGTTATAATTTAAGTTTTGAACTTTAATTTAATAATGGTAATTATTGTTCTTAAGGTTTAATGGATTATTTCTTATTTTACTTTTTTTTCATATGTTCTGATTATTCCTCTTCATATCTGGAACTCTTACTAAATTGAAAATCAGAAGAATCTTAATGAGATTTATGTTTGACTTTTAAATTCCTTCTAGATTTCTATTTTTATTGATGTTCATTATCTGGATCATTCTATGAGTTTTTTAACAATTACAACATTATCTGATTTAATTATTCTTCTTCCTTTTTTTTAGCAAGACCTTTCAATATTTTACTAAAACTTCTCTCTTCCTTTTAAGGTTGTTGGAAAGGCATATTTTAAAATGGATAAAACTGATAGTAAGGATTTTGATTTGGTATTGGATATGGCATGGCCATTTAATTATTTGGTAAATGATAACTAAAGGGATATTATTATTGAGGCAAGAATGGAGGCATAAAAGGTGCTTAAGGTAGTCTTGGACCACTTTCAATTTATTTAAGTTGCTTCTTTAGATTCTTTATTTCATCAAGTAATTAACTATTAAATCTTTCACTTTCAATAGTATGTTTATATCTATCTTGTGATAAATATATTGATTATTATGAATTTGAAACAACTTTCATTAATGCATCAACTTTCTACTACTATTCATTTAGTCTTTTTTATAATCTATCAATTTCACTTACATCCTCCTCTGTTTCCTTAGCCAATTGATCAAGAGGATTTAAAGACTTCAAATTTCCATAACCACCTTTAAGTTAAGGGATATTTAGATTCATTAAAATAAAATTTGTAAAATACAGTTCAATTAGAAATCTAAATGGCTATCAAAACAATTTGTAGTGAGTAAAATGTTTAAAATATAAAATAAATGGACAAAATTGTAAATATAATAATTATCACAATTATTGAGACACTTCCTCTACAATTTATTTAGTTAGACCTGCCAATCTTTATTTAGGATCGAATTATTTGAAATATTCAATATTATATTATCCATAATAAGATGGATTCAATTAATTTGAAGTTTGTTTCTTTAAATTAGTAAATATATCAATTCTATAGATTTAATAAGAAGATTTTGTAATAGATTTTATTAAATTTCCTAATTGGATTCACTTATTATCAGATTAAACTTAGATCCCTTAAAAAAACATTATTTATAATTGGTTCTACTAAAAAATGAAAGATCTCATATTAAAGTTTATTAAATTCTTTTATAATAATAATGAAACAGTATTTCCACTTCCCTAATTTAAATATATATATATATATTATGAATAGAAATATTACAAAATGAATATATGATTCTGGGAAGTTATTTATTTATCAAATGTTTGAATTATAATATTCATTCTGATTTGAATAATAATTTTTTTATGTATTATTATTTTATAATATTTAATTTATTTCATTTTATCAGTTAATTATAAACACATTATTTGTTCAATCACATACTCTTAACTTTAATTTAATGAGAATATATAAAAATTGTTATAAATAAATATGTTATATATTAATAATTTTAATCAAATATTGATTGTATATCAATTTATTCTTTATATTTTGATAAATGTATTTTAAGTTGATAATTTAATTTTTATTTGACTTATGACCTCTATCAAAGAGAAGCCTATATTATAAAACCGCTAAAAAATTCATGAGATATTGACAAATAAAGTTCAATCATCTCCTATTCAGCAATTTAAATAAAATTCAGATAACATCAAGTTATGGCAAATACCAGAATAAGATAAAAGAACTACTTTAATTTCTACAAGAAAATCAATTGATTAAAATGTTACAAGCAAAAATCTAAAAAAATTTAAACTTTGTCATCATAAACATGGATCTCTAGATTTTGAGCCTTTTTAATTAAATGTAATAACTATTTATATTATTATAGAATAGTACTAACAGATTTACTTAAATTAAAAGTGCAAGATCTAAGAAGATTAATCATTTTGATTTAAGCAAACAAATTAATAACATTAATAATTGCTAACAAGAAAATAAAATTTAAACCATAAAAACATAATCTTAATTTTAGAATGAATAAATATATGATGAAAATATATTAGATTTATTACTTTTAAATACAATGGAATTAAAAGAAATACTCTCAGTAAATAATGAACCACCTAAAAAAACTTAAAGGATCAAACCAAAAATAACTTATATTACAAATACTAAAGTATTACCTCATGATTTCTTTTTTCAATAATGACTTTTATTTTTGAGAATGTAATTTTTATTATAAAACACGATTTCAATATATATCATATTTCAATTATGCTATTAAAAAGAGAATCAATATAAAAAATACCATTTTAAATGATAATTCATTTATAAATAAACAATCTTTCATTTTCATTTTTCATTTATGAATAAAAATATTAAAATTTTCATATATAGAACTGATTATATATATATATATATAATTAGAGTGGAATAATAATTTATTATTTAATAATTGATAAACATTAAGAATGGAACCGTTTGCAATTTTAACAAATATCATTAAACCTGAATACTTGAACTATTATAGAGATTGGATTTACATAGCAAGTGAAAAAGAAGCCAGAGGACTTTAATTAATTGGTGCAATTTATAAACATAAGGGAAGAAAACTATTTAGGTTTCATATTCTTATTTATATAATAGAGCTAAACCACCCACAGTTCAATTACAAGAACTAACCGATTAATAGGAGTTAGAGTAATATTATTTTATGATTATATAAAAGTTTTAAGAAAGCTGAAGAAATGCATAGAAAAAATTAAACTTCTACAACTTATGGCACAGAATTTGGATATTTACAAAAATTATTAAAGCCATAAAATAATGTTTTCAAATTCAAGAAATGCTCTGAACTAGAATTTGCTTAACCTCTTAATGATTTAGCTAAATTATTTTTAGATAATTGGATAGAAATGAATGATGAATTAGAATTTTAAGAATTAGTTTTAAATTGTTTAAGAGCTCTCTTTAGTAGATTTAAAGCATAATTAGTCCCAAAAACAGAAATGAAGTTAGTATATCATCATAATTTAGAGTAAAATATGAATATAAGCCAGACTGGAAACTTTCAAATCCTATTAGAGTAGATAAGGCAGGAACAGACATTAAGTAATTAATTTAATATTAAATAAATAGTGCATACAAAACTAATTATAATGCAATTTTTAAATAGAGACTTAAGTAAGAATAGATCAAATAAAAAATTGCAGAACTGGATGGAACCGATTTTGCTAAAGCTTTAACAATACACAAATCATTCAAAATCAATTGATTTAAAATAAATATATTAAAGAATTAATATATAGTTTTTATGTGTATTCTGTTATTAATCATATTTGGATATTGATTTTCTTTTTTGCTAATTCAGCCTTATATTTATCAGGTATTGTATTATCATTAAGTCCTTTCAATTTTTAATCCTTAATATTTTCTAATAATTTCTTTTCATTTATCATTTTATCTCTAATCTTTTTACCTTCTTCAAGCCTTTAAAAATAATATTAAATGTATACTTATCTCTTTCTTCTTATTTTCTTTTCTCTTCATTCATTGATATCTATTTTCTCAATTCTTCAGCATGTTTTTTGACCATTTATTCTTTTTCTTATTATAATCTTAATTCATTTTCACGCTCTTGCTTTTATTTTTAAATAACCCTTTAGAATTCATCTCTTTCTAGTCTAGCCTTGATTCAATTATAAATTAAAATACTTATTCTTCTAATTTATCTTATTTTTCATTTTACTGAACTTTTCTTGCTTAATATAATTCTGAATTTAATTTTTATCTTAGTTCTGCTTCTCTTCTTTCTTTTTCTCTAGCAGCTCTTTCATTTTATTCCATAGCTCGTTTGGCTCTTAATAAATCTAATTCAGCTTATCTATCTGAAGCTTTTTCTTGCATTTCTCTTAATCTTTAAACATCTCTCTCTCTTTCTTCTTTAATTCTTCTCTATTCCTCTATTATTTCAGCTTCTTTCTATGCCTTTTCTAGATTATATTTAGCAATCTTCTCTTCTTCTTCCTTTTCTTCTAATCTTCTCTTTTCTTTAACAACAATGGCTTTTTAATTAGCTTCTAAAATTTCATCTTGTAATTTCTTCTACATATGCTTTCTTTATTGATTTTTTTATTGATCTTCAATTTAAACTTATTTAATTTATTTAATCATAACTTAACCTTCTCTTTCCTATTCTTCTTTTTCTTTAAGTCTAATCAATTCTCTTTCTTTAATTTATTCTACAATAATGCCATGACCTTATTTCAATTCTTATTTATGTTAAACATCTTTTTCTTCATAATATTTAATAGATTAAAGTCTTTCAATTTCCATCATAAGATCTTTTCTTTTCTCTTAAATTTTAAATTCTTCTTTCAATTATTGTTTTTCTTATAATTATTTATCTCTGATTGTAACACATTTAGCATACATAACCATCTTATTCATCTCTTTAACATCATCTAATTATTCATTCAAAATCTCTGCAGCCTAAATTCAAATATAATTTGATACTCTTGCATTAAGACTATCTTTAACTACTTTATCTTCTTATTATTATGCTGTTAAAGGAATTTGTTTCTTTTTTTCTTCTTCCAATTATATCATTTTCTGTTTCTTAGCCTTAGCTGCTGTCATTTGTTTTTCCTTCTGTTCCTCCAATAGTTTCTTCTAATATAATTGTTCCTCTTTAGTTTTCACAATAGCATTATTCTAAAGTTTAAAATGAAACAAACTTTCATTCTTTATAATTCTGCTTCTCCTATTAAAACAACATCTGGATTTGATATGTCTCCCTTCCTTACGCTCTAAACTACTTTAGCAGTTTTAACATCATTTCTTTTATTACTTCCTATTAGGTAATATGGATCAATTTTATACCAAAAAGTGATTCATCTACTTCACTCTTTCTACTTTTGCAAGATGCTGGCCTACTCATTTTGCTCTTGATGTTTATAAACATACATATATACCATAGATTTAAATTTTTTTTGTATAAAATAAATATCAAATAAGTTAACACAAACTGCAACAATTTTTGGACTATTATAATTAGAAATTATGACACAACAAATCAACTAATATTAAAATTGATAAATTTACCTTTCTCTTAAAATATATCTGTATCAAATTGCTAATGTCGAAAAGTATACCATTCATTGATTGTTCCTATAGCCATTTCTATCATAATTATTAAAAGCTATGCAGATTTCTATTTTTCAGGCTATTAGAATTATTCATTAAGTTTAACTTATGGTCCATCAACTACCATAAATTGTGTAATATATTCTTATAAATCATCAGAACTTTCAGCCAATTTTTTTGCTTCATAATGACTAAATTTAGTATAGAAATTATATTGATTACAAGCTTTTGACTGTTATTTCAGCAAGAGGTGGAAGGACATTCAAAAACTTTTTTTCATTAAAATGATCTAAAATAAGGAATACATTTGTTATAATTAGTTAAATAAACTGATTCCCATAGTTATCAAAGTTCTTAGGATTTCTTTCTTAAAATCCTTAACAATCCCAAAATTAATACATAAAACAGACGAATTAATTTAATAACTAAAATAAATTTCAATAATTTTATATAATAAATTATATAAATTGAAATAGATTATAATGAATGAAAAATCATTAAAAAATTAAATCAAACCATAGAACTTTATCTGAGGATCATTTAAAAATTCTCAGTTGATCTAACAGAATTAATTTATTTAGTAAATTCTGCTAAAGATCTCTTCTCTGGTTTTTATTAATTGAATTCAGCTTTATTTATGAAACCCTATTGCAAATCATATTTTAATTATTTAGATTCTGGAGTAATAAAATTATTTTTTGGAGTAGCATTCCTCATACATTAAGGACTTATAGAATCTTCACTTCTACCTTAATCTCTAAAAATTCTTTTAGATAATTAGGGTTATTGTATCCTTTATGAATGATCAGAACGATCACGTCCTCTTTAGTGTATTTGAAATTGTTTGAATAAACCAGTTGGAGAATTTGAATCTAACCAATCTAAATGAGATATCTCCATCACATTTGAATCCTTACAATTTAATACATTGCTTATGCATAATTCCTTCTTTTTATTTTCATCATTTTTAGATTTAAGAGATACAATACAACCTCCACTTGTTTATTCAGGTTTATTATTTTCTTTATTTTATGATGGCTTCTTTTTTTTAGGTTTAGAAACAATAGTACTTTCTTATTATAATTATAGAGTTTCAAATTGTTATTCCAAATCAGAAAGTTCATTTTCCTACTGTTAAGTTTATTCTTAGATCTTAATTTCTAATTATTCTAAATAGTTTTTTAAGTATCGATTCTCCTTCTCTAATTAAGATAGAACCATAGTGTTCCTATTTTTAGATTCTATCAACTCTTAAGAATATTATTCCAAAGTCTACTATAACTATTTATACACTAAACTCTAGAAGCATAGGACTTTATCTTTACATTTTATTTATTAACATCATTTTGCATAGAATTATAGGCATTTAGAATTGTTTCATTAAATATTTTGTATCCATTTTCCCTCTCTTTTAATTCTAATAACTATAATTCTAATAATTCATTCTACTATTCGAGTAGAGCCTTTTCAGTCTTCTGATCCATTATATAATTTAAAATTTAACGACTAATAATTTATTTATTGAATCAATTCAATCCTTATCTCAAACATTTCATACTACAGAACTCTTTTCCCATCTTCTTAAATCTCTCTTCATTCTCTCCTTACTCTTTTTAACAGCTATTCTTAAATTCAATTTCATTACATAGGACATTTCCACATTTTTATTTCAACTAACTTAGTAATTTAACTAGACCACTTTAATAGATCAAATAATTCTTATGTTTCTGATTTCAAAATCTCAAATCCATTACCTCCAAACATTCTCAAATGTGTTTTATACTTAATTCCAATTGTAAAATAGACAGGCAATAAATTATATAATTCATAATCCACTTCATTTTTATTGAATACAATCTTTTATTTTAAATCTATTGAATCAATATTAATTTCTCTTCTGATACAATAATTAGATTTTATAATTTTGACTTCTATATATGGATTCAAAATAATGAATTTTGCTTTTCTTATATTATATTTTTATTGCATCTCCTTAAATTCTAATTTATGATTATGATCAACTACTATTGGTATTCCACAATTTTCAGAACATTAGATATAACTCTCCATTATATTAATCCAAATTTGATTATTGAAATCTATTTCTTCAAAATTGATGACTCCTATAAATGCTGGTTTTAAATTATTAGTTCCCATTGTTATTTCCATTTCTAATTTCTTTATTAGATTATCAACTGAATACAGAGGTAGATTATTTAATTATTTTGAAATGTTGTGTTAATATCCAATAGCTATATCAATATGGTGGCAATATTAAAGTAATCGATTTAATTTATCAAAATCATTACATGATGTGCATATAAGACATTATGGCATATTTTACAATTCATGTACTAAAAGTGTTACATCATTAATCACTAAATTATCCATTATAGATTTTGGATCATGTCTTAATTATTCAAGATTCTAAAGACTAATAGCACCAATTTTATTAGTGCTCAAATGACTCTTATCAAAGAATAAATCTTCAAACAACACTGGCTTATATTCTATAGCAATTCCTCTTAAAGTGTTTATATGATAATTAATCATCTAATATAATAAAACTAAAGCCTATTTTTATATTAAAGTAGAAATTAAAGAAAAGTAGAAATTAGAATTTTTGGAATAATAAATATTGTAAAAAGAGTAAATAATACCATTTTTATTTTTTTTAAAATATATAATAAAATTAATGTAATCATAAAGTTAAGCTCCACTATAAATAGAACATTATATTATAGGTAAAACTTTAGGTGTAGGTGCCTTTGGGAAAGTAAAGTGTATGTGATATAGATTAAGTATAATAGTGGCTAAGCACAATATCACAAATACTTAAGTTGCTATAAAAATTATCAATAAGAAAAAGATGAAGAATTCAAGAATGGGATCTAAAATTAGAAGAGAGATACGACTTTTAAGATATTTTAATCATCCAAATGTGATCAAATTATATGAAGTGCTTGATACTCCTGGAGACATCTTTGTAGTAATGGAATATGCAGAGAGAGGTGAATTGTTCGATCTGATTGCCTAAAGAGGTAAATTGCCAGAGGCAGAGGCTCGTAATTTCTTTTTATAAATATTAAGTGGGGTTGAGTATTGTCACAATAATCTTGTTGCTCATCGAGATCTTAAACCTGAAAACATATTGATAACTAATAATTATATTGTTAAGATAGCAGATTTTGGACTCAGCAATCTAATGAAAGATGGTAAATATCTTAAGACATCTTGTGGATCTCCCAATTATGCAGCTCCAGAAGTGATTTCAGGTAAAACTTACTGTGGGTCAGATGCAGATGTATGGAGTTGTGGAGTTATCTTGTTTGCATTATTAGCAGGATATCTACCATTTGATGAAGAAACTACGTAAGCCTTATTTAAAAAAATTAAGACAGCTGATTATACAATTCCAAATAGTTTTAGTCTTTAAGTGAGAGATTTAATTAATAGAATGTTGACTCCAGATCCTTTAAAGAGAATTAAATTTCATGAGATCCATTTGCATTCTTATATGAGAAGTAATCAGGTGCCTTTTTATTTATAAATTCCTTTTAAATTGGATGAAGGGAGAAGAGAAATCAATGATGAAGTCTTTGAGAAATTAATGTAATTGCCTTCTGTAAATGTGAAAGGGATTTCTTAAAATTAAATCTAAAAAAGTATACGCAAGAGGGAAGATAAATCATTTGTTGTGATCTATGATTTACTTTTAGGATAAATGGGAATTGAATCATCAACTCCAATGACTTTACATAATCTAACTAAGTAAGATTTGATATTTAATCCTTAAATACCATAAGTGGAAGGGTAGTCATTTGAAAATATTTTACTTTCAGAAATTTAAAAACCTGCTCCATATGATTATGGTAAGGAACTACCTAAGGATATCATGGCTATTGTATATCCATATTAGGCTAGATAAATTATTAATGCTATTTATACTTGTTTAGAGAAGTTTAATACTGTAATTAAGATAAAGGGTCCTGATTATAAATTGAAGTGTTATCATAAGAACTTGATTAAGATGACTAAATACAATTCTAGTGTTGAATTGTTTAATGAATTTTAAAAAGAAGGAGAGGAAGCAGGATCAAAGAATGATTTGGCTTCTCTTAATTTCAAAGAGGAAAACAATAACAAGAAACCAAAAACAAAAGAAAATAAATATTCACCTAAAGAAATTATATTCAACATTCAAATTTATAAAGTAAATCTCTTTTTTATTAATATTTTAAGATGCCTACCAATAATAATGATCACATGATCGATTTCCAATTATGTAGAGGACATCCAGTTGTTTTTATGGGTTTTTGTAACAAAGTCATTGCTTTGCTTAATTAGCATTTCAATTAATTTTGATAATTATGTGTTCAAAATATTAAAAATAAAATAAATGGCTCTTCAACTACCAATTGAGTAAAGAATTGATAAATCCTATATACATTATCAAGAGAAAATTATTATTGAATATCTAAAGGATGAATGTGGCTTATTACGTACTCCATAAGGTGAGGAAATCTTGAGGAAACTAAGACAAATTTAAATGGCGGTTGATTAGCAATTAAAAAATAAAGTTGAGTTTTAAAAATTGGAAAAAAATTAAGAGAAAGAAGATTTGTAATAATTACAACATAAATTGCAAGAGTTAAAATAAAAGTAGAAAGATGAATTTGCAATTCTAGGTGATTTGCAAAGTTAATTAAAACAAAAGGTACAAAATACAATAAAAATATAAAAATTCAAATAACTGCTACATGATATAGAAAATTAAGATTGTATAAGATTGAATTATATTTTATAGTCAGAGAAATTTTAGTTGATGATAAGACAATTGAAGAAAGTTTAAATGCTATATTCTTAGAACATCTAACCAAAAATTAGACATTAATAAAAGAATAAGTAGAATAGATAAAGTATGTTAAAGAAATATATGAATAACAATATCGTGAATAATAATAATTGAAAGAAAGACTTTAATTGTTATAAAAAGTTCATGGAAATGCAGCTTAAGAAATTTGAATAAATTTGAATTTATCTATTTATATATAAATTAATTATCATTTATTGTTTGTTTTTTTGATTTTCTTACTAACTCCTGGTATTTATTATTCATCTTTAAGTTTCTTCAGATAATCATCAATACTACGTTCTAATTCATTGGCACATTTATAGTAAATTGTATCAGGTTGATTATAATTTCTACAATTTGTAAATATCCTTTTAACATCTTTAATGAAGAGATCTTTGGATGTATATTAATTAGATTATAATTTCTTTTCGATAGTTTTGATGTCAATAGGATCTGTAATAACATCATAATAATCAGGAACATCATCTTTATTAACTGGATCTAAGAAAGGCCAAGCTGATTTATGTTTTCTCATAGTGTCTATGATTTATTGACAAGAAATCATAAATGTTTTCTCCTTTTATTTTTTGAGTTCATTATAATCATCAATTGTCCATCCACTTTCTAAAATACCTTATATACTCTCAGGTTTAACAGTAGGTTTATCAGAATTGGAATTTTCAACTTTATAATTCTGTTTATCTAATCCAGGGTAAACCCTATCATTCAAAGTCAATTTCTTGATAATATCTATCATTTACTAACATTAAACTCAATCTTACCTGCTTTTACTCTCTAATTAAATCACTAATATTGCCATAGTCTATAATTGGATGTACATAACATTCCATTAAGGTACCTCCATCATAATCTTTAATAAATCCTTTCCATCGATCTGGTTGCATTTTTATTTCTTAATAGAATCCTTACTTTCGAAAATATCCAATTGCATAATTATCAGCATATGTAAGTAAGTATTCAACATCCTGTTTTTAGATATGTTCTTTGAATTTGTTCATTAATCGAGTTCCATAACCTTTTACTTAAAGTGTAGCAGTGATGGCTAAGAATGCAATTTCAGCAAATCTTTAAGTTGGATACTTTCGATAACAGATTCCTCCAATTACTTTAGTGTTGTCCTAAATTAATAGTTTTGATGTAATACTTTTATTATACACATAGATTCATGATTTCGATCAAATACTAATCGTACTATATATTCTTTAGGCATTTTAGGTAGTTGTCTAGCAAAGATGTTTTTGAGATCAATAAGCATCTTCATACTCTCGTGGGTTCCATTATTGGTTATTATTTTGAAGTCAATCAAACCTTGATCTTCTTCTACTTTGGCTCCTTGATCTCGATTAGTGAATCCTAGACCTGTCTATTCACCATTAATTCCCACAAATTATTGAGACATAAATAAATATCAGACAATTTAAATCATTTAGCAATCCAATTCCCGCATTTCACATTGATCCAAAAATTTTATACCCACTTTATTCAATATATCTCTTTCTCTCTTAACTCTTGCTCTACATATCAATCTCTCTCCTTCTTTGCTACTAAATTGTACTTAAGAAAACTTAAACTAAGGTAAACCTATTCCTTAAAGAATTTTATCATAAACTTCAAAAAAATTGAAAACCGATGCCAAAATCAATAATATAGGTAAAGAATAAGAGAATGACATTCCTAATACTGAACTTGTATCCATATTCCCTATTACATCCTCAAAAGGTGTACCTGATATTTGTATCATTTATAAAAAATTAAAAGTAAGAGGAAATGACACTCTTGAAAAATTACTAATTATTAAAATGATATTCTTACATTGATCCAAATAATAAACTTGGAGCATCAGTTTATTAATGATTATAAAATCCATACATTCCTGCAAAATTAATATGAAACAAACCATAAAATGCACAAAATGATATGTACATTAAAGGTATTAAAATTGATATCTATATTTAAAAGAATCCATTCACATTTATTATTCTCTTCAATATATTTATATCAAATTAAGTAAAACAAGAGATCTCTGATAATATGACTATGCTTGATAATATCCAAAATATCACACTTAAAGATAATAAATAAGCCTTCTTTATCTTTGTGTACCATAACCATTATAACATATCAAAATAATGTCCCATTATTCCTGATCTCTCATATCTTAAAGTTGATCTAATCTTATAATGAACACTAAATTCATTATCTATCATGTCTTCCAAAAGAAAACACTCAGTACATATATGTTCCCATTTTGTTATGGCTCTCTTATATTCAGATGCTTTCTTCTTAACTCTCTTATTAACTTCTGGCCATGGTTCCAATTTTCTATTCCTCTCTTTATATTTATATTAAGCTTCTTCTATAATCTCATAAGGTATCTAACCATTTTTCAATAGGTGTACTTCATTCAATATTAATAAATACATGTTAAATCTGGATTTGTATTCTTGTGTTAAATCACTTCAATAGTCAAATTTATCAATTAATCATATAATTCTTATATAGCATGATGTATTTATGCTGCTTCTAAATACAATCCTCTTAAACATTTTTCATATTATGATTTTCTCCAATATTCACGTGGTATTGCTACTAAACCATGTCCCAATAAAATAACTACTAAGAGGATACCACTTTTATTACAAATTACTCATACAATCCATAAGCTAATGCAATTAACAATTTCAAAATTGAATCAAAATCCAATTTATTGAATATTGCCAAATATCCAATAAATACTAATCCTAAAACTATCAAATATGCATATGCTATTAGATTGTTTTTACAAGATCTTATTAACTTTTCCTTAAATGTAAATTCTCCTGCATCTTCATATTCCTAACATATTGGTAAAATTAACCTAAAACCATTTATAAATATTTATCTCACCAACTCAATACAAAATTACCCCAATAAATCCATTTCCAAATAATCACTGTATATTCATATCCATCCCCATTATCATTTAAAGTATAATAGATATCATGTGGAATTATAAAAACAATCCCAAAAGATAATATCCATGATATATACGTTAATAATTTAACATAAAAGGGTACTTATTACTATGAGTATTCATGTACTAATATTATTACATATATTAGTAATAGTAATCCTTCTATCATACTTAATGCAAACATTTATTATAAAATAATAAAAAGTATTGATATAGGAATTAATTCTTTTAGATTGTTTCACTTTTCGGGGTGTAATTTATATATATAATTATAATATTTATTTGTTTTTTTGTGGAATCAAAATACATTATTTCTAATTAATCATAATGTAGTTGTCTTTATAATTTTCATTGTAATGAAAAGAATATAGTTTTAGTTCTTGTCCATTTATAAATTAAATTATTAATTATAAAATATGGATTATAATTTTCAATTGACTCAAGTATGTTCAAATGATGAGATCCTTATTTAATGTAATGACATGTTCCTAAGTTCAGATGGATTTTATCCACCTTTCATTAAAATTAAGTTCATCAAAATAATATTCTTAGATCTTAAATACAAATAGAAAATATGATTTTTCATATCTTTCCAGTTTCATTTGATAATGATGAAATCCAGATACTTAATGAATAGGAAATTATCCAATATTCATAAGATATTGTATTACAACTATCTAAATCTAATAAATATATATGTGTTATTGTACATAATGACAAAAGTATACTCTCTTTAACCAATGTAATTGATAGAACATCACTATTCAGAATATAACCTTGTTATAAATCATAAATTTAAGTAATGAATCTTTTATATTAAAGAATTCCAATAAAGTCTCTTTTGATGATGATATATTTTTGATGTATTCTCCTGAAAATATTACATTGTAAAATTTAGAATAATAATCAGATTTATTTGTAAATATCAATCAAAATCTACTATAAACATCCGATTTCATACTCTAAGCAACAAAATAGACAACATTTAAATTGAAAAAGCATCTCAAAGATAATTAATCTACTTCACTTTGTTATGGTAGTCTAATTAAAATTAAATAAATTGAAAGAGATTCTTATTTAGAATTAACTACCTATGAAAATATTCAATAGAATCCTCATATTAATAACTTACATATGACTGATGTGTAAACACAATATTAACGCATTTTTTCAAAAAATAAAACAGTTTTTTGGAGATCTGGTGAAAGAAATTAATAAAATATAGATTTATTGCTTTATGATATATGGAGACTATATCATCCTTAAAAGATCAATTAATAAATCAAATAAGGAGATTAATTTTATCTTTAAAATTTGTCTGGTAATTTTTATATGAATGGAGATTAGATTTGTTATAATTATTAAGATGCTTCACTCTATTCATATATTGAAGAAGAATCTTTTAATAATAAAATATTTTATATTCTTTGGAATAATCAATATTTAAGTTATAAGATTTTTAATTAAAATAATTTTAATTAAATTTAAGATAAATAATTAATTGAATATAAATCTAAAAAGTCTAAACTAGATTTATTACAATACGATTTGATTTCTAATGTAGATTTTATTCATTAAAATTGGCTAGAAAATATAGTTTAATTAATTTAATAAATAAATCTAAAATATTAATTACATAATGATTAAATCAATTTATTTATTAAGAATTAATCAATAAATGATGGAAAATTTGATGAACTCTTCTTTTAATTATAATAATTAGAAATTGCATTAAATGATTTAATTATTTTTTGTGTTGCAGATGAAGATAAACCAAAGATAATAGATAAAAATGCAATATATTATTTAAAAATGAATTAATATAATTAAGATTTATTAAGAAAAAAAGTTATAGTTTAATCTCTTATTGAATTTATTGAAATTGTTAAATGGCAATATGAATATACATAAATCATAGAATAAAATAAAATTCAATTAAATAATGATATACCAATTGAAGATTAAAATTTATAATTCTTATTTCAATTAGATACTATACTAAATTAAATTTTCCTATTTTTTGAAGCCTTTAGTTCTAATAACGATTATAATAGTTAAATAATATTTTTGGCTTATTTTAAATTAAAATAATATTTAGGATATAATGTTGGAGCATTCTATTGTTTGATTCGATTATTTGAAAATAATCAAAATTTAATACCTGTTGCAGGTATAATGCCTTTTATTGGAGAATCTGAGAAAGAATATGATCAATCCTTAATCAAACGCTCCACAAGAATAAATACTATTTTAACTAAATAATAAAATTATATAAAATCTTAAACTTTAATAGATGAAATTTTTGAAAGAGCAAATTATTGTCTCTAAATACTTAATAAAAGATTTTGGGGTAATATTATGAAGATATTAAGTGTTTTATGTTTATAAAATGATAAAGCATGTTTTAATAATTAAATTAATATTGGTAAGCATATCATATAAGGTCCAAAAATTTTATTATAATTTGTTATAAAAGAAGATAATCTATTATATATTTAAATAGATGAAAATTTACATGAATTAAATGAAATTTATGTTTAAAGTAGTAAAATTAATAGAGATTTTATGAAGGATATTATTGAATGTAAGAATTTTCTTGATTCTTAATTGAATCTTATAGGATTGTTATGTTAGGAAAGGAATTATGAAAACATTTAATTTTATAGGACAAAATTACCTTAAAAGATTTTAATTAATTATATAAGTTACTCTGGAAATGCAGAATCATTAAGATGCAGATTAATTATTATTTTAATGAATTTATATGTTGATTGTTATCCTTATTAACCAAAATAAATTCCTAAATTAATATTCAATTTAAATAAATTATATGGATTATAATCTAATGGTTTTAATGCTGAATCATCTTAATTAGAATTGCAAGAATTTAAAAGCAAACCTTTGCTTAAATAATTAACAAGATAATTCACAATTAATGATACTAAAACTATTGAAAAATTACTTACTATTACTTAAGAACTTGTTAAATTAAATTTAATTAAAGAAAATTAAATTAATCTTAGTCTTAGTGTTTGTAAGACCTTATAAATGTTTTATAAATTATACACTTTCAATTTACCTTAAAATAAAGAATTTCATGAAAAATACTTTGATGTAAATTTATTAATTTAAGCCTATACTTTATTACCTCAATCATTAGAATAAAATCAACCTTTATAAGAGTAAGTTTAATAATACTAATAATTTTAAGAATAAAAGGAAATTTTTAATTAAATGTCAATTATTTTAATTGATTTTTTGTAACTCTATTTTCAACAAAAAGAGACTAAAATTTTGACTTCAATTATTAAAACATCTTAAGAATTTGATTATCTTGACTTTTCTTAATAGTATAATTATAATCGTTATGAAAAGATTAAATAGAATACATTTCTTTTATTGAAACATAAATAATCATAAACTGAAACATAATTAAAGGCTTTTAATTTAATGGAATCTCTTTATCAACCTAAAAGAAATATTATAAAGAGATTATAAAAATGTTTATTTTTGGAAAATCAGAAAGAAGTAACTTATTATTAATATATAAAATAAATGATTTTGTAATTAAAAGAATTAGAGAGTGCTGATGGAAAATAGTAATTATATTAAAATTGTATTAATTCTTTAATCAATTTAAATAAATAATTAATAAACTCAGATAATTTATTATTACTATAAAAAATATTAAGAATATTAAATTTTGATTATATTCTTTTAGATTTTCTTGAAAGTTATTAATAAATTTGTTATTTCATTACTTAAAAATTTATAAAAAGCAATAATGATAACAGATATATTTTAGAAATTAACAATGAAGAGGAATAAATATTATAATTTTGCACATAATCATTCATAATTTTAAAATATTATTGTAATGGAAATTATTTGAATAAATTAAGAATTCTAAGCAAATTTAATTAATTTGATGACTTTTTGAAATGCATTGATTTAGGACAATATGATTTACTATAAGAAATATATTCTGAATCATATGAAAATATTGAGTCAGCCAGTAGTAGAATTATTTATCTTTTATTAGATAATTTAAATTTAGGATCTTTAAAAGTGTTAAAATCTTTAATCATTTAATAAAATATATCAAGTAGCAAGAATTTATTTGAAATCATTTAATAAATTTAAAATTCTAAAAAATTTAAATAATAATTGGGATTTTAAGATAGTATTCTTGAGAATATACTATAATAAAATAAATACCAAACTTTCTAAAAGTAATTTCAAATTGGCAATCTTCCTTATATATTCTAAATATAAGGAATTTAGTTTATTTTATATTTACTCAAATATTCTAATATTTAAGGTTGTAAAGTACTTGCTGATATTTTTCCATTACAATAAATAATTAAATATTGCATTTAATTAAAAGATATATTCAGATCAACATTTGAAGATTTAAATATAGCTATATTAAATACAATTTTAAAAACTTAATTAATTAAATTATTCAATGAATTATTAAATTATAAGGAAATTATTAAATATGAAGATGAAATTCAATAAAATATATTTTAGTTTATAGAAAAGGAAATGAAGATTTTTGAAAGTAAAGTTGTTGTTTTAGATTATTAAATGAAGTAAACAAATGATATACAAAAAATATATGATTACATTAATACAAATTTTAAATTTAAAATACAAAAGAAATCAAAAGTTAATTAATAAATATTTTAATAAATTTAATCTGGATCAGAAAATGAGAGTGATAATGATTTAAAGGAAGATGAATAATTATTAGAATGTTAAAAATAAATGGCATACTTTTAATTATAATTTAATTTTGATTGTCTTTATTTTAATAATTATGCAATCCTATTACTTAATGTATTTCTTAACTTAGCATAATTAATATAAGAATAAATAGAGAATATAGAAGAATCATAATCTAAAACTGGAAACAGAGCATCTTCATCATTTGCAAGGTAAATGAGTATATCTTAAGCTTTTGCTGATAGTATTGTAAATGATATGAGTTAAAGTGTAAAATTAAAACCTTTTAATAATTTGAAAATCAAAGTAGATTCATTTTTAAAATAAATTGAAGAATATTTAAAACTTAATTTATCTAAATGGGAAATATTGGAAAATGGTCATTTTTTAATAGAAAAATCATAATAATTGAAAATAATTTTTTTGAGAAAATTGGAATTTTAAAATTTTAATCTTGATTAAATTGAATAAAAGAAAAAAGATCAAATAATAGATCCATACTGTTCACCAATATATTGTAATGATAAAAGAATACATGAATTGATATTATTGAAGAATAAATCTAATAATAAATTTATTGACAAATAAATTAATAGTTTTTTTATTAATGAACGTATTTTAGCAAATGAAAATTTTGATATGTACTTTTAAATCTACAAATAATAATTACTAATGAATGATGATTATGAAATCATAAATGAAAATTTCTCAAATATAATTTTACCTTTAATTAATTGTTTTTAATCTAGCATGAATAATTTAAATAAAAATTATAAGTTCATTAAAAAAATATTAAAGTTTCTATGGCATATGTTGGATATACACACTTATATTAGAGATGATTACAATTAAACAGTTAGGATTTATGAAATGAATAAAAAGGGAAAGTATCATTCCAAAAGTGAATAAATACTTCAAATTAAAGCAATTAAAGCATTTTAAAATTTACTTGTTAATTAAGGATTTTTTGAAACCTTTTTATAATTTTGTAATTAATATGAAAAAATAAAAATTGTACAATAATCAGAATTGCATCTTATAAATAAAAAAAAGAAAGAAAAATTACTATATTAATTTTTATTAACTTCAATAAGATTAGTTAGAGGAATTGAATCTGCTAATTAGATTGCTTAATAAAAATTTATGTAAGCAATTCTAAAAACTAAAAGTAATTATATGTTAAAAATATTCTCAAATATTTTTGAAAGATATTAGTAATAAGATGAAATATTAAAATTACGATCTCTAATTATAAATGATATAAATAGAGTGTATTTTGCATATGAATTTAATGAAATTCATAGATTAGAGTAAAAACAGAATGTGATGAAATTAGGAATTTTATAAGTGTAAATGAAATTATTACAATTATTAGCTGAAGATCATTTTAGACCATTCTAAGATTTTTTTAGAGAATAAATTGGATTTGCTTAAAATTATGACATTATTTAACATCTGATGAATATTTTATTGAATTTTTTCAATTAAGAATCCTGTTAGGCTTTAAGTCAAGATGATTATATTTTAATATTAAATTGTTTTGATTGCCTTAAAGAAAATATTTAAGGTCCTTGTCCTTAAAATTAAGAAAAATTATGTTAACCTTAATTTTTAAGATTATGTTGTAAATTATTAGGATTTGATGATTCTTAAATTAAGTTCTTAAGTTTATACTAAAGATTTAATAAAATTGATTAAGCTTTATTGAATTAAGAAAAAGAACGATCAAGATTATAAACATAAGAGTAATTAAGAAAGAATAATTATATATAAGATAAAACAACGATTTAATAAGATATTATATAGTATTATATATAATATCCAATTTATTGTAAATAATTAGTTACATCATTTAGAAAAAGTAATTCACTTAATTATAGATTATCTATGTTATCTGAAATCAAATATAGATGTGCAACAACATTGGAGTCATTAACTGATAATGAATAAAATGAATCAGATATTTTGAAGAGAATTTCAATGGTTATAAATGAGAAAATTCTAATTCATAATATTACAATTTAATATGAAAAATACAAAATTTTACATGGATCTGGTAAAAATTATACTAATCTTGTATTTTCTCATTTGTTAGGAGAGGATGCTAAAAATATTGAATAAGAGAATGAAAAAAAGAAAAATGAATAAAAAAATAAGGTTTAAATATAGGACAATAAGAGTTATTGGTATTAAGTAGAATAGGAAGTGACTATAGATTCAGCTGTAAAGGATTTTTGGGATTCATTTATAATAGAAACAGGATTCTCTTTATTTAATCTTTTAGCTTAAGTATATTAGATGAAAGATTAGGATATTTTAGAGAGAATATATGAATAAATAGACAATACAAAACAATAAAAAAAGAAATATAAGTCTATTATCTTTTATAATCTTTACAAAGCAATATTTTCAGCATCAAATTTAACAAAGTAAATTATAATTTAAACTTTTTAGAAATATTAATTAATTATAAAAAAGTACTTCGCTTAATGATAAAATTTTTAATCCATAAAAATTTAAGAAAGCAATAGGAGAATATGAAGCCTAATAGAAGAAACTAGGTTATAGAGCTTTGAGATTTTTTGCAACAAGAACAGGTTCAATTGAAATATTGTTACCATCTAAATAATTAAAAAAAGTTATGTTTCCACTTGTGCCTCATTGTTTTGCTCTTAATAATGTAATTAAAGAGAAATTTGCATCTGATATTGATAGATTATCTTAATAAAGGAAAGTTGAATCAGTTTTATCAAATTCATCTCATATAATTTAGAAATTAAAGACAGAATATAAATTTTAAGCTTTGTATAAAAGGAATTTTATTATTAATTTATTAGCTAGTAATTAAAAATTATGGAAATAAATAATATTTTTAGTAATAGTGTTAGAGAATCTAATGATTCTATTTTCAAGTGATTCAAATTTATAAAAAATATTTGGAGATATTTTATTTGGTTTAACTATAACATAAATAATATTGTAATTCTTATGTTTTTTTATTTTTATTGTAAAAAAATTACCTTACTTAAAAATTAAATCATAAGAGATAGTTTTTGAAAAATAAATAAATAGAATTAGAAAAAGAGAAATTAAATATAAATATTTGGATAATTCTTAAAGTATAGTGTTATAAGAGGATTTTGTTTTAGAAAAGACAGATGCATTTTTATTAGAATAAAATAAATGGAGAAGACTCTATTTTAATATAACAGATTCTTTAACAATATATAAGTGTATATTATTAGATTATGAAATGATATACTTTTTAATTTTTACAACTTTAGCATTTATTGGATTATACATTAATATAGTTTTAGCATTATTACTTTTAGATGTATTTTGGAGATTTCCAACATTGACATCAATTGTAAATGTAAATTAATTAATTAATTAATATAGGCAATTTGGAGACCTAGTGGATCAATATTATTGGTACTCTCTTTATATATAATAATGTAATATTATTATTCTTTAACTGTTTATTTTTATTATTCAGATGAATATTCACCATATTGTTAAAACTTATTATAATGTTTCTCCTTCATATTAGATGTCACATTTAAGACAGATGGTGGTTCTGTTGGTTATGTTTCATCTAGTGATGTATATGCAGATGAAAATTATAGATATAGTATCCTTAATTTTTGGGAATTTGTTTATGTCTTTGTTGTAATTAGTTTATTATACTCAATAATTACTGGTATCATAATAGATTCATTTGGTGTTTTGAGAGATGAGGCTGAAGAACTTGATAATGATATTAAAGGATTTTGTTTGATTTGTGGAATAGATAGAGGAACTTTAGAAAAGAAGGCAAAACATAAAAAAGGATTTAGATTTCATGTTAAATATGAACATTGTGTATGGAATTATATATTTTACATTTCTTATTTGGAAGATAAGAAAAAAGCAGATTATAATGGAATTGAAAGTTATGTAGATTCAGATTTAAAAAAAGAGAGTATTAATTGGTTTCCAATTAATAAATCATTATCAATACCTGATGAAGAAGAAGAATAAGAAGTAATTTTATTAATTTAATATAATTAGGAATTGTCTAAATTTAAGTAGACATTAGATGATAGATTAATAGAAATTAGTAACAAAATTGATTAACTTAAAGTTTGATCAATATTATTCTTATTAAGAAATAGATACTTGTTTATTTAATATTAGATTATAAAAATATTATAACCATTCTTCTACCATTTAAACATTCTGCCTTATCTGATTTTTATTATAATTTTTTTGCATGTAAAAATTCAAAGAGTGGCTTAAACCTGTCTCTGACTATTTCATTAATGGTTTCTCTGATACATTTCAATTACTACTTGATAATTTCTTAGGAGATTATCTCGAAGATCCAAAATAACTCAATATGAGCACTTTGCTAAAAGGAGTAGAAATGCTTAAATTAAACAAAACATTCATCAATTAACTTCTTGGTTAAAGTCTTTTTAAGCTAGAAGAAGCATACATAAGTAATTTATTAAACTTATTTTAAAGAGTCGATCAAAGTTGCTAATTTAAAATTTGAAGCTAGTGGAGTTAAATTAGTATTTGCACTTGTGAAAGAAATCAATATAGATGAATTAAAGGAATATTTAGAAAAGACTGAAGAGGCTAAAGAGAAAGAGATCTAAAAACTCAGCTAATTGGCACAGTTAAGAGAAGAAGTTTATAAACATACAGAATTAGAATAGAGTATAGATTTAACTAAATCAATTGGACCTTAAACAGGACTTATTTAATTCTTAGGATTGGTAGATACTTTATTAAGTAATTCATCCATTACTATAAACAATATTGAGATTGTTTTAATAGCAGAAGGAGGAAAGTAATATGAATTCCATATTCATCATACTAATATTAATTTTTAGAAGCAAAATTTAAAGTATTATTCTATTAAAGAAATAGTAATTTGCTTTTTATAAGCTTTGGAATAAATCAGATTGAGTTATAGTTACAAAATGAATAAATTGCACTAATAGAAAATGCATTAAAACTAGAGATGTTTGTGGAAACCAGAAATGGTAGAGTGAATACAAAAGTTGATGGTAAGATTTCATCTTTAGATATTGTATTAAATTCAAAATAAATTTAAAATATATTATCCACAGCTCAAAAATGTTTAGCATTAACAGATGAATTAAATAAAATTATAATTGATTTAAAAGGAGAAACATTAGTAGAATTTGATGATGATGAAGAAGATATATAAAAATTAGAAAAAACTGATTATTCTCTTGTAAATTCATAGAATTAATTTTTTTCAAAAAAAAAGAATGTTCAATTTAAAATAGTTCCTAATTAATCATATATGGATACTCTTAATAATAACATATAATAATCATTAGCTTAACATCCTATTCCTTAATAATAAGAAAAATAATTTATTGAGTTCTCTTAAAGTATTTTTAATACTTCATAAGAATAATTAGATTTTGCAAAAAAGAGTGTAAAAAATTAAATTGAAACATTTAAATGTTAATTTGATGGTATTAGAATAGCTGTATGTGAAAAATCACAATAATTTCCAAAATTAAAGGGTAGATTCTTTTAAGATCTTGAAAGTCATTTCTTCATTGAAATTATTAAAATTTAAGGAAGCTATCATAAAGATCATATTAACTTTTAGATCTCAAGTATAGGAGCTCATAGAGTTAGAGCTGATTAAAATAATGGATATAATATAATGTAAAGTTAAGAATTGTTTCGAAGTTGTTTAGATAATCCAAAATTTCAATTTTTTGTTACTCCTGTTATAATGATGGGTTTAGTAGAATAGGGTAGAATTGAATAAGAATATGCAATTTATCTTTTTGATAAATTGTAGGAGTAATGTAAAAACAATACAGCATTAGAATTATCAGTTTAAATATATCATGGTAAAAATAGAGAGAAGTTTTATATGGCAAATATGTAACTATCAGACTTTATAGGTTCATTTAATCATGAATTATTCTTAAGACTTTTACAATATCTACCTCAGAATGAAGTCTAAAAATTACCAGTACAAGAAGTAAAAAGACCATGTATGTATGGATTCGATATTAAAATCCCATATGTTAATTTAAATTATTTCATTAACAATAAACCTATCTAAATAAGAGTCAAAGAGATTAAACTCAAATAATTTCCTGTTAAAAAATTCCCACATAAATTAGGAATTTTAGAACCATTTGAAGGAATACCTAAAAATGAAGATCCATTATAATTTATTTGTATCTCATTTTTCTCAATTTGGATTGAGTTTTCTGGATAAAATATAGTAACTGTTGGTTAGAATGTAATTGATGATTTGCAAATATTTCCATTAATTTATATAAGCTTTTAAGAAAAAAAAGATTTAAAAAAAGAAGGTAAATAAGAATTAAAAGATTCTGTCAAGCATAAATAATCAAATAGTGAGATACTAATTAGAGGATCACTTCCTTTAGTTGATTTTCGTATAACTTAAGATCTACTATATTGGTTAATCTCATTAAATTAATATTTTGAGAAACAATAAAAATATATTAATAAAAAAAAGCCTTAACGTTAATTGAAAGGAGAATCAAATACTTATATTTAATTATCAATAGAGTCTTCATCTGTATATATTTTAGATCATTCTAATAAGGATTTATTATAATTGGATTTTTAAAAATTGACTCTAATATCTGCTTCATCTATAATTTTACTGTTATAAAATATATTAGTAGTAGATATCTAATGTCCTTAAGTAAAATACAATAGAAATAAACCATAATAATAAATTAATAAATTTTGTGCATCTAAGATTATGTTATATAGAATAAGCACAATATAAGTTAATTCTTAAATTATATCTGCAGGATCAAAAAGATTATATTAAAAACCTATTGAAGTAGATTTTGATAATTATATTTTTAAATTATAACTTGGAAAAAAAATGAAAATAGCAATTTAGAATCTTTGTTTAAGAATACCAGATTTCAAATTTACATCTATTAAAAAGTTATATCCTATATTCTAAAACTATTAATCAAATTCTGAAAATAAACAAACAAATGTTTAATAATAATAAGATATGGAAATTGATATCAGCATTAAATAAAATATATTTTTAGATATTTTCCCTATTAATGAAGTTGAAGAATTATCTAATTAAGGATTATAAACTATAAAAGAGTTTTCTAATAGTAGAATTTTAATTCAAATTGATGATCTTGTTTATCGTAAAAAACTCTATTTATAAAATGCAGAATTATATATTTGTAGATAAAATGGATTTGAATTTTAATGCCCAATAATTCTAGAAGGTTATTTTAAAAAACTAAGTGCCTTTTAATTCACTTCAGTACTCTCTATTAAAAAACTCAATTTTTTTGAAAACAATTTAAAAATAGATTTAATCTAAGGAAATTTCAGATTTGATATTATTTAAACATTTTTAGAAATTATGGAAGAATTATAACCATATATTCCTTAATCAATCCCTATTGAAGCATCGAAAAATGAATATTTTATCTAAAAAGATTTCTCAAAGCCATTAATAGAAGGAGAAAAAATAGATAATAAAATAACAATAACCATAGGATAATTGCTTTTGCATTTAGAAGAAGGACACACATTCTATTAAATGCCACTTTATTTTTAAACAGATTATGATTAAAATAGTAGATTTGAAAATGAACTATAAGATTATGTTAGTAATGCTGATTAACCTTATAAAAAGATATTAGACACAGTTAGTTTGAATTTTACAAATATAAATTTATAAATAGAGTTATATGCAAAAGGATAAACAGGAATTAAATTTTAATCTCATTTTGAAATTGAAGACAAAATTTAAAATTCTAAATTTAAACTCATATTAAGTCCAGATACAGAATCTTTTTGTACAGATTATTAAAGTATTCCCATAGAAGTTGCATTAATTTTAGAAAATTCAACATACACTGCATCTATTGCAATTATTCCAATGAGAATATGTTTATCAGGTGCTTTACTTTCATTTATTTTCAATTTCTCAAATAGCTAAAGTTGGATATAAAAAACTATCTATGAAGATTAAATACAAATTTTTAATGTTTTAGAGAAATCACCTTAAATTTGGTTGAAAAGTCTTTAAATTTTTGAAACAAGCTTTAATCTTTCATATGATTCGTAAGGACTATATATGGATGATCTATTAAAAGGATTATTAAAAATCAGTTCATTTTATGATTTACAAATACCAATCAAATATATGAATTCATAAATTAGAGGTACTCCTGAAGATGTAATTAATTGTGTCATTACATAACTATAAACAAGTTTAGGTTCTAAATTAATGATTGCTGGTAGAGCATTAACTAGTTTAGAAGCCTTCTCAACAGTGACTAACTTAATTAAAGGAACTATAGGTTTACTTTTAAAACCCTTAGAGGAGGGTTTTTTAAAAGGAACTAAAAAAGGAGTTTAAGAATTTTCAAATTCTTTAGTATTTGCTTTACTCAAAACTCTAAAAGTTCCTTCATAAGTGATTATTGCAGGAGGAGAAACAGTAGGATTACAATCATTAACTCTTCCATTCAGATTCGTTAATGAAAGAAGCAATTAAATCTTAGATAAAATTAGTCCTTCAAACATCCCAAAAAGGTTTTTAAAACGATACTGAATAATAATAATAGGCTTATCATAAATGATATTATAAATTTCTAATTTATATAATATTATTTAGTAAAATTATATTTAAAATATACTAAGTATTCAAATTATTATTGGTTTATCAATAGCCTTTAAATATGATAGTTCTAATTAAGATTAATCAGAATATATTTTGAAAGAAAATTTATTGCTAAAATTACCATGTTCTAATTTTTCATTTTAATCCATTTATATTGTGTTGATTGGACCAAGACAATCAAGTAAACATGTTGTAACTTCTTAAATAATATAGTTTTCATCTTATTCAATTTTATTACATTATTATAAATTATTGATATAAGATAATTATAATAATTATGTACTTTCAACATTAAATTAGAATTGAATTAATTTAAAATCTATTATTTACTTTGATCCACTTTATGAATCCTCAACTTTTCTTTTTGTTTCTAAAACTTAATCCTATAAAGTAAATTCTTCAACAATTTTAAGAGTAACCTTATTGATATAATTTGATTATTTAGCAATCTATTCAAAGATATTAATTAAAATTTATGTTAAATATTTGGTATTGATATTTATTTGACAATTTTTATCAACATAATTAAAAATATTAAATTTCAACTTATAATAAGATGCTAAAGATTCATAATATTTTTAAATTATATTAAGATAATCATGAATCTAAAACTTTTCATAAGTTTATTATTGAGTAGAAATTTTATTTCTTTAAAAATAAAATATATAATTCCTAATGTAATTTATTATTGATAAGTTTAAACACTTTAAACTCATTATTTATTCATATTGATTAAGATTTATTAATTTAGTTTTCTTTATTTATTTATATAAATTTTCTTATTGTGATACAATTTAAGTTGAAAAATTAATAATTAGTTTTTAGTGTTCTTTTATTTATTTTTAATGCTCTCCTATTAAATCTTATACTTGTTCAGATTTTATTATTCCTATTATAATTGGCTTTCCAAAATTCATTTACTTTAATAAAATTTTCATTCCTATTATTTAATCAGTAATTAAATTATGATACATTATTTAAATTTCATTATCAATATCTTATTAAATTGGTTCAAAAACTGATTTAATTCTTCTAAATAAATATTCTTCTAATTTTATTCCTTTTTAAATTCCTTTTTCTATTAATCTTTTTTGACTCTCTTAGTTCTTTATAACTAAATAACAAGACCTTAGAAAAATCTTCATCTATTCAGTTTCTTTAATATTCATGCTTTCTTCAAATTTTTTGTTTTAAAATTCTAATATAAATTATCTTGTTCTAGAATCAACACTGACACCAAACATAGCATCATTTATAAATTCATTGATGAGATCTCTATAATATAAAGATTTCATTACTTTTATTTGTTGGCAATTAAATTCAGTGAAAATGCTAAACGTGCTGTATATTCCTGCATATATGTCCAAATTCCAATACAAACAACACAAGCAATTGTTTAAAATACAAAATGCATTTGACTGACTTTATAATTATCAAAAACCCCTAGTAGTATAAAAGGAGTGATAATTGTATAAACTATTTTCAATCTGTTATCGCTATATTACATAGTACCAATAGCTAAACAACATGTATTAAATCCAAGTACAAAGGTAGGTCTTGAATATGAATTAAGTAATACATATCTAATCCACTCAAAGCGATTAAAATATTTGTAGATAGGCTCCAAACATAATAAAATGAGAATATTTATCTTAAATAAGGTTCTAATTTCTTGGCAATTATAAGCATAAAAAAGCAACCTCCTAATACTCCAATCATAATTATTATTAGTTGAATTGGCTGCTATTGAATTACAAATGTTATTAAACAAATAAGAGCTGCTACTGAAATCAATAAGTTAATCATTTGAAATGATATAAGTCTAATTTTGTTTTAATGGACTTCAAATTCTGCTTCAAAGTTAGGATCATAAAAATTCAACTTCCATTTATGGAAAGGTAAACCAATCATTTAATAAACTTAGATAAATAATTAAAATGTAAAGCTTGTTAATCAATTAGTATGAATAACAAAATATAGATTCTTAATCGAGAACAAAAAAAGAAATAAAAATCAAATAAACATTTACCTTAATATAATAAATATATATATATATTTTTAATTTTAATTAATCAAAGATGGAATTTGAGAAACAAATTTATCAAACACATTCCTTCTTTTTGTCATTTAGTTTGGTGAGATTTTTTGTTAAATTGGGTTCATTCATATTCCCAATTTTAAGTATTTTAGGATTTTGTGCTTTATTAATGTTACACATTAACTAATAGATGACAGGGTTAAAATTGCAAGAAACAGACTTAAGTACACTTAGTTATTGATGATAGTTGACTTTGATAATGAAACTGTGTACAATTTTAACATTACAAATTCTAATAATGAAAATCTGAATCAGAATTTCAAATATGCTTAGTCCCAAAGTCTTTTGCAATTATAAGATGAGTTTTTAAATAAATATAATTTTACTCAAAAAACTATAATGATAAATGGAGATAAATATTGGAGTGGTTTGAATTCTATTTTATAATATACAACAAATATTGAGTGTTTTTTTTTGATAGATCTAATTCATCATATGAATGGATCTGCAATATAGATACTGGATATGTAAAATAACATTTCTTATATTTGGGAAAAGTCATATTTTGAAGGTATAATATTTTTAAATTATAATAGAGTATTATGCAAATACATACTCAGAAAGGATATATAATACAGTTTTGAGAATATGTAGATGCATTATTGGATTATTTTTCTAATGTATAACAGCTTCTATTTATTTTAGAATGCTATTTATCTATATGCCTGTGTTTTCATTAATTATAAGTATTATTATTGTATAATTATGTTTTTAGTTGGTTTAATATTTTGTAGAAATCATTAAGAATTACAAATATTGGCCAGGAGTTATCCTTGGATTAATCATTATTTTCATATCTTAACAAGTAATAATAAATTGAAAAATCAAATTATTGACTCCTTTCTATAAACTCTATATATGTTTTTGTTAATATTTGGTTTGACTTGGGCTTAAGTAAATTCACTATTATTTAAAAAACAACATTCATTTTACTTAATAGATAAAATAACATAGTATAATAATAAAATATAATTAGGCATGCATTTTCTTTTGAATATTTTAGTTTACACTTTCTTAGAACAAGATCTTCCTTATATTTTGTTCCAAAATATTGCTTCATTATCAGATTTTTCCTTTACTATTATATGCAATGCACTTTGTTTGGACATTATTAGTTAGTTTAATACATTAGTTTATTTGGTTAATTAGGAGTTTTTTGTTACTTTATACACAAATTTGAAATACCAGCTCTAAATTGGTCTGACAGATCCCCTTACACACCCACGATTAATCGACCCAGAGCTTATTATGTTCCTTTATTTCCAATGAGTTGGATAAATGATACTCCTTAGTTATGGTCGATGTTTTATCCACTTTATGGAAGGAGGTAATTATTTTCATTGAGCTTAGATATTTTTAAATATAAAATCTGGCTTTAGTAGATTAAAATTTCCCTTTATTAAATCAAATTTTAGAATAAGAGATTTAATAAGGTTTAGAAATTCCATAGGATTAAGAAGTCTAAATTGAGATAATTTAATAAATATAGATTCCTTAAGATAATCCTTAAAATTAAATAATTGATCAATAATAATAATAATAATAATAATAATAATAAGAATAATTACTAAATTAAATTGAATAAGTTTAAGTTGTACATTAAAATTAAGAAATTTAGCATCTGAATTAGGAATAAAATTTTATAAATCAAATTGAATGATTATTATTAATTTTATATAATTAATTAATTAAAATGGATTTAGAATGTCTATTGTTCAGAGTACATAAATCATTGTTAACATTTTCTAAAACTAAGCAAATCGTTAACATTTTATTTAAGGCAACATCAATTTCAATTTTTTTCTATTTGATTTATTTCGTTGTGCTCAATTTAATTTAAATATCAAAATAATCATGCACAAATAACATTGGTATTTTATTCTCCTTTAAATAGAATTTATGAATCAAACCTAATTCAAAAATGAAACCTTATTTAAAATATTTATTTATGATAAAGATGAAATTTACCAAACTTACAAATACTCAAAATAATCAGCTATCTATAGTTTACCTGAAGAAATTCTTAAAAAACATAATATATCTATTGAAGAGTATAAAATAGACAAGAAATGCTATGCTCAAAATTGGGTTGAAGATTTAATCTTAACTCAATCAAATATAGAAATTCTATTTTTAAATGACTTAATTTAAAAGTTAAGGAATGTGAATGAAACACATTATTTATTAGAAATAGAAAACAATAAAGTTTTAATTTGGATGAATAAATTAGATCTTGAAGAAGAAAATAATCCAATTTCAGAAAAATTCTTAAAAACATTTGCTTTTATAATAAAATGCACAATCTATTTATTTTGTTAAACATGCATAGCTAGTTTAATTATTAAAATTCTTTAATTTGGAATTCCTATTTTATTAAATGCAGGATGGTATAGATTATATCAAAGAATATTGATAAATAATAATAAATAGTCTCATATGTTAAAAATAAGCTATCTATTGTTATTTTTTGTATTTTTTTAGGTATATTAATCTAGAACACTCTTAACTTATATCTATTATAATTAAGCCACAATCCAATCATAGAAAAATCTTTTATTGTAAGAAAACATTATTAATATAGATTAATTTTATTTAATGAAATAATGAGTAATTTCTTTTTTAGAACTAGATCTACTTTACTATTTGCCCCTAAATATTTAGTTTCTTATTATATACTATTTTTCATATATATGGAAGGCACAAGTAATCATAATTCTAAATTATTATAGATTTTGCATTTTATTATCATTTTGTAAATATTTTATGGCTTCTTAGTATTGCTACTGTACTTGCTTTCTTACATTTCTATGAAATACCAGCTATACAAGAATGGAATGAAGCTTCATTCTATACTCCTAAAATAACTAGACCAAGAACCCTTTATTTTCCACTTACTCAATTAGAATGGAAGGTTGATATACCTTAAATATGGACTATGTTTTATCCTTTACATGGTAGATAATATTTCAATGTTGAAAATTTGTCATTAGTTGACGACAATTAAGATCTATTAAATAACTATTTATAATAGAATGCTGCTAATTAGTGATATTCATTTCATATATTTGTTATTTTTGTATAAAATTAATACATTAAAAATATATGATCAAATTTAATAATATTGTTCAAAACTTTTTTCAAGTTCTCTTCTTGAGGAATCTTTAAAATATGCTTTTTTATTTTGTTATAAAAATTCGACAAATTCAAAAACCTTGAAAAATAATAATTAGTCTATACATTTTACATAAGTTTAGGTTTTAGCTTATCTTATGTATGATCAACATAATTATTGAATAGTAAATTATTCAAAAAGAAACATTAATAATTGAAAGATGCGCAATAATTTGTATTTTCATTTTTGACTTAATAATAGTAATAGACATTTGTATCAAGCTTACCATAAAATTTTTCAGACAAATAATGCATCCCATGTGAAATTTATTATGCTTATATTAAACATAGTAAAGAGAGAATTAAAATTGTATTCATAAATATTATTGTTTCACAAAATGACAAATAGTCCTTTATAATAACTTAAATATTCTAGAAACAAAATTATAACTAGAAGAAAATAAAATGAATTTTTTAATCCTTATTTCTTAAATTTTTTTTATGAAAATTTCTATATCATTAAAGAAAATGCAAAAGGAATCTTTGCAATTAATGAAGTGAATATTTAACAAAAATAAATTCCTTACTCTTTATTGACATACAATATAATTACACTAAAGTATTCTCATATCACAGTCAAACTGTAATTAAAAGTGAACTAAAAAGGTAAAAATAACAACCTTTATTTGTTATATTCTCTTTAGAAGAATTCAGAGTTCTAAGTTAAATTTTTTATTTCATATTCTTAAAGAGCAATTTTTTTAATAGATTAATCAATTTTCTTTAATTCTAAATCATTTATGGATCCAGTCCAACATAAAAGTATTGCAAGAATTAAAATCAAACATAACTCAATAGACTTTGCCATAAAAAAAACTTTATCAATTTTTAATGTTATAATTTGTATTTTTATATATCAATACTTTTTATAAAATTAACACTATAATGTAGTTACTTAATAAAAGTCTCCTAATTTATTTTTATATAAATTTAATATTTAATCAAAAATTGTTGTATTTTATAATTAATTGCAACCAAAATTCATACACTAAATGGAAAGAGTTAGAAATATGATATTAAGTAATAATTTCATAATCAAGATAAAAAGCTTAGTGAATTAATTCTCTATTTGATATTTGAAAGTTCTTTAAATCTGTAATAAATTAAACTAAAATAAAAATTATCTGTTAAAACATTTTTTTCTCTTACTGCTTCTCAACTATCTTTCAATATGATGAATATATTTTTTTTTACAACTTTTATAAAGATGATATTTTGTTAACTAAGGAACAAAAACATAATACATAATCTGTAATAGAGTATTATTAATATTAACAAAAAAAAAATGTGAAAATTTATCATAAATTTTTTTAAAGTAGATTTCATTTTAAAGGATTAATTTTTAACACAATAAATCACGCCGAAAAATTTATTTATTATTAGATATACACTACTAGGTACTTTTTATTTTTTCTTAAAGTTAATAAATTTAATATTTTAGATAAATTAAATGGTGTCAAAATTTTATCAAATCGATTAAGAGGGTCTCTATGTCATATAAATAGAGTAGGATATACTTTAAGATGAGATAATTAAAATAAATTAGATTTATGTTTTGAAATGTTGTTGATTTAGCTTAATATTAAATCTAGAATTATTTAATGTGGTAGTGGTATGGGGGAAATTATTGAAATAGAATAATTTTCAAATATAAATAGAATTAAATTTTATTCTATTGGTCTAAACAAAAAATACAAATTAATCTCAAAGAAAAATTAAATAAAAATAAAAATTTTAGATAAGTAGAAATAAACTCACTTATTTAGACACTGTATAGATAAAATATATTGATCTTGAAATTAATATTAACAATTTAAACTTAATCTCTATGCATTTAGTATAAATTTATATATAAATAAGATGTGAGATTAGATTATGATAATTAAAGAAAATATTAATAGACTACATATAGCATACTTTAAAAATTTTATTTGTATCTAATTCAAATTTTAATTTTTTTAGAATGCAAATTATGGCAAGATAATATTAAGAAGACGCATGCCTTTTTTATAATATAGAGAATTTAAACAACTCGATGTTCTCATATATATAGCAAAACCATTTGTCAAGTAATTAAAAAAAAAAATTATTTTCAAGATGATCTTTACGATTCAGCTCAATAAGAAATTGAAAATCATGAGGCTGGGAACAATCCTCTAAATTCTAGTAATTTCTAATTCTCCTCAACGGATGATTAGAAATAAGATGAGTAATTAACCTATATACATTTAGGTCATACATCAAAATTCAAAAGCAAAATTATCAATATAAAATATGTGGCAGCTAATTTTGATTCTAATATTGATATTTATAGTTAACTATATAACTCCATCTTATAAATTTTAAGTTAAAAATTCGATAGTGTTTCCATAAAATTAAAAAATAATAAACTAAGAATTAAGAGGCTTATTTTTTAAGCGAAGACACTTTATTCCTTCTTAAAAAGTGTTTATTATATCAGAGCTGCAAGATACTATTAATTAAAAACAATCAAAGATAATTTGTATAATTATTTCTGCATTAAATAAATATATATTTATTTTGTATTATTGTTAAATAAGAAATTGAGATAATCTGAAAAATCTGTAAAATGGATACTATAAAGTAGGAAGTTCATTTTCGTGCTTTTCATCATATAAAACTATTTTTATTTACAAATATTAATCTTAATCAATTAAATACATATTTCATTCATATTTCTTGACTAAAAATTCAATAAATTCTTATTATGAAATTTACCCATCTCCATCAGAATCACACATAGATAAAATTTCCTTCCATAGATTATCATCAATTCCTCCCATTATTTCTTATAATTCATCTCTACTTATTTAACCATCACCATTCTAAAATTGATTAAAGTATAATATACTGTATCAAACATATTAAATGCTTATTGTAATCTTTATTTGTTCAATAATTTCTCTTCATTAGCAGCTGATGTAATGAATTCAGTAAAATCGACAAAACCAGATTTATTAGTGTCTACTTTATCAAATATATCATCCACCATTTATTTTGCTTTGATTTCATCATATTGTTTCAAATAAACTATAATAATAAAATATATTTATACCTTATAGTAATTCATCCTTACTAATTTACCCATTACCATCTTTATCTATTTTTTTAAACTCATTTAGTAATCCTTCTTTCTCTGCATTAGTCATTAGATTAGTTGAAATAAATTGCATCAAAGCAGCTCTCACTTTGTTTTTCCCCTTAAAAAATTGAAAAAAATATATACGAAAAAAGTTGACAAATTTTTTATTGCTTTGAAATCAATAGGTGCATTAGGAGCATTCTTTTAAATCCATGGATCATTAAATGCTTCTTAAGCTGAAATTCTTTAAGTATAATCTTTAGTAAGCATTTTTTTAATCAAATTTTTTGCTTCTTCTGAAATCTTATTCCAATCCTCAGCTAATTGTATAATATAAGAATAGTTACGATCAAATTCATATTTTCCTATTTCTATATTCTATAAAATTTCTTAATCTTATCCTCCAAATGGTGGATAACCACATAGCATTATATAAAGTATAACTCCACAACTCCAAACATCACATTTTTCATTATAATTTCTTTTCAAAACTTCAGGTGCAATATAATAAGGCTATATAAGTTTATTTTATATAATAATACAGTTCCTAATCTTTTAGTTAAATTTTGATTGCTTTCAACTTTCTTGGATGTTCCAAAATCAATAATTTTTAAATTTGAGTTTTGTTTCTTGTTTTCAAAAAGTATATTTTCTGGTTTTAAATCTCTATGAACAATTTTTTTCTCATGACAATGTACTACTCCACCTAATATTTGTTTCATAATATCTGCAGCCATTTTCTCAGTAAAATATTTCATTTCTGTAATCTTTTGAAATAATTCACCTCCTTCTAAAAATCTATTTATGATTATTATTACTCATACTCTGTAATAAGGTAATAATTTTTTGTATCCTAAAATAGTTCATGAAGTTTAACTATATTAGGATGATCCAACTCTTTAAGAGTATTGACTTCTGAGAACATGTTCTCCTCATCATCCTTAATAATTTTATCTTTTCTAATTTATTTCATTGCCCTTCTACATCCTGAACTTTTATGAATAACTAATCGAACTTCTCCAAATGCTCCTAAAATTTTATATATTATCTAATACCGCTTCCAAGACTTTTCTCTATTTTATAAAAATTACTAATTGATCCCTATTTTAGTGTAACAAAAATATCTGGTCCTACTTTAAATTCATCAGCTCCAGCTTAAGCTCCAGAATTTTTTCCTGCTATTGGTAATTTAGCAGGTTTTCTTTATTAAGATGAGCATGGACCCATATATTACAATATAATTTTATTTATAAGATAATTTTTGACAAATTTCTAAGTTATATATTTCTGATTATTTCATTTCTATTCTTTTTTAATGAATCATTTAAGAATTGATTAATAAAAAAATATATATATTTAAATAAGAAAACAATTCCTGTTTAAGTTAAAGAAATTAATTATTTGAACTAATGAAATTATAAAATCAAGACAAAATCAAAATAATTAAGATATCTTTTCAAAAATCATACTAAAATATTGTTAAGGTAATTTAAATATAAACATTTTGGAATTTTCTTTAAAAAATATAAGTTAGATAAATTAAGAGAAGAAATCATCTTTGCCTAAGTTAGTTATTAAAGATATAAGAATTTGTTTATATAATTTATAAATCAATTATGATTGAAATTCCAAATAAAAAATAGAAAATTTTGAACGATATTAATATCAAATTGATGATAATGAAATTATTCCTAAATTAATTTTATAATATGAATAATAGTTAAAAATTTGATTAAAAAGTTATAAGATAAATAATTATATTTAAAAAGGAAAAAATATTTATTATATGATGTTAAGAAATGTAAAAAGGGAAGATTTGAGCGTTTTTGAAAAAGTTATTGGATAGTGAATAAAATAATAAAATATAAACAGTTTAAATAATTATCATGATATTTATTTTGTTAATGAAAGATATATCTATGTTAATAAGCATGTTCCAAAGATTAATGGAATCCAGTCTTTTTATATTCATTAAATTGATACATAAATTTTTTTGTTTTACATAGATCCATATAATATCTATATCTGATGTGTACATAATTATAATTTCTAATAAGATTATACATTATTAAATAGATCTTATTGTAATGCTGAATAATTTATTTTAAATTTAAATTTTATCTTCAAATAAGTGAAATAAGAATAAAGTTATATAAAACCAAATAGTTTTAAAATCTGAATTAACAAGTAATATGGTTATACTATATATAAGTAGTAAATTCAAATAAATATTCTATGAGAAAATATCTTTAACATACTTCTCTAGAAAATTTTTGTAAGTAGCACAAAAGTATTTTTCAAATGATTTTGATGAATTAATCATAAACATATGTTTTGGATTGTTTGTTTAAATATCTATATCATCATAACTTGCCCAACATTCTTATAATGCCCACAAAAAGATAAATCTAAAATAGATTTGAATTGCTGAGGTTACAAAGAATGAAACACCAGAAAGTGTTGTAATTTATTAATCCCAAAGCCATTCATTTTCTTTATGATTAGTTACTGAATAACATTATGTTAATATTTATAATGACAATAAAATTAAACCACTTATGATATATTTATGCTTTTTGATAACTGTTAAATTAATCCTAATCTGAATTTACCAATCATTAAATTAAATCAAAGGTCCTGAATAGTAAAGAGGTGGATAAAGAAGATAAGCCAGATATTCTACTAAGTTAATTTCTTATACTTCAACATTATAACTTGTCATCCTTAGCATATTCCAAATATAGATGTGTTACCAAGGAATAGGTGCTGCTTAATTAAATTCTTTTCCACTATCACCCCATATATCATTCAAACCATTGAATATATTAATTAGATAAATGATGATTAAATGCAATATCCAATGTATTTTTAGAAATATAGCTGATTATTTGCATAACTTTACAAAAATGAAATTAGCAAACATTAAAATAAGATTAATAGCAAATCCAAATCTACTTAAGTAACCTCCAAATATGATTCCTGAAAAAATATAAAATGGCATTCTTTATTTCCGAAATAAATGTCTGAAGACTTTCATTAGTTATGATATTTACAGAAATAACAGAGCAAATAAATTAACAATTCCTATAGATATTGATAAAGTACTCTCCATTCAGGATCTAAAAAATCGATTGTCCAACCTAGCAAAGGAAATTCGATTGTCCCATTAAATTTGCTAGTACTCAAATAAACTGATTATAATAATGATAGTATGATACCTATAGAATAAACGGTGGCAATTGCAATGTAGAAACACCATATAACCAAAACTACATATTCTTAATAATTACAATAATTATACCTTTAACCATCTTTATTCTGTTTAAAATAATATATAATCTTAAATTAGTAAAATATAGCACATAATAAAATACTATTTAAGTTTTATTATAATCATCAATTATCTTCATCAACATCAGAGTGTTCATCATCATCTTCTTTAATCATAGGTTAAGAAATTCTTTCATTTATCAAAGTACTCGAGAATACCAGTTCCATTAAATTTTTTGATTCTTGTAAATGTTTCTTTTTGCTAAGTGGTGGAGGATACATAGGATCAATAGCAATCTTAATTGTATTCTCTATCAAATGAGTTATTAATCTAGCTAATAATGGACAACAAGTTTCTAAACAAGGATTTGTATTGACTTCTATCAACCATGGTTTCATATCTGAATCAATCATAAAGTCTAATCCGAATAACTCAAAAGAATAGAAAAGTTTATTTGGATTTAAATGTTAATAAGTTGCTTTAACAATATCAATGCTAAGTTTTTTTAATTGATCAAGTATTATTTAGAAGTTATAATTATGTTGATCATTTAAATACTTTTAAAATTCATTATAAGATATCTAATTAATTAAATAATATAAATACTTTATTTCCTGTTTCAAATTTTCCATAATTTTGATTCTTCTTTTAAACTGCATCATTTGTGAGATGAGTAAATTTATCTTCAACATCATCTAAACTAAATTCCTTACAACTTGTCCTTATGTATCCTTCTTAATACCAATATGCTTTAAATGTATTATTTACACATGTCATAAGCATATAACATCGAATATCAAATTTTCTCTTATTATATAATAATGGTTTTTCTAGATATTTTTAGATAATGAATGTCTTTTTAGAATTGTTCAAATGAAGATTCTATTGAGAAATTATTTATTTAACTTTAGTTATAGAATTGGCTACCTAAATACCATTTCCTCGATTTGATGATTCTCCTGGTTTTATTATCCAAACATTAATATTATTTGTTTTTGCAAATTCTTCAAATTCTAAAAATGCTGGATCATTTAAACCTGTTTTAACATGATACGTTAATGGTATAAATTAAAAAGGATCTTCATTAATAGAAAGATAATAATTTTTCATATTATAAAATAATGCTTTTTTATTACAAACTTAGAAATTGCATTCTAAATGGTTATGTACTCTAAGAATACTACTTTAATTAAACAATTAAAATTCTGATTCTTCAATATTATATTTAATCTTATCATTAATTAATTTTTTTTATTATTTTGTAAATTAAACATTTTCCAATTAAAATTATTTTACTGAATCATATTCTTATTATTTTCTTAATTATGTCCAATATAAATTTAAATCTTCATTTGGTTGATCTATCAATATCCACCAAGGTCTTAATTTTAAAGATTATCTTATTAAAGTTCCATTATTTCCTTTTGTAATAAATGCCTTATAAAATGTCCTTTCAGGAGGTACAACATTAATATTATTTGTAAATGCAATCATGATTGGTAATTCAATAATTTCTTAATTTTCTTTATTTATTTCATTTTTGTTATTTATTGTTTTTTTAACTTAAAATTACTTTTAAGGAATTAATCTTAATTCTTTTTTACATTTTTCTTATGAATTTGAATCTGGTAGGGTTTCTAATAAGTTTTTCTTAATTATTAATTTGGTTTCACTAGATTTTCTATTATGTATTTCAATTCTTGGAGGATAAGAAAGAACAGTAGGTAATAATTAAGGAGTGCATTAAGAACATATTTTCATTTACTGTTGATCTTATTATTATTTATTCATTAGATCAAAGAATTACTAAAATCCTTTCATACGAAGAGAATTTAATTTAGGATGGTATTATTTAACAGATTGTAATTAAGTGGAATCTGCACATTTAGTATTGCCTTTAATAAATAGGAATTCTATTCCATGGTTTTACATAATAAAATAAAATTAATTATCAATAAATAGATGAATAATTATACATTAAATTATTAAGAATAAAACTTATTTTATATTAAAATAATATTATTACATATTTCAAAAAATACTAAAAAGTGTATTTTATAGTGAAATTATTTATCTGTTTTAGTTAATAAATTATATTTAAATTTATAGAAGATATTTTTATTATATTATACTTAATAATACTTTATAATAGTTATTTAAATTTTTAGATTAAGGATTAAGTAAAATTGGATATATTGTAAAATTCATTGATAATTAATATCTAATCTATAATTATATAATAAATGTAATAACAAATATTAAGTTAGTAAGTATTTAATAAATTATTTATAGAATTATAGATGTCTATTTTAAAATGAAGTTATATTAAATAATAAAAATCAAATGGATTATTTATTATCTAAATTATATTATAATTAAATATATTATAGATTAATAAACTTAAAGTTGTATTAATTAGAATTGATATATGGATGAGTATTATACTTTTATATATTTTATATAATTAGTCTACCAATTTCTAATGATTTAAATAAGTATACAATCTATAATAATATTATAATTATAAATTATTAATTCAATATAAATAAAGAAAGTAGAATAAATTATCAAATTTTAACTTTAGAATTTTTTCCCACATTACTGAAAATAATTAAACACAAATTGAGTATTACAAATTTGATAATATCTAAGAGTATGAGTCCAAAGAGCAATCTGGTATAAAGCTCTAATTTTTCTGCATTGAAAGATATTAAAATTAGTAAAATAGGTTCAAAAACCATGACTTCTATACTTTTTAGGATATAACTACTAATAATGATAGTGTTTTCTGAATTATTTCTATTTCTAAAAGGGTACATTGGAATCCATTATAGTTCTATTGGTAATATAATGAACATAATAGTTCTGAGTGAGAGGATTTAATCTTTATAATTAATTGGTTTGAGATCTTCTTAATTTGGACAAATCTCTTATATGAAATTGGCTCTAAACACATAACTCATAGGTAGATAGGATCTATTTTAGAGATTGTATTTATCCATAAAAATCAATTTAGATGTTGTAAGTAAATGTAAAATTCTAGGAATCTAAATGAATATTATAAAATAAGCTGTAACAGTCTTATCTTCATAAGGATCTATTATTTTGTTTTCATCAACTGTTCCTATACAAAAAAACACTAATATCAGTAACCTTAAACATATATCCAACATAATATTAGACAATAACCAGATCTTCATTCTAGGATTATTTGTTATATACTCCAAATACAAAAATGTTATATTGATAGGTACAATTTCTTTTTTAAAAGAAGGTTTCAATTCTTTAACTTCTCTCCCTACAAGTCTTAACTAAATCAGTGATTATTATGACTCTTAGGTTTGTTGAGTGGAAATGGGAGAATCTTAAGATTCGTAATTATTGACAATCTGCATTTCTACATTAATTGATGTTGCATCTCTTTTTTCTTTCGGGTCATCATCTAAACTGCGAAAGCTGTTACTCTACTCTTGATCATGACGTAAAGAGAAAAATAGACTTGATTGAGGCTCATTCCTTTCATTGCTATCGATTATTATTGATTACATTATAATTATAATTTAATATAGAATATTTGTATTCTTTGAATCTAGTTAGAAAGCATAATCATAATGAGTTTATTTAATTTATAATTATCTTTTTTTAATAGATCAAAGTTATATAGATGGATTAAGACTTGAAATTTAACTTAAATGATTCATAATTCTATGTTTTTTTTTCAATTCATTGTTTTCTCAATAAATCTAATATATATATATATAAAATTATATACAAATAAAGTAATCACCAAAATATATGAAATATTAAATCAAACACTTTTGAATATAGAGATCCATAACTATATTATTCTGATTTTTATATTGTTAATACATTAATAATATAATGATACTTAAAAATATATTGTATAAATAAAGTATGGAATGAATTAAATACTTTTGTATTTTAATACTTATAACATTATAAATCATACTAATTATCCTATAAAACTTTAACATATATACTTGATTTTATATAATTCACTTGCAATAGAAATAAGATTCATGATCAATCTTTCTAAATTTAATCTATTTGAAAATAATTATTTCAATTCTAGTAAGATAATAATTAAAGCAACATAAAGAAAGCTTCCAAAAGTTAAACACAATCGTACTTATTAAAAAGTTTATGCAAAATGCAATTCTAAATAATTTATATATAAGAATTATCAACATATCCTCCTAATGATGTGAAGATTTAAGTTAAAAGAATAAAGAAAAAATATTTATCTTGTTTAATAAAAATGTATAATCAAAAATTTCATAATTTCATAAAAATTGTTATTGTTATTGTAATGTCAGATGTTAAACTTATAGAATAAATTGCAGCTAATGCTATATCATCTATAAAGTTATCAAGAAAGTCTCCAAAATAAAAATACAATTGATGAATCATTGTGATCATAATCATGAGGTTCATCTCTTTTATCTCTCAAATTCTTCAATTTAATAATGAAAAAATCAAAGAATACAAACAATAAGATACCATTCAAAATTAAACAGATTTAAGGATTATTGTGATCATTATTCTATTAATAAGTTCCTAAGATTTATGGCAACATATGAAATAACACATCTCCTATCATTGTTCCAAATGAAAATACTGATTATTTATATCACTTATTTCTTGATTCTTACCATCTGATAAGATTTCTTCTGAAATTGAATTAATTCAATAGTTTATTCTATTTATTTAAATATCTTATAGGATTCAGATACTTTTGTATAATGAATTAAGCATATTATAATGAGAAGAATAGTTTTGATTATTAATTAATTAATAAATGCGAAAATCCTAGAAAATGCCCTCCTAATAATAAATGAAGAATATAATAACACCAACAGTGACATAACAAATAACTTATAGTCCTGAGTTATCTCCAATAAATAAACCACAAAAATAAATGACTAGAAAGACATCCATGATTGAATTGTATAGAGTTGAAAGTGAATCAATTAGAATTAGACCTCAAAGAGTTTTATAAATTATTAAAGATGCAAAGCAATAATTATTTTCTTAATAAAATCCTCGAAATGAAAAAAAATTAAAGCCTAGAGTGGAAACATCTGAAGGTTAAAATAGAGGTCTAGATTTTACATTCGCATAGAATTTCTCAAACAAGTAAATTATAATGAAAGAATTCTCCTCGAATGGTCTCAGAAAAAAATTCTTTGTATGATCAAACATTAATGATGATTTATATCATTCACATTTTAGTAACAGTCTTCTTTATTAATTTAATTTTATAATAAAGATAACCTTATTAATCTTAAAAATATAATAATAAACATCTCTTTAATATACCTATTTAAGTATTATTATTTAATAGAACATCTATTATTTAAGTTATAGATTTTTCATTAATATCATGTATATAATTATAATATTGAATTATCTAATTATATTATTATTATTTGCTATTGAATGAATAATTAGAAAATAGTTTATTTGGTAATTATCAAATTTAAATTAGATGGATTCAATGAATTTAGTAATGTATATTATATACTTTAGTTATAAATTTTGCATTGATTTTCATTTTTTAAGGATATAATTCAATTGCTAATTATCCACTTAATTGTCTTTTGCAAATCTCCTTCATTCTTTTTTAGCCATCTTGTTGCTTAAAATCTATCAACATCAAATTCTTTGACAATTAAGTCAATATGTGCTTCATTTAATTTAATTGTCTCCTATTATATTTCAACTGGCTATATATTAATTAAACAATATACTTATTCTGTTCCAGAGACTTCAACTTCCTAATCTTCATTTCTCATCACAATTTTCTGATTCATTAAATTTTAATAACAAATTTAATATTATTAGTTAATTGTATGTATAAGTTAAAATGTATATAAATAAAAGAAGATGTAATAAAATAATGGAATTGATTTTTTTAGATTATAAGAATTAATTGATAATTTAATATAATTAATGGAAAGTAAACTATAAAATTTTGAGATCCTAAACAAATTAGGTAATAATGAATGCTTGATTTTGTAGGTTCTGGAGCTTATTCATCTGTGTACAAAGTGTAAAGGAAGTCTGATGGGAAATTATACGCTTTGAAGAAAGTATTTGGAGTGATTTACAGGAATAGGTGAAATTGATGGATATAGGCGATAGAGAGAAACAGAATGCATTGAATGAAGTTCGGTTCATAGCATCAATTCATCATGAGAATGTTGTTTCATATAAGGAATGCTTTATTGAGGATAATAATTTATGGTATGGCAGTTGTTATAATAAAGTATAATAATGGAGTATGCCGAGTAAGGAGATTTATTATAAAAGATTTAAAGATATGTAAAAAAACAATAGATGATTCCAGAGTTAGAAATATGGCAAGTGGCAATATAAGTGTTATAAGGTTTAAGAGCATTACATCATAAAAAAATATTGCATAGAGATTTGAAGTGTGCAAATATCTTCTTGTACGAAAATGATCAGGTAAAACTTGGTGATTTTAATGTATCTAAATTGGCTAAAAATGGACTTGTCTATACATAAACTGGTACTCCCTATTATGCTAGTCCAGAGGTTTGGTAAGACAAACCTTATGATCATAAGGCAGATATTTGGTCTTTAGGATGTGTCATTTATGAAATGTGTGCTTTGAAACCGTATACTTATTCCTATATTCTATTATTAGACCCTTTAGAGCCAAAGATATGGATGGTTTATATAAATCTGTATTAAGAGGACAATATTAACCAATTCCTATTCTCTATTCTTAAGAATTAGTATAATTGATCAAAAGTATGATGTAAGTTCAACCTTCAAATCGTCCAGATTGTGGTATTCTAAATATACTTATTATTATTTAGATAAATTACTTCAGTTACCCTTCATTTAAAAGAAAGCCAAATAATATGGGATTTCTTTGATTAATGATGAAATCGAAGATGATTTATTGAAGACTATTAAATGGCCTATTACTAGAAAAGGCTTATAAGCAAATAAATCTGAACTCATCAATTTAAATTGTTAATTACCTGGTAGTAATTATTTGAATTAACACAATTCCAATCATATTAAGAGAAAAGATCAATCTAATAGAATAAGATCTTAGGATACTAATGATTCCATATCTTTAAATTAACCTAATGAAGCTTTACATTAATTGATGAAATAAATTACTTAATTGGATTAAAAAGAAGTAGAGAAAACTTCTAATGTTAATCCAAATTTAAATAAATCTATATCAAAATAGGCAATCTAAGAAAATATCTTACCGATTGACCGAAGATTACGAGTATCCAATTCTACTCATGAAAAGCATGAAAGATATGAACCAAATTAACAATCGTAAATTATTAAATAGAATCTCTAGTAAATGTGCATCTAAGGATAGACTAGACCATCAAATATAAATCAATTCTAATTATTATGCTAAAGATGTGATCCAATCACTTAATAAATAGCATTATTCATAAAAATTACCTATGATTAGTGGCACTTAAAGACAAGAGGAAGAATATATTTTAAGGAAAAACTCTTCAAATGAAAGAAATCCTAGTAGTTATCTTAAAAGATCACAACATGAAACTTAAAAGAAAGATTTATCTATGTAACCTAGTGCTGATAGACCAACAGCTTTAATGAAAATAATTGAGGAACATCAATAATTACCTAAAATAAAAAAGAAATACTGAAATATCTAATTTTCCATATTACCAATTAATTAAAATTAACAGAAATAATATATATATTATAACAAATAAATGGACATGTTTTTTGAATTAAACAAATTTAGAAAATCAATTAAACAAGAAGTATTAAGTAGACCAAGATCATAAATGAGATAGTCATAATTAAAAAGAAAGATGTCAAGTATTAGAAATAGTGTTCATGGAAGTTTGCATGGCAGTGGGAACAATAGTTTACATAATAGTGCTTAAAGATAAAATAATAATACAATAGGTTAAGTACTGCCATTTCATAAAATCAAAGAAATTTAATAAACTTTATTAGAATGTAATTACATTAATGACCTTTCTGTTTATTATGTAGAAGAATTAGTAAGATTTGCTAGTTTAGTTATGGAAAAAGTAGTTAAAGTTAGAGGTCATAAATGATATTAATTAATTATTTCTAATCTTATTCAAATTTATTATATCAATTGTTGAAACAGATATATAAAATTTATATTCATTAATAAAAACAATATTAATAATTGATTTCTTATTCATTTTTAATTAGTGTAATATCAAATGTTTACATATTAGATATTTTGTTATTTATTTGTTTTTAGTATCATATTCATTTCATTTAAAAAATATCTCATATTAACTAATTATACTTATAAATTTAATTAATTTAAAGAAATAACTTTTATTTTATATAATAGATTATTATTTCAATTAAGTAATATTCATAAGTATATAAATTCTAATAATATTTGTTTACTTATAATAGCTATTTAATTAAAAATTATGATTTTTATTTCTGAAATGATTTAAATATAAGATATACATAGAAGAAGTAAATAATATACTATTTCATCAATTACTATTTATTTAATAATTATCATTTTAAATGCTATTTGGAATCAGTTTTTATTTTATTATTTATTTAAGTTATTTTTCAATGATAGATCTAAATACATTGATTTTCATCATAAAAATACTTTTTTAATTGATTTTTGAAATTATGAAGATCTGGATAAAAGATAGACTATAATATAAGTTAATATAGAAAGTATAGATTAAATTGATTTTGTGATTAGAAATATAAATACTTGATCTTTGAGATAAACTAAGATTATTTTCAATTTTTTCTTATGTTTTGTTTTATAATTTTGGTTGGTAGTAGAGTATCCTTAAAGTAAGTTATCTAATAGATATCCTATTTAGATTCTAAACATAAGTAATTGAGTGTTTTATGTATATATTGACATGTGTAGAGAAATATTTGTTATAATAATATTGTAGGGGGTACAATGATTATAAAATGATATATAATAATAAAATGATTGAGACCTAGAAACTAGTGCATCGCAAATTATCTATTTTGGGATATCCATTGAATGAGTTCTTTGCTTTGGATAGTTTAAAGCTGAAGATCACAAAAAAGAACTTCACTTGCCAATTACATCCAGGAATATCAATAGACATACCAAAATAGATTTAAAAGTTTTATCGGAAGCGCTTCTTTCTTTTTAAAAAGTTCAATGAGGGCATATAATTAGATGAGGAATCTTGGTATTCTGTGATACCTGAGGTAGAGTTTTGTTTAATGAATTAAGGAGATGAGCATTCATATTGCAAATAAATTGAAAGCTAGTTCTCCAGATTCTGATGTGATAGATGGGTTTTGTGGTTCTGGAGGTCTAGCTATTCAATTGGCCAAATGTTTTAAAACAGTGATTTGTATAGATATTGATCCCATGTAAAATTAAATATTTTATAAACTCAGAAAGATCAATAATATTACCAATAATTTGTAAGTGTATGAATCCATAGCAACTGTTATTTAGATGAATTTTCTCGAGCACACTCATACCAATTAAGATTTCATTCTCATTATGTGTCCACCATGGTATTATCTCTATTAAACTTAGGGGTGGATTGAATTATTCACATTAACCTTATGATCTTAATAGTATGAAACCATCTCTAGAAGATCTATTGACAAAAGGACTATAGATGACTAGCAAAATAGTTCTTCAATTACCTAAAAACATTGATATACAATAACTGGTCAGTATCTTTAAGGATGTCACTGACAAACTAAGATTAGAACTTAAACCCATAGAAGTTGAGATGATGCTCATCAATGAGCAAATTAATTAATTAATTATTTACTATGGGTTATGAAATCAATTTATTAATTTATTAATTCTTTCTCTTTTATAATAAATATATTGATGGTTAATATTTTCCATATAATTATTTCATGTTAATCTTTAATTAAAGAGACAATATAGTCTTATATATCATTAAAATTTCATACTATAAGTTCTAAATAATCTAATTCTTAACCATTAGCATCTACTTGTAACTTTTTCTTCATTAACTTATATCTCCATATAAAATATATTAACTATTCCATCTAGTTATTAAATTAGAACAAAGAGAATGATATTATTGAAATTAAAACAATAATAAGTTAATAATAATCATTAATTTCTATGTCTCTGTCTAAGAAATTCAATAAATTTTATAAATCCTATACAAAATCAATTTCAAAGTTAACCAATATTAAAAATTACTTAATTTCTATTATTTTAGACTTCTGTCTTAATCATTTTATTTAAATAATCATTAGAATTTTGCATCTTTATCAAACTAATCTCTTTTTTTATTAGAAATATAAACATGCTTCATCCAAATATTTTTAGTGTATTAAAAAATCAATACTACGTTAACACTCTTCATCTATTAATTCTAATAATTTAATTTTATAATAAATTATTTTTTTAAAGGTTCTATTATAATTTTAGATAGTTCTTGAAATAATACTGCATAATCTAAGCTTAAAAATTATCTAAAAAAGAGTATAGAAGATTGTAATAATATAATATTTATCTCCTTCATGAATTGTTAGATTGTGTTTATAAAATATTTCTTATTCTAAATATGATTTTTAAATAATTTAAAAATGGTTATAACATCAAATTCCTTTTATCCCTTATTCTCTTAATGATGATTAAAATTAACTTAAACAATTATGTAATTCCCATTTAATAATGAGTATTAGGTTTAATTCTGACTTAAGTTCAATATTCTTTCATTAATATTAAAAATTTGTTCTATTTTTTAATTAACCTTAAAAGCCTAAAGTAAATAATTGCTTAAATGATAAAAACATAAAAATATACTATTTTCAATAATACATCATCTAATCAAATAATTTATCAAAGTGAAAAATACTTGTTTAATGTGATAATCTAGAAAAATACTTCTTAGTATAGAATAGAGTTCTCTTCTTACTCATTATATTAACAATTTGATTGTCAAATATAAAAACATTATTTATATATATATTATTGTGATTATTATGACTGATTTAGAAAGTGTAAGAAAAGAGATTACAAGATTGTAAACAGAGAATGCTAAATTAACAACAAAAGTAGTGAGAAATAGAAAAATAATTGCATAAAAAGAAGAAACATATGTTAAGGTTTAAGACATTGCAAATGAAGAGGAAACATTTGATTCTGATTCAACATAAGCATCTTTTAAGATTAAATAATTACCTAATGGAATGGATAAAGTAAGAGAACTTTATAAAACAATTTGTTAATGTGGAGATGCAGCCAAATTTAAGTAATTATCTATTATATTTATTAAGTGGGTTTTGTGAGAAATGTGTTAAGAAAATGAAAGAAGATTATGAAAAGGCCATGAATGACTACTTACCTATATCATCTTAATATGAGAAAGTTTATTCTAATAATGTAAATAAAGAAGTGAAAATGTTATCAATAAAAAATAAAATTGACAATATGAAACAAAAAATAAAAGAAGGTGATATTAGTTTTTAAGATGGTGATCTAAAAATATTATAAGATGAAATAGATTATTTAAGAAAATAAATTAAAGTTACATAAATGGATGTATTTTATAAATATTATATATTTAGTATGAAGTTTAATAAAAAGAGTTTACCAGATATGTTGAAGAATAAAATAAAGTCTAGGAAGATTTAGAAATGAGATTAGCTAAAAAAGAAGACAAGATCTAAAAAATTAAATAATAAATTGATGAATTGCTAATAAAAAATAAAAAAATTGAAGAGAACATTGGTTTTGCAAAAGAAGAGTTGGAAAGCTATGTAAAGTGAATCATATCATAATTATACTACTTGTATTTAAGATAAAATATATTATTATAATCATTTATAATCAAAGATATATGTCTTATTTCATATCATCCTATAGAGATGTAATTTAATAGATAAAAAAAAGAATTATTTTATAATTATCTAATAGTTTCTGTTTTATAAAACAAAAATTAAAATTTTATCTAAGAAACAATATTTTGGATTATCCAAAACTAATCCTTATCTCATTCAAAGTCTATCAATTTTTAAAGTATCTATTTGAATTATGATATAGTGATAACACTCTGTTTCTTTTATTAAAAATAATGTTAAGTTTCTAATTTCAATGAGAGTCACCCTATTATAGTTATTAATTCATTGACTCTAAAATAAAAAATCCAATAAAAATTCTAAGTATTTTCAGTTCCTGAACAAGATTTAAAATTCCCCTTATATTTATTTCCTCTAAAGATTTAAGTATTAGTAGTCATAGTCTTGATTTATAATAATAGACATATATTCTCAATCTCCATAAAAATATCCTATTTTTGTATTTAATTTATATTATTAAATTAATAATTCTCTAACATGAGAAAATTTATTAGTTCAATTTTTATTATTGTATAATACAGATTTTGATTTACATAATTCTATTTTGATTATTTTTTTTGAAATAAGAGAATTTAATGTATTCACTATTATAATAATAAATAGAATTATTCTCCTTTTAATTCTAAAATTAATAATCATTATCTTAGAGATTAAGAGTATAAATGACAAACTAAAGGTCTTTAATCTCAATTAGGTTTATATCCAACTATATATCATAAATAATAATTTCAATAAAGGTAGACAGCATAGACTGTTACCAAACAAAATAATGAATCATTTATGAAGGTTTCTGAAACACACATATCAGTGTCATAGTCCCAAAAGCATTTCGAACCAACTCTCACTCCTTATCCTAATTAATAGATTAATTCAAAAATTACCTCTTTATTAACCAATTAAAACATGTACTATAAACTTGTATCTGCTTGTAACAGTATATTGTTATTTAAGTCTATTTTTGATATTTTCAGCAATATCTTTGGATTGAGTTGTTACATCCTAATATGATCCTGTTTTCAATTTTTATTATAATATTTCTTAAATTAATTCTCTACATTTAGAGGATTTANATATCATAATTATACTACTTGTATTTAAGATAAAATATATTATTATAATCATTTATAATCAAAGATATATGTCTTATTTCATATCATCCTATAGAGATGTAATTTAATAGATAAAAAAAAGAATTATTTTATAATTATCTAATAGTTTCTGTTTTATAAAACAAAAATTAAAATTTTATCTAAGAAACAATATTTTGGATTATCCAAAACTAATCCTTATCTCATTCAAAGTCTATCAATTTTTAAAGTATCTATTTGAATTATGATATAGTGATAACACTCTGTTTCTTTTATTAAAAATAATGTTAAGTTTCTAATTTCAATGAGAGTCACCCTATTATAGTTATTAATTCATTGACTCTAAAATAAAAAATCCAATAAAAATTCTAAGTATTTTCAGTTCCTGAACAAGATTTAAAATTCCCCTTATATTTATTTCCTCTAAAGATTTAAGTATTAGTAGTCATAGTCTTGATTTATAATAATAGACATATATTCTCAATCTCCATAAAAATATCCTATTTTTGTATTTAATTTATATTATTAAATTAATAATTCTCTAACATGAGAAAATTTATTAGTTCAATTTTTACAATTGTATAATACAGATTTTGATTTACATAATTCTATTTTGATTATTTTTTTTGAAATAAGAGAATTTAATGTATTCACTATTATAATAATAAATAGAATTATTCTCCTTTTAATTCTAAAATTAATAATCATTATCTTAGAGATTAAGAGTATAAATGACAAACTAAAGGTCTTTAATCTCAATTAGGTTTATATCCAACTATATATCATAAATAATAATTTCAATAAAGGTAGACAGCATAGACTGTTACCAAACAAAATAATGAATCATTTATGAAGGTTTCTGAAACACACATATCAGTGTCATAGTCCCAAAAGCATTTCGAACCAACTCTCACTCCTTATCCTAATTAATAGATTAATTCAAAAATTACCTCTTTATTAACCAATTAAAACATGTACTATAAACTTGTATCTGCTTGTAACAGTATATTGTTATTTAAGTCTATTTTTGATATTTTCAGCAATATCTTTGGATTGAGTTGTTACATCCTAATATGATCCTGTTTTCAATTTTTATTATAATATTTCTTAAATTAATTCTCTACATTTAGAGGATTTAAATTTTTCTCTTGGTTTTGGTTTGATTTAATATTCTTAATTTTGTTATTACGGTTTTTTAAGCATTTTTATTAATATTTATTAAATATATTTAATTATAATTACTTAGTTGATTTAAATATCACATTTTCCTTATAAGTTAATTATCTTGAATTTTGATGGTGAAAAATAAATTAATACAAAAACTTATAATATTGTAAATTAATAATACTCTCAACGGCAATCATTCTTAAGTTTAATTTACTCAATTCTATCATAAAAATAATAAAATAATTAAATGAGTTAATAATATTATACTTATATATGCTCAACTATTAATTTTTAATTTCATTTGAGCTTATGAATTTTTGTTTTATTATTATTATGAATTATATTATCCTTATTTTCATCTTGGATACATATTCAATAATCATTCTAATAATATTTCAAAAATTATAATTACTCATTCACAAGAATAGATTAATTTATATATATTATAAATTATTCCTTAGTTTAATATATACTTGTATATGTTTTATAATTTCTTCAGAACTGTGTTTATTTGACTAAAAGAAATTTCATTAAAAACATAATCATTAAATCTTATTATTTGACTTCTTTTAAATAATATGATAAGCTTGAGCCTTAAACAATCTAAAAAGCAAAAATATAAGTCTGTTAGTTCAGATGAAAGATAACAAATTATCAAACTGTTTTTGGAAAATGCATATTCTGCTAACTAAGTATTTTAAATTTATAGTACAGATAGCTAACCTTACAGGCCATAATTTATCAACTATTAAAGCTATATACAGAATATATAAAAATGAAGGTAGAATATATAAAAAAGAAAAGAGAGATAAACAAATCAAAATAAAACAAAATGTTATTGTGTTAGTGGTTGATGAAAAGTACCCAATTTATACTATAATTGTAGAACAAGACATATGAATATTATAGCTAAATAATAATAAAAACAAGAATTAATCATAAAGAATGAAGAAATTCCTTATTTATCATTTGAGAATACAATTAATGAGACTTTTTTAAATTCTGCTGGTGATGTCCTTAAACATTTAGATAGTTTGGAATCAAAATAATGCTTCAATTAAACAATAAAAAAGGTCAAGATTCAAAGTTTAGAGATCAAAGACTTTCAAGAGATTAAAGAAAACACAAATCAAGTTAAAGAGAGAATTAAGATTTAATCTTAAATTTAATAATTTCGAAATCTTTTTTCTTCATAAGAATTGCCAAATAAGCAAAAAAAATAGCCCTCACTTCCCAAAAACCTTTAATTATAACCAAATTCAAATATATCTGACCTTAAAAATATTTTAGAATTCTAAATTAATGACTATTTTCAAAAATCTTCTAATGATAATTTTTGATGATATAATTAATATTAATATATTTTAATTATTAATATCTAATCATTTAATTAGTATGAAGATTAATAAAACTTAAAGGCTTAATTTAACTTTAAATTATTCTTACCTTTTTAGATATATGTGTTAATCATTAAGAGAATAATTTTATTTTAATTTATTATTTTAATCCTAATTATCTATTTCATTTTCTGTTAAGAATAGAAATAGTACTAAAAAAATAAAGTTGAAAATTAATAAGCTTTTCTAAGCATCTTTTGAAGAATTTTTGAATTAATTTTTTTCAGTCTTATCTTATTTTTTTGTAAAATATTGAAAAAAATAATCAAGTTTGAACTTAAATTATAAACTATATAAAGATAATTTGTAAATAATGATAATCTTAAAGTTGACTTAAATAATGTATTAGCGCATAAAAAGGATTAAAATGAAGAGAAAATCAAGAAGATATATAGATTTATTAAGTCATGAAAATATTAGAGCCTTGCCTTAAAAGTTTCTTTACTTCATTAATTCAAATATTTAGATGAATTCAAAAATTTTAATGAGGTTTAACAAATAATTATTTATAAATATATTTTAATAGTGCTAAATTTGATTAAATTTGAATAATTGAGAGGGTTTCCTATTTAAGAATTAATTACTCTTATTTATAAATTTTACATGAAAATAACAAGTTAATGTACTTATATGTATTATAGATTTTATTTTTCATTTTTCAACTTTAAGCTCTCCAGAATTAATTTTTCCAATGATTGCTTTTACTGGTTATCCATCAACTGTGGCTCCCAAAGATTATGCAGTTCCTAAAACTTATTTGACTGTTCCTGTAAATGTTTTAGCCAATGACTTTTCTTCAATAGCTCTAGCAACTTTGATGACTTATTCAAGTGTTAAATTTCCATTGTGTTTAACATTCTTTGTCTTCTTTCTATCTCTCTCATAACCCTAAAGTCATTAATTATTTAAATACTCCAATTTCTTTAATGAGCAATGCACTTGAGGTAGGAATGACTGTAACATCAGCATTTCTATTTTAGCATCTCAAGTTAACCATAACTCTGATACCCTTCCATTTTCCACTTTCAGCAATAATTTTATCACCGACTTATTTTGGATTCTTATTAATAAGCTATTAAATTTACAAGACCGAGAGGTCCCAATTTTGGAGCAAGAGTGGATGCTGGACCACCTTCTCCTCCGAACACTTTGATGTTAATCAATCTAACTTCATTTGGGTCAACTTTGGGAGGCATTAAAAAAGATTTAAATTTTTTTTAATTCTTTTTTTTTAGTTTTCGAGAAAATAAGGAAAAGAATTTTGGAAATCCTTAAAATATCACTAAACTATGTAAAAATAAATAAAGAAGATATCAAATTCTAGAACACATCTATATATATTTTAGAATATATTTTGCAGTTGATCAATATAATAATTATACTTATATTGATAAATTGATTAGTCTTCCAGTTTTTCTGATAATGCAATATAAAATCTAATTTNTAGAAATAGTACTAAAAAAATAAAGTTGAAAATTAATAAGCTTTTCTAAGCATCTTTTGAAGAATTTTTGAATTAATTTTTTTCAGTCTTATCTTATTTTTTTGTAAAATATTGAAAAAAATAATCAAGTTTGAACTTAAATTATAAACTATATAAAGATAATTTGTAAATAATGATAATCTTAAAGTTGACTTAAATAATGTATTAGCGCATAAAAAGGATTAAAATGAAGAGAAAATCAAGAAGATATATAGATTTATTAAGTCATGAAAATATTAGAGCCTTGCCTTAAAAGTTTCTTTACTTCATTAATTCAAATATTTAGATGAATTCAAAAATTTTAATGAGGTTTAACAAATAATTATTTATAAATATATTTTAATAGTGCTAAATTTGATTAAATTTGAATAATTGAGAGGGTTTCCTATTTAAGAATTAATTACTCTTATTTATAAATTTTACATGAAAATAACAAGTTAATGTACTTATATGTATTATAGATTTTATTTTTCATTTTTCAACTTTAAGCTCTCCAGAATTAATTTTTCCAATGATTGCTTTTACTGGTTATCCATCAACTGTGGCTCCCAAAGATTATGCAGTTCCTAAAACTTATTTGACTGTTCCTGTAAATGTTTTAGCCAATGACTTTTCTTCAATAGCTCTAGCAACTTTGATGACTTATTCAAGTGTTAAATTTCCATTGTGTTTAACATTCTTTGTCTTCTTTCTATCTCTCTCATAACCCTAAAGTCATTAATTATTTAAATACTCCAATTTCTTTAATGAGCAATGCACTTGAGGTAGGAATGACTGTAACATCAGCATTTCTATTTTAGCATCTCAAGTTAACCATAACTCTGATACCCTTCCATTTTCCACTTTCAGCAATAATTTTATCACCGACTTATTTTGGGTTCTTATTAATAAGCTATTAAATTTACAAGACCGAGAGGTCCCAATTTTGGAGCAAGAGTGGATGCTGGACCACCTTCTCCTCCGAACACTTTGATGTTAATCAATCTAACTTCATTTGGGTCAACTTTGGGAGGCATTAAAAAAGATTTAAATTTTTTTTAATTCTTTTTTTTTAGTTTTCGAGAAAATAAGGAAAAGAATTTTGGAAATCCTTAAAATATCACTAAACTATGTAAAAATAAATAAAGAAGATATCAAATTCTAGAACACATCTATATATATTTTAGAATATATTTTGCAGTTGATCAATATAATAATTATACTTATATTGATAAATTGATTAGTCTTCCAGTTTTTCTGATAATGCAATATAAAATCTAATTTTTTGTTGTTAAAAAGATTGAGGAACATTACAAATAACTTAATGATTTACATAAAGTTAAAACTTATAGTTTCAGTTCTCTATTATAAATTATCACTGAATTCCATATTAAGATATATGATGATTTAAAAAAGTTGTTGTCTAATTTCTAGTCTTAACATATTTTGGATATCCTTCTTCATCAAGAAAGGTTTCTCTGCAAATAGGACAATTTTATTGTTTTTGCAGCCATTAGTTTAAACAAACTTCATGTAAAGTATGTTTACACGGTGTGATCCTGCATGGTTTTTAATCTAAAAGGTCTAAACAAATGATGCATTCTTGATCTTTTGCTGGATCCACTATTCCCATTAGATGCAATAATCCCTTCTATGAATTCAGGCTTTAATTACCTTTCTGCTTTTTCTCTTACATATATTAACATCGCTTTTTAACTATATAAATAATAACCAATAATATTATAAATGACACTATGCTCAATATTATTACTAGTATAAAGTCTTAAAATTAATTATCATTATCTATCAATTCAGATTTAATGGTAAAGTTTAGTGTTAAAAAGTATGGGTTTTATAGCATAAAGACAAATGAATAATTGGCAGATCTTAAATGATAAGATTCAAATTTATTAGAAAAATCTATTTCTTAACCTTCTTAATCAATTATCCCATCAAATACTAATTTACTATTTTTTAATGATTTGTAAGGTATTTCAAATGGAAACAAAAAATAAATTGTTGCATTAATTGAAGGACTCACGGTAAACCTGACGTTCCTTATCTACCTCAATTTTCATAAAAAATAATACTACTAATCATCCACAATGTCATCCTATTGCAAATAAATTGCAATTATTTTACTTTAAAAAGGTATCATTTCAATATTATAAGTACTTCTATCAAAAATTGGCTCAATATCATATTAACATCTATCGCTAGAAATATTTTTGCCCATATCTTACCCTGCTATAAATTCAAAGCATTGGCATTCTAACTTTTAGCATAAACCCTTTTAAGAGCAATTGTTAGGACAATCCCTTTTCTCCACTTGATTTATTTTATACGTATCCTCAGGTTAAATAAAAATGTCCAAATCATATTATTTACCCTATTCAACTTGATAATACATTTGTAAGTATTATGTGTAATTTTTCTAAAGTGAACTTTGGATTACATATTCTTCAGCTACTTCTATTTTCATAAATGTCCATGCTTCACTAAAAATTTCAATCAGGACATATTGATGTTCTGCAGTAAAACTATAAAGGATGCAGTTAATACTACATATATTTAAAAAAGTTAGAATAATCATTATAAAGAAATTATATAATAAATTTCAATTAAATGTAAGATAAAGTTTCATGGCTTTTGTATTGATCTATTTTTTAATTGATTCTGTTATTGCTATAAACTTCTACTACTATTTTTTTGTCTTCCATAAAAATAAATTTAAGTGGAATTTTTTAATAATTCAATCAACTTTTCTTTATTTGAATGCTTATTCAAGAGATCGATAGCCTTCTTGCCCTTCAATGATTAAAGATCTTTTTAAGCCTAAATTTGATATAGATTATTTACTCCATGTTCAATCAGAAATTTAATAATTTAGTAATTTATTTCTGCTTCTTTTGAATTTAATTCCATTTTTATAGAGCATAATTACATTAATAAGTGAAAACCATGAGTTTTATCAATAATCCAATTGATATCTGCTCCATAATGAAGTAATAGTTCTGCCATTTTGAAACAAATTTTACGATTTTCAAAAACATTCTTCTCCTTAAAAAAATAATAATTTAAATAAATACTTCTTCTAATCTAGCGAAACATGTTACAAATGCTGTCTAATTAAATGTATTTGGCTTGTTAACTTCTGCTCCAGCATCAAGTAATAACTTTAAAATTTCATAATTTCCTGTCATAGCTGCTACAGAAAGAGGTGTCTACCCAGAATCAACACTTGCTAAATCAACATCAACTTAACAATTTGATAATAAAAGCTTAACTATTTCTAATCTACCAAGATAACAAGCACATATAAGAGGTGATATTTTTTAATCAAGTTCAATTTCATTGAATTATTCCAAAAAATTGATGTTGGCTATCAAAGTTTTTTACTTTACCTTTATTTATTCCCAATTCTTTCAAAGTATCATAATCATTTTAATGTATCAAATGCAGGATCAATTGCTACCTTAATAATAATAATTAAATACGTATTCAGATAAAGGTTTCTCTAATCCTTATAACATATATTAAATTTATGTATAAAATCAATTTGTAAAATTGCTATTGTCTGATATTTAATCTTATATTAAAATTAGATATACAAAATTATTATTTGTTCTGTAATTCAGGTTATTTTTAAGTATTTGAGCTATTGCTTGATAAAAACAAAATTAAAAAGATTGAATAAAAATTTAACATAAATTTTAAGAAAAATAATTAAAAAAAGAGCTTGATTTGAATAATTAAAGAGAGTAGTATTTATTACTTCAAATATTTATTCTTGAATAATTATTTACAATCTTATAATGATATTTATATATTATATTATATATAAATTAAAAAACTAGATAATTTTATCATATTAAATGAGAATTAAAAATTATAACAAAACTATTTAAATTATTGAAATTTCACCCATTATTATTTATAAGATAATGATTTTGCAATTATTAATACAAGACATTAACCCTTGAAAAATATTGGTAACTTCTTGTGTAGCAATGATACTTTAAATTTTCACAATTATTTATTAATCCCTCTTCTACATATTAATAATTTAAATTATTGAATTTATTTAATATTTAGATCATGATTGATTAGAATGAGTATTTAAATCTATCACTCAAAAATGAAAATAATAAAAATGTAATATTGAAATCATAAATAATTTACGCTATTAATTATAATTCTGCCACTATATTCAAAAGATCTAATTTTAAATAATTCTATATANTATATCTCATTCCTTCAATCTATCCATCTTCATAAACTTCTCTATAAGCCATGCCTTCAATATGATTTTCTTCTTAAATTTCTTAATCTTCAACTTCTCTATATCTCATTCCTTCAATTTATCCATCTTCATAAACTTCTCTATAAGCCATGCCTTCAATATGATTTTCTTCCTAAATTTCTTAATCTTCAACTTCTCTATATCTCATTCCTTCAATCTATCCATCTTCATAAACTTCTCTATAAGCCATGCCTTCAATATGATTTTCTTCTTAAATTTCTTAATCTTCAACTTCTCTATATCTCATTCCTTCAATTTATCCATCTTCATAAACTTCTCTATAAGCCATGCCTTCAATATGATTTTCTTCCTAAATTTCTTAATCTTCAACTTCTCTATATCTCATTCCTTCAATCTATCCATCTTCATAAACTTCTCTATAAGCCATGCCTTCAATATGATTTTCTTCTTAAATTTCTTAATCTTCAACTTCTCTATATCTCATTCCTTCAATTTATCCATCTTCATAAACTTCTCTATAAGCCATGCCTTCAATATGATTTTCTTCCTAAATTTCTTAATCTTCAACTTCTCTATATCTCATTCCTTCAATCTATCCATCTTCATAAACTTCTCTATAAGCCATGCCTTCAATATGATTTTCTTCTTAAATTTCTTAATCTTCAACTTCTCTATATCTCATTCCTTCAATTTATCCATCTTCATAAACTTCTCTATAAGCCATGCCTTCAATATGATTTTCTTCCTAAATTTCTTAATCTTCAACTTCTCTATATCTCATTCCTTCAATCTATCCATCTTCATAAACTTCTCTATAAGCCATGCCTTCAATATGATTTTCTTCTTAAATTTCTTAATCTTCAACTTCTCTATATCTCATTCCTTCAATTTATCCATCTTCATAAACTTCTCTATAAGCCATGCCTTCAATATGATTTTCTTCCTAAATTTCTTAATCTTCAACTTCTCTATATCTCATTCCTTCAATCTATCCATCTTCATAAACTTCTCTATAAGCCATGCCTTCAATATGATTTTCTTCTTAAATTTCTTAATCTTCAACTTCTCTATATCTCATTCCTTCAATTTATCCATCTTCATAAACTTCTCTATAAGCCATGCCTTCAATATGATTTTCTTCCTAAATTTCTTAATCTTCAACTTCTCTATATCTCATTCCTTCAATCTATCCATCTTCATAAACTTCTCTATAAGCCATGCCTTCAATATGATTTTCTTCTTAAATTTCTTAATCTTCAACTTCTCTATATCTCATTCCTTCAATTTATCCATCTTCATAAACTTCTCTATAAGCCATGCCTTCAATATGATTTTCTTCCTAAATTTCTTAATCTTCAACTTCTCTATATCTCATTCCTTCAATCTATCCATCTTCATAAACTTCTCTATAAGCCATGCCTTCAATATGATTTTCTTCTTAAATTTCTTAATCTTCAACTTCTCTATATCTCATTCCTTCAATTTATCCATCTTCATAAACTTCTCTATAAGCCATGCCTTCAATATGATTTTCTTCCTAAATTTCTTAATCTTCAACTTCTCTATATCTCATTCCTTCAATCTATCCATCTTCATAAACTTCTCTATAAGCCATGCCTTCAATATGATTTTCTTCTTAAATTTCTTAATCTTCAACTTCTCTATATCTCATTCCTTCAATTTATCCATCTTCATAAACTTCTCTATAAGCCATGCCTTCAATATGATTTTCTTCCTAAATTTCTTAATCTTCAACTTCTCTATATCTCATTCCTTCAATCTATCCATCTTCATAAACTTCTCTATAAGCCATGCCTTCAATATGATTTTCTTCTTAAATTTCTTAATCTTCAACTTCTCTATATCTCATTCCTTCAATTTATCCATCTTCATAAACTTCTCTATAAGCCATGCCTTCAATATGATTTTCTTCCTAAATTTCTTAATCTTCAACTTCTCTATATCTCATTCCTTCAATCTATCCATCTTCATAAACTTCTCTATAAGCCATGCCTTCAATATGATTTTCTTCTTAAATTTCTTAATCTTCAACTTCTCTATATCTCATTCCTTCAATTTATCCATCTTCATAAACTTCTCTATAAGCCATGCCTTCAATATGATTTTCTTCCTAAATTTCTTAATCTTCAACTTCCCTATATCTCATTCCTTCAATCTATCCATCTTCATAAACTTCTCTATAAGCCATCCCTTCTTTCTGTTCATCATATGTATTCTGGATAATCAATAATAATATACTATATTATGCATCTTTAAAAATGAATCCTTTTGAGACTCAGTTAATGTGACATCCATATCCATGGTGTTTATAACAACACCAATTACTCCTAAAATAAAAGTCATAGCAACAATTAACTTGGTTTTGTTCATTTTATTATATATAATAATTTTGATGATGTAATAAATTTTAATATAGTCTTTTAAAATCTCTAAGTCCATATAACTAAGATTACTAAATAAGAATGAATTTGTTATTAAATTTCTATAGACAATTATTAATAGTTTAAAAATACTTCTCCACAAATAGATTTGGAATTATGTCAATTCGAATTTATTTATTCTATTAACTTAACTAATGAAATAATATACATTGCAAAACTTAGATGGCTTTTTGGCTTTAGCCAAAGAATAAATAACTTCTAGAAATCAATCTAAATTTATATATGTCACAAAATAAAATTCAAGGTTTAGTATCCATCATCAAATTTAATAACTGAAGATAATCTAAAGCTTTATAGAGATTAAAATTTTGAACTATTGGATTGGAATTATAATTGTAGTAAATTTTCATTTACAAAATTATTTTCTAAAAATATGAGATGATAAGGATTATTACAAAAGAAACAATTTTTTATAATTGGCAAATTACATATTAAAAAAAAATATAATACATAATCTATCACTATCTTTTTCAATTTTTCATAGGCAATTAAAATCGATTTTGATAAATAGAATTTCTATTTTTGTCTTTTTTTAGATTTCATTTGAAGTCATAGTCTTGCTAAATTATAATTTTTAATTAATTATTTGAGTTGAGAGTTCAGTTGTTATTAAATCCTAAGTAATTCAAAGTCTTTTTTTTAATTATTATTTCAAGAAGATATGTTTTACTCGCTATTTGTATTCACTACTGACTAAATAATCTAAGAAAATAAGAAAATTAAATATTAATTTATTTTAGTTAATCAATTATGATTTAAATCAATTCCGTTAACTCAATTTCAATTTCAATTCAAGAACAGAACTCATTTACTTATACAATATCAAGTAATTCTTTAGGAATACTAATTACCATGAATATATACAAAAGATCATCATTTTTATAAATCTATTACATCTTCATTTAAACCAAGATATCCAAATCAGCATTTAATGCCAATCTTTATTGGCTCATTATTTTTAAAACTTTAGAATCCATTCGAAGTTTAATCTGTTATTAATGTCCTTAAAATGTTAAAATTGGGAACATAAATTTATTTTTCAACTCATTGGTAGAATTTCTTTTAATTAAATTTTCTAGGGCCAACGTTTTGGTGAATAATTCCTTTAACCTTTTTTTCTTTTCTTTAATGATACTCTTTATGGTTTACTTAATTATTTCAATTAGTTACCAATTCTTCCTTTTAATTATCAGTCTCATTTCTTCTTGTTCTAGTTTTCCCTTACATGTCCGATATAACTTTTTTACCTTCTTTCTTTAAAACTTTGGAAGCTATCATAACATTTAATGCATCATAAACTCTTCTTTTTATATTCTACTCATCTTTAGGCTCTAACTCTATTTAAATTTATACATTATCTAAATCTAAAAATTAACCATCCTAACCTAAATCTTAAATTAATCTTTATGCAACATCTTTGTAAGTTGTTGATTTGAGTTCCATAACTATATCTCTAACTTTAACACTCAAATTACGCAATCCTTAAATATATTAATTTAAATACCTTTCTGGCTTCTTAAAGGGGTTTGCTCCTGATATTGATAATAATTATAATTTTTTTTTTCAATCTTTTCGGAATAAGATATATTTTTTTAAAGTGCATGATGCCTATTCATATGTTGATTATTATATTTTTAAGGTGTCATTTATTAAGTATTAACATGAACAATTTAAAATCCTGATTATTTTGTATTAGACTATTTAATCACTATTTATTTGATTTAAGGTGATTCATCATTCGATATTTAAAGCTCAAACATTTTTTAGAGAGGCTATTAATCGAAAGGGAAAAGATCTTCTTAAACTTAATTTGGTTGTGCAGAGTAATAATCTTGTATTAGTAAATTATTAGGACTGCAATTTATCCTTAATTAAAGAGGGCTATATGGCTAAAATAGAATCATGTTTGGCTAACCGAAATTCATAGGAGATGATTCAAATTCAGAACGATATTCAATTGGTGTTTAATCACACATTGATTTTATACTATTTTTTAAATAATTATACTTAAATTCAATACGCTATTCGATTATTTAATTAGTATCCTAAATACTTATGAAAGTGAAAGATTCATTATTTAGATAGAGTTTACTCATTTTAATATTGATTTAGAATTGATCACATAATAAAAATAATGTTCTATAGTATCATTACAAAATGAAAACCCACTTTAGAAATTATCATTAATAATCATAATCTATCTTTCATAATAGAATGGAAATTGTGTTCTATATAAAGTCAGGTTCAATGATAAAATTAGGATAATCTAGTTAAAGTTTTGTAAATATAAATAATTCTTAAAGTAAATATAATTTTTCTTTTAATTCTTTTTCATGAGGTACAAACCAGAATGATAATTCTATCAAATAGTTATTAAAATTTAACGATTTTTTTAACATCGTACTTATAAATGCTTTTCTCAAAGTCATAATCCTAATAAATATATTGTAGTTTTCATGTACTGATACAACTCTTTTTTATACCTCATTAAATAAACAAGGATAAAATTGATATTGGAATAAATTTTGTGTCATAAGTTAACAATATATCAAGAGATTTCTTAGGATGATATCATTAAAATAACAAATAAATATCAATACTTTTTTATTTTATTATTTTAATTTCATTTTAAGAATAAGAGCCGAAAGATTTTAATTTATTCAATAACTATTATAAAAATTTAAAAATAGTACTAATTATTTTTATCAACAGTTTAATATAATTTACTATATTAGATTATTTTTGTATTAAAGAAAATATCTTGAATCTTGATATTAAGTTCTTGAAATTGAAATATTGATATTTTTAGAAAATAAAATTTAAGAATAACTGTTCAAATGAAAATTTATATTTTCATGATGATTAATACAAAATCATAAATTTTTACTATGAATAAGAAATATTAAAAGTTAGTACATTAATTGTCAATAATTTTAAAACTATGCATAATCAATAAATATCCCAGCCATGATAAGAATGATTTTCTCCTCAATGGTAGCAAATTCAGGAAAATTGATTCCATATGTATCGGATTTAGTACACCATTCTCTTCGAAACCCCCCAAATAAATGGCAAATCTTACCAACTTTTTAATTGTTTCTGTCCTTAATTTCAAATTCAATTTCAGCACAAGATTGACAAGGTAACATACAAAATAATCCTGGTTAACAACAACTAGCACTGATAGTATAAAGTAAAGCATTATTTTTATCAAAGCACATTAACTAATTAGAATATTTAGAGTATTTACTTTATAAAACGTGCATTTGATAATTGTCCATTAAAGTTCTTCCATTACTTTTCCAATGTACTAACCTCTTTAGTAAATTAACATTTCTGGTCTTTAAAAGCATAAAAAAGAGAATTTGTAAGGTTTTTCTACTTTAATATGAACTTCTGAAAATTTTCTTTAATCTACAAGTTCAAGAGATCGCTTTGAAGGAGGACAAATAAATCTCTTTTTTAAAAATGATTGAATTACCTTTACATAAATTTGGATACTTCTTTAACTTCAAAATGCACTTAACCCCAATTAGACCAATCATCTTCACAATAAATAATACTATATTCATTAGCTTATTCACAAGGTTATAAACAAGTAATGCATGGACATATAGGACAAGCACATATAAATGGAGAAAACCGTTCAATATATGATGGAGTAGAACTAATGATAACAGAAGTCTGAAGCATAAAATATTTATAATAATTATTAATTATAGTATATGAAATTTGATTATAATTTTATTTATGCTCTATAATCAAATTGATTTATCAAGTTTTAATGATTAAGACACTTATATAAGATAATATATTAATATCAAGAACATATATTAACTTAACTTTATTTATTTTTAGAACTCCATGTTTAATGTAGACTATTTATGTATATCATTTATTTTATAAGAAATAAGGATAATTAAAAAATAAATTCTTCTTCTCTATTGTTAAATAGTTTGAGTAAAGTAAACAATTAAATTAAACATAAAAGAATCCGACCTTTATGGAATGTTTAAATTAAACTAAAATTATATAATATTTCTCCCATATAATTAAAAGGATTAGAAGTCTAAACCATCTGAGATATATTCTAGTCTGACTTAATTAAATGGATGATATTTAGAAATTCATAAGACATGATTGAAATACATAAAATGGTTTAAAAATGAAAACTTATTTATTGTGAAATATTGTAATTTAAGTAATAACATTTATTGGTACGTCATCAGATTATTAATTGTGATTAATAAAAGATGTTTCTAGAAGTGTATTATTTGAGTATCTCATTACGTATTATATTGGATTTATTAAGAATTCTTATATAAATACGTATTATTTAAGTTCTAAATATAGAAGTGAAATCGTCATAAATAAATTCATTAATTATGGAGAATCAAACAGTCTAAACCTAAGAACTCTTAACAAAATGGGGACTTCGCAATTCAACAGTCTATAGAAATCCAAGTGTTCCTCTCTTATATTAACTCTCTATGTCTTAACAACAAAGTGAGGATCCAACTGTAAGACCAGATTCTATAAATAACACTGGTGCTTTGGTAGCATACTCAGGAAAGAAATGCGGGTATTTAATATTGTTCTATAATATAGTCGTGTTCCTAAGGATAAGAGAATCATAAAAGATGAAGTCACAGAAAGAGATGTTTGGTGGGGTGATGTTAACATAGGTTTGACCTAAGACTCATATAATGAGGTTGAAAAGATTGCTCTTGAGTATTTAAATAACAGAGAGAAAGTAACCATATAATTTTAATCATTTAGTTGTTCATCATTGATGGATATGCTGGATGGGATGTTAATTATAGATTAAGAATTAGAGTATTTTGCACTAGACCTTATCATGCATTGTTCATGAAGAACATGTTGATTAGACCAAATGATGAGGAACTTAAGAAGGATTTCAGTGGAGAT